TACACATGACATACCCTCACCATGTACCAATGTAGTACGGTCCAGTGCGCGCCATTGTGTTTCTCGGCAACGAAAAATACAGACAATCCTGGCAAGGTAAAGCCTCCAACGTTCGCATTGTGATTTCGGGACTTGCATAATCGTCGGGCAACTTGTCCCTATTGTCCCCCCCAAACTGATTGAAATGCAAGCCCTATAGCCGCCTATGTTACGACTGCTTATTGCTCCATTGAAATTCGACATGCGACTGTTTGAGCCCTTCGATGCCATGCCTCTTAGTAGTCTTGCGCGCTTGCTCTACAACTTGTCACTCATGCATGTTATTCAACTTATAGACTTCTAGGACCACACAACCCTGTCTCCACAAACCCAGCCAAGAAACCTGGTTCTTCATCCCTAACGACCCCACGACCCCTTTGCCGTCCCTCAACATCCCATGTCACGTCTCCTCCCCTCCGCTCAATCCCTACGCACCGCCGTTGTCCGACTCGGGTGCAGGCTCTGTAAGCTTCCACACGAACAGGATCAAAAACGTGATCGCCGCAATGGCCACGGTGATCCCCAGCGTGAGCGCCCATTGGACATCGGGCCGCGGGCCATCGTCGCCGAGCAGCGGCTGGCGCTCCGCATCCTCCTCGTCCCCGCGTACAGCGGCATCCGCTCCTCTTGCGGCGAGTTGGTCACGCGCTCGTACGCGCTTTGAGTGGTGGTGCCTTCTGCGCGCGCTACGCCAGACTCCTCGAACGGGTCCTCGGGAACAGGGCGGGCACCCCTGTAGCGGGGACCCGCGGCGCCGAGCCTCGGCGCGAGGACGACGAGCTGGACCGGTGCTTGTGCTTGTGTACCGGGGGTCGCTTGGGACCAGGCTGGTCATGATGCGGCCGGGGAACGGGAAGATGCCGACAGGCGGCGCTGGTGCTCGGGAGCGGGCGCGAATGTGACTGGCATGGTGGGCAGGGTAGACGGGGACTGAAGGGATGAAGTGCTGGGACGGGGGAGTAGCTCGAGAGGTGCGGTTACGGCTCTAGGTGATGTCTTGAGGGTCTGCAGTGGCAGCTACAGCCCTGTAAGATGTGTCTGACCTCAACGGAGGTGCGATGGAGGGCACTTTGTTGGGGCGCGGCTCGCACCGGAGATGGGCCGTGGACTGTGGGGCGGTCCACTGGACGGGACACTAGGTGCCAGTACTGGGATGGAGTATGTCGGCGTCTGGCTGTCAGCGGCGCTGACGGTGTGGCCGTACGGATGTGTGGACAGAAGGGTGTGTCGATTTGAAGAGGATATCAGCAATGGACAAAATGCTATGTCAGTGGAGTTTTGATTGTCCCACACCGTTAGCCGGGAATGACGCGGATGGCTTGTGGTGGGTGGCGTGCCTGGCTGGTTGTTGCCGGTGGCGAATTGAACCCACCATCCGTTTAGCAACAGCGTACGATGCCACCGCTCATGTGAGCCACCATTGTGCAGACAGTGTACAGGTACGCTTGACAACATCCTCGACATATTGAGTTGACTAAGGGAGGCTAAAATACAGTGCAGTTCGGCGGACCACTGACCACATCGACTGGACCAGTCCCCCTCGACCTCAATTATCTTATCACCCGCTCACTCCAGCTATATGATCCTCATCCAGACACGCATTCCCGCCCCATTTTCATCTTGCCACTCCCTTCATTCGTAGTTTGATGTCGGTACAAAGGCTTTTGTCGCTGAGAACGTATCTTGAGTCCGTTAGCGTGGCTATGTAGATGACCCGGGGGGTGGGGCTGTTGGTCGCACCTGCCATGTATCACCGCTGACGTCGATGACGTTTGACGTACTTGAGGAACAAGGAGATTCTACAGCTCAGGTCGTAGGCCAGTTCAGCCTGCAGGTTTGGGTGCAGGTCCACTTTCATGCCCTCGCCATCGACCACGTCCACCACTCGAGCATACTTGGCAATCAAGTGCCGGTGAACGATTGGATCAAGGAAAATCGGGCATCCCGAACGCGGACTGAAATGAACCGTTGCCTGTCATCGAAGCCTTGAGAAGACTGCACCTCAACAGTGATGGTGCGGAAAAGGATCGGGTCAAGTCGCTTCTGGAGGGTCCTGGACGTGGCCCGCCACTGGAAGAGGGTACGCACGTCGGAATAAGCTATCACTTTGTCCAGGATGTAAGGAAAGAAGCCACCGTCGATGGTCACACGGGGTCCGTAGTGGGGGCTTGGTGTGGCCGAGAAGAAGCTGGATGGAGAAAAGTGGATGTCATGTTGATCGTGGCCAACACCTGTGGGGAAACGGTGGTTGGTCAGTATGTAGCAGGCCGCACGTGGTGGTAAAGAGTCATAAGTGAAGAGGCGACGGTGAAGAGGAGAGTGGTGACGTCGTAGCATCTGAGGTCATGAGATCAAAATCCGAAAGTAATTGGAGGCGTAAGCATGTGCGTGTGTCCTGAGCGAGAGAGAGACAGGCCGGGCTGGCAGTCTGACACCCATCTGAAGTTGCACAAAGGACGTGCAGGAGCATCATGACATCACACTATCACCTGTATGTGATCTCCTCACTTCCACCGAGGGCGCACCAGCACAAAATGTCTGTATACGTAGCCGGCTGATGCATGATCTCCGAACATGTTCCTTCTGACTTGGCATGCATGTATCCTCCTTGGAGCCCTCAGCCTATGCCAGCGGGCTGGCATGGCAAATCGGGCCACACTGTCGTAAAGGAACCCGGTGTTGAAATCGTCGATAGCAGACGGGCTTCGCCACCTGTGCATCCCAAGAGCACGCCGGCCATGGCCAGTGGCTCCAGTGATCCAGTGATGGTTTTCTGGAATATTCGAGCATTTCCGATTATTTCTCGCAGAAGAGAGAAGGACATAAAAAGGTGGACGCTAACAAGCCGTCCGTGTGGCCCTCGGTCACGGCCACTCTTCCAACGGAAACTGGTGGCCACGCAATGTGGACATCGCCGCCGGCTGCCGGCACCAGTGTCTCTTTAAGCCGGCGGCCGCTTTGGATTAGAACACTGATGGTTCCGCTAAACCTTTGCTTCACGTTGCTTGCTCAGCGAATTCGAGGCACGTTAATTGCTGGACGGCTGTAGGCTGATGTGGAACATCGCCTCGAGCCCGTCGGTGTCCATACGCACTGCAGCTCTGGACAAGATATATAATAGCCATCGTCGCGTCGCTGTATCATTATGGCCTCATCAGGTTTCAAACACCTAGTCCTGTACACAGTTACACAGTCTTTGCGGCCGTCACCATCATACTTGCGACATCTTTAACTCGCCCCGCGCCTCGCGTGCTACCCAACCTCATCAACAGGTCTCATCACACGCCCCCCTACACAATGACCAACAATGACAATGCCGACTTCCGCCAGTGGAACCGTCTCGCCGACGGTATGAACCGGTACCACAACAGTTACCGGTGGGAGTACAAGAACGTCTACGAGAACGCTGCGGGCGGCTTCCACGTCAAGGGCCAGTCCCTCCAGGGGTTCCTTCAAGAGGCAGCGCAGCTCGCGATCCACCTCGGCAACCACCACCGTGTTGAAGAGGCCCATATCTTCCCTCTTCTCGCCAAGAAGCTCCCACAGTTTGCCGCCACCAATTCCGAGCACGTGAAGGCTCACCGCGGCATCCACGATGGTATGGCCAAGTACAGTGCGTATTTGAGCAAGGCCACGGCCAACCCGTCGAGCTACAACGCCTCGGAGCTTCGCAAGATCATGGACGACTTCCACGACGTGCTCTTTGACCACCTCGACCAGGAAGTCAAGGATATCGGTGCCGAGTCGCTCAAGAAGGCCGGATTTACTCTCCAGGAGCTCTCCCGGTTCCCCTTCTAAGAAGGGCACATGTTCGGCACCGCCCGTACGTTCCATCCTCTCCCCACCCTGCACCACCTGGCGTACCCAGCCAGCCGGCCGGCATATACCGACCGCACGCAGGTCATTTTACCACTGTACCACTGTACCACTGTCCTGCCATACAGACTCTAAGCAGCCCTGTCACAACATACCCTATCATTCAACGGCAACGCCACAGGTTGCTTGCCAAGACCTCTGCCCACATGGTACCTACCCTTGTTTGTAACAGAATGCATCAGAAGGTTTCCACCAACCCACAGACCAGAAGTGTTGCAGCTGCAGTTGATACATGCAAGTGACTAACTGAACCATGTCGTTGTCGTGTCGTGAGCGAACCAAATAACAGGCCAATGTTTATCGGCAGAGGAGGCTGACCTTATCTCATCGGAAATCTCACTCTGATACTCCGCCGAATACATGGGTACATGGACCGCCCGCCGTTGTCGGAGCGAACAGGCTCACCGCAAAGGCGGGCGCCAGTGGGCGTGCAGGACCACTCGTAGCCTTGGAAGTCGTCCTTACAAGTTGACCAGCTGACAAAGGGCAGACATTGTTAACATCATGTACAATCAGGAAGGGTCGCGCATTGTTGCGCGCAATGTCGTTTCTTGCGCCTCCGCTGTCGATCTATGACGTGCAACACGTGCGGCAGAACCGTGCGAGCCAAGGAAATATTGATAAGCAGCCTCGTTCGCCATTGCTAATTGAACAACCTAAATGTATACAAGAGCAATAGACTTTCAAAGTTGCCGACCGTGCCGAGATGCCGACCAGCCGTAGCCCACACGCGCCACACGCCGTCGAACCGAGCACGTCGGAGCTGGCCGTGCTGCAGCCGACCGAGCAAGGGCGGGAGGGGTGGGCCCACCAGGTCATAGAGCAACACCACATGGCCCCCCCGAGGTTTTGACGTTCTACTCAACTTTTCTCATCGCGCGTATCGAGGACATCTGGCTGTGCATAACGGTGTACCACAAGCAGCATTGATAAAAACCGGTGGACGACAGCTCGGGTCACCCCCTGGTATATTTTTGTGAAAACGCCCATCGCGCCACCACGACAACAAATCCCTTAAGGCTCTGGCCATCGCGGAAGTCCGGATCAATCTGTGCGAACCGCTTCTCTATTATCACTTCTCATCTCCTCTTCACTTTCAGCACCGCGGTTCGCCCTTACAGCGGTACTCGCACACAATGGCGAACGCCAACGACGCGCGGGATCCACTCCCGAGCGACCTCCCGGCGTCGGCACCGGCATTGAACGATGTCGAGGCCGGCGCGCACGACGGAGCAGGCTCGCCCACCCCGTCTCAGACAGTGGTGGACAGGAAGAACAAGAAGGGCGGTCTCACCGAGGGTGATGACATGCTCGACGACTTGCCAGACAACAACCTGATGCTGGTCATGCCCTGGTATGTTGTTGACTGTGGCGCAAGACCACAACACGCTGACCCGCTTCCAGCCTCGCCCTCGTTCTCTTCCTCGCGGCGCTGGACCAGACCGTGAGATTGTCTACAACCTGACCTTCACTGACGTCCCTAGATCATCGCCACGGCTCTCCCCACTATTGCCGAGGTGTTTGATGCCACGCCATCCGAGTATTCTTGGGTCGCGACTGTGAGTTTGTGAACACCGAGTGGCTATGGAGGAATCGAGTCGGAGGATCGAGACGGCTGGCCCGATCCCGCGTTGTTATTCCGCCTTCTCATCTGTTGGCAGCGTTTGCCTTTACTCTGGCAGGATGTCACGGCCAATATGCGCCAACAACCTCGTGCGTTGTGGAAGTGTGCTGACATCACAAGGCATACCAGCTGGCCATGACACTTCTGACACCTGTCAACGGTCGCGTTTCGGACATTGTCGGCCGCAAACCTCTGCTCTATGCCGCCATCATCATCTTCACAATCTTCTCGGCACTGTGTGGCTGTGCCAAGAGCATGACCTGGCTCATTACCGCCCGCGCCTTTCAAGGCCTGGGAGGCGGCTCCATCATCGGCCTTACCTCCATCGTCGTGTCCGACATTGTACCTCTGCACAAACGTGGAAAGTACCAAGGGTTCATGGGAGCGGCATGGGGTATTGCTGCTGTCGTTGGCCCGATTCTGGGAGGCGTCTTGACCCAGAAGGTTTCGTGGAGATGGTGTTTCTGTGAGCATTTTTGTTGCAACGGAGTCCTGCTGACACGACAGACATCAACCTCCCCACTTGCGGTGTCGCGTTCATCCTCCTTGTTGTCACCCTCAAGCTCAACAAGCCCACCGGCGGCACCTTCCGCCAGCTGGCGCACACTTTTGACTTTATTGGCCTGTTCCTCATCATGGTCTCTGGTGCCTTGCTCATCGTGGGCTTCTCCTTTGCTGCGGACCACGGGTTTGGCGACAAGGCCGCCATCGGCCTGATCGTGGTTGGTGCTGTCATGTTCGCCGGTGGCATCATCAACTGTCTTTATACCAAGCGCACGGCTGTCATTCCTGCTGTAAGTCGGGCTGTCCCTGAGAGATTATATGATCGCTTGCTAATGGGAAAAAGCGCGCATTCAAAGTCCGCACGACGCTCTTCTTCCTCATCGGCTCGTCCCTCCACGCCTGCGGTAAGTCGCCACCACAAATGTCGCCACGCACACCACTAACAACCCTCTCCAGCATTCATTCCTTCCAACTTGCTGCTGCCCGAGTTCTTCCAGGGAGTCCGTGGCGCCGATGCTTTGCAGAGCGGCTACCAGCTGCTCACATATGCGCTCGGCGTCGCATGGTCGACTGTTATCGCGGGACAGATTCTCTCAAGGTGGCACATTGTCCGGCCCATCCCATGGTCTGGCTACGTGGTCGCCATTATCGGCTACGGCGTCATGTACGGCACGTTCAACTATGACCTGACCTTGGCCATGCAGTATGGCCTGCTGATCATCCCCGCCGTGGGAGTGGGGTTCTCGCTCCAGACCCCGCTCGTCATCTTACAGGCGGCCATGCCGCTCAAGGAGATGGCGTCGGTCACGTCTGCGTGGGTGCTCACGAGGTCGCTGGGCGGCTCGGTCGGCGTGTCCATCTTCACGGCCATCCTCAACACCAACATTCGTTCGCGGTTCGCCAAGATCCCCGGCTACGGCACCGAGTTTACCGCCCCGACATCGTCGGCAGGGTACAAGGCCATCCACGACTTGCCGGCCGGCGATATGCGCAACAGCGTCCTCGCGGCGTTTGCAGACTCGTTCAAGCCGTGCTGGCTCGTCTCGCTGGCCCTGTTCGCCGCCGCGCTGCTCATCACCCTCCCGACGCGCGCGTACTCGCTCAACCGTCCCCGCGGTGCCGCTCTCAAGACTGCCGCTGCGGAGAAGAACGAGGCCGCGTCCGAGGAGGCCGAGACCGAGGAGGAGGAGGCAGTGAGGGCCGAAGCCGAGAAGGCAGCGGCCTACGGTGGCGGCAGCGAGAGCGCCGTGTCCGAGCTCCACACTCTCGCCAAGACCCTTACCAACACGTCGAGCCGTCGGGGCACTGAGGCCGGCGAGCCGGTGCTCGAGAAGGAGAAGCGGGTCAGTGGTGACGATGAGCACGGTAACAACGCAGCACGGGAGACGAGCGAGAAGGCTTGAGAGCGCAAGACGATCTAGACACCCCTGCATCACATCACACATCCACATCCATCACACATACATTTAACTGTCATTTTAATGCAATTCAACTCTGCACTATGAGACTGCACACTCGCTACATCGGTTTAGATTTCCTAAGTTTGATTTTTGGCTAAATAATGAATGGACACACTGTGGTCTCTGCGGGACTCGGTCCTCTCCCCCACCCCCTAACCCTAAACCTGTGCGGCGATGGCGCTGTCCTTGCCCTTGTTGCCGGCCGAGAGCAAGACGACGGCGTACTTGCCCGAAATCTTCCATCCGGGCTCTTCCTCGTCGAGACGCGCGCCCACCTCCTCGGGGATGCCGACGACCACGTCCGACTTGATGGTGCGCAGCGAGCACACGGGCGGCGCACCGGGGTCCGAGGCCATGGGTCCAATAGCGTTGGGGAACGTCGACTGGATGGGGAAGTGGCAGTCATAAGTGAGCTTGCGGTGGTTGAGGTCGCCCTTGAAGATGACGAGGTCCGACTCGGAGAGGTACTGGAACAGGTCGGGGGCCTCGTTGTTGAGGTCCCAGAACGAAAAGCCGGTGCACCAGAACGGGTGCTGCTCGTACTTCCACTTGCCCTCCTTCTCGTACTGCTTCCAGCGGCGGCCCATCGCGCGGAGCTGGTGCATGTCCTCCTCGGGCGCATCCTCAAAGAGGTGGCCGTGGAGACACGCCGTGTTGAGGATCCAGTCCCAGTCCTTGCGGGTGACGTCCGAGACGAACCAGGGAATACGCTTGCCGTGGAAGACAATCTGCGAGCAGATACCGGCCTGGATAAGCCAGTCGGCGTAGACCAGGTCGCAGTAGAGCTCGAAACCGGCATTGTCAAGCACAAAGTCGACACGGCCGCCCTTGAGGGTCAGGACATAGTCGGCGAGCTTGTGCAAGTCGTTGCCGAGAATGTTCTTCTCAGTGGCGGCGAGGTGCTCGCCGCCCGTCGACTGGAGGTTCTTAATGTCCTCCTCGGTCATGTCGATGAGGAGCGACAGGTCGGTCGAGTTGCCCCACAGACAGACTGGCAAGTGTCAGTACAGGTCATTCGCAAAGGGTCAAAGACCTACTCTGAGTGAGTTCGAGGAAGATGAGCTTGTTCTTCTCCGTCGACGATTGGATCTGCTGGGGCTCCGAGAAGCGTGCCGCGAGCTCAAACACGGCCTGAGCCGAGCGCGAAAAGGTGTCGCACTTCTGGCGGAAGAAGACGTCATACTCGACCCAGTACTTGGACAGCGAGAAGCACTCGCGGAGACGACGGTACTTGTACGCCTCGGCAAAGAGCCACGGAGCGTTCATAAAGTCCTTGCCGCGGAAGAACTTTGCAATCTCCTTGTTCCACAGGGCCACGTCTCCGGCACCGTCGTCGACGATGGGGCGCAGCTTGGCGTTGCCGTGGAGGTCGTCCATGAGCTGCTGCATGCGCTCGACACAGTCGAGGAGGTCGAGGACACGCCCCTCGTCGTACTCCTGGTTAAGCGTCTGGTAAACATCGTTGATCGCCTTGGCCAAAATAGTTGGCAGGCGCACGCCCATCGTGGCCTTTATGGGGCGTCAGCCACACTGCGATCTTTCGTAACCCCCGTTTCACTGCTGCTTCTCCCTTCAGAAGCCTTTTCTGTCCCCTCTTTTCCCACTTACATGAGCGAACGAGTACTCGTGGTAGCCACGGTATGCGGGCCAGGGGGGCTGGTCTAGCATTGGAGTCAGCACAGCTGTACCCTCTCAGCGGAGGTGAGCAGGACTTACTAGGGTTGACACGAGTGGGCGTACGAGGATAAGCCTGTTGGGCATGAGCATACAGTAAGCCGACGGGGCGCTGTGCCAAGAGCGATTAGACTTACCGCTGGCTTGTTCTCTGCCTGCTTCTGCCTCGGCGGGAGGTTGCCCAGGTTGAGCTGCGCGATGGTGAGCTCAGTACTCGGCGACTTATGAAGGCACGCGGCGGCGCTGGTGGTGGCTCAACACATACCATGGTCTTGGACGGCGCCTTGGCCGACGGATGAGCTTTGGATGCCATTGTGGATAAGGTGTGACAAGAGTGTGTGGTGGTGTGTGTGTGTTTGCAGAATGTGATGGAAAGAGAAAGATCAAGAGTGAGCGGTTATGAAGGCTCCGTCTCTGGGTCAGTGACAGAGAAGCTGGCACGGCGGGGGGGGCTACTGGGCGGACCGATTGGAGGACGAACGGCGCGGCATGAGTTGGGACGAAACCAACGCAGAGAGTACGTCATGAGGCTCTGCGTCTCTCTCTCTCATTCCCTGTCCGCATTGGGGGTGTGTGGGGTGGGGGGGGGGGTCTGCTCGTCGTGAAGCCATCACGCTCGAACACCTTTCACGTGCCCCCCTGAATGCTTGCGCTTGCATGCAGCCGGTGGGAGAGGTCGCTGGGAACCGAGGGGGCCAAGGTTGCCAGGGCGTGTGGTTTCGGGGGTGGGGCATGTTGCATGTTGCACGTCTCGCCGTGTTGCTCCCCCCCTCCCCTCCTCTTGGCCCCGCACACCTCATCCCCACTAGATTACTATATCCAACGTTCCTGTCTGTACGTCTGTGTCTTGTCGCTCGCGGGGCCTCGATATGCCAGAGAGTCACACTACTACTGCTCTCAGTCGCTTTACTACACCGAAGCAACATGAATGTTCTGGCATGCCGTGGAGCACACAGAATTACAGAAGGGCCGTCCACGTCGCCCATTCAGTTGCAGTGCAAATCCCCACCGGCCCATTTAAATGAGATAGCGCGCAAGAAATGGGCGGGAAGAAGCGGCACGCATGTGCGCGATATCTGATCGCTCAGGGCCAACCCCCGTCTCGCTGTACGCCGGTGTGACGCCAGCGGCTGCGATCCCCCCGCCAGGCTCCAGGGGGGACACCATGGTGTGGAGAAGAGAGGGTCCTCCGAAACCGATTAAACCGGGCACCGCAAGAGATATGGCCCGGTTTATCCCATGTATAACAGCTCCGTGCGATCTGTGCAGCTGTGACAGCAGGGACACTGCATATAACAGATACAGCAGATACCGCAGATACATCACCTACCATTGCCGGGCGGCTGCCTGGCCCGTGTCGTTCATGGCAGACTGCGCAGTACGAGGTGATTCCAGCGGGATCCCTCTCAGCCGACGTGCCGGAACCACGCCAGATTTGGTAACCATGGTGAGGAACAGAGACCCCTCGGTGACCCGCCGATCCCCGGAGCCAAGAGCGAGCACATGCGGCTCACCACCGAGGATGCCCTACGCAAGGTGATTGTTATTGGGGGGTTGGATCTGTTGGACGCCATAATCGCAATCTCCCTATCTGCGAAGCTATCGCGGGGACGTGGCGCAGCAAAGCAACCCCTTGGGCGTGTTCCTTGGCGGTGCTCCAGCGACGATGACGGGGTGCGCGGGGTGACAACGTGACAACGTGCGGCGCTCCGACTCCGGTTCTCCGATGCGATCGCACACCCAGCTTCGAGCTTCGGGTCGGCCATGCTTCCAATGGCCAATGGCTAGTGGTGAATATCCGACACAGTATGGCACACTCGTGTGTACTGGCCGGCACCTTGGAAGGGTTAGGAAGCCAAACGTTTCCCACATTCACAGGTCCAGGGAGACGTCAAGAGGGACGTGCAGAGAATCGTCACCCTCTGCAGGTCTATAGAGGAAATCGGGTGGAAACGCGGTGGAGAGGACGCAGGTGCTCCTGCAAACCAGGCGAAGCGTGTGGTATCTGCAGATATACAGAGCATGCAACATGCGACAACCCTAAAGTCGATCGACCTTGTGCAAACGGGAGGTCAGGCTCTGTCGGAACCAAACAACAATGTCAGGGAGACTTTTTGCCATTTCCAGCCTCACTTCCGGCCTCCACTGTACCACTGTTGATGTCTTGCACATGCACACACACACATTGCAGTCTTCTGTCTGCCCCTTCAACAAACCACCTTCCCTCCATGCAGGCCGCAGACACATCCTCTGCCATCAACGCAGAGGCCGGAGGAGGGCCCAAAACACTGCGGCACAAGACTCTCTCCGCCTACTACGACCATCTCCTCACCCTCGAGCACCTCCTTGTCGGCGTCGAAGGCCTTCTCTTCCACTCTGATCCTGCCGAGTACCGTGAGCTACTGGAACACACCATCTGTGCGCCGCGTGGGGATAAGGCGCGTGTCTTCCCTGCATATGGTCCTACAGATGGGACACAGCAAGAAGCGATAGACCGCATCTTGCAAGACTTTCGGGGCTCTGACGTGCTTCTTCTTGGTAGCCGAGTGAGTTAACAAAATGACGCTGTGTACAGCTCACTGACAGCCAGAACGCACCAAGTAACTATTACATGTCTAGTCGCTCCTCGGCGCACCTTTCCACAGGTGCACCGTCCACGGCTCTCCGCTCACTTCCTTGGAAGATCCTTCGGTCTAGGTGGGTTCAGCACCACTTGCGTCATCTAACCCACCAGGCTCGGCGACTCGGGCTTCCGCCACCTGTTCCACACGTCCTCCATCTTCCTCCCGCTCGGCAACAACTGCTACCAGCAACTATGTGGTCCACCCATCCACGACATGTACGACCCCAAACGCCATGTCAAGGCGCAGCAGCCGCCTGCCCCCGGCAATCAGAAGCGAAAGCGTGACGACGATGAGAAGGTATTGGTCAAAGTAGACGGTGCTCGCAAATTAGTCACCAAGAAGACGGGAAGGTGAGCTCGCGTACAAGACTTGCGCAGCTAACTTCAGCGCGGCCGCTGTAAACCTCCACCGCCAGCGGATCTACTATGGCCGGCCATCTCGCTCGCCAAACGGCAAGATCCAGTATGGGCTTCCTCGTACTCGTGGGTGACCATACACCGTTGTCAGACGGCTCATCCTTCAGATCTCTGGAACAAGGCTGCCGGCAGCTGCTTACCCACTCCCTCTGAGCAAGTATGCTTGACGGTTATCCTGGACATGTTCCCCGCCATGCGCAATCACCGTGCCGTCCCCGGGGGGGACGTGCGAGACCGCGTGCGCGGTAACCCCAAGCGTGTGGGAAGCATGGTTGGCGCCATGGGAGAGTTGCTCGTCCGGCACGCGCGTCTCGACTATGGTGCTCATCTCCGACGGTGCTTGGATAGACTGGTGAGTTGAAGGACCCGTGCGGAATAGCAGCTGACGGGCAGAAGGATGTCCAACTTGTGCGTCGGCTAGAGATACTGGTCTGTAGTGCTCACCTAGCAGAACGCCTACCCGCCACTGGAGGGAGAAGACTCCAAGCCTCGTTTGGAATGGATAAAGAGTGTACGCCGCACCGACTCGGAGCTCAGTACCAAGGCTTCTTCCCGTGGCGGCAGCATGCCTGCAGTTTCTCCGCCGTCGCCTGTTCTACAGCCGGTATCGCCAAGTCAGGTAAGCTGCAAATTCGTGATCGTTTGGTAGCTCACGTCTAGGTCTGTCGCTTTCTTGGCTCAGTGTTGCGCAGCCTCCTCCCCATTCAACGTATTGGAGAGCACAACCTGCGGGTCATTGTTCACAGTGAGCTGCTCAGGGGCAGCGGCGGCTCGAGACGTAGCTCACGTTCAGACTCGCGTATCCTGGTCCGCGCCAAGATGTACGAACAAATCAGCGTCCACTCGCTGGTGCAAGGTCTGCGTATAAACGATTTTATCTGGCTGTGCGTCGGTGACAGCCAGCGTGTCCCCCCACACGAGGCTGCCAAGCGCCGGCAGTTGGTTGAGCAGTTTATCTACTGGCTATTTGATCAGTTTCTCATTCCACTCCTTCAGGTCAGTTAGCAAGGCTTTCGCCATTCTCAGCTGACATTCAGGCGTCATTCTATGCCACCGAAACGGCCTCGACTCGTTACGAGACCGTCTATTATGCTCACGATACTTGGCTCAACGCTACCGAGCCGCATTTGAGAGAGCTCGAAGCCACCTTGTTGGAGGAACTGGACGAGGTGGGTGTGTAAATCGTCGCAGCACTGACCCATCAGGAACAGCAGCAAGTGGCACTGAAGACGGCACTGGGTATCTCTGCCGTGCGCCTCATCCCCAAGCCGGTTGGCTTCAGACCCATTGTCAACTTGGGCAAACGAATGGTAAGCTCCGCAACGTTTATTGAGCTGACAATGTAGCGCATTGCCAACAAGAGTGCCGCAGTGTCGTCGGCTCAGCTGACAACTGCCAACGAGGTGCTCCGTGGTGTCCACCAAATCCTTACCTTTGAAAAGGCAAGTGTGCAAGGATACAAGCGGAAGCTGACGTTTGGCAGAGTAGGAAAAGAGATTCCTTGGGTTCCTGCCTCTTTGGAACCAACGAGGTGTTTGCTCCTGTGCAGTCTCTCAAGCGCGAGTTGATGGACATTCACGATGCCATGTGAGCTAATAGCGACGTGCAAAGCTCACCCCCCCAGGCCGAGAGTATACTTTGTCAAGATGGACATCAAGGCAGCGTTCGACACGATCAAGCAAGACAAAGTGCTCGAGGTGGTGGCAGAGCTCTTGGACAAGGTAAAACTTTGGAACCGCAACTGCTGCTAACAGACACAGAACAATGACTACTGTCTCATGCTCTACAGTCTCCTCCTCCCTCCAGCGAGCAAGGCATCCCAAGGCTCCGCCCGGCGACTGTTCAAAACCCGCGCAACAATCTCAGACCATACCTTGGCCACCTTTGGCGAACACGCACAAGACATGGCTGCGCCGCTGCGTAATGCCGTCTTGGTGGATCTCGTGAGCTTCGTTGATGGATATTGAGCTGACTTTAGTTTCGACGCAAAGAGGTAACCCGTGAAGCGTGCATGGAGCTGCTTCGTACGCACATTCAACAGAACATGTGGCAGGTGAGTTGGTGGGACTTTCTTGTCAACTAACAACCAGGTGGGAGACAAGTGCTTCAGGCAAAAGACGGGAATCCCACAAGGTTCCAAGATCAGCTCGCTGCTGTGCTCGTTCTTCTACTCGGCGATGGAGGCTGAGTACCTCTCATGGACAAGACGACGCGGAACGGTGGGTTGCTTAGCCGCCTAAAGATTCTAACCCTCAGCGCCTCCTCCGATACATTGACGACTTTCTACTCATGACAGACGACTACAATGTTGCTCGACGCTTCGTGACCGTCATGTCGCGCGGCTTTCCTGAATACGGCGCGTTCGTTTCGCCGTCCAAGACATTGCTGTCGTTTGAGCTAGCGCCCGGTGGCCATGCTGCACCGGTGGCGAGTTTAGGCGAGAACGGTGCATGCCGTGAGTTATTGGTATGGTGATCGTTTCCTGACAGCTCTCAGACTTTCCGTATTGCGGTTTCCTGATCAATACCGATACGCTGGACTTTAGCATCGACCACGCGAGGCTCATGGCTGGCCGTGAGTTGAAGTACCTTGGGTTCAGCTGACAGGCAGCCACGACGCAGTCATTCGCCCTCCGCTCGAACCGGCGGCGTGGTGGCAACTTTGTTGGGTGGCTGAGCAGGTAGGTTGGGAGAGAGCTCGCTGAACTAACCTAGCAGACAACTCGAGAACCGCAACCATGTTGCCTATGTGAGCTTTCACGCCCGTTGCGTCAGCTAACGCCCAGCTTGACACAGACCACAACGACATCGACACAGTCTACCTGAACGTCTTCATAAATTTCGCTCTCACCGCAATGAAGATTCCCCACTACTTTGAAGGCAAGCCGTTAGAGTACAGACGCTCCAAGCTGGTTTACGGTGAGTGAGATATGTAGCCCGCGGAGATACGCATCTGACAGACAGACTGGCTCTGTCTTGCGGCAGAGTACACGTACAGCGCTGGCCGGGCTCGTGTCCGCCACGCAGCTCGTACGGCCGCGTCGGAACACTTTGGTGTGCCCAAGGGCGCCTTCCTGTTGTGAGTTCTGTTCTGCGGCGCCTGAGCTCACGACAGTATCGCCAAAGCAGCCATGTGTCGTGTACTCGCACGCAAGGCGTCACGGATGGCCCACGTTATGGACCTCCTGCAGCGTGACCTCGACAGCAGAGCGACTCGCGGCCTGCGACACTCCCTCGACGCAGTCGTTACGCATGGGTGGTCAATAGTCAAGAGTGCCAAGTTTTGAGAGAGAGACACCACGATCCATTCAGTTGTAGTGTACGTTGCAGCAGCCCGAGTTTGTAGCTAGAGTATGCCATCCATCTTGCATAGTACAAGCACCTGAATCCACTCGCGCTCCTTAGATGGTGGTCTCGTAGGGGAGGGCGGTGAGGGTCTGGGGAACGTTGTTCTGGATCGAAATAACGCGGGCCTCACGGGGCTGAGCGGGGAGACGCTTGAGAACGACGGTCTCGCCCTTCTCCTTGGCCTCGCGCTTCTTGGCGGCGTTCGACTTGACGCGGTCAAGGAACTCCTGGCGGCACTTGGAGTGGCGGACGTGCTCAATGCGGACGTTGACGCGCTTCTCGATGTAGCGGCCGTTGACAACCTTGTAGGCGATGACACCGACGGCGCGGGGGGCAACGTTGAAGACGATGCCGGTCTTGCCGTGGTAGACTGGAGCATGTCAGGAAATGTCTCCCGAGGTTCGAGAATTTGGGCCCCCAAAGGTGGGTGGGTTTGGGGGCCAGCGAGCTGAGATACTTACACTTGTGGGGCATACCCTTCTGCTCCGACGAGTTGGCGACAATGTCGACGATGTCTCCGACCTTGAAGACACGGAGGAAAGTCGAGATGTTGGCAGCGCCGTGCTCTGAGAGGAGTAAGCTCGTTGTCCAAAACGTTCACAGTTCCGCCGAGGTGGCGGGAAACCGGGAATTTGGGGGGCGACTTTGTGGATTTGGGCGGCAACTCTGCAGCCACGCAGCAGACGGAGGACGCAGACAGCGCCAGGAGAACGCTGCCAGCACGACAGAACAGTTGGAGGAATGGTTGCGGCTTGCCGGAGGACTGTCGCTGGACACCTTGGCACAAAAAACGAAATCTTCCCTCCGTGCCAAATTGTAGGTCCAGCCTCCCACATGCGCACACGCACTCTCCCGTCTGTCCGCTGGACAGCGCTGCACGCCATCCTCGCGCTGCCCGTCTCCATCGTTCCCTGCGGTCTCCCGTGTCGACAAATCCACAATCCCCCCCAAGTTTCCCGGATTCCTGTCTGGCTCGAAGAAACTGTCGAATTCTTCTACGCACCACGGAAGTTGCGCTTGAACATGTGGCGCGTACGCGCCCTGGAACCGAACGAGTGAGGCATGGCGGCTGTTTCTGGGGGACGTCGTCAGAATGGGTGTTGTCGAGATGTATATGGCGGGGACGAAGGGCCGTGGGTGCTACTCACTTGGCTTTGATGGACGAGACGAGAACGACGACGAGCGAAACAACCAAAGTGGGCCATCCAGCGGCAGCGCACCCACACGCCCAACGCCAGGCGGCAGGCTTTGGCCGCCACAATTTGTTGGGCGGTAATGCCGATTTGCTGCCGCAACGCCGAAATGCACCGACACAGTTGTAATAGCGAGTTCAAATGGGCCGACAATAGTACCGTAATGCATTAGGCGAAACTCCAGGCCGTGCTTAGTTTCAGGCGGCAGGACCAGAGTTCTTGAGACATGGGAAGCTTGTGACACAGGCTGTGGCCATATGGAAATGTGCCCAGAGAAGGTAATCGTCGGTTAGGACAGCGGTACAGCGATGAGTATGAGAGTCAATGTCGGGCACATGGTTATCTGCCGCCCGTTCGTTGCAGTCGGCACCGGCCTGCACCACCTCTTGCAACTGTTACCCGCATCTTCTACCACAACGGCTATGCATAGAGCAGACATCACCAAACAACTTGTTGGGTTTACCGCACCCACGGAACGGACATGGGCACGAGGCCATGTGCACGACGGTCTGGTCCTGGACAGGGGGGCGGAGGATGCAACAGCAAGGCTCCTACGCAGCTGGTTCAAGTGTTCTACTCAATGCAACCGACTTCTGCCTCTGGACCATACCCTTTTGCCAACAAAGCATGTCCACGCCAGTCGAATATTTCGGTAAGCACGCAGCGAGGAGTGCCTCCAAGCTCGTCCTTGTACAGCACCCTATATCCAGAAATGATATGAGAATGGTAATGCGCGTAATTGCAAGCGGCTTCTGTGATCACTCAAGTGTCCACACATGACGCCAACTTCTGCCACGCGACCGCCATGAGCAGGCGAGACGATACCATTGACTTTTCAAGGCGTCTGCCGCGGTAGGGCGGTGATACCATGGAGGACTGTGCATGATGGGGCGTGGAAGTTGAGCACCACTGGAGGAAGCTGAGAATGGAGTGAAGGACAAGGTAATAGAATGAACACGGCCTATAGACTACGCCACAGCTAGCTGTGTAGGCCGTGTCGATTTTATTATCCTTGTGCTTCACTACATTCGTCCAGGTTCCCTTCCGGTGCGCGTTGTTCCAGATAGCCTACGTTGCGGTTGGGCTCTGGGGAGAATGTTGACAGAATGACGAAAGTGACCATGAGGTCCAACACGGCAACCACGCAACATGTAGACGCCGATATCTGATCCTGGATAAAATAACCAAAATGGGTCGCAGAAATACACCGCCACACAATATTCGACCAATTCGCCGCGGCGATTTCCACCGGCGACACTGGCGGCTCGCGGTCCTGGCGTCTGGCAGGCGGCACGCAGGCCACTTTGAGTGCAGCGACACCTACTCGTTGTCCTCCACCCGATCAAGGTGAGCTCAAAGACGGTGGTAACGAGCCGAACCATCATGCTGACTGCGTCCCCCTCCTCCTCCTCGACACCCCCGCGCTCCTCGCCGTGTTCACCGCCCGCTCAATCCTCGCCAACCCGTTGATCCTGCATGGTTTCAACCTGGTCGCTTCAAATTTCTCGACAACCCCCGTGTCAAAATGCCTCTGTGCACTTACGCTTTACTGCGTCTACCCACGCTTCTTGCTGTGCGGTAAAATCACTCTCATGTGATTGCTCAAACGTTTTGCTCTAAACCGCTCTCGTTTGTTGCTCCCCCCAATCTATCCACATTCTTTGAAACATTTTCGTTTTGCGAACTTGTGTCGATTGTTGGATTTGGCCATTCTTCTAGAAAAATGACCGCCGCCCCTCGCTCGTACTCGAAGACGTACAAGGTCCCCAAGCGCCCTTACGAGGCCGCCCGTCTCGACGCCGAGCTCAAGGTGAGCAGTTTGGAGGGAAATTTGGCGGGACAAGGACGAGAAGGAATTTGAGGTTTGCTGTCGGCAGGGGACGGCAAACTGGGTCTGTTGGCTTGCGCACCAGACACGTTCTGCGTGCTGTAGCAACTACTACCCCAGTCGTCCTCTCTCCTACAGCTCTCCACTGTTCCCCTCTGTCTCGCTCTCGCCGAATTTTCTGTGCCCCAAACCCCCGCACGCGACCTGTAACTGACGTTTCCTTAGCTCGCCGGCGAGTACGGTCTCCGTAACAAGCGTGAGATCTGGCGCATCCAGCTCACCCTCTCGAAGATCCGTCGTGCTGCCCGTGACCTCCTCAAGCTTGACGACAAGGACCCCAAGCGCCTCTTCGAGGGCAACGCCCTTATCCGCCGTCTCGTGCGCATCGGTGTGCTCGACGACTCGCGCATGCGTCTCGACTACGTTCTTGCCCTCAAGACCGAGGACTTCCTTGAGCGTCGTCTCCAGACCCAGGTCTTCAAGCTTGGTCTTGCCAAGTCGGTCCACCACGCCCGTGTCCTCATCCGCCAGCGCCACATCCGCGTCGGCAAGCAGGTCGTCAACGTCCCCTCGTTCGTCGTCCGCCTCGACTCGCAGAAGCACATCGACTTCTCGCTCAAGTCGCCTTACGGTGGTGGCCGTGCCGGCCGCGTGAAGCGCAAGCGCGCCGCCGCCGCCGAGGGCGGTGAGGCCGCCGAGGAGGAGGACGAGGAGTAAACTTTTGGAGCCCTCTTACTCTGTTACTCCCGGTCGCCTCTTTGTATCATTGTGGTGGTAGCAATGCATAGCTGCCAGACATGCTAAAACGGAGCGCACTTGTTCGCAACCTTCCCCATGGACAACCATTTGCTGCACTCTCGTGTTTGTTTACTAACTGTTGCGCCTCTCCCATCGCTGCTGCACATTACTGTACGACAGCGATCAAGATGTGTATCATCAATGCCAACTGGCGAATACATGCTACCTCTTACTGTACTGCCTACCCGAAGCGCTGCTTGGCCATGGCCCGGAACCTGTTTGTTAGCTGTTTCCCATGTGGCCCAGCTCACATGTCCATGGTCGCAGCCTCCTTGTCGCGGCGCTCAGCCATACGCTCCTCGAGCGCACTCCGCTGGTCGCTCATCTGCTCGGCCTTCTTGTCCGCCCGCCTCGCGTCCGCGGCATCACGAGCACGCAGTCTGCGGGTCAGTCAGCTGTCCGTGGCCGTCAGAAACAACTCACGCAGCGGCAAACGAGCTTCCGTCGCCCATGAGCGTCCCCTCGTCGACCTCGAGACCCGCCACGTCCTTGTCGCGCATCTTCTTGTTCTCCTCGTTGGCAGCGCGCTTGTCGGCGACTTTCCCCTCACGGCCTTGCTGGCGGGGCGCGAGGTCCTCTGCGCGGTCGAGGGCGATCTTGCGCTCGGCCTTGCGGCCTGCCAGGCGGTCCATACGCGCCGCCTCGGCCGCCATCTCGCGCGACAGCTGGCGGTCGCTGACGGTCGGGAGGGTCGGCCCCAGCGTGCCGACTTTGGGACCGGGGGACATGGACCGCGACGGTTCTGGCCTGGGACCAATGTCGTCGTCGTCGTCGTCGTCCGAGGCGGCCGTGGGCAGAACGCTGCGGCCGAGGGTGGACGGCGGGCGCGAGGTCTTGACGTGGGTGAGCCTGTCGACGTCGGCGCGCGCGGCGGCCAGTTCCTGTGAGTTGACGCGCGAGCGGCGCTCGGCAAACGACCACTTGCTGCTGGGTAAGCAAATCCCCAGAGGAATAGCACCCACTAGTTTGTATTGTCGCTCGCGCGGATGGCGGTGCTCTCATGCTGGTCGTAGCACTCGCGCGGCAGCGCGCCGTCGTTCCACCGCCGCACAAAGCGACGAAAGTACTTGTGCGCCTCCTCGCTCGTGAGCTCGTCGAGGTACTTGCCGCGTTCGGACTTGAGCCAGTACCGGAACTCGCTGGCCTTGAGGCTGTGGTGAAGAAGGGAGGACGGGAGATGAATGTATGGGAAAAAGGAGGCAAAATTGGAATCGGGGAGGAAGGCAAGAGTCGAGGAGAGAAGGTCAGCGAGGAAGGCAGCTGCGCAGCTGACCGCAGACGAGTTCCAGCTGCCGGACAAGGAGCACGCACAAGTAATCTTCAAACGAAATCGGCTCAACACCCAGCTCTGCCAAGTCAAGAAGAGACTGCTCAGACTCGGAGGGTGAGGGCTCGCGTCGTCGGCGGTCGTCGCGATCACGATCACGATCACGGTCACGGTCACGGTCTCGCCTGTCGTCCCTCTCTCGCCTGTCGTCCTTGTCTCGACGGCGTTCATCTCGATCCTTGCCAGACCCGCGCTCTCGGTCTCGGGCCTTGTCCCTTTCTCGCCGGTCACGTTCACGTTCACGGTCCCGATCGCGATCTCGGTCACGGTCCCTGTCGCGGTCTCTATCCCGGTCTCTGTCGCTGCGCTCGCTTCGACGGTCGTCGCGTTCCTTGCCGTGTCGGCGCTCGCTCCTCTCCGCATCGCGGTCGCGGTCGCGACGGCGTTCTTCTCGAGATCCCGTATCCCTGTCGCGGCGCCCGCTGGGCGACCTGGAGCGGTCGCGGTGGGACGGCATGGTGGCGGTGGAAGTGGTTGAAAGTGGAAAGTGAAGTGAAATGGAATGGAGGAAAGTGGAGGAAGATGAGAGAGCCGCGAAGTTGGAGGCAACGTCATTGTGCCTGAATCTGGGCCGTGAGTGTGGCACCACACACTCCAGCATCCGTTGATTTCTTCAGTGGCCAACGAGTGGTGGTGCCGGCAGCCAGCGGCATGACGACGAGGACTCGGTGCACCGCATACATAGTACCCACCCACTAACACATATCCTCCCCGCTAAGACCTGCATTGAACATGCCCCCCCCCCCCGGACCCCCCTTTTCTGCTTGCTTCACTCCCACTCGTCCTCCCACTTCATGCCCCGCGATTCCGGGTGCACCCGCTCAACCCGTCAGCAACTCTGCCACAAAACACGCCAACACAACAAACCTACGTCACGGACAGCCCGCACGCTTTCCAAGAGGTCCCACATCGAGTATCGCGTCTGCGTCTCGGGGTCGACAATGTGGTAGTGGAAGCGGTAGAGCATGTGCTGGAGGAGAGCGGCCATGCGCCCGTCGACTTCCATGCTCGTGACGTTGCTGCGGGTGGTTGTTAGTTGGCAGGTTGTGTGTGTGTGTGTGCTGGGCGCCGGCGTGGGCGTGGGCGTACCGATCAAACCAGAAGCACCATTCCTGTGGATGAGTAAGTCAGCTTCCCGTCCTATCAAGCTCCATTGGGAATCGGGGGGGGGGGCAGCCGGCAGGCTGTGTGTCACGGCCCCGAATGGCCAGCGGATAGCCAGGACAGTGGCCGACCAGCAAACCAGGCATTTGGAACCGATGCCGACGGACTCCGAGACACCAATTCTGGTACACTCGTGTAACACTCACATATGCGATTCGCGGCAGAAACTCTTTGAACCAAAAGTGCACAGAGCTGGGCGCGTGTGCAGCGTGTAACCTGTCCAAGAGACGTCAGCGATGCCTGCGCTCGTGACAGTTGACAGCGGTGTGCCCCGACGGCGCGTACATGCTCTCGGCAATCTTGATATCCTGCGCGCACGGTCAGCCAGACGAAACGAAAGACGAAACCGTTGCTGCTACACAACTGTTGAAACCCACGTCGAACACGAGATTGTCCACTTGGAACTGCTCGAGCTCGCCCAGCTGCCATGATTCGGCTTCTGGAAACATGTACTCTGGGCCGGGTCAGTATCGTTGGATCGTTGCGCCGTTGCAAGGGGTCCGAGGCGATGCGAAACGCACGGTCTGTGGTGAAGGGCTCAAACTTGGAGAGGTATGTCACCTCTGTCGGGGCCAGGTGGTGCGGCATTGTCACGATGCGCTTGGACGACGTCGACGGTGAAGCGGGCGGTGAAGAAAAGGGGCAGACAAGAGGTCACGGTGGGACAGATGTGGGAGAGAGGACCCCAACGGGAAGTTGCGAGCCCGTTCTCTTGTACCGTCTCGCCGTCGGTCGACGGCAGCAGCAGCAGCAGCAGCAGCACAGTTACATGGCTGTGATCGTCGCGCGTCCTTCCCTCCTTTCTCGGCAACGTACTTGCAGGCAACCAACGCCCCCTTTTCCACGCGCCGAGCACTCTTTAAGCCGTCGTCTTGTCTGCTATCTGCCTACTGCCGCGCCCGCCTCAGCTATGCTTGATCTGCGATTGTGGCGCGATTAGGCCGCATGCAACAACTGTATGCCTCGGCGGTCGTTCTCAAGGCCGCCGCTCGGAGGCATTGGATGGGCCGTAAATGGGTTCGTGTGTCCCTTCCCCGCGACATGAGGAATGTGCGTGTCCATGGGTGACGTTCAGGAAGTTCAGAAATTACAAAGCTGGCAGGAGAGAGTGAAAGCAAGTGTGGCTGCTGGTCAGTCTGCAAGAAGCGTCCCTCCAGCGAGGATCTGGCAGGACGTGCGTGTCGCGCCATATGGGCCAGTCGACCTCCCATTCGGCCAGTCGCCGGTTTGCTGCCACACTGGCACACTAGCGCAGACTGTAACACTGTGCAGAATGGACAATCCCCTTTGGATCCTTTTGCACGCTGCTGTCAATCCAGTCCCCCGTCATTTCCATCCAGTCGCCGTGATCTCCGACGCAGCGGGGAAGTCTCCGCACGGTGTACTGTACCAGAGGCCGGGGCGTTCGGTCGTCGATGCGAGGCGCGAAGCTCGTCACGGCCCGGCTTCTGATTTCAGCCAGATGCCTCTGCCACCCATTCGCCATGCGCACATCAGAATTGGGTTTCTTTTTTGGGACATGGGTGGGCATTGCCGAGTTGGCCAGTGCGTTGCCAGCGCCTCTTGCAGCCCTCTCATGCGGTAAAATACATCCTGACACGACCATCCGTTAACGTGCCGGCACTGGCTCACGGGGCACCCGTCCTGTTCGTCGCGAGCAATGCACTTTTTGAAACCGGAAACCACAACCTCTCGTCCGAACCTCATCGGACGGTAGATGGACGGGGTAGAAGCAGTAAAACCCTCTCCTGCAATGCCGCCCAATGCCTCGCAACGTCTCCTAAACATCACAACGGAGACGCGGAGACGCCGAGAGAAGGTGCGAGTCCCGCCCTGTGCCTCCATGTTACTTTGTTCGCCCTCTCGGTGGTCTGATCTGGTGTTGACTTGGCAAACAACCCTTGTGCTCCACATCGGCGCCCCAGATTCCATGCGGGCGCGAGACGTTTCACAGTGTGTTTAGGAAGGCTGTAGATAGACGTATGTCTGTGAGGTCTGTGATCTGTGAGGTCAAGGTTGCGACGTTGCGTTAAGGATGAAAGCTGGGCCTCGCCGGCAGAGCCATTGGCCAGGCCACCCACAGGGCCATGTACAGGGAGCGGGCCGGGGACCTCTGTCGTGCTCATGGACATCAACATGTATATGCTTGACACACCCAGATGAGGCCAGAGGCGCGGCCCGGTGCTTGCCTTGTATAACCACCTCGTGTGTGGAGAATGGACCCTTCTGTGCGTTTCATGACGGCGAGGCGTCTGCGGGCGTTGCACATGATGTGGGGGGATGGCCCGTGAGGCCCGTGAGGCCCGTGAGGCCCGTGAGCGCCGCCTCTGAATCTGGCACACGAGTGCGCGACAGCACGACCGTGCTCTGCTGGACGAGCGCTGGACACGAGCCCTCGCTCGAGACTGAACGCTAGAACGCGTGCCTTGCAAACCCATATGCTCTTTCTTGCAGCCCGTGGCCCCCCCCCCCCCATGCCTCCCCACCTGGGCCGTGGGGCCAGTGTTCCATGCAAGCAGCCGGCCAAACGAAACTCTAACGGCGAGGTATATCAATTGGACTGTCGTACTCTCAACAGCTGCGCGCTGCGCGGCCACAGGGGGCTATTCCCTCTCGCCTGCGCGTCGTGTGCCATTGAAGCACCTTCTTGGGACCCGCATACGCCCGGGGTCTGTGTGCTTTTGGTGCTGCGCTGCATGCCACATACATACACACTCACACTCACCGCTGCTCTGTACCCATTCAGTTCACGAAGAACGGGAGACACGGCCCCCCATGGCCCATGGACGCGTCGTAGCAAAATGCGGGGGCGTTTTCCCCCGAATACGATGACGATCCCGAAACGGGGTGGCGGCTCCGCCCCCAGAGTGTCTGTGAGAGTATTCTAGACCCCCCTGTGGGCCCACCACCCCGCGCGCCGTGTGCACATGTGCTGCGCCGGCCCGCATGTGCGCGGTGCCCGCATGACGCCAGCAGAAAACGGTGGCTGGCATGGCTGGCGTCGCTGGCGGCAGCAGAACGACGCAAACCGCATCCGAGAACTCATCGAGAGAATTGTGAAACGCGTCTCGACTGGGTTGTCCTGCATGTCCTGAGCACTTTGGGTGCCTGAGTCGGGTGGGTGAGACGCGCGCCTGTGGCCTGTGGCAAGTGGGTGGTTGTCCTCTCGTTCGCTCGCCCATACCCATAACGCGGGGAACATGGTATGCTTCATCAGTAGTGACAGCGCGTATGCTGCTACACGCGCGTGCACAGAGAGAGAGCAAAGAGAGGGGCAGCTCCTTCCAGTTCCCGCCTGCCCCTTGCGGCCCTCTCTCATGGTCAATGCTTGTTGCCGTTAGCCGTTTGCGTTTGGCCCTCTCGTCTCTCTTCCTTCCTTCCTGTCCCCTTTCTCCCCTCGCACCCACCCTATGCCCCACCTGCGATGCGTCTCTCGGTGTGCATCAAAACAGCACCCTTCTCCCTTTCTCTCTCTCTTTCTCCATCTCTCCATCTCTCTCTCTCCGTCTCGTTCTCCAACTAGTATACCATACAAGGCTCTGTGAGCTACGTACACCCGACACTCCTTCAACCCACCCCCTTTCAATCGCTACACTCGATCCCCCTCCTCCCCTCGTAACGACCTAGTCAACATGCGCGCTGCCACCGTCACTGCCATTCTCGCGATCCTCGCCGCCCCCGCCACGGCCCGCTCCCAGCCCAGGAGGAACAACTGCAAGGCCCACGCCTCGGCTTACACCGCCGCCGCTAACACCGCCGCCGCCTCGGTCGTCTCTACCACGGCCCCCGCTGTCACTGCCGCGTCGGCCCTCCCCACCGATGCCGCCTCGTCGGCGGTCGAGTCGACCGCCGCTGGTACCGAGGCCGCTGTGTCGGTCGAGTCTGCTGTCTCGTCCCCTGCCGAGTCTGCCGTCTCGGCCGCTGAGGTTACCGACAGCGTTGCGTCGGGCCTCGACAACGCCACTCTCATCGCGTCCCCAACTGAGGCCACCGAGTCTGCCGTCCAGACCGACGCTGCCGTCTCTGCCGAGTCTGTTGCTGCGTCCGAGTCTGTTGCCTCGAGTGCCGAGGCCTCTGTCAGCGAGTCCGCCGCCGTGTACGACGCGTCGGCGGCTTCGACGACCGCCTCGAGCGCCGCGGCCTCGTCGACCTCGGCCTCGTCGGGCACCTACCCGCCTGCCCTCCACTCGACTGACGACTCGACCGAGCAGTACGTCCAGGAGCTGCTCACTGCGCACAACGACTTCCGTGCGCAGTACGGCGCCAGCGCCCTCGTTTGGAACGCGAGCCTTGCGGACACTGCTGCCGGCAACTCGGCTCAGTGCGTGTTTGAGCACAACAGCGACATCAACAGCCAGTACGGCCAGAACATTGCCGCCGGCTCGGTCCCCACCACGCTCACCGACCTGGTCAACGCCTGGACCGCCGAGTCGTCGCTCTACGACTGGTCGAACCCGGTCTACAGCGACTCGACCGGCCACTTCACCCAGGTCGTCTGGAAGGACACCACCTCGCTCGGCTGCTCGTGGACCACCTGCACTGCCTCGGAGATCTTTGGCTCGTCGGAGAGCTACAACGGTGTCTACCTCGTGTGCAACTACTACGCTCCCGGCAACTACGAGGGTGAATTCGCTGCCAACGTTGGCACCAAGTCCAGCTAATCGCCTCGACCAAGAGTCGCACCCGCACGCTCGTCTTGCCCGCCATTCTTCTATTGCCTGAACCCCTCCCCTCAAACTGGCCCCTTTTACGTTTACCAAGAGCAGTGCTCGTTGATACGATTATGATGCATTGCCGCGCAATGTAACCCTTTTGGCCTGGCCCGCCACTGATCCACTAACCCACTGACCGCCACTGACCGCCACTTTATGTTTCCAATTCTCTTCTGGCCCCATCCTCACACTGCCACACTGTCCTACACGACTCCCGGAAACATCTATTTACATCACCGACCAGCAGATGACCTACAGATAATGTATGCTAACAACGAAAACAGAAAAAGAACGTTGGCCGTTCCGCTGGAAAATCGGGCCTGCACATGCCATTCTCAGGCAGACTGGAACCCGAGCTGCTGGGCGAGGTACGCCGCGGCGTCGTCATTCGCCTCGTTGAACATTTCCTGCGTGTGCGCGTGCTTTTCCGACGGACGAGCAGCAAAGCCATGGACCGTGTCTGTGGACACACACGAGGTTAGCTTGGGCTCTGCGGGAACGGGGAACTGGCATGGGTGGGCGTCGAGCCGGAACTGGGCCCCCCTTGAGGGGCAAGCATAAACGCATAACCCAAACACCCAAACGTACCAGAGTAGATCTTGAGCTTGAACGGTGCGTTGGGGTTGGCCGCAAACGCCTCCTCGAGCTGCTTGACGGATGTAGGCGTGTAGTTCATGCTAGTCGCCGTCAGCTGGGTGCACGCCCCCTGGCGCTCGGGCCTCCTGGCCACTCACTCGTGCTCGGGCAGCAGCCAGAATGTGGGCTTGGTGAACAGCGGCCAGCGCTTGGGCTCCCATCCCGGGTGGAAGATGGCGCCTGCCGCGAGGGGCGACTGGTCGCCCTTTTCGAGGAGGTACGTGATCATGCTGCCCCCACGGCAGTAGCCGAGGGCGACGAGGCGCTCGTAACCTTGCGCCTGGAGGTCTGCAATGTTCTGGAGTTGCAGTTTGTCAGCGGGGCAATGTCGTGTATGAGGGGGAGGACAGTCGCGTCGGGACACAGGTTGCCACCCGTCCCACAACGACCGGAGCGGGTGCCGCTGCCGGCAAGGAAACGGTGCAACCCATAACCTCGTCATGTCCCACTCACCTTGTCGACCAGCGGACCGGTCCCGCGGTCCAAGATACGTGGGAGGTATGGGATGATCTTGAACAGGGTCAGCTTGCCGAGGATGTTGCCGATGATGCCCTGCTTGGCGTGTTCGCCCGGGTACATCTCCACAGCAGAGTTGAGTGTGTCGGCAGGGGGAGCTCCAGCTGCGAGGGAGTGGTGTATCAGCGCCGGGTTGCTCGCGCTATCGGGACACAGTCTGGACTCACGGATGTAGTCTGGGACGTAGACGTCAATGCCCAGCTTGTCGGCATAGCGGTCCGCAAGGAGCTTGGGGTTGACCTTTGAGCCGTCAGTACAGACGCACCGACCAGGGGAGACGGGTAAAGCCGGTTCTTACAATGTTGAAGCCAAAGACATCATAGTACAGGATACACGCCGCCTTGGGGTCCACGTTTGTCGCTGGACGCGCAACGTACCGGTCGACATGGACGCCGTCCGTCCCGGCCATCTGCATCTCGCCGCGAGGCTCGCCCTTGAGCGTGTTGCCCTGGAGGCAGCATGGTCCGAGAGGCATGAACGACATCGTGTGGCGCAGGCAGTGGGTGCTGATGTGAGGGTCGTGAAGTGTGGTTTAATAAACGAGGATACACAGAAGAGCTGCTTGCTCGACGGTGCGCCGCATGAGATATATACGGCGGGACGGCGCCGACGGCTTGGACGAACGGGAGGCTTGTTTTTCTTCCAACGTTGGGCGTCATAGGTGCTCGAGACGGGAAATCGGCAGCTATCTTTGGTGTCCCCACGCAACCCCACGCACGGCCTCGGCAAAGGTGGCCGAAGGGTGGCTGCGGTGTGGTGCCTTTGGCCCCGCGCGTAGCTCCGATATTAAGGTTCCTTAATGAAGAGATCTGGATAACCGTCTGGTTTCAAATGGTATGCTAATCGCAAGCCGACTTCAGTCTATGCTTCTGCCGGGGGGTGTCACGATGGGTGGGTGTATCATTCGGTTTTCCCGCATTCAACTGCTACGCCGCTGTTTAGGTGCAGAGCTACCCCATATCGTGTGCTGCTTCTGTTATACTCTCATCATTCGCCGGTTACGAAGAACCCGTGGCGCCTCGCAGACTCGTCACGTATGAAATGTAGAAAACGGCGACAAAATGTTGATCCAGTCCTTGCTCAAGACCAGTACAGATATAAGCACCTCCCACAAGGTAGTATCGCTAACGCGCAGTGAATATGATTCCATTGTTCTCGGTTAGAGGTGACAATGCCTGACTGCTGTGTGGAGACGGTCAAGGGGGACGTCAGCGAGAGTGTGGCGTTGGGCACTCGAGTACGCGATCCCGACGCTCCAGCAAGTCGAGTTATCCATCGGAGAGTACTCACAGCTGAGCCATAGACCACACGTTTAAGGTGTTGGGTCTGTACGACTCACGACCTACGGGGCTCGGGCTACAGTTCGACAAAGTCGATTTTCCATTCCACTCCATTTTGTTTGGCATGTCTCAGGTATTCTGTGGAAGAAAACACACTGCTGTGCGCAACCCAGTGCAACGGGTTGCCATGAATGCGTATCAATTTCAGCCCGTTGAGCTTGACCATCCAGCTGAGCACCAAAAGCCGAGGGTGACGGTTGACGGTCATGGTCGTGCTTATTGGGAACGCCTCGACAATTGCCGAAGTCTGGCAGGCGGGCCTGCGTCTAATACGAGGTAAGTACCGCAAGTGTCGCCATAATGCACATTACTGCAGTGACATGAATATATATGAATGAGCCTCAACTCAGTGCGTGAACGTCAACATGAATGGTCACGGCAACAAAAGTCAACTTGCCATCAAGTCCCCCTACTACGGCTGTGCCACTTAAGTATTAGAACGCAGTATCAACATTGGCACAAGAAATAAATGACCCGTTATGCGAATCTCAAATGGACGGGACCAAATATGTGGGGGCATGAATGAAACGCGTCCATTGATCACGCTGACGTCTTCGCCGCGAGCCTTGCTACAACACAAACCACCACCACCACCAAACATGTCGTCCACGCTTTCCATTCCCGCCGGCCGCTCCTTCCGCCGCACCGAAGGTGCCAAGTGGGTCGACCCCCAGCCCGAGAAGGGTATCATCGAGGTCCGCCTCGACCAGGGCATTGTCAACTTTGGTGCGTTTTGAAGCAGCACGGACAAGGTTCAGCTGGAGTGCTACCGCAAGCAGGAGCTGACCGACCCAGTCTGGCGCAACAAGGAGACCAACACTGCCGAGGATGTGCGTCTAGTTTGGTTAGGCTCGTAACTGACATCACAGGAACTTTTGATCTTCCCCGCCGAGGCCACCTTTGAGCCTGTCAAGGCTGTGAGTACAGCTACCACTCTCATCTCGAGCTGACGAACAGGACCCCACTGGCCGCTCGTACATGCTCAAGTTCAACTCGTCGAACCAGGTTCACTTTGTGGGTTTAGTGCCTTGTCGACGACCCACTGACCATCTCAGTTCTGGCTCCAGCGCGGCACTCTTGGCGACGCCGACGCTCGCTCAGCCGTGGACATCAACGGCCTCCTCCAGAACCCAGAGTACACCGTCGGCTCGGCGCCCATCCCCAAGTCGTACCTCCCCGCCGCCCAGCGCTCCGCCGCGACGGAAACTGAGACGACCGCCTCGGCCGCTGCTGGCCCCTCGTCGGCCCCCGCCCGCGAGGCCGCCGTTGCCAGCTCGTCGTCTGCCGCCGCCGCCGAGGCCGGCGACGAGTCGCGCCACCAGGACATGGCCAACCTCCTGTTCAAGTGGGCTGACCAGCACCTCCCCATCCCCGAGGAGGAGGAGGCGTCGCTCACGGACATTCTCACGCCCGACACGGTCGGCCGTCTGGTGCAGGACAACCCTGCGCTGGCGTCGGCGCTCGCGCACCACATGCCCAAGGAGCTCGGCGAGGTGGACACGCCCGCGGCCCTCCTCCGTGTCGTTGGCACGAGCCAGTTCCGCGACGCCGTGGGCTCCCTCGAGATGGCCCTGCGTACCGGCACCCTCCCCGAGAGCACGATGCCGTGGATCCACCTCCCCAAGGACCAGACCTGGAACCTCCGCAACTTTCTTACGGCGCTGCGTGACGCCAACGCCGACGAGGAGCCCAAGGCGGACGAGAAGATGGACACGGACGAGTAAAGACGAGAGTAGAAGGCATGTAGAGTGTGCATCTGGGAGACGTAGCCGATGAACAAGTAATGTGCAATGTGCGAGCGAGATGTGGCAAAGCTAGGATGACGGTATGGCCAAGCGTCCGATGGGGTGGCACTGGCGAGACAAGTGACACTGTTGCTTGTCTCCCCCTCCAAAGGCACAAGTTCCATGTCGTCCAAAGTCGAGCCACAAGCGAGAGAGACAAGTGCGCGCAGTAAGCTGAAAGCAACAGAGTATGTAATGAGGATGAGAATTTACATTCTTGTACTTCTGATCTCTGTCTTCAGCACTTCAGCCTCCACCTCCACTCCCACTGCTCATCTGCTTCACTTCTTTCATCGCGCCCTGGCTACTCTACCCGCTCTGCTACTACCAGAGAGGGGAAACGAAAAACGTGCGCCGGTGGTTTACAAGTCTTGCGCCGTGGCGCTGGAACGACTAGAGATAGGAAACACAGTCTGGATGGGGGAAGGGGTGGGGGTTGTGTCCAGTCGAAAGAGTTGACGTGGAACGGGGGGGTCGGGGAACGAGTCGAAACGGAAACTTGGGAAAAAGGAGTCGGGAGAGTCGGGGTGGGGAGGTCACATGAAGGGGCCTTTGGTCGGTGTTTGGTGCTGAACCGAGGACTTAAGCCTGGGGGGCAGCGCCGCCGGCGCCGGGGCAGTTGGCAGAGATGTGGCCGACCTGACCGCACTGGTAGCACTGAAGGAGGTTAGGAGGGGCAAGTCAAAGCGCTCAAGGTCGAGTCAAACTCACAGTACGGCCCTGCTCCTGGGGGCACTCGCGCGAGATGTGGCCGTCCTGGCCACAGTTGTAGCAGCGGCGCGAGCCACCAAAGCCACCGGGGGCACCGCCGAAGCCGCCCTGGCGACCACCACCACCGCCCGAGGGGCAGTCGCGCGAGATGTGGCCGACACCACCGCAGGTGTAGCACGACTTGTTGCCGAAGCCACCGCCGTAGCCGCCGGGGGCACCGCCGAAGCCAGCGCCGAAGCCAGCAGCGCCGCCGGCAGCGTCACCAGACTCGGGGCAGAGACGGGCCTGGAGAGAGTCAGTCAAAGGACACAAAGGACCGAGGGGGATCGGCAGGGGCTGGGAAGCAACTCACGATGTGGCCGGGCTTGCCGCAGCGGTAGCACTCGCCACCGGTGGGGCCGCCGAAGCCGCCGGCAGCGGGGCCCTGGGGGCAGGCCGACGAGAGGTGGCCCTCCTGGCCGCAGGTGTAGCAGGCCTTAGGCTTGGGCTGGGGGCACTCGCGCGAGAGGTGACCGGCCTCTTGGATGTGAGTCAGCGAGAGAACACAAGAGGAGAGGAAGACAAGCCATCACTCACGGCCACACGAGTAGCAGGTGGGGACGCCAGCGTCGGGGCAGGCCTGGGCGATGTGGCCGGCTGAACTGTTAGTCTGGGACCAGGACATTGTTGTTAAGCAGGTGGAGGGTTGGGTGTGCGTTTGTTGCGCGTGTGTGTGCGTTTAAGAGTGCGGGCTGGAGGAGATGAGGTTGGCTGTCGCAGAGAGAGGATGGCGGATGTGTTGGAAGAGAGAGAGAGAGAGAGATAGAGAGAGAAGACAAAGGAGGGAAGACACAAGAAGGAAGGTGCTCAAACGCGCTGGGGCACTCGCACGCAGCGAGCTTCTCGCAGTAAGGCAGGCGCACAGAGTGGCATTACACAGCACCCCTGTCACGTTCGTGCTGATCCCACATCCACAGACGTGCCGCGCACAGAGCACGGGGCAATGCACGAGGACACGTCGTGGGGAGGGAACACAGCACAGCAGCGCGCACAGGAGGGATGGTAGAAAAAAAGAGGAGGCGATCTATGTACGAGAGGCTAATAGCTCGCTCCACGCCTTCGCGCTCGCTCGCCGCCCACCCCCGTACACAGAGCACCTGGCATGAGGAGAGCCACGGCCACTGGAGCTATCGAGTAGGTGATGGATGACACTGATCAAGACCAGCGAAACCCAAATACTCTTCAAGCCCAGCGGCAAGACACCCTCATACCGGGATGACACACACACGCACACACGCAAACAAAACACACCACCGCTCACACCTTTACACCTCTACGCACGCTGGCCGCAGTTGAAGCAGTTTCCGGAACGGGGAGCGCCGTACATTGTTGATTTCTTGCTGTTTGGACGAGGATTGGAAGGCACAGACGAGTTGTAACGAGACAGGGAAAAGTGTGGTCAGCAATTTTGTACGTGGGTGGCAAAGCGACGCGGCAGCGCAAAATCGAGCAGGCACTCGCATAGTCGTCGGCGGCGGGGGTCCGTCGAGTACGGCGAGCTGTCCTGCTTGTGCGTGCTGTGTGGAGCTTGGATGGCTCACCTTTTGGGTGGGGGTTGGAGGGGGGTTGGTGGGAGAAGGTGGTGCTGAGGGGCAGTCAAGCGGTCGAAAACTCCATCCTTCCCTGGCGCCCCGGGCGGCAATACATGGAAAAGCCGACCGTGGCACTTCCGCCACCACCGTACGCGCACTCCCCATCCTCTATCCATGCACGCTCCCTCCCCTTCTCGATACACATCACATTGCGAATATGCTACCAATGCTATTGATTTTAAAGGAAGTAGCTGGAGTGGTGTCAGCAAGGAACTCGTATCGGGTGGCATGGGGCGCATGCGAGAACACATACCGGTCTCCAAAGTCACCGAGACCAGGGGTGATGTACGCGTGCTCGTCAAGACCAGCGTCGACCCAGGCAGTGATCTGTGGGTGGGGATACAATGCCAATGGGGTGCAGGGTAGGTACAAAAAGACAGAGAGAGAGTGTGTCAGCTCGTCATCGCAACAGTGGCACTAATGAGGACAGTGGCGGTGGAGATTCGGCAGAGGTACGCAGTCGTGACGCCACAGAAGGCTGCTGCGTCCATTGCCGCACTGGATGTTGGATGTACTCACGGTCTTCATCTTGGGGAAGCGCTGGCTGACGGCCTGGATACCGAGGGGCGACGCGATCTGGTGGGTTAGTTGGCATCGAAAGCCGGCGACCCACGAGGTTGAGGAAGAGGATCTTGTCCTCCTTGACACCGTGCTCGAGGAGGACCTCAATCGCCTTGAGGCACGAGCCACCGGTCGCTGAGAGGTTAGCTAGGCTTCTGTACTCAAAGGGCTTACCGAGCATGGGGTCGAGGAGGAGAACGAAACGGTCAGAAATGTCCTCGGGCAGCTTGGCGTACTGGTGACTGTCAGTTGTGTCCCTTGTTGCGATGGCGCCAACTTACGAAGAGCTTGGGGAGGGTGGTCTCCTCATCCTGTAAATGCGAGTGAGTAAGAGTAGGGGTGAAGAGAAGAAGAGACGAGGTTGAAGAGCAGACATACGCGCTGGATAAGGATCTGGAAAGGGGGACCCGCGCGGTTAGCTCCATTATTTCACGCATTTCACTCTATCGCACCTTGCCAATGCGAACTGGCGTCAGCGTCAATGCGTCATGTCTATAGGCTCACCAGAACGGCAGCAGTCACGGAGACCAGCCTCCATAGCCTGAGGGCAGTCAGTCTCACGGGTCCTCATTCTCGGTGTGGCAGTAGGCCAAGTCTCACCTCGCCGGCTTTGTCCGTCAGCTCAATACCTCGTTCGTTTTGAATTGATACCACTCACCGCGCATGATCGACACACCGCAGATACGGCCCTCGAACGAGACACCGTTGAAGTCGACGCCAGTAGGAGTGCGAACCTCCTTGGGCACGACGGGAAGGTTGTTGAGGCCTGGCAGTTAGCACTGTGATAATGGCCTGGGCACGAGGTGAAGTTGTAGGGCCATGTCGCCTTGAACCCATCCGTCACGTAGCCCGCTGCAGCATCGGGTCTCGAGGCCATGCGAGGAGCAGGCTGAGGTAGTACCGCAGTCTCTGGCTCAATCCTCAGTTGGAGACTCGAGACCAGCTTGCAGAAGGAACGTGCGGGTGTGGCAAGGTTTCACGAAAACAAGACACCCACCTTCCTCGACAAGGAGACGGATGATGCGGTCCGAGTAGCTATAGTCTTAGCTGTGAGCACGTCTCTTGGCTTACAAGACAAAGTCACCACTGTGTACTGTCAGTTCATTGTCTCGGAGGGCAAGTTGCGGGTAAGATAATGGTGATGCGGCAAGGCGTTGCCTGATCTCGGGCCGCCCGTTTTGGCCCCCATGACCAGCTCGACGAGCTCGTCGTCGCGAATCGCCAGAGTGCATAGCACAAACGGCAGAGCACTCACCGGTGGGTCTTCTCGTCACGGATCAGAGTGAGGAGAGCCTGGAGCTGGGCAGTGGGGGGGAGGACGATGACGTTCTCGCCGTACTGGTGGTTCTGGGAAGTGGAGGCCATTGTGTAGATTTGGTGCGGGGGTGTGTGGGGAGAAGGGACGAGGAGTTGATGGGCGCAAGACAGAGATGGAGTGAACGGGGCGCTTGATGCGTGTTCAATGCAGTGCGGGGATGGATGCTGCGGTGCGGGGGTGACGGACCGTGATGCGAGTGTAAATGTGTTGGTGCGAGAAGGAAGATGAATGTGGATGTATGGCCGGTCTGAACGGATCTGCTTCGATAACGTCCGGCCGGATTATGCCGTCGAGGTCACGCGCTCTCGCACCTGGTGGCGAAAATTACGCTGAAAGTTGATCCATCCCTGACCACGACCATGCGACCAACGCATCCTCTGAAAGTCTTGGCAGTGCAGGAAGCACATGCAGACGGCAGGATGCAGGGCGCAAACAACTATGCACTCGTCGTGGACCGCTCTATGTATTAAAATTGACATGCACATGAAGAATGAGAGGGGAGGGAGATGTGACTTCACACGGCGGCCGCGCGAGCGCGGGAAGCAGCATCTTCCAAGCGGTTGAGCACCAGCTCGGCGTCCGGCTCGGTCGTGTCTGCTCTCCACTTCTTGGCCTTGTCCTGGACAACAGCGAGGAACCCGCGGAGCTTGGCCAGGCGAGCAGGGTCCTTGATACCAGACGCGTTTTGGCTATCGCGCTCGATGAGGAAGTACAAGAAGTTGGCACTCTCCGTCAGCCACGCTGGCCACATGCTCATGAGGATATGCGCGGTAGGCTTGTCCAGGGCATCAGGGGGAAGTTCGAAGAGAATTGGGCCAAGTTGGTCAACCATTTGAGGGCACAGCAGGGGTGAGGGTTGAGGCGGTCCAGACATTTGCTGTCGAAGCAGCGAGATTGCTAGCACACGAATACCATCGAACGGGTTGAGTGGCTCGAGAAGCTGAGCATGTTAGCTGTCTGGAGCTGGAACAGAGACGTTCCGTGAAACCGACCTGCTGGAATAGGTTGAGTTGATCCTTGACACCAGGAGTAGCAGCAATCACCGAGCCGAGCAGCTTGGACATGGCCAAACGGGTGGTTGGGTCAGAGTCCACCTGCACGAGGGGCATGACGAGCTGGATGGTTAGCCTGGCAACTATACAGGGAACCAACCTCAAGGAAGAATGTAGACTGGTCGTACTCGAGCTCAATCTTGCCCTGTTGCGCCGCGTGCACGAGGTCGAAAGTCAGTGCCGTGGCGGCGTCAACGGCGCTGCCACCCATGCAGACAGTGAGGACAGGCATGGCGTCGGCAATAACCGACTTGGACGGGTACTCCTCCTTCTCCCCCTTGAGCGCCGGAATAGAAGCGGCGAGCATGATGAGCGACGCGATGGACGAGTGCGGCTTGATGCTAGACGTGTTCGTCACGCGAGCGTACAGCTCGCTGCGGTCGAGGCCCAGCTTGAGGCCCTCGGCAAGCACAATGTCGAACGCCTCCTGGCCCTCCTCCCAGCCGACCTCGTTCTCGGGGTGCATACCAGCATAGCGCGGGTACGTCGCAAGGAACCAGCGGGCGGTCAGGTCCGCACCGAGACAGGGACCAAAGATCATGACCGCCATTTGGAGAAGTTCGGTGAGCATGGCCTGCTGGGTTAGGTGAGGAGCCGTGACGAGCACAACCCACCTTCTGCTCTCCACCTTTATCCGACTTGGTCTGCGACCAGTCCCAAGCAGCGCCTACGAGGCGCGCTGTACGCGGGAGGAGTGATTGCGACATGGTCTGTGCCATCATTGTTGGCGCGGTGTTTGGAATCGACTGGAGGAGGGGAGTGAGGGTGTCCTGGATGGACAGAATGGTGGGGGTGCTGCGCTGGGTGCCCAGGCGCGAGACGGCTGTCATTAGCCTGTGGTTATGACTACACTACTCACCAGTAGCATACATTTCCAAGATGCGGGCCACCTGCGGGAAGGCAGTGACCCAGTCGATGGACGAGTCCTCATCGTCGGAATCCTCATCGTCGCTGACGGCGTAAGGGTCCGCCTGCTCCGCAAAGTGCTCCAGTTGGAGGTTGAGTGCCAGCAGCACCTCACGAGCATCGGCGTTTTCCGCAATGAGGTCGAGAACTGCGCTGGCCTGCACCGTGTGCGCGGCAACGAGAGGAAGGAAGGCCGGGATGCAAGTGAGCGCCGAGTCTTTGAGCACAGCGAGCTGGGCATTAGCTCCACTATAGTCAATGGTCAGCTTACCCTTCCAACATCGTGCGCGTCACCCCGAGGCTTGAGCACATCGATGGTGGACTCCAGGAATGCCTCGCGCACAACCGGGTCATGGGACTTGAGGAGCGTGTCCGTAAAGCTCTCGAGGACCACCGAGGGGTTGGGCAGGTCTTGTATCAGCTAGATGCCACCATGCCAGCTACTCACCCTCGTTCTCAGAGGCGTCAATGACCACCTCGCCTAGCGACTTTGTGACCTGCGAGACGTCGTCCATGGTTGTCCAAGGTGATGGGAGTGGAAGGTGGACGCTTGTTGCAACGCGTCACTGAACAACGACTTGGCGCGACCCGTGGCGACTACACGTGGCGCGTCGTCAGGCACGGACATGAACGATACCGCGCAGTCATTTACATCCCACCACGTCTGCCACTTCTGTACTGGATGCAGCGTTTGTTCGTTGCTGACTGTCCTGTATGAGCATATGCGTCATGAGGATTCTACAATATTTAGTTGTAGTGCCCCTTGGGAGCAGTCTGGTCCCAGAGACCGAGTCTGTTGCCATCGGCAATCAACTGGGATGCCTCAGTCGCCACATTTGCGAGGTGGCCGAGTGTAGTACCTTGCAAAGCAAGCATCAACCGAGCTACTGCCCTCCCCCCATATGGGTATTCCCTGACCTCTCTGTTCATCGAGAAGACCGGCCCCTCCAGCTCCAGTGTATCAGCTGCGGCGTCAAGACAACCCCGCTCAGCAATGCCACTAACCTAGTCGACTTCACTGCTCGAGTGCTCCAGCACTCATTCACCTCGACATCTAACTCATCTGCGGCTGAGCATACTCTCAAGCTGAGAAGCTTCTGACTGGAGAATCGAGATTAGCGTCGACCCAAGAGAAAGCATAGGTCCCCAGATGTTCACGTGAATGTTGTAAAATCACTGTGTGGCGCGGTGGCAGCACCCCTTTCAACGTGTGATGTCCGGTTCCGGTTCGTCCTTGGTGATCTAACCCCCCGCAGCCCTCTACATCCGCCCACTCCGTTCGGCCTGCTCTTCAGGATCCTTAACCCTGAGCCCATGTGACCTTGCGCAGCCCCCTCTCCTCTCTCTCCTCTCTCTCCTCACCGGTAACCGAAAAACGATGAACCACGAGAAAAAAGCACCCAGCGATCACCCGGAATCAATTCCTTGGCAGCTAAGTATATCATTTTATACAGACCCCCCATATACGATGATAAGGCGCACCATGCTCAAAATCTCAACAGACGATGAAAGCCGACGCGAACGGCCGTGAAACTTCAACATCGTACAATCCACCATGTCTGACGTTGCCTACCTCAAGTCCGCCCTCGGCGTCCACGCCAACTTCCCTCAGGAGGTGAGCAAGAACGATGCCAAAAGAATCCACTTTAGAACAGCTGTCTAACGCAAACTCGGCAGGGCATCACCTTCCTCGACATCTTCCCCCTCCTCCGTGACCCGCTCGCTTTCGAGACCCTCATCACCCACCTCATCTCGCACATCACCACCGTCCACGCCGGTGTCAAGCCCGACGTCATTGTCGGCCTCGACGCCCGTGGCTTCCTCTTCGGCCCCATCATCGCCATGCGCCTCGGTGCCGCCTTCGTCCCCGTCCGCAAGGCCGGCAAGCTCCCCGGCGCGTGCAACGTCGTCGAGTACAAGAAGGAGTACGGTGTCGACCGCTTCGAGATGCAGAAGGACGCCATCAAGCCCGGCCAGACCGTCATTGTTGTTGAGTGAGTTGAGCCGGAAGGCTGTGAGAGATGGCAAACGTGTGGCTGACGCTCGTTCCAGCGACCTCATCGCCACTGGTGGTTCGGCTGCCGGTGCCGGCGAGCTTATCCAGCAGGCCGGCGGCAAGACCCTCGAGTACCTCTTCGTCGTCGGTCTCCCCTTCCTCAACGGCGACAAGAAGCTCGACGCTCCCTCGTACTGGATCGTCGAGGCTGAGGACTAAACGCCTCGCCTTCTTGGTGATGAAACGCACGTTTCTTTTCCGTGCAGGATAATTTCTGTCCTTTCAGGGATATTGGTCATCCTCATACCCCCCTCACATGGACATGCGTAGCTGTTCTGGAGATCTGTACGTCTCGCGCGGATTCTGTAGATAAACTAGACATCACATGGACACACACACTATAGACTTGAACATGGTTTACACAAACAAAGGGTTGTTGGGGAATAACATAAATTGGCAGGGATTGCGAAATGAGGGGGCTAACGGTTGGAAGATTCATGGCGTCATAGGCCTCGATGTGGCGTCACTTGCATAAGGGGGGTTAGTCGGGTGGCGATCGTAGCGGTGATGCTGGGTATTGGGTATCGCGATAAACGTTAGAGATCGAGGAGGCTAACATAGGGACGAGGAGGACGGCGAGCAGTCGTTGTGCGAGGTACAGGCCAGCTGTCAGCACCGAGTTCGCCCGTCTCCTTTGTGGCCGTGGCGTTGCTTTCTTCGATAATGTGAGACGAGGTGGCGCGGTGAGAGTCTGATGACGAGGTTGAAGACTCGGCGACGGACGGTTCCAAGGACAGAGGCTCGGATACAGAGGGAGAAGCGGGTTGGGTTGGAGGTAGCTCCAGCTCTGCGAGGTCGGGAGCAGCGGGAGATCTCTCAGCCGCAACGTCGGTGGGCGTGTCGACACGCTCGGGAGCGTTGTCTTGCATAAGACGGGCCGGCAGGGGTGGAATAGGTGGCAGACGCCTCTCGCTGAACTCTGGCAGCAGCGATGGAGGAGTCATCGGCGAGAGCGGTGGGATATCAACGTCAAACTCGAGGTCACCAACAGTAAACGTGGATGGAACGACGGTGTCAGCGTCCGAAGCACGGCGGCTCATGGGGCGGCCGAGACCGATGCCGGCGCGAACGGTGGCGAGGTCGTCATGCAGACGCGACAGTTCACGGACTCGAGCACGTGTCCGCTCAATACGCTCAAGAACCATGGCAGGACGCTGGCGATCCACAGCGGGACGGGCACTCTCCACACGCGCTGCCGCATCGACCTCACGCAACACGTCGCGCTCGCGCTGAGCAAGACGTTCGAAACGGGTACGCATGTCGAGGGGCATGTCGGGAGTTGCGAGCATACGCTCAATGCCCATGAGGACGCGGCGCATGCCCGGTCTCTCCTCGGCGAGGACGTGAGGACTGAGCTCACGGGCCATCTCGTGCACGCGTCCACGGGACTGCTCGATGAACTCGAGCAACTGCCGGCGATGGGCCACCCAGTACTCTTCCTGTGGGGCCGATGGGAGCGATCCTGGGGCTGGCCCGTCCCGCCCCAGAAGCGTTTCAAGTCTTGTGGGTCTGTGGACAGGAGGTAACGTGGGGGCCACTTCTGGACGCGATTGGGTGCGAACAAGGCCACCGAGCAGCTCCAGGCGACGAGCGGGCCACGAATCCTCAGTGTCGTCCGTCGCCGAGCTAGAAGAGGCGGACGACTCGGGTGCGTTGGGAGGGAGGCTTGTCGTTGGTACGGCATGACGGCGACGGCGGTCATCGTAGATAAAGTCGCGATAGTACTCGTACTCAAACTGGTCGGGGCTGCGCTCCAGCGGGTCACCAGCCCGCTCGCGTTGGATGCGCTGGATCCAGACTCGCTCCATGTCTTGGACAGCAGATTCGTCAGCTGGGGACGACGGCTGGGGCTCCAAGAGGCTTGGGGCATTGGCACGACGCGGGGGTCGAGGACGGTAGTACCCAGGCGGACGAAGGAAAGAGGGCGACGTGAGAAGGATATGACGCATGGCGGCAACGGGGCGGCGCTGCCCATTGGCATCCAATGGTTCCGGCGGGCCGTACTGCTGGGCACGGCGGGACATTAGCGTCCAGAGCCTATGCGAGTTCTCCACATGCCGACGCATGGCATCGGCACGGACGGTGCTATACTGGTTGGGAACACGGCTGTGAATGATGGCACTGCTGCGCTCGAGATCCCAAGCATTGTACCACTCGCGTTGGGTTTCGTCGAGACGGTGCTGGAGGGCGTGTATGTCGCGGTCGAGCGCATCACGGGGAGATGGTTCAGGGGTTGGGTCTTCAACTGCTGTTGGGTTATCCGCTGGAACTCTGTTGTTGATCAACGAGAGCCCCTGCCGTTCATGGACCATCAGACCCCTGGTTGTCATGCCAGCGGCGACAGCTCGAGCCCACGAGTCGGGACGATGAGTTGGCCGTGGTGGCGGTGGAGCCGCTTCTTCATCTGGAACGTCTGGCACGTCGCGAGCTGGATTGTCGAGAGGTGAAGTGTAAAGGTCCTCGTCTGAACCAAAAGTCCTGTTTGCATGCACGTTGATCGTCTCCAACTGCGACGACGAAGGTGTGTCTGGCGGTGGTGATGAGTCGTCGGGAGGAGGAGCCTCTGCCTCATCAACCGCAGGCACTTCAGGAGGCACGGGAACTGTGCGAACCACGGGCGTTGTCTGTTCGTCGGGCTCCGCCGAGGCCGCCGGCGACCGCACTATGACGGGCTTGGGCTGTCTTGCAATCGCGTCGAGGTTGGTGGGTGCAAATCCACCCCTCATGGTCGTAGACGAAGGCGATGGTCCAGACTGATCGCCAGGTGGAATCGGTGGAGGTGTAGTCGTCGGAGGCCTGCGTTGTTCGGCAGAGTTGATGTGCTGGCGCCAAGTCGACAAGCGCGCGGAGAGTGTCTCACGGCCCGTATCGCGAGTGCGGTCAGGTCCAGGAGTAGCGTTGCTTCGGGGGATAACAGACCGTCGACGTGGTGGGACCGAGACATAAGGACGGGGGAGTAAAAGGGGACCAATGTTGTCGAAGCTTCCAACCGTTGTTGGGCGTCCGAAGCCTGGAGTAAGGGGCGAGCCCGCCGAGACTGCTCGGTCTAACTCGCTTGCCTGTCCACGAAGACGCTCGACAGCGACTGTGAGCTGGTCGACGCGCGCAGACAGAGCATCGCGCAAGTCTTCAAGTGAGCGCAGCAGTACCCGCGCGTTGGCTGAGTCTGGCGCCGATAATAAGGATGATGGTGATGGGACCGAACCCGCCGCCCCGCCTCCCACGGGCGGTGACGGTCCGGTGGGGCCGGGTGGCGGCATGGCCGTAGTGGGTGGTGTGTGTGTCGGGTAGCGAGCAGATATGCCTGGGCAGTGGCCGCTGCCTAGATACCGACGAGGCGCTGCAAAAGACGCGGGATGGCAAGAAAGCAAAGGCGATCAAACGACGAGCAACCACTAACTATCGGTCTGTGGCGAGACGGCGGCGCGGATTCTAAACACACGGGGGCACCCAAGACGCAAGATGACGGGCGGTGCGTCATAGGCGTAAAAGTGGACCCCGAGATCCATCCCTGTCATCTCATCGTTTTCTCTTTCACTCTCACAACTCACTTTCAACATGTTCTTCGACGGCGATACCGGGGACACCAGCGCACAGCTGACGTGGTCCAATGTCGGTCTCGGCTTCCTCTTCATTGTATTCGATTCGGTCCTCTCTGGCGTCCTCGGCCTGGGAATCGGCCGCAGCCTCATCGTCGCTGCCCTCCGATGCGTCCTCCAGCTTTCCATTATGAGCCTGATCCTCGGCAAAGTGTTTGCTAGTCAAAACATCTTTGCCGTGGCCGGTATCGCCCTTCTCCTCAACGTCCTCGGTGCCATCGAGGCGACCTTTAACAAGGCCAAGAGGCGCTTCACCAACATGGTGGGTGTCGCGTAGTGTTCTATTCCTGGCGGCCCGCAACCGAGCGTTTGCTCACCATTGCTCTCAACAGTTCCCTTGCATTCTTCTGTCCATGATCTGCGGCGCCATCCCCATTTCCGTCCTGGGATCCAAGTATGCCATGGCCCAGCACCCCTTCTGGCAGCCAGACCAGTACAGTAAGTCTTTTTCATGGTGGTGTGTTGTGTTTGGAGGCTTCCCCCCACACAACCCCAGCCCGCAACCCTTATACCCTGCACGTATGCTAAATTGGCAGTCCCTATCCTGGGTATGCTGCTGGGTAATGCCATCTCCGCCATTGGTGTAGGCATGAACACTGTCCAAAAGGAATTTGCAGAGAACCGCGACCGCGTCGAGACATACCTCGCAATGGGCGCCAGTCGTTTCGAGGCATGCCAGCCCATTGCGGTCGAGGCGCTCAAGCTCGCCCTCTTGCCGACTGTAAACCAGATGAGCATTATTGGTCTCATCTCCATCCCTGGTGCGTTCATTCCTGACCCGGTTGAGGCGGAGGCTGTGCAGAATGGAGCTAACTTGGGTATCAGGCATGATGACCGGTGCGATTGTTGGTGGCAAGTCGGTCGAGCAAGCCGCAAGGCTCCAGAGTACGTGTCCCAGCTAGTGGTATCGAACGGCACCCTTGGCTCACCAGCACCACAGTGATCATCATGTTCATGATCTCGGCATCGTCCGCACTGTGTACCCTCGCATCCCTCTTCTTCGCCCTCACGACCCTCATTGATAGTCGCCAGCGTATCCGTACGGACCGCCTCGACTCGCGCGCGCCAGCAATGTATCGCGCCCGCGACGCTCTTCTCCGCAAGTGTGCCAATGGACTCCGCTACCTCGTGTGCTGGGGACAGCGTGAGCGCGGAACCGAGGAGGAGAGGCAGGGCCTGCTCAATGGCAACCATTAGTTGCTCTAAGTCATGTAAACCAAACCAAACAAAACCAGAACAGACACTCCTTAAAACCATTCACCCCGTATACCTGCCGCCAGCACATGTATCGGATTTCATGAACAGACGCGCCTTGTGCTACACACACAGATCGTACAAACCCTATTCGATATGAGACGGAGATGATGCCACACTGAAGCCTTACACCTTGACCCGCTTGCCCTTGGAAGCGTCGCCAACCACATTCGAGCCCACCACAGTGTCGACGATACCGAATGCGTGTGAAGGACCAGGCGTCAGGCTACCGCTGCGCTCCTTGCGCACTCGAGATGGGTCCTCAGCAGCGACGGACTGAGGGCGAGAGGCGCCAATACCGCCTGGCCGCTGCGAGGCGGCAGCGGCGTTGATGAGCATGCGGGCGGTGGTTTGCCGAGGGCGGACGCCGCTGCCACTCATACGGGCCATTGACGCTGGGCTTGCGAGTTGGGAGAATGTAGATGCCGGGGCAGACGAGGCCAGACGAGATGCCGCCACTGGTCCTGACGTGGCCAGTCCACGGATGGGGATTGTAGACGAGGTCAGGCTCTTGCCACTGGTCAGCTTTGATGTGAGCTTGCTGCGGCGGTGGTTTGGCCGCGCGTTGCTGATGTTGTGGTGGTTGACACGTGGTGGGCGTGCAGCCTTTCCCCCGAGCGTGGTGAAGCCATGGAAGGTCGACGTGGGAGGTGTAAACGAGGATGAGACGGGCAGAGGAAGGCTGCCAGTGTCCGTTTGGTCCACAGGAGTAGCAGACTCGTGAGACGGCCGCTTGCGGCACCATGTTGTAATGAAGAGCACTCGCTTCTGCCGTCTTTCCCATAGTTAGTGACCTGCTTGCGCGAGCATTATTGCAACTCACTTGCTGTAGAAGAAGTAGTTGGCACTCCACAGGAGACCGCCGACACGTCTGCCAGAGCTATACTCGTCCACTGCACCGAGGCGGGGACTTGCCATGGCGAGGTCAAAGTCATCCATGCGAGAAGAGGAAGAGGAGAAGGAAGCCCTAGATCTCACACCGGGAGATGACGGGACACCGTCCATTTCGAGGTCGATCCCAGCTTGGCCCCAGCTTGTGTACGGGCCTTCACCGTCAATGTCAATATCCATGTCCATAGAGTCGTCCTCCATGCCCTCGTCTTCGCCGTCGTCTTCGTACTCGCTGGCCTCCTCGTTCTCCTCCGGGTCGACATGGGGGTCATACTCTGGCTCTGGGAACCAAGAGTAGACTTCACACTCTTGGAGAGGAACGACGTCGTTAAGAATGCGGTAAAGACTTGGGTTGCCAACATCAGCACTTGTCGGAGACGAGCTCAGGGGGCCGCCAAGGGCAGCCTGTGGGATCGTCGGTGACGAGCCCGAGTTGTTGGGGAGCGAGCCTGGCTGAACAGTCGAAATCCTGAAGTGGTGCGAGTAGGTCACGTCCATACGTTTCCGTAATGGGAGGGAGGCGTCGTCAGGGCCATCTTCCTACTTGGGGTCTCCACGCAGATCACTCACGGTGACAGATCGACAGCATCGATAGACAAGAGGTTGCTTGAGAGATGCGTGAGGACTTGTGGAACGGAAATCTCGCGAGTGAAATGGTCTGGCCGGAGCGCCGAGAAGTCATAGCCGTCGAAGGCCGAGTTCAGGGTCGACACCAGTAGAAAGTGCACTTTGCTATAGGGTGTGGGGTCAGCAATCGCCTTGAATGGCGAATGAGTCGATATTGTCGACGTACCGAGACTCCTTGACGTCAAGGCGACCGAAACACGACGAGAGCCCGGCCTCTTTCATTTCGGGAGAGAAGCTCATTCTGGGGAGAAGAAGGTTTCTGTCAGCGACCGCTCCCCGCCCTGACGCGGACCACACCGCCCCGTTGTTGGCGGCAACAGTTCCAGACTCACTCTTCCATCTCCTCTTGGCCGCTCACATAGGCCTCCTCCATCTCTCTGAACATCTTGCGCTCTTTGGCGACAGGCTTGATCGAGTAGGCTTCAACGCGAGCGTTGACACGGGATTCGGGGGCCGGGTTGGATGACAGCACATCAGAGAGCTGACTGAGCACGGGGTAGTCGAGGTACTTCATCTTGTTAGCTTGATTGAGTGGATCTCAAGTGACCTGAACTCGGCAAGTAGATCAAAGGCAGCGAGTGCGTGCGCGTGGTGGTGGTGGTGGTGGCGGCGAAGAAGCAGAGAAGCTATCTAGCGGTCGGGCCGTTGGGGGAGCGGTGTTCCAGTCGCCGTAAGGGGAGGGGCGTCGATCGATCGGGTTGGAGTGGGAGAAAGTGGGGGACAGAGCAGTCGACTTGGAGGTGCGTTTACAGTGTCGGAATGGTACGAGGCACTATCTGGTGACGTGCGTATATGAAGAGATGTGGATAGAGAAGAGTAAGAAGCGGTAGGAAGGCGGCGGCGGCGCTGTGTGGGGTTCGGAGGAACGTGGGCGGGGCAGGGGGGGGAGGTGATAGGGTGATAAGATGGCGTAGGTGGCGTGGGGTGGGGGGAGGTTTGATTGCTGGCGATTCGTTGTACTGTGGCTACCCTCTAGAGGGTATTGCTAACGATCATGCTGTGGTGTGTGTGGGAGAGCGATGTAGCGAGAGAGGGAGGAAGGGGGGGAGTGTTGAAATGACACTCGTTGGGATGAGACACAGAACTATGATGCGCCTTCGTCCTTTCTTGCTCCGGGATTCATCTCTCCACCGCCTGGCCGCGCCCGGCTGTGCGCGGGCCTATAACTTGCCCGATGCGGCAATTCTGCTTCCGTGCAACACCCTCGCCACCCCCTTTCCCGTGCGACGCAAGTGTCAACAATCATTCGCACGTCCACAACAGAAACCCCCTCCATCATGAGCGAACGCGACGACTCGTTCTTTGCACCACCGCGCGCCTCCTCGGCGTCCCATGACCCCCGTGCACATATGCAGGCCCAGTCACGCATGCGCGCGCGTCAAATGTTCGGCCTCCCCTCGGACCCAACGAGCCACCATCCGTCCTCCGAGTTTGACGACTATGGCAGCTTTGACCAGTCATATGCAGCAGCAGCAAGCTACGAGATTGGCGACGAGGAGCTGATGGAGGAAGGCGGGGATATTATGGACGAGGACGACGACGACCAGGACGAGCGTGACGCCGAGGACGAACTCGACGGCATGGCCGGATACGAACACGGCCACGAAGGAGAAGGCGAGGAGCAAGCAGACAACACCTACCTCGAGTCCGATGCGAGCTCGGCCGCTTTCGATCCCGATGACGACCCCGAAGCGTGGGCAGAGAGACTAGACGAGCTTGCGGGCACGTTGGAGATGAGCGAGGCGGAGGCTCGCGCACTCCGCTGGGGACCAGCAATCGGTCGAGAACGAGATGGTGAGCAGCCCCCTACCTGGACCCTCCGACTCACAGGCTGACGGTGTAGCGCCTGATTTGCATATCGACGACTTCCGAAAGTTGCTCAACCATCACCTCACGGCCACTGACTGGAAGTTCCACCCCAGTGACCGAACCGTCCCTCTCGCACCTGGTATGACGCCCAACCCCGAGAACCACCCCATCCGCGTTCTTGGACACAACTGGATCGGCCGTGAGGCTGGACGGCGACTTGATCCTCTCATCGGGTTACGCCAGACGGCGCTCGAGAACGGGTTTGGCGCGGCCATGTGAGCGTGAACGATACCAGCAACAACCATTCACAAGTCAGTACGCCGTTGGCGCCGCCCCGCGAGGACGCAAGAGGAGAGAAGATACCGTGCATTGTACCATACCCCCACCCCACGTTCCCACCACGTCTGCATGTCACTAGATCCAACGTCACCGCCATATGCACAGCCATGTACATTGTTGCTGCATTCTATGTGGAGGATGGTTGCAGTGTTCAGTGTTTATTCGTGGCATTTGGCGTGGAAGGTGGTGCCTATGACGCAGTTCGCCGATCTCCTCCATGTTGGCGAATTGTTGACGAACATATCGCGGACTCGTACACCATCATCATCTTCCTTCTTCACCACAGCGATGGGTCACGAGTGCCAGGCCGAAGGTGGGTGTGCACCTGTAACAGTTTATTCTTCCCTTGCTGTGTCGCTGACACGGTCAGCCTGCGCGATCCAGGACTGCCTCACCCGCAACAACTACAACGACGCCAAGTGCCAGGACCGTGTTCGTGCCCTGTACGCATGCTGCGACGCAATGTACAAGCGCGGCGCTGCCCAGGGCAAGTCTGAAGCCGAGACCAAGAGCGACTCGTGTCCTCTTCTCTCTGTCGTCAAGCGCAAGATGAAGCAGTTTGAACAGTAGCTGGACGCACGGCTTTGGTCTGCGCGTCGTCACTTGAGGTTGACATTGCTCGGAAACTCTTGGGACCACGCGAGAGCCCTGCTGTTCGACACTTGAGCCTACTTGGGCAAGGCTCTCTCGTCGCTTCGCTCATGCGCTTAGCTGCCAGGTGGCAGCTCCGTGGTCGCGTGTCAGCAACCCGGTGTGGCAGCTGGTTGCCCATCTGCGATTCCCCGCGGATTAACAATCGTGTCGTGTATCTACCAATGCATGTCCCTTTAGAGCTTTAGAGCGGTTCATACGTTCATACCCTGTTTGACCGTGTCATCGCTTGAGCTGCATGTTGCACCTGCCTCTCGAGCTGCCTGCAAGCTGTCCCAGGTCTCAACATGACGACCACCACAGCACGGTGCTGAATATTATTGCCTTATTTTTCAGCATTCCTCCTATCAACCACGCGACAGAAATACTTCCGCTCCTTCCCTCCACTTCTGATGTTTTTGGCTGTCCCTCACGCACGGCCACAAGGCCCTCAACAGCTGCATTTCACCCAGCCAACAACACTCAAAAACACCATGCCCGACCCTTCATCCGTGGCAGGGCCTTCGACCCCAAAGTCGAAGAAGAAGAACAACAAGAAGCGCGCCGCCGAGAGCGGTGCTTCCGCGTCCAAGCGTGACCGCAAGGCACCCAGGATCGACGATGACGATGCCGAGGTCTCCAAAGAGTCTTCCGTTGACCCCATGGCCGCGCTCGATGCCGCGCTCGAGAAGGCTCCTACAGCCGATGGCGAGGTCGAGGAGGCTACCGACGCTCACATCCCTGGTGCTGCTCCCGTGAGGGCTGACGAGTATGAGCTCGAGGCCGAGCGCGAGGTCGAGGCCAGCAAGGGTCTCGGCGGCGATGCTGTTGAGGAGGGCAAGATGAAGCTGGTTCACCAGGTTCGCCACCAGGTGAGTAGCTGTTCAACGACACTGGTGATGGGAAGAATATACACTGAACTGACACTTGCCCTAGGTCGCTGTTCCCCCCAATTATCCTTACATCCCCATCGCGCAGCACAAGCGCAACGACCCTCCCGCGAGGGAATACAAGTTCGAGCTCGACCCTTTCCAGCACGTCTCGACCTCATGTATTGAGCGTAACGAGAGTGTTCTCGTCTCTGCGCACACTTCGGCCGGTAAGACCGTTATTGCCGAGTACGCTATCGCCACCTGTCTGAAAGAGGGCAAGCGTGTCGTGTACACCTCCCCCATCAAGGTAGGTTGAAGGTTCTGTTACCAGGCGCTAACCGTCAGGCGCTCTCGAACCAGAAGTACCGCGAGTTCCTCGAGACTTTTTCGGACGTCGGTCTTATGACGGGTGATGTCACCATCAACCCTACCGCGTCGTGTCTGGTCATGACCACTGAGATTCTGCGTTCGATGCTGTACCGCGGTTCCGAGGTCATGCGCGAGGTTGCCTGGGTCATTTTCGACGAGGTCCACTACATGCGTGACAAGGAGCGTGGTGTCGTGTGGGAAGAGACCATCATCTTGCTCCCTCACAAGGTCCGCTACGTCTTCCTCTCGGCCACCATCCCCAACTCTATGGAGTTTGCCGAATGGATCTGTCAGACGCACGAACAACCGTGTCACGTCGTGTATACCGATTTCCGTCCCACACCGCTACAGCACTACCTCTTCCCCGCCGGCTCCGAAGGGATCTACCTCGTCGTCGACGAGCGCGCCAACTTCCGCGAGGACAACTTCCAAAAGGCCATGGCCGCGCTCGCTGCTGGCCAGGGCGAAGACTCTGGTTCTGCCGACGCTGGCAAGGGCCGCAAGGGCGGCAAGACCCGCAAGGGTGGCGCGATGAAGGGCGGCGTTTCCGACATTTACAAGATTGTCAAGCTCATCATGAACCGCAACCTCAACCCCGTCATCATCTTCGCCTTTTCGAAGCGCGAGTGTGAGAACCTGGCCATGCAAATGTCCAAGCTCGACTTCAACACCGAGGACGAGGCCGCCACCGTCCAGCAGGTGTTTGAGAGCGCTATCGGCGCTCTGTCCGAGGAGGACCGCAAGCTCCCCCAGATTGAGCATCTCTTGCCCCTCCTCAAGCGCGGTATCGGAATCCATCACGGTGGTCTCCTTCCCATCCTCAAGGAGGTTATTGAGATTCTCTTCCAGGAGGGTCTCATCAAGGCTCTCTTCGCCACCGAGACCTTCTCCATCGGTCTTAACATGCCTGCCAAGACTGTCGTCTTCACCTCGGTCCGCAAGTTTGACGGCAAGGACTTCCGTAACCTCTCTGGTGGCGAGTACATCCAGATGTCGGGTCGTGCCGGTCGTCGTGGTCTCGACGCGCGTGGTATCGTCATCATGATGTGCGACGAGAAGATTGAGCCCGACGCGGCCAAGGGCATGGTCAAGGGCCAGGCCGACCGCCTCGACTCGGCCTTCCACCTCGGCTACAACATGATCATCAACCTCATGCGCGTTGAGGGTATCTCCCCCGAGTACATGCTCGAGCGCTGCTTCTACCAGTTCCAGAACGCGCTCAGCGTTCCCGTTCTTGAGAAGCAGCTGAAGGCCGCCGAGGTGGAGCGCGACTCTATCACCATCGAGGGTGAGGACGACATTGCCGAGTACTACGAGCTCCGTGACCAGCTCCAGCAGCTCGAGTCTGACTTCAAGTCGGTCATCACCCACCCCACCTATGTCCTTCCGTTCCTCCAGCCCGGCCGCATGGTCGAGGTCCGTGACGGTGACCGCGACTTTGGATGGGCTGTCGTTGTTGCCTACAACAAGGTCCAGAACCAGAGGGGCAAGCCTCCCCTCGTCACCGAGAACGACCCCCCTCAGAAGGGTTACGTTGTCGATGTCCTGGTCAAGGTCGCCTCGGGATCCCAGGTGCCTCGTGACCGCTCGTCTGCCGGTATCATGCCCCCTGGTCCCGGCGACAATGGCGAGGTTGCCATCATTGGTGTCTTGCTCTCGACTGTCCAGTCCGTTGCCCACCTCCGTCTCCACCTGCCCAAGGACCTCCGCTCCCAGTCGGAGAAGAACACTGCCTTCAAGGCCGTGTCCGAGGTCAAGAAGCGCTTCCCTAAGGGCATCACCCTCCTCGACCCCGTCCAGAACATGGGTATCAAGGACGACTCGTTCAAGAAGCTCGTCAAGAAGATTTCCATCTTGGAAGCCAAGATCCAGACTCTGCCCATCACATCGTCCGAGGACCTGCCCGCCAAGTTTGACGAGTACGACCGCAAGGTCAAGGCGATTGAGAATGTCCGCTCCCTCAAGAAGCGTATTGCCTCGGTTCACGATGTCCTCCAGCTCGAGGAGCTGCACGGCCGCAAGCGTGTGCTCCGCCGTCTCGGCTTTGTGACCGCCGACGACGTCGTCGAGATGAAGGGCCGTGTGGCGTGTGAGATCTCCACCGGTGACGAGCTCCTCATTACCGAGCTCATGTTCGGTGGTGTCTTCAACCCCCTCACTCCCGACCAGTGTGCCGCCCTGCTGTCGTGCTTCGTCCTCCAGGAAAGGTCCGAGGGCAAGGCCAAGATCAGCGAGGACCTTGCCGGTCCCCTCCGCTCGCTGCAGGAGGCTGCGCGCCGTATCGCAAAGGTCTCGAACGAGAGCAAGATCGCCGTCGTCGAGGACGAGTTTGTCCAGAGCTTCCGTGTCGAACTCATCCCCCTCGTCCTCGCCTGGTGCAAGGGTGCCTCGTTTGCCGAAATCTCCAAGTTGACAGACCTGTTTGAGGGCTCCACCATTCGTACCTTCCGTCGTCTGCAGGAGCTCCTCCGCCAGATGGGCCAGGCCGCCAAGGTCATTGGCAACACCGACCTGGAGGAGAAGTTTGGCAAGGCGCTCGAACTCCTCGAGCGTCCCGGTACCGTCATGTTCAACCCCAGTCTGTACCTGTAATCCGGGATATCTCTTGGGTAGAGAGGGGAAGATCGTCTCCGGATCAGGCGCAACTCAGAGAAAGGGTGTTACTCGGCCGCACACTAGGTTTCAATGGCTCAATAGACTTGTACATTATGCAACCGCATGTTCATGTTTCGCTGAAAGGAAAGAATTCAGGCGGGGGAGTGTGGCGCCGCGGTGGTGGCGCGAGATCTTTGTGGCTGTGGAAATGGCGAATTCAACGCCTCCAACGCGTCTATGGGGGGGCACGAACGACAGTCATGTTCGGTAAAGGCGAGCATATCAATGGCAGTGGATACCATCTTGTCTTGTGCATGTTACAAAGCGAGAGTGTCTTATCGGTGGCTCAAGACTTGGCACAGGCGCAGGGAGCATGTGAGGTGGCGATCACCACCCGGTGTTGTAAACAAGTCGTCAGAGCTCTGCTCCCACGGCGCGCCCTCGTCTGTACAAGCCACACAGAACCTCGCTACGCACGTAAATGGGCAAACGAGGAAGCGGGCTTGGGGGGCGCGCGAAGCTGCGATGCACATGCAAATGGGCGCACAGACCACCGCGTATGCTCATCTTGCAAACGCGCCTGCCAAAACTCACACCCGTCCATTCTCACTTTTACCCCTAGTATCCCTTGTACCCTTGTCTTGTGTCTTCTCTCTGTCAACTCCTTCCTTCTTATCCATACTCCGTCCCTCTCCTTTTAATGCTTATACCCTCCCAGTGGCTCATCGAGTCGCATTAATCATGCCGTCCCGGAAACGCGGGTCGCACAAGGCGCGGCTCACTCTCGAGAAGCGACACTGGTACACCTGCGATGGTCGGACGTTGAGTTGGGAAGGTACGCGCACAACTTTGTAACTCCCCCTCGGATCGATCTCAACTGACACACTCCCCCACCACAGACTCATGGTACACCCAGCCGTTCTACACTGCCAGCGAAAGCCATTACGACTCTGCAGCGTCCACCGGACCCGTCAACCCGCCGCAGAGTGTGCTCGCCACCATCGCCGCTTGCAAAGCCCAAACCATGACAGGAGCTGGTGTAACCAACAGGCCCAGCTTGACCGATTCTGGCACCGTCTCCTCGTCAACCAACGCACTGGCCACCGTTGTCTCGACAGCGCCGCCGGGGCCATCATCCGCAACAGGCACCTCCAGCTCCGTCGTCCAAACGTCTGCAGCGACGGTACCGACAACCACACTCCAGCTGTCCTCGGGCGCGACCACTCTTGCTTCCTCGGGCGTGTCTTCCTCGACTGCCTTCCCCACAGTCTCTTTTGTCACAGGCGCTACACAACAGTCCTCCACCACCTCCCTCGCCGCCGTCAACTTCCATGCGGGCACGTGGGATTCGCAGGCACAGGGCGCGGCGTTCGCCGGCGCAGTGACTCTCCTGGCGGGCGGCCTTGTTTGGGGTCTGTGGGCGGTCTTGCGGCCGCGCATTCCTGTTCTCTATGCACCGCGCAAGTGGTTTCTACTGCCAGGGTAGGTGTCGTGACAGTGGTGGTGACCTAACCTGCCCAGCTCCCGTCCATCAGCACCGACGCTTCGGGCATTCTTCACTCCCTTCCTGCACCTTCCGTCACTCTCTTCCACGACAAGTGATGCCCATGTCACGCCTCGTGTCACTTTGGCCGTTCTGGCCATGTCGACCGTAGCTACAGTGTTGAGTCTGGGAGTCTTCCTTCCACTCATGGTTGCCGGCGTCCCGCACTTGGCCGCCACTTCGCCTGCCAACTCGCGTGGCGGCCATTTTGGCTCACTTACCGACTTGTCACTCCTCCGTCTCTTGAATGCCTTGGATCCCAGCCCAGATTCGCCTGCCACACGGGCCCTCCTTCTGCACCATATCCGAGATCTCCCTTCTACTATTACCCCAGCAATAGGCACGGCCCGCGCTCGCCTCATTACCATCTTGGTTCTCACCGCAACAGTATGGGTTGGGGGATCGCTGTTTGTCATCTCGCGCGTCTACCGCGACCTCGTCAGATACGGCGACCGCTTTGACGAAACGTGCGATGGACAAGACATGGTCTTTGTTCCCTCTGAAGGCTCGTCGTGGCGGGGGATGACTGAGACTGGCATCCGCCGACGCCTCGTAAAGGTCCTCTGTCCTGAGGACGAGTGCAGTGTGGCGGGCGTCTTTGCCGTAAAGTAAGTTTCAAGCCCAAGGTCATGTTGCTGACTGTGTAGCCACTTGCTCGCCGTCAATGAGCTCGTCCGAGAGCGTGAACATGTGCTCGACGTTCTCGAGACTGCCGAGGCCAAGTACATCATGTCCTTCCCACTACTGCCACCACCCGTTCCAAGGAACATGGGCGACACGACCGTCTCAACTCCTGGCACCGCAATCGGCACCTTGTCCACCGCCATGTCCTCCACGTCCGAACCCAACATCGCCGACTTTACTCCAGCGGGTCCCAAGGGGTCCGCATTTCTGGAAGTCGCCCAGCGCAAGTCGGTTATTGACAACAATGGTCGTCTCCACATTGGTCAAAAGGTGTTCCAGGATGCTGACGGCACCTTTCTCCCCGCTCCTGGCGGCAGTAGCCCAGCTGGATCCCGCAGAGTGTCCATTGTGCCCAGTCTTCCGAGTCCTACCCACTCGGACCGCACGAGCGCCCACACATCAGCGTCCGTGTCACGTCCTACCTCGCTGCTACTCCCCCGCGAACTCGCCAAGCTCAAAGCAGACGTCACATGGACCCGCTCCCGCCTCCAAAAGCTGAATGCCCGAACGGAAGCTGCGCAAAGGAAGAAACTCCAGAGTTCGACTCAGGGTGACGAGACGGCCGTCGGCTGGATCATTGTCGGCCGCGGTGTTCGGACGCTGCCCAACGCACTCGAGATCCTGGGTCGTTCTAAGGAAGACATCATCTGGGACAACCTCGGTGCGACAGGTAGTCTTCGGACATTCTGGTACAAGGTCGCTGGCATCACTGCCGTTCTCCTTGCAATTTGTGAGTTTGACAGAGGCCTGATGACAACTGACAATCCAGCCCTTCCTTTTATTGGACTTGCGGTCGCCAGTGCCCCAGGATTTTCACACTACCTTGTGTTCCTCAAGCCGCTCAGCAACACCAATGGGATTGGAGCCGGTATCGTCGAGGGATTCGTTCCTGCTGTAGTGCTTACCATTGCGTTCATTGCGGGTGCCGTTTTGGTGAAACGTAAGTGGCATTGATATGAGCTTGCACTCACTCCAGGCTTTGTAACCCAGCTACGACCCGTGTCCCACTCTGAGTGCAGTGCATTGGCGTTCAAAGCAAGTCTCTATGTTCTGGTGAGTTTATCCACCGCGGGTATAATTGACGAGTAGCTCGCGGTTGGCACTTTGTGGTTCGTCACCCTCGGGGCTTTGGAATTTGGCGTCCAAGGTTGTGCCACCAATGTACAGCAAGCTCGAGCAGTAGGTGATGGCGCTGTCTTCATTTGTAAGTCGGCTTCGCCTTTCCACTCTAACCGCTACAGCCTGGTTATCCCTTATAATTGTAGTAAACCTCGCACTGGTTGTTCCCGGTCTGATGGTCCTCCGACCTATCAGCTTCGTCAAGTGGCTGTTGAATAAACGCAAGGCTATCACTCCACGACAGCGATTCTTACGTGAGTTGGCCGACTTCTTACGGTGCTAACTCTCAGTCGCCCGTCCTCCAGACTTTGACCTCACCGTGACGGTTGCTCCTCTGCTAGCCGCCTTTTTCCAACTTTCAGCCCTCGGCGGCGTTTTCCCTCTACTGGTGCTCCCGACCCTGATCTTTGCCTACCTCACTCTGGTTGCTAGCTGCTGGCTCGCCACACGCGTGTTCTGTCTGTCTCATGGAGGCCCGTCGGACGGCAGCATGGCTCGGTGGGCGGTTCGTCGCCTTGGCTGGGCTGTTGGCCTACAACCCGCCATCTTCGGCCTGGTCCTCCTCTCACGCAATGAATGGACCATCGGTGGCGTTGGTGTCGGCGTCGGCGCTTTGGCACTTGTCATGTCCGAACTCGTCACCGTCGTCCTTCATCGACCTCAGAAGCAGCCCAGGTTCCCTCTTGCCGACTTTTCACGGACCCCACTTGAGGACGAGACCAAGCATCGCCGATTCGGATCGGACCACTCAATGCTCGCTGCCCTTCACGATCTACTCCCTGGTCTGAGCCGTCTGCCGAACGATAACCCCCTCCCACTATCCACCGACGCCATCGATGACCTCCAGTCCACCAGGCGGGCAATGTATGCGTCGCCGCAAGCAGCCAGGACGAACAAGAACATGCCGTGCGGTCCAAGCATCCAGGTGATTGGTCCTGCCGACGAGTCAAGGGGTCTTATCTACGCACCCGACCTGCTGGCGCCCATACCGGATGTGTGGCTCCCGCGAGATCCCGCCGGTGTCGCTCAGCACGAAGCCGACAACCTCGCTGGCGAGGGCTTGGTGGCAGTGATTGACCCAATCGAGTTTTCAGATTACGAGTAAGAGAAGGGGGACAGCGGGGGTTTTAAGGTTATATTGTAGCATGGTGAATAGTGCATATTGGATAGAAGTCGAAAGGTAGCTTTAGGAGTAATGTCATGTGTTACCAGAGTCCATCAAGGAGGTGGCGGTGGTGGGTTGACAGCCGATTATTTGCTGTTTTTTCGTAAATATTCGGCCCCGATTAGGTTCCCGCCTGGCGAGCAGGTGCCAATCACGGTCGAGTGGAAGACGGAGAGGAGCTGTTGTTGGACATGCCATGTACCCGACTACAGGTCACAAGTTTACGCTCGAGAATCCAAGGCGTTATAGAGTTTGTTGCGAAGGCGTAGGGTGATCGGTCGTGGGGCACCTGTTCCCCGAATACCAAGTATGGCCGTCCGAAACCGTTAATGCCGGGAAATTTTGGACGCGTTATGCGTTTCTCAGGCGCCTGAAATACCGACTATGGCGTCTCTTTTCGTTGAGACTGTCCAGCTGCAGGCGGTTAGTGGGTTTCTCGCTGGCGCTAATGCGTTTCCCGTCGGCGCCATCTATGATCCATGATCCATGAGACCCAAGACGCCGGTGCCGTCAATCCTCTGATGAACCAACGTTGTACTGCTGACTGCTGCATACGCATGATCGGGTTTGCCTGGCCGAGCCAGTCCATCTTGGGAGATTTGATTGAACTGGCCTTGGCGCATGTACCAAAACCAGTGCCAACTCACCAAGCGAACGTGTACACCCCTTGTGGGCTTGTGGTGGCCCTTGGAGACGAAAGTGTTGAAGTGCATCCGTCTTGCTAACCGCGCAGCCCGTGCCAGCACAGTCGGTCAGATGTCCCTTTGGCACACCATCGGACGTCCGGACCCGATGCAGCTTGATCAAGTGCAGTGGTCGTCTAGGGCAATCTGAGGTAGCGCAGAATGCCGATGTCGCCTCTCGCTCATATCGGAACCACGTTTCTGGGGCTGGAGCAGCGTCGAGCAGCGCAGCTTGGACTGGGGAGGCCAGGCCTGCCCGGCCGACATTGTGATGGTTTGGTCGAGGTTGGCGCGAAGCCCCTACCCCCATTGCCACACGCCAGCGACACTACCGCTCGGGTACGCGCTAGGATGAGGTTAACTGTGCTGTGACGCGCCTGATATACACGCAGTGAGAGCTGTGCCAGCTGTGACCAGGCGATGGGGACGAGGGTGCATGTCTGTGCTGCACACCTGTGGCTTGCCGCCGACGCACACGGCCCTGGTGGATCTGCGACCAGTGCACGCCGAGGGATATTTGCTCCGTCACAGGCTGTACGACTGCTGCCCCGACGGCTCCTCTCTCGCTTCTGGGCCACCATGTCTGTATGCATGCACATGCTCTAATCCGATGTGATTGGGGTTACGCCGAGGCCGTGAGAACCAACCTGTTGTGACGTTGGGGGGGACATTTGTTTGTGAACCAAGCCCCTTTACTGGGGGCCCGGAACCGGATGGTGTCATAATGATGCCGCCGATTCCGGCCGGCCTCGCTCACAATCACGAGCCCCGTACTGTGTCACCACCTGTCGGCCGTCGTGTTCCCTCTGTCTCTCTCCCCACATCACACCCAACACACCCCCACACCCAGCGCGTCTTCCATGCGCGTGCAACTACACACATCATGAACATTCACCTCGCTTCAGATGGTGGTGTCGTTCAAGTCCCACATGCCCTCAGCGACTACGACTCGTAAGCGAAGCTCCCACCTTGATCGAGTTGCGTGTCGCCACCGCTGACTAGACCCACAGGCTCGAGGGTGTATACGCGGACATCTCGGCCGCGACTGGCATTGTCAGCGGCAACGTCCTCCTCTTCACTGAGGATGGTCGTGAACTCAAGCAGGAAGTGCTCGAAGAGCTGTGGGAGCGAGGAGGCGGACAGGGGGCAGGGCAGTCGAGTGTGAGTCAGATCCTGGCCCGTGCAACCCCCGCATCACGGCGCGACACTGACGACCACCTCCAGCCCGTCCGCCAAGTAGTCTACTTGTTCAATCGCGAGACGTTCTTTAGCGAACCTGAACACTGGGCGTCCCAGCTTCGCGAAGAAGTGGTGCTTCCGCCATCACTTGATTGTGAGTCATTGAGTCTGGCCTTGAGTCGAGAGTTGGCTTGGCGGTGCCGCACGGGATCAAGCAGTTGACACCGGCAGTGTCCACCCACCTGGATGTGAATCGCGCGCAGGAGCCATTTGAGGCTGCGTACGACCATTTGCTACACCTCCAGTCCCTCTTCAAGGTGCAAGCACACGCTCTGCAAATTGCCTACGCCAACCTCTCGTTCCATCTCCAGCCCATTCTCGATGCATTCCGAGATTTCACCGGCCGTGCCGACGAGCAGCTCGAGCAACACGAGAAGCTGCTTCGCGGTTACGAGGTGGACATGGCCATGCTGCCAAAGGTCGTCGTGCACGAAAGCCTGTTCCGTCGCCGGGACAAGGACGGCGATGAGGGAAAGCGCAAGACACTCGTTGACTGGATTCACACGAAGAAGATGGAACAGGTCCACGACTGGTGCCAGACCGCACATGGTACGTTGTATGCGCTCAAAGCTCATGCTGACGCTGCTCAGTCGACTATGTGAACCGTTACAACACCGTCGCTGCCGAAATGGAGGAGCTCGCATTGCAGTCGGAAGCAGACCGGAACCAGGCCGAGCACCGGATCATTGGTGTCGAGGGCGAGTTCGCGGATGCTCTCGGGCGCATAGAGCTGGCCAGCCAGCAGGTTGAGGCCCTTACGCAGACAGACCAAGGTGAGTTACCACGTCGCCTACAATGCTAACTTACCAGAAACGTTCGAGGAGAACTTGGCCGCCCTAGATCAGGCGATGAGGGAAGACCTGGGCACCATCACCCAGTTCAAGGTGAGCTCTTCGCCCTGCACCGATCAAGCTGACTCTCAGAACGACTTTACATTAGAACTACATGTCCACCTGCGCCGCATTGCAGAGTTCCAGGTCCGCATCACCAAGTTCACCAAGCCAATGACCGAGCTGGACCTCGATTTGCGCCAGAAGAACGCCTTCCCCCACCTCGAGCGCCTGCACAATCTCCCATTCGCCTACGCAGCCAACGTTATCGAGATTGTTCAACGCAAAGAGTTCTCCACATCTCTTGTCGAGTGGGCTGCGCGGATATCCAAGGCTGTCAACACGTTTCTTGCCACCGAGGTGAAGCGGCGACAGCGGCACAAGTCAGACAACCAGCTGCCATGGGAGATTACAGTGCTCGAGGAGAGCCAGACTCCCCGCGTCGACATCAAGGTCGGAGGAGGAGACGACGCGCTGCGGGCAGTGGGATTGGGCCGTAATGACATTGATGGTGAGCTGAGGGCGCGGTTCGGAAGCTGACAGCAGACCTGTTGAAGTGGGTCGACCAGCTCGAGGAGGATCCCGACTTCATGGCCATTGACCCCAATGACAACCCTGTGCCTGCTCTCGGCAAGCAAATCACCCATCTCCTCAACACCCTAGACTCCTTGACGGGAGAGCTCGACAAGGCCTTGGAGAATGCAGTGACAACTGCTTCCTCTGATGCCAACGAGGTCGAACGGCTTCGCAACGGCAACGCCGAATATGAGAGGCGCCTTGCCGAGATGGAGGAGGCACACCAGGCCCAGCTCCGTGAACTGGAGGAGCGCTACGAACAGCGTGTCGACATTCTCCAAACCCGGCAGGGCGAGCTGCAAGAGGAACTCGTCCGCCTTCGCACCGACCTGAGCGAGGAGATGAACGTGCGACAACAGGTCTCGAATGACCTTGAAGAGAAGATGCGCGAGTGCGACGACCGGGCACGGGAGCAGGACGAGCAAAGCGACTTTATCATTGCCCTGCAGGCCGACATGGGCCAGGAAAAGGACCGTGCCACTGACCTCGGTGTGAGGCTGCAAGAGGCACTGCTGGACGTCGACGGCCTGCGCAGCGCCGAGCAGGCCCTCGTCGTTCAGATCCGCGAGTCGCAAGAGGAGCGTACACGGATCCTTACCGATCTCGGCGAGGCACAGCTCATGAGCCAAAACTACGAGTCTGAGCTTGCCGGCACCAAGGCGGAGCTTGACGCCACCGCTGTGCAGCTTGTCCAGGCCCAGCTTGATCGAGACCAAGCGCTGAGGAACCAGTCGGCCGAGGCGGAGCGGCTCATGCGTGACCGCATCGCCGAAGCAGATGGTGACCGCGCGGTCCTCGAACACCAGAACCTGACCCTTACCAAGGAGCTTGAGGACTCGCGCAGCGGAGTGTCGAAAAAGGTCGACGAGTTGAAAAACTCTTACATCCGCCGCGAGGATGGGCTCAAGGCTGAGCTGTCGTTTACCAAGGCACAGCTGCGCGAGGTGCAGCGACGCGAGACTGTTCTCTCGGACGAGCTGGCCATGGCAAAGGACTCGGCTGCAGCTCTGCAAAACAAGGAGTCGCACAACACCGAACTCACCAAGGACGCCGTTGTTCTGGCGGGCAAGTATCACGACGCCTGTCAGCGTGTCATGTCTGCCATTGCCGCCTCGACGACCATCTCGGGTTCGATCTCTTTGCCTGCGCGTGCCAAGACACCACCCGTCGCCACAATGTCGACTGCCAGCGCCGACCTAAAGGACAGCACCGTCCTTGTTCGCAGCCTCGAGACGGCGTCCAGCTTTGACCTCGAGGCGTTTGCCGACGCCGTGCAGCGTACCATCAACCTCGCGCGCAAGCTGTCCAAGAGCTGCAAGCAGTACCGCGAGCTGTCGAGGAACAAGATTACCATATCGAGCTTTGGCAAGGGCGACCTGGTTCTGTTCCTCCCCACCCGCAACGCTGCTGTCAAGGCGTGGGCGGCGTTCAACATTTCGGCACCGCACCACTTCCTGTCTGTCACCGACATGATCCAGCAGCAGCTGGTAGGCAAGGACTACTACCTCGCGCGCATCACGAGCACGGACGAAGCGGTCGTCAACGGAGATTCGCCCTCCACCAACCCGTACGGGCTCGCCGAGGGTCTGCGATACTACTCTCACCACGTCGAAGAGTGGATGCCCACAGCCCCTCGTCAGCCTCGGCGCTCGCAGTCTGCGAACGCTAGCGCTACACAGAACAACAATGCTGAGAGCAACACCATTTCGCCTATTTCTATGCGAGCGCGAGCCCAAAGCAGCTTCCTCCCCCAGTACCCCAAGCCCGACGATGACAGCTCGGCACCCCCTCCGTCCCCACCTGCCCGCCTGTCCCCTCCCCATGCCCCGACCCCTACGCGCACGTCTCCAGTCCCCCGCATGACCAGTGCCTCCCCTATCCCCGAAGCCAGTGACTCGTCTGAAGCGCGGAATGGCTCGCTCGCGCCGAACCCAGTGTCTACTCGCTCCCCTCCCCCACAGCCTCTGCGTGCCATCCACGCCCAGTCGCCACCCCCACCCCCGTCGTCGCCCACTAGTCCCATGAATGTCCGCGTCAACCCACCTACAGCAGCGACGCGCTCGCACCGCTCAAGTCTCGCATCCACTTCGTCGCCGCCTCCCCGTGACGGCGTACCGTTCACCCCCAACTCGTTTGGCCGTCCCAGTTCCGTCGCGTCGTCCACCTCGTCGCACCCTCGCGGCCTCCCCATCCCGACTGGCACGGGCGGAACAAAGGGCGCCCCAGCCGCACCCGTCGCAACGTCCGTCGAGGGATCGCCCTCGCACCCGTCGTCGTCCTTTGGCGAGAGCGGCCAGCGTATCACCCGTCAGGGATCAGTGGGAAGCCTCAAGGCCAAGGCAGCCAAGACCGAAGGAGGGGACCTGTTCAAGCCGTCGCCCCTGCGCGAGACGGAGAATGCGAGCGGGAGCGCCAGTGGCTTTCTCTCCGGTCTCAGTCTGACGCGTAAACGCAACTCAGTCTCGTCCACCGTCGCGTCCCCGACCGCCCTCGACATGTTGAAGCGTATCGATGGAGGAAGCGGGAGCGGCTAGATTTATCTCCATGTCTGTCATACATCCATGCTAGCTTGATGCATCTCTCATCTCTGCTTTTAAAACGTGCATATAGGTACAATGTAGGGGGTGGGGTGTGGGGGTGAGAGATGTGGGCCTCTCAGTCGTTGTCCTCGTCGTCGTCGCTGTCCGGAACGTAGAAGGTGCCGCCCTCAAAGTCGGGATCGTAGTAGTCGTCCGGGTCACCCTCTGACTCGTTAGGCTCCTCGGCTGGGGTGGCAGAAACGGAAGTGTCGTTCGGGTCGTCTTCCTTGGTGATGCCGGCCGCCGCGGCGATCTGCTTGAGTACGGCGAACTGGAACATGGTACGGAGGCTGTCGAGGGACGATTCGACGACAACTGGAGGGTTAGTTGGGCACGGGTAAAAGGTCAGGCAACGTACGTCTCGAGAACACGGTCATGAGGAACTGAAATGTCTGTCAGCTTGGCTGTCCGCAAATCGCCACGCAGAAAACGTACAGTGGCCTTGTTGCCCGCATTGTCCTTGTCGTCAATGCGGATAGGCTCGCCAAAGAGAATCTCAAGCACGTTCTTGACGGTACGCGTCGTGACGCCGTCCTTGCTCTGGTCGTCCTCCTGCCCAACCTCGACAGCAGCCCAGAGCTGCGCCGTGTTGACGACAAAGCGCTTGCCCTTGGCCAACGAGTTGGCGTGAGCCGCATAGTCCCACTCGGGAGGGTGGAGGTCGAGCCCCCATTCGGCAACGTCGAGACTGAGAGCCGCGAGGGCGTCCATGTCGGAGTCTGGAGAGTGAAGGATGACATCTGGCGTCAGCTGGGGCAATCCGTCGGATCAACTCACAAGTAGCTCCGCCTCCGGCCTTCCTCCACAACTCGAAGAGCTTGCGCTTGAGCTTGGCAGCCAGATCCCTACGAGGGAAAGGAAGAGTTTGCCCAAAAGCGTATGGGGACGTGTCGGTTAACGACTCAGCAGTGTATTCTTCCTGGGCACTGGGCAGGTTAGCAACTAAAACAGCAACCGAAACCTACATCCAGTGACCAGTCTCGGCGGCGTTTTCGTACTCGCCCGACTCGGGGTTCTCGGCATACCACAGAGCACTGTAGCCAACATCGACAACCTCGTTGTCGGTACTCGTGCGCACGTCCAGGGCGATGAAGAGGGTACGGCCGATGGAGAAATCGAGTTTGTGGCCACCCTCCGATTCGGGTGTGGCAGCGCCAGATTCGAGAGTCTCCGTCTCGACGCCGTCCAGCTCGTTTTCCTTGTTGAGCATGGTACTCCAGGCGGCCATGACGCCACCAGTGCCGGCCAATATGACAGCCTGCTGAACAAGATTGTAGTATGCGTCAGGGCTCGGGGTCTGGACGTCAGCCTCAAGAGACTCGGCAGCGCATGCCTGTAAAGTCTCTTCGACTGTGGCGGCGGCAGGCGGAGGGGAAACAACAATCTCGACCGGGGGATCCTCGACCTCGGGCTGCTTTTTCGAGTCAATGAGACGATCGGCGGCAGGGGTCGCAGTTCCAAGGGTGTCCGTCTCCGTCTCCGTCTCAGTCGCCGACGCAGACTGAGCCGCCAGCCCACCGCGTTTCTTCAGAGCCTTGTTGCGTCTCGTGACAGCGACGTGGAGCTTCTTGAGGCCACTAGTCGCGACAGTGGTCTTCTGTGTATGGCATTAGACCTCTGTGGGAATCTTGCAAACGTCATGCACTCACGACGTCAACGAAGAGGCTCGCAGGGAGGAACGTGTTTGGGAGGGGGACAGGCTTGATCTCGGGGTTGAGGGGCGGCTCGTCGGGCTTTTGGTCGCCCTTGGCCGTGGCGAGAGCATGCTTGTAGTCGAGGTATGCCGGGTCGGCCATGCGGTTCTTGTGGATAAAGTGAACAATGTACTGCACCTGCTTGAGACTGAAGCAGAGGTACTCTATGCCATCACTCAGAGTGCAGGTGTAGAGCTCGACGCCTTCCTTGCCAGCCTCGACGAGCGGGTGGTCAGGCGACCCCAGAGCGCGGGTATGCGTGAGCGCTGTGAGGGCATTGCGCTTGCTTGTCAGTTTTTCTACGGCAAGGGAAACTCACATGGTACGGGTCGAGGTCCTTTGCCCAGTGCCAGACGACATCGGTCCAGCGGAAGTAGCCATCAGTGACGGTCTGTGTCGCTGGAGGGACGGCGGTGGTTGTTGCAGTCTCCGTCATGGTGACTGAGGGTGACTATCTCTGATGTGAGCAGAGACAGAATGAGAAGCGGTAGAGGTGGTCCCTATGTTGGTCGTCGTTGCCGTCGCCGTCGAGAGACAAGGAGCAACCACACAGATCACTGTCAGAGAAGGGTGAGGGGGTGGCCCGGTGTGGGGTCCTGGCTCTGTGCGCGGAGCGCGAGAGTGGAGGGCGCAGGGACAAGTTGACTGGACTATGTAGTTGCCCCCGCACATGACTCTCACGTGACTCTCACATGAGTCTCACGCGGAATACTTTTTCTTACGTAAACACTTTGCCTGTGCCCAAATCTGAGACGATGATCTCAAAGGGCGGGCCTCCGACGGTGTGTGATCCGTGCGTTCGTGCGCGTGCGGCCTCGGACGAGAGCGTGCGGGCGCCCCAGGAGCCATGGGTGTGCAATTCTTGGCGACATGTGAGACCCATACAGTGGGGGGACAGACACATCGACGCGCAGCTCGCAGTCTTGTCAACACACACTCTCTCTCTCTCACACATACCCATATCTCACACACAATGCTCCCTCTCACCCGGGCGTCCACCTCGACCCCTGCCGCTGCATTGCCCCACTTGTGGCGCTCATACTCGTCTGCTCTCCGTCACATCCCAGTCATCCGGAGCTTGGCCCAGCTCCGTCGGTGGCGCCAGGATGTCCGTCAGCGTGGTCTTGAAGTCGGCCTCGTCCCCACCGTGAGCAAAGCAGTGTGACACTCTGTCTGACAGTCCTCTAGATGGGTGCGCTTCACGATGGCCACTTGAGCTTGGTTCGCACTTCATTGCAGCGCCACTCCTTTACTGTCATGTCGTTGTTTGTCAACCCCATGCAGTTTGCGCCCACCGAGGACCTGGACGCATACCCCCGTACATTGGACTCGGACCTTGAGGCTCTCCGTGGCCTCCTCCCCCACGGCCCCCAGACGCCCATCAACGGCCTGGGTATTAGCGAGTACGACCGTCGCCCAGCCCCGCGCTCGACATTGGAGGAGCATGAGAACTCATTGGTGGTCTTCTGCCCACCAGTGGACGTCATGTACCCCCTGCGCGGCGAGCTGCAGGACCTCTCGCAACACAAGGGAGTCAACATTTCCGTCAAGGGCTGGGGCGATGTCATGGAGGGAGCTTCGCGTCGTGAGTAAACTTCATTGTTGTTGTTGTGATCCTGAAAGTTGCCCTTTGTTGACAATTGCCCCTGCAGCCCAGTTCTTCACCGGCGTGGCCACCGTTTGCACCAAGCTCTTCAATGCCGTCGAGCCCGACCACGCCTACTTTGGCCAGAAGGACATTCAGCAGGCTTTGATTCTTAAGATTCGTAAGTTGAACCCAGCTGCTCTTGCTTTTGCACTGGGAAGAATTATTTCCATTTGCCGGCAAGGACCCTTGCTGACCCACGCGGTCCAAACGGATCTCCTTTCGGCCCACCCATTGCCCGACAACCTTCACATCCTCCCCACCACCCGTGACGCTGAGACTGGTCTGGCCCTCTCGAGCCGTAACGCCTACCTCTCTGCTTCTGAGCGCAAGGTCGCCCCCGTGCTTCACCGTGCTCTCCAGGCCGCCCGCACGGCGTGGCAGAGCGGAGCCACTGGCGCGTCCATGATTGAGGCCGCCGAGACAGTCGTCAAGACTGAGCAGGAGCGCATCAAGGCCGCCACCGGCGAGGACGTTTCGCTCAAGCTCGACTACTTTGAGGTCTTTGACAAGCACTCATTCGCGCCTGTCCGGACTGGCCCCGCTGCCGAGGACCAGCTGGTCGTCGCCGGTGCCCTTTGGGTTGGCAAGACTCGTCTTATTGACAACCTCCTCATCAACTGGGAGACTACTCCTCTGGCTTAATCCCGCTCATGCGCACCGCCACACAACACACATACACACATACACACCCATCATAGAGATCGCACATCACAAAACCTTGCCTACAGCGAAGGACCCCACATGCATCATACATAGAGATTGTTCCCATATAATCTAACGTAAATCTAAGGTGTTGACTATAAAAACCCCGGATTTTATCTTCTTCTACCTTTTTTACTCCTCTAACCGCGCGCCAGCCAAGCCTGCAACGAGTCACCGAAGCGCTTAAGCGCGCCGTCGATTGTTGGGAGGTCACCGGCAAACTGTGTTATTAGCGAACAGCCACAAGGCACAAAAAATGTCACCACCGCGACTCACCGTGGCACGGAAAAAGTTGGCACGGTCCGAGGAGTCCACACCTGGGACAGGAACCTGGAACAACCTCGCGGGCATGAGGAGCACGTTGCCCTCCTTGATGAGGTACTCGAACAGCTCGTCCATGAGCGCACCCGTGTTGGTGACGCCTGCAGGGTCGTAGCGGGGGTGCTTGTCGACGTTGACCTTGAGCCACTGGAACATGCCGCCCATGGCAGGGGTGGTCGTGACCAGCTCGGCGGGGACGTACTCTGCCAGGCGGTCGAGGAAGTAGTCGCGCTTGGCCTGGTACTCGAGACGAACGCCCCACGTCCACCTGATCCAGCCGCCAACGCCCCAGTGCTGGTCGCTGAGGTACGAGGCAATCACCGCCTGGCCGAGGTTGTTGGGCACCTGGGTGCTCGTCTCGCCGATACGCATGAGGCGCTCGACGATCGAGGCTTGTGCCGACACCCAGCCGATACGCATACCAGGTCCAAAGACCTTGGAGACGGTGTCGATACGGACCACACGGCCGTCGACGTCGCGCGAGAGGTACGACGCCACGCCGGCGTACGCGTTGTGGACAGCCGCGACGGCCGATGCATTGTCCTCGATGGCAGTGGCAGCAGCGGCAGGCATGCGTGCACGCGCCTCGGCAAAGTGGGCTTCGCGAGCAGCAAGGTCAGGCTCGTAGGCGGTGTACTGGAGAGCAAAGTATGGGTCATCCTCCATGATAATGACGTCGTGCTTTTGACAAATGGCGTAGATGGCGTCATATCTCTCCTGAGGCTGGACCGAACCGGTTGGGTTTTGACCGCAAGGGATGGTGTACAGGAGATGGGGCTTCTTGCCCACAGCATCGTCCCACTCGGTCAGGACACGGTCAAGTTCCTCGGGAACGAGACCTTGGCCGTCAACCTTGACGGGGTAGAAGGTTGCGCCACGTGCGCGGCCCGAGTTGAGCGACGACGAGAACGAGTACTCTTCCGAAAGCACAATGTCTCCGGGCTCGACAAACAGCGAAAAGGTCTTGGACACGCCATCCGTGTTGCCAAGGGAGACGTACACTGCGTGGTCGGCGTGGGCACGGCCGTGGGTCAGGTCGTTGAGCTCTTGCAGCTTTTCGGTCAACTCCGAAAAGCCGTTGGACAAGCCGTACTGCAGGACCTCGTTTAGGTCGAGGAGGCCCTCTGGGTCGTTCTCGGTGCCAGGACCAGTCTTCTTCAGATGGATGGTGTCCGTAGATGCCTCACCATTCTGCCATGCGGACACGTCACCCGTCAGCGAGGCGAGGTCCGGCATGGTGAAGGTCGCATGCTGGAGGGGGAAGAGGGAGGCTGTTTGGTCAGTTGCGTGGCCCATCTCAGCATGGCTTACGATGCGGGAGGCCTGACAGTCAGCATACGGTCTTGCAAGTTGTCATGTACGTACCTCCAGCGAGCGAGAGCAGGTTCTTGTTGGACAGCAGCATGGCATACGCCTTCATGGCGCTGGGCGTTTGAGCACGAACCTGCTTGGTGAGGTGGTGCGTAATGTCCTTCGCCTCGGGAAGCGCAGGTGCGGGCGACATGGTGGTGACTTGATGGAGTTTGTTTACTGAGTCGGTAACCAAAGAGGAAAGGAGGAGTGATGGGGAGATTGAAAGCCCACACAAATTGTTGGCGATGTAATATGTACTGATCTCAGAAAACGCCTCCGGAAGCTCCGTCCCAGTCGGCTCTGTCCTAACGAGTCGGACCAAGGGCGACTTGAGTTCCGATGCTCGCCTCGAGTCGAGGTCAGTCGATGATGTGGCCTGGTTCAGTTTTTGATTCGCGGTCATCTCCGTAAGGGTACCCTGCCAACAGTCCTGATAAGAGATAGGATTCATCTCACTCCCCCTCCACGCAAGCTCCGGCCGGTACTGCTGCCCTCGCTGTCGACGGTCCAAGACGTCTCGTCGCTATCCATGAAGGTTTCGTGGATCTGTGGGCATCCTTGACTCACATACAAACGTTTGGACTTGTTTCCGCCGTTTGGCTGACTGATGCACTTGCGAAAATATGGCGATTACATTGCGCGACCGGTGATCCAGGTGGTGTGCTGACCGCCACACACGCGTGGTTTGTTTATCCTTTATTTATCCGCCCCCCAAACATGCCAAACACGTGCTTCTCGCGTTCATCAGGTCGCCGATGTCGTTATCAGGCGCGCGTCGGAATCTGAATGTCTGGACTGCGGCCCCTGCGCCGTCATGATACACGGGCAAGTTGCAAGTTGCCCACTTTTTGCTGTGATTGACGATACCCATTGTCCCGGCCAGAGGCTCATCGTCCCGGTGAACCCCCTATGTACGTACGTCAGGGAGTAGGTGGGCGTTGTTGATAAGGGATGTCTCCACGCGGGACACGTTGTGCTGCGGCGCGTTCTTTGCTTTGTGCACTGACCGGCCAAGGCATCGGGAATGACCGTGGAGAAATCCGGCTACAGCCCGAGTGGCATGTATACCCTAGGACTGGCCGGAGTGGCTGCGTGAGGCAGTACACATGGGCGGCGTTAACTGGAGGAGAGGTTTGATGTCAGCGGTGAACAATCGCAGAGTAAAGCGGGATTCAATGACCTGCCACTCCAACACTACTGGCCCACGGCCCGATCAAGTGGCCGCGAAGCCGAAGCCCGTACTGGTGTTAACGTCATCTACTGCAGCAGTTCACCGATGAGGTGGTCGACCTATCCCAAGTGGACAGAACAAAGCATCCAACAATACAATTCGGCCGAATCGTAGCTGCCCGTAGCTGCCCGCAGCGACGACTCCCCTGCACTAGTGCCTTGCAGTGAATGTATGTGGCGTATCTTCACTGCGTTGATGCACGATAAGCTGTGTCGGTACTGAACAGCAAGTATATTGACCTTATCCGTTTATGTAGTTGGATTACATCGGCGTTGACCGACCACAAATGCAGTGGCGGTAGTCGCTTGGGCGAAGCAAATCTAAGGGGTCTGAGGGCTTTGGGACCTGGTAACCTTTCTTCACCTAGAGATGATAGAGCCGGCTGCGATACTGTGGCGATAACGCACTTCGAAGGTGGTGAACGAGGTGGTATAAGATTGCTGTCATTGGATCCTTTTGAACCATAGTCCCCAGAACCAACTTGACAACCATGAGCAGCTACGACGAGAAGAAGGAAGATTCGACGCAGGTCGTCGTCGTCGATGCCGTCGAGGGCTTCGAGGATGAGGACCGTTACATGGCCACCAACGTGGACGTGCACACACATCTCGGTAGGTTGTGTCGTCCAATGAGCATGGCGCTAACGGTCAAGTGGACAGCGTCCAGCGAAACATGGAGCAGCGTCACATGCAAATGATTGCCCTCGCTGGCACCCTTGGCACTGGTCTTTTCCTGGGTTCGGGTAAAGCCATTGCACACGGTGGTCCCGCAGGTGCACTTTTGGCTTATGCCCATGTTGGAACGATCACTTACTCCATGCGTGAGTAAACTAAACTAGCTATGGAGGAGAAGCCAGGGCCACCGGAAGATATTTTCCGCCGAATTAACCTGATTTTCCGCTGCGCGTTTGAACGTTTGCTCACAACCCCAGTGCTTTGTTTGGGAGAAATGACCGTGTTCGCCCCCATCAGTGGAGGTTACCTGCACTTTTGCGAACGTTTCCTTCACCCCTCCCTTGGCTTTGGACTTGCATACCTGCAGATCTTTGCTTCGGTATGTCCATATCCTGTCGCGCTTCAGCCATGAAGTCCTGCAAGGATAATAGGCGCCACAAGGAAGATCCTGACAGGACAGTGTATCTCCCTCCCCACTGAGCTTATCTCTGCGAGCGTTCTTATCAGCTACTGGGACACTAGCTTTACTGTCGCCCACCAGGCTGCATACATCACTGCTCTCATCATCGTCGCTTGCTCGATCAACTACTTTGGTGTCCGCTGGTTCGGCGAGTCCGAGTTCATCTGTTAGTCCATTTACACATTGCATTCCCCCAAGCTTACAATTGCAGTCGCAATGATCAAGATTGCCCTCATTGTCGGTCTCATCATCGCCGGTCTCGTGGTCAGCCTTGGCGGTGGCCCCGACCACGACCGTATCGGTTTCCGTTACTGGAAGGACCCCGGAGCATTTTCCCCTTACCTCTACGCTGGCAGCAAGGGCAAGTTCCTCGGCTGGTTCACGGATCTCCTTCAGGCAGCCTACTCGTATCTCGGTATGGAGGGCATTTCCATCGCCGCCGCCGAGGTCAAGAACCCGCGCGTGTCGGTCACCAAGGCGGTTAAGCGCGTCTTCTACCGTATTGCCCTCTTTTATGTCGTTGGTATGCTCGTGATCGGCATGCTGGTTCCTTCGACCGACCCCAACCTTCTCCAAAGCACCGGTACGGCCGCCAGCTCTCCTTTCGTCCTTGCCTTTTCGAACGCTGGTATCAAGATCCTGCCCTCGATCATCAACGCTGGTGTCCTCACCTCTGCCTTCTCCGCCGCCAACTCGGGCATTTACGGCGGTTCGCGCATGCTCTACTCGACTGCGCTCCGTGGTCTGGCTCCCTCGTTCTTTGCCAAGACCACCAAGCGCGGCCTCCCCATCGTTGCCCTCACGTTCATCTGCATGTTCAGCACCCTGTCGTACATGACCCTGAGCTCTGGCGCCTCTACCGTCCTCAACTGGCTCAGCAACATCACCTCGCTCAGTGGATTCATGACGTGGATGATCATCTGCATCACCTTCCTCCGCTTCAAGGCCGGCTGCGAGGCCCAGGGTATCGACCGCAACCAGTTCCACTACAAGAGCCCCTTGCAGCCCTTCCCAGCCTACTGGGCCATCTTCTGGTCGGCCGTCGTCATCTTCTTCAACGGATGGGAGGTGTTCACCAAGGGTAACTGGAACACATCCGACTTTATCGTCGCGTACATTACCATCCCGATCTTCTTTGGCTGTGCGCTCGCGCACTATGTCGTCAAGCGTCCCAGGTGGCTCTCACCCTCCGAGCTCGACTTTGTCTCCAACGTCCCCTCGGATGAGGAGATCACCTACGAGGAGCCGGTCCCCACGACCTGGTTCGGCAAGGTCTGCAGCTGGCTCTTCACCTAGATTCTTTGTTTTTGGGAATTATATCGTCACCGCCTCGCCACTCCTTCCCTTTTTGTACTCGGACGTGCCTATCTGGCTTGTACGGGGCTGTATATAGGCAGCCCAACTGGTTGTGTTTAGACAGAGTTTAGAATGAATTTGTTTTGCCGAAGATTGTTTTGCCGCTGGGACTAGTGGCAGTTGGTACATATGTATCGGCGGAGAGAGGGCGCCCGCTCGACCTCGCCACGGGCGATTGAGACGAAAGCCTGTTGGGCAGAACTCAAAACCGCAGACACTGTACGTAGAATCACGGGACGGCAATGCACGGCTGTAACGAGAGGGACGAGATTGTTCGGTGAGATGAGCTGTAAAAGAGAGCTCCCTCCACAGGTCCGGGATGCGGCACCATTTAACCAGACTGTCCAGATCCAACCTTACAGCGCTCCAGAGACCTTGAACCCGGCACTCACCACGTAGCTGGCGTAGCTGGCGTAGCTGGCGTAGCTTGGGCCCAGGTCGTATGTTACTGCAGCGACGACGACACTTGGGCTGACGTCACACCCGATACATTCCGCGGGTATACATCAAACGGCCAGGTCGGAAAAGTGCTGTCGCGGGTGAAATGGCCGCCATACAGTTTCCTCCTTGCACCACTGTGGGGCAAACTCGCTATATGCACATGCGTCGCCTAGAGCATGAGCTATCGGCTGTCGGTGCTCCACCTGCCCGAGACGCGGGAAGGAAGCCACTGGGGACAGTTGCCAGTGGTGGTGGAGAGGGCTGCCGACACGGGACAAATGACGCGCGAGGTGGATTGGCAGCCAGTGGCCGGCCAGGCTGGGCCAAAAGGAGCTGGATAATATTCACGATCGAGAGGCCGTTGCGCTGGAAATGCCCAGGCCCCTCTGCTCCCTGTGTGATCAATACCAGTGCACCGTCCCCTTGTTCTCCCCCCCGTTGCTGAGAGTGGCAACGAGACAGGAGAGGAGTGAAAGGGAGGGTATGTTTGGTGGTGGTGGTGGTGATAATAATGGCAGAATAAATGGGGTAAACGACGAGCCGCAGAATGAATGTGTACCGAAACGCCCCCCGAGATAACAGCATTCTAGAACAGCGGACGGGTGACTGACCAGAACCAACCCCTCCTCTGTTGTAAGATTCCACACCCAATGCTCGTGTCCTCGTTCCCATGCCCAACAGATTGCGACATCCATAACGAAATTGCATAGAGCTCTTCTTCAAATCATCCGCCGGCGCCTAATCATAAAAAACATGTCCACGTCGTCCATCGATGGAGGAAGGAGGGAGGGTTACGCCTCGCGTTTCGTGGGGGGTTGTTTAGATGTTGCGGTTGGTCGAGTTACCCGAGACGGCGTCGCCGATCTTCTGGGTGGTCGACTTCTCCTGCTGGGGCTGGACGGCCGAGGCGACGCCGTCTACGGCAGACTTGATCGAGTCGCCGGCCTGCTCGAGGTACGACTTCTGCGAGTCGGGCTTGACAGCGGCACCGAGCTGGACGGGGAAGGTCAGTGTTTGCACGGAGGGAGGGGAGTATGGGTCGAGTGTGGCGGCGGGTGACTCACCTTGTCGTGGAGGTCCTGGCGGCCAGTGTCAGACATGTTGGTTTGTTTGGGGGGGTTGGGTAGGTGTGGGTAAAAAAGTGGTCTTGTTGAGAGAGAAGAGAGAAGATGTGGTTGATGGGAAGCCGTTTCCGTGCTCGATGGGACGTCTTTTATACACGGAAGTCGAGAGTCGTGTTCGCAAAGCCTAGCAAGGTCCGGCCACGTAAAGTGCCAGCTACACGGATGGTGGTGGGGCGGGTTGTGGCGATGACGACAAAAAGTGGCCATGACGTCAACAACCACCCATCCATTCGGCACTCTCACCCGGCCATCCTCTGCCAGGCAACCGCGGGAGCGGCGGGTTCCACGTCGCAAGCTTTCACGCTCTCGTAGCACCTTTTGGGAACGTTGCTTGCGTGCTCGGACGAAGTGCGTCACAACATGTTCATCTGGGGTCACAACCTTGTTACTGCTACTACTTGATCCCTTCAAAAAAAAAGTCCCCTGGGTTGGAGTCTTAAACTCCCGTGTACCACATCTATCCCGCGAGGGGTGCCTTGTTCAGGCGCTGCACGAGCCCCGCCATGCGTGTCAGGTCGATTGCTGGTCCATCGCTCTCGACCGCAGTTGTCAAGCCATCCAGCATCTGCGTCTCGTCAGCTTTGGCTCGGAGAAGTGACAGGACAAGTGTGGAGCGACGTCATGATTCACGTGCCTCGGACACGGCGCGCGCTCCAACCCTGACGTTTCCGCCGAGTCCGCCGGATGTCCGCCACAAACATGACGTCGTAAACAAGCAACATGACGTCGGGCGGCCACGTCCACTGCATGTACCGCGCGGGGGAGGCAGTCACCGCGCGGGGTGTGGGGCTGGGCAAACAGGAAAACGGCAAGCACGACGGAACGCGTGCGAATGGCCGCGCGTCGCTCACAGCGTGGAAACAACCCATGCGGGAAAGTTGTGCCCACGCTGTGGACTAGTGTCGCCGAGTCCGCATTGAACGGACCGCAGCGGCACGTTGGGTCGTGATAGCCCAGGGCAGAGAAACACGAAGAACGCAGAGAACCCAAAGCCTCCAGAAAGTTACGAGAAACTGGACTCACGTCATCGACCTGGTCTACAGAGACCTTTGCACACAGTGCGATCACTTTGCGGTACTTGAGTGCCCTGTCGGCGCCGTCGCCCTCGAGCTCGGCCGCGCGTTCCTCCAGGAGAGTGGCGACGCGTTCTTCCCACTGAGCGATGCGGCGCAGTTGGACGAGCGAGTCGGGCTCGCCACGAGCGGGCAGTGGGGGCTCGACGGGCGTCTTGAGCGTACCCGCCGCTGTGGGCACTGCTGGCGGCACGAACCCGAACGCAGGGGGCAAGGTCGCCTCGGCCTTGAGTGGTGTACGGCCTGTCCAGTCCATCTCGGGCGCGTCGAGAGCCCGACGCGCGTTCTCGACGCGTTCGGCCTGCTGCTCCAGTGTGGCGAGCTTGGTGCGCGTCAAGTCGACCTGCTGCCTCCTGTCCGCCAGAGACCGTGTTGCGATGCGGACAGACTTTTCCACACCGCCCAGCGCCTCGACGTGCTTTTCCATCTCGGCATCAAAGGCCTTGTTAATGTCCTCGAACAGGGCCGAGATGTCTGAAAGAAAGTTAGCCAGGGTCGAAGAGACAAGGCCGTGACGTGACGGACGAAGAAGGCGTTTCCGGGAGTACAGCCCTGACGCCCGCCTCACCCGCCACCCAGTCCTTTGAACTCACTCTTGAGCACATCTGCACTCCTCCTCTCTGGCCGCTTGACCTCTGCCTTCAAGTTGGCCACCGCAGCATCCTTGGCCGATACAGCAAGAGCCTCGACCTCGATCCCAAAGTCACACGGCCTCAGCCCGAGCTTGTTGGCCTTGGCCTTGTCAGCGCCGGCGTCGAGGAGCAGGTTGACGAGGGGCCTGGACCCGACGCGCGCAGCGACGCTGAGGGCCGTGTCGCCGCGCACGTCTTGCAGGTCGACGAGGTGTTTCAGGCTGATGGGGCTGTCCTGTGGAGCGGGGCTGGGGGCCGAGGCGCCGGCGGCGGCGTTGGCGTTGTTGGTCGAGGTGGCAGTGGTCGGAGTAGCGGCAGCGGCAGCGAGGCCGCGGTCCTTGGTCACCTCCTTTGCGATCCACTCGAGCACTGCGGCCATGTATCCCCTCGCACACGCGATGCGGCCCTTGAGGCCTGCCGAGAGGGCAATGTGGTGGATGACAGAGCCATACGCGTGGTCGAGTGTCCGCACCGTGGTGCCGAGGTGCTGGTCGAGCAGCTGGCTGAACGTGCCGGCCTCGGCGTGGTTGGTGGTCAGAACCGAGCGGATGAGCGGGGTCTCGCCGGAATAGTTGCCGCGGTGGATATCGGCGCCGAGCTCGATGAGCTGGGTGATGATGCTCATCTTGGCCAGCGCACATGCCCAGTGGAGAGCCGTGTGGCCCTGCTCGTCAATAACCATGTCGACGTCCCAGTCTGGCCGCTCTTCTGGACCGAGCTCAAACGCTGTCCGGACATCGACATTGTCCGTCTGAAACAGTGACAAGAGCTGCTGCCTGCGACGGTGAGACGACGAGGATAACCGCGGCTTGAAGGGCTTGGTCGAGAGACGGAAGCCGCCGGGAACTGGTGGACGGTCGCGCGCGAGGTCGTCGTCATCGTCATCCTCGCCGGTACTTGCCTGCGTCTCGGCCTGAGGCATTTCGCCGCCGTCGGCGGTGGTACGCTGGCGCTTCGCTGGTGGCTGAATGTCATCATTGCTAAATGGCGCAGGGACCGTCGAGCCGCCAGTGATCCGGTGCGGCTGGCCGTACGAGTCGACGTAGACGTCGTTCGGAGGTGGGGGCAGACCATGTATGTGATGGCTGCCGTGGCCGTTGATCGCGGCAGGAGGACCGAGGCCCGAAGGCATGTCAATCTGCGCAGCGGGCTCGAGCCTCTGTTGCTGCTGCTGATCCGGGAATCCCATGTGGTGGTGCTGCTGCTGTGGGGGAGGCTGATGGTGGTGTTGCTGCTGCTGCTGGGCATGGTGCTGGTGGATTTGCTGCTGCTGCTGGGCCTGTTGCTGCTGGTGCATCGTCTGGTGGGGCTGGTAGTAGACTGGCGGTCCCTGCATGTGCTGAGGCGGGTAGAGCATCTGCTGCTGCTGCTGTTGCTGGTGCATCATCGGATCGCCCTGGAGAGGCTGTTGCAAGAACTGTGGCGGAGGCGGCGGCGGGACGTTGTACGGCGAGATAAGCTGCCGACCTGCACTTCCAGACCCGGGAATCACCACACCCGTGTTGCCGCCTGGGGTCTTTGCGTTTGGCGTAGCGCTGCCACCACGCATGGGCAGCGCGGGCGGCCCAGAAGGAGGGGGCACAAAGTCAAAGATGGGAGCGAGGAGGTGGAGCACGCCGTACTGCTCGGCGAGAATGCGACCGCGGTCGACAGGAATCCACGTTCCCTGGTACTTTCCATCTGTCGCCAGTCAGCCTCAAAGTCGCTCAGCTGTTCGAAGAAGAGCGCGCGCGGCAGAGGCGCGCACAAACAACTCACATCCTCCTTGAACCTTCTCGTGCGTCTGCGTCTGGACTTTCTTCTCGAGAATCTTGGTGCGCACGCTCTTCGAGATACCGGCCACTTTAAGAATCTGCGTCGCGTTGACCCACGAGTCTGCCATCCGGCGCATGACGGAGATGTTGCGGATCATGGCCTCAAACACGGGGATCTGCGAGTACGCGCTCGCGTACACTTTGACGTTTCCGGCGCCGCCAACGTCGTCTTGCGGGACTTGGCCCGGACGCGCGCCCATGACTGTCTGGAAGACGTTGTGCTGGCTGTGCTGCGGGGTGTGCGTGCGCGAGTGCGTCTGGCTCTGGCTGGGCGGGCGCACCGCGCCGCCAGGAGCGCCTTGTGGAGGCTGCTGCATCATGCCTTGTCGGGGAGTGAGGAGGAGCTGTTGTTGTTGTTGCTGTTGCTGTGGGAGGGACTGGACTACTGAGCGCGGGGTCGGCAGGTCGGGCGAGAGGGCAGGCAGGAGACCCGGCTGTTGTTGCTGGTGTTGTGAAGGGTGCTGGGTCTGGATGTGTTGTGGCATGCCATGTGGCTGCTGCTGGGAAGGTTGGCCGCCGGGATGTCCTGGGTGAGAAGACAGGCCGTGCTGCTGCATCGAGGTCGCGATAGACGAGTGTCAAGAAAGAAGACCTTTTGGAGCAACGTGGGGCCAATGATGTGTGCGTGTGTGTTTGTAGAGTGGAGGGAGGAGAGACAAAGACAAGAGACGAAAGTGACTGTGTGTTGTTAGGGGAAAGGGTGGGGGGGGGGGGGGGCGGAATGAATTGCGACAAGCAACACCAACACCAACCTCGCACGCGTCGACTGTGTGGCTCCCGGGGAACCGGTAGGCAGCTAAAAGGTGGGTAGACGAGTCGATCCAGCGACTGGGCGCGTGGTCACAAAAGATGGCGCGTGGATTCACGCGCTGAGGGGTGGGATGGATGAAGATGAGAGATGGGGGGTGGAGAGGTACGCGTATGTTGACCGCGTTCGGCAAGGGGATGAATGGGGAGAGCAGGGGAGAGGGGAAGGAGGGGTAGGCATATTTGATCCCGTCCCGCGTTGCTGAACGGCACGTGAACCCGGGCGAATTTGGGCCTTTGGGCCTAATGTGGCGGACGACGCGCGACTCAGGTGGCGTCGCTGCCATCAATGTTGTACCTGCAGTGCTTTGGCCCCCCTGCATAACAACCAGCAATATATAATAGCATTGCATTGACAATCCTAACACTAGTCTAATGCAAGGGGACCATAAAAGGAGAGAGAGAGGGAGCGAACACGTCGTGTATACGCGGGCCAGCGCGAAGACGCGTCGGGAGGGAGAGGGGGCGAGTATAAGGAATAAACTCAGGCTACAACGGCTCATGTGGCAGGGATGCCTTAGATGCCACCGTATGCGTCCTCCTCGTCAACGGCGTCCGCAGCGGGCGGGGGTAGACGGGAAGACGATGCGGCAGCGCTGGTGGGCATGCTTGTCACGGGACTAGGGGGGTTTGCGGACCTGGTAGCAAGAGGAGCGGTGTTCGGGGTCGCGGGGAGTGGACGAGGGACGACGGCACGCTGGACCTCGGGCTCGAGAGCAATGTTGCCGCTCTGGGGGGTGGCAACCTCGGGAAGAGGGGTCAAGGGCTGGCCATGGCGATAAGGCTGCGTGCGCATGGCATCGACGTGGGCGCCATTGGGGTCGGGAACACCAGCGGCGCGCGCCACCTCGGTGTACATGCGGCTAGTCTCCTCGTCCTCGTCCTCATCGTTCAGCGCGAGCTGGTGACCCTGAGACGAAGGGACAGCAACCTGCTGGTTGAAGTGGTTCAAGTCGGTAGAGTCGTCGTTGAAAGAAACCGGGTTCATGAGGGGGCTCATGGGCGTGAGCGTCGGGAGGGGGACGGGCTCGGGAAGAGGCGACGAGTGAGAGACGGCAGAGTCGCGAATGCCGGTTTGAGCGGCACCGGCCCACTCGGCATCGTCGACAGCCGTGTGCGGGGTGTAAGGGTCCTGTTCGGCGTACGGGCGCATGAGGCCAACGGGGGCAGGCGCAGCAAGGTGGTCATCGGCGTAGCGGTCGTCGGCGTACATTTCGGCGGCAGCAATGTCGTCGTAGGTGTTGGGAGCCTCGGGGCGGCCAAGAGGGACAGGAGCCGGAACAGGGACGGGGACGGGCATGACGGACGAGGCACCATACTGCTGGCCGGGGCCAACAAGCTGACGAGGGCCCGAGCTAGTCGAGGTGGGCGAGCCACTCTGCAGCTGCTGTTCATGGTAGCCTCCGTCGTCGAAGGGGTTCTGGACGGGAGCAGTCATGGACATGGGAGTGACAGCGCTGCGGTCGTAGCCACCATACTGCTGAGGGTACTGCGAAGGGTACGCTTGCTGGACGGGCGTAGAAACGGCACCCTGCTGGTACGGGTAGGCCTGTTGAGGCTGGGCGGGGTAGTGCTGAGCGGGAGCCGGATAATGTTGAGACGACGGGGAGGGCTGGTCCGGGTACGAGTTGTAGACGTGACCAGCACCGTAACCAGCAAAGTTGTTGTCCACAACGGAGTCGGGGCGAGGAGTGCCGTCCTCGTAGAATGCGTTCTGGCGGGCAATCGCAAGGGCACGGTTGGAACCGCCCATTGGTGCGGCAGCACCGCCGTAATAGTTGTCCTGGGTCTGGGTCGCCGCTGGGCCCTTTTCGTTGGCTGGGAAGGGGGTCACGTCGTCGTTGTCCATCTTGGTCCAGGGCGCAGCGCCGTTGTCATAGTCGCGGGCCTTCATCTTCTTGTAAAGGAACATGCCCACAGTGCCGATAAAGGCGACACCAAGGAGCACGCCAATGACAATTCCCGCAATAGTCCCGCTGGAGACGCCCGACGACGACGCACTGGCCGCAGCGGCCGACGCGGTCGAGCTTGCGCTGTGTGAAGATGTGGACGAAGCGCGCGTCGTCGACGCGGACTGGGTGACAACCTTGACAGTATTCGAAGACGAGTGCGAGGTGACGGTGGTACCTGCTGCCTTTGTGGTGCTTGTCACTGCTGCGGCTGTCGTGGTCGTCACAATGTCATCGGTAGCCGTGTTTCCGACAGCAGTGCCAACCTTGATGACGGCCGAGGTCGTTGCTGCGGCGGCGGCAGGAGTGGTCTGCGCCTTGGTCGAAGCCACGACAGAAGCAACAGTTGTTTGGGCCGCAGCAGCGGTCGTTACGGCTGCGACCTTTGATGTAGCTGCTGCTGCCGCAGATGTTGTCACGACGGCAGCTGCGCTAGTTTTAACTGCAGCGGCTACACTCGTCGCCGTCTTTGCCTGTGGCCTTGTCAGTGGGGTGTCCATGTACGACAACTTACAGCTGCAGCGGCGGCGGCAGCAGCCGACACCGACGACGCCGATTCGGCGGCATGGATGGCGGACAGGGCGGCGGGGTCTATGCTCCCGGCTCGCTTGGCGAGCCCCATGTGCAGGGCAGCACGCGCTTGGTTGTGCATAGTGGATGCTTGTGTGCAGCAGCCGAGGAGGAGGAGATGTCGTTGGAGAGGAGGGAGGGGACGTAAAAAGGCGAGAGGAAAAGGAGGTCTGGGCAGAGAGGCCTAGTCGTCGCGGACGCGTGCAGTGATCGTGGGGGGAGAGGGAGGACGCGACGAGGGTGCCGACGGGGAGGTGTAATGAATGTGGATATGACGGTACCAGCCCGCCAAAAGGAGTGTAGAGAGAGAGAGAGAGAGTAGAGGGAGCGCTGATGGGTGTGGAGACCAGCTGCAAAAGGTGTGTGTGGTGTGTGTGTGTGAGAGAGACAGGAGAGAAGACGACGACCGAGACGACAAGGGAGAGAGCACAAAGACGAGAGACCACACACCCCGCGCGCGCCCACGCCGCGCGCGCCCACCCGTGGAGGCGTTCAGGAGGACCGTGCGTTTTGGAGGCGCGTTGTCTCAGGGACACCAGCTATAGAGACGGGACGCGGCTGGCCCAAACCTGCCAGGGTCGGTTCAGGATTTAGTGGTTGCGTTTGTGCCTGACCAAAGTGGGCCACCGGCACAAGACCCGAGGGACCCGAGGGCCACCTGTTTTGGTGTCCCCATGCATGATCCTTTTGGCGCGACAAGATCCATCACCCACCTTCCCTCCTCCTTTCCCCTTTGGTCTCGCCGCCGTCTCCCGTTTGTGGTGTGTTTTGCATGCATCACGCTGTTTATGCTCTTGAGAGTAGGTGGTACATACTCTTCTCTTCGACCTCGAATGCGGTGCAAGTTTATCATCCACGGATGCACAGGTGCACAAGGAGGGAGCGTCTGGCCAGAATAAAAGCGCAAACGTGGGTGAGAGGGCTGCCCTAGCGCCCCATGGCCGCCCTGCCGCGCGCCCCGTGTGTTTGAGAGCACCAGGCCGCGCTTGCTCGGTCGAGAGCTCTGCTCAGCCCACACGCCCAGGTGCCTCTCTCAGCCTGGGCACAGCTGGCTGCAGCTGGCAGACGTGTCCTTGATTATCCTTGACAGGTAAATATCCTCCATATCCTCCGGGCTCTGATATTCTGAGCCCATTCCTGCGTGGTCCTATACACGGCGCTCGCCGTTGGCCGTTATGGGGCCCTCCCTCGCGCACTCGGTCTGTGCACACCCGTGCGCGCGGCCAACGAACTCGTGTGGCTTCTGGACCGCATCGCCGCCTCGGGAGGCGTGCTACTCTTGTTTGTTGGCTGTGGAATTCGAATGCCAGCACCGAAGCTGCATACCAGCGAGACGGTCTGACAACCTGTGGCCTGTGGCCTGTTGCTTCGGTGTGGGCGACAGCTAACATCGATAGCAGGCACTGGGCCCAAAACCCCTCGTCCCCTTGCTCGTTTTGCACGGAGGAACGTTCGTAACGTTCTCGTTGTCCACTTTAACACTTTGGAGCCAATTGTGGCCATCACCCACTATCCCCCCTCCTAGTGATGATCATCAGCAGCAGGGGGTAAGGTTAACTCGGGCCTCGACCACGTATTGTACAGTTCCCAGTACGTTGTCGCTTCTACCATGGGCAGCCACAGTTGTTGGCCCACCGCGCGCGGACCCACGACAAAAGTCGTGGTATGGTGAGAAGTGTACATCCACAGCATCCACTGTGCGTGCATATGAGACAGCGGAGCCGCTTCGTCTTCTCCTCAGTTGTCGTTCTTCCTTTTGGAGGCCTCCTGGATCATGCTAGATGTTACATGTTAGATGTTAGATGCAGGGAGGGACGCACGAGAGCCCCTCCAGGTGCCACTCGGTGGGCTTGCGGGGAGAAACACACTATGGCTGGTCCCGCATAGCGTTTGACGACCGTGTATGGGTTTTTGGGTCCTTTAACCGAGTATCAATTTGGTACGAGGAGTTGCTCGACCACTTTAATCCGTCTATCCGCCTCGCGTGTTTCACACGGCAGAGTCGTCCTCCTCGACCAGGCAATTATGACGTTCGTTCATTAGACTTTCGGCGACGCGTTTGGTGCGTTTTGCATCTCCACATTGCCACATCAGAGACCGGTTTTACCGGAATACGACTACCGTCGTCGCGTCGTTTGGTCAGTCTCCATTCTGCTGCATCACCATCAGGGTGGGGACGCGAGACCTGTGCATCCATGTTGTACGCGACGTACGCGAAGACAGTCCTCTGCGCCAGGGTTTAGGGAGGAGGAAAGTATTCTGCTCCTTGGGACGGACATTGCCCCGATATGCACACACCTCGCAGACCAGTCCGTCACAGCCAGTAAGCCTCCATTCGGCACTCTCGCCCATGGCCAGAACTGCCGCCTCTGGGTCTACGAACGAGCCAGACACAGCTCAAAGTATGCCATGTCTTCATTTCATGGCAGCCACGACATGCACGACATGTGCATGTGGGCTGAAACACAGGCTGAGGAACTCGGCGTTTGTACCGGGCGAGAGCTCCTGACCACCACCGCGGTGGCCAAAGTCCAGCTTCCTGCCAAGTATGCTAGCAGGCTGAGCGTGGCGCGTGTATACAGTCTGTGCACAGACAGGTGTCAGGTGACATGACGGTACGAGGTGCGATATACCGGGGGAGGGAACAAGACTGCAGTGTTCTTGGCTTCACACACAACGTGCCCTGGGATCCTGCCAAGCTGCAATTCCTCGCATCAGCAAGGAAACAACTGACATTTGACTTGCATACGTTCAGCAGCCTTTGGGCCCCAAAGGTGTCTTTAGGGTGTCACGTTTGATACATACACATGCTCGTCCACACGGCGCCGAGGCTTTGAGGGAAGGATGTCAGTGGATCCGTGGAAGATGAGACTTGCAAGTAACCGAGTGGACACTGGCTGAATTGATCACTACTGCGAGCTGCGCCATTCTGACCGCTGACATTACTACGCTGACTGCACTGGCGCAATGGTGGTCTGTCAGCCTAGATTATCAGTCCCGTTTCAGTCTCAACGTACCGTCAACGAGAAACACACTAGGGGACGCAGTTGCGTGGTCTCGACCGAAATGGTATGCCGTTGTTGGTATGCCGGCCGGCTGCGAAACACACAACCGGTCCTAAAAATATTCTGCTGAGAATAACTGTTGGATAGTTTACTGGTATCTCGGCGAATGATCACCACGCCATTCCTCGAACCTGTGGCTCTGGCGCTGGCAACCCCACCAGCACGCATATACAAACAGCGTATGCGCTGACCCACGCCAATTGGGCACCAATAGCATTCCAGAAATTATAAATGAACCAGCCAGCTGACAGAGAAAAACCGCCACCCGGCCGACGATCGGCTGTCCGGATCAGGTGGCCCCGCCAGCTGCCAGATCCTCCATCCATGCCCGGCGGGTTGACCCATTCAATTGTCTCCGGGCCGCAGGGGGAGTCAGCTCGTGTGGATGGTTATGTCAGGTGGAGTCGACTCGTGTGGATTGTTATGTCAGCGAGGATGAGGGGGCGGTCGGGCTGTCCGAGCCAGTGCGCACCAGTGCTAAGCTGTAGTAGAGGCCATAGTGGATGTGGTTTGTGTATCGCGAGTGTATGTGGAGGCACCAGATTCAGTGCAGACGAGGCAAAAGGGGGACAAGTTGGACACATGCGAATAAGGGACGCACAGCAGTGCCATTCGCTCGTTGCTGGTCGCTGGATCGCTGGGCCGCGAAGAGGGCCTGCAACCACGGAAACGAGAGACGAGCCGGTGATCTGCAGGACCTGACTCGGCACCGATATGCTTGGCCTAGCGCTCATGTGTTCACGCTCTGAACAACAGCGGACAGCCTTCAGGGGATGAGCTGTACGCCTGCTCGGTATCGTCGGCTCCCATCATGGCTCAGACAACATTATCTCAGTGTGGAATTGCCGTAAGCGTTTCCGAAGGGAGTAAGCATAGGCTCACTGCTCGCTATCCTCGTTGGCTGTCCTCCACCACGAGCAAGAGGTGCTCGTCGAGCCGTCCCAACACAAGCGATCCGCCTCGAGCTCATGAACAATGTACCTATTCCTGGTCACCTACTATCACCGCGCTGGGAGCTTCTGACTGGGGAATACGCAGACATTGGTCCCAAGTCGAGACAAGATGCGCCACCCAGTGTGGGAATGGTTTCAAGTCACCTTGCAACCGTTTACGCACACCCGTATCTATCGCTATGCTGATACCCAGCACACCATGGCTGTGTCGCCAAGACGCGCAAGACGTCAGGCGCTGTCGATGGAGGCGAGGAGCAGAAGCACAAGGACAGACAGACCCAAATGACTGCGGATATTGGGACCCAGGAGAGCACCAGCAAAAGGACGTTGTCCAGGCACTGTACCATGCGATGCCGGTGATGACGCGAGCGACGCGGGCCCGACGGCAAACGCAAGCAGAGGAATGTGCGACAAACCTTGATGACGATACAGGAAGCTGGCGCATGTCCGGCGGCTGAGGCCAACGTATCTCGGTGCCGACCCCTCGGCGATGCGTGTACCGGGTTCGAGGATGACATGCACAGCTCGGCTCGGGTGTGTTCGCCGCCGACGTGTTGGGACACGCCGGAAGGGCTTGGCAGCATATGCAGAGGGCGTTTTGAGATGGTATATGTCGAGGTATAAGCTGGACTGATGGGAAGGTGTCTTCAACGCCCGACTACCCAACTTGCACACCACTTGTTCAGAGATCCAAGAGATCCCAGAGATTCAGCAACAGTTCATTGCAGCACTCCTATCCGAACGTCAGCAGCAACAACCATGATCCCTGCACCAATCCACACTCCCGAGGACGCCTCGCCACCACCTTACCCGGGGCTGTCTGGACCATCCTCACGCGGGGGTAGCGTCTCTCGAGCGCCCTCGTATCGCTCGCAGACTTCCATCTCGCTGTCGCGCTCCCCAACCCCACCACGCCACCACTCGGCACCCATTCCCGTCCCGGGCTCCAGCGCAAGTGTACACGCGCGCAGAGTATCCACGGCACCTGACGCGGAGGCCAACGAGGCGCTCGCATGGGCCAAGACCATTCGATGGGCATTCGGGCCAAACTCCCCGCCACGGTACGGCCAGCCAGGCGGCCACATGTCCACCCCCGGCGCCGGGTCGCCACCAACCTTTCCACTGTCACCGCGCAGCTCTCGCCACAGCCACGACGGGCATGAGGGCTCGTACACCCGCGAACGCGAACGCAGCCGCTGGTCTGGGGACCTGAGCGGTATCCTCTCCCGCCATGCAAGCCGCGCAAGCCAGAACAGCCAGACAAGCCAGACAAGCAATCTGTCGACTCTGTCCGAGAACACGCCACGCACTGTCACAGTTACCCCCAGGACACACACCAAGACGCACTGCAATTGCGGTACCCAGACATGCACCGGCACCGCGCGGACGGGCTCCCCCTCCAGGCCGCTGTGTGCTTGTGGCGAGACGCGGTGTCCCGGCGGCGTATTGGCGTCCGGCAGGCCGCTGTAAGCAGTGGAAGGAAGGAAGTAAGGAAGGAATTTGTGCATAAGTAATAATTCGTTGTACCCCCACCACAGTCAAGTCACCCATCATCCAGACCTCGGCACAGTGGCGAGGCTGGCACGTTGTAGCCCCCAAAGCATGTAAACTGCATTGCAACTGGATGAGGGCGTGAGGGTATCGGGTCTGAGGCACGGGAGCAGCCCGTCGCAGGCGACTCCGATGCACGCAGCCCACTACAGGTGACGAAGTGTACAGCCCTGCAATACACGTTGTAGTCCCAATATGATATGTACCCACTGAGGAATGACTGCTAGATCATTTTTGCTGGGACTCCAAGACGAGACATTGATCATCTCTACCTTCTTGCCCAAATTAACCAGTTGCATGAACTAAATACAATGCCCAATAACACAATTCCGAGGACGCTACTCCCCCCTCAGCCTAGGCGCGGTGGTAGGCGTAGTCAAACCCCACCGCCCCCTCCACAAGCTTCATGAACGCGAGCACCTTCTCCTCATCGTACTGCCTGCCCACGAGCTGGATACCGACTGGCAGCCCCGCCATCTTCTCGGAGCTGTACGCCGGGTCGCTGCCGCCATACACGCGCTTCTCGAGAATCCACGACCCTTCACTGCCAGCGGCGTAGTTGGCCGACGCAATGTCCCGCCCGGCATCGACGCGGGTGACGGGGAGGACGCCGACGGTGGAGTCGATGACGTTGAACAGCGACGTGCCGATCGACAGCGGCGAGAGCGTCTCGGTCCGCCCGTGCTCGAGCGCGGGCACGGCCTGCACGGGACACACGAGAAAGTCGAACCCTTGCTCCTCCCATGCCTGGCGGCGGAAGGCAGAGATGTAGTCGTTGCGCTCTGCCGTCCACTTCCAGTACTCGCCCGCGGTCTTGTAGCTGGACGCCGCTAGAGGGTGTCAGCTTAGTGGCAGGTATGGCACAGCTGTTTATACCTACACAGAATGTCGGCAAACTTGGTGTCGCCCAGGACATAGTGGACAAAGTATTGCGCGAGCTTGAGGACAAACTTGGGCACGCTGGTGCCACTGACCACGAGGCGCATCGAGGGCTCCATCGGGTCCTTGCCAATGTTGCTGAGAAGAGACTTGTAGCCCTCCGCAGACGAGAGTGCGACAAAGATCTTGAGTGCTTGGTCGGCTGGACGTCAGTTAGTGCGACGGGGCGGTTCAACTCACGGTTGGGTGGGGACCACGGCACAAGCTCGTGGCCCTCCTTGCGGAGCGCATCAACCGTCTGCTCCACGGCGCGCACGCAGGCCGGACTCGCCTTGACGAGGCCGTCAAACGTCCAGTAGCCGATACGCAGCTTGGTTGGGAGCTTTGGCTCGCGCCAGGGAATAGGAACAATGTTCTGGTCCGCAAAGCGCTTGGCCTCGAGCGCACGGAGGGTTGCGTCGAGCACGGCACGCGACGCATACGTGAGTGCGTCGACGCTCGGGGCCATGGGACCGGTGACAGCCTGAGAGTTAGTGCGGTCAACAGACAAAACTCACGTTGATGCCCTCGAAACCTGGAACACCACCACGCATGCCACCACGAGGCCAGCGGCCGAGAGCAGGCTTGAGACTACAGATGCCAGAGTATCCAGCCGGGATACGGAGCGAGCCGCCAACTTGTACCCGTCAGCGTCTGCCCCCCCCCCCCCCCCCCCCCCTCTCACAGCTACACTCACTGTCTGTGCCCCAACCGAGGGGACTTCCTTGCAGCGCAATCAACGCTCCCTCGCCACCGGAGCTGCCGCCACACGTACGCGTCGACGCGTACGGGTTGGTCGACACGCCAAAGATGGGGTTGGCACACTCAAACGCGAGCAGCGTCTGCGGGATTGCAGTCTTGCAGAAGGGGATACCGCCGGCCTCACGATAGACCTTGACGATGGCAGCCTCGTTCTCGGGTTTCTCGCATGGCTTGAAGCAGTGCGGCGAGCAGCCAATGGAGCTGTCCACGCCGACAATGTTGAACATGTCTTGCAAGGTCAGTCTCTGGGAGGACTGCGGCCTCTGTGCTCACCCTTGAAGCTGCCCGGCAGGCCCCAGAATAGGCCTTCAGCGGCGCCCCCGGCTGCGTAGGCTGCGTCCTTGGCCTTGGCGTCTGCCATGGCTTCGGCAAAGACGACTGGGGGCGTTAGGTGACAAGCCGAGGGATACAGGACGTACTCTCGGTCAGGCAGTTGGTCTTGCGGTGCGCAGCACAGGCGGCACGAGTCTGGCGAGAGCGTAAGCAACACACTCCAGGTCTTGTCTAGCTCACAAACACGGCCATGACGCGCTCGCATGTCCATCCGTCCTTACGAGCCTTGAGGTTGGCCACGATCTCAGATGCACTTCATTTCATGTCAGCTCCCAACTTGCAGTCACGACCCATGCGCACGTCGTGTTGACAACCTCCTCGTCCTCCGGGTGGTCCCTTGCGAAGCCCAACCGCGCCTCCGCTTCAGACACGAGGCGTTCGCGGGTCTCCTGCTTGATGCGCGCCGTCTTTGCTGTGTAGGCATTCACCATGACGTGAGGATGTGAATGAGCGGGTAGTGAGTGAGGGTGAGTGAATGCACAGAGCGAGCCGATGCAGACGACGTTGCTCACGATGCTGGAGTGGGTGGCTTAAGGCGTACGGGTATGGTATGCCGGCCGCAAGATCCGCACAGATCGCGGCCATGAGGAGCGTCATGGAGGGCGCGCGGTCGGAGGTAGCCGGCTTTCCCACGGTCGCCACCGACTCAGTGGCGGCATGGCACTGGAAGAGTTGTCCCATGTTCTAAACTTGACGCTTGTGATGTGATACTGTTCTACATAGCTCCCAGTGTTGGAAGATGTGTCTGGAAGGGTGTGATGAACGGAGAACGGAGTAGGCATGAACACGTCACGCGGGGCACGTTCAAAACAATTGAAAGTGTGATATATGGCCTCGTGGAGCATGTTTGACGGCAAATGGAAGGGTGTTTTGAATACAGACCAAGATACATACAAGACTACTATATATACAGGGGTGTTTTGAATGGGGAAGCATGTTAAGAAAGGAACTTTAGGGGCTCGATACCACCCTCAGTCCCCTTCACCCGCGAAGTCTTCCTGCAACTCGTCGTCGACGGGCAAAATGCTGGCGTCGTGAAATTTCATGGCCGGGTTGTAGGCATCCAAGGCATGCGGGCCCCAGCACAGGTACCTGCGACCAGCCATCTGCTGAGATATAATCAGCTTTGGCCCATACCTGGCAGGAGTTGATGGTCACCTTGACCCAGTTGCTGAAGCCCAGGGCGGGGTCACCCTTTGGCGATACGGTTGGAGTAAAGGGGCTCGCCCTCGCCCTTTGGCTCGACTCTGAACGTCGCCATCTCGCCGTTAGGAACCGGCACGCGGAAGAGTTGGAGACCAAGCCAGACGAGACTCTGCTGCCGCTCTTTCATGCCCACCGGTGGGCACAGCAAGAAGTCTGGGTCGAGAGCCAGGCGCTCAAAGATCTGTTCCTCGATCCGGTCGCGCTGCGCTGATGAGTGACCGTTCGTGATTGTGCTGCACGATTACACACCATGCCTTCGTTCAGACGCAGGCCCACACCTCCGTTTCCCGAGCCATCAGATCAGACCTTGCTCTTGTTGACGATCAGAATCGGGGGGCGTGCTGGATCTGCCAGGTGTTCGGCGATGGCGTTGTCCAGCTCTTTGCGGCGTTTGAGAATGGTCAGGGCTGAATCCTTGGTCACCTTCTTGGCTCGGGCGGTGTTCATAACGGTAATGCTGTTGTCCTTACCAGCCTTGACAAAATCCTCGAGTCTGCGCTGGTTTGACAACACAGTCGCCGGGTGGATGTCAAAGCCCTGGTACTCGCCATCAGCGATGTCGTCGCAGAACAACAGGTTTTCAAGAACCGTCGCGGGCATGGAGACTGCCGTCGTCATCTTTGCTGTTTTGCTGTGGAAATTGTGGTGCCGAGCCGTAATGCAATAGAATGGCAGGGACGAGGAAAGGAAAGAAGTATTGGGGTGGTAACGAAAGTAGCGAGGAGTGACGTTGTATGTATGTTGTTCAGTCCGGATCAGTCCTGTTTGGTTCCAGTGGGTGGCGACCAACGTACCGTATTTAACGATCTAGCGGAATCAAAAAGCCACCCAAATTTGATCCCGAAAGTGGCACTTTGGTGCTGCAACATCCACCTTTCACTTCCTCCTTCCGATGTCAGTGTTTGGGCTTCCAAAGCTCTCTCTACAGCAAATGAATGTACATCGCAGGCTCTAAGGGTGAAGAAGATGTAAGGGAACCCAATTAAAGCTCCTCGTCGGTGAAAACCTCCTCGCCACGCTTGCGACGGGCCATACGGTCCTTCTTGGCCTTGCGGAGGTCGGCGGCAGACTTCTTCTTCTCCTTCTTGGCCTGGGGATGTCAGCAGACGCTCTTTCCGTGGTTCTTTCTGTCTTTTAACACGTACAGAGGCGATAGGGTTGCCCAAGGCGTCGTATTTCACCTCCTCCTCCTCGCCGTCGGCGGCCTTGTCAATGCGAGCACCGGTGCCCTGGCCCTCAACCCAGTTGTGGCCCGAAGCACGGAGGCGACCGTCGGACATGGCCCAGACCTCAGTACAGATGGACTCGGAGAACTCCTGGTTGTGGGTAATGATAAGAACACCACCGTCGAAGGCCTTGAGGGCAGCGATGAGGGCAGCGAGCGACTCGCGGTCGAGGTAGTTGGTGGGCTCGTCAAGACAGATGACGTGGGGACGACGCCAGGTGGCGGCACCAAGGACGACCTTGACCTTCTGGCCACCGGAGAGACCACGCATGGAGTTGTGCGAGACGAACTCGGACTCGAGACCGAAGTCGGCGAAGTGCTTCTCAATCTCGCGACGGACGAGGGGACGCATGAGACCAAGACGCTGGGCCTCACGGGTGTCGAGCTCGATGACCTTCTTCTCGAAGCCACGCGAGACAAGCTCGTCACGCGACAGCCACATGTTCTCGGCCGACGAGAGGCCCTTGAACGAAACCTCGTACTCGTACGACTGCTTGAGCTTCTTACGGGCAACGAGCTCCTCAATGAAGCGCTTGACGCCCTCGATGACGACGACGGCACCCTCGGCCATCTTCTTCTTCTCCTCCTCGGAAAGGACACGGGTAGCCTTGGAAAGCTCCTCGAGGTCCTCACCGGTCTGGTAACGCCAGAGCATGTACTCGAGGGGAGTCGAGTCGAGGTGCTGGTCGATGTGGTGGAAAGCGTGCTGGGCAACGTAACCAATAACGAGGTTAGGGTGCTTCCAGACGGTACCGCCAAGGTTGGGCTCAGTCTCGCCGGTAAGGAGCTTGACAAGAGTGGACTTGCCCGAACCGTTGGGACCAAGGACGGCAACACGCGACGAGAGCGAGACCTGGAGGTTGATGTCCCAAAGCTGCTGCACGGGCGCACCGGGGTACTGGAACGCGACCTGCTTCATCTTGAGGAGCGACTTCTCCTTGGTCTTGACACCGTCGAGAAGAGGGGGGTTGGGGAGGGTGAACTTGTAGTCCTCAGCGACGTCGAGCTGGAAGAAGGCACGGGCCTCGGGGACCATGTCGACGAACTTCTCGAGGTTACCGGGGTAACGCTTGAGCTTGAAGTTGTTGAGGTGGAGAACGTCGGTGATGGTGCGGTTAAGGAAGTCCGAGTCGTGCGAGACCATGATCGAGGTACAGGTGGTGAGCGAGGTGAGGTAGTCGATGAGCCAGGTGACGTTGACGACGTCCAAGTGGTTAGTGGGCTCGTCGAGGAGGAGAATGTCGGCCTTGAACAGGATGGCGCGGGCAAGGGCGAGCTTCATCTTCCAACCACCCGAAAGCGAACCGATCGAGTGCTTCTGCTTGTCGGCGTCGAAGCCGACCGACTCGAGGGTCGAGACGATCTCCTCGGGAGTGGCAAGGAGACGCTTGTCCGCAAGAACCCAGTCGACGATGGAGATGGACTCCTCCGAGCCGTCGATGTCGTGCTGGACGTAGAAGGTACGGACCTGCGAGGGGTCGGGGAAGCCCTCGACCTGGTTGTTGACAATGGCGTTCATGAGGGTCGACTTGCCCGAACCGTTACGGCCAAGGAGACCGTAGCGGTGGCCACGCTTGAGACGGAGGTTGGCGTGGTGGAGCAGGATCTTGGCACCGTAGGCAAGGTTGAACTGCTCAATGTTGCAGAGGTCCTCACCCTCCTCCTCGTCGTCGAACTTGATCTCGTCGGTCGACTCCTCGTCGGCCTTCTTCTGGAGAACCTCACGGACGGCGGGGAAGACGTCGACGCCGGGAAGGGCGACCTGGAGGTAGGCGGGGACGGTAGCCTCCCAGAGGTTCTGCGAGTAGTCGTGGATGTTGACGAGCGAAGCGGCAAGGACACCAGCGTAAGCGATGGCGGGGTTGGCAGCGTCGGCGGTGGGGGCAACCTTCTTGAGCTCGGCAACAAGGTCGGCGGCGAGCTCCTCACCCTGGGCGATGCGGAGAGGGGGGAGGTCCGAACCGTCAGACTCGGCGGGGACCTTACCGATGCGACGGAGGGTGGCAATGGCGCGCATGGCGACCGAGCGGGCCTCGGGGTCGGCAATGGTGTCGGCGGTCTTGATAAGACGGGGGAGGAGCTCGGGAAGGAAGGGACGGACGGTGTACTCCGAGTCGACGAGCTTCGACATGTTGTCGGAAATGACCGAAACCTTACGCTTGGTAGCAGTAAGACGCTCGTCAAGACCACGGATGAGGAGGGGGGCAATCAGACTGATGGTCGGCGAGGTGACCTCGGAAACGAAAGTAGTAGCAGAGAGAAGAGTAATAGTCTTAGGAACCTCCTCGACGGGGTTGATCAGAGCCTTCTGGAGAGCGGGGATGAACTTCTTAATGTCTACGGGTGTTAGTGTGGGTTTTCAGACGACTTGTCCGGTATCACGTGTGTACGCACCAGGGTTCTCGCAAAGGGCACAGGTCGTCTTGAGGACGTCCTTCGAGAGCTTCTGGACCTCCTTCTTGGTGTCGTGGACCGAGCCGGCAAGGACGGGGACAATGGCGGGGGTCTGGAGGGCCATCTGGGCAGGAGCCGAGGTGATGAGCTGCTGGATAACCTCAAGGGCACCGAGCTTGGCGGTGTGCTTGCCGCCCGAAACAACAGTCTCGAGGAGAGCGGGGAGGATGACGGGGGTACCGGCGGCGTTCATGGCCTGGGCAACGGCCTTGGTGGCGGCGACGGCAGCCTCACGGGGACCCTTCTCCTTGTCACCGAAGGTGGTAAGGAGGGTGGCGAAGAGGCCGTTGGGGGCAGCCGAGATGACGTAGGGCTCGAGCTTCTGGCCGGCACCGTTCTCGATGAGGACCGAGACCGAAGCGGCAGCGGCCTCACGGGCGGCGACGTCCTTCTTGGACTGGAGAGCCTGGAATTTGTTAGCAAATGACTCGCGCTATGCATTCTACGGCCGGTCACGGTCGCACAGCATGCCCGGAATGCATTCCAGGTTGCCATGGTTCCCATGAACATGGCCTATAGGCGCCTCGAGCGACCCAAGTGACAGGAGAGAGGAGACGGGAAACGCAGGTGCACGCGTTGATGGTTGCCACAAGCGGGAGCAAAAAATTGTGCACACCAGCCACACTGGCACCGTCCACGACTGCAGGGAGAGGCCCCACCGGTCACACAGTACGGTTCCGCGGCTGACTTCTGCCTGGACACTGGGGCAAGTCGTGTTCTGCTCACCTTGATAGCGGCGTCAACGTAGCCGATGGAGCCAAGGAACTCGACGGGCTCGGCCTTGACGGCGGCGGCAAGGGCGAGCTGGGCCTCGTCACGGGCGGCCTGGTCAGCGACGAAGAGGGTGGCAACGTCGAAGGCACCGGCCTTGGCGGCGGGGGTAGCGGCGGTAGCGGAGGGGGCCATCATGGAGAATCTGCGCAAGCTTGTCAGCGCGCTGTGTTGCCGCTGGGTTTTTTTGTCGTTATCGGGCGACAATTGGTGGACGCACCTAGGAAGGGGGGAGTAGGTCTTCTAGTTTTTTTTTATCGGCTTTTTTCAGAGGGATTTTCTCTGGGACGCAAGAGCTCCGTTTTAAAGAGAGGTAGTGTGCGGGGTCCTCTAAGAGGCGAGAGGGGGAGGAGGTTGGAGGGGGGGAGAGAGAGGGGAGGAGAGAGAGGGGGGATTGATGAGACGAGATGTGATGGGGTGGGGCTTAAAAAGTTGCCTCTACGCCAGTCGGTCCAGCGGCAGGCGGACGATTTGGCCCCTTCAGGGAGCAAATTTATGCCTCCGCTCATAGGCGGGCGGGCCCAAGTGCCCATATGTTTTACAAACCGGCGTCCTGCCGTTCGGTCGAGAGGCCGTGTCACCTTTACGGGGTCTGTGACGCTGTGCGTGTCGCTGGGCCGCTGGGCCGCTCTCTCTGGCGTGCGTGCGTGCCCACACCCCCCTTCAGGCCCGAAGGTCCGATGCCGCCGCCAACTGCTCGTGCCGCCGTATTTCCCCGCCATGTGGCACTCCCCACGGTCCTACAGGCGGTGCCCACACACCCGGTCTTATCCGGAGACCCCGTGGGTTTCCTATGACGGACCGCGGCCGTGCAAGTAGTAAAAGTAGTGGACTCATTTCCGTCCGAACACACACCCAACGACCGTGGGCACACACACCCCAGCGTACACAACTAGGGCGACACAGGCTTTGGGCCCAGCATGGGGACACACATCCCCCTGCCCCCAACCGATTTAGAGTCGTGTGTGCTGTTAGTCGTCTCTATGCAAACACAACGCAAACACTCTCGGGCGTCGGGAGGGTTGCACAGCTGCGGCCTTGGTGGACGGAGACTGCGGTACTGCAGGAAGAGCACTCGCCGTGACTAGCCGTCCGCAACCTTCCGGATCTTGGCCCACCACACTAGAGTGCATTCTGTCTGTGTCGGCTCGAGTGCCGACCTTACTCCACAAAAGCCGCATCCCGGCCCTCGGCGGATACGCCGCTGCGGTCATGTCGTCTTGCATGCCGCTCTGTGCGTCATAGAATTGAGTACCCTTTGCGCAAGAACAGCTGTGCGCGAAGTGGAACATGACGTCGGGTGGCAAAATGGCTCCTGCGATGGCGGATGGCAGTCGCGTATGGCGTGTGTGCATGCGCTGTGTGTGTGCACAATCACCCCGTTTCATGTCACCTGTGTGTTCTCGACAATGTGTGCGTTGTGCAGAAGCACACACAAACAGGCAGTCTCCTAGATCGGTTTCGCAGTTGTCGTTGTTTGCAAACTTACCCCGCGGAATGTCCCAAGCGGATGTCGCTTTAACCGGCTGGTTGTTTGGACGCGTTTCGATGCCTGTGTCATGAAGACTGGACCGGGGATCAAGGCAACTCTTGATGACCTCTCTGGATCTTGGCCTCTGTTTGCAGCTGGTCGCGTCGCTGGTGTGCCGTTGTCGCCATATGGGGATCGTCCTGGCGGGTAACCACCCACTTGAAGGAACGTGCAGAATTTCACTCCGGCTATGGTCATCAGCAACGCCCATCGCTTACTGTGACACCGCCCGATGTCGGTTCCACTGGAAGCGATAGAGATCGTCCAGTTTAGCGATGTACTCTGTTATGGCGGTGTCGGTGGGGGCGCTGTTGACGCGTTCATGAGAGCCGTGGGCGGTAAGATAGGACAGGTCAAGTCAGCTTCCGCTCCTGGTGTCGGAGAGGACGGGGCGCGGGCGCTAGGGTCGAGAACGAAGCGGCCTTTCAGCATGGCGTTCACAGAAGAGGAATGGGATGGTGTAGTGAACGTAGTGAAAGGAAGACGCAGCTGAACGCCGACGAGAGAAGGCTGGAACTTGGATGGCATTGCGAGGTGCGAGCGCCCGTTTCCCTGACCTGGCGATCCAGCGATCCTGCCGTGTGGCGAGGTCTCCCCACCTGACATCTTCTTCACCGTTAGACCTGGCGACCTGCATACATTTATTTGCTGTAGAGTGAGCCTAGAGCGACCTTTGAAAGGTCAGGACACTGACATCAGCTGGAGGAAGTGGAAATGGATGCTGCAGCATGAGATGCAACACGCGGCTTGGGAGCGTGGCGAGTGGCACAAGCCAGGCTGCGCGCAGAGCTTGGGGCGGTTGATGGTTCTACCATGGTGCAACCCACCCAGTACTCCTTGTCGCCAGTATCTCCAACTCGTCCCTGTGTTGTCATGAACTGATATCTGTAAGGCCACGAAGGATGAATGGACATACATCTTCTTTTGACACTCATCCCAAGAAAGGATGGAGCTCATCTTCTATAAAGATTTCCTTGGATGTACATTCAGATACACACGATGTTCAGTAGTTGGTTGGAACGGGGTTGATCGGGGAGCACAAACAAGCGCGGCTGCACAGATGGGTAACATGGAACCATGTATGTGCATAGGAAAGGTGTGGGGGTTTACGGGGAGACTACGTCTGCAGAGGAGTACGTGTCGTGGGCAGTGGTGTAAGGTATGATACAGGAGTGGTTGCGGGGTCTATGTGGCATTTTGTTTGCACTGAAGAAGTGTTCGGGGTGGCATCGGGCCATGGAGTGGACGGACAGAGGGGCCAGAGGTAAGATACAGAGGCCAAGATTCGTCATACTCTTCGTCGTCTGATGTTGCGCTTTGGGTGATGACCTGTGATCCCCTCCTTTTGCGTGTGGCTTTCGGTTTCGAGGTCAGCTCGGAAACCCTCATGACACCTGTCTGTACTTTCCGTCGCAACTGAGCCTGTCCACAATAAACGATTCATGGAAGCTCTGCGTGAACCAGGTTTTCGTGGAACACTGGGTTGTGGGTGCATACAGGAGAAGGGTAAATGGCGGGGAATGATATATGTAATAGCACACGAGGACATAGCAAATGTGGTGGCGATGAGGCCGCAGGCCAAGGCAGACACAATAGCCTACGAGCTCCTCCGGTCTTTCATGATCTCTTTGGCGATCTGGACCATGTTGGCCAGAATTACATCTGGGCGGTTGGCGTGGGCGACCGTGACGGCGTGCATCGGCATACCCTGCAACTGCAGGTAGAGGAGGCACGGCCACGGAAGTCGTCGTACAGGCATGTGTGGTTGTCGATCTTCCCCTTGTAAACGTCGAAAAACGTGTGGTCGAGATGATCCCACACGCCCAGTCGAAGACGGCCGCAAGCGATTCCAACAACGGTGGAGATGGCGGCACGGGTGCCATCTGGGAAGGTCGAGGCCAGGATTTGCGCCCAAGCGTCTTTGTCGTCTTCGGCGGGGAGGAGTGCGTCCGGCATACGGCACGTTATTTCCTCGACAATACGGATGCTATCGGCAGCCTCGGGGCAGGAGATGTACTGCTCCCAACCCCATGCGTCAAGGAGGTTTACATTGCACCCTCCACGGTCCCGGTCGGTGAGGCCCAGGGCAGAGATGAGAAAGTGCTCGACCGCATGTCGCGCCTTGTAAGGTGCGAGGGGTCCTCCGTCGTTGGTGTTGAAGACCAGAAAAGTGTCCCAGTCACGTTGGTTGCCGCCGCACACTGTCGCGTCAGCTTAGACATGAAAGCATGTCACTCACGATCGCGTTCTGCGCTGATGCGCAGGTTAACTGCGGGCTGGTTACTCCTATGGCCGTTGGCCGTGTCTACACGCCGGGCAACGTTGATCGAGAAACCTGCGTATCCAGTCGACGTCTTTGGGCGCGTCAGTACATCTCGTGTCTTGCCGTGTTGTCCACTTACTTTAGGGTCCGTCACCAGAACAGCGAGATCTCCGGTGCGTTCGAACAGATCGATGGCGTCTCTGTCGACCCATGGGCGTGTGGCAATGAAGTACACGCCGTCCATGTCGTGGTCGGTGGCGTCCATGCCCAGACAAGGGATGTGCCTCAATGTCGCAAGGTCGTATCCTTCGCGCATCCTACACGTCAGTAAAAAACGCAAACTGGTGTTACACTGTCACTCACGCTTTCAATGTGGCCTTCAACACCTTATGGTTGCCGATCTCACTGGACACGAAGAAGGGAACCAGCATGCCTTGGACCTTGGGGCCACAGCGCAGGTGAACCCACTGATACACTTCTGTGCCAAGGGCACTCGTGAATGGCCAGGACGGGACCATCAGGCCGTCCCCCCAGGTATAGACGGAGACGCCGTCCAGGAGTGCCGTCTGCATCATGTATGTGAGTATGAGCACGCCAAACGTTGAAACAAACCTCCGCGTCAGTAAACACACTCGTTCCGCCACCCACGTCCACGAGTCTTGATTCTCTCTCGCCATTGGTCGCACGTGCAATGTAGTCATCTCAAGGGTTGGATACCGGGTCGGTGAGTCGGTCTTCAGACGTAAAGTACTCGTCGTCCATCACGCGCATGGCGTCATCGCTCAGTTGAGGGGGCTGCCCAACTTGCGCGGAACCTTGGGGCCGGGTTTGGCCTGCAAATTTGCGCGTGTCGTCGCTCACTGTGGGGGTCACGATCAAACCCTCAACCTTGGAGATGATGCGGAGAAGGTTGGCCCCGGTAGTGGGCTGTACGAGACGTTGACGATTGATAAAGGCGAGTTGCTGGTGGTTGTAGGCGTACTTGCCCTCATTCTGGGCCATCGCCGCCAACTACAAACCTTCGCGCGACTGTTGCGGGTTTCCAAATCTCAACTCCCTTGGCTATGGAGAAGGTAAGTACATGTTGCGGAGACCGTACTGCGCGACACTCACAAGGCGGACGATGTTCTTGAGAGCGTAAGCGGGGTGGTTGCTCCTGTTCGGGTCTTTGAAGGTCGAGGGGTGCGGCAGGTCGCGGTATATAGATGAGTTGTTGTCGCTGCTGCCCACGCCGTGCTCGTCTGACATCCCAGCGTGTACCACAACATTCCGCGTCGCCAACGAGGCACGCCATTCCACGACGAGGAATGGTGGTTCCAAGTGTGGCCGCAGCTCGGCGCCGTCCTCATTGAACTGCAAGCAGGAACTCGGCATATCCTCGCCCCAACTGGCCTAACACAGATTAGCTTGCGTATGCAGGGGAGGCAAAAACAGACGACGGTTGGCTCCATTACTCACAACCTCGAGCAGTCGGCAAAGTGCTGGTCCGAGCTTGCTGTTCGTTGGGGGCAACGAAAAGCACAGCACAAGCTTGGGGTCCTCCGGGTGAGGGCCTGATGGGACCACGACGCGGAGGTTGTTGAGGAGCTCAACCGCACGGCCGATGCAGTTGCCGTTGGGCAGCTGCGTCTGCCGGTGCGCTTGGGCAAACTTATCGACGGAAGCTTCGAGCATGTCGGCTCGCTGTTGTCAGCGTTGGTCGCCGAACAAACTACTCACAGTCGCAAAGGGGATTGGCAGGGGTGAAGGCCACTCGTCCAGGCTCCAGGTCCACGACATCGTTGCCGGGATGGGCATGCCACGCGGCACCATGTCCTCAGCCTCATCGTGCGCGCTGGCAAACTGCGCAGCGGCGATGCACATGTTGGGCGAGATGTACATGGTGCCTTCCTTGAAGGCGGCGCGGGAGAGGAACAGACTTGTACTGGACGATTACCTGGTGGAAAAGTCCGTCGTACAAACACAGCTGCCTCCTGTCCTTGGGCCCCACAACGACGGTGTGTCCGGCCGTGGAGTCAGGCGAGCGAAACTTCACGCCTTGCACGAGGAGCATTGGACCAAACAAGTTGCCGGCGGAGCGGAGGACGGAAACGCAGGTGTCGATGGTGACAGCATGCTCCAGTAGGCCGTGGTGAGGGGGAAGGGAAGGGGTTTTGCCACGAGTGGCCATGGTGGTCGGGCCTTGTCGCCAGACATCGTGTAGTGGGAGGTGCACGTAATGCACAAGGTCAACGCGACGCTGGGATGTCAGTGTGGCACGCTAGGCGGCAACTCAGCCTCCACAGTTCGCCATGTTGCTCAGCGTGCCTCCATACGTGTCGCCGAGACAGGCATTGCCCTGGTACATACAGCTGTAACTAGCCCATGAGATGGGCAGGATTGCTACCAATACGCTGGTTGTTAGACATGGTCATGTCGATGATGACCTTGTCCGGCACTTGGAGGCCGTCGGCGAGGAACCAGAACATCCGGAAGTGGGCCATGCAGAGCATCTTGCCCGGTTCAGCTTCTGGCCATTGCATGCCCACTTCAGGATGTTATCCGTCTGGTCCGTACAGGCACTCGTGGCACTGGACTCCGTTAGCTTTTAAGAACGAGCTTGGCGTCGTCGTCCGCGAGAGCCTTGATGCGCTTGTGTTCTGCTTCCTTGGCATCGCCAGGGGGCATGGCAAGGAATGGATCCCGTCGGTGCTCCACTTTTCGCAGTTGGCCGCCCGGGGGTTGTTTACCACAGGAGGGAGATGGGAAGGCAACGTCATGTCGTACCCCTCATCCTCAAACGTCCGCCACGACACGAGGAGACGCGCCTGCAGGTCGAAGTCCTTACCGAACCGAATCCCATCGAGAAGCGAACAGGCCGTGACCAGGGTGAGCTGACCTCCGAGGATGTTGTGGCTTCGGACGTGACGTGCGATCATGACGCGGTTGACCGGGTGCGCATGGTTCGTGGTAAGGAAGGTGCCGAAACGATCTTGCATGAGGCCAGCGACCTGGCTCTTGTTCGTGAAGGAGATGGTAGGGGTGTTGACCACCACCACGGCAAACGCGAATGCAAACTTGTCGTAAAAGCCGACATCCATGGGTCCAACGATGGAGTCGGGAAGCTTTGTGGCCGGGTTGAACGCCTCCAGGAAGTGTGGGCCAAAGCGCAGGTAGTGATGAAGCGGCCAGTTTCCAAAGGAGTAAGCTGGGTCGTTCTTGGTGCTGTGGTCGGGTACAGCAGGTCTCCTGTTGCATGGACCTTGACCTTGACCGCCTGTCCGGCGTGAGCGGGGAGTGTGAACCTTTGGTCGGCGAACCAGGTTATGGCCTCGTCGCCGTCGTGGCCACCGGCGGGTTTGACCAGGAGAAAACCGGGGTTCTTTGCCAGCCGCTGGAAGACTTGCTCCTCGACCTGGTCACGCTACACAGTTAGCTGATGTACTCTTCGGCTCTGTAGGCATATACAGGCATATACCTACCAAGCCCTCAGTCACGCGAAGTCCAACACCGCCGCCAACGCCATGTCTTCCGGTTCCGACTTGACCGTTCGTCACGAGCAGGATCGGGTCGCGGGTGGGGTCGGCCAGATGGGTGGCCACGTCGTTGTCCATCTGGACGAGTCGCTCCACAACCGACAACGCCATCTTCTCTGAAGTGGTGCGGTTGGGATCCAGTTTGACGATGTTGGCTTCGACGGCGGCCGCGACGAACGACGCGAGCTTGGCCTTGCTGGTCGTGGTAAAGGGCGGATGCATGCGTGCACCGGGGAACGCGGTCTGACGTATGATGTCGGCAAACTCAAGACACTCAGTCAAAGTGGCTGGCATGCAGAGCATGATGAGTATGTAGTTTGCTTGGGTATGTTAATATTAGATTTTGGAAACAGACCAGAGCGGAAGGAGAGGATGTGCAGCTTCATCGGATCAGCTGGGACTCCAGACACACAGAGGGAGAGTCCACTCACCCTCGCTCTCACGTCACGTGCAGCTGGCAAAAACCTACCTTGGTTTCTCTCTACCTTGACGAGACGCGTGTTGTGCATATTGGTGTTTGCCACACAGCATCAAATACAAGTGTTTAAATTGTAATTTCCGTCGGTTTTTTTCTTTTCTTTGCTGGTAGACGCTGCTTTAACTGCCGTCGGGTCCAACCTAGCACACAGTCCACTATGAGCGCAGGATGGTACTACAACACATCAGCTCAGAACGAAACAACGTTCAAAATGCTTAGGAGCCATGTCCATTTTGGTGTTGGTCAGGAACTGGCGCTCAATGAAGGTGGTTGATTAAGCGATACAATAATGGTGTTAACTCGAAACAGCAACACTGCCGCTGTGACGAGCCACGAGCTCCGCTATGTGAACTGCTTGCGGGCAGAGGAATGGGAGCAATAGTTGTGAATGCGGGTTGAAAGTAAGAGGGTTGGGAGTGAGAGCATTGTGCATGTGCAGGAGAGACAATGAGCCGGAAATGAGAGCATGTGTTGTATGCATCTACAGCAGTCAGAAGTCAGGGACCAAGCATAGGACAGCATGCGAGTCACTGCAGATTGGCTTTGCTACGCTGTGAAAAGCAGACGATGCTTGGCGTCGCTCATTGCTGTCGAGCAGTCGGCACACCTTGGGGCTGATGTTGTTGTTGGACAATGGGAGAGCTGAGAGGGAGGCGCAGCACAGGCCCGGCGGCTGTTGACCTGCGGAACAACGATGCGCAGCGGCGTCAGGCTGTTCGGTGGGTCTGCCGGTTGGTCACGGATCCCCGACCGCCCTAGGGGTCGCGACCATAACCAAGTCCTTAGTCTTGTATGCATAGCAGATTCTTCTACGTTACAGACCCGTGTCTGCCTGGGCCTGCTAGCGAACTGGTAAGCACAATCTTGCTCCTGTTCCGAACGCATCGGCGTGGATCAGGGCCGGTTGGTTCAGGCTCAAGGCTTTTTTAAGATAACAGGGGTAAACGAGACAGGAATGATAAGCGACGCTGCTTGGCATGCTTGACTGTGCATCGCTCCGGTGCCCAAAACTGGATAAAAGTAGAGAACCGTATCGTGTGATCAATTCTGTCGTTACCCAACCCTTGCCACTCAAGCTACCATGGCACCCACTGCGTCAGACATCGAAAAGTCCGACATTGAGGCACAGGTCCATGTGGCAGAACACAATGGCCACTCGACAACGGACGACATTTTCAAAGCCCAAGATGGCGTCTCACGCGACACCGGGTTCCTAGCCCCGCTCTGGAAGGTCATGTTAATGTTTGACCGCGTGAGTTGACACTGCATCTGTGTGGGTTTGACTGACCTTCACAGTTTGGCGTCGAGTCGCGAGGCATTGAGCGCGTGCCCGAGGACGAGCGGCCGCACACCGCCTGGTGGGATAACGGCACTCTGTGGTTCTCTGTCAACGCCTGCGTGAGCACGTTTGGTGTCGGTTACCTCGGCCACCTGTACTACGGTATGGGGTTGAGAGACGCCGCTCTCACCATCGTGTTCTTCAACCTCCTCTCGGTCGCTCCCGTCGCCTACTTCAGTACCTTTGGCAAGGAGCTGGGTCTTCGCCAAATGGTGTTCTCGCGCTTCGCCTTTGGCGCCTGGGCCGGCAAGATCCCTGTCATTTTCAACATGATCGCGTGCTGCGGCTGGGCCAGTGGGTGGTTAGGTTGTGACCCCAGCTGACTGTCAAAGCTATGAACACCATTGGTGGCGTTTCTTGCCTGCGTGCCGTCGACACCACCCATCAGATTCCAGTTGTCGCGGGAGTCGTCCTGCTTGGTGAGTCTCGACGTCCCCTTGCATTACTGACCACACAGCCGTTCTGTCTCTGGTCATCTCATTCTGCGGCTACAGGTTCATCCACTTGTACGAGAGGTATGCCGGGTACCCGGTCTTGATGTGAGTTGCCACCCCACCACCGCTGTTGTTTTGCTAACGGACAGTGCCTTCCTGGTAGCCATGGGCACATCTGCAAAGTACATGGATCTCCCTGGCGCGTGGGGACCTAGTGGGCCAACCGAAGCCGCCGGCGTTCTCACGTTCGGATGTGCTATTGTTGGCTACGCGTGAGTCGACTCATTCCGAACCCAGGGAAGCAGGGCTGACAACAGGGAAGTATCGGTTGGATCGGTTTCGCGGCCGACTTTACTGTCGAGATGCCCAAGGAGACGTCATCGCACAAGCTCTTCTGGGCCACCTTCATTGGTCTCAGCACCCCATTGATCTTCATCGAGCTCATGGGCGCACTGGCCGTCACCACGTTTGCGGCGCGTCCGGACTGGGAAGTGTTGTGTGAGTCACCATCGTCCCACTTGAGCTGATCCCTCTCAGTCGACGATGGAGCCGTGGGAGGTTTGCTCGCCGCGCTCCTCGAGCCTGCCGGCGGTTTTGGCAAGTTCCTCTTGGTCATTTTTGCTCTGTCCACTGTTGCTGTCAACACGCCGTGAGCACAACACAGTCCATGCGGGTGCTTACGGAACAGAAACGTCTACATCTTCACTACCACGTTCCACGCACTGTCAAAATACTGCCAGGCCATCCCGCGCCCCTTTGTGGCCCTCATCGTCACTGTCGTCTACGCATGCCTCGCTGCCACTGGTGCAAATTCATTCAGTGCTGTCCTGGAGAACCTCCTTCTCTTCATCGCATACTGGTTGGCCATGTACGCCGGCATTGTCATGGCCGAACACGTCATCTTCCGCCGCTGCAACTTTGACAACTATGTGGCAGAGGACTACACCAACTGGCGTAAACTCCCTCTCGGCGCCGCCGCATTCGTTGCACTGGGTATGGGATGGATGGGTGCTGCCTTGGGCATGTCTACTTCATTCTTTACAGGGCCCATCGCCAAAAAGATCGGAGGCGGCGGTGATGTGGGCTTTGAGCTGGGATTTGCTTTTGCCACCGTCACGTTTATTCCTCTTCGCTACTTTGAGAAGAAGTACTGGGGTCATTAGGTAGTGAGGGGACTGGGAAGATATTTCTATTGTTTTATAGTGTCCGGGGGATGAACAGGTTAATGCGTTTCAATCCAGCTCAATGCCAGTTAGCCGCAATGGTGTGTAGACGTCCACTGCGACTCAAAATATGAACAAAATGTGTAAAAATCAGGTTAGGTGCCGATCACTGGGCAGTGTTGCGCCCCGAGGGTACGAGTCAGTCATTATGTTTCTTATCGCTACTCCATCGCGTCGCTATCGATGTCCAACGGCAAGACTGGAACGGCGCTTGTGCCTTGAATAGTCGGCACTGGTATCGGTCAAGTCCGGCCCACCTCAGGGACAGCCCGTAACGAAGGTGGACGCTCCCACTCTCAACACTACCACAGCAACATTGAGCTGGTCTCCATCGCATTATTCACCATGACACAGACAACCGCTATCCCCGACGCTACGGCAGGACCCAAGGTCAACGTGGCCCTTGTCCAGATCCGTGTTGCTCCACCCGACGATGTGCAGGGCCAGTGTGCGCACATGCGCGAGCTGGTGCTAAAGGCAGTTAAGGAGGGCAAGGACAAGGGCAACCCGGTCAACATTGCGGTTCTTCCTGTGAGTACGACTACTCTCTGGGTCCGAGCTGACAGTGTAGGAAATGTGGAACACCCCGACAGTAAGGATTGTTCTCGCGGACACAGCTGACATCAGACACACGAGCAGCTTGTCAAGCTTGCCGAGCCTCTCCCGCAGCCTGGTGCGGCGGCATCGTCTTGGCCCGACGGCGCGTACACGGCCCGTCAGCTCTCAGCAGTTGCCAAGGAAGCAAACATTTGGATTGTTGGAGGTGGGTATCTGTATGAGTTTGCGCTGACCTACTCAGGAAGCATCCCAGAGGTGGACGACGAAGGCCGCCGATACAATTGCGCTACTGTCTGGTCTCCAGAAGGTACGCCGGTCCACTCCACAACCTCACGCTGATCCCAGGTTCCCTGGTGCAAAAGTACCGCAAGACGCACCTGTTCGACCTGTGCCTCCCCAAGATGACGTACAAGGAGAGCGACACCTTCTCGCCCGGCCAGTCGCTTGCTATGTTTGACACGCCGTACGGCCGCTTCGGACTGGCAATCTGCTACGACTTGCGCTTTGCCGAGATTGCCACTTTGGCCGCGCGGCAAGGTTGCGTCGGCGTCTTCTACCCTGCCGCGTTCAACACGCACACCGGCCCACTCCACTGGCAGATCCTGCAGCAGGCAAGAGCGCTGGATAACCAGATCTACATCGCGACGTGTAGTTGCGCGAGGGACGAGACGGCCAAATATGTGATTGTGAGTACCAAACGGAAACGCAGCGCAGGCATCTGATGCGTGCAGTATGGCCACTCAATGTCGGTCTCACCTATGGGTGCTGTCATCGCGACCGCGGAGGAGAAGGAAACGATTGTGCATGCCACTTTCGACCCCCAGGTCATTGCTGACACGCGCGCGGGCATCCCACTGTTGGCGCAGCGGCGGTTTGATCTGTACCCCGATATTGCGGCTGTCGTGGCGAACGGGACAGCATAGATCACTGTCGTATTAAGATCTTGAGTCCACTGGCCACTGGGCGCGCTGAACTGGTGTGAGGCCATCTTTTGGGAGCAGGCATCGTGCTATCCGGCCACTACAGCTCGTAGATCAGTCAGTGTTCAGTGCCGCAAACATTTTTAAGTATTCTCTGGTCCCAGCAGTCTCCATGGATGCCTCTTTGTAACGCAACCAAGCGCCATTGCATAGCTCTATCCATGACCCAGACTATCTAACGCAAACAAACCGGAGTCTGCTCGACACTGTATCACAGTCAGCTGCGTTCTAAAAACGGATTTTGGGAATACAAGTGAACACGAAAGTAGATCAGACAATGGCTGCCTCTTACGAGGTAGGTTCGATTCCAAAGGGGGTATCGACACACATGAATGCGAAGAGGGAGTCCCATATTCATCAGGGTGAAGAGAGAATAGGAAAGACAGGCAGAGAGAGATGCGCGAGGGGGAGATAGAAAGTCACGACCAAAACTCACGTTTGAAAGAGCTGGTCCATTAACGGAAAGTGCTTAGCGGGTCTTGAAGTAGTCAAGGAGGACCTGGAGGCCGGCGGTCTCGGCACCGTAGTTGGTGACGACGACACACGAGCAGCCGACGATCTTGCGGGGCTTGCCCTCGCGGTCGATCTTCGAGAGACCGGCCCACTGGCCGAGGACCTTGGCGTCCGAGACCTTGATGAGCTGGATGTTGTGCTCGGCGCAGAGAGCCTCAATGAGCTTCGAGTACTCGGCCTCAGTGACGGTCTCGACGAGGACACAGAGGTGAGCCTCGCGCTTGTCGAGGGCCTTGGCGGACTCGCGGAGACCACGGGCAAGACCGTCGTCTGAAAAAAGGAGTCAGCACGGAGAAAAGAAGAAATCGAAAACCGAAAAGTGGCGGTTTGTGACGTCCATCTTCAACACGCCATAACTCGTCCAATTCTGGTCCGTTTGCCTCCAAACAAAGACAGAAATGTAGAGGAGATGCGTGCGAGTCGAGTGGATGCATCAAACCAGCCAAAATCTCAATTCCTGGCACCCACGGATCAGAGCGGTCTTGATGACATCCTCGAGAGCGGCCTCGACGGACATGGGGCCCGACTTGTCGGCGACCTCGACCTGGTCGACCTGCTCGATGGCAGCGTTGGAAGCAGTGGATCCGGCGTCAGACATTGTGATGGTCTTCTTCCACCGTTTGTGTTTTAGGGTGAAGTAAAGGAGTGAGGAATCGACTTCGTTGAGCGCGCACGCGAAATTCACCGTCGTCGCTCGGCAGGTGGCCAACCGGCGTTTTCGGAGTTTTCTGACCGGCAGGTTTTCAGGGTCTGTGGCGATTTGTCAGTGCAGTGGCACCGTCGCGAAGAACATAGCGTGGTTTTGGAGGCATGGGGGCCTCCTTGCCGAGTATAACAGACGTATGCTCGGAAAACTGGAGGTTGTGCAAGGGAAAGCAAGGCAATTCGATACAGTTGTCCTTATCCCCTACAACGACGACGAACCAGCGCTGGCAGTGATTGATCCGTCAGTGCGTGTCCGCGGTCACAACTCGGCGCCAATGTGGCCCCAAGGAACATGCTCAACTCGACATGCTCTCGACCTGCTCCATGTTGCACAGACATTCAGCGGCTCTGCTTACTGGTACTCTCAGTAGGGTTGATTCATTCATAAACGTGTCTATTACCCTCGCTGCATCACTCAAGATATGGAGACCATGAGGAGTGTCATGTCGCCATTGGTTAGGCGCGACGCTCCAATGCCGTTGCCGGCAACGCCGGCGAGGCGGTGTGAGTGGTGGCTGGTGAGGTGGTCGGCGGCGGTGGCTCGAGTTAGCTGTGTGCCACAATTGTAAGGGCATGGCGTGTCGGTGTGCTCGGGTAGACCGAGGATGTGGTGGGAAATGTGCTCCAGCTGTGACTGGCGGTTCTTGAACATACTCACGCGCACGTTGACGTCGAGGCTGTCGTCGAGGAGGCAAAAGGGGCATGCCATGATAGCGTTGCTGCCGCTGTGTGTATTGTCGCAGCCAAGTGCCCGAGGGTTTGCCTTCACTGAGATTAGGAGGGGCTCTAGGTGTCCGCGACGGTGCGGGATCACTCGGTGCCGACCGACGTGCAACTCGTTGCAGCAGAAGATGACGCTCTCAGACGCTATGGACGTCACGGAGAATATACCCACGATGTCATGAGCCTGCTCTAGGTGCGCGGGAGACACGGGAGCACCGCAGACATCACCATTGAGGTTTGCCACGCGGCACTGGGCGTTATTGAGGTGGCTCCTGTACGCGTGTACTGCGAGTGCTTCTGGGGTGGCTTCAAACCCGTACCCTTGGCAGTTGAGGAAGGGGCAGTTGTCGAGGCCATGTACCTCGGCGGAAGCTGTAACCAACTGGCGGGCGGCATTCTGCACTACACACTCGGTTAGGTGGTGAAGCCATTGGTTGGTGCTCTCGTCCTCGTGTCGGATGCGGTCACAGACAATGCAAATGGCGAATTCGTCGTCGGCATTGACAGCGACAATGTTAAGCGACAGCGCGCGAGAGTCGATGCCAGTAATAGTCGTCGAACGGCCAATCAGCTCGATCAACTCTGGACGCGTGGCAGGGGCAGAGTCGAACAGGATAGTCCGAAGCTTCACGCCGTCAAGGACGAGTCCAGGGTACGGCGAGGAAATCTGGGCGGCCAGCTCGCGGAACTTGAGTGCGCGCCAATCTGGCGCGTTCGGATCGACCGCGACAAGGCCAAGGTCGCCATCTCCATCCGTCTCAGCGGAGGCATTGGCAGCGCCTGGGGCTGGCGCAGAGGAGGAGGCGACGGAGCAGGTCCCCGAGACGGCGAGGGGGCGGGCATCGGTTGGGGAGACCGAGCTGGGAAGTGAGGCCTCGTCGGCTTCGGTGAAGAAAGCGACACTGTGGCGCCATTCCTCCCAGACAGTCTCTTGGAGACCCCAGAGCTTATCGAGGGCGACTGGACTCTCGGGTCCAGGGTCGTGCTCATCGCTGGGTGGTGCCCAGATGTCGTCGTCGTCGTCGTCGTCGTCGTTGTCGCTGAAAATGTCGTTGTCGCCGTCGTTGTCGCTGACGGAGCAACACTCGTCGTCATCTCCATCGGCATCGGCGTCTGGGTCTTGCCCCAGACCACCCAGGGCGTCAAGGATAGCAGCAGTACTGTATGCCCGCCTCTCCTCATGAAGGCGCTTCTTGAGGAGATACCACCGTCGGTTGGCGGCTCGCTTTCGGGCGGCAACATACCCTGCAAACGCCCCGCGGGTTACTGGCTTTGGCTTCCGCAGCGGTGCGGAACCCAGCCATCACCTCGTCGCGCAGGCGCTCGGTGTTGGACGAGTACTTGACGAGTTTTGTGTCGGCGTCGACCTTGAGCACGCCGTCGGGGGAGACAACAGTGGGGGCGCCTGGCATTGCGTAGACCAGGCCACGCACGTCGGCAGCAGTGTCGTCCCTCACGTGCTCGCCACCGCCAATAATGCGGGCCTGAGCATCGATGGTGGTGGTCCGCGAGAGATAGTGCTGCGTCTGGGTAGTCGCGTGTGGCCCGTGGCCTATGGCAGAGTTGCGAGCTGACTCGGTGTAGGCTATGTACCGAGTTGGTGGCATCGATCGCTTGCCGGCGGAACATGCCGAGGTACACCCTGTCGAGGCACATCGTCGCCTCACCAAGCTGCAGGAGGCACTTGCGTGCTGCGGCGTACGTCTGGCCTTCAGTTGGGTGCGTCACCCATGACCCGTCCTGAAAGACAGTGGCACGCAAGACGCGGAGGTGCCGCTTGTCGTCCTTCATCGGCAGCTCAATGAACTTGTTCGTCGTCTGCCGGATGAGGTCAGGAGGGATGGCGTAGATGTCTTGTGCGGTGCCGAAAATTCACAAAGACATCGTCCTCGAGGGCAAGTGGAAGACCAATGACGATGGGGTCAAACGCCCTGTTGCGGTCATGGTCGACCTCGCGGAGCACCATGTACTTGTACTCCGACGAGTGACGGTGACCTTTCAGCAATCGGAATTTGACCATACACCGAAGCTCGATGCGGTCGTCCTCGCCCACGACCACAAACCAGCGCTGGTCCTGATCCAATATGTCAGCGCCTGTCCGCGGTCTCAACTTTGTGTCGATGTGAACAAGGACCATGCTCAACTCACACCGTGCTCGAGACCTGCGTTCTCGGTCTCGTAGCCGCCAGACGTGATGGTCTCACCACTCCGACTCACCCCAAACGTGATGGCATCGAGCAGGTACATCGTCTGGTTCCGCTGGTGCACGTCAGCAAAACACCCACACAGAGAGGCAGTCGTTCTTCTAGCGAAGGAGCCACTCACCTCGCGGGCTGTACGCCATGACACGTCGTCCGAGTACGCGGCCGCAACGAAGTGTCTGAAATCCGCCGACGTTGGGGTCGGCTTGTCCAGCATCTCCGTGTGGAGACCAAAGTCGGTGAGGTCGGTGGCGATAAACTAAGAGAAAGTCAGGGGGGCCATTACTGTGAGGGCTGGCCGTGTACTCACCGCCGCAAGCTGCTTCCTGTCTTCCTGTGACAAGTGATTTCGGGTCAGGACCCCGTAGGCGGAGACCGTTTCGCGCATGTCCGCAAGGACTACGTTCAACGACAGCTTGCCGTCCTCAGCGATCTTCCCGTCGCCGTCCCTCAGGAGAGTCTTCCAGTGAATGTAGGCCTTCCACTCATCTAGCTTGTCAGTCTATTGACCGCCGACGATACCATAGAGAGACACACTCACCAATGGCCAAAGGCCCTGCACCCCTTTGCAAAGCCCTCGCGGCAAAACCAGGCTCAGTCATGTCGAGGTACGCCTCCAGTCATTGAAGTCGACGAGCCCGGTGCAGAACGGTCGAGGGGCCGACCCGTTTTTGATAGTCTGACACATCCAACTCGGCTTGCTTGGCCTGTATGGCGTCCCTTGTGGGTGGGGCATGGTTGAGCAGAGCAGTCCGCAAGCGAGGATGAGGTTGCTAGGCATGAGGTTGTTGAGTGTAGGTAGGGGATTGTTGGATGAGTGGATGGAGCAAGAAGAAAGGACAAAACAAAACTGGCAAAATACGGCTTTAAATCAGTCGTGTGACGTGTGGCACGCACCAGCACCTTGCGCCCCCAGTGAACCTCTCTCACCGCACCGCGGGCGCGCCCCCCCCCCCCCCCCCCCCCGGGGATCTGTCTTGATGACTTCCTCGAGGGCAGTTCTGACCGACATTTTGCCTCTGCCTGCCATCGCAATGACGTGACGTCATCCCAGGCCTGCTCGACCGGCGTTACTTGTCTGCAACCTCGACCTGCTCGCGACCTGCCCAAGCAACGGCATTGTGCGGTAGATCCGGCGTCAGACATCGTGTAAGTGATATTCTTCAAACACTATGCGAAAGAGCACGCGCTCGACATGGTTCGGAGCCCTAAACCGACATCGTCCATACCACTACTCGCTACCCCACCACAGTGTTAACTCCATACGGCGCACGCGCCTGTGGCGGCATGTAACTCATATCACTCCTGCGACCGGGCCCAATGACGTTCGGGTCGGTCCCGTCACACAGAGCCGCCCAGTCGGCCGGCCTGGAAAACGTCTTGACAGCAGCAGACCCAATCACGACCGCGGCCATCTTGCCCGCGGCCAGGTGCCAGCCAATGTGGCAGTGCAGTGGCCAGACTCCCGGATCATCGAGCTTGATGCGGAGGACGGCGTACGACCACTGCGGGATGACGATGGTGTCCCGCCGGAGCGGGTTGGTGGTGGTGGCGGCCGTGCTGCGGGTGAGAGCCCAGAGGGTGCTGGTCATGGCGCCAGAGCCGCGCTTGACAATGTAAAAGGGGCGGCCGTGCAGGTGGAATGGGTGGCCGATGGGCGGCGGGTCGAGGACGTTGATGATCAGGTCTGCCGAGCCCTGCCCGTCAAACGTGACCGAGGCGACTTCGTTGCCGCCTATCGCGATGCCGTCCATGACACGGGTCAAGAGCGGGTTGTTGATGTAGTTCTTGTAGGCTACGCCGTTCATACCAAAACCCATGAATGCAGTGTGCGTGTTGGGGTCGACAAAGATGCCAAAGAGCGAGTTCATGACCGCAGTTTGGGACGTGGTTGTGGGGGCATTCTCCTTGATGAGCGGGACGAGAGCGGTACCGTCGTCGTCGAGGTCCTGGCAGACGGCGACGTTGGGGATCTTGAGGTTGGACCACGGTTGGGTTGTGGGGTCAGCCAGGCCGACACTGCCACCTGCTGCATCGGTGTAGCGCAAGATTCCGACCCCATTGACCGTGGCCAGCGGGTTGATGCAGAATGTGGCTACGTGTGCGCGGATCCAGAATGAGCTGCCCGCGGCACCTTGGTTGGCCTGCACGACAACAGAGTAGCGCTGGCCGGCACCGACGGGGATCTCGTTGACCCATACGCTCTCGACTCCCGTGTCGTCTGCCTCGATGACGCGGAGCTGGTGGTTGTCGATGGAGAAGCGGATCAGGGCCTGCCCCGAGTGGTTGATGAGGCGGAGACGCGTCTGTTTCCCTGCAATGACGTTCACCTCGGCAGGGTGGTTCTGCGTGCACGGTACCCCGCGCTGCGCGTTGTTGCAGTTGGCCTGGCCGATACCGTTGATGAGCACCGCGTCGGGCTCGACGACAAAGGGGATACCGCGGTATGGGGTGAGGATGTTGGTCTCGTTCTCAATGATGACTTCCGAGTCGTCATTCATAAAGTCGCCAATGTAGACCACCTGGTCATCGTCATAGTCTACGCCTTGGACGAGGGGGTCGTTCTTTGCGTGGATCAACAGGCCGCCAACCAGGCCGTCCGCGAGCGTGTTTCCATAGTGCGAGTGGTACCAGTACGTACCCATCTCGCCGTCCACCTGGAAGCGGTACGTAAACGACCCGCCGGCAGGGATGGCACACTGAGAGAACCCGGGCACACCGTCCATGACGTTGGTGCCATTCTGCCTCATGCCATGCCAGTGGATGGTCTGGGGAATATCCAGGCCATTGTTGACATGCACGACCACCGTGTCGCCCTGGTTGGCCTCTATGAGTGGCCCAGGGTACTGGTTGTTGATGACCAGCAAGCGGCGGTGGAATCCGGCTGGAGCACCGGCCGCATACCCTATGTTGAAAGTGTACTCGCGCTCCTGGGGAGCCGCCGCAAGGGCGGCTGCCGAACCGCCCGACACGGTAAATGTCGGTGGAGCTGCTGCTGTGGTCGAGGTGGCCGGGATAGGCGGCTGCGAGTAGGACCAGAACGCGCCCCAGGCAGGCAAGGTCGGCGTGACATATGGCTGCGGGGCTGGGAACGAGACGAAGACCGAGCCGGTCACGCTGGGAAGTGGGGCCGTGTTGGGACCGGTGGTGGTGATTGTGATGAGCTGGGATGCGGCGTCCAGAAGGCCAGCTGTAACGGAGGAAGGAGCCTGGGAGGTGAGAGTTGACGCTGAAGCGGCGGCGGTGGTCGATGCAACAGTGTCAGATGCTGTGGTGCTTGACGAGGCTGTTGGCGTGGTCTGTGCAACGGCAAAGACCGGCGCGAGACTGAGCACGGCCACAGGCAAGAGGCGCATGATGGTAGTTAGTCCTTCACAAGAATGTCGGCGAGTCTATCCCATGTCTCGTCGTTATAAGTTATTCACCTTCAGGGCGACGGCAAGCGATTACACCTAGCCAACAGATGCTGACCCACATCACCCACCCGGTACGGACACCCCCCAGGCTGCCAAGCACAGTGGTCTTCAGGAGAGATGTGGTGTTGTTGAGTTGAGGCTTTGAGGCTTTAAACCAGATCAACCCTGAGAACGCGAAGCCGAATAGGCCATCACAGAAATTAGTTGTTCCTGTTTCGTGTTCCGTGGAATCACCCCGCGGCGAATGATCCTCCTCCTCCTTTCCACACCGCTGAACACCGTGTGCAGGGGGTATGGTGCGCGGTTGTTGACAAGGATGACCGACTGCAAGGGGCTGCGGGAGACTGTACACAGGGGTACAACACTCCCGTGGACCTTGTCAGTAGTGCCACCTGGCCGCTCAGTAAGGTTTGCCGAGGAACGGCTGGGTGGTCTGATTTCCAGGTATGGACGCTTGGTGGCGCTCGTCTATTAATTACGAGGCGAATGCGAGTACCCTTGACGAGAGAGGAGGGGTGCGAAGTACCTGGAAGACGTTACAAGTACGGAAACCCAGTATGACGCGGCGCTTGTGAGTAGGTTTAGACAGCAGTGCTCGAACGTGTCTGTTATGGCCATCTGTCGGAGTATGGGTTTGCTTTCAAGGGACGCGCGAGAATCTACTCTGTAGGGGTGTAGAACGTCTTGAGCTTGGCGCCTCTTGTCAATCAAAGAAAGTGAGGCAAACACTCTGTCGTCAGCCAAAAGTAATAGATATCATAACACCGTTGGTGAAACGGTATCATGCGTCGTTGCCACGTGCAGTCTCGACGCGGCAGGGGTTCGACTCCCTTACGGTGTATCGCAGCGCCTCGAGTACCTCCCAAGGTCCTCGAGCAACCTTTTTCGATGTCCAGAGGAGGACGAGGTGACACGGTACTGGGAAGAGGAAGGAGTTCCGACACTGAGACGCCGTGTGGCCGCGTGACGCATCGTGCAGAGTTTATTCGCGACGTCAGGACGTCAATGGCCCTTCCTGGTGTATGCTGGCAGTCCTTGTTGTGAGTGCATGGCCATGGTGGGCGGCGAGGGGAGAGTTGGCAGGAAAAACGACGGGAAGGTGGAGAGTGGGGGGCAGGAGGACGCCCACGCGCGCGCCACGCCACGCGTTTTGGTTCCGTAGCATTGAGACACACAATTTGATCCCGCTCCTCCGGCTAAACCCGGCGGCCAGAGTGCGGTTGTGCCTCCGCGCTTCGCCACCCGCCCGATGCGGCGAGCAGCGAGATGGGCAAGCACCCGGGGCATCCATCGACATGCTGTTGCTCATGCTTGCTTCATAACAGTCCTAGTTCTCGACATACGCGACTTGCGACTTGCGACGGGTGTGAATACAGTGGTTGAGTCGAAGGCCTATGGCCGGTGCGAAAAACCAGGATTACTGGAGGATGGGAGGGAGGTTCATGTCGCGCTTGCAGTAGTGGCAGTTCCAGCTGCCCTCGTGGTCCTTGACGGCGACGCAGGGCGCTGGGGGAAAGAGTCAGTACACCAGCTGTTGCCCGTCACGTACAGCCAGCGTTGGCGCGGTTGGTGGCGTGGCCGACGCACTGGGGAGGCGGGTTGTGCTCCATGGATGGCAAGGTGTGGATGTGTGTGATGTGTGAGAGAGACGAGAAGAGGATTGAAACGACAGAGCGAGCCAATTCCCGCCGCATGTCGGGATCGACCGGTTCCAGATGCGGCTGTGCCTACGCGGCGGCGACATTACAATGGTGTGGCCTTCAGTCTCACCACTGGCCGCTGGACTCCCTCCACTCGGCGCCGTGTCTGTCCACTCACGAGTCAGCTCACAGCCCAAGTGTACAAGTGTGCGTCAAGCTGGAAGTGTGCGTCAAGCTGGGACGAGGACATGACAGATGTAGCGTGCATGACGTCACAGCACGCACGCACCTCAAAGGACAGCAGAGGGAACTCCCTCCTTTGTCCGTGAGCACTTAACTTCGCTCCTCATGAATCCTCTCATAGGTCTGACTCACAGTGGTACAGTAGCCTGGCAATGTACATACGAGACGATCGAGTCTCTCACGACCCCTGGCCACGCACATGTCGCATGTCGCCAGGAGACGGAAAGACAATAGAGTACAATAACAAAAAATACAAGCTGGAATACAACAGCACAAGAAGCCAAGGTATCGCCCAGGCCACACACTTCACGCAACAAGGGGGCCCATGTCGCCTGCACCCCAGACGACGCCGTCCTCGGCCTCGGACGGGCGCGCAAGCGAGAGGAACGTGTTCGCCGGGGCCTGGTGGGGCTGCGGTGTGCTCTTGTTCGTCATCTTGGTGCGCGACGGCAGCTGGGCGCCGCAGTACCAGCAGACATGGTCGCAGTCTGCGCACGGCTCTGGAGGGAGGAGGTGTCAGCGCTGTGTGAATTGGACCGTTTGACAGCGAGCATGTCCCCGGATCCCCTGGTGGCCTGGTGGGGGAACGGAGAACGCCACTCCACTCACCGCCAATGTTGCGTCCCACTTCGTTGCCACGGCAATAGGCCCAGGGAGACATCTTGTGTGTTTGGGAGAGTGTAGATGTGGTGGGTGGTGGTGGTGGTGTATTTCAAAGAACTGTGGGTGACGACAAGATCTCGCCGTGGCACAGGATATATGAACCACTCGTCGTCCTCTTCGTTGCATTGTTGTGTGTGTGGTGTCGTCCGCCGCAAGCTGTAGATGGGGGCCATGGGTCCGTGCATCCAAAGGAGGACGGAGGGAGGGAAGGAGGCGTCGCGCCACCATAACACAAAACCATGCTTCATGCCGTTTTGTAATGTGTGCAACCCCCCGAAAGCCCCGGCGCGTTCGGACAGACGAGGGATCGAGGGAGAAGGTGGTAGTGTGTGTGGTGAGTGCGCCGGTGCGCCAGCTGCGCTCCTGCGCTGGACAGATTCCAGACAGGCGCGTGTGTGTTATTGTCTCACTTGTCCTGTCAGATCTGGGAGGTGACACACGGCCTTTGTCTCTCAACCTCTGAGCCTATGCGCCTCTGCTGCGAGCCCAATGCATGTAAAGTGCAGTGCAAATTGCATACGTGAATCGTGACTGTGGGTACCATGATGAAAGTGGATGAAAGTGGATGGAGACTGGAATGCGGGCGGTGGGGAGTGAGGGAGGTGATGTGAAGGGTGAAGGAAGGGGAGGGGGGGAGGGGGGGAGGGGGGGGAAGGGGCGATGGAATTGTTGTATGACAACCAAAGAAACGCAAACGGGTGGGTACAAATACAGGAAAAAACAGAGAGAAAAACAGACACACACAGAGACAGGGGAGATCGTTCCGGTCGTCCATGCTCAACGACGCAGGTTGAGGTTCCCAATCGCGCCCTTGAACTGGCCCCAGCGGCCAGAACTCGAGCTCGTGCCGCCCACGCTGTTACTGTGGGCGTGGCCGTAGCCGCCGTGGTGGCCCGAGACGGACACGGAGCGGCCCATGGGTTTGGAGGACGCGACGGTCTCGGCGCGCGACGGTGCGCGCTCGCTCTGCCAGTCGTTCGTGAGGACAGTGTACTCGCGCCGCCGTTCCTCCGAGTCGTCGCTCTCGTTCCCGTCCGCCGTGGTTGCGCCATAGTGCGACGCAAAGGCTGATCCGTGCGCCGAGGATGCGGCAAACTGGCGCGCCTGGGCGAGACCCTGGTACCGCATCGAGTTGACGCGGTCGTTCGGGCGGTGTAGGGACGAGGAGCGCGACATTGTGGTGCTGTTCGACCGGTGTACGCCCGGGACAGGCGAAGCGCGGGCCGACGGCATGGCGGTGACAGGTGCCGAGGAGGGGTGGCGATACCCAAGCGCCGAACGGGAGCCGCTGAGCTTGCGCGAGCCATACAGCTCAGAGACCATGGGCATCTGGCCGGACATGTGCGTGTTTCCCTCGGGTGCCATCGCCGTCATGGACGGGTCGGTGAGGCGTCGCTGGGGATGGGGCGGCTTCTGGTGCGGACCGGCAGTGAGCCAGTTGTCACTGCCAGACGTCGCGCGGCTGCGGGTTCCGGAGACATAGTCGCCCGACACGGTGCGGCTGCGCGTCACAGTAGCCATGGAGCGGACCTGCATGCCATGGATGGGCGTGGACGCCAGACTGCTCATGCGGTCGCGGTACGCCTTGTCGCGACGGTCGTAGACGTCGTGGATCGACGGCACCTTGCCCTCGAGTGCGGTGAATGAAAGGGATGGCGAGGTCGCGTTGCGCGAGTGGCGAGTCGCCGAGGTGGTCGAGCTAACAGACCGCCGCTTGTGCCGTCCACTGCTGTCACCGCTCGCACTGCTCGTGAGGGATCCATGCGAGAGACGGCTGCCGGTCTGGCTGCCGCTCTCGACGCGCGCAAACTCTTCGGCGAGAGCGTGCGTGTCGCCATATGCCGCGAGTTGGTCAGCAAGCGAACGGTACGAGTCCTCGGTGACTGGCATCTGCGCCAGCTCGAGCACGTCGCGCTCCGTCTGCTGCATTGCGTCACGCGCCTCGGCGTGCGTGGAGATCATCTTGAGCGGTGGGCGAGCGTCGTAGCTGTCGGTCACTTCGTGCTCGGGCACAGGCGGGAACTGTGACCCTAGGCTGTGGCCGCGAGCGCGACCGCCGCCACCACCACCACCATTTGCACGTCCGCTCGGAGACGAGGGGATGAAGCCGAGCGAGCGCATGTCGTTGGACACCTCATCCACAAAGGGTTTCGTAGCTCCCGGGGGAGTGACAGAGGGAGGTGTCTTGATGCCGCGGGAAGAGTTGGTTACGGACGAACCGACACTCTCGCCGCGAAGACGACGCGTCTCCGCGTCCATCTCGGACAGCTCGCGCAGTTCCGTGCTGGACGTGAGCTCCGAATCGTCCGGAGCGTCGAGGGTCAAAGCTGGAACGTCGATGGACGCCACGGGGCTCGAGTCGGCTGACCCTTGGGCTTGGGCGCGGGTCACTGCCAAGGCCTCAATGCTGGGCATGGCACTCTCAATAACGTCCTCGCGCTCGTCGTCGGCCGCCTCGGCGTCGCTGGGAGGGAAGAAGGGCGAGCTGGACATGCTGCTCGCAGCAGTGTCAGGGTTGGAGACGGTACGCTGTTCGCTTGGCATAGTGGATGCGCGTCGTTTAGGTCCATAGCCATTCATGACTGGCTCGCTGGGCATGCGGCGCGGGTGCGAGGGCTGTTTGCGAACCTCGGTCCTCGTGCGGCGCACTGTGACTGTGCGGTCGCGGTCCTCGTCGTCCTCATTCGCTCCCCACTCGTTGGCGAGAGGACTGGGGCTGATCACGCCGCGGACACGACCAGACGGGCGGCGGTCCCACGACCTCTCCACTGTTGACGGCGCAGTCAGGATGGGGCGGTCGGCCATGATGGGGGTCTGCGGCTCCTCGAAGAACCGAGTCTTGGAGACTGGTGCCGAGGTAACGGCAGCCGCCTCGAGCTGCGCGTTGAGCTCCATCGAGTCGATGGCCATCTTCATGAGCTCGGGGTCCATGCTCGCACGCTTCAGCCGGCGGACATTGGCGTCGGCTTCCGCGGCGGCAAGGACGCGCGGTGGCTCCAGCCGCTGCGGTGGGCTGGGGCTTCGGGAGGGTGGCGACTGGCCGCGGCGGAACAGTCCGAGGATGGCATGCTTGTTGAAGTTGCGGTCACGGGCACGACCACGGAAGAAGGAACCGCCGCTGTTACTGGGAGGGGACGATGGTGGCGATCCAGCGATCGACGGCGAAGACTCTTCCGTCTTGCGGATCGCGGTTCGGAAGGCGGTCCGACTGTTGGACGCCTTTTCAATGATAGCCGGCAGCGAAGGTCGACGAGACGAACGCATGGGGTTGTTGGCATTGTCGGCGTCCTGGTTTGGAGAGTTGTACGCCTCTTCGGTGGCGGCGGCATCTGGGGGCGCCGAATCGCCAAACGGAGACGGAAGGTCGAGGCTGGGCTCCCTGGTCTCTGCTCCTGGTGTTGCAGGAGTTGTAATGACATTGGGGGGCGTCGTGGGTGTAGCGTCGCCTCTTGTCAATGACAGCAGCCCCGTGTTGGCGTTTGTCGTCGGTGACGTGCGGGTACCACCGCCGCTGTTGCGGAAGCCGTTCTCGAGACTGTTGCGCAACAGGCGAATACCCTTCTCCGACGCAAGGGTGACCATACTGGCTGCACGTTCCTTTCCCTTGTTGCGCGACTGCTGCTGAGCGTCGCTAGCGTCGGACATGGCGCTGCTGGCTGCAGAGTCGGCTCGTGACCGGCGTGCGCCAGACGGGCCAGCCTCTGCGTCTCCATCACTTGGCGGCTTGGACGGCGTCTCGTTCATCTGTCGCCACACGCGAATGGTGTGTGTGATGTGTGCGTAGTTGCTCAACTCTGCGAGGTCCTCGGGGGTCATGCCATTCTTATCCGGCTTATCTGCGACGGCGCCGTAGGCGAGGAGAATCTCCACCACGGAAGCGTGACCGTTGGCAGCGGCAAAATGCAGAGGCGTGGATCCTGCGCGAGTGATGATCAGTGATGAGCCCGAAGAACGAAGAACCAAGGCAAGACACATGTGACGGCCGGGACGCCGGCAAACAGACGCCGTTGGGATCTGGGCACTCACCAGCAGTTCCGACGGCCGGAGCGTTGGACCCCCGCCTAAAGTCGCTGTAGCGACGGGGGAGGCGCGGGGCGTTGACGTCTGCCCCCCGCTCTATGAGCATGCGGACGACACTGACGTTGCCGCCCGAACTGGCCGCATGGAGAGGAAGGCAGCCGTGTAGTAGTGAATTGACAGGTTGACCGTGCGTCAGGGCATAGTGCACGAGACCAACGTTACCGCTGGCCGCCGCCGAGTGTAGCTCGAGGTTGGGGTCTGTGAGGTGACGGCGGCATTGCCAGCGAGCAGCACAGCGAGAGAGGAGCGAAGGGGATGGTGTGGTGAGGGGCGTCGTGAGAAAATGACGACGGTGATATGATGAGGTGGGCGAGGAGGTCATGTCAGCGGTTATTTTCTCTGCAGGGATGATGACAGGATTGCAGACGTGAGGTGCTGCAACGAACCCGTCTGGCTCGCCAGGTGTAGTAGCGTCGGCCCATCGTGCCGCCGGGTGCTGCTGTAGAGCACCACGGCGGCGGCGGCGGAAGAACGAGGCATCTCCTAATCGGCGGCGGCGATCATATGTCCTCGTGGGCACTCACAGTCCAGGACAACATCATATTTGGCCTCTACACGCTGGCTGCTGGAGGGCATCTTGATACCGAGCTTGCTTGCAGGGCGGCTGTCTGCGACCGACGCCGACGCCGACCCCGCGACCGATAGAGGCATGGTAGGGGAGCCTGAGCGCCGGCGAGCCGGCGGGTGTGGTGTGCGATGTGAAGAGTGGACGCACGAGACACGGAGGTACCAAAATGTAATGTGGTGTGGGGTCGTGTGTTTCGGGTGCGGCGAGAATGTGCGGTGGTAGGTGGCGAGGGGCGTATGCGACGCTTATGCGCAAGGAGTGATCGACCAAGCGCTTGCTTGTGATGGGCAGCCCATGTGTATTGCCGGTGTGGAAGGGTGGTGAGAGAGAGAGAGAGTGACGGAGAGAGAGAGAGAGCCGTGAGCAGCAGAGACCGGTGTGTGTTGGAAGACGAGAGGGAGGGGAGAGGTGAACAGGAAAGGGCCGTAAGCCACAGCGGTGAAGCCACCCCAGGAATCAGGCTCTCTGCAGGCTCTGTCCGCGCCGCCGAGGCCGAAGTAGTGCATGGCCGCCGGCTGCGCATACCGTGCCCAGGGTGGGATGCATATACATATGGTGGGAGAGAGCCCTGTGGGTGACGCTGACTGTGTTGGCTTTCGTGCATCCCCTCGTCTCGTCGTTGTCCCGTCTCTCTCCATGTACCTGTTTGGGTCTGCGTGGCTCTTTTTCTCAGCGATCAGCGGCGTGTGCCGTTCATTGCCAGCTTTAGCCAGAGCTTGTTCCACCAAACCCACCAAAACCATCACTTTGCACAACAGAGACAGAGAGACAGCTCTCCCCTTTCTCTGCTCGACTGCTTGGAAGCTTGCCCGCCCCGCCGCCCCTGAACCACAAAAAAGCAAAGTCCCCCGAGGAGAGCCCGAGTACGTCACCGCGGCCGACATCCTCGGGCCCTCGCGCGGACTAACCAAAACCTCTCTCTCGAGGCCTCTCTCCAAACCCCGTAACCGCTGCCAACACACACTCTCTCTCTCTGCCTCTGTACCTCTGTAGATCTCCTGACATTGACATGCCAAAACAGCAGTATATAACGTCAGTCCCCTCATTTCATTCTAAACGAAGATCCACCCATTCCGTCCTAGTCTCACACGAACCCCCACAACCCCCAAACTACATGGAGGGTTCCGCAATGACGGGAAAGGACATTGATCCAACCTTGTTCTTTCCAATGCAAGCGAAGAGGAGGAGCGACGAGTTGGTGGAGCTGTCTGTCTATGTTTTTGTGGATTTATTCGGCCCGATCGGGCCCACACCATATGAGCGACCCGAGAGGCCGAGAGGCCCCAGGTTATCGGAGGCTTGGATTCCACCACCGTGCCTCGGAGACGAGGACCCAGGTAAGGCAAAAGGAATCAAGGACCTTTGTAATGTGGCCGTTCGTTGGCCGTTGTCTCAGATATGTATATCATCAGCCATGCGGGCAAAGCGGTAACCCAAGTCGTTCGGGCAGGGGCCGACATGTATCTCCGCAACAGCCTTTCCATACACCGTCTGGCGAGGAATGTGACGGGTGATGGGATGAATGTGGCGACGCTCGGTGGCAATGGCCAAGTGGCGTTGACACGGGCGGACGGAGCTGTGCTTCTTGCGTGATGCGCGGGGGTGGAAACGGCAGTGTGCATGCGGCAGCAGGCAGCCGGACGACCGACCGAGAACGCACCGCAGCAGACTGGCCGTCAGTGGCCCAGTGGCGACTAACTTCGCCTTCGACTTCTTAGAAGGTTCACTGATCGGGTCCAGACCGGCACACGGCCGTCAGCCTTGGTCCCAGTACTACTACGACCACTACGCTGCGGCCAGACTGATAACCTGTGCTGTCGGACGACTTGGCGTATGCTGTACGCGCTAGAAGCTGCGTGGGACCTTGGCAATGATCAAGTGGCCCCAAGGCTTTATTTGAATGGTGTACATCGCTGTGCAAGTCGCAGCAGTCCTGTCCGTGCCGTGTCTATTCCCCCGCAACCCCACACCGCCTCGCGCTTGGCACTGCTCACGTCGTCATTGTCTGTATGAAATCCATGCTGCTGTGTAAACTACAATCTACGCCTTGACCTTCTTACGTCCCGCCTGGGACGCCTCCTGCATGGCATACTCCTTGGAGACGAGGTGGCTCGTCTTCTCGACCAGGGACAGCATCTTGCCAATATCCGCGCTCCACACATCCAGCACCTCGTTGCTACGGCGGGGACGCTGGAAGTTGACAATACCTGCCGGACGGTCGATGCGCGCGTACACGGTCTTGTCAGTCACGAGCTTGCACAGCGTGCGCTCGGTGGTGAGGGCCGGCAGGTCGAGGAGCTCGGTGAGGCGGGTGAGGGTGATGCGGGAGTAGTAGGCGGCAATGACGCGAATGTTGTGCTCGACAACACGCTTGTGCAGGGCCTCCCAACGGCCGACACCGGGGGGGCCGGCGACCTTGTCGACGCCGATGGCGTTGGCGAGGGTCTTGGCCGACTTGACACCCAGCGTCGAGTCGGGAGCGAACACGGGCGACTGGCGCAGCGTGGGGCCGTACAGGCTCTCAATACCGGGCCAGCGCATGAGCTCCTTGGTGACAAAGCACTTGAGGAGCTCGTAGTGGAGGGGCGCCTTTTGCAGGTCGTTGTTGGCGTACAGCTTGTGCAGCATGTCGCTCTGCTCGTTGCTGTATGCCGCGAGGACAACGTACATGATAATGTTCTCAATGACGTTCAGTTCCCTCGCCTCGTCCGTCTTGACCTCCTCAGTGTCCCACACCTCCTGGTACGCGCTGCACACCTCGAGGTACAGGTCCTCCTGGAGCGCAAGCTGGACAATGAGGTCGTAGTACCGCAGCTTGAGGTCGGCGCTCTCCTTCTCCTTCAGGAAGACGCGGTTGATCTTGCGCGAGCCCACGCGCACGCGCGGCCAGTTGCCGCGCAGCGACTCGAGGCGCATCTGCTCAAGAATGCTGGTCCAGTTAGCTTCGGAGTACGCCGGGTCCTAGCTATCGTGTGTGTACTCACAACTCGGTCTTCTCGCGCTTGTCCATAGAGCTGTACGTCTCGATCTGAATCTCGCTCATGAGGTCGGCGGCAGTGTCGAGGTGGTCCTCGGCAGTCACGGGCTCCTTCTTCTTGGTCTCGTCCTTGTCGGCAGTGGCGGCGGTGCTCGACTCGGCGACCTCGGGCTTCTTGGCACTGGGGTCGGCCTTGGGAGCAGTCTGCGCCAGACGCTCGTGGTACTCGGCGAGCTGGACGGTGAGGCGCGCACGCTGGAGCTCGAGGTAAATCTTGCCCTCGGTAATGTCGCGGATGGTGGTGAGGAGCTCCAGCCAACGGTCCTGGGTGCCATTGTACGCGCCAGCCTCCTTCTTCTGCTTGAGAGCATCGAGCCAAGGGGTAGCCTCGTCGACCATGCGCACGACGGCCTCCTTGAGCTGGCCGTGCTTCTTGGACATGAGGGTGAGCTGGGTGTTGAGCGCGTCAAGGTCTCCTGCCTCCCAGCACAGACGGGCAAGCAGCGTCAAGAGCGCCGCGGTCGATGGCATGTCGGACGCCTAGAATATGTCAGTCTGGCTCTGATCAATCGTCTACCTACATTGCGAGTCTGCTTCTCAAGCGCCGAGATCTTGTCGATGGCCTCGGTGAGGTTACCAGCCTGTGATTGTTAGCTTGCGACGAGTGTTTGTTAGCTCACCTTGGCGACCTGCTCGACCTCGGGGGTGAGGGCCTTGACCTCTGGGGTAAAGTCCTTCTCCTGCTTTCGTTGGAAGGACATTGCGCGGTCGGGTGGGTGGAAGTGTATTAAATGATGCTCGAGAACGAACACCCACCTTGCTCACTCGACTTGCAGTGTCATCATTGCCTGACGCTGTGGACGCGCGTCTTCGATCCCACCCAGCGACCACGTGGCGTATTTGTTTTCCGGATTATTTCCATTTTATCCCGCCTTCCCCCGCGCCTGCCTCTGCCTGCACGCAGCGTGCCAGCCAGTCCCTGCCATGTCCGACTTTTCGAGATGCGGACAACAGTGAGCTCGCGATTGACACCACCACCACCACCACTCCACACCACACACCATGGTCCGCAAGATCGCCTCGCAGGTGCCTGCGACCGTGTCGCGCCTGCTGCAGTCGACCCTCCTGAACACCCCGCCAGTGTGGTACCAGCCGGTGCTGGCCAACCCCCCTCCCATCCTCCCTCCTCGACAGGTCACGGCCCGTAACCGTCCCGAGGCAGGCAAGCAGTACCAGGACTTGGCCGTTCACCAGTCCGACGCGCGCCGAGAGGGTCGCACGCGTACCCACCACGCCAAACAGCTCCGCGAGCCCAAGCTCAAGCCCCAGCCCATCGTCTACGAGGCCGACCGCGTTAGGAGGCAGTTCTTTGCCGACTTTCCCTTTGAGGCTCTGCGTCCCGTCTCGCTCGTCGAGAGCCGCGAGATTGCCCAGGAGCACCCTATCCGTGGTGCCGAGTGGACCTCGCTCGCCCAGCGCGGCGCCTTCCCCACCGTCGAGGACACTGTGGCCTTTACCATCAACCTCCATGAGCAGCAGGCATTGTCCATGACCGACGCCTACCGCAAGGCCACCGCCGAGTTTGTCGCCCTCCGCGGCGCCCACGAGCTGTCTACCCTCGTCGCCGCCGCCGAGGCTCGTCACTACGGCGCAACCTTCAAGCGTGACGAATGGGTGAGCTAACTTCAGCAAGCAAACTGAGCTAACCATTACAGACCCGCACGTTCGACTATGAGCAGCGTCAACTGGACGAGGGTGTCGAGGGCTCGTCGACAGGCCCCGCCCGCACGACCTTCAAGTACCGCAAGCCCAAGGTGTGGTCGTCGACCATCAACCCCGACGCTATCCCCCGCGGCGAGTTCTCCGCTGGCCGCGACTACGCCGCCAAGTGGCGTCTGCCCGCACCTGTCATGTTTGACAACGCAACATCCGAGGGCGACCTCCTCACGGCCCTCATGGCCGAGACCAACACCTCGGAAGCGAAGGCCGAGGACGGCGAGATGGACGACCTCGACTTTATGAACTCGCTGGTTACCAACGACGCCGAGCTGGTTTCCGAGGACGTCAAGCCTAGGCAGCCGGGCGCATAGAACATAACGCACATGCATGATCATATCTCAGAGACCATGAGCCTCTCTGTGGCGGGACATGGACGACCAGGAGGAAAATGTGTGAGCAGCTGCCGGTGTGCTGATGGCCATGAGGAGAATATGTGAGCAGGAATGGCTCCGAATCGTTTGCGGGGGCTGGCATTGCAAAGGCCGAGAAGTGTGAGTCTCCATTATCTGGTCGGTTAGCAGCCAGTGAAACTCGCAAACCCACCAAGGACTCCAGGCAAACCAGTTACCCCAACTTGCACGACTCGTCGACGACCGCTGGGGCCGCTCGATGCTGAGACTGTGGTCATGGTGAGGCTGCGCGTGGTCTGGGGTGTTGGGCGGTGGCGGTGCGTCCGCGTGATGGTCCTTTGCGTCCACTTTCGTCATGTCCAGAGTCTGCATGTCGAGGCCCCGGCGTTCGTGGAGCGCCTGCGGCTCGTCCCAGAGGAGCGGGAAGGGCACCCAGTGCTCGCGCCTGTGTCTAGGAGGTGGAATGGCATACGGGCGTGGGTCTGGCTTGGAATCGCGTCCGTGAGGCCGAGGGTGAGACTGGGATCGTGATTTCTTGCCGGGTAGGTCCTGTTTGTCCTCTTCATCGAATGGGCGGATGGTCGTGTCCCCGGGCTCGTCGTCATTACAGTCGTCATGGTGGTCGCCATAGTGAGTGTCCCTAGTGGAAGCCTTGGGACGCCTGGGACTGGGACTGGAACTGGGACTGAAGCTTGGGCTTGGGCTAGCTTTCGGGTGGCCTGAAACCTGACCCATGGCTGAGCCTCCGGGCGTACTGTGAAGCCGTCCAGCGCCGTGGTTGAGGAAGCCCACTTCGGGGGACGAAGGCCACGGCGTCGGCTGGGGCGTGGGTTCGAGGGCGGGAGCCAGTGTGCGTTCGGCAAGGACGCGGGCGCGGGAAATGACGTCTTGGAGCTGTCGATGGGTGGTATGGCCGAGATGGCGGTGACTGTGGCTGGTGCCGATGTCGCTAGGCGCACCGTTGCCGGCGTGTTCGGATTGAAGGAGCGGAATGTGCAGTCCAGAGCCTGCGGGAGTGGGGAGGACAGTTATGCGAGTGGTCGTCGCCCTCACAGCCTGACGCCGGATCAGTGTGAAGCCCAGCACTTATCCAACCAACATACCTCCCAGTCTTCCGCCGTCGTCACCAGCTGAACGCCCTCATCTTGAATCACTACCATGACGTCGACGCCCATCACAAACCAGCTTGGAGGCGCATACAGAGCGATAGCTGCTTGGAGAACAGTCCACTCTGGAGGGGCAAGGCGCAGGTCTACACGGCGGGCAGACGATGGCCAGAGCTGACACTCGCCGTCGTCGACCAGCACGAGGGTGAAGTGGGACGCCGTCGAGCTGGTATGGGAGTGGGTCCGGTGTACGACGTCTGATAGCGTGGAGAGGGTATGACGTCGTGGCCGCATGGCGGTGAATGAGTGAGTGTGCGGAAGCAAGGGAGGAAGGAGGTGACGGTGTTGGATCTGTGAGAGAAGACACACAAGGAAAAGGAAAAGGAGAAAGGGGAAAGGTTGCGTTAGTCATCACCCATGCACCGCTCACCAGTGTGCATCTCCTTGTCATGCGCCCGACCTATGCAGTTTCCGAAGCCCGGCGCTCTGCACATGGCATATATAGGAGCACCCGTTGGAGGGTTCTTCCCCCACCGTTCATCATTTGCTCACTTCGCCATGGCAACCACTGCCGACATCTCCTTCCAACGTTTCGCGGAGCGCCTCACCCACATGAGGCTTGATGCCAACACCATCCACAAACACAGCATTCCCAAGTGAGTACGATGGCTACAGTTTGCGATGACTATGCAATGCTTTGATGCTGACGCTCCCTCCAGCCAGCTCCACTGGATCCAATATTCAGATGAAGTCACCTCGTCCCTTCGCGCCCAGATCTCTGTCCGCGGAGACGAGAGCGAATTTGGGTACCAGCAGGCCGCCAACTATGACAGCGCCGACCTCAACATCGTCGACGCTCCTGATGGTCCTTTCGTGGTTCGGCTGGGTGTCACAGTCGGTGAAGTCTCAGTCCGCCGAGCTGCGACCCTGTTCTGGGCGAGTAGGGCAGAGACTCCCATACTCGTTGCTGCTCTGCAACACGTCCACTCCACCATCGACCATCCGCGCCCCTTCCAACAACCAGCCGGGCACCGACTATCTGAGCCTCGCAACCCCCGCCCTCCACGACCTCTTGCAGACAGCCTGTTTGCAGACCCCAGTTCCACGTGACTCCGACTTATCCGTTATCGCTGCGAGGATTGTAAAGCTGTCGGCCGTCAACTCGGCTCGCAGCATTGGTACGCCTAATCGGAAGTACATTGGTACGGCCCAACGCGGCGACATCCTTGGCATCCGGTTCTCGGTGGACATCTATGAGGTGGCCGACCACTTGGAGCCACTGAACCGTCAGAAACCCTACCTTATCCAAGCCATACGCGACTACACCAAGTGAGCGTGAGAGTGGAAAGAAGAAACGTATCATAATATCTTAACTGACGCTCAGTCCCAAACACTCCTTCTATGTTATCTCATCGTACTTCGCGATTTTAGGGGCGTACTGCGTTGGGAGATTCTTGCCGATAGGTAGATTTACCGCGCCAGGCTGGCTATCGGCAAGAATCTCCCAACGCAGTAGGCCCCTAACATCGCGGAAGTCGCGGCGCCCCTCACCGCCGCCATCGAGCCTTGGGGGAACATGCTCGGTGTTGGAAACACCGAGCTTGCCATTCTCTTCCTCCCCCTCGACAACGACCTTCCTGCGTTCAACCTGTTCTCCACACTTGTCGGATCCAACGCCAGCAGTCGCAACCGTGGCAGCCGGGTCCTCAACGCCGCCGCCGCCAGCCAAGATCCTCCATTCGATCGGCTGGCAGTTGCCCCTGATGACTGGGACTTTTGGTGTTGGGGTTTTCAGTCCAACAGCAACTCCAACGACGCGCGGCTGGTGAGTGCGATCGATCAGTTGTGATCAGAACCAAACCGGAACAGTCCCGTCTCTTCCGTGCTGACCATCCCAGGCGCGTCAATACATTGACCAGAAGATGCGCGACCAGTTCCCTGACACCCCCTTCCGCCAGTTTTACGCCTCCAAGCGCACGATTCTCCAACGAACGGCTTCCACGCATCCTTCTGGAGCCTGTCGGCAAGGCGTTGGAGAATTGTGCGCATTGAGGCGTAAACTGGCGGAACGGGGTGTCAGAGAACTCATCGCGCTTCTTCTCATCGGACGAGGCATGGGGGCTGACAAGCTCGGTCCTAGTGTTGTCGCCAGAGAGAAATGAGGCAGACAGGTACATACTTCGGGGTATCGGGGTAGAGGGTGTCGGCCATGTCTGCGAGAGCTAGGCATGTATGCACGTATGTACGACACTGTATGTGCACTGCACCTTCAGATGGACTGTGCAGCATGCGTTTGTCCCCCACGACATACCACGCGCGAACGCGTGACGAAAATGCCCGAAAAATCGCTGCAAATTGTGCAACCGCCACAGTGGACCAACAGCAACCGGCTACACCAGCATCCGATTAGGACCTGGACAGTCGGCTACTACCGATGACGTTCGCGCGTCATGCACACACGCGTATGCCTCGGACGAACGCGTGGTATGCGGCCCCCCGCGTCATATCGGTGATCAGTGGCACACATTCTCAAGAGATGCAGCTGGCGGGTGTTTTCTAAAGAGATGCATGAAACGACAGTCAGGCATCGTCTGCCCGTGTAGATTTTGCAAACGAAAGTGTATAAGAAGAAGAAAGGCGGGTGAGCTCCTCCTGTCGTTCTTTGGGGGAAGTCGTTGCCGTGCAATATGTCATGAGTTGTGAGAGATGGTGGTTGGATCTAACCCAGGTCTACCCAGCGACCTGAGGGGGTGGATGTCGAGTGTGGCGGAGAAGAGATCTGGAGATCGCAGCGGAAGCGCACTCGGTGGTTACAGTCTAGCTTTTCTAGCTTGGTTTCGCGAGGCCCAGGCCCAGGGCTGGTGAAAGTCCTGGACCGGGGTAGCCGTGTATAGCAGGAAATGATGAATCACGAAACTAGGCTGAAAGGGTCGACTGTACTACGCCCAGTCGTTTACTGGTCCTTGCCGTCGACACCCGAGTCGGAAACAACGTCACCCTCGATGACACCGACCTTCTGGGCGACACCCTCCATGTTCTTGTAGAAGGCAATGTCGTGGCCGTCCTCGATGAAGCGGCACTCCCTGAAGATGCGGTAGAACTCGACAAAGACGTTCTTGTCCGAGTGCTTGTAGTGGGGGCCAAGGAAGGCCTTGAGGGCGTTGGTAGCCTCGACACCGTGGTAGTGAGGGATACGCGACGAGGTGTGGTGGGCAACGTGGGTAGAGACGATGCGGTGGAGAATGTACTTCTCAATCCAGCCACCCTCACGGTCGACGGTAGCAAGAGCACCACGGGCAAAAGTCCACTCCTTCTCCGAGTAGTGAGGGAGCTCGGGGTCGGTGTGTTGCAGGAACGTAATTGCCACAAGCCAGTGGTTCACGACGAACGTCAGCACCTGCCGTTTGTGAAGAAGAAAAGAGTCTAGAGGTGTTGGGAGAGGTGCAAATTCAGTTGGAAGGTGGATGGCAGGTGGGTGGCACGGAAGCAAAAGTGCCACTTTCGCCGATCACCCGCCAATCACCCGCCGATCGTTTGCCTTTCTCCACTATTTTGGCCTCATTCTGACTCTCATAGTACTCACCCCAGAGGTAAGGAAGACCGTAAACGAGGGCAACCTCCTTGAAGCCGCGGTTGTAGGTCCAGAAGCCGAGGAGCGAGAACATGATGGCGATACCGAGGTCCGAGATGATAATGTCCCAGTACTGCGAGGTCTTGAAGATGATGGACGAGGGCTGGAAGTGGTTGGTGAACCTGGGGTAGTGCTTCTGGCCCGAGGCGTTGCGGATGAGGTACATGGGCCAGCCGAAGATCTGGTGGAGGAAGAGACCCCAGAGCGAAGCGATGGGGGACTCGCCGAGGGCCTCGTAGAGCTCGGCGCGGCGCCAGGCAGGAACGTTGATACCCTTGTCCTCAGACTCGTGCTTCATGGGCTGGATGCCGAGCTGCGAGCGGGTCTTGGGGACAAAGACCTCGTCGCGGGTAAGGTGGCCGGTGGCAGCGTGGTGGCGGCCGTGCGAGATACGCCACGAGTGGTAGGGGACGAGGAGGAACGAGTGAAGGACCCAGCCGACTGAGTTGTTGATGGTCTTGGAGGGCGAGTAGGCCTGGTGGCCGGCCTCGTGGGCGATAACCCAGATACCGGTGCCGACAAGACCAGCCGAGAAGATGTAAGCCGACCAGAGGGTGAACTGGGCGGCAGCAAAGGCGATCGGCGAGAGGGCACTGCGATAACGTCAGCCCAGGATCGGCAAATGGCACCAAAAATGGGGGTGGAAGGGGGGCATATTTGCCACCGCAAGTGTGGATTTGCGATGCGATCATTAACCGAATTACACAAATGGTCACACAAAAGCGGAAGGAATCCGTCTATCGTGACATGTCGGGAAGCGACTGCGATCACAATTCTCCCACACGGTGCAAACCCAAAAACCACAAATGAAAAACTCACAAGCGACCAAGGAAGGACTCGATGTGGTAGGCGCCGTAGATGAGCGCGCCGAGGAGGATGACATCCTGGACGACGTAGAGCGACGACTTGAAGGCCGAACGCTTGTAGCAGTGAGCCCTGCGTGGGGTGTCAGCTTCACAGCAATCGGGGTGTGTTGGGGCGTGGGCGAGGGCCAGGCTAAAAGGTCCGAGGGTGGTGCAGGTGCATGCTGCGATTCGGACAGAACCGGATGCGACCCTCGCACGCGTGCAGAAACTCACGGGATGGCGTCGAGGAGCTGCTTGATGGTGAAGTTGGGGACGAGGAACCTGTGGGGCGTCAGAACATGGGACTACGGATGGCAGTGCGTCGCGGTGGCGGCGCAGCTGCCAAGTGTGCGATGGGGAGCGCGTTGGAGCGCGGTGCCGTCGCGGTACCACTCACTTCTGGCCCTCGGTGAGCTCAATCTCCTCGGCGGCGATGATGGCGGAGGCCTTGTCAGCCTCGGCCTGGGGCGACACCTGGCGCTGGCGAAGGGTGGACGACATGTTCAATGAAGTCTAGGTAGAGGTGGGAAGGATAGAAGCAACGTGCGCACAGGCGGCGGACGGGATTTTAAAGATTTCGGGGCGGGGGGGAGAAAGAAGCCGGGTCGAGGAGGGGACAGACGTGCCGAGCACAGTACTATCTACAGGCGGGACACGGAGGGGGAGGGAGAGATGTCGACGGGGGGGAGGAGTCGGCGTGAGAAAAGAAGGACGGGGAGAGAAGGATAAGAGAAGGAGCAATGGCCTCTGAGACTGCACCGTATCCTTATACTCGACTAATGGTTGGCCAGGTCAGGACAAGCCGTGGCGTGACGCTCACCGAGCGAGAGAGACCCAAGCATGGTCCACCAGAGTGCCTGGAAAATTGAGCCCCTCCTCCCTGGCACGGCTCCCCACAAGCTCGAATGACCGCATCTCCGTCCGCCGTTGGGGTGGACCTCCCTTGCCGGGAGAGCGGCAAGCGACCGCCCGGGGCGGCTCGGAGAAAGGCGTCTCGCTCGGTGGATCAGTGGCCCGGTGGCATGGGTCAGTAGTGCTGGTGTACCCGTACGCTCGTCGTCTACACCCGGGATGGCGAAGCGGCGCCACAGCGGCCTTTGCACACTGCTGCGTCAGAGCGCCAAGGATAGCGCAGGTCTCCATGCTCCAGGAGGGTAATCGATTCCCCAACGGATCGCGAGAGAGCCACAGAAATATTTACTCCCGCGGGCCCTTTAGGAACAAAGTTCCACCGCGACCCCATACCATGGACTCGGCGTGGGGGTTGGCCGCCGAGACGCACAACGCACACTCAGCTCGGCGGCACACTTGGCACTGTGGGCTTCATCAAACAACCGCAGTATCATACGACGATTTCCTTCCGTCTATTTCCCGGGAGGGTGCCCAAGCTCAGCTCGTGGCAGCTGCAAGGTATTTTGAGCCTCGCCCCAGAGCCCAGATACAAAAGATAAACTTGAATGCGGGGTAGTCGATGGCGCAGTTCTTGTTGAAAATGCCTTCCGTGTCCTCCTGCAGCCAGCTGCCGTCGCTCTGTTGCCGGCTCATGATAAGCTCCATACCGCGCTTAATCGCGTCGGTGGCCGGCGATTTGCCGTAGATGAGTGCCAGCAGCGCCCAGGCAGTCATGACCACTTGTGACTCGTCGTGTTGCTGATACTCCATCGTCACACAGCTCTGTAGGTTGTGTCAGACAGGAAAAAAAGAGAAGACTCTTCTTTTTGCTTCTGGAGCCTGACTCACCATGTACGTTTCACCCCAGCCGCCATCAGCCATCTGCTTGCTGAGCAGGAAGTCACATGCGCGTCGGACACGGTCCGAGTTGGCGCATGATTCTCCCGCAATGCCGAGCGACTCGAGCGCAAACATCGTCGCGTAGGTAAAGCACACGCCCCTGGCACACGTTAGCCACGCGGTGAACAAGCAAATGATTCTTTGCTATCGGGCGGGCCCGGAGCAGTGCGGCCACTTACCAAGAACCGTACCATGATCCGTCGGGACGCTGCACGCTGTGGATCCAGGTGATTGCGCCATCAATGCAGCACCTTGTTCGTCAGCCAAAAGGCGTTCCTTGGACTGTGCCACTTACTCGACTTCGGTGCGGCGGTACGTTGGGTCAATCTTGCTAAAGTACTTGAGGGCACTGAGGGCCGACGTCGAGCACTCGGGGTACATGTAGTCGACCATGATGTTGCCAAACACCTCAGCGGCGTTGAGCCACTCCATCCTGCTTGATCCACGCATGAGCTCATAGGACGCAAACCCTCCCGAGGGATTCTGCATCGAGAGCAAGACGTCGACAGCATCGCGGAGACGCTCAATCGAGACGGGCGGGGGGTTGGGGATAAAGTCGAGCGACTGGAGGGCCATGACACCCTTCATGCCCTCGGCGGTACAGTCACTGACAGTGTACGACTGCTCCGGGGTCGAGAATGGCCAAGCACCCTTGGAAGCATGGCGGTATGCCTTTTTGTACCACTTGGGGTTGTTGCGGATCTGACACTTGTCCAGCCAGTCAAGCATGGCCAACGCCGACTTTCTGTTCTCGCCCTCCTCGGCCAAGCCAGTCTCGACCTCGGCCTGCGCGAGGAATGAAATGTCCCACAGCTGACAACCGTTGGTTCCTGTCATGAACAGACCGTCCTTGGACATCCAGAGGAAGTCGTCAATCTTGGCAAGGTGGAGCTTGAGGGCCTCGCCGTCGCCCTCGGCCGCGAAACGGGCGAGCATGTTGAACGCCTTGGACACGGGGCCCACAGTCTGATACCCCGTGTTCTCGTCCTCGTAGACAATCTGGCGGTATGCCGCCTTGAGACCCGCCTTGCGCATGTTGGGCAAGCAAGGAAGACGCGGCATCTTCTCGTACACCCCCAAGATGAGGTTCAATGCGTCAAACACGGGGTGGTGCGGCGAGTACAGGTCCGCAGGGTTGATGTTGTCCTTTTGGGGAGGCCAGTGGATGGACTCGTACGGCTGGGTGTAGATTTCCTGCAATGTGAGCTAAGCCCAAGTCGAGGCAGCTCACCTGTCGCAACTGCCTTGTGAGGTCGGTGATGGGCATGGTGTAGCGTATGCCCCAGAGGTATGCCATGGGAGTGACTGCGGGGTCAGTATAGCTGTCGTTTTTGTACCAGTAATCCCAGAGCTACTCACAGACCAAACGGACGTGGATCCACCAACGCCAAGGTGCGAACGGCACCCAGTCGGGCAGGAGCCTGTTGCTAGTTAGACCAGCCCAATAGATAATCGTCCAACTAACCATAGCTCTGGTGGAGTCGGGTTGACACCAGCCCAGTCATATGCGCCGAGGATCGAGAGCCACACCTTACCCCAGGTGGGGATACCCAATGCGCCGCCCATTGCGTGAATCTTGGCGCGGATAGCGGGCATGGGACCGTCTTCGGGTCCAACACCCAGGAGACGGAGCATGACATAGTTCATGACAGTGCCAAAGACGGTAGGTGGAGCAGCCGTGTGACTGCGTGGATGAGCTCAGGTCACTTGTCCAAACGTGAACTCACAGACCCCAACCCATCTCGGGGCGCAACTTGTTGAAGAGGTATCGCTTAAGCTCAGCCTTCTTCTCCTCTTGCAGCTTGTATCCGACCGCCTCGAGCGCAATGATGAGACCGGGGGTCAGAAAGAGGGGGCCTGCAATGTCAGCTTGGGGTCCGCGACCTGCAACTACTAGCTTACCTCCATACTCGGTGGCCCAGTGACCGTCCTCGCTCTGGAGCTCGCGGTAGAAGCGGAGACCGTTACGCGCAGCGTCCATTGGCGTCTTGGCCTCAGGCTGTCGCGGGAGTCCCTAGTCATGTCAGCTTCCACTTGGAGTCTTTCCAGCTAGCTGTGCAACGTACAGTTGGGAGGCCCATGGAGTACTTGTCCACGGGCTGTTGCGGCCATGCCTCGCGTTGCGCGGCAGTGGACAGGTAGACCCATTTGTGCTGGCCATGGCTGTCCTCGCCGACCTTGAGGCGCCAGCCGTCCGGGTCGGTGCGGAACGTCTCTGCAAACTTGACACCTAGCTGCGACGGTGCTTTGGACATTGTGGAGTGGCAGGAAGGTGAGATGAGCGCAACGGTGACGAAAGCAACAACAAGGTGGTCGCGAGGTGAGACGATGGGACGTTTCCCCGCAATCGAACCACAGTGCAGTGTGGGGTATGCGTGGAACACAGGCACACATCGGGTAGATGTGAACCGTGAGACGATTGTTGCAAGAGTTGAGTTGTGCATACACCGCCCACCATACGACAATACGAATAGCTACATTACTCTCTACATGGCATTCTTGAGCTCACGCAGCTTGGACATGACCTTGAGCGGCTCGGTCTCTCCAGTGGCCTTCTGGGCCTCGGGTGTGTCCAGGCGCATAAAGACGTTCCACGACTTCTCGTCACCGATCGTCGACTTGCCAGTGGTGCACTTGTCAGTCTGCGCACGGTCGAACAGGCTTGTGGCTTGTCAGCATGCATCTAGGGTAGAGAAGAAAACGACTCACCCCTTGAGAGCGGCATTGGTAGGCTCGATGTGAAGACCAAACTTGGCCGAACCAGTTGTGTACTCGTGACCGTTGAACACGAGGGTGTCGGCGGGCAGGGTGCCGAGCTTGCTCAGAGCGGCGTGCATCTCGCCCGCGTTGCCTAAAGACAGTAGTTAGATCGTGCGTCGTGCATCCATCCGTGATGCAACTCACCCTCAAAGAAACGGCCACAGCCGGCCAGGAACATGGTGTCACTAAACGTCAGCCACCTCTGGGATCTGTGGGACACCATTCTCACCCCGTGAACACGCCGCGCTGGTTCTTGGCCTTGTCCTCTACAAAGAAGCAGATCGAGTCCTGAGTATGGCAGGGAGTCGCGAGGCACCTAGCTGTCAGTAAGAGAACGCACACGGGCCACGTACTTGACGTCAATGCTGCCGAGCTTGAACGCATCCCCATCCTTGACGATGGTGTTTGTGCCAGGAGCCTGGTCAGAGCCGCCGTACGCCGTGATACCGGGGTTGAGCTCCAGCTAGAGGATCAGCACTATCCCGCTGGTTCTCGCTTACGAAACGCTCGTTACCGCCCGAGTGGTCGTGGTGGTGGTGTGTGGTGATGAGCGAGGTGACCTGTTTGCTTCGTCAGCCGCGAGCCCACATTGGTTGGCTTCTGGATGGCAATCCCCACCTTGACACCCTGCTCGGCCGCGGCAGCGTTGATCTTGGTGGCGTCCCATGGGTCCACGACCGCTGCAGTTCCCGTAGCCTCGTCGACGACGAGATACATCCAGTTGTCAGAACGGGCTTGGACAGGAATGACCTGGACTGATTAGCAAGCGGCAGGCAGGCGGACATGTCCGTACCCTCATGTTGGCGCTGGGTGGGTGTGAGTTGAAGCGTCAACGGTGACAGCAGTGTGGCTCACTGAGAAGTAGATGAGAAGAGACGGCTTCCGAGGGTTCGAGATACACGAGCAGTTGCTGAGAGGAGCATGGGACGGCGCTGCAAGCTTGGTGTGGGAGAAGGTGGTTGCGACTGAGCAGAGCGCACCCATGCCTCCTATGCCTGTCGTCACCTACCTCCACCCCGTCTGGCACGGACGGCCCCCTCATATAAAGGACGCGCGCGCCGGCGGAAGCATTTTTACAGGGTGCTAAATCGCTTCCATGTCGGGAACGAGTTGCAGCGGCGCGCGGGGGTGAGGGCCCGATTGTGAGAGCAAGCAGCAAACTCTTGGCTTTTACATCTAACCCCATCCCATGATCAACATCAAGAAGAAGCTCGGGTCTCTGGTCCCAGGAGGAGTGAGTGTGCATTTGTAACCACATTTGGTGGTGCATACATTGCATGTGAACTCGCGAGGCTGATGCTGGCAGACGCGCGACGCGCTTCAGAACGTGCTCACAGTCGAGTGGTCGGGCCACAAGACTGTCCTCGTCGAGGTCCCCGCAGGCGACGAGCGGAGCAACGAGGTCGAGCTGTCTGGATTCACATCTATACGCGACGACGCCGGCGGCTACGACCGACTCGCAGACGATGCCAACGACAACGTCTACGACCCGTACGCGCGCCACATGTCGGGCAACTCGGATCGCAACGGCGCCGGCGCCGATCGGTTCGTGAGGCCACGCATCGAGCGCGGCACAAGCACGCCTTCTGGGTACGGATCGGGTTCTGCGTCTGGATACGCGACTCCGCGCGACGGCGACGACGAGAGCCGCGGCAGCGCGTCGAGGTCAAGGTCGGCGTCAACCACCGCGACACCGGCGTCCTCGTCGTCCTCGGGAGCGCAGCGCCGCTCAAACAACCCCTTTGCCAACCCCTTCTCGCACGAGGACGACTTTGCCGCTGCAGACGTGGGCGGTTACCCGGTCCTGTCGGCGTCGCGTCCGTCCTACTCGCATGCCAAGAGCGACTCTGGTAGTCGCCGCGCGCCGCCGGCGCTGCCCAGCCGCCCCGATTTTGCGTGGGACCACGACCCTGTCCAGTCTCCGACTGGGTCGAGCTCGACTGACAGCTCGAGCCGTGGACCGGCGCGCCTCGAGGACAACAACCCCTTCCGCTAGCTCTGGAAGCACGGACACGGATCACACGGATCACAGATACATCATACTACCGACCTGTTGTAACAGTACCAGCACACTTTTGAAATAGATGAAAGTGTTTTGTTGTGGCCTGTCTGTCCCTGGAGTGCCTACGTCGGCCGACGCGTGGGTGCCGCTATTCAATTGTCGCAGGCTTTTGCAATTGCAAGGCACTTGCACCACTGTCGTCAATGATCACTGACCGAAAACGGTATTATGAAGCCTTCCAAGAACGCTGCGAGGCAGCGCATAATGCAATGACGGTCCATGTCCATGTGGGAGGGAGAGAGAGTATACAAGGCCTACAATGGCCACCGGTCGAGAATAATAATGTAATGTCTACAAAGTGCAAGGAATCGTGTATCCACCTTAGGACGAGCCAATGCCTAGCTGGGCGGGCCCATGTACGGACGGTGACCGTGCGTGGATCCCTCCTTGCCCGCCGACCCTTCGTCGACGTTATCCGTCGGGTGGCCGCCGACGACAATGTGTGTTTCGGGCGCAGGCGTGTCCTCGGGCTTGGCGGGCGGGTCGAGCACCGTCGTCGACGCAGCGAGCCACTGGCCACTCCACATGTTGAAGTTGTACAGCATGACGCGGTGGTTGGGCAGAATCTCGTGGCCGGTGCCGTTAATGTGCACGCCAGCCTTGGACTTGAGCGTGAAATGGACGTGGCCAGGGACAAACTCGAACAGTGTCTGGGTCGCGTCGCCAGAGGCGATTGGAATGTCGCGGTGCACGCCCGTCTTGCTGTCCGGGCCGTTGTGGAACTCGAGGCGAGGCGACTCGATGCCCTTGGGGCAGATGACGACGACGTTGACGTAGTCCTGCGCCCAGTCTGCGTTCTGCGGACGACCGACGGGGTCGTGCTTGACGACAACGTTCTTCGAGTGGGTGCGGTACCACATCCAGACGATAAACTCGTCGTTGACGTGCGGGGTGCCGTCGCGCCAGCGGCGGGCATAGTAGCCGGTCATCTCGCGGAACGCGTCGTGGTTCATGCGGTGCGTCCATGCCGTGCTTCCAGGCTCGGCACCCATAACGGGCCCAATGTTGTGGCTCTCGCCATAGTCGTTCCATGAGATGACCTGGACCATCTCGGGCGCCTTTTCCTTCTTGTACTCCATAATGCCACCCCAGCGGGCAGGGTAGAGAAGGTCGTCGGAGCGGTAGATCCAGTTCTTGTCGAACGCAAACTGCCCAGTCTTACCATAGTGGGTGAAGAAGAGCGGGGAGATGGCGGCCATGTACGGCTTGCCAATGTCGAGGAAGGGAGCGTCGTGGTGGTGACGGATGGGGTGGTTTCCATCGGGCCAAGCCGAGTTCCAAACGAACGAGCCTCCGACCAGCGGGTTGTTCTTAAACTCTTCGGGCGACACGAAGAATCCTGGCCAGAAGAAGATCTGAGCGCGAACAAGACGGTTGACCTCGGCGATGAACCCGGGCCAGCCATTCTTGCCCCACTCGGCGTCCTCGCCGCCAAAGGTGGACAGGATAGGGTGGTGGCCGCGGCGCAGCGCTGCGTGGCTGCTGATGAGCGGAGCAATGTGCATGGCGAGCTTGTGTGCGTCCTCCAGCGTCTTGTGCGGAAGAACGTTCATGTCGAGTGAAAGGAAGAGGCGGACTGGACGCTCGTGACGGCCTGCCTTGTCTATCCGGGTCTCTGCGAGCTTGTATGCCACCCTGGCCTGCTCGAGCTGCCATTCCTCCGGGCCGAGGTTGAGGACCAGTGCGTCGAGCGACGTCTTCTCGGCGTAGTGAAGGGTGCGCGCCCAGTCCGATTCTGTGAAGGGGTACGTGTTACCCAGCTAGCAACGTCAGCTGAGGGTTATGCAGACACAACTCACCATAAAGTGTGCAACCACACGCCTCGGGTGCTTTGCAGAATTATACTTGGACCCGCTCGACCCGGTCGCAATGTCGACCTCGCCGGTACCCGTCACCACCGCCTCTTGCGCCTTGGACGCGGCCATATTGATCTCGAATGCCACTTGGCTGCCGTCTGTGCTGAACTTGGGAGCCTCTGCGCCGTGTTGTTCCCAATGGGCCAGCAAAGAGTACAGCGCGAGTGCGAGGAGTGCGAACGCGATGAACGGCCGGGCAGCTGCTGTCGCGTTGGCAGGTGGTCTTGCTGCTGGCACTGACGCGTGCATGAGAGAGGGGCGGGTGTATGTCGTGGGTGGTGGTAGAACAATGGGTGAACGTACAAGTACAGGTTGTGAGTGTGAGCGAAGAGCACAGTCGCTCGCACTGGCGTGGACTGATCTTCCTGGGGCTTCGCGGTAGCCTGGGCGATGCACAAGGGGGACGCCAATGCCCAGGTCGTCCAGGTCGCCCCCCACGCCCGCTAACGGTAACGCCCGCGCGCGGAATGACGGCAACGACGGGACAGACGCGTTAAGGGATATAAGGGACGCTCGGTGTCTCGCTCAAGCAAGGGCATTAGACTGGCGGCACGGCCATTACCTTTGGCCATTACAAAGAGCATAAGGCTCATTACAAACGCCCCTGCCTGCTGTTACAAAATGCCCCGCGCGCCACGGTGAAACTGGGATCGCAACTGTTACCTCATAGCGTGTTGCCACAAATGAACTGAACGTCTGTCTCCCTGAGGCCTCGCACCACGCATGCCACGCAAGAGCAAGCCGTCCTTGGAGAATGTAATGTGTGCTACTTCGCACACTGCGTACCACTGCGGACGGGGCCCTATATATGGCCTTCTGGTCTACTTTTGTACAAACTGTGCACAATTCTGTCGCTGCGAGACGACGTGCCATGTCCTCCATCTCACCGCAATGCGCAATGTTGGACATGAATCCGGTGCACAGGGGACAATTGAGACAAGATTGCGCACTGAAGCTAGTCCTCGAAATGCCTGCCCTCTGGCCTCTGGCGCAGGCAGGCAGGTCAGGACCGGAACGTGCAGGAGAACGCGGCACCGGGAGCGACGACAAAGCCACGTTCTCCCCAATTGGCACACAACAGAGCCATCGGCGCCCCGCAACCTGACATCATTTCGTGGCAATGTCAGCGGTGGGTGGGTTGTGGCTAAACCCACCTTGATACTTGTGTTCTCCCGGTCATGATGAATGAGACTTTGGGAATCGGGTCTGCGCCTATCGCTTGTGGATGGCAGAAGCAAGTAGGGTGGTGCCCCTAGGCCAGGCGACCTGAATCCTCTCAGACGAGGGAGAGGAAGTGTTGAGGCCTGCACCCCTCCCGTCCTCCAGCGACCACTTTCCTCCGATCGACCATCTCCAAATGTCAGTTTTCGAGCTGCCACGGCTAGCGTCAATGAAACCTTGGAGGGTCTTAGTCTGGGCTGCTGCTCCAAGAGGTACCTTCATTCACTCTTTATGCATTCTTCCTCATGTTCATCCTGTGGAAAAGAGTCCAATGTTTACTGCGACTTCATCTCCCAAGCCTTCTCGGGCATCTGCGATGCGGGCTAAAACAGTGTCAGTACGACGACAACATCATTAGAACTTACGACGCCGAGCTCGAGAAGGGTGGCGAAGGCCTTCGAGAAGTCCTTGAAGAACTTGTCCTCGTCCTTGGCGTACTCCTCGACGGTCTGGAGCGTCAGTGGGGTACAACGACAATGACGAGAGTGCCAGGGACACGTGCAGTACATGACCACACGCGCCGCTCGTCAGAACAGCACTCACCTTGCGGAACTTCTTGTCCTGGACAAGGGCCATGTCGGCAGCTGCGGAAGCGTCAGCAGCATCCTTTGCTCGCCCTCGTCAACCACTCACGGAGCATCATAAGAGTGCCAGACTTGTCCTGGTACTGAGCGGGGCCCTTCCACTTCTTCCACGACCACTTGTCGTTCAGGAGCAGGTCGTAGTACGAGTTGGAGAACGAGACGGGGGAGAAGGTCCAGGGCTGGAAAGGTGTCAGTGTTCGCCTCTGCAGTAGTCTTATCCTCGAGAAGACACCTACGCCATCGTAACCCGAGCGGTCGGTGTGGCAGCGGCCAAGAGCGTGGGCGCCGGCAAGGGCGACGATCTCCTGGTCATTGAAGCCCATGCGGTAGAAGATGTCACGGAGGTGGTCGTGGGCCTGCGCGGCGTCGGGAAGACGGCCGTCGGGGGTCTGCTGGGCCTCGATACCGTCGATGCGTCCGGGCCTCCAGGGGATGACGGGGCCGCCAGTCTCCTGGACAGCGGCGACACCGCCGAGGGTCCAGAGGTCACCGTACGAGATCCAGGGGAACTGCTTCTTGATGCCCTCCATGTGGTCGCGGGCAATGTTGAGGCCGTTGTTGGCACCGTGGCCGCCCTCGTTGGCGAAACGCATGGTAGCGTAGTTGGAGCCGCCCGAGCCGTCCTTCTTGTCGTAGGTGCCCGACGAGTGCCAGGCAAGACGGAGGATGACGGGAGCGAGCGAGCCGTCTGGTATCAACGGTTAGCAGAGAATCCACCACGAGCAAACGTCGAGAGCTTGGACCACCCACCATCGTAGCCCTCCTTCTCGAACGAGTCGGCAATGGCATCGTAGACCTTCTGGTAGTCGGCCTGGGTAGGCTTGAAGTCCTTGGCGGCGGCGGGCTTGGCACCCTCCTTGTCCGAGAGGAAGTAGTAGGCAGCGCCGGCAGCGGCGACGGCACCGAGGCCGAGGAGGAGGCCGTTACCACCGCCCTGTTTGGGGGGAGGAGGGGGCTGGATGCAATGTCAATGGGATTGTTCCAACCGGCTAAACCAATCGTGGTGATCTGTCAACTTACAGCTTCGGTGGAGTAGTGACGGCGAGCCATGGGCGCGGCCATGATGGGCACGCGGCGCGCGGCGTTGCGGAGAACGGGGGTCACACGAAGAGACATGACTGGGGGTAGCGGGTGGTCAGTGCTATGTTCTCCTTCCAACGCGGACGGGGGGCCGCCTATCTAGTATCTCTGGTACGCGTGGGACGTGTGGAACGCGGCCGCCAGCCACCGAACGGGCGGCGAGCGTGAGGTGGAGAAGGTACGGGAGAGAGGGGGACACGAGGTGTGCGGGTTGTGTAGATGGATGGATGGGGCTGATGGAGGTGTCTGTACTCACTGAGCGGTGTTTCTGTAGAGAGAGGAGAGGAAAGCAAAAGGGGGAGGGTTGATGTTTCCGCCTCTATATGGCCAGAGAGAGCAAGCTCCCACCCCCCCCCCCGGATGTGCTCGCAACCCCGGATACACCTTCCCGGGCATCCCCGTTCGTACTGATAGCCAATCATCGTGATTGCAATTACCCAATTACCCCCTCCACCTCGCTCGCTGCCGTCGCCTGCCCACATTAGGCATGGTTTGCATTCAGGCCTCCAGCCACTCCCTCCCCAGCTATGCACTGCATGCCTGGCGGTCACTGGAAATCGACACGAAACACTGTCGACTGTGACTCGTGCGAAAAACCTCCTCCTTCGTGCTCATTCTCTCTCGCCCTCCCGACCAACGTTGGTCCAACGCGTTGCAACTGATGATCGACAGGGAAACGTGGTCCATGCACAACCCAGGGTCTGCTGCCAATGCGGCGACTGATATCCTTGGCCAAGACTTGAGCAGAACGTCGCTGACAAACGATTACAAAGCGGCTGACAACGCATCTGCTGCGCGCTCACACCACGTCAAGACGCGTCCTCCCTGTGCATCCACTCCCCACCGCGTATCCACGGACCATGCAGCTCCGGCGCGCCGCGCGTCAGCGTCGTGCGCGTCGCTACCACACGCAGGTATTTCGGGATGGCGCAAGGGAGCCTGAGGAGCTCGTCACCCCCGTCCACCTGGGGACCCCGCTCGAATCGGAGGATATATGATCAGGCTGGAGAGGGCACTAAACACTCTCTGTTGGCTGTTGGTCGTGGCGAATGAAGTGGCCGCGAATCGAAACATTCACTTTCCACTCACAAGCATGTCATTGCATGTCGTAACGTCAGGTACAATCGAGGGCGACCACTATCAAGCTTAGCGCGACGGAGACAAAGGCTCGCGTTCCATGTCCACAACAGTGGCACTGTGGCGACTGACACATTCACCACGACGTGCTTCTTTTCCCCTTGGCAAACTGCTGGGTGTCGGAAGCACTGTTAGGTCCTCAGTGATGCGAGCGAGTGATGGAGTTCATGACCTGTGACATTGCAGAAGCATGAGAACCTTCAAGAGCCATTGGCGCGAGGCATGTCCTCCTCGAGTGATTCTGGCTTTCAGCAATCACCCATCATCGTCGTGGTGGGAAACTCCCATTCTCGTGCCCGCTTGCAAACCTGCTTCAAGCCGACTCACACTGAGGTACAAAAGGACCTATCACTCTGTCGCTCACGCTCACTCCGTTACTGACTTGTATCCTACACCCAAATCCTATCATGTCTGCCAGGTATCCTCTCCGCAAGTGCACTGCTGGGCCGAGTGAGTCTACACCTTCCCCTTTCGCCACCTGTGCCTCGACGGCTGACAGGCAGACTACTGCGCGTGGTATGTAGCGTTTGGTACTCTCATTTGTCACTACTGCGGCCGCTCTGGTGGCCTGGCCCGATAGCTATCGCTTGCGGCTGGGGTGGGACTTCAAACACGTATTTTGGTATATCATATGAAGCCCATCGTTGTATGAAACAGTCGTCGCTGGGCTCCTAAGCACATGGCCTATTCTTCCGCTGTCTCTGAGTCGAGGGACCATGTCTACCTGGGGCCTAAAGCCAAGGATAACATCCTCAGGCTTTAGAAGTGGCCATGATCGGTTCCGGGCGTGTGCTTGGCGGGGACGGGGACGTAACTGATGAAGAGCGTCAGCGTGCCGTCCATGTCATCCAAAAGAAGACGTTGAGGGAGAGAGGCCCTCGTTCACGGAAGAAGCAGGTATGAACGTATAAATGACGTACTCTGTGCCAACGAGGTGACGGCTCTCCTTGTGCTTGCTGAGCACGCGTTCAATGGCGTCGAGACCAAGGTCGAGGGTCTCCATCGCAGGACCAAAGGAGAGGCGGACAAAGTGGTGGCACGGGGAGCTAGAGGGTCAGCTAACGATCACAAAATGGCAACAACTAGAGCACGCACTCGAAGAGGTTACGCTGGAGTGTCAGCATCAGTGCCAAGACGGTCGAGGTTGGCTGAACTCACACGGTGTGCCGGGTTGACATCGAAGAAGAGACCTTGCATTAGAACAAGCTCCTATAAGTTGACTTACCGGGGACACAAATGGCCTTCTCCTTGAGCAGCTCCTCAAAGAACGTGAGGCCGTTGTTGAGAGGAGGTTCGAGAGGCGAGAGGTCGAGCCAGATGTAGAAGGTAGCCGTAGGAGGGACTGTCACCGGGAGACCCATCTTGGCGAGGCGCTCCAGCATGTGGTCGCGCTTGGCCCGGAAAACCTTCTGGAGGGCAATCTTGTCCTGGAGCACGCGTGAGGGCTCGAGGAGGGGGATGGCGGCGACCTGGAGGCTGACGCGTTAGAGGAGAGTCGGGATAACGGTTTGCTCACGGGTGGCTCGCTCCTCCATCCAGGAAACTGCCCGACTGCGAGATGGCAGAGACGAGGTCCTTGGGACCGATGACCCAGCAGACACGCCAGCCGGGGAGACGGAAGCCCTTGGTAAGACCGTCAATGATGACGACCGAGTCCGTGTTCACGTCGTCAACGTAGGCGGCACCACTGAGGCTCTCGCCGGTCCTCGACTCGTCGTCCCAGTACTGATACCACGAGTAGAACTCGTCCAGTACAATGGTGGTGTTCTTGGTGCCTAGCTTGACGAGCTCCTTGAGGTCGTCGCCCTCGATACACTGACCAGTGGGGTTGCGAGCTAGAGTTAGGCCACAGACATAGAAGGAAGCTCACGGTTCGAGGCGATGATGACGCTGAGGCTGAGGAGGTTGATGGACTTTTCCAGCTGGGGGCAGTCAGTGGACGCTGCCGTCGTCGAGCCTCACCTCCTTCATGTGAAGCTTGTACTTGTCCTTGGAGAGTCAGTACATGTCACTTCAAAGTCGAAACAAGACTGCCAGCTGAGCTACCCACCTCGGGGCTGAGCGCAGTAGGGACAGGGATGAGGCGCTTGAAGACTGAGAGGACCTCGCTGTACGTGGTGTCTGTGGCTTGTCAGAGAACCAGGCCATACAAGTAACGTACACTCGGGAATCTGGTATCCTGACACGTGAGCAGTAGCATAGTATAGCACTCATGCACGTGCTTACCGCAGTATACATCGCCCTCGCGCGGTCAGCACAACAAACAGCTTGCCAACTTACAATCACGGCAGCAATACGGGACATGCCAGCCCGTCCACCGGGGACGATGCAGACGTTCTCGTAGGTGTACTGCGACTCCTTGCCCTGGCGGTACTCGTGGTTGTAGAGGTTCTGAGAGACCTGATGAGCACGAACCCTTGGCACTTGCCCTTCCCGCCCCGCAGCACAGGTCGACTCACAGCCACCGCCTCGCGGAGCTCCTTGACGCCGACCGTCGGCGCGTATTCATGGATCAGATCGTCGGTAAACTCGATGCCAGTGGGACGAGGAGACGCCCCGGGGAGTGGACCCGTCTCCGGCGCTCCCTGTCCCATGTTGGCCCACTCGGGCTTGCCATAGGCGAAGCCATTGGCCTGCGCACGGTCGGTGCAGTAGATGACACCTGGGGGGATGGTAAGAACGGGGTATGCCTCTGGGCGTGTCGGCAATGGGACTTACCAGTGGCACCGGGGTGGAGAACACCAGGACTACGTGTCAGCTGTGCACGACTGAGGGGTCTTACACAGTCTCAGCGTCGGGCTGGGCGTGGTGCTTGGCCTTGTTGCCAATGTAGCCTCGGAGCACCTTGTGAGCCTCCGAGTGGTCTTCATGGGTGAAGGGTCTGCCGTCTGCAAGCATCTTGTGTAGGAGATTGGACTGGGCTGGGATGAAGACGGCAGCGGTAGTGAGTTGAGAGATGGAGAGAACATCTGTGTACGAGCAAATGCATGCTACGTAGGAAAGCTAGCTGCGACAAACGTGACACCCAAGTGTCGACGTCATGGCCGGGGGGGCGCTCAGCCAGGAATAGCGCGCAGGAGCCTCGTTCACGTCGCCAGGCACCAAACACGCGTTGGCTGCGGGCAAGCAGCAATGTATGGCCCTCGGATGGGTTCGGTATAACACCGATCCCAGAGGGATAAGCACTTACATGTGCGTGCGGGTGGTGCTTCTGTTGATAAAGCAGAGATGGAGTTCACAGTCTGCGTAGGAAAGTGCCACAGTCGGTTACCGCTCATATCTGCATAATGCATTTCAGATCCCGGGTGGCCGCTGGTAGGCACAGCTGTCGCGTATTTCTACAAATACACATCGTCTGCAGCGGCCTAGAAGGTCTCAGTGGGTGCCTTGACTCCCATTGACACTGCTCTTGGCTCTTCATGTGCTAGCAGTCCCGGAATGATGGAACAATGAGACTTTTTGAGTCCGAGAGGTGCCGAACCGACCGACCTATGTACTGTGTGTGTTGCACTCGTGACACGGCAGGTGCCACATGCATGTTGTTTCATCTTTGGTGTCTCAGAGACCTTTTGGGGTTCTGTACTTACTTTTTCTCTCACTGATACCCCGGATTGACTCCAGTTCAGTGTCAGACGGCCAGAAACACCTTTCGCGGTGTGCACACGTGTGGTGCAGATGTGCAGAAGACACAACCCTGTTCGTCCCCGTTATGTATTTGGACGTGGCATGCCTATGCTATGCATACGTAGCTGCATGTCTAAATAGCGCCAATATATGCCTTCAGATAGCCAAGACTGTTCCCATCTTGGCGCTACGAAGAAAATATCCAAAAATGTGTAAAAATACCCAACAATCCCACAGCATAGACCTCTCCGGGTGTCGGGATATTGCCTAGTGCTTAAATCCGTGGATTACCGGGAGCCCAGTGACATCATGCATCTGCGGCCTCATCCATGGCGCCGGGCAGCCTGCATCTCGGAAGCAGCCGTGCAAAGCACCGGGCATGCAACCTGCAAGACTATGCACAACAGTAACTGCCGTGACGAGGATCAGTGACGTCACATCCGTAAATAAGCGAAAGGCTCCTTCACGACCTCGATTGAAAGCCTAGACCAGCACCTGCTTGTGCAACCCGGCCACTTCCTTGCTCGTCCCCTCTGTTGTCATGGGTCTTGCTGTTACTTCCTGTTCAGAGGGGAAGTAACAGCAAGACCCATGACAACAAAGGCGACAGGTGCACCTGGCTCCTGGCTTGAAACGCAGGGTCGTGCTTCGGGCCTGCAGGAGCCTTCCGCAAACGAAGGACGAACACATGGACCGGGCTGCCGGCAGTACAGACCGATGTGCGTCAGAGGAGCTCCACACGTCTAGTTCCGAACTCGTGCAGCCGCGCGTGCGTGTGTATGACGCACACGAGCTGAAGAGCTGTCCGTTATGCAGAATTACTGAGAAACCACACCAAACAGTTGGCTGAAGTCGTACATTTGGACCATGCGTGACTGAACTAGTAGCAGTCATGGGCTCCAGACCTGGTCTGAACCCAGTGACACGTCCCGCAATGAGTTTCCGGTCAATGACGCCTTTGGACGTTCTAGGTAAACGGCCACTGTCGCGGTGAAGGCCGCAGATTCGTCTCTCATACACAGACGGGACAGTCCTGCCTTTCCCGCAAAGTCTTGGAACTCCCAGGTGGCGCGCAGTCGGCTCATTGTCATTGTCAAGCTTGGCACCCACGCCTTGGCATTTCTCAGCGCGTCACGGTTCACGTCACAAACCCAATTGGGGTCGTTGATGCGTCACACGACTTGCACTTTACCCCCCAATGATGTCAGAACCAGTTGAGCCCAGTTGCCACGCATGATGCACACCCCAACATGGATATAATACCCGCGCAGGTCAGTTGGGCCTTACGCCACCGACTCTTGTCCTTTGTCTTTCAGTTTACCTCCTACCTCCTCACCAAACACCAGAAGCCAGCACCATCATGGACGCCATCAAGAAGGCTATCACGTACGTCCCCCTGGTTCACTCCACCCTACTTCAAGTCAGTCACTAACGTGTCCAGCGGCTGCAAGTGCCACAACCCCAGCCCCAGCTGCGAATGCCACGGCAGGTGCGCTTGCAAGCGCAACAAGTGCAAGTGCCAGGGCTGCGCCGGCAAGGGCCCTCGCCGTGCCGGCGGCCACTCGAGCTCGAGCTCCGACAGCTCGTCCGACGACGACACCATGCGTCAGCGCAAGCTCAACAAGCGCGCCGCTCGCCACGGCGGCCAGCCGGGCGTCGGCGGTGCCGGAATGGCTGCTGGCGGCATGCACCAGCACCACATGGGCGGTGGTGGTGGTGTTGGCGGACAGCAGCACATGGCCGGTGGTGGCCTTGCTGGACAGGGCGGTCAGCACATGGCAGGCCAGGGTATGGGCATGCAGGGAGGCGTCCAGCCCGGTATGGGACAGCCCGGTATGGGTCAGCCCGGCATGGGTGGTCAGCCCGGCATGGGTGGTCAGCCCGGCATGGGTGGTCAGCCCGGCATGGGCCACCAGCAAGGTGGTATGGGAGGACCCGGAATGGGGTGAGTGGATCGACAGATCACAGAGCAGCAACTGACTAGGTTACAGTCGCTAAACCCCCGTGCCATGGGAAGACAGGCCTCCGTACCGGATGAAAGTGTGAAGTCAGTAGTCGTTAGCAGTGAATGAATTGCAGTAGTGCTGGAAGCCGAGGGGTTCTGTCTTGCTGCACATGAGTGGTTCGTCGTCAGAGGGGTGGTTTCTGGTGAGAACCGTGAGCGAGTGGTGGTGTGAAGATACAAATCGCCTTGCAATGCTCTCAGACGCTCAGACGCCTCTTTATATACGTTTCTGGGATGAGAGTGGACCATCCCAGAAACGTATATAGAGTCGCCATCGGCTCCAACGATGACGAAAATGCACGCGACTGATCGTCCGGCGAATTATGAGTGGCACTTGTCATTTCACCGATCCACCACCACAACACCTTTTCGTCGTCTCCAGACATCCAACAACACGGTGGCATGCATGGAGAGTCCACCGGGACACGCAAAAGAGAAGATCCTACCCCACCAGGGCTCGAACCTGGGACCTCGGAGTATGTTGAAGATAACAGCTCCACGCGCTAACCAACTGAGCCATAGGGTAGTTGGTGTTGCTGTTTTTGCAAATGGAGTTATGTTCGGACGCACCTACTTTGCGACCAAACATGGTGCTGCCTCCTCTCACTTTTGCATCGTGCGCTTTTGATTTCCTTTCAGAACAAGCCAGGTCATGAGCCTTGAACACTGTACTGGTGTGGCGGGGAGTCTTAGTTCTTCAACCAATTTCCAACATTTTCGCTGTTTTTCATGAATTTTACGACCGCTAGCAGTGTGAGGGCCGCACGACAGTTTGCGGTAAAAGAAGCACACACGAGCCCAGGATCCGCCCGGCAATTCTTCTAGACAGTGTGCTTTGGCATGTCGAGGGAACCGAACATACCGTGTGACTTGCGCTGTGTGGATCCCCCAATTATCGGCATCGTCGCAGAGGCGTGGAGAGGACTGTCGCAAATGGACGGGGGGTGAGTGCTCGAAATGCCTTGTGGTACCGTCCTGAAGTCTCTCCTGTGCGCCGATGCAGTGCCCTGTAACTGCATATAAACGGGGGAAAGATGGTTGAGTGCTGAGCCTCGACCAACGCCGTCGGCGCTGATGCGCTATACCACCCTAACTGCTGCCTTTGGACTTCGTTCCTTCCCTGTCTTCACACCACATCAATCCAGCAGTCAGAACCATTGCTGGACTAAAAGGAGCGTCTCTGCATACATATGCTTACTTGCTTCTTGCCACCCTGCCACCACCTGACACTGCTCCTGTACAATCCCCGGGCTCTTTTCCTCCTCTTTCATTTTGTTCACTCCACTATGAGGCCAAGGCCTCAACATGCTGTACTTCACCCGTCTCTTTCTCCTTCTCCCCCATAGGGTCGTTGAGTTCTTCAAACTCCTCGACATTGGTGGAGGCAAACTTCCGGGCCGGCACATGGTTGGCTGTGGTCGTTAGCTATGTATATACTGGCCCCTGTGTAGGTGAACCTTGACTAATGACGCACAGAAGAGAATGTCCAGCTCGCCAAAAGTCCTGCCCCTTGTCTCTGGCATACGGAAGTAGCAGTAGATGAGGCCGAGGATGTTGGTGCCCATCCTGGAATGGTAAGCGCGACTCTGAAGACTATTACGTACCAGAATAGACCACACTTGGCTCCCCAGTCCCACTCCTCAGTGGACAGCATGCGCGGAGTCAGCTGGCCGGTAACCAGTCCGGACAGGATGTATGCGCCACGAGCGACGACGATGGTGGGCGAGCGGACTTCGGCCGCCGGCAGTTCCGCCACATATGTATAGCACGCCGGGCCGACCGTACACTGGAAGATAAAGTTCATGAAGATGAGCATGGCACTGGTGGTGTAAACGATGGCGGTGGTCTTGAAGAAACCAAGAATGCCCATGACACCGAGAACGATTGCCATCCCGGCTTGTCCGACGAGGTAGATGCGACGACGACCGAACCGTCCAATGCCACCCCACATGAGAAGGGTGCCCAGAAGGCCCATTCCGTAGGTAGCAAGGGAAATTCGGAACGAGTTGGTGACGCTCAGGCCGACTGAGGTGAGGCTGTACATGTTAGAACCAGCTGCACGACACGACTCACAGCTGGGTCGAGAGACTGGTCATTGGCTGGCCACACCACTGCTGGACGGCAAACACAGCCGCCACAATCTCAGTGCGACGAAGGTTGGTTCCCTTGAAGCAGTTGAGGAAGCTCTGGTCCTTGTGCTCGAGGGCCTCGATTGCAAGGGTGTGCTGCATGAGCGCCACCTGTGCTGTGAGGTCGTCCTCTGAGTAGTAGCCAGGGTATGCGAGTCGACTAATGGACTTCTTGGCCTCATCGATCTGGCCAGTACGCGTGAGGTGCCAGGGGCTTTCCGGTGCGAAAATGGCGGCCACGATCAAGGGACCGGGCCAGATCCACTGGAGATACAGAGGAGTCTTCCATGCGCTGTCGCCGGGGAAGTTGAGAGTAGCGTTTTGGGTCGCCGATCCGAGCAAGGCTCCGAGGGTCCAGCAAACGTTGACCCAGGAGGTGAGGTACGGGCGGACCACCATGGGACACAGTTCAGCCGCGTAAGCTGTTGTGAGAGTCTGGAAAACTGCATAGGGGTTTGTCAGCACACGTGGTATTCTTGTGCACCCACTGCCATTGAGGAAACCAATAAAGATGCTGCCAATAAGAATGACGGTAAGAGAGGGAGCGAAAGGTGTGAAGGCGAGTGCGCCGATGAGGAGGGTCATCGCTCCCACATACACCCATTTAGAACCGTAGCGGTACTGAGCCCAAGCATTGAACTAGACTTGTCAGCTACGCAAAGAAGATCGGTGTTCACGCACGATGAGGCCTAGCACGGTGCCAGCGGTACCCGAGTTGCCGATAGCCGACTGCCAGTTGGCAGGGATGTAGTAACCCGAACCGCTCGAGGTAGGTTCGCCAAAGTGCTTCTGGAAAGCAGGCTGAGCGTAGAAGGCACCGAGCTGAACGACATCAAACCCCTCCATGACCAAAGCGACAGAGAGGATACCAGACCAAAACATGCCGCGCCAGAAGATTGGCACAGCTTGCTTCAGCGGCATGGCCTTTTCCTTGGCCGCGGCTTGCTGAGCTTGAGCGACCAGGAAAGGGTCCATCCCGGTATCGTGGTTAGCCACGACAACAGTGTCGGGCTTAGGGTCTTCAGGACTGCTCATGGTGATAGATTGTAGGGCTGTGATTCGGTTAACAAACTGATCTCGGGAGGCATGAAGTCTTTTATGGACATAACCCGGGTGTCACTAGCTTACTGATATGCTGTGAGCGGTTAACATCGTCATCGGATCCGCTTCGCCGACGACACTACATGACCGCTACAGGTGCAAAGGAAGCTCTTGGCAAAGGGTTAGGCCTCGGTCCTACTCTCGGGACAGTGACCGGGCAGGCAATCATGTGTGGGGTCATGTGGGGCCTCTGGGGTCCTCAGCATTGGCACCCACAGAGTACAGTTCAGCAACATCGGTGACCTTGCGGTTATCAAAGCGGGCCCCGTCTTCGTGTTTGTCTGATGTTTGGAGAAACGCGGGGCCCGCTTCAAGAACCACAGCAATGAGCATATCGACTCCTCGTCTCCTCCAGCGGTGCCCCGGCTGTCCCCTTGAATCCGGGGCGGAGATGTGGGCAACATGAGCATGTGATCTACCTGCTTCAAGGTGACCTGTGGATAAGACGAGCTCGGCACCACTGGTGCGGATGTGTGCGCGCCAAGGGAGTTCCTAGGATCGGGCCGCGGCGGCCCGATCACCACATAGCCAGTTCGTTTTCTGATATCTTCATTACCGACTCCTTGGGCAGTCATTTAAAGGTCCCCGACTGCTGAGGTGAGAAGGGCCGAGCGGCAAGTCACCGTGAGAAGAAAGTCAAGTGGAGCCGAGCAGGCTTATGACGCCCACAAACCCACTTAACCCACAAGGCCAGAACGTCCACGAGCAACGAGGTTGCTGTCCAGAGCAGCTCCCCATTGCGTTTAACGGCCCCAACGCCCTCCACACCAACAATGTCAAATGCTCCCACGAACAAGAGATATACAATTTGAGCGTATGACCAGATTGACCGTGTGCGCCGTTGAAACTCTTCAACCGGGTCAGCATCGACGTCCACTTATCTGGCGAATGTGGCATCTCGCCAACAATCGCAACTATTATCAGCATTCCGACATCCCCCAACGACAGATTGCAGCAGCCTTTCCGTCGCTCATGCTAATGCTCATTGGGCGTATTTACATCATGGGAGTGGTGCCGATAGACAGGGGTTGGGGGTTGTACAAAATGGATACACAGGACTTGAGTGTGAGGGAACGAAATACACAGTGGTGGCTTGCGGTACGGCGCTCTTCACGGCGCAAGTGTGAGCGCGCGACGAAGAAATGCCGTGAGCTCGTCTTGCTCCGAGGGCGGGTCCCTTGCGGTCTTCGAGATTTCGACATGGTTGACGCGGCCAACCTTGCCGCGCATGGGGAGCACCTGGGTCTGAATGCCAGCGGTTTCGTTTGGAGCTTGCTCACCGGCTTCTCAAAGCACGACTCGGGAATCGGCATCTCACGCCAGGCGCTCGACACGGCATGGTAGTGGCGTTGCACTTCCATGTTGTCCTGTCCCTCAGTGGCCAGCTTGTTCAAGTCGCGGGGGTCGAACGCCTACTTGAGCAATTGGACATGGCTGAATTTGCCCGAGTACGTGTGGCCCAGAAGACACTGCCACTTGGAGGCTCGGGCCAGAGCCGGCAGCGTCCTGCCACCACCTTGGAGGTGGTCGTATGCCCAGGTGCGGACCGCGAGGACGTCCTTGATGAATTCGTCATTGTTGCCCAAGAAGCGGATGTCAATCGGCTGCTTCTTGGGCGTCCTGCGCTGGCAGTCCACAAGGTGTGTTTGGAGGGCGTTGGGTCCCTCGAGAGTGCCGCTGCATCCTACAATGTCAGCCCACAATAAATATTGCAATACCCACCAATCACCACCGTCTCGCACGCCGACACAATCGATACCATAGTGCCATTGGGGAAGGTCGACAGGGCCTTGGCGAGCCAGTTGCCACCTGGAACCTTGGCGCAGGCGACCTGGAGCGCATCCGAGTGCGGCTCGCGGTCGTGCTCGCCGTTACGCCTGGCGATGTCGACTAACCTGCCAAAGTAGGACAGGAGGAGGAGAAGGCAGTGGCACATGTATATGCCCAAGACGCCGCTGAGATCGTGGGCGTCTTGGAGAACGTTGAGGATGTCGGTAAAGTCGACATCGGGGTGCGTGGGGTCGGCGGCTGCCTCCGCAAACTTGCCGCGAACCTCCAAGAACGAGTGGTTAAAGAGGAACGCCACGATGACATCCAGGCGCTGGTCAACCCACTGGGGGTAAATTCCGGCGCCTCGAATGTCATCGAGGAACTAAGGGCGAAAGAAGCCCGTCGCCGTGCGAGTAGCCAGCAGGCCATTGGTCTGCTGGCGGAAAATGCCCGCCCTACTGTTCGTCAGCTTGAGCCGATAGTACGGCTTGCATGCAATTGCCTGGGTAGGGAGCATTGGGTGTGAGACTTGGGCTTACCAGTTGGATGGTCTCTGGATCCATCTGGCGGATGGCGTCGCCCAACTCGGCATCGATCCTGTCGCGCTCGGAAGGAGCGGCTGTCTGTAAGCGACTTGCAGCAAGACACATCACGCACGCGACAGGAGAAGGGCCATCTCTTGTGATGCCGCCTGTTCCGCCTGTTTCTCGCCGTCGACCCAATCGGTGACTTCATCGTTGTCCTCCAGGACTGTGGCAACAGGAAGAGACGTTGTTGACGACCACAGCCGAGGTGGAGGCTTGGTTTGGGGGGTCCTTTGGTGCCTTGTTCGAAGGTGGTGGCAAAGGAGAGGACGACTATGGCGTCTCTCGCTTTGTGCAGCTGGTGTGTACAGTAGGTTGACCGGATGGGCAAGGTGGGAACAGCTGGGGTAGCGACACAGTCAGACGCACCGAGAGGGTGCAGACTGTTGTAGTGAGGTATTGTGCGAGGCCTGCACGCACCTTGTGTGCGCGCGATTGAAGTACTGTACTACAAATGATCTGTGGGCTGTACATGGATCCACACACGATCTCCCAGGGCCGGTGAGGGTGAGGCAGTATAACCCATAATGAAAGCAGTGGTCGATCATGTCAATACAACCCATAGAATACCATTAGAGGTGGCGTTAAATCAGCCAATATTGCTTGGCCTTGTGTCATGCAAGTCATGGTCAGTACCCAGCGCGCGTGGCTGGACCTCTTAACTTGTTTTCCGGCCGCGGCTCGACCTGGCAGTTGTCGGTCAACCCTATTCGGACTCGGCCGGCGAGCCGCGGAGCAGACTCTTAAGCTCTTAAACGGTCTGTTGCAGTCTTTCCCGGTGTCGGACTTGGCCGCCATTGCCCACCCGCGTGATGGTAACCGAGACCCAATGCCGCGCGATGCCGAAATCCACTGCCTGCCTTTCACTGCGCTCAAGAGACCATGTAGTACAGCGATCTGTAAAAAAGCGAGCGGGGTTGCACTTTCTCCTCGTCATCATACACACTACACGACAATGTCGCTGCCCAAGAATGCTTCCTACACCGAGTGTATGAACTACCTCACTCGTCCCGGGGCGCTCCACGAGACCGAGGATCTCGTCGTCGATGGCCGCAAGATCACGGCTTTCAAGAACCTCCCAAAGACGTTTCGCTCCTTCTTCCTGGACAAGTTTGGCATGTACACGGACAGGACTTTCCTCTCTGCACCAGCCGCCGGCACAGACAAGCGCCAGTACCACACCTTTGCCGAGATCTTCGACCAGTCGGTAGCTCTCGCGGCATGGCTCCGTGCTCAAGGTGTGGAGCGAGGCGACGGTGTTGGTATTGCAGGCTACAACTCGCCCCTGTGGGTCACAGCATTTGTGGCCACCCACCTGCTCGGCGCGGTTACAGTTGTTTTGAATGCGTCTCTGTGAGTCACCAGGTCGCCGTATAGCCGAGTGGCGCTGATTGTGCCAGAAACGCCGACTCCCTCATTCACTGTCTCAAGACCACCGTCCCAAAGGTCACGCTCGTGGACGCGCCTGTGGCCGAGACGCTGGCCGGCAAGTACAACGACAAGCTGAAGCCCCACGGGGTTGGTCCGGTTAGCCTTTGCGTGATATTTACGGACAATGCTTACAAACAGCTGTACTGCTACACTCCAGGCAAGGCCCAGTCGCAGATCAAGCAGCTGCCCCAGATCCGTGCCTCCCCAGCCCAGAAGGACGCGGTCCTCCGCACCGAGTTGAATGACCTGGGTCCCGATTCCGATGCGCACATCTTCTTTACCTCTGGGTGAGCCTTACACTGCCAGTGATCCCGCTGACCGCCAGAACCACCGGCTACCCCAAGGCCGTTCTGTCGACCCAGCGCATGGGCCTGAGTAACCACTTTTCAGCCATGTTCCGTGAGTTGCGAAGCGACACGGCCATAAGACCACTGCCTGACAAACAGCCGCCTCTATCGCCGCTCTGCGCAAGGGGATGCCGGTTCCACCTCTACCCACTGCTGCACTTCCGCAAAAGGTGCACCTGCTGGCTATCCCAATGTTCCACGTCACGGGATGCCTGAGCTGGCTCATTCGTGGTATCAACTCGGGCACCAAGCTCGTGTTCATGGACCGGTGGAACGTGGCAAAGGCGTGCGAGGTGATTGTGCAGGAAAAAGTCAACCTGGTGGGAGGGTGAGTGTCCTCAGCCGTAACGGGACCCGGCTGACCTCCAGTGTCCCCGCCATTGCGACCCAGTTGGTCCAGACCGACCTTTTGCCCAAGAACCTAGACTTTGACGGTGTTGCGTATGGCGGCGCTCCGGCCGCTGCTCGCCTTGCGAAGGACATCAAGGAGCGCTGGCCTACTGCAAGCGTCCAGCAGGGTTACGGCATGACAGAGACGAACGCGTACGCGTGTGGAATCGCTGGCGACGACTACCTCTCAAAACCCAAGAGCACCGGCCCGCCAGTCCCCATCTGCTCGCTCCGCATTGTGGACCCCGAGACAAAGCGCGAAGTCCCCGTCGGCCAGATGGGCGTCATCCACCTGCGTGGCGCCAACATTATGAAGGAGTACGTCCGTGACCCCAAGGCCACTGCCGAGGCGCTTGACGCCGACGGCTGGATGGACACTGGTGACGTCGGATACGTCGACGAGGAAAACTTCCTCTTCATTGCCGACAGGGCCAAAGATCTCATCATCCGCGGCGGCGAGAACATCCCCAGTATGGAGGTCGAGAATGCCATCCTGCGCGACCCACGTGTCTCACAGGTCATCGCCGTCCCCATCCCTGATAAAGTTATGGGCGAACTCGTCGGTATCCTCTACACGCTGCGCTCCGGAGCGAAGGCCCACGAAAAGTCGATTCTCGAAGAGGCTCACCCCCACCTGCGTAAAGTGGCCAGGCCAGAGATTGCTGTCGAGTACCATGAACCCAACTTGCCTACCAATGCCAATGGCAAGTTTGTCAAGAAAGATCTCAAGCATCATGTTATTGGTGCATGGGAGGAACGACAGAAGAAGCCTCGCGCCAAGTTGTGAGGTAACAGTTTGGGAGGGAATGTATGGAGGGCAGCATGTATCTTGTATGTGATCAAATTGCAGTGTCGACCGCGAAAACAAACTTGTGGCGGCTCTTCCTCTTCCTCTTCCTCTTCCTCTTCCTCTTCCTCTTCCTCTTCCTCTTCCTCTTCCTCTTCCTCTTCCTCTTCCTCTTCCTCTTCCTCTTCCTCTTCCTCTTTGCTCTCAACAGCGAGACACCCCATACCGTGCACGAAGGCCGCGGGCCATGTGGAAAATGTCGTCGTCTGCGTTTTACCAGCTCACCCTCAACCACTTCTGCACCCTCGGCCTCGTAGGTTGCCCCCCCACAGCGGCAGTATTCCTGAGGCCAGCATCATCCGGAGCAGTTCAAGAGGCTATGCCATCCGCTCATCGCCCACAACGACGTCCGCCCGGCAACGGATGTCACGTCTGTTAGTCGATTGCACCCAATGCGTATCAGTATATATATATGCTGTGCAACACACGCTTCACGATCTTCTTGTCTGTTATATCTTCATCCTACACGCGTACAAAGAGTCATCACCATGCTCCAACGCTTTTTTAAGCCTTGCCGGCAGCGCGCTCAGCGGCAGCCTTGGCCATGAGGTTCAGAGCGGAACCAGCCTTGAACCAGCCGATCTGGCCCTCGTTGAAGGTGTGCGAGACGATGAAGCTGTACTCCGAACCGTCGGCCTTCTTGCCGAGGATGGTCAGGTCCTTGCCGGGGGCGAACTCGTTGAGGCCAGTGATCGAGAGCTTGTCCGAGCCCGAGACGAGGTCGTAGTCGGCGGGGTTCTTGAACCAGAGGGGAAGCATACCCTGCTTCTTGAGGTTGGTCTCGTGAATACGGGCGAACGAGCGGACAATGACGGCGCGGCCACCGAGGAAACGGGGCTCGAGGGCGGCGTGCTCACGCGACGAACCCTCACCGTAGTTCTCGTCACCGACGACAACCCAGGGGATACCCTGGTCACGGTAGTAGGCACCGACCTGGGGGACACCGCCGAACTCGCCGGTAACCTGGTTAAGGACCTAGAGTTGTCAGTTGAGTTCTAGGGCACGTCTGAAGGCAGAACGCTTACCTTGTTGGCCTCGTTGTTGTCGGCGTTGATGGCACCGATCAGGCAGTTCTGCGAGATGTTCTCGAGGTGGCCACGGAACTTAAGCCATGGGCTGGGACGTTAGAAATCTTTCCCTGCTCATTCTTCTACTCACCCGCCAGCGGAGATGTGGTCGGTGGTGCACTTGCCAAGAGCCTTGACGAGGACGGGGGCGTCAATGATGTCCTGTGCAGTGTTAGTTGAATGTGGCACCGCGGAAGCAAAACGGAAGCAAAGTGCTGTGGCGCCACGGAAGCAAAATGCCCTCCGAGTCCATCGCCGTCATCCTCCACCTTCGGTGGTGACATTGGCGGCCTCGGCAGCGGCGATGGGCTTCTCGAGCTCGGCGAAAACAGCAGCCTCGGCAGACGTGACTTACCTTGCCGTCCCATGCCTTGAAAGGCGTAAGGAGCTGCAAACGGTCCGACTTGGGGTCAACGGCGACCTGGACGGTGGTGCCGTCGGCGGGGGGAGCCTGGAAGGTGTTCTCGCCTGTCAATGTCAGCATTATGTTTCAACAACTGCACGTTATGCAATCATAATCACCTGCGTCGTAACCCTTGGGGGGCAGCTCGAGGCCCTTAGGCTCGGAGAACTTGAACTCCTTGCCGTCGGCGCCGGTGAGCGAGTCGGTCATGGGGTTGAAGGTGAGGTCACCGGCAAAGACCATGGCGGTGACGAGGTCGGGCGAAGCGACAAAGGCGTGGGTAGCGGGGTTGGCGTCGTTACGGCCGGTGAAGTTACGGTTGTACGAGGTGATGATGGAGTTCTTGGTGCCCTTGGGGACGTCGCGGCGGTCCCACTGACCAATGCAGGGGCCACAGGCGTTGGCAAGAACAACACCGCCGATACCCTCAAAGGTGTCGACGAAGCCGTCACGGGCGATGGTGGCGCGGACCTGCTCCGAACCGGGGGTGATGGTGAAGCCCGACTTGGCCTTGAGGCCGTGCTCGGCAGCCTCCTTGGCGATGTGAGCCGAACGCGACATGTCCTCGTACGACGAGTTGGTGCACGAGCCGATGAGGCCGACCTTGAGCTCCTCGGGCCAGCCGTTCTTCTTGACCTCGGAAGCGAACTTGGAGAGGGGGGTGGCAAGGTCAGGGGTGAAGGGGCCGTTGACGTAGGGCTCGAGCTCCGAAAGGTTGATGTCGATGCGCTGGTCGTACTCGCAGTTGGCGTCGGGAACAAGGTTGTGCTGGAAGGCCTCGGCGTAGCGGGCGGCGGGGGCACGGTTGGTGGCCTCGAGGTACTGAGCCATCTTGTTGTTGAAGGGGAAGAGCGAGGTGGTGGCACCAATCTCGGCACCCATGTTACAGATGGTAGCCATACCAGTGCACGAGAGCGAGTCAACACCGGGACCGGTGTACTCGATGATGGCACCGGTACCACCCTTGACGGTGAGGATACCAGCGACCTTGAGGATAATGTCCTTGGGGGTAGTCCAGCCCGACATCTTGCCGTCAAGGTGAACACCGATGACCTTGGGGGCCTTGAGCTCCCAGGGGATACCGGCCATGACGTCGACAGCGTCGGCACCACCGACACCGCAGGCAACCATACCGAGACCACCAGCGTTGGGGGTGTGCGAGTCGGTACCAATCATCATGAGACCGGGGGTAGCGTAGTTCTCAAGGATGATCTGGTGGATAATACCGGATCCGGGCTTCCAGAAGCCGATGCCGTACTTGGCCGAAGCAGTGGCAAGGAAGTCGTAGACCTCACGGTTGATGTCGATGGCACGGGCAAGGTCCTTGACACCGCCGACCTGGGCCTGGATAAGGTGGTCACAGTGGACCGAGGTGGGGACGGCAGTCTGGGGAAGACCGGCCGACATGAACTGGAGGATAGCCATCTGGGCGGTGGCGTCCTGGCAAGCAACACGCTACGTAACGTTAGAGATAAGGTCATGAAGACGGCCGATGGTCCAATCGCAAACTCACGTCGGGGCGGAGCTTCAGGTACGACTCGCCGCGGACAATCTCCTGGTGGTGAGGGTCATCGAGGTGACCGTAGACGATCTTCTCGGCAAGGGTGAGGGGCTTGTTGAGACTGCATGTTGGTTAGCAACCATGGTCTGTTAAAAGGTGGTAATTGATAAAGGTATGGTTGGACCAGGCTCGGAGGACTGTGTGGTTTCGCGCCGGGCCGCAATAGCAAGCCACGTATTGGTCCGACCTGGTGCGAACGGCCTATCGGATCCTCCGCGCGCCCCTTCTTCATGAAGGGAAAACAACGCCCACTGGCACAGCGTGCATGTTCGTGAAGAACCAAGAGAGCGCCTGGCCTTGTCGCAGACTCCAGAGAGAAGAGTGGTTGCGATGCCAGTATCACGTTTTGCCGAAGCACCCACCGGCTACCCGGCTTCAACTTTTCCCGCGCCCACCTGCGTCATGGCAATCGCGATGGGCGATGGGAATGGCTCCGTGAAGCGTCCAACACAGCAGCCCAACACTACAACTATTAAAGGCCAGTACTCACCGAGCACGGACGATCTGGAGGTTGTCCTCAATGCGCTGGTAGTTGATAAACTTGCCAGACTCGAGGTTGGACATGGGAACCTTGGTGTCACCAATGGCCGAGCGGACGGTCGCCATGGAGCGAACGCCGCGGAGGAGCGACGCGGACGCGCGGGGCGAGATCATGATGGGCAGGTGGGCTTGAGAGTGTTCCGACCTTTAGAAGATCGTGTCCCCAAGTGGGTTGTGAAAGGTTGGGAGAGGGGGGGGTGGAGAGGTGTATGAAAGAAAGAGCAAAAGACTGGCTGTGGAGCAATATACCTGGGCGGGGCGGGCGACGGGGGACGGGGGGGGGACACACAAAAGGGCACACCCGTGACAGCGACCGGCGCCAATCCCTCAGCCAGTGACGTCCCGGCCGCAAAACGCCTACTGGTTGCAAAACAACCATCGTGGATTGGCTCTGCACGCTCGGTGAGATTTCGAGGCGTAATTCCGACGCAGACACGACCCAGGACCAGCAAAACGACACCTTGTCCCGATTATGACCGACAGGATATGCTTACGTAAAATGCTCGCTGGCGGCGCTATTTGGCCGACAGTGCGATGTGTCCAGCTGACGACAAGCCCGCAAAGGTCCCCCCCGCCAATGGCCCCGGTCTATGCGCGAGAGAGCGTCGCCGTTCTCCGGCTCGACCATGTCCGGTGCCGCATACCGCAGAGCCTGGAAGTGGTGCTCCAGACACTCGAAACTCTATGAGGGCCAGACAAAAGGGCAAATGGCCAAGACTACTGGGTATTGCTACCACCGTTACCCCGGACTAAGGCTACTGCAACGCCGTAAGTCCGACTGAAAAGGGGCAGACATGTACACCCGTACACCACCGCACGCGAATCCTTCTGGCCATGTCAGTAGCGTCCCACGTCGCACATGGATCCATGGATCATGGGCAGTGCCTTCATCGGTACGAGGCGGCCGAACTGACGCTTTACAAGAGCAACGAATGTAGAAGCGATGTGGTGAGAAGGAATCTTTGTTTTGCACTTGTACACACCCGGCGGATGATTACGGTCGACGATCGCCGAAAGACCCACCCACGCCACCCATGCACATGCCACCCTTGCCACCCATGCCACCCATGCCACGCATCCATCAACCCACTACTGCGCATCAGTCCGCATATCCATACCGACACCCATTTTTTTTTCCTTCTGGGGTTTTTTTTTCACCCTTTGGACTTTTATTTAGCAATTTATTTATCAATTTAGGCCCTTTTGTTTTTGTCTTTCGGCTACTACGGCGGAGTCCAACGGGCTGGTCGGACCGGCAAGTGTCCGTCAGCTGTTACCGATACCATTATTACCCTGGCACAGCTGGCTGCGTTCGGTATTTGGAACTGCACAAGCCTCTGGCCTCTGGCGGCCGGCAGGGCAATGCTTACGAGCCACAGGCCACAGGCCACAGGGGAGAGTGGAGAGGGTCGCGTTTCATTTGGATACACGGGGGTGAAGTCCGTCAAGTCCTCAGCGGGAGATTAGATTCGGGTACTAATCACTGGATCACTGGATCACTTACACGCCTCCTTATGCCTTAACAACGCTCGGCGCCGTCTGTCACCCACTACCAGGTCCCGCTCGTGAGTGGGAGACGGTCAGGTCGTCAGGGAATGCGAACAGATGGGTCAACGTCTTGCACGTGATCGGCGCTCACTTGCCGATTATTCGTACCAGTGTCCAACTCATCATGGACCTGGTTTACACGTGAATCAGACAGACGTGGGGAGTACACCTAAAAATTAGTGGACATGGTAGTTGCATGACAGCTTTCCAGTGTTACCTGAACCTGTTCAATTTTTTACCCCTTCCTACCAACATCCGACACAGCTCCACAAACATCAGACTTGGAAGACGACACAAAGATGCTGGTCCGCCTCAGAAAATGGCCCACATCGCAGGATAGCGAATTCCAGTGTTGAGTTTGGTGGTCAGCGTTTCCACTCTATGCTGCCCTGACTTGCCCAATCTCATCTGTTCTCGGACAAACACGACACGACACACACACACACACATCTGGCACGAGCATCAACTACATACCGCATACCGCATACCGCATACCGCATACCGCATCTAAGATTGATTCCGATGTTCAGCTGGATCTGGACATAAGCATGTGCTCAACTGGCAACAAGCGGATCTCTACGGTATCATCTGACCTACCGGTAAGTATCGAGTCCTTCAGCTGTATCCTGGTTGCGCGCAAAGTATGAGGATAAGTGGACGCTGGACGGGCTCGAACGTCAGCGGCGCCAAGAGGCGTTGGTTGGCCGTAGGTCGCTTACTTGATGGCGAACAGACTCGAAAGCGGTCTCGTGATCTCGTGAGGCGGCATGTCCCGCGTGCTCTGGGTCGAGGATGAGGATCAAGGAGAGCTACAGTACGTACAGTTAGCGCCAATAACTGAATCACCATGCAGACCCCGCAACATCTCGCGGAGACCAAGGTTTGGGGGCGTTGGTGTTGGAAGATACGGGGCAGGCCAGAAGGCATCAAGCTACGGGCCAATTCAATTCTCATCATGAACCTTCAACTCTGGCTGCTCTTCCGCGCAAGCCACATGTCACGGCGCACGGCCTAGCAGTAAACAGCGCATCGCCTGCTGTGCCTCTCTCAGCTCAACACTTGTCTGGGCGATGGCGCGGCGGACTGTGACTGTCCGGTTTTTCCCAATCCTCGAGACGAGGGCATCTAATTTAAGACAAATGGCGAAAAGAGCACCAAACACGATCGTGAACGTGGCACTTGCCCTCCAGCACGCCTGGGCGTATGTTGTCAACACGTTTGAATGCGTCGAGCTCAGCCTCGCAACGCCGAAGCCATGCACCCGACTACGGAGAGATACATCGCAGTTCGAGTACGCCCCGCGGAACCGGGGTCGTCCCAATAAGATGCACCCTTTGCCAGACTGCACGGGCGCGCCGCCACGTCGTTCCTTGTAAGGGCGACCGCCGACCACCTGTCTCCCTCCAGTCGACCTGGGGACACGCTATGGTGATATCAATCTGTAATGTGTGCTAGCGGAGATCAGACTCCGGTCGCTCGGCGATCGCTGCTCAACGATGGGAAGTAGCTGAGCAGCTGACGTCTGACAGAGTACGGAGGTCGGAGGCGAAATGAGGCGCAAAAACGCCCATGGCTGTGCGTTGACAATACACCTTCCTCTTGCCGTTCAAGGCCAGAGGGGTACGGCCAAGGTCGGTAAGCGCCCGCGGCGCAGTGCCTCTGCACCCCGAATATGTATGGGGGAGCAGAGGTATCCCAGCTTGGCCGCGCGGCCGACGCACGATAAAACTTGCTAGCAGGCTTTGACGTAGCCCAAACAGAGATTCTGCGATCGCTCCTCTGGCACGGCCTCTCAATGTCACATCCGGCGTGCCGCCCCCTGCGCCGAGATTCAGCCCGCTCGGTGTCTCCAGACTCTTGGGAGCTCGCTAATCCAGCTTGGAGGTCTCGATCTCTGACCATGTGCCCGAGACTGTTGCGCCAGTCCCCCCCCCCCACCCGGCTCCACTCTCCAAGCCACCGAACTTTGTGATCTTGACGGACACTTGGCCACCCGCGCTGCCACCCCGGCCGGCCGCCGACCGACAACCCACGGGGCGTCCCAGATGAGCACAACTGGCGAGCCCATGGCGGCGGCGGCGTCGCTGACTATCTGCCAATACGTTCAAAAGGAGGGTGCCATCGAGCTCACCAACGGGTGCCTGCATACCTTTGGACGAGCTGGTGCACCATTCACCGCGAAACACTTCGCGAGCGGATCCGGAGCCACACACAGTTGGGCGGAGCGCCCGCCTCCGACTTGGCGTGCTTGCAATCGCTTCTTTCTTGATCTGGGCAGACGGGCGGCGGCGCAGAGCTGACGTTCTTGCTGCAAGCGGCTGCCCAAGACAAGCGGCAACAGACTGGAACGGGCAGCAGCCCTTGGGGCCGGGCCACGAGAGATTGAGATCGGGGGGGGTGGGGGGGGCACCATACAGGAGCCGTACCCCGGATCGAACAACGACGCGACGCGCCCCCCGCTGGCTGCTGGCCCGCTGAGAGCGAGTGGGGGGTCGCCGAGACGAGGGGCTGCCGAATCCGCTGGCTTAGGCTCCTTTGGCTCCCGTTCATGTCGCTCAACGTTGGGCCATTGACTCGATGGCGCACGTAGAACTGGGAGGATCTCCTGAAGAGGCTGGGTGGGGCTGCACTTGCCTGCTGAAAGAACGTTGGGGAGGGGTTGGGCGGTCGCAAAAAGTCTGCGGAAGGTCTGGGCGGACAGCCAGATGATATGCGGGGTTGCGTGCCATGGCGTCCGTGTCTCGTTTTGGTGCAGATGATGATCTCGTTCTCCCCCATTCTTCCACTGCGCACACCACGATCTTGCCGTGCATCTTGCCTCGTCTTGCATTCCCCAACACCCGTCGCCCACCCTCCCTACACTCACCAGCATCCTCCTCCGACTGCACACCCCGTCCCAGATCTACCTCCAAAAGCCTATCTACCCTAGGTCCGACAGGTGTTTCTCTCCTCGTGACCGGCCCACTGGCGTTCACCATCGCGCATCTCTATCCCACGCGCAGAACTAGATCTACTTCACCGTCATTGCTATCGCTGTCTCTGGTGTAGACGGCCCCCGCCCGAGCCCCCTCTCCCTCTCCCCCAAAGGCACCATCTCTCTGCGGTTCGCCTAAACCTGCTCTACCTGCTCCTTGTCGCGCGTCGTCGTCCTTTCAATTCCGAGGCAGAACGCGTTCTCGGCACGTCCACGGCCGTCCACCACCATCCTTGCTTTGACTCACCTCTGTCGTATTGGCCGTTTTCCCGACAAAGGAGGCCGCAAACGTACAAAGAGCAGCACACCCCCACGAGGCAGAGCGCGTCCTTCCCACCATAGCCACTTATCCCCCCCGTCTCCCGTCCACACCGACAACATCTCTTCACCTCCTTTGACCTTGTTGTCCATTGTCCTCGCACAACCAACCTTGTGTCCACACATTCCCCACGAGTACGATAGCGCACGTACCCTACTTGATCACACCCCATCACCCTTTCTTTCCCGGGTACGTTCATGCTTCTTTGCGCCGTCACCATCACACACCCTGGCGGGCCGCTATTGTTCGGGGCAACTAACTTTTCTCAGGAAGATTCAATAAAGCCATGAACATCAGCACTCTCGCTGCGCCCATGATAGGCCGTCCAGCCTATGCACACATGGATAAAAGGATGGGGATGGACCCGAACCACACCCGTAAGTCTTCCTGCTGGTCATGGAAAGCCCAACCTTTGGCTCACCACTGGTGGCGTTTCTTCAACCACCCTTCTTGGACTGTGCGTTTCTCGACACGCCGTTTCTCGATTCTCCAGTTCACGCAGGAAACGACTTTATGACTTCGCCGCTCCCCCTTTCCGTTTCGCCGCTCGACCAGGGTCACCCCCTCATGAGCCCCGCTATCAACAAGGCCGCCCACCGCCAGGAACTGCCCCTAGAATCCGAGGATGACGAGACTAAAGGCGTTGAAGGTGAGTCTCAACTCAGTGGCCAGGTTGTGCCCTGTATTATCTGCGCATTGTTTATGACGACGTCTCAGCAGAGCTTCCCGGTACCATTCCTTCTTCGCAACAGCAGAATGCATACGATCAGACAACCTTCGTCTACCCTACTGCGCCTCCGACCGCTGGCAACCTGCCCACCCCAGCCCCGCCACACTTTTATCACCCTTACCGAGGTGAGAGCTCCCGTCCAGCTCCGCGGCTCATTCGGGATATATAAACTGACCCATTCAGTCCCCCAGTCCCACCCATCTCAGTCCCCTCCTACTCCCATGACCACCATGATGACCACCTCCCCCGCTACCAGTATGATTGTAACGCCGCCAAGCTCGGCGAGCTCGTACATCCAGCAGCTCCCGATCAACAACTATTCCCCGCAGACCATCTCTCCCGGCATGAACGCGCTCAACCACCAAATGCCCGACCTCTCCCAGTCATCCATGCCTTGGGGATACACGCCCAACATTGGCTACACGACGGTCCCTTTCCCGAACTCGAATGGGTATGCATATCCCGCCCACCCCCAGTTCCACATGCCAATCAAGGTGTATAACAAGAAAGAAGCCATAGGTATGGGTATGGGTGAATCTGGATCTCCCGACAAGGACGATCACGAGGAAGAGCTCGTCGACATGGAGGACCCCGACGACGCGGGCTGTCTTGGATTCACCGCCAAGTGAGAAACAGCCACAACCCACATTTGCACCTTGTTGCTCAGCAACTGACCCTCCGCCAGTGATGAAGACAGGATCCTCCTCCCTGCCAAACGCGAGGACATTCGCCGTGCACGTATCGAGAGCGAGCAGGTTAGTCTTCCCCCTCGTCACACCACCAGAGAAGCAACTGCTGACATGTGTCTGTCAGCGTCGTCGTAATGAATTGCGCGAAGGGTTTGACCGTCTCCGTGATGCGCTCCCTGCCTCGTCGCAGCGCACCTCCAAGTCTGCCATTCTCGACCGCGCGGTGGCCCACATTCAACAGGTGGAGGCGTCCAACCGGTTCATGAGCGAGGCCTTCGAGGGCTTGCGCCGCGAGATCGATGAACTGCGCGTTCTCAACAACAAGCTAGTCACTGCCATGACTCACGCACCGGGGAGTGCCGAGGCCAGCCCCAGAACCGCCAGCCTCAGCTGAGCGCCGCCGTATTCACCGTGAACAGTGTATCCACCCTTCCCCGCCTGCTCGCTTGCGCTCGTCAGCCACGGCACGGCAGCACTGCCGACAGCATTCTGCGCCCCTGTATAGTATGTATGCCAAGTTCCCTCTCCTATTATTCCTGCGACACTGCCCGACGAGAAACCCCCCTTCCACTTGCCTTGATGGCGTGACGACTGCGACGACGGCCTGAGAACACGCAACAGCGTTTCGCGTTGCACGTATACGACGATTACAATGTCGATAGCCCCCCAACCCACACCCCGCTAGACAGACTCGCCGCATAGTCAACAATCAAGATGACTCGCCAGCCTCCGTAGTGTTACGATTGTCAATGAAGCGGACCTGATGAATGAAGTCACTATGTGCTTGATTCAGAGTTGCAGGGAGCATAGTGCTTGTTGGGCACCACCTGGTACCACCTGAGCTTCTGGCAGAACGCTGACGGCGCACGGCACGTTCCTCTGCCGGGTCGTGTCTCGGCCACGATCTACATCTGGCAGTTATGCCCTTTGAACGGATAACTGAGCCACACAAAAACGGAACGCCAGCTCCACCGCTTGTTTTTTTCCCATTGGGTTTTCGTCCGCCACAGACGCCCACAATCCCACGGCCAGCCAAGGGCCAAGGGAACTCTGCCAAGATCCAGCCACGCCACTGAAACGCCAATCCAATCTCTAGCCACTTTGCCATACCACAGTCACCACTCCGTGGGAACCAGCAAGAGGTCCCGCGTTGCTGTGTGTCGTTGTCGTTGCTATCGTCCTATCGAAAAGGGAAAATGGGCAACACGCGTTCCTTTCTTCACCGTGCGTTTTGGTGAGGCGGCGCTGGTAGAATCAGACACCTCAGCCCTCAAACGCCACACAGTCGTCATCCTGGTCCTCCAGCAGGCTTCTCGTTGAATCCAGCAGACCCACTCGAGTCCCACACGCTCACTCTATGCGATTCCGGGAATCAGCGCGGCTGCACCGGGATCTGGCGCGGAAACCACACGGAGGCATAGTACATCGAGTGTGGCAGCAACTGCACCCGGAACTTGATCAATTGCGCCAGATACTTGGCAGTTTGTTGTGGGCGCTGACAGTCGGACGGACCGAGACAGCGGGACCGAACAACTCAAAGGAAGTTGTTTGTATGCTTTTTTTCTTTTCTTTGTTTGTTTGTATGCTTGCTTGTCTACAGACCTCGGCGAGTCTCGTCATTCTGTTGGCCTTGGCGCGTGGCTCCCGAGAACCATGACCGCCAGCGCGTAAAGCCACTTTTGTTGTTTGTGCGCCCAAGGAACGCCGTCGCCGCCGGCCCATTCACGGTATTATTTTCTCCAAGGCTTGGGTGAGACTTGGGCGGACGTGCATCGCGACCGTCCACATTTACGTGTGCCACGCCACGGTCCACGCGTCAGTACCGCCCCATGGTGGCTGCATGGTTGGTGAAACCCTCGTCTTTTCTGGTGTGAGAACGAGCGGGAAGCGACTAACAAATACACAAACATATCACAACCACCATTCGCAATAAATGTCAAGATATCCAAGCTCCCGAGACCCCATCTATAGGGGTGTGATGCTTTGAAGGGGAGATGATTTGAAGGGGAGATGATTTGAAGGGGAGATGATTTGAAGGCACAACAACACGGTTAGTGTAAACCTTCCTACTCTGCAACAATCCAAAGGCAAGCGAGTTTCCGTTCCTGTGGTCGACGGCCCGAGATCGTATATGGAACTGCCACACAGAGCTCTCACAACCGGTGGACCTTTACAGCAAGCACCCTGGAGCCCACATGGCCGTGCGTTCTATACCGCCCATGGGCGCCATCGGTTCCAAACTGCCCACCAGGCAGTCGGCAGCTAGGAGACAGAATGGCCGCCAAGTGAGCAGTCGGTCTCGGAGTCAGAAATAGCTCCACGGCCTCCCCATTCAGTCGACGTGTGTCCCTTTGATGTGCAACAGCGTCGCAATACTTGGCTTACTGCGTCAGGTGGGTAGGTGGGGGGGGTCCGCCGTCGGTGGCGCCGTCCACTTTGCACTCTCGAGCTGCGCTGTCGGCACGGCAAGCCAGCGATTTCCCGACGCTGCACGTCTACGCCTCTGTGCCGAGCGCATCCGTGCCGAATAACTGTTTCAGATTTGAATGGCCATTCTGCTTCAGTTACCAACATGTTCCGGACGGCCTTTTCGTGGCTTACAATCCAACAATAGGTCCCGGCACGTCCGAGACGAGCGAGGAGAGGGTCATCGTTCGTGTCGCTTCGTCATGCTCTCCAACCGGACCCGGCACCGACGCACCGATGAGGTCACGCCAGATACGGCATGTTGCCCGGCATACACTCACAGACCACCGGCCTGCGGGCCTGCGGGCGAGACTGGGAGAACAAGCGGTGGCGTGCGCGCGCGCCGCAGGTGGACTGTGTCGCATCTGTGGCGGCGGCTGTTGTGGCAGATCCCAGCGACCCGAGATAGATCGAAGATGCATGAGATGGGCGTGGATAACCCCGCGCGTGGTGTGGGTCAAACCTCAAAACTCCCACCGCTCAACCGTCCCAAGCGGGCAGGTGGCACCCGCCGTTGTCCAAGAGGCTTCGACCAGCCACCAAAAAAAACCGCAGCCTGCTGTCGATCAGAAGAAGAGATTCGGGGGGTAGCCACCCGCAGCGACGGATCGTAGATCAGATCAGAAACAAAGCCCAAGATCTAGCCCATGTGCGCGCGCGAATTGATGCCTCGATGCCTCGATGCCTTGATGGTGTGACTATTCGTCCACTTCTGGCGTGGCTGAAAGCTATGCGTAGTCATGGGATACACGCTCTGGCGCTAGCAGCTCAGCCTCTTTTTGCGACGCGTGACGATGGCCATTGGTAAAACGCAAAAGCAGGAAAAAGTCACTGAAAAAGATGACGAAATTCGGATAACACGATGGGCAACGGAGCAAGAATGGGAAAATGCATGCTATTCATTCGATAAAACAACTAGAAGAAAGATATGGCGGTGATCGTGTGTGCCATACGTTGGGAGACGCATGGAATCGACAGCGACAAAGGGGAACGCCAGAGTTGCCAAACGAAGCACAAACGTACGACGACAACTGCCGGTGAGTCATCTGAGCAGCGCCTTTGCCCACACGCCACAGCGGGCTAGGCTGGCGGACAGTGGCGCCGCTCATCGTCAATGGGAAGCTGTGGGCGATGCCATTAGGTAGGGCGGAGCTGGTGTAAGCGTACGTTCGTCGAGGTTATAGCTTACGAAGTCAACAATGAGGTCGAGGCAGACCATGTCCTCGTCATCGGCAGTGTAGCCACGGATGTTAATGACAAACTTGGCTGTAGCGGATCAGCGTCGGCACTTGGCGATCGAGACAGTATGTTGGGGATCGGGAACCAGAGATTACCCTCGGAGTCGGCCTCGGCCTGATCTGCGACGCGTATCGCGTATGGGTTCCCGCGACCGCTCTACTGCTTCTGAGCAGATTCGCAAAGCCCAGGGGTCCTCCGAGAACGACGGGCTTGGCCAGGCCACACACAAGAACAGCCGAAAATCCATCCGTGCACTTACCCTTAGGGATCTCCTCAGGAAGCTCCACGGTCTGCGAGACAGAGTACTGTCCGGGCTGGACAGGGCACTGGACCGAGGCGTTGGCGTTACGGCTGTGCATGTTAGCCACTGTAATCGATGGTTGCAGGGATCGCAAAACGCTGACGAAAGCACAGGCCGCGATCACTGGTCAACCCAGATGGAGACGGTCGACATTCGCGACACGCGCTCCCAGCTCTTTCGACACTCACGCCTCCTCGCACACGTCGAAGCGCTTCTGAAGGAGCTTGATCAGGCCAAGCTTGACAGTCACGTCGGCGTAGGCACCTTCCTGCACGTATTGTCAGCTCTGTCCCACCTGGCTCCAGCTTCCGGCTCCAGCTTCCAAGTCCGGCACTGCGGCATTGCTGTTGGTATCCGGGTTCTGGTCACTGAGCGCCCAGAAACCCGTGCTTGAACATTGCCAACAATATCGATGATGGTAACAACAGCGGGACACGGGTCACCGGTGTTGGACTTGCTGACAGTGCCTGCGTTGCGAAGACCAGGCGGTCCCTGCGGTCTCCGACTAAACAGCAAGCACCTGCAGACACCAAGAAGCAACGAGGAGAAAGGGATAAAACGGAGCACGACATACCTCGATGATCTCGTTGGCATAAGCCTCGACATTGACGGTGAGGTCCTGGCCGGGCTTGGGAGGGTCGGGGGAGACGGTGATGGAGTCAATCGAGCTGCGCACGTCAGCCATCGGCCGAGACAGCAACCACCAGTTCGGAATCCTCCGTTATCAACCACCCTGCCTGGCCACTGCAGAGAAGTGGGAGTGGATGGCATGGCCAGACGGAGGTGTGGCTTTGTGACGCGTCCCCACGAGTTCGTGGAATGAGCGGGACGGGTGGCAAAAACAACTCGCGCGTTCCCCGCACACGACTTGCCCGCGACACCGGCGTGCAGCGACCCCCCGCACTGCCTCCTCGCCGCGTTTTCTTGGATGCTAGTGTCACTCACATCGCGTCCGAAGGAAGACCTGGCCCATCAGCTGCGCGCCTGGCAGAAGCACATGTCACGCCACTCACCGCAGTCGGACCACCTCCACGAGTCGAACGTGTGCACCTCGCCCATGGGTGCAACCTCGGAGCCGGTGAGCTCTGCAGCCCACTTGAAGGCCGAGTCGGCGATTCCGGCGCTGGCGGGGACAGCGAGGGCGAGAGCACAGATGGGGGCGAGGAGACGCATGGTGGATGGGCGATGGGCGATGGAGAGGAGATGGATGGCGGGATGGACGAGGGTTTGTTGGTGTCGCCCAGAAGGGGAAGTGAGGTCACTGGCTAGATAGGGGTTTTGGACCCGGATTGGAGCGCGCCCCAGCGGTGGCGTTTCGGGCCGGTCTGTTCGGGTGACGGAGACGAGGGGGGTGGTGATGGAGCTGGAGACGACTGCACAGAGAGATGGTATGGCAACGAGCGATGAGTGTGGGCTACCAACGAGAGTGGAGTGGATGCAATAGAAGGCTGTCGTTGGAGCAGATGGCACCGCGCGGCGACTCCAATATGATGCGCGTCGTATTGTTGTGCCAGACGAGATTCATATTCCGGCCGACGGGAGCGTTGATGGGGGTGAAAATGACCCAAGAACCATGCGAAATGACGTCAAGGCGGAATCAAATTGCCCCCAGGGCCTGGCCAGACACACCTGCCAACAGACGGACAACGGAGACGATGGCTGTCACATCAGAGATCCAAACGCAAACTGTTATGCAACGACAAGCCGCTCTCCCAGTCTCAAGGGCAGGACGATACATGTCCAAAGTGCTACTGATATTGCTACGACCGATACTGATACGCATCCCATTTGTGCGACTCCTACATCTTAGACTTGACATCCTTGGCCGCCTTCTCGACCTTGTCCGCACCTTCCTTGACCACATCCTTTCCCTTGTCCACCGCCTTGCCCGCCTTGTCCTTGGCGTCGTCGACGGCCTTGCCAGCCTTGTTCTTGACATCATCGACGGCCCCTTCGGCCTCCTTCTTGCCCTTTTCCAGGGCCTTCTTGCCCGCCTTCATCTTGTCCGATCCCTCGGTCATGAGCTCGTTGACAAGCTTTCCAAGCGAAGGGGAGAGCGTGGAGACCTTGGCGACAATGTCCTCCTGCTCAAGCGGCACCCAACGGACAGCCGAGTTGAACTTGTCCTGGACGTAGGCGGCGTACTCTGCCGTGTCCTTGATACCTTCCTCGGTCTTGCTCTTGATGTAGCTCTCCATCGTCTCGGGGGCCACGCCAATCGCCTTGCAGGCGTCACGGAACGAGTCGATGAGGGCATCGAGCTCCTCGGGGGCACCCTTCTTGATACCCTGCACCCAGGCGTCGCCCTCGGTCTTGGTGTCCTTGCGGGCCTTCTCGACTTCGACGTACACCTTGTTGGCGCGCTTCTCGAGCTCTTTGAGCTGAGACTCGGACTCCTTCTTGAAGTTGTTGATCATTTGGTCAAAGTCTTTCGAGGTGGGGACCTTGCCGATGAGAGTCTGCGTCTTGTCAGCCACAAGTTTTAAGATACAAACAGTGCCACTGCTCACGTCAATGGTGTCCTGGTGCTTGCCTCCGTACTCCTTGGAGAGGTCACTCGCGAGCGCACGCCAATCCATGTTCTCCACCTTGTCGCCTGCATCATTGAGGCGGGACTTGACCTTCTTGGTGATGTTCTTAATGTCCTCGTTACCGGCCTTTTCGAGCTGCTCGAGGGCGTCCTGGATCTCGCCATCCTTGAGGCTAGAGTACACGCCTCCGAGTCCCGATGTGGTGATCACAGCAGCCACGGCTGGGAAGTACTGCTGGGCGAGGCCCAGAGCTGTTCCGGGGTCGACACCGTCCGCAATGGCCTCACCTGCCATCTTGGCCTGGTCCTTGGCCACCTTGGCGGCATCCTCGGTCACCTTGATGGCAGAGTCGATTTTGGACGCCACGTCGCGCACGGGCTTGACGTACCAGTACACTCCCGCACCGAGGGCAGCTAGGCCCAGGAGAACGGGCAGGTTGCTGTTGGCAGCCTTCTCGGCCGTCTTGGCGGCATCCGAGGTCGCGTTCCCGTCGGCGAAGGTACGCCTCGGGAGCTGGCGCACCAGTGGGGCCCGCAGCTGAGCGTTTGTCTGCGCCAGAGGGCGAGGGTGCTGCCGTCACGAGTCAGCGATCAGTACTCTCTATAGCTGGTTCCACGCTCGTTTTCCGGCTCCACGCCGCCATGCGTTGCCCGTCCCTTCCAAATGAGTGTGCAGGGCTGTGTGGGTGCGCGGCCTTCCACACGAGTGGAAGGCCTCGTGCGCCCACGTTACAGTGATTGCAGTGATTGGATTGCCGACATGGTCGCCCAAAACGCCTTCCGGAACGAACAGTGACTCACCGAACGGAGCACGTTGCGGAGGGAGGCAGATGAGCGCATGTTGTGTGTGATATTGATAGAGGACGATGCGATACAATTGAGAGCCAAGTGCAGTACCTATTCTCTCTAGCAGCTGGGCGGGAAGCCGGAGCCTGCGTACTTTTAACAGTGTGGGTGCTGCATCCTCGCCTCCAGTCGCTCGTCGAACACACTGGTTCATCTCGATGACAGACGGGAGGAACGCCTGACGTCACGGGACCGAGGTCAATCAACATGCTGGAAGACCACGCTTGGGGTCAAGAGGACGTCCACTGGCCACTGGCCACGGTGGGTCTTCTCCTGCATAACTCCAGATGGCCCCCTAAACAGTCGTCATCGCTTGCTGGAGACGAAGTTGTCCTGCCTGGCTACTGGTTGAAATGAGGGGCATTTTCAGGTGACCAGCATGTCATGACGTCAACCGAGGTGCGGGATGACCATATGGGTCGGGACCAGCCCATCCCGTCATTAGTTCATCTCAGCTACGTGGACACGCGTCATGGCGGCTGTGATGATCCCAGACGCATGCTTCCATTAGAACGTATGCATTGGTCTCGTGAAGGTGGCAGGTCGGAGTGTATGCGAGAATGTGGCACATGCGTGGCATGGAAACGGGGACCGAAGATGTACTCTGCGGCATGCTGCGGCACCACCAGTCTAAACCAGCATTAGGCCAGCCACAGCCGCCATTCCATCACCACATGTTCATCCACACGCTTCTATCGTCGCGCGGGAATTGTGGGGTCTCGATGTGGGGGCAATACACAGCCCGGCAAGCGAGCTTTTCGTTCTATAAGGTTCGTGGTTACGGTGCTCGCTAAGACATGCGAAACACTCTTCTTTGTGGCCGAATCGATAACACTAGGGTACACTCATTGAGCAGATGTTTGGCCCCATCGCCCAGGATTCCGACTTGTATTGACATCAGTGAAGCGGCAGCGGCCAGGCATGACCTCGTCCCCTTAGGTCCGGATTCGTCGTAATTCCCTCACCCCTCTTCCGGAGGCCTCCACAACACCCATGTCCACCATCGCTGTGCCTCGGTCCTATACGTTTGTGTATCGAGGGCAAGCGGATGAAGGGCCTTGGGTGCCAACTCATGAAACCCGCCCTTGTGAGACCTGGAACATGGAACACGTAAGGTCGGACGACACGAGATGGGAAGCGAAGGGACAGCGGCTGGGCCTCTCGGGCTCAGGTGTGGGGTTGGCATGTTGGGAGGTGGACTCGTTTTCGAGACGCGTGCAACGATGGCCCTTGGATATCGACTCCTTAACAACAGAACCAACCGAACTGGACAAGTATCAGAACAGAAAACAATGCACCAGGAGGTGAACTCACGACGCACACGGTGATCGGGTGCCAGACTGGACTTTTCGATGCCGTACACTGCAGATCGCACCAGGCAGGCTCACGCTCACGCCATTCCGTGGTTTCCCTTGAAGATCCCCTGACAGTCGTGCGGGTTTGTTCTTTTCCATGTTGTTGTTGTACCGTCAAAACCAAAATATCCTTATTCCAGGCTCTCATTCCTGACACACAACTCCGGTGTCCGTAAACCTGATATATGGGCCAAAGCTCCACGGGGAACGTACAGTAGACCAGGGAGGCAGTGCAAGTGTTGTCGTGTTCAATGTGGTGCATGGGCTGGCCTCAGCGATAATCAAAGGAAGGTATGTTGCTGAGGAAACATGTGACTCAAAAACCACTGAGGTCTGGACTTCATTCGCAAACAGCGCTTATACCACAACCTTCAGAGCAATGTCACAGCCTTGGAAAGGTATTAAGATGTATAGTATGAGCTGTGAGCAAAAGTTTAGAAACGTGGCGAGCAGGCTTCAGTTGATGGACATTCTCAAAACTAGATATCGAGAGTGTTATCAGTGACATGTGTCGCATGAGCAGTGCCCAGTGTACCAGTGTCTCGACTGCGGTATGCGGAGATGCATACCGTGATGATTGGGTTGCAGAGTCTCCCAACTTTCCTGACTGACAGTCAATTCTCCAAAGTTACAGACATGCCACGACGCCACACTTCATGTACGGGTTGAGACAGTTTGTCAGGCCCAGCGCCTTGCCCGGTGCCGTGTATGAGTTGGACCAGATGAGACAACGCCTTCTTGTAACTTGAACGTTTCTGGGTCTTGCCTGCACGAGAGCGTGTGGCGGTCGCGTGCACAGGTGCTCACCATGTAACCATCCTCTGCGCGGCGCCGCGAGGGCAGACTGCTGAAGTACTGTAGGATCATTCAACAGTTATCAGAGGTCTGTCGGCCCAGTGGACGAGTGGAGGTGGACGCAGATGCGTATTACCCACGCTGTATCCATTGACTTTGAACGCATGGCAGTCATCGCCATCGCACATTGCAGTCCCCGCCTCGCGACTGGGGTACTGGGGCCGTCTCGACGATGGACGACTCGCGAAACTCGCCGCCGACCGGTGAAATGATCGGGTTGATCGGGATGGGTGCCCAGGCCTGGTTTGCCCGCGATTACCCGCGATTGCCTGAGATTGCCTTCTATTGCCGCTGGTAATAGAGGTGGATATGATTGTATAATCGGGTTTAGGTTTGGCTGACCGTTGGCGGCTATTGTTTCGTGCGTCCTTAAGTCGCCCCCCCCCCCCCCCCCTCCTCATGCTCGCAGTCCACTCACCTCACTCCTGCATCGACCATGACCTCGAGGTCCTCGTCGCCGGTCTCTGCATGCATTCATCATCCTCCCGACAACCCCCGCCCAGATTCCGTGCGGCTCTGCAGCAGTGCACTAAGCAGCAACGCAGCAACCACATTCCGGACAGGTCAGGAGACTGCGCGCGCCTTGAAAATCCAGGTCAACAAGTTGCGCGCCTGAACCTCCACCCGGGAACAACGTCCATTCACGCCGCGGGCGTGACTGGACTGCTGCTCCAGCACTACCTCTACCGGCAAGCACGCACTCCCCGTCAAAGGCCGTCAAACACTTGCTGCCATGGCAGGCCCAGGACTCTTTGCGCTGCGCGACTTTGCGCGCCTGGCCACGCCCAGCGTCTCGCTCCCGCCATCGACGTTGCTGCTGGAGACGCCGAAATGCATCGCCGTGTTCGACGCGTATCCAAAGGCGCGCTACCACTTTCTCGTCCTCCCCAAGCTCCCCTTCCCCGGCGACACGGGTCTGCTAGAGGGCAACCTCGACTCGCTGGCTGCGTTGCTGCGCCACCCGGCGCGCGGTGCCGTCGTCGACGCCATGGCTGCGGCCGCGGACGAAGTGGTCGAGATGGTGCGCGACGAGATGCACAAGACGGAGGGGTTTGAGTGGGGTGTCAACGTCGGGTTTCACTCGGTCCCGTCTATGAGGTGAGTGCAGTCTTTTATCAACGGTGCGCGCAGTAAGGAACGAGCAGCTCACACGTATGTACAACCCCACCTCAGACACCTGCACCTGCACGTCATCTCGGACGACCTGACTTCGCCGAGCCTCAAGAACAAGAAACACTACAACTCGTTCCGCCCCGACCTGGGTTTCTTCGTCCCACTGGGCGACGTTCAGCAGTGGATCACGGACGCCGGAGACGGCGGAGATCTCGATGCACGCGCAACGGTATGTCCTTGATCCAGACTGTGACATATGCTCGATCCAGTGCACCCGCTGGTTCGCCACTGGCCACTGGAAAGGTCGATTTGGAACCGTGGTTCCGGTCCCACGTTTACCGGAAACCAGTTCCAGCACCGTGCCAAATGTCGCGCAGTTGTACCCGCCCTTGTTTGGAGCAATCAGCTGACTCTTGTTTCTTGTGTATTAGGCTTTGCATGCCAACGAGACGCTCCTTACGACGCCGCTGTCGTGCTTCAAGTGTGACGAAGGGATGAGTAATATGCCTGCCCTCAAACGCCACCTCGACGAGGAGTGGCAAAACGCCAAGGCAAAGGCCACCTCCACGAGTCTCACGCGATAGCGCCACTTGTGGTATACACCCAAGTTGAGTGGCGGACGGGGGCGCGCGCGGATGTGTGGGCGTGTACTATTTTGCAAAAAAGGAAAGCACACAAACGGCCGGGACATGGGCCACACACCTCCCTCCTACACAAGAGGCCAAGAGGTGGGCATAAAAAGGGAACGGGCACGCCCGGAACCGGGTCCAATGCCGCGGATCGAGGACAAAGGACTTAGAGGAAGGACTGGGGTCCGGCGGGGCGAGACACCTGGTTACCTGTACATACTACCTGCCTTTTTATGCCGTGATACAAACGTTCCGGTTCCTTGTAGATTGTCTGCGGCGTGCCCCCACGATGGGCCCGAAGTCATTATTGGGCTTGTAAATGAGTATGGGACCAGGTGCCGTCGTGCACCGCCACTGTCATGCAACAAGGTGGGTGTGGGTGTGGCGTGGGCGGCAGACGTAAGTCTCTTCAAGACCAATAGGATCCTTTTTTTGGGCAGGCCCACATCAGCGACCGTGCCCAGTCCAGTGCCCGTCTCAAAGGCCAGCTCCCCGCGTGCCCACTTTCCTCGAGGACACTTCAAGATCTGAGGCCCATTGTGCCCCGGGGGTTTCTGGAAGTGTGGATATTCCACCAGTTGGTAAATGACATTACCCGAATTTGTAAACGGGCAAACGCACGGCTGTCAGATTCCGCTGCGCTGTCACACAGATCCACAGACCGGGGGACGAGTATTTCAATGAAATCTGGGTCGCGCGCGTGGCAGAGGATCTGGCGTCCCGAGAATGACCTCTGAAAAGGTTATTGAAGTACCCAGGAGCACAAAGCGTTACCTGTTCGGTCTATAATTGTATTGTATGCGTATGTGCAATACTGCGTAGCGGGGACAGCCGTGCAGTGGTGACAGGTGCCACACATCCCACCGGCCTCTCCCTCTCCCTCTTCCTCTGCCACTGCCGCTCTGTCTCCGGCTGCATGTTCAGATCTGAACAGAGGGGCAGTACGCAGTACGACGACGTCGGCACATGGCAAAATCCTGGCACATACCCGGTACGCACCCGAGGCAGCCGGGGGACCGTACCGCGGCAACCTCAAGGACGTCTGCGGCCGAGGACACACCGTGTCGCCACTCGTGTGACTCTCCTTTGCAGGCCGGCCCACAAGGGCGACCACGGTACCACGGCCGTCGGTCCTGGGGGGCCCGGACGGCCAGCCCACAGTACACTGTTCCTCTGCCGCCTCGTGCCCGCGCGCTCGGCAAGGAACACACACACACATGCTGCCGTCGCCATCCTTCAAACCAGAGATCGGTGGGCCATCTTTTCGGGCCTTTCTGCAGTCTCTCGCTGAAACTCGGTGCTCTTTTTCTCGCTCCCCCACACCGAATGGCTCGTGTTGGGGACACTGGGGGATCTGGGGTGGGCGGTACAGTCTGGGCCTTGAGGCTGGCTGAGCAGAGTGGATCAAATCGGGCAAGAGACGAACGCTGAAGACACACATTTCCAGCCTTCATCGACGAGGAGACGAGAGGAGGGCCACTTTGCATGCAGAGTCTGCTTGCTCACGACTTTGTCTGTCCACTTGTGTCTGACGTACAATACAGAGTCCGCGTCTCGTTTGACGGGTGTATGCGGCCGATCCTCTCCCACCTCGCAAAGTGTCTCGCACCAAGGCACAGGCGCACAGAAATGTACCCAGGGAGGGGCATGTCCGAATGTCTGAGGCGTATCTGGTGGCTGTCCGTTTGGCTTGGCTGGGCCCAGAAACAAGGCCTCGAGAGAGACCGACCAACCACAAAAAACCCACAGAAACCAAGTGTGCATAGCAAGGTGCAATGGGTGTGCATGGGGAGCAGTGCAAGGACGAGCTCGGTTTGTGTATGGCCACAACAAACGTTGCCGACCGCCACATTGCAGGAACATCAAGGGTGGTTTGACGAGAGCATGCCAGGCGTGCGACGACATGGGCCTGGAGGTGCAAGAGCCGAGGCTGTGGTGCGTATCTAGGGCTATCAGGACGAACCAGCATGGCCAGAGTGTGCCAGCATGGCCCACCAGAGAGTGCCCAGAGTGCCAGCCCACGCGCCTGCCCGCGGGAGATCTATTGGCGCAGTCGGGGCAACTGTCTCGGCAACACCACCCCGCCGCCGCCCACACACACCCACACTCAATGCATGCTCAAAGGCGCAATGGCCGCGCGTCCACTCTGCTGCTACATATAGCGATAGTTTGGGCCCCCAGCCATTCTTCTGCCCACCGCCGCTAGGCCCGTTAGTCGCGGTTTCCCCGAGCATGCGGCCGGCATTCACGCCTGCAGGCTGCAGGACGGGTGCAGGACACAACCCTCCCAAAGCCACCTGTGTTGTGGCCTCTCGGGGCGGACGGACGGACGGACGGACGGACGCGCACGGACGGCGCCTGCTCTCTCTGTCTGTCTGTCTGCGTTCCGCACCTCTTTTTTCTTTTCTTTTTTCTTCAATACAGAGTTTATACTCTTAGTGCCATCGTCGTCCGTAAAAGGGGCGGGGGGTTGGGTCCTCTTGTTGTTTGTCTCATGAGACCGGTTTCGGAAGCAGTTAGTAGCAAGGTACATGACGTGCATTTCATCCATTTGATTCTGGCCGTGGCTGTGGTTTGTTCTGCCCGTTTTAGTAGTGTTCTTTTACGATTGAGTGGCCAAGCCACACGAGGCCAACAGGGTGTGGCCGGTGTGGATGACATGATGACATGATCCACTCGTCAGCATCGTTGCAATGTTGCTGTGCGCGGGCTGCAGAGCCACGACGCTCTGGCGCTCTGGCTGGCGGAAATGGGACGGCTGGGGGTCACGGCGATCACGGCAGCGTCTCTGCTAACGGTTGCCCATGAAACGCGCGTGCTGGCTACAACGGCAGCATGGAAGGCACAAAGAGACACCATGTCCCCCCCCCGGGCGTGTTAGGAACCAAGGCTTCTGTCGCCATGCTGTTGCTAGGACTGCTGATCTGCAGAGCTCGGTGCGATTGGTTTGGTTGCATAAGAAGGGACAGCGATCGCTGCTGTATCGACAGCAGCAGCAGCCGCCGCGCGAGCAGCCTGCGGGGGACACGCCGCGCCGCTGGGTAGGGGGGCTGGACTGCAGGAAGCTGAGACCTGTTTCTCTCTGGTGCTTGGCGTCGTGGGCTCCTGAACGGCCTGAACGCCCGTCGCGAACCTACGTCTCTCTGAGGTTTGCAGAGAGAGCATGTGGCCGGCGTGTGGCCGGGGGGACCAAATGTAACATGCCGCCGCTTTGGCGGGCCTGCCGTGCCGCATCCTGGGTTTTTGCGCTTTTCTGGCAGTACGTGCGTGGCCATCGTTGCCCGTGGGCGGGGTATGGGCTTCTGTATATTGTTGTGGTGGGTGTCTGGGTGTGTCCTGAATCTCTGCTCGCTGCGCGCTGGGTGCCGGCTGGCAGAGACAGAGAGAGAGAAAGAGATTGCATCTGTGCACTTCCCCCCCCCCCCCCCCCCCCCCCCACCCAGAGCCCCGCGGACCCCGCCCCAGAGCGCCGCCGCTGCCGCCTCCGCAATCCAAAAGTGTCGTCCGCCGGCGAGGGCCCTTGCTCTCTCTCGCAGTGTGCTGCTCTCTGTGCGCTTTGCTCTCTGTGCATGTGCCCAAAGTCAGTCTTGCGCAACACAACGACGCTCGACCCAACAACACACTCCCCCCCTCTCCCTTCTCTTCTCTCCCCTCCCCTCCGTACAGCGACATCGTTCTTGCGTCGCTCCCATTCGTAACTACTCTCGTAAGAGGCCCAACAAGTCTCTCATCCACCAGAGACAGAACGGCAACACAAAACGCCCAGTCGTCGCTGTGGTGTCTTTAAACCCGGGCAACCGCTTTTGATTGTTCATATCACCTATACTCCCCCCCCTCCTTTCTTCACCACCACACTTGTCCCGTTCATTCCTGTGCTCTTGCTTGTTTCATCACCCTTCCCACTGGCATCGACTTGACAGAGTACTTTTGCCGCTCCCTTGTCCGGCACGCACGCACGCACGCACCCGACCATCATCCGCTGATCAACCCACCGACCCCGGAATCTCGGTGAGCCTCAGGCCCCTCTCCCTCTTTGTGTCTCTTCGCGCCATGACTGTGTGTGTGCGTTGCACGACATGTGCATACAAACAACAAAGTCCTTGCGTGCTTCATTCAACGGGCTGTGCGGGGATGCTGCCTGCGGGTGGCTGCTGTCTGCTGTACTGAGGGCTGGTCGGCAGCTGTCGGCGGGGACGGCGGCGGCGGCGGCGGCGGGCGGACGCAGCCTAGAGGCACACCTGTCCGGAGCCAGACCATGGGCCATTGACCGGCCATGGACAGAGAGAGAGACGCCAGCGTTCGTGCTGGCACGTATCTCTCGTTTGTCTCTCTCTCTCTCTCTTTCCATCGTCTCTGGTCATTGTCCATTCTCTCTCTCGCCGTCTCTCCACTATAGACGGACCAGTCTCCCCCCTATCCATCCGCCCGCATCCACGCCCCACCCGTTGTCGCTCGCTCCCCTCGCCTCCTTTGCTCCTTTCCTCCACCTTTGCCCTTTTCCTTCCCTGCAACGCAACCCCCCCCCCCCCCCCCCCCCACCCCCCGGTCTCTCTCTTTCCCCTCTCTCCCCAGCCCCGGACACCCCCATCACCCTTTTGTGCGCAAGCGGCCAGCCCAGCTGACATCATGATAGCCGGCCAACCCTTCACCGCAGGCAGCGCCGACCCTCGAGCGTCGACTTCGGCATCAGAGTCATCCACACCGCCGCAACCATCGTCCCGCCCGTTGTACGCTTCAAGCAGATACAACTCCAGCTCGCTGCCGTCCATCACTTCGGCCTATCCGTACGGAACCATGTGGCACACGCAGCAGCCTGGCGGCGGGGTGAGCACCATTGCTTGATTGATCATGATGGCAAAAAAAGGAATGTGCTGACACAATCTCCCTCCCCTCCTCCTCTGTACCTCTCTCTCTCTCGCTCTCTCGGCACGCGCTCTCCACATACGGCTTGTCCGCACATCCACCATTTGCTGTCCGCACCTTTTGACGTCCCTCGCCCCCGGTCCGCACCTCGCATCCATACAATCCCCCTCTGCGCCTCTGCCCGTCCTCTCGCCCCTCCCCCCGGTTTCCTTCTCTTGTCTCCCGCCCCACCTTATTACCTACCACCACCACCACCACCGCCGCCCCCCTCATCTCTTTCTTTCGTTCTTCACCCACCAACAGCCCGTCACTTTCGCCACTCAAGCGCAATTCCCTATGGCCCCTCCGTCCACCGAGGAGACCAATGGCCTCGGCCTGGACCCGGGAACCAACTCGGCTGATTTCCTCTCCATGCCCGGCTACGACTTGAGTTTTGGTGCGACCATGAATCCCAATGGTCAGGCCAACTCGTACCCTCTCGCTGCTTTGGCCCAGGCGCAGGCTCAGGCTCAAGCCCATGCCCATGCCCAGGCGCAAGCTCAACAGGTGCAACAGGCCCAAATCAACGCTCAGCAGCGCCCGTCACTTGCACTGGACACGACTGGTTCGGCCTTTACCATCCCGCAAGGCCAGCACCCTCCGTCCACCACGTTCAGCAACCCTCCCTCTGGACTGGACCTCAGCGGCTCGCACCACGAGGTTGACCGCATTCTCACTCCAAACATGTTTTATAACCCATTCCCCAACGACTATTCGATTCAACAGTCTGCACCGCCACCCATCTACTACCCGACGACCATTTCCCCCTCGCAGCTCCCCCACCAGATGCTCAAGCCCACAAAGAGCTTCTCGGACCTCATCCAGGAAAGCCGCCAGTCGTCCCTCTCGGCCTCGTCGACCGAGCACGAGTGGAACGGTGTCGACGACCTCTCCATGCCGCTGGCTCGCGCCCTCGTGATGGAGCAGCAGAAGCAGCAGCCGCCGCCTCCCCTCCAGGCACACCAGCAGCAGCAACCTCAGCCGTCTATGCAGCCACCCCCACCTCAGCAGCAGCGGCACGCACCCACGCCCTCATTTGACCTCCAGTCGCTCGGCGACCCTCATCGCGCCTCGATGCTCCAAAAGTCGCTCCAGATGTACCTGAATGCTCCCAACCGCCTCACCTTTGGCGAGCGCAAGATCATTGTCATGTCCCCCAAGGTCGGCCAGAAGAGCTACGGTACCGAGAAACGCTTCCTCTGCCCGCACCCGCAGGCCACCCTCCTGGGCAGTTCGTGGTTTACGCGCAGCAAGGATGACTGCCCGGTGTCGCCCCTTCTTCCGCCCCGCTGTAACATTTCCATTTCCACCGAGGCGCCCGGCAAGGACGTGCACATTGCCTGGACCACGCTGGACAACAAGTCGCTCGACGAGAAGATCCACACCCAGGCCATCACCACGGAAGACAGGCCATTCCTTGGCAGCGCAGCTGGCAAGAACCTCCACCTGTCGGACGGTGACGGCAAGCGCAGGGACGTCAAGGCGATCATCACTATCAAGGCGCCCTATGCCCATCACGCGGGGCGTCACGGGTGGGGCCCAGCCAAGGGCTCCATGATGGACATTTCGAATGAGAACATTATCGGTACCTTTGAAAGCAAGGAAATCAAGATCATCTCCAAGCCTAGCAAGAAGAAGTCCAACTCCAAGTCGCAAGACTTGATAATCCACCACGGCTCTACCATTGCGCTCTTCAACCGCGTCAAGTCGCAGACGTCGTCCACCCGGTACTTGTCGGTCCCGATCGACCTCACCCGCTACCACGGCTCCGACGGCCAGATTGTCACTGGCGCCATGCCCCCTGCCCTCCCCCAGACCGACGGTCACTTCCCCGGCTTCATCGTCAGCCCCAACGTCTGGGAGTCGTTCATCATCTACCTCGTCGACCCTTCCAAGCCGTCGGGGCTCTCCCACGTCAAGTCCATCAACCCGGGCTGGCCCAACCTCCCGGCCAACGCCATCCAGGTGGCCCCTCACCAGGCCGGTCCCCTTATCCGTTACAACTCGACCGTGGTGCTCCAGTCACTGCTCACTGGTCGCTGCACGCCCGTTCTTGTTGTTCGTCAGAGCTCGGAGGGTTCCGAGGTTGTTGGCGGGGACGGCACCGTTACCGACCAGGTCATGGCCTGCCCCGAGGGCGAGCTTCCTGGCAACGCCGTCTCGCAGCTCCAGAAGGTTGGCTTTGAGATCTACCAGCCCGAGCACTCGCGTGACCCAAACTACACTGGTCTCTACCTCTCGTGCGAGCAAGAAATGGCACGTGGCCAGTTCCCCAACTCGGAGCGTCGCTACATCCCCATGCCGGCTCCCAAGCACCGTCCGTCGAGCATGCCCAACACGCCGCAGGCTCGCTTTGGTGTCTTGCCCATGACCCCTCACACGACCACCGTCGGTCTCCCCTCTGGTCCTTCGAGCCCGATCTCGTCGTCGTCGTCGACCGACTACTTTGGTTCCCACAGCCGCAAGTCGTCGTCCTCGACCTTGTTCTCACCCCTCTCGGGCGAGATTCCCCTCCCGGCCTCGACAGATGGCGGGCCCGTTCGTCGCCAGCGCACCGGCTCGCAGTCGTCTCGCGGTCCTCTCCAGCGCCCGACTTTGCACAAGAAGCGTGCCTCGGCGGACATTACCACTGCCACGTCGTTTGACTTTATGGGCAACGCCCTCATGCACCACAGCCCTCCCAACGAGCGCATCTACTGGTCGCTTGACGTCGGCGACGCGTGCATCTGGACCATTGTGAGCACTCAGGAGGTCGTCTACACGTACTACGTCCCCGAGTACATCGCCGAGCCGTCCGAGCCATTCGCGCCCTTCCCGCTTGTCACCCGTGTCCTGTCGCCGGGCCAGAGCTCCGAGAACGTGCCCCAGAAGTACAACCACCAGTACACGTCCATGGCCCCGATGCCTGTTATACAAGTCTACGGCAAGAACTTTACAAAGTCGGCAGATGGCATGGCCCGCTGGCACGTGTACTATGGTGACCAACCGTCAACGTACAACGAGTACAGGTGGTGAGTACCCTCAACCTCTATTTTCCCATGCCGGCCTTTTGTGCTAACGTACCCCACAGCGGTGAAGTCATGGCAGCTGCCGTCCCGCCTCCCGGCCAGGCCTCGCGCCCCGTCATGCTCGTCCGCGACGACGGGCAGTGCATCCTCCCCACTGGTCTCCGTTATCCTCTCTGATCGTCCGAGGGCATCAAGTGAAACTCTTCCCAGTTTGTGTATACATTTCTCCTCGTCGTCGGCTGTCTCGTCCTCTCCCCTATTTTCCGTTTCTCCTTTCCGTCGTCTCTTTGGTGTCCAACCCCCGCGTCCGAACTCAAGCCAAACGCACTCCACTGCGCAGCCTTTAACCACAACATCCCTCCCCACCACCCCTAACCCCATCCCATCCCAAAACCGCATCATCAACCTCCGTCACAGGTCATTACTTGTTTCCCCGCCCCACCACCACTACCGATTCAAGTCTCTCTCGGTCGTCGCGCACGGCGCGCAACAATGTCCTCATCGCTGTACAAGAATAGACAAAAAATGCATCGTTCCCAAAAGTGATACGTACAAGGACACTATACATGCACTTGGTTGCCGTCTGCAGTTCAGTTTGTGTTTTTTGTTTCAGCAGCCACAGTACGAGCAACAAGGCAACAGGCACAGGTCTCGCGGTCTCGGCCTCGGCCTTCGCCTCACCCATGCGTAAAGAGTCTCACGTCCCCAAGACTATAGCCCAACTCTGTCCTGCGCACCGAGTGTGAGCGGACGCAATGAGCGGAGGACGGCCCGTCGGTCGGGCGGCGGGGGTTTGGATCTCCACCGCCGTCTTACGTCCCATTTCGCCCACACCCCCAACGACGGGGCGGCGGACGACGCCGAATCGTAGATCTGCTGTTATTACCGCCCCAGTTTACGAACAATGAAAGGTGGGACGGACGTGACGGACAACTGGCATGTTGCCCCCACAACAATCCGTTTCGGGCCGTCACCTGCTCGGCCCGTATACTCGTTTTGGGGGGCCGTAGTGAGGGACAGACAACGGGGTGCACAACGACGGGGCACGTCTAGGCGCTAGGAAAATGGTTGTTTGCGTTGCGTTCGTTGGGTTGGTTGTTTTTAGACGCGAGTCGTGAAATTGTATCATAATGTGCGGTGCTAAAAATGCGCGCATCTAATAACATGGTCATGGGCTCGATTAAATCTACTTTACAGTAACGTACAAATGTCGGCACCAGGACGGGCAAGCGCCGCGCTAGCCCACCGGGCCAGCATACTTTCCTACCTACGGCTACCAAGCCCACTCCTCCTGCAGCCCACCCACCAGTGCGGCCAGCGATCCATGTGGATGGATAATATGGTCGAGTGCGCTCTGAAGCAGCTCGCTCAAGAGAGGTTGGTGGTTAGGTCGAGGCTGCGTGGTGGGGGACACATGGGACTCGCGGCGCCGGCGGCGCCACTGCCGCCCTGTGCCGAGGGTTGCTCGGACATGACGTGTTGGTGGCGTCTGGTGCGCATCCCTGGCTGGATGGCATGGAAGCGCGCGCGTCCTAGCGTGGCCTGTAGGGGTCTAGACCGTCCCCCACCCACTCTGTGACTCCCCCCACCCCACCTCGTCCTCGGTCCTCTCCTCTCTATGGCAGCCTCTTGTCGTTCCTGTCCCTCCTCACCCATCGTCGCGCAACCACGACGAGGATGGCGACCACGCCCGCCACCAAGAGGAAGGATGTGGTGCTGATGAAACGCGCGATGCCGCGGCCAGTGTCGGCTGCGAGGCTCGTGTCTGCGCGCTCAGAAGCGTGGTCGCCATCAGACGTCGACTTGCGCTTACGCGTGCTGCTCTTGCTCTTGCTCTTGCCCTTGCTCTTGACATTGGCCTTGGCCTTTGCTGGCGGGCTGGAACGGTCGGTCTTCGCGTCCCTGGCATCCTTGCGCGCGGCCACGAGGCGGTTGTACACCTCTTGGATGACGGGGCGGTTGTCCTCGGCACTGGCGCGGATACGGGTCGCGAGCGTGTCGAGCTGCAGGGACATGCCCTGCACGTCGCCATGGAGGGTGGCACCGAATGCCTCCAGCGCAGCCAGGCGGGCGCCGACGACCCCGGATGCTGGCCCGGCGTTGCCGACAGGTTGGCCACGAGGTGTATCGGCCTTGTACGCCTTTTGAGGGGTTTTGGCAGCAGGCGCGGATGTCGCTCCGGCCTTTTTCAGTGCCACACTGCCATTGTCAAGACGTTTCTCAACCGCACCCATGGCTGCCATGAGCGTATGCTGGTATCCCACAAGGGCGTCCGCAAGGCGGCCTTCCAGCTCTACAGCGCCCTCGCGTTCCTCGGCGTCGGCCGCGGCGATGGATGCAGGCGAGTCGCGCATGCGCCACGGACGGTAAGGCCGGCCGTTGGCATCGGGAGGGAGGACACAAATGACTGCACAGGGGGGTCAGTTTGGTATCCCTCTGGCGTTTTGGGGTGTATCCCCTTCCACGTACTGTGCTGCACCTCGCCATTGACAAAGTCCTCTTGGTACGTGCCTTGCGCACTGCCACGGTTGATGAGGAAGGCGGTGGGTTTGCCATTTTCGGGCGCGGTCGGGCAGTCGTATCCAGGCACTCCGGTGAACTGCGAGTCCTCGGTGACCGTGTTGCGCACGACAGTCATCTCGGACGAACTGGCAACGACAATGGCGTAGCCGAAGTGTTGGCCGTCAAAGACATTGTCGCTCACCTCGGCGCCGTGCACCGTCGTTTCCGTGTCGTCGCTCCAGGACGAGGGGCCAAGGACGATGCCGACCTTGAAGTAGCGGCCAAGGGCATGGAGGCGGTTGTGGTGGACCTTGACTCCGGTGTAGTCGCCCGCCCATGGGTCGTAGTCGACGAGGTTGACACCTGTGGTTGTCAGCATGCGGTAATCGTTTATGAACTGCAACTCACCACCCAAGACTATACGTGTGCGCGAGTAAATATCGTTATCGCGCACCTCGGTGCCGGCCGAGCCGAACAGAACAATCGCACCGTCCGTCGTGTCAAAGACGACCTGCTGGGTCAGTCTACACGTGTGGTCGCAAACCCACGTTACGCTCAACGAGTGAGTCCTTGCACGCCACACTGATACCGTCGGCACGTGGGTTGCCCCAAGGAGGCGATTTCTCGATGAATCCATCATAGTCGGTGTCCCATTCTTCGCCACAAGGTCCCTAAGCGCGTCAGTCTTCGTGTCCGTGTGCAGTCGAACCGCCTTCCCTCGTCTCCCTCCGTGTATTCCCTCGTCGCCTTCCTTATCCACGGCTCGCCCTACAGCCTCCACTCCTCTGGGTCTGGTTACACACTCACAATGGTGTTGTCGGCAATGTACGACTGGCGGCAGTTGAGCGAATCGCCCTCACGCACATGCAGTGCACTCCATCCACGGGGCTCGTACAGGCGACAGCCAGTGACCCTCTGCCCCTCGGCGTTGCCGATTTCGATGAGCGCTCCGCCGTTGGGCACACGCAGCAGCTGGGGACGGTTCCCGTCAATCGCCAAGTTTGAGATTGTGGCTTGGCCACACTGTTTGCAGTCGGCGCTGTATATCGTCAGCCATGGCCAGTAGGAGCACAGGACCTCCGCTGCTGGGAGAACGTACAAGATGGCAGTGGCCATGTCCGCCCCCTCGACAGTGAGGAGCGCGCGGTCATGGCCCGTCGCCTTGCCGGCCGTCGTCAGAGTCTGCTCTGGCGCTGTAAATCGCACTGGGGAGGCGAGACGGTGTACGGATCCAGGACACAGAAGTACCGTTGCGCCTCTGCCGCCTGGGATAACAGTCAGCTCCGATGCCTCGTTGTTTTCAGAGCTCAGAGACGCGTCAACGCAAAAGCTCACCGCTGGCGAGGGCCGTGTTGATTGCCGATTCGTCGCCCGATACGAGACATTTGTGTCCCGGACGTCCTCTTGCTGGTGTTGCTGCCGACGCCGACGCGGCCAGGAGGAGCAAGGAGGAGAAGATGCGCATGGTGGGGCCCGTGGAGCCCGTGTGGGCTGTCTTTGGGACGCGTAGAGTGTGTTGTGAGATAAAAAAGAGGGTGTGCGATGTTAAGGACGCATCGTTGTTCACCCCTAGCGACCTAATTGAATATTAGCGCGTGCTGAGCTCGCACGCTGTGGTCGTCCAGGAAATCCATCTCACTCCCAGGCACCGGGGGGAAGGCAACTGATTATGCTCCCGCACACCGGTGGAGGTCGTTGCACGCTCATCCGGTGGTCATCCTTCCGACATCGCTCTCTCTTTGACATATCATACACACCACCATGGCATCGACAGCGACCAAGCGCATCCAGAAGGTACAGCTAGACGCACTTCAATCAGCTGACAGTTAACAGGAGCTCGCCGAGCTCATGGGCTCGCCCCTCAGCGGCATTACCGTGGCCCCGGACGGAGACAACCTGATGCACTGGAAGGTGACGATGAAGGGCCCTGTGAGTTGAAGCTACGGACACGCTCGTCGCTGTATGGCTGTGGTATCCTACAAGGAGGATAACAGAGGCGTTGGTTGTCTGACTGGCATCTGACTGTCCCAGCCCAAGACCCCATACGCTGGCGGCAAGTTTGGCCTGGACGTCGTGTTCGGTCCCGAGTTTCCGTTCAAGGCCCCCACCGTACGTCGCCGGCGTCTGGCCCCCTGTGTCCTGCGTGCTCATGACAGATCACCTACTCGACCAAGATGTACCACCCCAACATTGACAGTGACGGAAAGTGCGTAGACGGTCCCGCGGAGGCAACGGAGGAAGGCTCCACTCCACACCGTCCCTCCCTGCGCCTGTGGACGCGACCGCTGACCCTCTCAGCATCTGCATTGGCGTGCTCAAGTCGGAAGCGTGGAAGCCCTCCACAAAGATGTCGATTGGTACGTACTCGGTGCCATTACCGGCAGAATGTCCGACTGTCCGCTGACGCGCTTTGCAGTTCTCTTGTCGCTGTACGACCTCCTCGAGACTCCCAACCCCGACGACCCTCTCGTCTCTTCTATTGTGAGCTGCCCAGTTGATAAGTGAGCTGATATCAGGCGGAGCAGTACCGTAACGACCGTAAGGGTTTCGATGCCAAGGCGAAGGAGTATTCGGACAAGGTGAGCTTCGCCGTCTGTGTTCAGAAGCTGACGACAGTACGCGGCTTGATATGGCAATTGTTAAATAGATGTATAGTATATGCATGGGTCCTTAATGCTCTTTACTCTATCCGGTCGCATTCTCGCTGTGCATGCTCGTTATCACCTTTGGACTGGCAGAGCTTCACCATCGGTGCATCCCAGCCAGAAGCCCCGGTCGATCCGTTATCGCATTTGGTTCCGCGTCCAGCCACGTGGTCTGAAAAGTTGATCTTCCGCCCTTTGTTGCCACTCAACTTCATTGACATCACCTCCACAACCACCATGTCGGAAGCCGTGCTGTCCAAGAAGCAGCAAAAGGCGCTGGCCTTCCGCGCCAAGCAAAAGCAAAAGGCCAAGGGTCTTCCAGAGCCCGAGGACGTTCCCGAGAACGACCTCGTGGACGACAACGACGACGCTGCCGAGGCGTCGACCGACTCGAAGGCCAAGCCCTCCAAGGCTGCCGAGGGCAAGAAGCGCAAGCGCGGCGACGACACCGAGGCGGCCGCTGATGGCGAGGATGAGACCGCAAAGGACGGCAAGAAGGCCGCCAAGAAGGGCAAGACTGCCTGGGACGACGAGGAGGAGAAGAAGAAGACCAAGAAGGACATTAAGCAGCGCTTCATCCTGTTCATTGGTATGTCGACACGCTGTGGATCGACCATCGTGCAGCGGGCTGACAATTTGCAGGTAACCTCGGCTACAAGACTGGCCGCGAGGCTGTGGCAAACCACTTCAAGGAGGCGATCAGTGAGTAAGGGGGGTTGCTGCTTCTGCCGGCGATCGAGCTGCTGCTGACACTGTATTTCAGGCCGCACCCCCTCCGTCCGTCTCCTGACCGAGCGCGCCGAGCCCGGCAAGCCCGCCAAGTCGCGCGGCATCGCCTTCCTGGAGCTCTCCACCTCGACCGAGCTGCAGGCGTGCTTGAAACTGCACCACTCGCTCCTGAACGGCCGCGAGATCAACGTCGAACTCACCGCCGGCGGCGGCGGCAAGAGCGCCGAGCGCAAGGGCAAGATTGCTGAGAGGAATAAGCGTATTGGCGGCCAGAGGGAGCGCAGGGCCGACAAGGAGCGCGAGGCGGCCATCGCGGCCGGCGAGCCTACGCCCGAGGAGAAGAAGGCTGCCGAGCGCGCGGCGGCCGAGGCTGCGGCGCCCGACGGCTTCAAGATGCGCAACGGCCGTCGTGTCAAGATCAAGTCGGGTGGCGGTGGAAGGGATGGTGGTTATCCGGCTCGCCCCAAGTGGCAGCCGACGGGCGCCAACGCCGTTTCGGTTGGTCAGTAGAGTGCCAAGTGTGTATGTACGCCTTATGTGTTTTGAGCTCAGCTGTCGAGCTGCTGACCAGGTTGCTGACAACCGTGGCAAGATTCGCTTACCGTGTCCTTTTAACGACAGATACGTGCCAACGGCCATGGCTATACGCCGAATGTGTCCGGCCATATGGCCATCTTGCGCGACGCTAATAAGAGTACCGCAATGTGTCGAGCTCATGTCGGTGCCCTCCGGTCAATGAGCCAGTGCAGCAGATGTCGCACGAAGCCTCATGTGACTCCGACAACCTCACCACTGGCCTTCATCTTGACGGACGTCTGTCTTGAACGCGATGTGCCACCAGCGTCGTCCATTACCGAAATGCCACGGCAACCAGTCTCCCAAACAACGGATGTATCAACCCCCTTTAAACTTTAACGCCAGCTCCGCAAGACTAGACTGCCGCCGCGAAAAGGTCCAGCTCCGCCCGCACGAACCTCACCTCTGATCAATTCCACGCACCCCGACTAGACGGTATTTCCCACCGTTATCCTGGATGCGCCCGCGAGGACGGGAATGGGCCGTGTTACTCACCAGCGTCGTCATTCGCATCATGTCTTGCTCGGGCGCGCAGACAATTGACGTAGCGTAGGCCTTTGGAACTGGTTCGTACCATTCGCCGTGCGGCACTGCCACCCGGCGCTGGTGCTGTCTTGCGGTACCGAGGTCGGTGGCGACGTGATTGATGCCGGCCAAGGGCGCCATGACTCGGGCCGCTGGTGAAGTGTGGGCGTGATGCGAATAGCCTTGTTGCTTTGCCCAATTCGAAAGGCCACCCAACCCCCATCAGCCAACCGCTGCGCCACTGATCCACTGCTGACACGGTCCGCACGTCCGCCGTTGCTGTTCTTTAGCAAGGCACAGATCACACACATGGGTGCTGCCTCGCTCGATCGTCGTGCTTCCGCCACATCATCACTTCTGTCTCATCGTCATGCCCTCAACCGAGACCATGTGTTAGCCGCCGCCAACGCGGCGCGCGTGTAGCCACAACCGTTCGAGCCCAACGGCGCCCCGGTGTGTGTCTCGGTACCTCTCGCTTCCACGAAAGCAAAGCTTGAAGGCTTCAAGGCCACATTGCGTACTCGTTCGGGCAGTCTGCAGAATGGATAATTTCATGGCATTTTCACGCGCGACTCCCCAAGCATGAAGCAGTTGCTCCGCCACCATTCTGCCGCCGGTACGCGGCGCCTGCGGTACTGGTTGGTAGTGGTGGTGGGTGCCACCGCCCTAGAGCCACGTTTTCTGTCCCGGTCTCGGCCGTCTCGGCCAAGGCCAAGCGTCAATTGTCCAAGACAAATCGCGACTTTGTCATTACCGCATGTGGATTTTGGGGGTGATGTACCTCTCCGCCTCTGTTCACATTGTCTTCGGCCTTGTTGACGAGCCACACATTCTATACCGTGCGGGCGCCGAGGGTGTGCTCGTACGCCTATACTCCGCCGACCCCGCCGACACCACAGGCAGGCAGGCATCCAACATACCCCCGTGGGGATTCCGCGATATGCGCGCTGTCCTTGCTTGCTGCTTCCAGACCGACCTATTCACCGCCGTCGACGTCAGAGGAGCACTCGAGTTACTACTGCACAAAAGAATGCTGTCGCGTGGCGCGGCAGGAGCGGAGCGCGCCGCTTCGCCGCTCGAGCATGGAGCAGATGGGTGTCGTCGCCGGCTCCAGGCTCTAGGCTCTGGGCATGACGGAAGCCAACAACCGCGACCGCGACGCCACATGCGTTGTCGGCTGGCGATGGCGTTTTGGTGTGCGCCGAGCCTGCGTCAGCTTTTGCATAATGCGAGGCTGTGCATAATAAGAAGTGGCTGGACTGGGCGGTGCGGTGCGTTGGCTTGGGGGGTCGGCGGGGGCCTGAGATATGCGCCTCGAAGTGAACAGGGCAGTTTCGGTCGGTCGTTGGAGGTGACAAGATAAAGCCTGTAAAAAGAAGCGAGAAAGTGTGGCCTAAAAATGGGCCGGAAAAGCGGAGATCTGGGCCACGAGGTAGCGAGGTGACGAAACGCAATACGCAAGCACGAGAAAACGCGGTCAGCGCGTGGCCTCTGGTACCTCATGCTTCAGATGTCCCAGTTTGTTTCTGTGCTGTTTCTGTGCTGTTTCCGTGTTGTTTCCGTGTTGTTTCCTGTTTCGTTGTTTCGTTTGAGGCAGCGACACCTGCACTTCAGAGTCGGATCATCCGGAATCCAAATCGGCCGTAGACACGCACATGGTGAGCGCGCGAGGCAAAGGAAATCGAGGAGAGCCGTATATCATTTTTCGTCGCGCGCTGGCCGCTGGCCAGCCGGCGGCGACCTTAAACTGCGCTGTTTCGGCGTGCGCCACATTCTCACCCTCCCAGTTGCGCGCCAGACACGACCTATCTCTGGGCGCGCGACACCTCTCGACTCGTTCGGTCGCCTTCCATCCCCGGTGGCTGCATTACGCTAGCAGACGCCTACGCCTCCCCCAAACGCTGTACAATACAGGCTGCAGATGTAGAACAGGCGCAGAGGTGGCGGCTGTGCCGTCCACCCAGGGCTGGAGATACATACCACCACCACCACCACTGTACAGGTGCTATCGCTGTTGCTCTGAAACGCCAGACGGTGAGAGCACTAGGACATGAATCTGGCATGGCAGGGTTAGGGTAAAACCATAACCCCGCCTGACGAGACGCGAGACACATCAGCCTGTTGGCGGTGGGGAGAGGGGTGGGGGGCGTTTTCTGCCAACTGACGGGGTGCAGAGGCGTGTAGCAGTGTGTACGGACGCTGGCTGGGGGGACTGCCCATTCTGCCCATTCTGCCCATTCTGCCCGCTGCCCGCTGCCCGCCTGTGCGGTGTTCTTCCACCTGCAATGTCAGTGGCGGGGCCAAAGGGTGGGTGAAAGGTGTGGCGTGGCGGATGTGGCCGTGGCCGTGGCAGAGCAAAGGCTTAAGGCGAGCTTCGGAAGAGGCGAGCGGCACAGACGCCGTATGGGTTACTGAGGGGCTCTCGAGTATGCGTGAATCAGCCAAGCGAGGGAGGGGACATGACAGGCGATCCACCGCACCAAGGGGCACTGCACTGCACTGCACTGCATGTATGTACGACGTTTTACAAGGGGTCTGGCCTGGCCTAGTGTAAAGCAACGATTAACGAAAATCCCAGCCACACCACGCCGCAAGCGAGACAGCGCACGTTGGTGTTGCTGTTGCTATCGCTTGGCCCTGTTCGTTCTCGCCACGCCGCGCGCGCGCGCCAAGGCGAAACGTCCACAGCGAAAAAGTGGGATCTGGCAAAGGGATCTCTGGCCATGGATCATGGATCTCTTCCCTCGGCGCTCGCTGTGTGTGATCTTCGGCTCCGTCAGGCATACAGCAAAAAGCATCGTACTGGCGCTCGCCCACCCCGAGTCAGTCAGGCGTCCACACACCCAAAAGGCACACGTCACGTCGGGTGCGTGGCGTGGCGCCTCGGCTGCTAAACTGCTGACAAACAGGCCCCGATCTCCACTCGCCGGTGGCAGCGCTCGGAAAACCGACGACTGGAGGGCCTCGATAAAACGTCCACCCCAACACAGGGACCGACGCGGTTCAAAAAAGACAGGAAAGGGGAGGGGTTGTAGAGATCCGGCGTGTGTGTGTATGTCGTGTGGTGCAGGCCCAGCGCTGTGTGCTCGCCAAATGTGTGGGTGGGTAGGGTATGCCGCCCTCCGTGCATGTTCCGCCGCAGGCCCCAGGCGTTGGCGTTGGCGTTTTGGCAGCCGCCCATGTAAATCGGAAAAGCCGGTATCGGACAGCCGCGATAGACAGTTAGGAAAGGAAGCACGGCGCGAGCCGTTGTGGTTGTAATTGTGGTTGTGGTTGTGGTTGCAGTTGCGGTTGCAGTGGCACTGGATAATCAGGCAATAACGGCAGGATTGGTGAGTAGACAGGCTCTACGCAACAAGAAACCAAGACGGCACCGTGATGATGAGATCAAAGATACCAGCATGAAGAAAGAAAAACCGTGACCAGGCCCGAATCTAGAGGCCCAGAACACAGGGGGGCAGACAGGGGGTGGGTGGTGGGGCGTGGGTATGCGGCGAGCGACGTCGAAACGCGCGACGCACGACACGCAAGCAAGAGCAGGAGCCAGCCTGGACCGCGGTGCACAGATCCACCCGAGCGGTCTCGTCTCGTCTCTCTCAGTGTCCCAAAAGTGTGTCCTAATTTTGCCAGGACCGATACACGAACCCCCCGACCAACCCCGTAACTGCGCATGTTTCAGGCTGTCCTTGACGCATGCTGCACGCTAACGGTCGAGACCGGCTCACGGCCAAGGCTCAGGCTCAGGCGAGTCAAGGCTCGACGTCGGATGGCCCCACACACAAACACACCGCCAGGACCCAGGACCGACGCAGGCAGGACCCAGGCTCACGGGCTCACGGGCTCAGCTCTGCCCCCCCCCCAACCCCCATGTGTATCAGTGCCGAGCCGGTGCAGCGCGCGCCAAAAGTCAAGGCCAAGGCGGAAATGTTCGCCGCGCGCACGAGGTGACCGAGCCCAGTCGACGTCGGCACCGAAGAGAGACTGTGAGAGAGGGAGAGAGAGAGAGAGAGAGGGGCAACTGTGTCGCGACACGTCGACACGGGGGTGGGATGGATGGGGCATGGCGAGCGGCCAGGCCGTCCTAGGTGATCGCGTCGAGCCGTGTTGTGTCAATGACCTGTGCATCCCGAACTAGAATATATGCAGTGAAGTGTTGTGGTGGGCCGTCGCTTGCGACATGGGTTGGGGAAGAAGGGGGGCGTGGGGCGGCGCATACATTGCGCTCGCTCGCGCTGCGCCCACCTGCTTTTCGCCAGCTTCGCGAGGTTTGATGAGGGCCAAGTGGGGGGGTTGGGGGCCGAGCGGTCGCGTCCAGTCGAACGCCCGGCATGCAGCTATGCCACCAGGGCGTTTTAGAAGCGTGTGTGGTCGCCGGACATGCACTGTGGGTCATGGTCAGCAAAAACGATATCGCAAACAGCCATGGCTGGGCGCCCGGCGATTGCCGCAGCGCCGCACTCCGAGTGGCGACGAAAAGGAAAGGGTACCTGCAAATGTTAGCGTGACTCTGAAAGCAGGAGGGCACAAGCAGCGAGCGAGCGAGCGAGCTCGAGACAGGACGTGGACTGAGCAGCAGTGTGTGCAGGCACATGACCTGGGGTGGTCCAGCCCTTGCTCGCTCGCCAACACGGCATGGTAGACTTTGCTCTCGCCTGTGTCCTAGCACAGAAGGTACTCACCCACTAGACTGCACACTGGCAGATACGTCATGACCTTGCACTTGCAGCCTGGTGCGGAACATCCGCAACGGTGCTCTTCTGCGTAGTGGACCGGGTGTCCGTGTTGAGGGTGCGCATGTTGATGTGGCCGTGGCACGACTCTTGGCCTGTCTCGCGGCACGAGAGGCAATGAGGGCGCCATGGTGGGCGCCGCGGCGACGAGAGAAGGAAGGAGGAAAGGGAAGGGAAGAAAGGTCGAGTGAGGAGGGTTGTTATCGGTGGGTAGAGTAACGCGTAAATGAAGGAGATACGAGGTGCGTCAACCTCGTGTTGGGATGGCTAAGGGTTGGGGGGGAGGGGTGTGGAATGCTGGAATGAAATGTTGAGGGCGAGATTGGGGGCTAGAAGAAGGGCGGCACCCACGGTGGCGACGCCGGGGACGCTGGGCGGTGTGGGTGTGAGAGCTGCTGCTGCTGCTGCTACGAGGTCAGCGACGAGTCCTTTAAGCCACGATCACGGGGCAAGGCCGGCGGGCGGGCGCACTGCTTGGCAGGCTATGAGGAGACATGTGGGTTTGGATGAGCGTGCCCAAGATGCCACACCCATGTCCATCTCGAGACGCGTCGTGTGTGTATGGGTGTGTGGTGGGCGCGTAGGGGGGGAGGGGGAAGGGGTAAAGGTGTAGAGGGCGCCTCAACATCAAGGGGAAGCTCGTGCACCTGGGTGCAATAGACGCGGTTCGGTGCATTGGCCTCGATGGGCTCGGCCCACGGTCAGGCTTGGCCACACGGCACACCCAGCAGAGCGCAGAGCGCGTCGCGCATCCTCCTCGTCTCTCTCTCTTCCGGGGACGACAGATAGCGCCCGCACCTCATACACATGCACACCACGCACACATAACGCGTACAGCCCCCCGGCCGTCACAAACTGGATCGCCCGAAATCTCGCGCCGCCATGAGGCAGCACATGGACACGAACGCCACAGCTTGCTGGGGGCCCAACGGGCGAAACGCAGCCTGTACTCACCTCTACAGAAGACCGAGAGCCGAGCCGAAAGCTTTGCTTTACGGGACCTAGCGGCAAGGCGCGGGGTTTGGAAAATAAAAAGTCGGTGGTGGTTGATATGTGGGGGTGCACTGCTTACGCCGTAATCGGAAGTAGCAGCAGTCTTGGTGGTGGGCGGGCGGCGGAGGGGGTTCTCTCAGGTCGGAACCGCAGCGGGCCAGCAAACAATGAGAGCAAGGCTCTGCTTACGCTGCTTGCTGCAGTCGATGGACTAAGGGGTGACGCTCAATGGCGGTCTTGATCCGACGCCACTCGGCGTTGGACGGGCCTCGACGATCTACTGTGAGGGCCGTGGGACTTTGGGCTGTGGGCCTGGACAGCCGGCTATCAGGCTGTAGCTTGAGCGGGCGATTTTGTGCTGCGGACGACGTCGACGTCGACAAAGGAAGACGGCGCAGTGTCGGGGATCCGGGGGTTCGGGGGGGTGTGCCGAGCGGTGCCGTGGTGGCGGTCGTCGCTGGGAATGGCGGCAGGTGTGTGCGCGATCGCTGGCAGCTTGAACACTGGTAAACTGCTGTGTGACGCTGATGTCGCACGGGTTGTGGCTTGACGAGGCGCGCAGACGTGGAAATTGAGCGATGTTGATACGCCTCTCGGAAAAGAGCGAAGCGGGGTGTGTGGATGGAGAGTGGGGAGAGGAAGAGGAAGAAGGCTGCCCTTGGGAGTTTGAGTGGGCCGTGACTTGTCTTGCAAGTGGACGATCGCAAGAACACTAGACGACGACAAGAGTATATGTATCTCTCACGAGGTCACTGTTCACTGGGGGGCTGATGTTGGTTTGCGAAACGCAACCTAAGCAAGTTTGGAACACGAGACGGCGAGGGCCTATTCTTTAGGCTACCAAGGCGAGACGCAACCCGAGACGCACTCGAGACGCACTCGAAACGCTTAAAGCACGTGTTCACAGGTGATGGCGATGCAGACGCGCGAGTGCTGGGATACGACACCCCGCCCGCAAGCCGAACACGCTGGGGCGGGGACGCACAGGCCGAACGAGGCGATAGCTGGTTGAAGGAGGGGGGACAGACGGCCGGATGCTAGACCCGGACGTGGGGGTGTGCACGTTGCGGGTGTGCGCACAGTAAAGGTGTGCGGACGTTGGAGGGCGACGTGCTGTCGCAAGAGAGTTGCTTGGGGCGGGCGCAGGGGGAGGAGGGGGAAGAAGATGACGGGGGGGAGGTGGTGGAGGAAGGTGGCAGAGGCGATAACGGGGACGGGTGTGGTGTGGGTGAGACTGGGGCGGCGGGGTCACAGCGGTGGGTGAGGCTGTGTAGTGTGGGTGTGTTGGATGGCAGGTAGTGGTGGTAGAATAGTGTAATCACTGGCGAGAGGAGGAGGAGGGTGATGATGCGATGATGATGGTGATGATGAAATGTGGTGGTGGGGGTGTTGACGGAAAGAAACGACCGCCGCAGAGATCCCAGAGAGAGAGATGTGCCCCGCCGGCCGCCCCGCGCGCGCCGCCGCCGTCGACTCTCGGCCTGGCCTGCGTGCTCGCGCATTAGACCTGCCAAGAGAGGGTGAGTCCTGGGGTCCTGGACTGTGTGGGTGGGGTGTCTATCCTGGGCGTAATAATGGCGTGTTTCACCGTACAGCGCGCGCGTGCCGCGTGCAGCGCGTGTCAGCACAGGAAGAGAGAGAGGGGGGGCAGCTTTGGGCCGGGCCTTTTGCAGGGAACGACCTGGGAGCTGCGAGAAAGAGATCAGAGAGAGATCAGAGAGAGATCAGAGAGAGATCAGAGAGAGAGCGCGCGCGAGAGAGCGACGACGACGACGAACACAAACGACGGACACACACCACCCCCGTGCGCCCCCTCCGCCCGTCTCGTGTGTGGAAGAATAATATGGATCCAGTTGAAACCAACAGCGCTAACACGGACCACCCATTTGCATCTCTGCTGTAACAAGACAACAACCACCTGCTCGCCACCACCACCGCCCCCAGACACGTCCATGCACTACCCCGTGTAAGAGGCGGTGTGGTGTAATGGCGTATTGCATGACACATGGCCGTGGGGGGGGGGGGGGGGGGGGGGGGTGGGGGGGGGAGACCAAAACAGTGCAACAGTGCGAGAGGTCGGGGCCAACGTCGTCGCCACAGTCCACTGCGCACCACTGTCGGGTCTCTCTCTCTCGCCTTCCAAGAGTGTTGTGAGGGACGGAGGGACAAAAGGAGAACGGGTTCCAGCCATGCAGCCAGGTCCAGCGGCATGTGTCGGTCGTGGGCCTGGGTCTCGTCGTCGTCGTCGCCTGGGTCTCGTCGTCGTCGTCGCCTGGGTCTCGTCGTCGTCGTCGCCTGCGCAGCCCCAGAGCATCATTGCGCAGCGCGTAGGCTCCTATGCACCACACCACCACAACGCCAGTGCCAAGACCGGCAAGATGAGCAGTACAAGACCCAAGGCGGAGCGAGGTAGCCGACCCGCGCGAACGTGGACGCTCGTGGGCGTCTGCTGTTGCTCTCCATTCTCGGTCAATGGGTTCATGGCCAGGCCCGACATCGGTCGCTCGGCACCACCCCGCGCAGAAAGAGCGCCGTCTTGCATACCGCTGCCCACACATCTCCCGTTCAAGCTGAATTCCAAGACCCACCTGTACGCGTGAGCGCGTAACTGACCGTTGTCGAGACTCCCATGGCTGTTAAGCTCCGTTCCTCGCGTGTATCGATCCCTCCCCCCCTACCTGTCGCCCAAACTTGGTTCTCCTCGTCCATGCAACCGACCGACCTGTTAGCGAAACAGCAATGTTTTCCTTTGTTCACTTCCGCATTTCCTAGGAAATCCCACAAAAAAAAATCCCAGGAATCAAGGATGCCTGCAGAAGCGAGCATGGCTGACGCAGCACTCACATGCAAACTCAACTCACACACACACACACACGTACGCACCACCCCGCAACACCGCCCATATTCGCCACCGAACACACTCACTCCACCCATCCAATCTTCTCGACGCCACTTGCTGTTCTGTTGGCATCAAACGTCTTTCGGCCCCGACGTATGCCTTCGGAGGAGACATGTTACCACATGTAGTCTTTGAGCGGGCGGTGCACCGGCTCCACACAAGCCCTGCGCGAACGAGCAGGCGACGAGGAAGAAGAACGAGGACGTAGGTTCTGTTTTCGGCGTCAGCCGTGCTACTTTCGGCCACCTTACCGGCAAACCGGCGGCGAGCGGGGGGGGGCTTCGTACAACCCCTGTTACATCGATCTGCCCAGACGTGGAGAGGAGAGAGAGGGAGAGGGGCAGAGAGGGCCCTACTGAATCCCCTAGACACAATCCTCCCTTCACCGCCGACGCTAGTGGACTATTTTATCCTACCGATCTCCCATCTGCGTACCTGCGTCAACCCAGGCCTGGGCCCGGAGTACCAGAGTCTCTCTGCATATGGCCCGCGTGTGGGTGGCAATTCATACAGTGTGTGCTTCTGGAAACGTGCAGTGTGTCTCGTCTTGGTGCTAGTCGATGAGCAATTGCACCAAAACGCAATTTGGCCATGGTGCTAGCGCGGTTTGCCACTCTTGGCCACTTGGGCGAGTACGGGGGCGGCGCGGCTTTGATGATCCGCACAGGCAGCGCCTGTCATACCCCAGCTTTACCTTTCCAACTCTATCATGAAATGACCTTTTACTTTGATCCCCCGACTCGGCGCCACCCCCTTCTCTCCCTCTGCCCGTGGTCAGGATCGCACACGCCACAGCCCGGTTTATGGGCTCCTGCCGGCGTCGGCTGGGCAAGTCCTGCAGCTCGAGAAGCAGGTATCGGGCTTGTCCTGGCTTTACTTCCTGGCTTGGTTGCTTCATTACTTCCTGGCGGGCGTGCAGGCTTGCACTGGAATGCAGGACGTGGCGGAGATTTGCCAGGGTGGGAGGGACGTCCCGCCCATCGTAGCGCGCCTCACACGTCAAGGCTGTGCGCAGAACCGAGAGGTTTGCTCGTTGCTGTCCATCCATGTACCCGTGCCATGTCGTGTCCATTCATTCCTTCGGGGCAATGTACGCGAACCATATACCGCGCACCGCTCGAAGTCCGACAGAAGAAAAGACGATTGCCATGGCTTTGGGGTAACCGTAAACATGCGGCACGCGCCGCTGGACACCACGGAGGCACCCACCCCGCACCACCACGCCACTGACCGCACACCAATGTCTCTCGGCGTACGCATGACGATGCCAAGATGTCAAGATGTGTGTCTGGATGTGTCTGGACTGCCGGGCCGACGTCGTATTCAAGGAGCATGCGGACGGTCACCCAGGGCCCAGAGACGGCACCACTGCCGGCCCGGAGAGCAGCGAGACACGTTTGAACACCGAGCCGAGACGCACCAAGGAACGCCGAAACGACACACGGTCGCGAACTTGCACACGTAAAGCGTATGTACGTGAGCGCGTGAACGAGCCACAAAGAGACAAATTGCGTATACCGCAAGTGCAGCAGCAGCAGCAGCCCCACACGTAATCATCTGACCACCCAGTCACGAACGCGGTCTCGAGCGGCCCAGAACGGCCAGAACCGCGGTTGAAAAGTCCCGACTCCACACCCCGGACGGGCCGCGAGCCGCTGGCTCCAGTAGCTCCCGAGCGGCGACACCTGGCTCCGAGGCATGCAGTGAGAAATGTCGGCGGAGCTGCGGTGTCTGCCCGGGCGGAGGGGGTGCGGTGGCCGCACAGGCCGAGACTGAGACCGACGACAGAGGACAGAGAACACAGGTGGGACCGCGCATGCCTTGATCCTGTATCCGGTATCCTGTCGTTCCTACGTCCGTGACCCGTGGGCATCTGCTGATCGTATGATCCTATGACCCGCGACAGGACTCTGGGTGCTTGACGTGGTCCAGACCTTCGTGACACGCGAGTGCGGTCAGCCCAGTGATCCAGTGATCCAGTGAGGCCAGTGAGGCCAGTCAGTCGTCATGTCCGAACGTGCGTACCCACCGGTGCACATTCCGTACGGCGGCCTCGGCCGTTCATGGTCGCCCGTTCCCTCAATGTGCCTCGACGCCGCTCTACCTGGCTGCGCCACACCCGTCCATGTCCGTGTGCACCAGTGACCAGTGACCAGTGACCAGTGGTGCCACGCTCTAAAAGTCGCAATGCTGCCGGCCGCCGGCAGCCTCTGGCGCGGCGATGCGGCGACTTGGAATCCAGTTTCGCCACGTTCACGCCGCCCTTACTGTGTGCTGTGTGTGTGTCCAGGTACACTTGCTCTCAGGCTGATCAGGATATTGCAAGGACAGACAAACGGTCGAGCACGTCGTCGTCGTCGTCGGCGGCGGCCTGCTATGGGTCCTAGCGTCCTGATCTACATGACAGCGGGTCTGGAGGCCAGCCAAGGCGAGGCGAGACGAGACGAGGCCCGAGGTCCCGCCGCAGCACCTTTGTGGCATGGACCGTAAGCGTAAGCGTAGGCGTAAGCGTAAGCGTCGCCGGAATGCGAATCGACGATCCTCACACACATGGCCTCGAATGACCGCGGCCCGCTATTGAACACCCACGCTCAGCTTCCCAGGTCGCCCACTGGGTTTGGCACTGCGTGACAGATCGTCAGAACGCCAGCGGGCCCGCATGGCCTGGCCACTCGCCAGAGTCCACAGGCCCAATCTCGACTCTGTGGAGGGTGTCCAGATACGTGTTGACCCGAGATACACGCGTACGGACACGTTCCGCACTCGGCGGGTGGCGCTGTACAATATGTGTGTTCACTACGCAACGGCGCTGGGGGGCGGAGCGGCGTGGATTCTGCGTAGGCTCTGCGTGTCTTGACAACCTGCAGAGGGGTCTTCAATTCCGCTCCTGCTTGCGCATGTATTGTACCCATGCAGCGACGATAGATCCAAGAGAAGAACAAACGAGGGAGAACAGAGCGCGCAGACGTGAGATGATCACCAATCACTACAGGTAAGGTTTGGTCGGCCTTCCATTTTAGGTCGTCGGAGGCAGCATTCCTGGAACCACGGTCGGTCCACAGCGCCAACTGGGAGGTATGCTTTCGATCACTGCTGGTCGCGTATCGGTACTACTACTCCATCGCTGGTCTGGCCCCCTTCGATCAGACCTAAACTGTGGTGACTGTGGGGAGTGGCACAAGCTGCCGCTTCCAGCTGGTGGAATGTGCCACGGTGTATCCCGTTCTCGCACACTAGGCTGAGCCAGAGGGCCTCGCGCTCTGAGACTGTGGGAACACGCTCAAGTGACCAGGCGGGGGCCATGAGGACGATATCACACAGGCTAGTGTACGAACAAGCACAGACTTGACACTCGCAACGGTCATTTGCCCCCGACGAGGAACCGTACCTCTCCCCCCTTGCTCGTCCAGTCACGGCACGACCAATACATTGTATTGATACCCAGCTGCGAACAGAGCCAGAAATCCAGCGTCTGCTACGTACACACTGTACGTCTCTGCGTCTCCGTCTCTCCGATTCGGCCTACGGGCCTACGGGCCTCACGAGGGGCCCCTTGCCATGTCGGGCCTGGAGTGGCGGGCCTGGAGTGGCTCCGCCTCCGCTCCGAAGTGTCGACGCAAGACGTCCGACTCCACCCGTACGTTGCGGTTGCGTTTGCGTATGCTGCTCCCTCGCGCGCTTGTGGCGCTGCCTTTGGCCATTGGGGCCGAGGAAGGATGCAAATGATTAGCTTTTCGCAGGCGAATCCGCGTGAGTCAGAGTCCGAGGTCTGTCGCCAGCAGGAATGGAGACCAGGGCCTGGCATAATGCAGTGGACGAGGCCTCAATGTGGCGGTCCCGAGACGTACCGACCGCTGAGGACTGCGGCGAACTGCTACCGAGTGAGGACATTGTCGATGGGCGAGGGGGCTAGGACCTGGGTCGTGCGTGATTACGATAAGACAGCGACGTGCAACATGGCTGGACCCAGGTTTCTGTGCTGTTGGAATGCCAACTGAGACTGCCACACATCCCCAAGGCAGCACATGTGTATGCCAGGAGTGGGAAAATGCTCCATCGGACTGTCGGACGACGACGGCTAGCAGCAGCAGCAGTGACATGATGCATGCCTCGCTTCTCACTTCCTGGCCCATCAACCCCCCTCCACCTCGCTGTCGTGCCGTCGTCCCGTCGACGGGGTCGCTCCCAAGCATCGCGCCTGGTATCCCGGCACGGAGTATACCCACTCGTGATCTGCCTCCGAGGCTTTGCCCCGCTGACGAGCCGGTGAGCGCGGTACGACGGAGGGAGACGCTACTGTACACACGCTGAGAGGCAGCTTCGCGTACGCATGCTCTCCCCATATCGGGGGCCGGCCGTCGCTCGCCACTGTGGAATAACGTTTTGCACTTCGGTGTCGTGCGTGCCCCCCCCCCTCTTTCCCCCCCCCCATACTTCCCCCTTCTCCCGACGTCGTCATCCCCCGCTTACGGTCCACTTGCTTCACGACTGCCGCGCGCCGCGGCTTTGAACATCCCTGCTGGCCCCGACAAATCGGGTGGAACCGTGACGCCCAACTCGCAGCGTCGCCGTCGCCGCACCATGGGTACTGACGTATGTACGAATGCTCCTCGGCGGGATTCGCCACACATCGCGCCTGCGTCAAGAGGTCAGAGCTGAGCTCACCCCCCGTTTCCCGCTGCTGCTGCTCGCTGTGTGGTTTGCCACGAGGGCATGCATGGTCGTGGCAGGTTTACAGAAGAGTGCGGAGATGGAGATCAGAAAAGGGAAAGAGGGAAAAAAAAAAGGTAATAGACGAAAAAGAAAAGAAAAAGAAAAAAAGAAAAAGAAAAGGAGACGCAAACGCAAATCAGGGAGGCTGGAGGCTGGGGGTAACACTAACACGTATGGCTAAGGTCTGGTAGTTGTGGGGGATGGGGGTGGGGATAGGGGATAGGGAGGAGGGAACTGGCGGTGACGAGGACCCGAAAAAAAAGAGAGAAACAAAGAAAAAGAAGAAAAAAAAAAAAAGATGATGAAGAAGAGGAAGAAAAGGGATGGATGCAGGTGGTGATGGAGGGACAGGCGGACAACGTTGGGCCGACACGGCGGCGCAGGGTGTGTAGATGAGTGAATATCGTGGCGGAGCGCCGGGGTGGGGTGTTGGGTTGAGTGTTGAGCCTCATAACCAAGCGGACAAGCGGGGAATGGTGGAGGGGGACAGTGTGTGTGTGTGGTGGGTAGTATGTGATATGTGTGTGGGTGGGTGGGCAGCGACACCCCAGGTCCCCCTGGGATGTGCTGATGGGTTCTTGTGAACCCTTTTACGCCTTGAGTGCGACGGGGGCGGCCTCGGTGGTGGCCATGGCGACGGCCGCGAACGAGACGGCGGAAGCGAGCTTGGCCTTGGCCACCTCGGGGTTGGGGGTGGTCGAGACGGACACGATGACGGCGTCCTGCTCCGACTCCGAGTCCATGGTCACGTCGTCGACGGTGGATGACGCCGTCTTGACGACGACCTCGTCGGCGACGTCCTCCTTGTCCGAGACAGAGGCCGGGACGTCGGCCTCGGATGAAGTCTCAGACGACTCGGCCTTGGGCGGGGCCGGGGCACTCAGGACCTGGGCGGCCGTCTTGGCGCCCCACGAGGGCTCGCGGCGCTCAGTCGTGGGGGTCACGGCACCGTTGATGCCCAGAGCGGGGAACTCGTCGGCGCGGGGGATACGCTGAGGAGGGACGGCCTTTTTGTTCTCGCCGCCGGTCGACGACGAGCGCGAGCCGTTGGCCTGGCCGTTGGGGAAGGCGCCGCGGGGACCGCGGCGGACACCGTTGGGCGAGTGCGAGCGCGACGAGACGCCGTTGGCGTGCACGCGGGCAACACCAGGCTGCGAGGCTGAGCGCGAGGCGGGGACCGAAGACGAGGGCTTTGGTGGCAGCGACGAGGCCGGGGCGACCTCCTTGTCCGACGCGACCGAGGGGGACGCGGCAGCAGTGGCAGGAGCAGAAGCAGCGGGGGCAGCCTCAGTGGCGGGCGCGGCAGCGGCATCGGCAGCGGCAACCTCACCCTCGGGAGTCTCGGCCACCTGGGCGGGGGCAGACTTGTTAAAGTGCAGCTGGTTCTGCTGGTGACGGGGGTCGTAGTGACCGGCGCCGCCCATCATGCGGAGATGACGAGGGGGTGGCCTGGTCGGGGCCGGGGCCATGATGCCACGGATGACATCGGGGTGACGAACGTCGTTGCCCTCGGCGTCAATGTGAGGGAACTTGCAAATGTCTCCGTTGCGGCACTTGCCCTCACGGAAGAAGGCACATGGAGGAGGGTGGCCGTCCTTCCACTGGCCAAGGTGCGACGAGCCACCAGGGCGGCCGCCGGGACCCCAAGGCTTGGGGCCACCCGAGAACGAGAGCTTCTTGCCGTGGAACGGCTTGGTAGGGGGCCCACCAGCGGTGAACGGCTGGCCAAAGCTTGGTCGCCTGCCGTGACCGGGGTAGCCACCGTTGGAACAAAGGCCTGGAACTGGGGCGGGGAAGTGGCAAAGAAGGCCGGGTCGTTGGGCATAGGAGGGGGCGGGGTGGGCAGGAGGGAAGGAGACATGGTGCCCATGGCATAAGCACCAGTAGGCGAGCCGATAAAGGCGCCATTCTGCTCGACGGCCATGCCGGGGACAAAGGCCGGAGCACCGGCCGAGGGAACGTGGGTCTGCGCGGCCTGAGCCTGCGCGGGTATCGAGTCATGCTGGGTAGCGTTGGGGTCGGCGGCAGCGGCCTCGTCCACAACGGCGCCGTCAACGGGAGCTCCGTTGGCGGCGGTAACAAACTCCTGCGAACCGGGGAAGAAGGGTGCGGTACCGGGGTAAGGAACAAAGCCCTGCTCGTAGCCGTAGGCCGGGGGGAAGAAGCCAGGCTGCATGCGGGGGTGGAAGAACATGCACGACGCGCCGTACTTGCAGTTGGGGAAGTTGCGGCAAGGAATGGTCTTGGCGACCTCGGCGGGCGGGAGGTTGGCAGAGCCGTTGGCGGTGCCGTTAGGAGCGCCGTTCTGCGAAGCGCCAGGCGGCGTCCTCACGGGAGCCGGGTAGTAGCCCTGGGGAGGGTAGAACGGAGGAGGAGCCATCTGGGCGAACGGAGGGGGGATGCCGTACATGGTGGGCTGGGGGTAGAGGATGGAGAGCATGATGGGGTCCATTGTCACCTGGGGAGGGGGGACGACGGCGCCCGCATTCAAGAGCTCGCGAACAACATCGACGTGACCGGCCTGGATGGCGAGCACAATCGGGGTCATGCCAGTCGCCATGTCTGTGAATCTTGTCAGCAAACGATGCACACAGCACACATGGGAAATGTAGAGAGAGAGACTTGGACGCCCTGCGCCGCGCCCGTCCGTTCGCAATGGATCGGAGGTGCAGAAAGCCCGAAAGGCGTGAAAAAGACGGAAAAGAGGGTGTCAAAAGGGACTCACCGAGCATTTCGAGCTCGCCAGAGCCGCGCTGGAGGAGGACGCGGACATCGTCAAGGCGGCCCTCTGCACATGCGCGGTGCAGCTCGGATGTGGGCTGGATAACGAGGCCAGCAACGTCGGCCTCGAGGCCAGTGACACCGTTTTCACCGGCGGCGGCCGTTTCCGAAGCGGGCTCTTGCGCCGAAGCGGCGTCGATGGAAGCCACGGGCTCAGCCTCGGGGGCGGCACCGTTGGCGAGAGCCTTGGGGTCGGCTGCGGAAGCCTGCTGCTGCTGCGTCTCGGCCGACATGGTGGAAGGAAGAGGGTGGAGGGGTAAAGGTGCGACGTGCAGCGGACTCCGTCGGTTTGTCTCGCAGAGGCTCGCACGAAAGAAGGAGGTGTCGACTTTGGTGCGGTGGAGGGAGGCGAGCCGGCGAGAACTGGTGACGGGGAAGGGGGAGGAGGAGGGGGGGGAGGGGGGAGGAGGAGGGGGAGAGTGGTGGTTGAGAAGAGGTGAAGGGGAAGTGGTACGAGAGAGTCGAGTAGAGAGTGAGAGGAAGGGGGAGCGACGATGTATGCCCACACACAGGATCCTGCCCAACGACGACTCGGGGAGACGGCAGACGGAACAGAACGACCACACGGCCCACAGCCAGCGAGCGAGCGAGGACTCTGATTCTGCCTCCCCCCCCCCCGTTCCCTCCGCGCGCAACCTTCAGGCCTCAGGTGCACTTTCTCTCTCCCACCCCTGGGCGCGCGCTGGGCCGCTGGGCCCGCTGCCGTCGTCTGTCCTTTTTTTTTTTTTTCTCTTTCGTTCCACCCAAACCCGAAACTCACCCATACAACCGCAACGGACCGCTCTGGGACACACCGTACAGAAATAAAATATACTCCCGTCCGTCCGTCCGTCCCGCCCAGGCCCCCCACACCCCAGAGCGTCGTCCCCCCCCCGTTCACTGGCCGCCGCCGCGCCCCGAAAGGTCCTCCTTTTCGGTCCCCCCTCGCTCGGCAGCTCCGTGTACGGTTCTGTGCGTATCTGCGGCTGACACTCGAGCGAGGACGACTCTCTCTACGGCCAAAGAACACACGCAAAGGGCCCCACAAGGTCCCCCCCGGTTAGACCCATTGTCCGGCACCCACCAATCCCCCCCAACCAAAGAATACACACACGCCCTCCGTCGCTATCTCTTGTCGGCAACATCCAACAGCCGACCAATCCCCACCACAGAGAGCCAAGACTAGCAAGCACAGAGCAATATACGTATACACGCGCTCCGTATTGCCCATTGCCGCCATTGTTCGCAAGCAACACGCATAACCCCCAGCCCCCACACCCCCAGGGCCCACACGCACCATGTACATCCCTATCCCCCGTCCAGTAGCCACCGTCGCCCGCACACATCTGACCTCCACCCTCGTCTGCGGACGCCGCCTCTGCGCACTGCACACCGCGGTGCCGCAGGCGTTCCACGCAACGACGACGACGACGACAGCATTGTCGTCGTCGTCGTCGTCGTCGTCAGACAGTCAATCTCCACCATCACAGACACAGACACAAGCACCGCGGCTACGCAAACCCAACCCCTACCGCCTTCCCTCGCTCCCCACCTTCCTCGCGACGTTTGCCCCGCTACACATTGCAGGATGGCGGCTGGACACACTACCGGCCCGACGCGACGATGACACGGCCGACCACGCAGCGATGGAGATACTGTCCGCTGCGCGCGCCGCACTGTCGCCAGCTTCTGGCTCTGGACACGCCGCAAGCACGAGCACGAGCTCGACGTCAACGTCAACGTCAACGTCGACCCTTGGCACCGGCACCGGCACCACCTCGCACTCGGCGGGCACGGACCTGCTGTCCGGCGCAGACCTGCAGGACCGCTGTCTCCACCGCGCATTTGCGTTTCCACGTACCCCCGCAGGCTGGCGTGCGCTCATGGCCTTGCTCGCGCGCGTGGGCGAGGCGGTCGAGATTGAAGATGTGAGTTGTGTCATGTCGTGTCTCGCAGACGGGTATGTCACCGGCCGAGTGTCACTGCAGGTTAGGTGCCTGCCGGTGTCACTTGCATGGACGCAGTCACCTGTGATGCCATGATGGCCCCTTGGCTGCGTTCTTGTCCCGAGCATCCGGGCGCCGTCGGCGCCGCAGCGGCGCCTGCGCAGTTCGGTCATATTGTCGGCGTGTCGGCGTGTCGGTCCGGATCGCCTGGGTGCCCCACAATCACAATGTATGCCCCCATCGCTGACGACCACAGCACCACCCCGTCATCCACGTCTCGCCCTTGTCCGACCTGCCGGCGCCCATCCGCCAGCTGGTCCTGGACAGCGCCGACCTGGCTGCTGACGGCACGTCGCCCGACCTCGCGGCGGGGTACGTCCTCTGTTTGCGCACACACACGCACACGCCCATGGCCCCGCTCGGCGCCGCCGCCGACGGTATCGTGTTTGACGGCAAGCCCCGGCCGGGCGTCACGGCCAAGGACCTGCGGCTGGCCGAGCGGGTAGAGGCGCTGTGGAGGGAGGTTGGAGGAGGAGGGGATGGGAGTGGAGATGGGGTCAAGGCGTGAGTAAGGGGAGAGATGGAGAAAAGAAGGCGAGCATGTGGAGTGTGTAGAACAGGACGCCACATTACCACCCACCCAACACCACAGCAACAACAACAACAACAACACCAACAACAAACAACCACAGCAAACAATGATAGTATCAGAGTACTTCTTTCTCTCTTGCATTGCATGATAACTAAAATGTATATGTAGATACACGATTGGCCCAATGATACAGTCCGAAGGTAAACGCGCGTGACCGGAAGGTGGTGATGTTTGATTGATTGTGATGGTGGGTTGGTGATGGTGGTGGTTGTGTGGGTTGGGGTTACATCAATGGGGGGTGTGGGGGGCGGGGCTCTGTCCAAACGCTTGTGCTGACCGAGTCTCGATCGCCAGACAAGTTGGGAATGGCAGAGCCACCGTCCGCCGGGTTTCGTGATATCGTACTGTACAAGATTTTTTGGGAGTGTGTGTCGAAAAAAAAAAAAAACGTGTGGATTCGTCAAGTCGGGGGAGAAAAAAGGTGGCGGAAAAGAAGAGGAAAAAGAGGAAAAAGGAAAATCAGGCCGGCTTTCGTCCTTTGTTCGCGTGTCTTGTGTATTGATTTCTAGTGGGGGTGGGGGGGGGGGGGGGGGGGGGGCGGGGGTTGTTACGGGGGGAACGGCTTTCGGAGTGGGGGAGAGGTGGCGATAGGGCGGTTTGTGGAGTAGATTGGTACCTGGTGGTGATGATGATGATGATGATGGTGGGTATTTGCACCGGGAGCCAGCGTCTCGCGTCGTCTCCGAGCATGTTGTTCCCCTTATCGACCTATCGTCGTCCTTGCGGTACTGCCAGCGCACGCAGCTTGCGAGCGACGACACTGGAAGCGGTTGTCAGTTACCACGGCCGTGCTTTTTCGAGCCGCTCCCAACTCACCTCAAGGCGGCCGCGTCCAGCGCCGAAGTGACACCGACGCCACCGTTCCCACACGGATGTGTGTGGTCGGAACTGTTGGAACTGCTGTTGGAGATGCTGGACCCGTCGCTGTCGACGCTGTGGGCGCGTCCGGCGCCACCCATGCCGTGCGACGGCGACGTCATGGGCAAAGTGAGGGGAAAGGACGGCAGCTGCGTGGGCCGGTTGTGGCGTGCAAGCCGCGTGGGCATGGTCAACGTCGGGATCGGGAGCTGGACGGGCATCATCATGTTCATGGGCGACGCCTGCAGCTGCATTGGTGAACACGTGTTGTTGCCGTATAAACTGGTCGACGAGGACACTGACAGGCCGCTCAGTTGCAGTGCCGACGGCGACGTCGAGGTTGCGGACGGTGGCATGGCCGGCATGGCCGTCGTGGGGAAGGAAGGGGAAGGGGAAGAAGACGACGAGCTCAGCGAGACTGCGGGCTCGGAAGAGGTCGAGTTGGAGGACGCCACGGCGCTGCAGAACACACAGCCCGCGTCGAGCACGCCCGGTGCACAAGGGTCTAGACGACGTCAGCGATGGACACACAACAACAGTAGAGCACGGCAGCAGCGAGCACTTGAGCACTGCTGAACAAGCGCACTGGTGGTACTCACACCCAGCGTTTGCACCCCACCTGTCACCCAAGCAAAAGACCATGGTAATGTTGGCGGTTTTGGCAAAGGGGGCAAAGGAAAGAAAGGGGTGCCACCATGTTGGCCGACCCGTGGAGTATTTGTACTGTTCTCCATGGATCCATGGATCCGTAGTGTGTGGCTCCAAGGGAACGGACAGGGGAGAAGGGGGGGGGAGAACCCAAAGGTTTGGCCGCCGGCAGCAAGGCCGTTCAATGCGCACAAGTCCTGGCAACGACACCCCTCCTGGCCCCCCGCCCCCGCCCCCGCGCGCGCCGCGGTCGCCATGTCGTTGTTTTCCGTTCCTGGCTGGCCATTAACGGCGAGTGAATCACCGACAACAAAAGGTGGGCGCCTCCACCCCTCCCAACCTGGCCACACCCACGTCTTTGCGCGTGCTCCATCTCGCTCTGCTGCAGCCCTTCTCACACGCACACACACACACTCTCTCTCTCTCTCTCTCTCATCGTGTCGGCCCATTCGGTGGCTTGGCTGGTCGCCGACGGAGCAGCAACGAGAGAAGCTCAAACGACACGTCCAACCCAACACGTCCACTGATCCCACTGACGTGACCCCCACCGCATCCTTCACGGGGGCCTATGTCCGCGGCCCCAGCCGGTCGCACCTGGTTCTTTGCCGTGGAGAGACCCTGGTGCTCCGCACGCTCCGCAGACACGACCATAATGCACCAAATGTTGTGTCGTCCCGCCCCGATCGTTGGCTGGGGTAACCGACCAATGGATACGCCCAACCACAGACAAGAAGATACCACTGCCTTCCCCACGCCGTGCCGAAGTTCGGCACACGGCACAGGGCACCGCCAAGCTGGGCCAGAGCGTGGGGCAGCGCGGGCCACCCGATCACGCTCATAGCAGAGAGCCCCTTTGGCTGTGGCCGTCGTGGGGAATGGGGGCAAGCGAGCGCAGCAGCACAGGAGGTCATCGGATCAGAAAAAAGAAAACCCACCGACAAAATGTGGACGCGCTTCCCACCGTTGTTCAGGACACACGTCGCTGGTACCTCGCAATCGCCGCTCTCCCGCCGCTGCCAAAGTCCGTCGTACGGCCGCACACCCCGCATAAACAAGTGTGGAGGGGGAGGGACGTGGAGGTGGCCGAGGTGGATTGTGGCTTTTTTTTTTTGGTTTTTCCCCAGAGCATACGTCGAGTGGCCGTCTCTGTACCTCTGTGGCCGTAGGTGGCTTGCTTTTTGTTTTGCAAGATACGGCAGAAACTCGGCAGCATACCAGATCACCAGACATATCAACATACCTCCTAGCCCGTCGTTTACAACAGAGTCTCAGACTGTGCATTTATCGCGGCCCGCTGTGACGCCCGTGGCGCCCCGGGGGGGGGGGGGGGGGTCCAAAATGCAGCGCAGCAGCAGAAGCACAAGTGACTTTCTCCTCTGCAGTACTGCAGTCACGTCACCACACGCTCGTCACTCTTCTCTGATCGCTTTTGATCACATGGTGAAACCTCGCCAAATCTCGGGTCATCCTTATTGACGAGCGGGTCTTGTCGGTGATATCGGGTCGTAATTTCTTCCGACCAGGGACAAACCCCGCATTCCAATCTCTGGATCTCTGGCCAGCAAAGCAACATAGCAACACACACACGCCAACACGACGATTGCGCACGACAAGAGTGGCACGCTTCGCTTGATCGCTTGGCAGGCCCTGCTCGTCCCCAATCAACACCCCCAGGATATTGTATCTCCCAGCGCTGGTGGATCAACTTGGCTGCGCGCGCGCGCATAATCTGCATCCGGGAAAACTCTGTGATCTGTGTGATCGTGGACGGGGAGGGGAGCGCGGGTGGGGGAGGTGTATCGCTTTTCCCTATAGCAACATCAGCTAGCTGTGGCAGAGGGATGGGGGGGGGGGGGGGGAACGGAAATGGCGGAACAACGCCGTGCAAATCCCGTACCCCGATTTCCGTGACGCGCGCCCCCATCTCTCTTCCGCGGTCCATCGCGCACGCAGAGTTGCGCTGACGCAGGTCCTCCCTGGCTAGTACCACCACCCTCCCGTTGGAGACTACTGACAGTTTCAAATTGGAGGCACGCGTCTGGTCGGCCCACGGCCCACGTCGGCCTGTCTCATCGCCTCGTCTTGCGCAAGGGCGCAGGTCGTACAGTATACAACCATACCATCGCCACACGGCCACGGCCCTCCTGCCCGTCTGCACTAGGTGTGGCTCGGGGACGACTCGGGGCCCACTCGCGGTCGCGGTCTCGGACGCGGAGGTGAGCGCGTGAGTGTCTGTCCACGCGCACGCGGTGCCTTTCCCTTCCGCAACTTGATTCAAATCACTGCACCGAAACGCAAAACCAAAACCAAAACCAAACGCGACGCGACGCGATCAGAGCTCAGAGCTCAGAGCTCAGAGACGTGCCGCACACCCACGCCGCGGTCGCCCATGGGCGGTGCACACGACAGTGGGGAGTGGACGCGGTCATCGGTCGCCGGGGGCGGGAGGGTCGACCGGGGGCCGGGCGATGGCGACGAGAGATCGAGCGTGGGGACGACGGTCGCCGGCGGCAGGCGGTAGGGAGAAGATTAGGGTCGGCGTACCGGCGTCCCCAACGCCACTATCGCCTGTGCTATTCTCCACGTTCACCAATCCCCTATACCCGGCCTCTGGTTCTTCGTCGGTGAGTTGGCCGCGATTGCGGTCGGCTCGGCGGTGGCCGCAGCCCGGCTACGATGGGTACGGATTGGCGTATATGACCTGCTATAGCCTGCGCATCTTTTCGTAGGTCGCCGGCCGGCGGTAACCGCCAGCGGCGCCCGCTGACTGGCGCGTCGCCCCTGCGTGTGTCCTACGAAGTGTTGTCATGTCCGCTGAGCTTGGAGCTTGGGCCGCGCTTCGCACCCATCGTCAGCCATAAGTGTCATTTGTGAGATAAGGCAGGGCAAGAGACATGTCCCGCCTGTCATCAGGATATGACAACGAGAACCATGTGCCGGCCACATGGCCTAATAGAGATCGCGCGATCGCGACGACCACGACGATGACGAATAGAGAGTCCATTAGAAATTGTACATGTGATGAGACAGATGATCCCCCGGGGTAGCGTGCGTGCCGCTGTGTGTGATATTTTGTCCAAGATCCGGAAAAAGGTATTGTTCAAAGGTGCTGTGGGTGTGGTCGTGTGTCGTGTCCGTGGTCCGGTGCGCCGTCCCGGTCATCTATTGGGGCGCGTTGGCGGCCTTTGCTTTACCGTCTTTAGCTTCCAAGTCGCCCATGGCCTGCTCCATGGTGTAGCTCTTCGAAGCGCGGTCGAGCGACTCGAGGCGGTTCAGCTCGAGGATGAGGCGGTACATCTGTGGCAAGCGTCAGTCACGTCATGAGCGGATCTGTTCATGAGGTGGTGCGGCGGCGGCCTGCGGCTGCGGCTGCCGCCACCACCGGCTCCCCGCACTCATGTGATGTACTCACGTAAGCCTGCATGTCGACCCAGCGCCAGTGGTTGAGGGCAAAGTCCTGGCCTGCGCGGCCAATCTTCTGTCCCAGGTAGTCGTGGCCCTTGGAGTGGTCGATCGTACCGTCCTCGTGCATGGGTCCAATAAAGAACGAGAGAACGTCGTACATGTCCGAATAGTCGGGCTGGATGGGGATGTAGTGGTACCAGGGGATCAGGCGGTCCTGTACATTGTCAGTTGACGCTACGTTGGACGAAAACTCACCATGTGCCAGTCTGCAAACATGGTCATCTTGAGCACGGGACTCGCGCTCGCCAGCAGACGGTGGAAACGCTCCGACCAGCCGTTACCGTCCACGTCGAGGGCGTACCGGAACATCCAGGTGTTCTTGGGCAAGACAACGGGTGCAAAGTCAATCTCCGACTTTACTTCGGCGCAGATCTGTTCAGTCGGGCACTGGATCGCACCGCCCGCAAGCCTGACGTCGCCGTAGGCTTTGGCAAGTTGGGGTGAACGGCGCTCGACCTGCTCGTAGCCGCCGCGGCCGTCGGGCTGCATGATGGCGCGCGACCCGGCGGCCCACTCGGTGTCATTGCCCTTCTTGCCGTTGAACATGAGGTGCAGGCGGAGGCGGTGCGAGTCGTGCCAGTCATTGTCGGCACACATACCACCCGTCGCAGTTCCGCGCCAGTGCATGCGGGGGTCCAACTTGTCCTCCCAGCGACCCAGGCCCTTGATGTCCTTTTCGGTCATGTTGCCAAATCCCTCAATGGGAGGGAGAAGGAACGAGGCGTCGCCCGGCAGCTTGGAGTGGACGATCCACGGCTTGATGTACGACGGCGAACGGTCCTCGCGGTCGTGGCACAGCGCACCGTGGAGAAGCTTGAGCGAGGGGAACTCGCAAATGTCCATGGTGGCAACGTGGTCGTAGATGAACGATTTGGCTAATGTCAGCTGTGTCAAAGTACATTATGTTAGCTTACCTCCGTCATTCCGGTACTCGGCCTCGGAGCGCATGTTGGCAGGCGAGTCAAGAGGGCACGCCTTGAACCATCCCCATGCCGGGGTTCGGCGGGGGTCCTCAAAACGCTTGAGCTCGGCGGGGGTCAAGTCTGAAAAGCCAAAGTCAGCCGCGAAAGGATACCTCCAGCAAATCAAACTTACGGCCTCCCTTGTGGGCCAGCTCCATGGCACGCTTGCGCTGGTCCTTTGCAAGAATGACACTGGACACGTCGTGGTCGCTACCGCTGATTGTCACCTTGATGTTGTTAGGCAAGTCGGCCACAAAGCCCTCGAGCATGGCGGCCAGCTTCTTGGGCCGGGGGCTGGTCTTGCGCGGACCGGTGAGGGAGACCTTGCGGTCGATGACGCCAATGGTGTAGGTGAAGGGCTGGTCGTGGATGATCTGGGTGCGGTTGACATACGTCTTGGGCTCAAGGGCATGGTGTGTGAGGACGTCGCGCATCATGAGGTCGTACTCGTCCACGAGCTGGACATTGTGCACCAAGCACCACTCAAACCACTGGCCAAAGCCCTCGGGCGGGTCGATGCCGTACCGGCGCTTGTAGACTTTTGTCGCCTCGACGACCGTCTTGGATTGCCGGCGGAGCAGGTCGCGCCACTTCTCCTCGGCCGATTCCATAAGCTCATAGAATGGATGTTCTGGGACCGTGCCGCGACGCGTCGGCAACAGAGTCGCGAGACCGTTACGTGCCATGTTCATGGTACGCGGGCGATGGCGGGATCCGTGCTCTGGCGCGAATCCCAGAGGGAGCGGGTGTGCACGTTCGACGCCAAGACCATGGCGAACGCCAAACCAGTACAGGAGCGCGAGGATGGCGAAGAGATACAGAATCTTCTTTGGGCGACGGATGGTGCGGGGCATGGTGACACTGCCTGGTCCGGGGAGGCCGCGTGATGTTGTCGAAGAGAGGGGGAACATGGATGGCGGGTCGCGTTGAGGTCCCAACTTTGGGCTTACATTCGGCGTGTCCTGCGCGATGTAGAATGCTCGTTTAGGAGCCATCAAGCAAGGACGCGGGGGGGCTGACGGTGTGTGATGCAGCCGTTTGCGCGAGCACCCGAACACAAGTTGTAAAAGCGAGGGGGTATATGAGATGGAGAGGGGGGAGATGGTAGAACGAGAGAGATGGTGAATTGCGACGATCCCGCGTGGCTCGAGATGACAAGATATAAGATTGCGGCGGCCCGGCGGGCGCGGGGAGAGGTGGGTGGGGTTGTGTGCTGGCAGCTGCATCTTGACGCCGGCACACTCCGCGTTGGTGTATGTACGTGGCTTAGGCCGAGGCTCCTGTGGCCTGTGGCTGTCCCCGCCGCTCCGAACAGGCGCCGACACGCAAAGGGTTTCATCAAGGGTGTGCATGCATGCATGGCACGGCAACGATATGGTGCTCTGTGGGGGGTAGAGAGGGTCCTGCTAGCCCTGCTGGCTGCTGGCTGCTGGCCGCTGGCTATGGCGCGTCGCTCGGGCAAAAAATGTGATTACATAATCTCACGTGGCCCTGCGGAAAAGGGGGTTTCTCAAATAAAGAAAATGAGACTAGCATTGGACCCGTCTGTGTGCTTAGCCATTCTGGCGTTCTGCCGATTACCCCCTGTGTCAGGCTCATGAAACTCGGTGAGCTGCTGGCCGGACATCCCCTCCCCTGTTCTGTGCGCGCACTGGCCTGGCCCGCCGTCGTTCCTTTTTCCTTCCGGCCCGGGCGCGCCGTTGTCTCTTTTCCTCGTTGCAACCCCCGTCTATCCGACCCATCCGTCGGCCCGCGAGCTCCGTTCTGGCACCTTTGCCCCAGTCCTCGTCCTGTGCTACTAAAGAAAGCCCATCTCGACGGCGCGCCGAACCATGTTCATCAACAAGACCGGCTGCTGCAAGAGCTACTCCTCGTCGTTTATCAACAAGACCGCTGCCTCGTCGTTCTCCACCACCCTCAAGCTCAGGCCCCTATCGCGGCCTCGTCCTGGAGCTAGCCTCTGAACCGCACATTTACGTGGCCATCCAGGACCGGTGACCTCACACAGTCACGCCTGCGGCTACGGACCCTCCCTTGGACCCCGAAGGTTGTACCCCGTTCGTGGATTCCACTGCTGCACAACTGCATCCTCTTGGTCTTGTTCATCTGCATCTGCAACAGAAACAGCAACAGCATCTTCTTCATCGTCCCACGCAGCGTCAAATTCTTCCTCTCCCTTCTCCTCCACCACCATGTCTCCTCCTATCGACGAGTCGGCCGTGCAGGAGTCGCCCGTGTCGTCGCCCTTTGCATCCCCGCACCCGTCCAGGCGACCCTCTATCGCAGGCAGCATCCATGCCCCGCGTCCAATGTACCCGGCATCCGCGGGCTCGTTGTCGCGCCGTTCGTCCCACGCATCTGGCCCCCGCCCCATCACAAAGGCCGAGTACTCTGGTCCGGCCACCCCGTCGCTCCTGTCGCGTGCCGGCTCGCCCACCCAGCCGCTCACGAATGAAAAGGTCGCCAGCCGGAAGAACAGCTTTGCCGGTGGTGACCACCCCACACTCGGCCGCCTGGGAGCGCTCAGCGGTCTGAGCGGCTTTTCGCAGGTCCAGCCTGAACAGCGTGTCGGCGAGTTCATTGCCAGTGTCGACTGTGGTACAACGTGAGTCACTGCCCCCCCGGGATGGCGTATAGCCGGCTCACACCTCTTTCCTCAGTTCCACTCGTTTTATCGTCTTTGACGAGCACGCGAGGATCATCACCGAGCACCAGACCGAGTTTGAGCAGATCCTGCCGCACGCCGGCTGGCACGAGCATGACCCCGAGGCCCTCGTCGACGCCATGCGCGAGTGCATCAACCGCGCAATGTACAAGCTCGAGTTCCTCGGATGGCACAAGGACAGTGTCAAGGGCATTGGTGCGTCGCTGTGGTCCCCCAACGTGTCCTTAGCAAGCAACTGACACACATCACAGGAATCACCAACCAGCGTGAGACCACTGTGTGTTGGTCAAGGTCGACCGGCCGTCCCCTCTGCAACGCCATTGTGTGGGACGACACCCGTACCGTCGCGACCGTGCGCCAGATGGAGGACAAGCTCGACCTCGAGGGCTTTGAGGTCGAGGATGGAAAGGGCGGTTGGACCACCAAGGTCAAGGGCAAGGACGCATTGGTGGATGTGTGAGTTTTGCGGGTCGCTTCTTTGCGTTTTTGCTGTTGCTGACACGGTCTCCCCAACAGCACGGGTATCCCGCTCTCGACGTACTTTTCCGCCATCAAGCTGCGCTGGATGCTCGACCACTACCCTGACGTTCACGAGGCACAAGAGAACGGTGACCTCATGGTCGGCACCGTCGACACCTGGCTGGTTTACAACCTGACCGGAGGCGTCAACGGCGGTCTGCACATTATCGACGTGACCAACGCTTCGCGTACGCTCCTGCTCGACCTCAAGACCCTCAAGTGGCACAAGGGCCTGATCAAGTTCTTTGGCTTTGACGAAAACGTCTTGCCCAAGATTGTCTCGTCGGCCGAGGTGTACGGCGCCATTGCCGACTCGATGGACTCGTCCCTCACTGGCGTGCCCATTGCGGGTATTGCCGGCGACCAGCAGGCCGCGCTGGTGGGCAACAAGTGTCTCCGCTCGGGCGAGGCCAAGAACACGTACGGCACTGGTTCGTTTGTCCTCTTCAACACTGGCGAGGACATTGTGCGCTCCAACAATGGTCTCATCACCACCGTCGCGTACCAGCCCGGACCAGGCGCCAAGCCAGCGTACGCGCTCGAGGGCTCGATCGCTGTGGCCGGTTCAGCCATCAAGTGGTGAGTATCGGGAACGTTTTTTCCTGTCTACAAGACGCTGGACCTGACGCTGACGCTTTTTAGGCTGCGTGACCAGATCAACCTCATCGAACAGTCGTCCGAGATGGACATGCTTGCTGGCTCGGTCAAGGACACGGGCGGTGTCTACTTTGTCACTGCGTTTGCCGGTCTGCTCGCTCCTTACTGGGACCGCACGGCCACGGGCACCATCATCGGCCTGACGAGCTACACCACCTCGGCGCACATTGCGCGCGCGACCCTCGAGGCCGTGTGCTTCCAGTCGCGCGCGGTGCTGGACGTCATCGAGTCCGAGTCGGGCGTCAAGCTCGACACGCTCAAGGTCGACGGCGGCGTGACCAACTCGGACCTGGCCATGCAGATCCAGGCCAACATTGGCGGCTTCAAGGTCTGCCGCCCGTCCATGCGCGAGTCTACCGCCCTCGGCTCGGCCCTGCTGGCCGGCCACGCCCTAGGCCTGTTTGGCTGGGACGTGACGCGGCCCGAGACGCTGTCAAAGGTCAACACGGCCGACGCGCAGTACTTTGAGCCCAAGATCAGTGCGCGCCAGCGCGCAAAGATGATTCGCGGCTGGGAGCGCGCCGTCACCCGTGCCCGCGAGTGGCACGAGGGCGACGACGAGTTTGAGCTCGAGGAGCGCGAGGCCGCTATTGAGGAGGAGGAGGGGCTCCAGAACATTGCCTAAGGTGGCCGAGGACGCTCCCCTTCGGAGACACGACCGATACCAAAATGTTTTTGCAAGCGGCGCGTCGTTGAAAGGGGGGTACGTAGTAATAGACGGTGAGCGAGAGCGAGAGAGAGAGAGAGAGAGAGAGAGAGATAATGGTGTATGTACATGCATGTCTTGGGCGTGCTCTGGCAATGGGAGAGGGGGTTCAATACCCGTGTTTGTTACAGCAGTGAGACACCGCCCACGGTGGGAGGTGTTGTTGGGGTCGTGGTCACGGCCTTGTACTTAGTGGGGCGGAGACGGCGATGGTGACACGGCAGGCGCATACCGCACCTGTGTCTGGGCTTGAATCGCGCCCTCGTCTTTCTGGGGCAGCGCAGGCGGGCTGCCACTCGCGTTCCGCATGCCTGTGGGCGGGGGGTTGTACACCACCTGCGAAGTCTGTGGGGTCGTCGTCGTCTTGGGTCTAGACGGTGGGACGAAGGTTCATTGTGGTGTCAGGAGGGGGAGTCGAGATATCGACCGGAGGGGCAGGCCAATGTCAGCATCAACACTATCTCCGACGACGCCAGAGCTTTGTCTGCTCTGCGACTAACCGCTTTCCCTGTGACCCCCGTTAGCTACTGAACGACGCGGTAGCTTAAAGCCCACTCACACCACCAAAGCAGCACCAGACGGACGAGTCGCCCACGTCGTCCTCGAACGAAAAGACAGATACAGAGTCGGAACGTCTGCGAGCTGTAACGTGAGCTGTGACCGGGGGGGAGGTGCAGCTTACCCATTGCAGAGCGGTAGCGCTTGGGGCAGGAGAGTGGAGAGGCAGTGACGAGGGAGTGGGGAGGGAGTTGCAGTATAGGACGGTGCGAGGCTGGCAATGTGTTACTTGCACTGTCTATCGCTGATGGGGGGGGGGGGGGGGGGGGGGGGGGGTTAGTTTATGGTGAGCGACGATGAGAGGGGTTCCCACTGCTTGGAATGTTTCTCTGAAACAAGAGATCTGAGCGCGGCCATGGCCCATCGGGCAGGCTGCAGCGCTGCAGGCCGTAGGAGGGGGCCCTTCTCTGCATCCGTCCGTTCGTCTCAAGCGAGATATGTTGTCATGGCGGTGTCGCGGAGACGTCGGAGACGCGTGAAGCGTGCCGTGGCACCGGCTGTTCGCAGGGGGGGGCTTGTGCGTACTCTATATTTGGACAGCCACGCGCCTTGTTCCCATCCACCTCTGTGCAGATCCGCAGCTTGTTTGACTGTGCTTGTCTCTCGCGATCTCTCGTCTCCTGGAGATCCGGAGTCAACTCAATGTCCTGATCAGTCCTGATCAACATGCATGCCGCTCTGCCCCAACGGCCAAATGGGCCAATAATTGCAATTGCATGTGAGACCATGGATACAGAGTACAGAGTCATGGCGTCCAGTGTCCCCGCAGAACACGGACAGACAGGAAAAAAAGAGAAAACGTCCGCCCAAAAGCCTGGACCTGGGTCCATTTGGTAGAGCGACGCCGTGGCAACAGCCTTCGTTCCAACCGATTGCCCAGAGGGCAGAGGGGGGCAGAGGACGCATATCGCCCGTCCCGCACCTGACACTGGTATCACCAGAGCGCCAGAGCTGTCCGACATTCACGGCTCGACTTGTTGGGTGCACACACACACACACACACAAAGCACAGCAAATGGTGGACACTGAAATGCTCAGCTAGTCGATTCAACGTTGACGCCCGGCCCGCCGTACGGTGTTACCATGTATGCACGTGTTTCCTGCGTGTCGTGTCTCAACACGCGACTAGCGCGATTCCAACGGCGCCGCTTCGTCTCTGATCTCTGGATCTCTCTGGATCTCTGCCTGTCGCGCCTGTCCACGTTTCGTGTTTGGCCCGATGTAAACACGCCGGCTACGACCCCGCGCAGCACATAACACGCGTCTACACCGTGTTTGCTTAGCACAGCGAACGCGATATACGGTATGCGGTATGCAGGCGGCTGTGTGAGGGCCGCGCCACGGGTGTACGTTGAGCCTCCACCGCTTCGACGGAGACTGACCGGTGGCCGGTGGCAGTGCGAACAGTGGCCATGGGCTGCAGCGAGTGTTTGCCGTCTGTTTCGACGTCCTGTGATCCCTATGAGCTTTATAAGCTCCAGGAACGACGTTGGCATGCCACCACGACCCTCCAAAGCTTGATTGAACATAGCACAACGACCAGTTGGCCAGTTGGGCTTTGGTCCCGTACATGCGCAGAAGGTGTATCAGGCCGATCGCGATACTCTCCAGCCAGCGCAGTTGAAACAAACGCGTTCTTCCGATCCGCAGTCGGCCTTTGTCCCTGGGGCCTTGTGTTATCGGTTTGGTGGCCAACTCAGAACACAGAACGGACTCACGGTGTCTGTACACGCGGTGTGGTACTCCAATATTGTTTCTTCCACACAATAGTGGTTCCAGACGGCCCCTCTGGTCACTGTTTGTGGTCGTTCTGGATATTTGATCAACAGACTGGTTCGTGAATGATACCCACGAGGTCTTCTCCCCGTCACTGGAACGAAGGGACAGTATGGGTCACCAGGTGGGAGGCTCATCAACCGCTGACGGGCACCGAGTGCATTGCTGTTGTCCTATTCCACTCTGCCCTTTAGCCCAGCTCTGATCGCTCTGACAGCTGGAGAGTCCCCGACGCGCCATTCTCACCTTGCCCTATGGCCTGTGGAACCATCAGCCACGCTCGAAGTATCTAGCACGGCGCCTTCCAACAGCCACTGGGGTGAGGGTATTCGGCTAAGAAGGTCAGAGTACTGTTCTCAGGCGCTCCATGTTGAATATACAGGACGAGGGGCGGGTGTTGGGGAATAAAAGTCCTGCGAAAATGCCTCGAAAATGTTGGCGCTTTGACTGAAAAGTGCCACTGTTGCCAGTCATCTGCGCCCCGTCCCCTGCTGGTTCTTTGCGTCGACGATCCTTGTGCTGCTGCAGCTGCTGCATGGACGGCGCTCGTGTAACCAAAAGAGAAGTGCTGCGTCACGGTGACTCTCACCATCCACCTCGCTCGCTCCTCCATCATCTCTGCGCATCTACCATGCCAGACATGCCCACGCGCAAACGCAAGGCCCCCATCACCGCCGGCAACGAGCTCGACACAGCCACCGCACCTCCTTCGCCCAAGGAAAACGACTCGTCCAGTCCTCCCCCGGAAGTCCCCCTTTCCGCCTCAGAAGCCGCTCTTGCGTCGCAGCACAAGTCCCGTCTCCTCTTCATCAGCAGCCACCCCGAGCTGTATGCCAACATTGACCTCGACGCGGACACGGTGCACGTCCTCCTCAAGACCTCGTTCTTCAAGGACGTGTCCGCAAAGGACTGCAGGAGTCTCCTGAGCATTGCACGCTTGCAAAACCCTGCCGCTGTCACCGCCCCCCAGCCCCAGCCCAGTCCAAGGCCAAGACAAAGTCGAGTGGCAGCAAGACCGATAATAAGAGAAAGGGGAAAGCCAGGCGCAAGAGGTCTTCATAGGACCCGCGTCCTCCTGTCAAGACGTTCAGACGCAAGCTCGGCGAGCCTTGGGGTCAAGGTCCTTCCCCAGAAGGCCTGTAAACTCTCTGCGGACACAACGAGGAGAAGGCATCACCCCTGTTGCTGTTGGCTTGGAGGGGGCGAGTGATTTAAAGTGAGGGTGAGGACAGTGGCGCGTAGAAAGGACCATTGTATAGCTCTTGGTGGTAGCCATGCATGCAAGTACTGTGAACAAGTGATCCAGCGAAGAAGAGCTTCTGGGCAGCGAAGACCCCATACATACAATTGCGCCCCACGTATCCAGGTGACGGGCCGTTGTGCTGCCCATCCACCGTCGAGTCTCGCCCCACTTCTCGTTTCACACCCTCAATAGGGAGCCTCCTCAAGTACATATACAGTGTACAAAGGCTGCCTCCATGTTCTTCTGTACGTTGTACCATCTTTTCTCTGGGTGCCTACGGGAACTCGGCCATGGTGATCTGCCGCGGGACCTCGGCTCGGCTCTTGTGGATGATCGCAAGCTGTCGTCTGCACTACATGCAGATCAGCAGCGAATCGCCCGCAAAGCTGAACTTGCACCACTCTGGAGGCATCAGTACCGTACACAGTGTGTGGGGTATAGGGGGGACAAGTTACTGACCGCCAACGTTCTGGCGCTCGACAACATGTCGTCCTGGTAGGCCCTGGCATCGGTCGCGCGGCGGTGCCGCGACGAAAAACTCTCCCAATAACAGTGAAGTGGGCCACGGGACAAAGCGAGACGCGATGGGCGGTGCGGGCATGGTGTGGCAGGGAGAGGGGAGAATGTCAGTAAATGTACACTGATGGGAAAGGCATAGGATATAGGAGTGACATGCGCGCGGTTTGTGTGCTGGCTGATGGGCTGCAGTCGCATCGAGGAGGGGGGAACAACAGATGTCACATCAGAAGCACCATCAGACTCTCTTCTTGTCATCATCGGAATGGCACATGTCCAGTCTATCGTTGGACCAGTCAAGCCTTCTACAGTATTGCAACAGCAATGTGGGGGGTTGCAGCCAGCGTCTTGCCTCGAGCAAGGAGGTCTGGCTCGCTCCGTTCGGTAGGGCCCCGAACAAACGTCCTCATCCGTAGAACTGGAATCAGCTCGGAACCTCTGTCCATTACTCACCTGAGTCCAGATCACCTTGACGGCACAGAACCGACATACAAGGGTCGTATTGTCAAACCACAGCGGCACGCACTTCTCTGCTCCCGACCGCGCCATCAGTGACCCACGCCTCACCCACAGACAAGAAAAGTAGTCCCTGTACGCACGGTGCGTGTTTCCGCCAAACAGGTCGCCCTCGCAGTCGTTCCACAGCTCCCCAATGTCGGTGCTCGCCGAGGAACACGATAACAGACTCGTTAGTGACCGCGGCATTGGTGTGGACCCAGTTGAAAAAAAAAGTGTGTGTGACGTGCGTTGAAAGGTCACAAAATACGCAGTGTGACGAAGGGAGTGCAAGGCAAGGAGGGGTTGGAGGCTCGGGCGAGCAGGGGTGAGAGGGGGGGGTTTGTACCCTCAAAGTGCTCACGGTGCGGAAACCCCTTCGTATCAGGACAATGCCATCAGCACAGGCCACTGTTCAGTCGGCTCAGGTTTCTCAGGTGCGAGCCACGGTTCGCCTTGATGGACGAGAGAGAAACACACCGTCAGGCAATTCGACGTTTTTGGGTGGCGAATACTGTGTTCTCGAGAGGCCAGTTTCGCTCCTCCCATCAGAGACGGTTTCTTTTGGGTCTCTTGTCGGGGGACTGATCGCTGTTAAGGCCAGTTTGGCGGTGCACTGATGCGTGCTGTCCCCTGGACCCTCGTACCTCCACGGCCTCCACATACATTGAGAAACACACCCTCCGCCGATTCGATGTTTTTGGGTGGCGAATAATGCGTTATCCCCAATGCTGACCTCAGTGCTACCGTTACTGATAGGATGAGTGAAGTACATGCGGCTAATGATCTCAGCTTGGTGCACACATGATGCGAGTTTAGCGCTCTGCCCCACCCCAGTAACTGTCTCTACATGCATACATGCACCAGTCCTCACCTGTGACCCACCAGGACGGAGGTTCGCATCGGTGGCACTAAAATCGACAGAAATCCGGTTAAAACGCGGCAACTGCCATGCGGCATCCTTCGCCTCGAGGTATCGGCGTCTCCCTTCTACGATAACGAGGAGTCACAGTCTTGTCCAACGGGTAGGTTGCATCCATAGATTGTAGCGGCACTCCTGTCATTGCACTGTCGATGTGTAGGTTCTACGGGCAGGGGTGCCCCAACAGGGACAGTTGACTCCCTTCACTCCATGTCACTGGCTCTTACAGGTCGTCGTCTGGCTGTGGTGTTCCCAGCGCCTCTATCCACTGCAAACCCGACTCTGAGAGAGTCAAAAGAACTCCTGCCGGCTCCAATTACAGTGCCACAGCGCCCGTTCCATTGAAAAACTCAACAACGTACTCGGCGAGATGGCCGAGCGGTCTAAGGCGCTGTGTTAAGGTTTTCTTCTGCTTCTTTGCAAAAGATCATCCGCAGTCTTCGGACGTGGGTTCGAATCCCACTCTCGTCAGCAGAGGATTCAGTTCCTCCCAAGCCAACTTTTTGGGCTTGGAGGAAGGGTTGGATGACTGGAGGACGGTCGAAATGAGCGGTCGGAGTTGATGTAGATGTTGATCGGCTAATGGCGGATCCATCGGTTAATTTTCACTAGCCCATTTTCGGATGTGTGCGCCAATGACGGCGCCACTACTGCTACTGGTACACATGCATGCCATGCTCTATGTCTACGTCGTGCCACAACACTATTGCCAGCGGTCCGTCTTGTACCAATTGGGATCGAGACCATGGCCTCCAGCCGCTGTTGGGGCAGTTACGCCGTGGACCCTCGCGTAAGGGATCATGGTCTCGTACGTGCCGTGGATACGGTCCATGTTCTTCTCCTTCTCGGCGCCCTTGACCGCGTCGACGCGCATCTCGATGCAGACCTTGCACATGCGGTCGTCCTTCTCCTTGGACGCCGGCGTCAATGTGGGTGTAGTGTCGTGCCAAGGCCGTCGCCTTGACCATCTCGCCCTCGGCATGGCGGAGTGCTCGGCGCGCAATCTTCTCGCTGTAGCACTGGTCTAGCAGCTCCTTGAGCTGGGACTCGTCCACGCTCCTGCGGTGGAAAACACGGTCCATGAGGGCGGGCTTGGTGGCTGCGATGGGTCAGTGTCTGGCGGCGCCAAGGTAGGGAGGGACCCACATAGTGAGCTCATCGTGTAATGGAGGTGGAGAATGTGTGTTTGGTTGTTGAAGGGTACTGAAATGCAGCGCAGCGGGCTCTTGCTCTTATGCATGACCTTGCCCACTCACGTACAGGATTCTGGCCTCTGGAGCTGTGCATGCAGTGTTTCATGCAATCAGGATTAGTATCGCTTCGAGTGCGCTTCTCCTTGGGGATCCTTGGCAGGCACCTCCATCCGCACATAGCTTAACGTCACTTCCTTCCTCCGTCGGAGTCTCGATTGTTCATGGCGACCGTGGACGTTTGTTTAATGGGAACTCACCCAGTGTCTTCACGTTAAACGTCCCGCTTCAGACTAGACACTCCAAGGTGTCCCGCTGGCTGATGCTCAAAGCAATGATGAGCATTGAGGTGCTCTCTGGATCACTGGTCCCACCTGACAACGGGTCCAGGAGGGTATGGCTCCCCTTTCCCAGTGCTTGTCGTTACCATTCGTTCCACCGGAACGCACCGCGCGTACAATGCCCGCATAGGCCACAGCGTTTCAGCTCGATCAGCACCGTCCCGTCGGTCCAGCCAGCCAGCCAGCCGTCAGGTGCAGCAAAAGGTCAATGTAGCGTCAATGTCCTGATTGTGCCTGCCCTAGCTGCGACCGGGAAGTCTATGCGGTCCATGCACTGCTGGCTGCTGGCTGATGGTTGATGGGTCGGCCGACTGTCAACAGCCTCGAGAGCGACTCTGGGCACTGGGCACTGGGCACTGGGCAGACTGGACACAACATTGTTACATTCAGCCAGCTCGCGATTCAAGAATAGATAACACAAAACCCACACAACCCACAATGTCGGTACAAGGTGGCCCCTCTGACATGGGCCCCAACCCCAGCTCCCATACGTTTGATGCAACCACGGGTCGTTGTCGAGGCCCCTCACTCGCTCATATTAGTCCTCCCGGACGGGGTACGCAAGTCGGGACGCTCATGGCACAGATGGACGCGGTTCGCCAGGCCAAGTGACGGGTACGGATTCGCCGCAGTACTTGCATACCCACTTGCCATAAGGGTTGTCTGGGCGACACGGGTCTGGATGTCAGCTGCGACTCGTCGGAGACTAGACAGTTGCAACAGCTGCAAACGGCGGACGTCTTGACCTCGCCCCTGAGCCCTGGTTTATCCCAACCCCCCACACTCACAGTTGCGATTTGCGCCACTGTACCCTCCCAAACAAACTGGCCACATGGTGAACGCGACGGCGGCGGGTGCTCGACGGGCACGGAGGTAGCTCGCCGTGTGCGAGTATGAGCTCGAGGGATGGAGAATGGATGATGGGGAGGACATGACTGTGGTTGTTGATGGCGCAGGTACACCGCTGACTAGTTTGTGCACCAAGGAGGAAGGTGCGCTGAAGGGGGAGGTGGCGCCGCTCGGTCACGCCGCTTCTCGTGTGTTTCAAGCGACGTTGATGATGTTTGGTGATGAGACGTGGATGGCACACGACCGGGGGCACAATGTGTGACTTGAGAAATGTAGAAAAGAGATACTTATTGTTCGCCAGCACGCGTACTGACATGCCACACGCGTGCATGCGAGTTTCGGAAGCCCATGACAGACCAACACGACAGAGACAGAATTCATGGCGTCCACGCGCTCGTGGACGGGTGTCTCACCGAGAACATTCACCGGGAACTCGCTAGTGCCCTCCAGCCGTCGTCGACCATGGTCATGACACCCAATGCCAAAAAGGCTGTGGAGCTGGAAAAGAAGCTGTACAAGGGCAGTCCTGGCTTCTGGCCAGCGTCTGGACACGACATGGGGCCATGGGGCGCCGTGGGGATGGGGGGAGGCTGAGGAGTGCAAACGAGGCTTCCCCCACACCATGGACGTGGCGTTTGCCGCCGGCGTTAGGCCACCCCGGTAGCCCGGCCACGTTTGGTGTCTGCCTGTCAGCTGTCAGCTGTCAGAGTAATCGCGCCGCGATTGCTCCGTGCCACCTATACCGGTGTAGCTTGACCCGCCCCCACTGCTCGGTACCGTCGGACAAGCCGGGCTTCAGGTTCACGTGCGACTGATGAGCTTCCATCACCGACGATCGGACATATGCAACACCTGTTCGACCGAGAAGCTTCCAACGACCCATGACGGAGTGCCGCGTGCTGCAAGGTCTCTATCAGCTCATCTGTCCGCCACAGAGTGGCACGAGTGGCTCCATCGGGCCACACAAGCGGCGATCAAAAACGTCTAGGAAGAGATGGTGCAGGAAGCGATCGCTAGATTGAGAGGACAAATGCCAACCGCTGTAGGCTGTAGGTGCCACTTGGCACCGCGGACAGCAGTCCCCGCTCTGCATGGATGGTCTTCATTCCCCTCGGGGCCCGCCCGAGTCCGTCCTCCCCGTCCTCCCCTCGCTCACACGGCCGCCGCCTGTCAAACGTGATCGCAACGATTTCCGAATGCGCGGTCGTCGTTGGTCGCTAGCAGTTTCCAATCACATCGGGCCGATAGCCAGTGCCGCCGGCCTGGCCGCCCCCTCCTCCCTGACCTGTCCTGCCACTTCACTCCCCCCTGGCCAGCGAGAACAAAAGGGTGGTGTGGGGTGTGGTGGTGGTGGAGAAGGCGAGCGCCATGCACATCAGTGTTGATGCGAGTAGTCGGTTGCGTCGGTTGACCTCGTTTCCCTGGCTGTTTGCTGCTCGTCTTCCTCTGCCCCCTGCCCCACCCCCCCCTTGTGCGGCTATTTCGTGGCGTTGCACTTGCCGCAGAGTCCGCCTCTGGCATCTTGGGGTTGCTTGCCATTGCCGCACCCACTCCCTGTGTTCCTTGGCAGTGGGTGTGGAGACAAAGAGGTGGAACGCGGCGTCCCAGACCTCCCGGCCGGCGGCTAGAGCTGCTGTTGCGGGCAAATGGGTGAGTACCCTCCAAACGGTATGGCGGTGGGCCAGTACCCGCTCCTGCGGTGCTGCCTTTTGTCATCGGGCATCGGGCAAGGTGAGCCCTGTGGCCTGTGGGACCTGCTTGCAGCCGCTATCGTGGGCCGAACACCACCACAGGCCACAGGGCCTTGTCCAGGCATGCGGGGTGGCAAAGAGCACTAACGAGTGACGAGAGCAGCGTTCGGGGCGCACGTTGGTCGGCGCCTTGGTCAGCTCGAGAGCTGTGTTGAATCGAACGTGTGGTCGTGAGAAACATGCGTAAGAGGCGCGTTTGGGCACGCAAACGGGGACAGCAGTGTGTGGAATGGAAACTCGTGTGCCCGACGGGTGGTGCGTTGGTGGCCTGGTTGGGCCGGGGGGGGGCTTGGGCGCCTGCGGGCACACGTTCTCTCGGCGCTTGCGTGGACGCATGAAAATTCATACAACAAAAAAAAGTCATGAGGATATGCAAATATGATAGCGACGCGCGCTGCGCGTGCACGTGTGGGGGGGATTGCTGTTTCTTGCTTTGGTTGCGTTCGGTCGTTCTCTCGCGGCCTGGTCTCGCATGCGCGCGGCTCGGAGCTCGTCGCAAGCAGACGCGGTGTGCGGAGGCAATGGCGGTGTGTAGTGTATGCACAGAATGGAATTTGGTGGAGTGCCTAGAGATTCCGGTGTTGCTTTGTGTTGCTTTTGGCTGTTTGGGACAGATGACGTGACCCCCTACAGCCAAATCCGTTGTGGGTGGAGCTCGGGTGGCGAACGGCGTGGGGACAGGTGTGTGGGTGGTGGTGACAAAGGCCGTTCCCAAGGACATGGTACATATGTACAACAGTCGTGTGGTGGCGAGGACACTGTGCGATGGCCAGGTGGTGGGTGACGAGACGATGCGTCTAAGGGGAGCATCGCTGCAGGCAGTACCAGCACTTCCAGACCTTGTCGGCCATGTCGTCCTTCCAGGCGATGCACGGCACTGTCCTTGTCAGCGTGTGTGTCGCGTTTCGCGTCGTGACCGTCTGCAAGCTGCACTCACTGTCCTCGTTGCGTCCCAGGCGGTCGCCGTGGCAGAGCGAGTGGATGAGGTTGGACATGCGAGGGAGGTGGGCGCCCATGATGTTGAACGAGTGGTCCTCGATGGGGGATGGGGCAGGCATGTTGCAGACTGTGCCGTCTTACCGCGTGCCGCTTATATGAATGGCGAGATGGTTGCTGTGCGTGGATCCGTGCCGGTCCGATGGTGTGGGTTCACGCTTGTTGTTGACCTGAAATATCCGGAAATTGGAAACTGTCTTGGCCCGGGTGTTATCGCTGATTGTGATATTTCGATCACCTGCTCTTGCTTTTGGCTCCAACAGATGGGGGGCCGGTGGGTCGAGGTGCCTGTGCGAAGCGCGAATTGCTTTCGACAATGGGAAGTTTTAAGAGCGTCTTGTTGATGGAGAAAGCGCTGACTGATCGCACAGCGGAGGGGCCGCAGCGGAGAGGCCGGAGAGGAGGGGGGCTCGCTCGAACGGGGATATGGGGGGGGGGGGGACTGGGCGTGTTCACATTTCTTCACCAAGTGAGGCGCCGCTTTTTGTACCCGTACGGTCAGCAGTTCGGTGCGTGGTCGCCCGGCTCGGTCGCGCATGGTAGGAATGGCGCAACCGCCGGGGGTTGTCCTGTCGGCGAGATCATGCACCGAGCGATACCGACACGCCAACCGAAGCAGCGATTCCTGCCCGCCACGCGTGCGTTTGCCGGGCAGGCTATATGTTGCACACGGGGCGCCAGCACCACACGCGTCGTCACAGCAGCTTGGTGTCGAGGGTCTCCTCACACACAGCAGCTTGTCCAGTCAAATGTCCAGTTTGCCAAGCGTCGCTCAGCGCCTCCCCTGTGCTTCATTGCTCATTGTGTGCGTGTCAGTACACCGCCGCCGGCCAACGCTTTCCCCCGCCCGCCGCCCGCCGCCAGCCACCATCATCATCATCGTCGTCACCCCTGAACCCTACTGACCCCAATGCATCTGCGGCATCTGCGCGCGCTTTCACTCTTCTGTAAACCCGCTTCATCACACCCGGACCGGCGCCCGGCGCGACAGGCCCGGCACGCGGACACTTGGACAGGCCAGGCGCCTGACTAAACCAGAACCGCCGCAGCCAACGCCAGCTGTGTCGACGCGTACCTCCGGTACCGGCGTCCATCCGTCCGCTCGACTTTTTTTTGTCTTTCTTTTCGTCTTCTGGACGGCGACGCGTCCTCGGCCCTGCCGGCGGCCCCACGGGCACTCGCTGCTCCCTCCCTCTCAGCTTCGGGGCCTCGGCGCCGCACTCTGCCGAGAAATCTGTAACCCCCAACACTCAGTCCTCCTTGGACATGTACTTTATCCGCTCCTTCTGCTCCTCCTCGGTCGCGTACTTGAGAAGCGCTTCGCGAGGCTGTGTACGAGGTCAGCGACTGCCTGCCCGATTACATCCGAACACAATACCCCAATAATACCACTACTCACGTCTTCGAGACCAATGCGGTTGCCGCTCGCAAAGATTTCCTGCACAAGGCTCGCAGTGGCACTGGCACCGATGCGTCCGCCCTTGCCTGCTCCGGCGAGCGGCGCTGTGGGCTTGAACTTTTTGGCACGCTTCTCCTGCTGATGCAGGCTCTGGCCATACTTGACGTCGGCGAACATGGGCAGCGCATCGGGAGTGTACACGACCGTCTTGAGGTCGGCGGTGGTGTACGACACGTCCCTCGGGGTGGTGCGTGGCATCTTGGCGAGCGGGAGGAGGGCGCCGTGGATCGACGAGTGGGGCGAGTAGAGCACGTAGACGGCGCCGTTGGACAGCGAGGCAAAGATCTGGTTGATCCTCGAGTGCCACAGCACGCGCACGACGGACGCACCCTTTGCGATGGGGACGCGGCGCTGCACACTCAGGTCCTCGGCGCTCAGGAAGAGAATCTCGCCCACGGCCTCGGGATCCCGCGGGTCGACGGCCGTGCCCACCAGCACCCACTTGCCATCGGGCGAAAACGTAATGCCAGTCTCCGAGTAGCGGTTAGCGATACCCTTGGCCTCGGCGAGCGGCTGCCTGAGGTTCTTGACGTCCCACACTGTACGTGGCGTCAGCACAAAAGGGAAGAAGTAGAAGGAAAAGGAGCAATCTCGCTCTCGCTTAGGAACAGCCGGCCGGTGGGTACCGGTGAACCCCAACGGTTTGGTGTCTCAACTCACGCTTCACCGTCTCGTCCTGTCCACGCGACACGAGGCGGGTACCGTCGGGCGAAAAGGCCACACCGGTCGTCTCGGTGCCCTTTGCGTGTGCGCTCTCGTTGCTCTTATCCGGCCGAGCGAGGTTGGAGCTCGACCTCCAGATATGCAGTGCGCCATCGAGGCATGCGCCGGCAATCAACTTTCCGTCGGGGCTCCAAGCACACGCATTGACGTGTGTCCGGTTGCCCTTTTCCTTGGACCGGACGATGATGACGCTCTTCTGCTTGGAGCGGTTGGTCACGTCCCAGATCCGCAGCGTCGAGTCGTTGGCAGCCGTGAGGAAGAGTTTGTTGTCGGTCGGGTGCCAGGCGCCAGAGTTGATCTCGGCAGTGTGGCCCCTGCGAACCGTCAGCTGCGTCTCTCCTTCCGGCAGCTGTCGACTCACTTGGTGTTCTTCATATCACGCAGATACACGTCTCCCTTCATAAACTCAATCTCGTCGTCGCCCGCCCTGCTGAACACTTTCGGGTAAAACGTGCCGCTGATGGCGAGCAGGTGCTTGCCATCGGGACTGTAGCTGAGGTCGTGGATAAAGTACGTCCCGTTCGGCTCAAACGACTTGAACGGCCGCAACCGCGAGTCCATGCCGCCGAAATCCCACAGCTTGCAGTCATAGTCGTGCGAGCCAGTGGCGACGCGCGCGCCAGACGGTTCAACCGCGATCGCCGACACAGGCTGTGGAAGGTGTCAGCTCTCAGGCGCACACAGGCGAGCTGAGCATGGTACATCCACCACACGTTCTGTACCCACCTTGGTGTGGTCCTTGAGCACAATCTCATGCGTCACGGGCGTCCGGTCCTCCTCCTCGGCGTCCTCAAAGTCGCTAAAGTCGTCGTCGCTGGCGGCGGGATCGGCCTCGGCCTTGCGCTTGGGCGGCGCGGGGCCAACCTCCGAGTCCGAGTCATCAGCTGCGGCAGCAGCAGCAGCAGCAGCGGGCTGCGGCTTGGAAGGCCCCGCATCGGGCTGTTCTGGCGCAGTAGCAGTCTTGGGCACCTGGCGCGGCGCAGGGAGTGGCTTGCGCTGGGACGTTAGCTGTGTTCGTTAACGAGCTCGAGGCAGCTAAACTCACCTCGTCACGCTGAGTCTGCGCAAGCTTGGCGCCGAGGTTGTTGGGCGCCTTTTTGGTCTTCTTGCCAAAGCTCATGGGCAGGTCGAATCCCTCCATCGTTGTGTGATACCTGGTGGTCGAGGGGATTGGGTGAGGGATGAGGAATAGAGTGGGTGACGGTTGTGGGCGGCGAATCGAGATGAGTGTGCGTAAAACGAAAACAAGCCGATCCCACACCTGTAAATTAGGCCCCGTGGCGCTCATGTCCTGCCACCCGTCCGTCTGCAACTGCTCTGCAACTGCTCTCCCCCTCTGGGTGACTTCACAAACACATCATCACGTAGTATGAAACTGGAATGCTATGGACGTTTCGCGGGGCGTATGTTGCTGTAATGCTTGTTCCTCGCGCCGTATGAGGGAGAGAGATGCCGTGGAGAGAGGGGTGGAAGGAGGGGGGGAGGGGGAGGGGAGCCGCTGATGTCTACCTACGTCTGCCAACAATTGTATGGAAGGGTATAGATGCTAAAGTGCCTATTCTAGATAATGGTATTGCGGCAAGGGTAACGGGGCCGATGGGGGCGAAAGCAGGAAAAGTGATGCCAGTCAATAGGTAAAAAGGTTGAAAAAACGTGACTATCCTGTTCGTCCATCGGCGGCTTGAAACACGGACAAAAGTGAGACGACAATGGGACGTCTTGCGGTCGTTATGCTGGTTTGCTTAGACCTGGTAACGGTCCGCGAGACGCTGACGGATGGCGGGAGGGAAAGCAGCAACCTGCGCGTCCCAGCCGGCGCCGAGCTGCGTCTTGAACGCCTGGAGGATCTGGCGGAACATGACGTCGAGCTCGCGCGAGGGGTGCTGCCACTTGCAAACGGCGTTGCAGAACCACACAAACGAGTTCTCGAGACCACTGGGGTTGGCACCGATGAGCATGCAGAAGCCACGGAATGCCGAGTCCTTCTCGTCGTTGTCCTTGATCTCCCAGAGAGCAGTGCACCAGGCCTGGGCAAAGGTGCCCAGGTGAGGAGCAACACGGTTGGGGCACACAAGACCCAGACGACCAATGGTGACGGCCGCGTTCTCCGAGAGCGACTTGGGCGACTTAGTGTTGAGGAGGATGGGGATGAGACGCTTGATGAGGTCGTCGACGAAGGGCTCGATGGGTGTGGCATCCTCGCGGTACTGGATGGCAATCTCACCGGCAGCCCAGGCGGCGTTGTTACACACCGACACGCAGTCCGGAGCGGGCTCGGGGGTGATCTGGTCAATGATGGCAGGCATCAACTCGGGAACGTAGGGACGCAGGAGAGGGAAGCAGGTCATGGCCATGTCACCAAGAAGAGCGTGCGCAGACTGGCGAACGGGGGGCTCAAAGTGGTTGAGACACATGGCGATGAGCTGCAGGAGAGGGGGCTGCGTCTCGGCCATGAGCGAGGGCATCTGGTCGGCAAGACCCTGGGCGAGACCCGACAGGAGGTCAAGGGCGACAACAATAAACGTCCTGTCGGGCTCCTCAATGTTGTCGGGGTCGGCCGTGAAGGCGTCCCACTGCATCAGCGAAGTGTGGATAATGTTGATGCAGCGCTGGTAGATGGGCGCAGTGTACGGGGCAAAGGCCTTGCCAGCAGCAAGGGTAACCGACGACAGGCACTCGAGCAGAGGCACAAGGTCGGGGTCGGAGTCACCGAGCGACATCCACTTTTCGATAAGAGGAGGCATCAGAATCTCCATGTACTGGGGCTGGCCAAGCGCGCCCATCACCGAGTCGGCGAGGGTGCCCATGGCGTCGTACAGGATGAGAAGGTTCTTCTGCTGGTACTTGCTAAAGGCGTAGGTGAGGTTGCGAAGGATGGGCTCGAGGAAGGGAACAAGCTCGCCGCCGGCCTCCTCCTCAAGGGTAGCAAAGGCACTGCAGCCAGCCTCCTGGACACGCTTGTTCGAGTCGAGGACCATCTGGAGGAGACCCTCCATGGTGGGGATGAAGAACATGGTCTTGTCCTGCTCCGAGATGGCGACAACCCAGCTCGAGTAGCGGCCAAGAGTCCAGCAGGTGATCGAACGAACGAGAGCCTTCTTGTCCTTGAGGGCGGTGATGAGCCAGGGGACAAGCTGGGGAAGGTGAGGCTCGAGACCCTCAATGCAGCCCTCGGCAATGGCACCAAGAGCGAGGATACCCGACTCGCGGAAACGCCAGTCCTCGTGGAAGAGACGCTCCTTGAGGTAAGGGAGCAGGATCTCGAGGAGGTCGTTGGCAAACGAGACGGCCATGACGTCGAGAGCGGCAGCCGAGCACTTGCGAATGTTCCACTCGGCAGCGCCGTCCTCGTCATCATCGTCATCGTCATAGTCGTCCTCGTCGTCGTCCTCCTCCTCGAGGGCACGCTCGGCAGCCTCACGCGAACGGCCAGCGTTGCCAGACGACGAAGGGTCGTTGGTCTCATGAGCACCGTGAGCCTTGCCGCCGTAGGTACGGGGCTTGATGTCGGTCTCCTTGTCGGGGACAGCCTCGTCCTCCTCGTCATTGTCAAGGTAGAGCAGGTCCACCTCCGAGTAGATCATACCCTGAAGAAGAAGAGGCGCAATCTTGTCGAGGTAAGGACGGAGCTGGTCCTTGAGGGCAGGGTCCTCGGCAAAAGTGAGCCAGAACTCGCAAGCCTCAAGGGCAACGGTCTCGTCGGCGTCGGCAGTGCAGTAGGCAATGTAGTCGACGACGTTCTTCATCTCGGGAACGAGCTTGTCGGGGCGGCTGCCGAGGATAAGGCCAAGGGCGGCGCAGACGGTGCGACGAATGTCGGGCGAAGGGTCGGCGGCACGGGCAAAGAGCGCCTGGAGGTAGGCGTCGATGTTGGCCATGACAGACGGGATACGGAGTGCCGAGAGGGACTGCAGGGTCTCGAGCGCGTAGATGCGGACCTTGGAGTCCTGGTGGCCAGTAAACGTGATAAACTGGGGGACCAGGTGGTCGAGGAGCTTGGCGTTTCCGACGGTAATGTCAAGACGCTGAGGGCAGTCCTCGGCAAGCTTCTGGAAGGTGTTGAAAACACCCTGCGAGACGTTAGCCTATTTGGACTCTGGATCGCACACCGTCAAAGCCAAGCGATGACACCCACCTCGACGAGGTTTTCGTCCTGCGACTGCATGCCCTTGGTGAGGGCATCGAGAGCCTCGGGCCAGGCGCCAGTCTCCTCGTTGTAGAGAATGGACATGACGACGGTGCCGGCGGTGTGACGGATCATCGGTTCTGGCTCGGCGAGACCTTGCAGGACCGTGCTCTTCACATATGCCATGGCACGAGCATCGGCGTCAGTGGCCGCAGGTCCAGTGCGCGTGATCAGCGAATTCTTGAGCAGCAGACCGGCGACGGCACGGTGCGAGCCCGCCTCCTGTGCGCAAAAGACCAGAATGTGGGAGAGGTATGCGAGAAAGTCGGGAATGAAGCGGAGCTCATCGAGGCGCTGTTTGATTCAAAAGGTGGCCGGCCGCAACAAAGGGAGAAGGGTGCGAAAAAAGCAGGCGCCATGGTTTAGCTACTAATCGCTCACGACACATCGCCACCCATCAAGCCTCCCTCGTCCTTTTACGCACCTTGGTCACCGCCTTTTGGACGGTCGAGTCTGGGCTCGAAGAGTCACGCAACATGCCGAGCACCTCGGCGAGGCCCTCGGGGGCCGGCTGCCAAGTCATGGCGAGAGTGGTGGCGGAGTGCGCGGGGGGAGGCGCGGTGCGGGGAAGTGGGAGGGGGGAGAGGGGGAGGGTGCGAGTCGAGCGAAAGCCGCGACGTCGAGGCCAGGACTGGCTGCGTTTTTTTGGGTGTTGTTGGGGATGGGTGTTGTGCGCTGCTTGACCGCGTCTGCAAGGACACGGGACGCCTTGAGTGTGTGGTGGGGGGTGGGTGTTGGAGTGTAGAAACCGGCAGCTGAGAGATGTCGACCTTGTGGGATGGCAGCCAGAGATGTTTCTGAAGCGGCTCCGCGTTGTCATTCTGCACCCGCGCGCGCACAGAGAGGCAGCGAGTGCCAGCCAGCCAGCCGCCAGCCAGCCAGCCAGCCCAGCCCGGCGCCCACCATATCGCGGCGCTCTCTCTGGGTGGTACTTTTGGATTTTGATGCCGCGTCCATCCACCACCAGGGGGCGGCGCGCGGGGGGTTGTAGAATGGTACCATTTGTGGCACCCACCGCTCCGAGAGGCCCCTAGGCCAAGCGACAACGTGGCGTGGCGTTCGCTTATGCACAGCACACCGCGTTCCATTACAGAGTGAGGGCTCCAAAACGTATATGCATTCTATCTCGTCTGTAGATGTGTTCCCGTGTGGCGTGAAATGTGGGTCGATATGCATATGCCAGCGAGATGTGCCCGCACACGAGGTACAGCTTCGCCCACCCCCGCGCGTCCGGGGCATTTTTAGCCTTGTGCGGCGGGCGTGGGCCCAAATCCTCAACCGGCCTATCCGGCTGTGGTCGTCGTCGTGTGCAAAATACTTTGGTACCGCCAAAGCACACCGACGCGCTATGAACCGTCAGTTTAGGTTTATGGATGTTGCCGGTTCGAGCGCAGACGGAGAGACACGCGCCCTGCCATGCCTGCCATGGCACGCACTTACAGACCCGTCTCGGGTTATCGGCAGAGTGGCAGTTTTGGCTCAAAACTGTATGGGTCCTCACTCGGCGGGTCCCGACATGGCCCGTGCGCATGCAGTTGTCGACCAATGTGAGTAGAGCAACCCATGGTATGCTGCTGAGACGTTATCCGGGGGGGCGGGGTTCATCATCGAGTCTCTATCTTGCACGCGTCTCGGCTGCCATCGGCGGCGGATGGGTGGGCATGCGTAAGGCCTTTGCACAGCGCTGAGGAACGGAGCCCGATGACGGTACGACGGTCAGTCATGACCTTGTCATTGCTGGTCACTAGCAGGTTTATATTGTTCAGGCTTGGCTAGTGATTTGTATAGCTTGCTCTCAAAGTCCTAGTGTCAAAGGGGTTTCCACAGACGTCCCACATGCTATGCGAGACGCCCGGCCGGCTCTTGTGTTCGCGTTCAGACCGCTCTATTTCGACAGCGGGTTTAGTTGTCGCATGCTTCACTTGCTTACCCACCAAGGGTCCACGACCATGCCTGTCTTTCTGCCTCGCCTCATAACGTAAAAGCTGCTCAGTAGCAACTGTTCGTAGGGTTATTGACTGCGATGCCACTGTCGTTCATGCCATGTGTGGCGGACGACGATCTGCGTGGACTGCACATATACAGCGACTTTTCGTCTCTCACATATATGATGCATCTGCGCCATGAAACCGGTCTACATCGCCTAAATGTGCAGGCATGTTCACCAGATCACTACTGCACCACTATACAGAGCTGGCTGTGATGCATGTCTGCGTACCTGCGTGTCTTCATGGCTCGCAATGCTGCTGGCTCACCATCGTAGTACCTCACTCAACGGTCCCAACCAACGGAAGTAAATCTATATAACGCCGGGAGAGGTCCATTTTGCCTCCGCCTCCAATGACCCCGTTGCCACAACCAGATAGCCCCGCGAAATTGCTTCCGTCGACCCCCCCCCCGCCCCGGCGACGCGCCTCTCTTTGGTGGACTGAGACGTAAACAAAGATCTCAACAACAGGACTCAACCACAACATCCACCCCCCCCGCAACCATGCCGCCTAGACGATCCACTAGGGCGGCCAGTGGCACCACAAAGGCTGCAGTACCCACATCCACCCGCTCAACGCGTACAAGCACCCGCGTGTCCCTTGTCCCATCCCCACAGGCCTCAGACGCAGAGTCGGATGGCTTTCCGGGAGACAGCAGTGACGACGAGGTGATGAAGCGTCCGACAAGGAAGGCTCCTGTCAAGGCCGCTGCAAAGCCACCATCTAGGGCCAAGGCAGCACCACCACCACCATCCTCGCGCCGTAGCACCAAGACCGTCGCCACACCCTCCCCCGAGCCCGAGCAGCACGACGGGTCCGACTCTGAGTCTGAAGAGGACCTGCCCATCAAGGCCCCCACAAGCCGCGGCAAGGTTCCGGCTAAGCCCGCTCCTGTGTCAAGGAAGAAGGTGGTCCAGTCCGAGTCTGAATCGTCAGAGGAAGATCTGGAGGACTTTGTCACTGCTCCCTCGAGGCTATCCACCTCTGCCGCGCCTTCGACTACCACTTTCCACTCCCTTCCAACCCCGCCACCCGACTCGGCTGCCGACTCGGATTCTGAGCCCGATGACCTGCTCGCTGCTCCCACTCCGAAAGCTGCCGCTGCTGGTGCGGACGATCCTCAGACTCCCCAGGCCCGCGATGCTGAGGATGGCGACGACGGCGCCGCCTCGGACAGTGGCCGTACCGTCCGTGGTGGTGGATCCCCGACTCCAGGCTCGTCCCCCGACATCCCTGCCCACGTTCTCCCACCCAAGACACCCAGCGCCCGTGGTGGTCCCATTCCCATTGTTGCGACACCCGCTGCCCCACTCCCCTCCGGTCCCAAGCCCCGTCTCACCATCCACAAACTTGTGCTCGTCAACTTCAAGTCGTATGCCGGTCGCCAGGAGATTGGTCCCTTTCACAAGTCATTCTCCGCCATTGTCGGTCCTAATGGCAGTGGCAAGAGTAACACCATCGATGCGCTTCTCTTCGTGTTTGGTTACCGTGCCAGCAAGATGCGTCAGGGAAAGCTCTCGGAGCTTATCCACAACTCTGCCGGCAAGGAGGGCCTCGAGAGCTGCTCGGTTGAGGTGTGGTTCCGCGAGATTGTGGACCAGGTGAGCTTATAATCCTCTATGCTGTAGCTGACATTTTAGCCCGGTGTGGACAACTTCCTGCTCGTTCCCAACTCGCAGCTGGTCGTCACGCGTACGGCGTTCCGCAACAACTCGTCCAAGTACACCATCAACGACCGTTCGTCCTCGTTCACCGAGGTGACTACCCTCCTCAAGGCCAAGGGTATCGACCTCGACCATAACCGCTTCCTCATTCTTCAGGGTGAGGTCGAGTCCATTGCCCTCATGAAGGCCAAGGCTCAGAACGAGCACGAGGACGGCCTCCTGGAATACCTAGAGGACATTATCGGCACGACCAAGTACAAGGAGCCGATCGAGCAGGCCAACCTCGAGGTCGAGCAGCTTAACGAGGACCGCGGCGAGAAGATGAACCGTCTCCGCGTGGTCGAGCGCGAGAAGGCCTCGCTCGAGGACAAGAAGCGCGAGGCCGAGTCGTTCCTCCGCGACACCAACGACCTCACTCGCAAAAAGTCGCTGCTCTGGCAGTTCCACATGCACACCCTCCACAACAACATTGAGATCACCACCAAGGCTGTCGACTCGCTTACTGCCCAGCTCACATCAGAGCAGGAGCGTAACGCCCACCACCTTGCCGAGATCGAGGACCTGCAAAAGGGCTACGACGAGAAGCTTGCTGCATTTGATGTAAGTTGACATTGCTCAGGCGGTCTGCTAACAATTACAGGAAGTGAAGCGTCTCACAGACGCGCTTGTCAAGGACGCCAAGAAGATTGAGAAGGAAGAGGTCGGTCTCCAGGAGAAGAAGAAGCATCTCTCAACCAAGGCGAAGAAGTTCAAGAAGTCTATCGCCGACGATGGCCACACTCGTTCCGAGGCTCTTGCCACCGTGGACAACTGCTCGTCGGCCATCGAGACCAACCGCACCAAGGTCACGGACCTGGAGCGCAAGCTCGAGGCTGAGGAGGCAGAGCTCGAGGAGGTCCGCGACAGTCTCAAAGGTGGGTCTGGATGGCGTCAAGTCGAGGCTAACCCATTTCAGACAAGACCGACGAGTTCACCACTCAGATCGAGGCCAAGCAACGCGAGCTCGAGCCCTGGACGGCCAAGATCAGCGAGAAGCAGTCGGCCATTGATGTTGCCCAGTCGGAACGTGACCTTCTTGCTCAAAAGGCCACCACTGCCCAGGAGGCGCTCGACGAGGCCAAGGCTGGCCTGCAGGCTGTTCGCGACGGCAGCCAGTCCAAACAGGAAGAGTACCAGTCACTCAAGAAGGAAACCGTCAAGGCCAAGAAGCAGCTCGCCGAGGCCGAGGCCAAACTCCAGTCCATGGCGCCCCAGTCGGACGAGCTCCGCTCCAAGGTGTCCGTCTCACGCCAAAAGGTCGACGAGGCCAAGGCGTCGCTCGCCGCAGACAAGTCTGAGAATGCCGTTCTCGCCAGTCTCAACAAGCTCAAGGCCCAGGGTCGTATCAAGGGCTTCCACGGCCGTCTTGGTGACCTCGGTGTCATTGACGACAAGTACGATGTCGCTGTCACCACGGCGTGCGGTTCGCTCAACAACCTCGTCGTAGACACGGTCGAGCAGGGTCAGGCGTGCATCGAGCACCTCCGCAAGGGCAACGTCGGACGTGCCTCGTTCATGGTTCTCCAGAAGCTGCCTGCTCGTGACCTCTCGCCCATCAACACGCCCGAGGGTGTCCCGCGTCTCTTTGACCTCATCAAGCCCAAGGACCCTCGCTTCGCGCCGGCCTTTTTCAAGGGTGTCTTCAACACGCTCGTTGCCGAGGACCTCCAACAGGCCCAGCGCATTGGTTACGGCAAGAAGCGCTGGCGTGTCGTTACCCTTGACGGCAAGCTCATCGACCCATCGGGTACCATGTCCGGTGGTGGTGCGCGTGTCTCCCGCGGCGGCATGAGCTCCAAGTTCAAGGCCGACAAGGTCGCCCCCGAGGTTGTGGCCCGCTACGAAAAGGAGTGTGCGAGCGCCGAGGAGGCCCTTGCTTCGTTCCAGACCGACAAGCGCGCGTCCGAGCAAGAGGTCTCGCAGCTTCGCAAGCGTATCCCCGAAATCGAGATCGAGATGGAGAAGATTGAGCTCGATGTCCAGACTGGCGCCAAGCGCATTGCCGAGGCCGAGAAGCGTCTCATCGAGCTCCAGGGCCAGAGCAAGCCCGACGCTGCCGACGAGAAACGTATCAAGACCCTTGACTCTGAGGTTGCCGCTCTTACCAAGGACGCCAACAAGCTCCGCGAAAAGTCTGGTGTCATCAGCGAGCAGATCAAGGAGCTCCAGAACAAGATTCTCGAAGTCGGTGGTGTCAAGCTGCGTGCCATCCAGTCCAAGTTTACCACCACCAAGGGTCTGCTGGACCTTGCCAACGAGGCCATCACAAAGGCCGAAGTGGGCCACGCCAAGGCTCAGCGCGACGCCGAGAAGATGGACAAGAACATTGCCGACAACACGTCCAAGATGGATGAGGTGGCCGGCGAGCTCGAGGTCGTCGACGGCGACCTGCAGGCGTGTACTGCCGACCTTTCCGTTATCCGCGAAAAGGTCCAAGAGGCCCAAGACGCCAGTACCGACGTGCAAGAGGCGCTCCAGCAGAGCAAGGCAGACCTCGACGAGGCGTCCACAGACATCAACGCTTTCCGCAAGCTCGAGGTGAGTTATGGCGCTCCGTTCTGGCAGGCTTGGTAACTGACTCTTTCTTCTCTCAGATGGACATCAAGCAGAAGATTGAGGACAATGCCCGTGTGCAAAAGGACAGCAAGGACAAGTACAAGCACTGGGCCAAGCGCCATGCCGAACTCGAGCTCGTCTACATTGACGAGGAGGACGAGGACGAGGAGGTGCGCGACAAGCCCGAGGAGGCTGAGGAGGCCGAGGATGCCACCAAGGATGCCGAGGACGAAGGTAGCGAGGACGATGCTACCAAGGACACGGACATTTCTGAAGGCGAAGGATCCGACGCCGAAGCTTCCGCTTCCCCGACCCCTTCGCCCAAGAAGAAGGCCAAGCAGCCGCGCAACGACAGCCTCGAGCTGGTCGAGTACAGCCCCGACGAGCTGCGTGCTGTCGACAAGGACATTCTCAATGGCGAGATCACTGCGCTGGAAGAGGAGATTGCCAAGGCCAAGCCCAACCTCAACGTTCTCAATGAGTACCGCCGTCGTGAGGCCGAGTTCCTCGACCGCGCTCGCGACATGGAGACCGTCACGAGCCAACGTGACACTGCCAAGCAGCGCTACGACGACCTCCGCAAGGTCCGCCTTGACGAGTTTATGGCTGGCTTCTCGGCCATCAGTGCAAAGCTCAAGGAGATGTACCAGGTAAGTCGGCTGTGATGATCGCCAGCCTGTAAGCTGACATGTTTCAGATGATCACCATGGGCGGTAATGCCGAGATTGAGCTGGTCGACACCATGGACCCCTTCTCTGAGGGTGTGGTGCTCTCCATCATGCCTCCCAAGAAGAGCTGGCGTCCCATTGCCAACCTTTCGGGTGGTGAGAAGACGCTCGCGTCGCTTGCCCTGGTGTTTGCCCTGCACGTCTTCAAGCCCACGCCGCTCTACTTTATGGACGAGATTGACGCCGCTCTCGACTTTAAGAACGTGTCCATTGTCGCCAACTATATCCAGTCCAAGACGCAGGCCGCACAGTTTATTGTCATTTCGCTCCGAAACGACATGTTCGAGCTCGCCCACCGCCTGGTGGGAATCTACAAGACGTCCAACTGCACCAAGAGTGTGGCGATCGACAACAAGGATCTCCGCACCCAGGCTGTCGTCCGCAGGCCGCAACCGCGAGCCACAGACGTGCCGCCCACACCGGGACCTGGCGGTGGTGGTAGTGGAGTGCCCTCAACACCAGCCCAGCTCGTGCCGACTACGCCTGGGACGGTGCGTTCATCCCGGGTCGTTGCGTGAGCTGTGCCCCACTTAGTTGAGAGACTCTGCCCTTGCCCTGTCCGTCGCCCTCTTTGGACCTTTAGCATTTGTTGGCCCTTTTAGTCTTGTTGTACACCAGTATGATACCGTTTTCTTTTGGTTATATGCAGAGATCGCAGAGATGTGATGCATTATGCCCCAGCAGTCCGTTTTAAAAAAATCTACTACTACCACCACCGTTCTACTGCTGTACTACTGTGTTTGGCAAGTCGCTTTTACTTCTTCTTGTCGCCAGTGATATCCGAGGCCCACTCCCTGGGGTTCTTGAGGACGTTCTGGAGCTCCTCCTCACGGGTACCCGAGCCCTCACGACCCAGGGGGGTCATGTACTCCCACCTCGCCACCTCGGGGAGGGACATGAGGATGCTCTCGACACGCGCGCCAGGAATGTTGAGGCCAAACTTGGTGCCGCGGTCGTAGAGAAGGTTGAACTCGACGTAGCGGCCACGACGGACCAGCTGCCAGCGCCGCTCCTCCTCGGTGTACGGCTGGCGCATGCGCTTGGCCACGATGGGGATGTACGCCGGCAGGAAGGCCGACGAGGCCGACTTGACAAAGTCAAAGATCTGGTCGCGGGACGGGGCGCGCGCGGCGTGGATGGCCGACGAGGTGGTCAGGTCGTCAAAGAAGATGCCGCCAATACCGCGCGTCTCGCCGCGGTGCGGAATGGCAAAGTACTTGTCGCACCACTCCTTGTATGCCGGGTAGTAGGCCTCGTCGTGCTGGTCGCACGCCGTCTTGAGCGTGTCGTGGAACAGGACGGCGTCCTCGGGGTACAGGTAGTTGGGGGTGAGGTCGGTGCCGCCGCCAAACCACCACGCGATGGGGTTGCCCTTCTTGTCGCACAGCTCAAAGTAGCGGTAGTTGAGGTGGACGGTCGGGGCGTGCGGGGAGCGCGGGTGGATGACAATCGACAGACCCGTGGCAAAGTACGGCAGGGGCTCGTCCGACACCTCGATGCTGTCGTGGTCGGCCTTCATCTGGAGCTGGGCGCCCTTGGGGAGCTTGCCCTCGACAATCGACACGTTTACGCCAGCCTTCTCAAACACACGTCCACCGGCCAGCACACAGCTGGAACCCTCACCGCCCGACGGGCGGATCCAGTGGTCACGCAGAAAGGTGGCAGGTGCATGCTCGCCGTCTGGGGGCGCAGCTGTCTCCAGCTCCTCGAGGCTCTTGCAGATATGCTCCTGCAAGTTGGACACCCACGCGGCCATGCGGATGCGCATTGGGTTCTGGAGAGCACACGTCAGCAATGCTATTCTTGACAGTCGCTTTCACAGTCGAGACACACGGAGCATCAGAACGCCGCCAAAGAGGCTAATGCCCCCGTCGCTGCTGGTGCTGTTGTGCGGAGTGACACCACAGCTGCCGCCGTCGTCTTCTTCAGTTTCGCTACGAACCTTGGGGTCGTCCTTTTCCAGCGCGTGGACCGGCTCCCAGGTCCTGCCGTTGGTCTCAATAAAGTCGACGTTGGGCACACCGTCGCACCTGGCCGCAGCACTGGGGCGGTTGAAGAAGCCCGAGCCCATCGAGACGACAAAGCCAGCAACGAAACCGCCAACCGCGAGGCTGGAGTAGAGGGCCCGGTTGGACGACGCCGACGAGGAAGGACCACCACCGGCGCCGCTGGTCGAGTACGCGCGTGCAGCTGCAAAGGTGACGTCAGTAAAACGTATAGCAGAAACCACTGTATGCTTACATGGAGGCACGCGACGGGCCTTGAGCGCCTGTGCTGCCGGACGGCAGCAGCGCATTGATTGACGAAGAGACATTTGTGTTGTGTAATGGACGATGTGGAAAAGGAAAGGAAAAGGAGGTTTGAGTTTGTTGGAATTACCGCACCGGCTACTGGTTCTCTGTATCGACGCAGATCTCCCGAAACACGGTCTATATAGCGAGCGCACACTCTTCTCGGATCTAGCCGGTCGGATGTGTTCGCACTGCGTCGAGTATGGATCCTATGGAGTGGACGGGGGAGAACAATAAAGGCTGGGTGCAAAGGGTGGGTCGACCTCGTGAGCCCATGCTGCCCGGCGTCCGCACACGCACAGCGCGCGCGCACATGGCCGCACCCGCTGCAGACAATAGAGCTTTGAGATCCTAATGGACTTTCAAATAGGAATCCAGAATACCAAATACTGGGGGCGATTTGCGGAGACCCCACACCGACTCTGCTTTGTTTCAATCCACCCTCTGCCGGCAGGCGTCAGCCATGGAAAAGTCATGGGCCATGTGCGAGGTCTCTTTGTTTGGCTACTCACCCTCCCTCACGCAACCCCCACACCACACAAGAAAACAATGTCCTACGTCGTGGCTGCGGCCCGCGTGCTCGCCCGCGCGGCGGCGATCCAGGTCGAAGAAGCCGCAGCCGCCGCGGGACCCGTGGCCATGCAACGAGCTCGACACGTCTACCACTCGTCGGCTCAGATCGAGCAGGACCAGGAGCTGGAGCATTATCCGCAACCATGGCCCTCGGCGCCGGCACCGGCACCAGCCGGACACAGTGAAGCAGTCCGGTCGCCTCGGAGCACGTCTGCGGCAGCGGCTCAGCCACCGCTTGCTCCTCCCCCGGCACAGACCATTCCACGAGCGTCGCACCCATCTACTGCCTCCCGACCGACTCCGAGTGCGAGTTCGAGTGCCAACAATGAGGCGACTGCGACTCGGGGTACCGAGCAGCCTACTGCACCGGCTCCGGCAGTGACGCTGGGTGCGACAACGGCCAAGCCGGCCGTGGTCATGCGACTGGAGAGGAAAGAGTTGGACTTGACACCACCACCACCACCACCAGCCTCGACCTCCACCACGGTGAATGAGCCAACGGTGGTTGTGCAGACAATTCCGGAGCTCGAGGCAGAAGTCGAGGCAGAAGTCGAGGCAGAGGTCGAGTCCCGCCTGCCTGCCATTAACCAGGATCCAGACGACGCTCCCGTCGCCCTGCGTTCATCTACCGTCCCCGCCTCTCGTCTCGGCCGTCTGTTCCACTATGGCTGTAAGTACTTTACGTGGTGTCCGCTACCGCGCGCAGGCGACCGTGTAGCTGACTCGCAGCGCTCGCGGCTTCTCTTGGTATTGGCGCTGCAACGGAGTCTATCCGCCGTACGGCAGGTGGCGGCGGCGAGGGCAGCGTGTTCATGAGTGACGCCAATGTCCGTCGTCTCGTAGCGACCTTGGGCCGTATGCGCGGTGCGGCGCTCAAGCTGGGCCAGTTTATGAGTATCCAGGGTGAGTGTTTAGCTAACCATCTCGTAAGACTGTCATCTAACAGTTCTCAGACAACACCATCTTGCCCCCCGAGATTGAGCGTGTGCTGCACCAGGTCCAGGCCCACGCCAACTACATGCCCGACTGGCAAATGGAGAAGGCGATGAAGGCCGAGCTCGGTGCCGACTGGGAGAGCCTGTTTGGCGAGTTTGACCGTGTCCCCATCGCCTCGGCGTCCATCGGCCAAGTCCACCGCGCAACCCTGCCAGACGGCACGCCCGTCGCTGTCAAGATCCAGTTCCCGGGCGTGGCCGGCTCGATCAACTCGGACCTCGCCAACCTGTCCATTTTGCTGCGCGGATCGGCCGTCCTGCCCAAGGGCCTGTACCTCCAAAACACCATTGCGGTGATGCGCCGCGAACTGGAGGACGAGTGTGACTACATTCGCGAGGGCGCCGCAGGGAAGCGGTTCCACGGGCTGCTCAAGGACGACCCGGTCTTCCAGGTGCCCGACGTCGTGGGCGAGGCAAGCACGGGCAAGGTCCTCACCACCGAGTGGATGAGTGGCCGGCCATTGAGCAAGATGAAGGGCATGAGCCAGGAGACGCGTGACCTCGTGAGTGTGTCCTGGACCTTGGGTACCCTATGTTGTGACGAACCCAGAACACAAACCAGCTACACAGGGCATACAAACTGACAGGTCCCCCAGATCGGCACCAACATCATGCGCCTGTGCCTCCGTGAACTCTTCGAGTTCCGGTTCATGCAGACCGACCCCAACTGGGCCAACTTTATGTTCGACGCGAACACCGGCAAGATCCAGCTGATCGACTTTGGCGCGTCCAGGGCGTACACCAAGGAGTTTATGGACGGGTGGTACCGCCTGCTGTCGGCCGCGCTCTCGGGCGACCGCGCAGTCATGAAGACCGAGTCGGAAAGCCTGGGCTATTTGACAGGCGAGGAGGGCGACCTGATGGTGAACGCGCACATTGACTCGATGGTGGCGCTGGCCAGTGAGTACCTGCCCAATCTTCTGCGGCTAGCTTCACCTCTTCTCGTTGGACACCGAAGCCAGCTCGCTTTTTTTACTCGTGGTGGTGCTGACACGCGTTCCTCACAGACCCCTTCCGGTACGAGGGTCAATACCCGTTTGCGACGCAGACCATCACCGACGACGTCCGCGCGCTCATCCCCATCATGCTCGAACACCGCCTGACCCCGCCGCCGTCCCCGACATACAGCCTGAACCGCAAGCTCTCGGGCGCCTTCCTCATGTGTGCCAAGCTCGGCGCCAATGTCGACTGCAAGGCGCTCTGGGAGGAGGTCGTGGGCAAATATGTCGAGGGCCCCGTGGAGGGCGAGGAGGAGGAGCAGGCCGTGCTCATGGCTGAGGCTCATGCTTAGAAGAAGATAGACGATGCACTACTGCTCAATTCACAATGTGCCGCTAGTTATAGTCAAGTGTTTCTCGGGCGTGCTCTGATCCACAGCTCGGCCTCGGCCTGTCGCTAGCAATCCTATCGTGCATCCATCTACACTACGAGCACTCTACGTACACGACCCAGTCTACGCTGCCACGCGGCGCTGGCTACCGAGACCCGAGTTGAACCCGGTCCTTCCCCGTCCGCGACCGCGGTACGCACCACGACCGCCGGTTCTCCGCTCTTGGCGACGGGCGTCGCCGCCAGCGGCGCCATCACGGCCGCCAGTGGCGCGGTCGGTGCCGGGACCCTGGCCGAGCTTGACGTCGAGGGCCTTCTCGTTCGACTCGACCATCAGGACGGCGCGCTCGGCGAGCTGCTGGGCGAGGCGCTGGACCTCGGTCTGCTCGACGCGGTGGAAGACGACGACCTGGTCAATCTGGTCGAGCGAGGCGGCGAGCTCGTCGGTGTAGATCATGCGCGAGATGATCGATGTCACGGTCTGCTGGGGAAGCGAGAAGGTGGCAGCGAGGTGGCCAAGCGAGAGCGAGGCGTAGTGGGGCGAGAAGGTGAAGAGGTAAGTGCGGAGACCCTCCTCCTGGATCTTGCGGGCGAGCATGGTGCGAATGTCCTCGACGTTGTCGAGCAGCTGCCACATCTTGATGGACAGGATGAGGTCGCGGGCCTGCTCCCACTCGCCAGCCTGGAGAGCCTTGGAAGCCTTCATGATGTGGTCCTTGGTGTTCTCGGGGGGACCCATGAACGCCTGCTTCTCGGCACCGTCCAACAGGCGCTTGAAGCCCTTGGAGGCGATGCGGCGGCGCTGCTCCTCAGTGTCAACCGAGGCAAGGAGGGGAATCTCAACAAGCATGCACGAGGTGAGGTAAGCGGCCTCGAGGAGCTCGACGTTGAGGTGCATGTGGAAGGGGAGGAGGCGGCGCTTCTCAATGAGCTCCTGCTCGGGCGAGAGCTGCACGTTGTAGCGGTGGACGGCCTGGGCGAGGAGCTCCTTCTGGCGACCAGTCTGGAAGATCTCGGCAAGGATGGTCTGGCACTCGTGGATAAAGCCACGGCGGAAGGCGGCAAGACCAAGCTGGACAACAGCACGGTTGTACATGATCTGGGTGGCGACGTCGGCGTGCTGGATGGTGTCCTGGAGATGCGACATGAGGAGGAGGTCACGGGCCTGGTGGTAGCGGGCGTGGATGGCGTGGTTGAAGACGTGGGCGAGCACGGCACGGGCACGGAGCAGGGGAGCGTCCGACTGGTAAATGTGGACACAGAGGAGGTGGATGAGGCCCGAAGCGTCACGCTGGACACCGAAGGGGGTGATGGCCGAAGTGAGGGCACCGAGCTGCTTGGTAACGGCAGCCTCCATGTGGTCGACAATAGAGTCGGGCTTGGCGTAGGTGTGCTCAAGACGGCGCATGACGGCACGGGCAGTCTGGTCGGCCCACTGCTCACGCTCAAAGAGAACCTGCGACTTGGTGATGGCGACGTAGAGGGGGGTCTCCTCGCGGAGGCGCTCAATGTACTCGGTACCGCGCTCGTGGGCGTCAGTGTGCTGGAGAGTCTTGGCAAACTCGTTGTCGAGGTTCTCGAGGAGCGAGATCAGGTTGCCGGCAACCTTGACGCGGCCGCCCTCAGTCTCGGGGGTGCGCTCGACCATGTCGTCGTACTCCTCAACGTTGTCCTGGACAATGTAGTCCTTCTCGGCGAGGAGGATGGCGAGGAGCTGGTTGAACTCGGCGAGGCACGCGACCCACGAGTCGTGGGGGATCGAGGAAAGGTTCTGCGAGTAGTCGAGGCGGGCAGGGACGAGGGCAAGGAGAACACGGATCTTCTGGTAGGTGGTCTCGGAAACCTCGAGGAGCTTCTGCAGGATACGGATGGTCTCGGCACGGTCAGTGTTCTTGCGACCACGGGCCTCGAAGATCTCGCGCAGGGTCTTGAAGACACCGTCCGAGGTGAGGTGGAGCTGGCGACCACCACGGCCAATGGTGGTGAACTCGGAGTCGGCGCCGTCGGCACCCTCGCCACCCTCAGCGGCGCGCTCGGCAGCAGTCTTGACCTTGGCAACCTTGGGGGGAGCGACGGCAACATCGTAGGCCTTGGCGTACGCCTCGGGGTCGGCGGTGTACTGGGAAACAACAGTCTCGTACTCCTTGACCTTCTTCTTGAGAGTCTGCTTCATGGCGTTGAGGGCCTTGCCCTTGTTGGCGGGCATCTTCTTGCCAGCCGACTTCTCCGACTTGATGGTCTCGTTGACGGCAGTGTCAAGCTCAGTGATGGTCTGGAGGAAGGCGGGGGGGATGTGGCCGGCAGGGGGGATGGGGGAGGAGAGCATCGAGGTGAGGTGACGCTGGATGAAGCGGAGGAGCTTCTCGAGCTCGTTGTTGGCAGCAACCCAGTCGCTGGCGGCGCCGCCAGCCTTGGTCGCGTTCTGGATGCTGTTGATGGCAGCCTCCATCTCGGCGAAGCTATCAAAACGTCAGCACACATACCCGCCCGCATGGTCTCGCGTCGCTGTCGATGGAAACCCCGCTGCTCTCGCGTGGACGCGTGCCGCAGACACTTTTCTTTTCGTCCAGCGCGGCGCGCGGCGTTCCCATCACCAGAGACCCTTGATTCCTTTGTACCTACCGCTTGTCCTTGGCCGACAGAACACGGATCTTGTCCTCCTCGTCGTCCGAGTCCGAGTCGTCCTCGCTGTCAGACTTGAGGAACTGGTTGGCCATGTTGCCACGGCCGTCGTCGTCCGAGTCGGTCATCTCCTCCTCCTCGTCCGACGAGTCCGAGTCCGAGTCATCGTCGTCAGAGTCCGAGTCCGAGTCGCCGCGCAGGAACTTGGACGCCAGCGACTTCTTGGGCTGCTTCTGCTCGGTCTCCGAGACGAGGGACTCGTTGTCCGACTCAGACTCCGAGTCCGAGTCGCCAAGGCGCGCGAAGACTGGAGAGATTGGTCAGTGGTGGCGACAAAGTGATGCGAGCGCCCAGAGTCGACGTACAAGACATGGTGTGGAAAGTTGGGGGGGAGGGTGTGGGGGGTTGCGCGCGGGGATGGGGGTGCGTGCGCGCTTTTGGGGATGGGTGGGTGTGAACTGTGCTTGTCGCTGTGTGTCGCGGTGTTGCTTGAGTTCGCACTGGGGTGTCGTTGACCGAGGGATAGGTGGTCTGACGAGGTTTTGGTATAGCGAGAGGACTGTCCGCGCTGGCCTCGTTGAACTCCTTCGCAGAGCCAGGGGGTAGACGATGGGAGTTCAAAAAGCACAGGGACGGTTTGCCACACGTTGAAAATGCCGAAATAATGCCGCTACGTGCCACGTGGGTTCGATTCCGTTGGCGCGTTGGCGCGTTTGTACCTCTGTTGTGGCGGTCGGAGCTGCGCGCATCGAGAGATCGAGAGCGCACTTGTCCTCGTTGCCATTACGATTCACGGTCCATGATCCATGCCTGCATATACTGTCCATACAAGCTGCCCTCCACGTGTATAGTACAATCTCTCTGTCTCTCTCTCTTTTGATTCTACGCGCGCGCCCTGCTTTGCTTCAGTCTACAACATTTTGGCGAACACGCCCCTCGCGCCCGCCTTTGCAGATTCCTTGAAGGCGGCATCCTTCGCCGCGTTCAGATACCCCTGTGCACTCTCGGCCATGTTGTTGACGCTCTCGCCCATGCGGTCAATGTAGTCGCCGCGCTGGTGGAACGCGTCCGTCGTCTCGGAATAGACGTCTCGGCGCTCGCGATGGTCGGCGGTGGGCGCGCGGGCCTTGCGAACCGCGGTACGCTTGGGCGCCACTGTGCTGGTCGCGGCTGTGGAGGGACGGACTTCTTCGGGCGCGGCGCCCCATGTGATGAGGGGCTTGCGGGGAGCAGGCGGCGGCTTGGGTGCAACGGGCCGGGTGGGACCGGCGACGAGCGCATCCAGCGCCGCGCCGGTGAGGATCGTGCCCCACATCCAGCCAAAGTATCCCGCGCTCACGGGCTGCGGCTGCGCCGGAACGGGCGTCTTGAGCGTGCACGGGTCGATACGCGGCGGGAAGGGCTTGCGGAAATGGAAGAGCGTGCGGAGGGTAATGTCCAGTGGTCCGCAGTACTCGACAAAGTCACCCGAACGGTCGTCAAACGACAGCTTGCCGATCGACCGCGGGGTGCCGCCAAAGAACAGGTCCATGCGTGTAATGTACTCGAGGAACGGCGCAGTGTAGAATAGGGCTGTGCCCGTGGTCGTGAGGGCGACAATGACGCGCTTGCCGTGACGGGTAATGTAGTGCACGTCGCTGAACTCCTCCTGCTCAGGAGCCTCAACCTTGGACACTCGTTCACCATTGTAGTTGATTGAGCACCGGATGGCATGCTTGGACGCCGCGATCCACAGACAGTGCGGTGGAGCTTCCTTGGTCCACTTGCCTTCACTGGGGGCTCCCTGGTCGACCATGTCGGCCAGCGCCTGGGGCGAGGCGTACAGCTCGTTACCGGTCGTGGGGTCAAGGACGAATACGGCCAGTGGGTCGGCCAGCGACTCGTTAGAGAACGTGGGGGGCTTTTGCTCCACCATCCACTCGCCGAGGATGTTCTGCAAGCCATAGATCTTGGTCGTTCCCTTGTCGTACGACACGATCAGGCGGGGACGTGGGTTGGGGTCGCCGCCCATACCCGAGATCACCCACTTCAACGAGCCGGCACGTGAGTTTTCACTGGGGAAGTTTTGCACATTGCCCTTGCGCTTGCGGCGCTTCATAGTCTTGCCCTCTTCGTTGAAGCCCTCACGGAGGATCACGTCGGGACCGCGCATGTCGAGGACCGCGAGCGAGTTGTTGGCGTACGACACTGCAATGAAGCCTGTAGAGTTAGTAAAGGACCCGCCATCGACTTCATAACTCACCAATATCAGACACCGCACAGGTGACCACCTCGCCACGGCGCACGGTGAGCACCGCCACGGGCTTGAACCCGTCGGTTGCGTACTTGGCAAGGTGGTCGATCTCGGTGATCTCCTCAAACCAATCGTGGCCCTGTGCCGGCTGCTGCGGGAAGTAGTCGGCTCGTGGTGACGACGGGTCGCGCTCGTCGTCTTCCTCGGCCACCGAGTTGGCCTCGTGCACCGACTCGGCCTTGGCCTGGGCAAACTTGGTGACGATGACTTCACCAGACACAAACGTGACAACACACTCGAGACTCTCGCGCGCCAGGTAGACACTGGCAATCTGCACCTGGGAGCGGTCGGTCGCCCACTGCTTGGCAATGGGAAGGTGCGAGAGGTCCGGGTGCCGCAGCCACTCGCCAATGGAAATGGTGAGGTGGGGAAGTGGGTTGGGGTACTCGAACCTCAGCGGTGTGGGCAGGACGAGGAGGTGCGGCGAAATGTCCCAGAAGCGCACAGTGCAGTCGGCGTGCCAAGTGGCGAGAATGCGGTAGTTTTCCATCTTGATAACCTTGAGGTCTGGCGCGCCGTGGGACTGAAGATCGGGCACGGCCATGCCGCCACGAACAGGAATACGAGGGTTCGCTTCCTGGTTGTTGTGGAGCGTGTGTTCAATGAGGCGCTGGAACGTTGGCGTGGGCAGGGGCACAATGCGGGTACCCAAAACCGACAGACCCCCGGACCAGATCAACGAAGGGAGACGGTAACGGCGGCGCAGGCTGTCGCGCTGCAGCGACGGCGAAATGGAGTGGAGCGACGGGGCACTGCTGCTGCCCGCCGGCGGGGACGCGCTCCAGGGAAACTTCCACGAGGCTGCTGAGGCCTGGCGCTGGGCGACCGGAGCTGCTCCCATACGCGGTGCGGGTGTCATCGCCACGAGCGTTTCTCCCTCGCCTGGCGTCTGGATGTTCTTGCGGCCAAGAACAGGTGGCGGAACGTTGGAGCGAGGAGGAGGGAAAGCGTAGGCCTCGAGCTGGCGCTCAGCCATGGCCATTGTGTGTGGCAGCTTCTTGTCCGGGGTAAGGAGCACAAAGATGGCGATTGGGTCAAACGACATGGCAAAGTAAGGGCTGCTACGTGGCAAGAGGATAAAGTCCTCCGGAGGAGTTTTGGTTGGGTAGTTTGACGAACCCGTCGCCGAGAGCGAGTCGCGGTACGCGTAGCGGTCTGTGAGGGAGAGACCCTCCGAGATTGCCGAGCGGGCGTTCTTGGCATTGATCACAGGCGGCTGGTAGGCGGGCATCTGGAGCATGTTGATACCCGGCTTTTCACCAGGACTCTGGCCACCAAGGACGATGAGCAAAGTTTCGCCACGCTCGCCATATTCAGCAGTCGCGTTTGTGAGGGGAGGACCGTCTGGCAGGGCGGCAATCGTCTTGATCGCAGCTTGGTCAGGGAACCCGGCCCACGCGAGCTTGTAGATGGGCTCGCGGTTTGCCATGGCCGCGGGGAGCACAGGCATGCCCTCGAACTCGGTCGTGGAGCGGATCTGGTTGTCGAGCACGCCGGCCTCCATAAGGCTTTCGCCGTCGATAATGTTGACGTCCTCGTGGGTGAGGGTACGGACCATCAATGGCTTGTCCGGGTCTGCATACGCCCAGAAGCTGATGCAGCCGTCCGCATGTCCGACTGCAAACACCAGACCGTCTGGACGCCACGCGATCGACGTGACAGCGGGTGTGCGTTCTGTCCACAGGGCCTGTAAAGGTCAGTGTCGTCGTCGGAAGGGGGTATGGCCGTGCGTACCGAAGTGTCCTGGTATGAGCCGCCACCGGGGGCACCAGGGGGCAGCGTCATCTCGAAGCATTTCGCAATAACACCCTTTTGGAAGTCGTATGCAACGACTCCACCTTCGTAGCCGATCAGGTAGCAGTTGAGGTCGCGTGGGTTCATGGCTGAGCATGTGGCCATGGGACTGCGAGTGCCGAGTCAGTGCTGCGCCTCCGTGTGATTGTGTATAGGAAGACATACCCGCCAAGAGTCTTGTTCCGGCCTGGCACGCCAGACCGCACCAGACGCTCCTCGTGCATGGCCCACAGGTTGGGGACGTTGAAGGATGAGATGGTGCGCTGTCTCAAGTCCCAGGCGAGGGTGACGCCGTCCTTCATGTTGATGAACATGTGTGTGTAGCTAGGGAGGGGCTGCTCAATAGCCATAACGGTGCCAAAGATGATAAAGTTGGCCTCGCGCGTGGGAAGAGGTGGTGACACGTTTGGGTTGGACGAGTCGGTGATGGCGGCGAGCGCGAACGAGTGCAGCATGTTACCGCTGTCGATAGCCACGAGACGGTTGTGGCCCGGGTGGAACGCCAGATAGCTGATGGCCTCTGGCTTGCGTCCCGTGCCCGGCAGCGGGACGCTCACAGGGAGGGAGAACTGGAACGAGTTGTTGCCAAAGACGTGAACAAGACCAGCACCAGTGCCGACAGCAACGAGGGAGAGGAGGGGGTCGACGGCCAGCGACGTGATTTCGCCAGTGATGCCCAGCTGGCGCAGGTGGCCATACTTGTAAAAGGACGTCTCGCGCAGCGTGCCTGTATAGTCTGTGGAGGGCGGCAGTAGCGGCGCCTTGTTGGACTTGAACATGGTGAACGCAGGGGCCGGCGCGCGGCGATGCAAGGGTGGGTGGTTGTTGTTGTTGTTGATGAGGAGGTTGAGGCGAGAAGGGGGGGCAGTGTACTGCGACGATAACGCTGCGCGTGCGAGGTGAAAGAGCAAAGACGACGAGTTGCACACCCTCCCCAATGCGCGAAAGTGTCCGCGCAGGCCCGGCTCGTCTGGACGCGTTTTGCGAACGCAGAGAGGCGGTGGCGTCGCCTTTTGGGACTGTGACCTGGGAGAGAGAGAGGCACGGCTCCCGGGTGGGGTTCTCTTCTTCTTTCGTCCACGTCTTAATTAGCCTTTTGTATTCAAGAACCCTTTTCTTATGCCGTGATGGCCCACTCGCTTGGGACACCCACAGCGTCGTCATGCGTCAGTCACACTCTCTCCACTGCATAAAGCCAAAAGCAGCTTGGCTGTGCTTTCGTGTCGGGTCGACGGGTCGACCACACCCAATGTTGCTCTTGTTCGTCATCAGTGGCGCGCGAGGGTGTCATTCCCAGCCCTGACACCATTTTACAGCCTACAGTACGGTCCCCACCCAGCACACCCAGAGCGCGTCGGCGTCTTCGTATTCATTCCAGTCACCCCCTCTGTTTCTAATGATCCAACGACTAGAAGACGCAACTGAAACAGTATCCAAGGCCTGGTTGTTCTGGCTCAGATCCGTTTGGCTTATCGTGCATCGTGGACCAGCTTCTCTGACTGCGACGAGAACGATAGGAAGAATGCCGCCAACTGGCCTGTGGGTCTAATCCTGGACATACAGTCTCAGGTAGCCTTGAACATGTGGACGGGCACACCGTACACCGGTACACCACCGGACAGGACGCCCACCCTAAGAGGTACAGCATCGACCGTGGCATCCTGGCACCCGCTCGTTAAGGCCACAGGATACCCAACTTCTTCGCTTGCGAGAAACACCTGGCACGAAGAGTGACAAGAGGAACGTGGTCGGTGAGCGTCGTTGACATCCGGCTGCTGCTCGACACGCACGTAGTGGACCACAAGCCTGACTCGATACCATCCTGGGTGTCCTTTTGGGGAACCTATGCAGCACCGACCGCTCAGTACAGCGCGTCCTCGCGTACTCGGAATGAAAGTTGCTCACACGACCACACGCAGATGTCACCAGTGGCGCCAGTGGCCAGTGGTCACAGACAAGATCTCAGTCTCCGTCCTGCCGGGAGTGCCCATTGGGCCGTGGCCAGCAGGACCCTGATAAGGGTGCAAAGAAGGACACAAGAGCCAGTTATGCACATGGGTCTTTCTATGCAGGTGTGCTCAGTGCAGCTGTCTGTCTCCAAAACATGGTGTATGTATGCATACAATAAGCCTCCAGCAGACAGAAACCCACGATCACGACCGTCATGCACCGTTTGGACGGCCTTCCTTGCCGGCCGACGACTCACCCACCCAAGCCAGGCACGAAGGGGTTCGACCCAACTGGGCGGCGATTTCAGTGCACACCTTTCAACGACCCACCTCATCCAACCTCCACCTTCATTCCTCCCTCCCCCCTCCTCCCCCCTCGACACTCTCAGCAATGGACGTCGAGCGCGTCGTCAAGACGCAGGTGACCTCCTCAGAGCTGAACCCGTCCCCCGAGCTCATCAAGAGTACGTCCCCGCGACTGGCCGCTGACGCAGCACACAGAACCTTGGGCTGACTGTCAGGCGTTAACAATGGCGAGACGACGCTCATCGCTGTTGTGCAGGCCCTTGGGCCGTTCCTCACTGCTCCCGAGGAGAAAACGCGTGTAAACGGTGAGGTATCAAACGTACCAACAACGCTAACGTCCCGGCAGGCTTGACTTACCTCTCGAACACTGTGACCTCTATCGACAAGTCGAAGATCAATCGTCCCGCTGGTAGGTGTCATTGTCACCGAGCTCCAAAGCTAACAGGCAGCGCGTACCTTGACCAACTTCTTCCTCGCCAAGCTGGACGACTTTGACTCGCTCTCTCCCTCCCTCTCGGCCCTGCTCGTCCTGTCCAAGCTCTCGGCAACGACCTTTGACGACGATACCGCAGTGGAGGTGTATCGCCAGTATGTTCAGCTGGATGCTGTACTCATTAGCTGACCCACAGGATTGTCGAGAACGTCAACATGAAGGCGTACGCCCAGTCGGTGCGGCACCAGGTGTACCAGCTCTTCGACTCGTTCTTGGACAAGCACCGCGAGGGTGAGCTTCAGTGCCCGTAGGCCAACCTGACATTAGCGTTCAAGGACATGGGACCCGAGTTCATTTCGAGCTACTCGAAGATGGTGGATGGCGAGAAGGACCCACGTAACCTCCTGCTTCTCTTCCAGCTTGACAAGGTCATCTTGATCGACTTTGATGTCGAGTCCCAGATCGAGGTGAGTTGCGACTTTCACTGCTCATCAACTGACACCTGCAGGACATGTTCGACGTCACGTTCTGTTACTTTCCCATCTCGTTCCGCCCGCCTCCCAACGACCCCTACGGCATTACCGCTGAGGACCTCAAGGTCGCTCTTCGCGCGGCTATGAGCGCGTCTTCTCACTTTGCCAAGATGGCTCTCCCCCTCTTCCTCGAGAAGTACGCCACTTCGTCGGGTCCGGCCATGGTGGGTTCCACCCGCGTGAAACACGGACTGACCCATTCAGAAAGACCTCCTCCTCACCATGGCGGCGTGCTTCCCTGCGTACGGCGCTCCAGCAGTGGCCGAACGTGGCGAGGAGCTGTGGGACTGCCTCAAGACTGAGGTGGGTTGACCATTCTCTGCCTGGCTAACCCTCAGATTCTATACACGTCCGACTCGTCCGTTGAGGCTGCGGCTCTTGCTGCTCTGGAGTCCCTCATTCGCACCCTCTATCCCACGACCAACGATGGGCCCTCCGGTCTCGCGCAACTCATTATCAAGCAGTGCCTTGAGAACATGAACGAGCCGGAGAAGAATCACTCGATGGGCTCGTCCAAGTGCCTCGCTGCGTTGGTTCGCGCTTCTCGTGAGTTATTTTGTTGGCCTCCCACTAACTCTTCAGCGTCTACTGGACCCTTCGCCCTCTCACAGGCCCTCCCCCAGCTCTTCCGCCAGTTCAACGTTCCAAAACTTCCCTCCCACCGCGAGAACATTATCAGCTATGTCACCATTCTGCTCATGGCCGCTCGCTCAGTGTACGCTGTTCCCGGCGCGACCCGCAGGCAAGAGCAGGAGCGCAGCCTGGAGCCGTACCGCGAGAACCTCCTGGACGTCATGCGCGAGGGCCTGCGCACCCGTGACCTGAAGGTGTCGGCTGTCAGGGGCAGTGTAGCGCTCGCTGAGATCCCCGGTTTCTGGACCAAGCGCGAGGTCGAGGAGGTTGTGCAGGGCATGGACGACTTGTTGATCAACGAGAAGGACCCCGACGTTCGGTAAGCTTATGCAAACCGCTCCTTTAGCTAACAATCCAGTCCTGCTGTCATGCATGGTCTCAAGACCATTGCCGGTGTCCACGCCGACGTTGTCGAGGGCGTCACCCTTCCTGTCCTCTTCCACACCCTCCCAGAGACTGCGCCGGAGGAGAGCGATGTGGATGGTCGCGACGCCTACCGCCGTATTCTCTCGGCACTCACCGACCTCTGCACTATGCCTGCGCTGTTCGAGACGCTGGTGGTTCGCATCACCACCAGGCTCGACCTCCTCAGCTCTGCCACGCCCATCGAAGAGGACGCCGCCACTGGCGCCAGCAGGCGCGAGTGCACCGTCGCATACGCTTGGGACCTCTTGAACACCCTCCAGACGGTTATCAGCATTAAGCTCGAGGCCAAGCACGTCGACCTGCCCAAGTACTACTCCCAGGTGGCTCCTCGCCTGTTCGGCATGGTCGTTTCTGCCGCTCTGCCGCGCGTGGACAAGGTTGTGCCCCTGTTCCGTGACCGCCGTCTCATCACCATTGCGGCGGCAATTGGCGAGACATTGTTCTTTGAGCTGAGCGCAGCGTGGGTTATCCCCTTCCTCCTATCGCTAACCCCGCAGGAAGCAGGCTCCCGTCGTCCAGTCGATGGTCTCGGCATTTGAGGAGGGCAACCTCTCGGCCATTGTGTACGACCAGACCTCCGTCCCGCCCACTGCTGGCTCTCCCCTCCGTGGCAACGCCACCTCGGCCGAGCAGGACCTCGTGGCTCTGTACTCGGCCATTATCCGCGGTTTGAAGGCCGACACCCCGATCGAGGTGCCGTCCATCTCCGACTTCCTTGCTACCAAGGTGCACTGGGCGGTCCGTGTCGCCCGCGATGATTTCCAGCTGCGCCTCATGCTGGACCTCATCACTGCCCTTGTGAACAAGCGCGTGTCTGAGTTTGGCGGTCATCTGGAGCCCCTGCTCGAAAGGATCTGGATGACGGACATCCAGGACACGACGCAGCCGTTTGAGCTCCGTCGCCGCGGCCTGCTTGTGTACCTTCACGTGAGCTGAAACCGATGCGGACCAACTGGGAGCTGACAAAAATACAGATTACAAAGGCACTTGCGCTCCTCCGTAACGACCTTGCGTACTCGTCTATCCAGCGCATTGTCGAGATTCTCAGCCTGAGCAACCTCGACCCCGCGTTCGTGCAGGAGGCAGCGTGCGACTTTGGTGTGCTCGCAGAGAGCGGAGGCAAGGGCAAGGGCAAGGGCCGTGGCGCGCACCTCACGACCAAGGTGGGTCACAGTGAGCTCTACATGACTGCTGACCCAACAGTTGCTGCATGCGCAAAAGCTCTGGAACTTCCTCCTGCCCAAGCTGATCGAGGGCGACAAGGATACAGAGGGCAAGGGCCGTGATGTCTACCTGGTGGCGTTTGCCAGTCTCCTGCCTTTGGTCCCCAGTTCGCTGTTCCTCTCCGACCTGCCGACAGTGAGCTAACAGCTATCGCTGCGTCCCACTCAGCTGACACTCCAAAGATCCTCCCTCTCCTCCTCCGCTCTTTGTCCCTCTCCAACGCCGCCCAGCGCGCCAACGTGATCACTGCGCTCACGTCGATTGTCGAGACGGCCAACACGTCGACAGCGACTGACAAGCTGCTGCACGAGCACGCCGTGACGATGGTGGAGGGTGTGCTGCGTTCTGCGCGCCGCCTGCCTGGCGTCGAGACCAATGGAGTGAGTACCCCCAGACGAGATGACCGGGAAAAGAGAAAAAACCGAACACCAGTCGGAAGCTCGGAAGCCAGAAGCCAAGAAGGCCAGAAGCAGCCGAAGTTTCGGCGTCTCTTTCCTCTTTCCCTCTTCAGACGCCCCCGCCGCCGCCCCGTCTGTTATGCCATTTGCAGTGTTCCACAGAGAGATACAGATAGCTGACAACTACTAGCGTGTGCGGTGTACCGCATTGGCGGCTCTGGGCGTGTTCCCTGATGCGATCCGGTACGAGACGCTGCACCCTGTCAAGGCGACGGTGATCCGCGAGCTGGCCGACTCGCTCGACGACCCGCTCCGTTCTGTCCGGCGCGAGGCGGTGGACACGCGGGACAGGTGGTACCGATACGGCGCGTAGGAGGAGGAGGAGGGATGAGGGAGAGGGGAGCAGGAGCAGGAGGGGCTCTAGAGATCCGATGGAGATCTTGTGCAGAGTAGGTAGATAGGCACGAGGCTGTGGCCTGTGTGGCCTGGGGCGGTTCTGCGGTAGGCAGCTAGGCAGCATTATATCCCGTAGTACCCGGCCTGTCTCTTTGCAGGTGTGCGGGGGCTGCGTTGTAGAAGACGTGGGTGTGGTGCATTTGGCATTTGGCTGGACATTGCTGTGCACGCGCGCGCGACGAGGGTTGGAATGAGGCGCCAGGGGTGCGACTGCTCCCGTGCCGACGGGTGGGCCCTTTTACCCCGCACGCCGTCATCGCGCGCGCGCCAGCCCGCACGCGCCCAGCAGCCAGGCTGCGACGGACGGCTGTCTGGGCTCTCTCTAGGCTTCCGACACGACAACCACTCCAGTCCCACGACAACCACGGACGACGACTCTCATCATCCCACCACATCCCACACATCTCCTCCTCCTCTCCACATCTATACACATCTCTTCTGTCTCTCTGTCTCTCCCTCCACCAAGAGCCAGGAGCTCATCCCCCCAGTCACCATGGCGCCCGTCACCCTGCCACCGTCCTTCTACTCGTCGTTCTGGACACCAGACTACCGAACCGGCCTCGACGTCCTCTTCCGCCAGCTTGAAGCCGTCAGTCCACATCCCCCCCGGGGGAACAGGCCTTGTCTCCCGCCAGACTCCCGTCGCTGACAGTACACACAGGGCGTGATTGACAACAAGGACATCTCGGCGTTCATCGAGGCGAGTACACTCGTGTCCTTTGCGCGGCTGCGCAGCCAGCTCGCCTAGCACCTGCGCAATGTGGACTTGCCAACCTTGATCGCAACAAGCTGCTGACATTGTCCAGTCCCAAGCGAGGGCCAACCACGGCCTGGCCGTCTCGCTCCTCGAGCCGCCCCTGGGCGCCAACCGCGCGTCCACCAGCTCGCTGCAACACACCCTCTTGTCGCTGCGCGCCGCTAGCAGCGCGCGCGGCGAGGCGTACCGCGCCCTCGCGCTCGAGCTCGAGGAGCACGTCCTCCTGCCATTCAACGGCTGGCGACAGCGACACGAGGACCGCATCGCCGCCGCCCGTGATGACCTGCTGGGCCGTGGCGGCGTCGTGGGGTCATGGGAGAAGGAGGTGCACCGCCTCATGGGGGTGAGTTTGACACAAGTGTCCTGGGTTGTGAGGGGGAGGGGATCCTATGTTGTGCAAGCCACAATGGAGGGGTCTGGAGTACCTCATACATTACACACTCACGACCGAACACTAACACGACGCCCAGGCCCGGCAGACATACCAGCACAAAAGCCGTCTGGCCGACGACAGCGAGGACGAGTGAGCCGCCAGCTGGGTCTTGCCCGGATCGCAACATGAGCTGACCTCCTCCAGTGCAAAGTTCTCCACTGGCGCCGGTGCTCCAGACTCGTACACCCAGTCGCCGCCGCCAAAGCACGCCACCCTCAAGCGCTCGGGCACTGTCGCAGACCGGATCAGCGAGAAGCTGCGCCTTGCCAGCGCACACTCGCGTTCGTCGTCCGTTGACGCTGCCAGCCTCAGGAGCCCTCCCTCGGAGCCTCTGTCGCCCACCAAGCAGTCGTCCAAGCCGCAGCCCCCGCGTCTGCAGACCATCACCCAGGGTGCGGCCCAGCAGAACAATGGCGCTGCCGACTCGCCCTCGTCCCCAACGCAGGAAGACGCGTTCATCCCCCCAGAGGACCCCCACGGCCTGCCTACCATGGACGCTCCCCCCGTTCCAGGCAAGGACGGTCTTTTGCCTCCCAAGAATGCGCCCGAGCAGGTCGTGCTCTTCTCGGGCATCTCGCTGTCCGCCCAGGCGTTCAAGGACCTTTTGACCCGGTTTGACCAGTACCTCGAGACCCACGCCGCGCTCGGTTTCCCTCTCCAGGGCGAGCTCAACACGCGTGCCGTTCTTGCCAGCCGCGAGCGCAACACCATCATTGGCGTTTATCAAAAGACGTTTTCTGGTATCGAGGTTGTCGAGTGGCTGCGCAAGAACGTCGAGGCGTTTGGCAGCGAGTGGGACCGTTGCATCGACGCCGCCACCGAGCTGCACCGTACCGGCCACCTGAGCCGCATCGGTGTCGGCCGTGGCTTTGAGCCGTCCGACGACACCTTTTACGTCCTCAAGGTCATCCCCAGCGAGGCCATGTCCCTCAGCACGCTCCAGAACTCGTTCAAGGAGATGAACATTGGCTCGCACATCTCGTCGCCCATCAGCGCCAACACCACCTCGCACTACACCTCCATGCTCCGTTCGTACATCCCCGCGTCGCTGGGTCCCTCGGACGAGCCCATGTACATTCGTCTCCGCCGTGACGCCAACAGGGCCAACGAGGCCTACCACGCCAGCGTCGCTTCGAGCGAGGAGAGCCGTCTGGACATGGAGCAGCGCATCGAGCGCGGCCTCCGTATCTGGGAAAAGTGGGAGCGCGAACGTCTCAGTGTCGTCCGCACTGTGCTCAAGCACTACGAGGAGACCCTCGCCAAGCTCCCCAAGCGCATCGCCGACCTCCAGGAGGGCACCGCCCTCGCTGTGGAGGCGTTCAACCCGGACGCCGATCTCAAGGCACTCATCGAGGGCAGCCGCACGGGTCCCTTCCGGCCCCGTCCGCACATCTTCGAGTCGGTCGAGTCCGAGGTCCCCAGCGTCAACTTTGGTATCGACCTGCGTCGTTGGGCCGGAGACACCGCGTGGAGGGCCCTCGTCACCCAGCCCCAGAGGCCCAAGGACGCCATCCCGGATGTCCTCGCGGCGCTCCTCCAGGCCTCAACCGAAATAGACGCCGACATTGCCACCGAAGAGCGCCGCAAGTCGTGGCTGTACGAGGTGCCCCTGTCGGAAACTCACCAGCTGCGCAAGGTCATCAACGACCCGCACATGACTATCGAGGCCATTGTCGAGGCGGCCAAAAAGTTCAACCCCCCCATTGTCGCCGGCACGGTCAAGCTCTGGTACCTCGAGCTCAACCCTCCCGTTCTCGGATGGGAGGGCTGGGAGGACGCCAAGGCTATTTACCCGTCCATCGGCGCCGACCAGGAGCGCGACATGACGTCGGCCGTTACCTCTGTCATTGAGCGTCTCCCTGCCTGCCAGCTGTTCAGCCTCAACGCGCTTATCAAGCACTTTAAGGACCTCATTGCGTCCACAAAGTCTGAGACTGAGGACGACAACGTCTACGTTACCAAGCTTTCCCTCTCCACCGGTCGCTGCCTCCTGCGTCCCCAGTACGAGACCGAGCTCACGATCCAGGACCGCACCCCTGGCCTGTTCCTCGCCGACCTTATCGAGCACTACGACCAGGTCTTCCCGGCCCTCCTTGAGAAGAAGAAGGTCCAGGTCGACCGTCCCATGCCCCACCGCAAGCGTACTGCCCTTGTCGACCAGCGCATCTCCCGCAGCAGGCTGGACCAGTCGGGCGCCTCCCTCAACCCCCAGGAGCTCCTTACCGAGCAGGTGCGCGCCACCGCGCCGCGTCCCGAGTCCATCCCCCAGGCCCCGCCTGCCATCCACACCGGCGTCACCCTCACGGACGGCCCCGCCCCGGCTGGCGTGACCCTCTCGGACGGCCCTCCAAAGTTTGTCTCTCCTCCTCAGAGTCCCACCGAGTCGACCCCAAGGGCTGCTTCGCCCATCAGCCCCGCCAAGGCGCCCGTGGATGACGGCGCCGCAGACTCTGACGACGACGAGCCCGCATTCGAGCCGCCCTCCGAGACGCCCTCCGCCACCCTGCCCGCACTCGCCGCGGCCGCTGCAGGCGGCGACGACGCCCTCACCACTGCCGCCGGCCTCAAGCGCAGCGGGTCGCAGGAGACGTCGCGCCTGCGTGGTCCCCGCGGCGCGCGCGGTCCCCGCCCGTCTGCCAGCCACGTCAAGAGCGGGAGCGTGAGCAAGATGGCGCAGCAGTTTGAGGGCAAGTAGGTAGACCCGATGTCCCGATCTCCGGACCGCAGTACTAGCTTTTGTAGCTTGTGAAATTAGACATGACGATATGCACGAGTCTCCGAGCAGCGAGCGGGCGTCGATACATGTTGCGGCATGCAAAGGAGAGCGCAAGTCGCCAAGTGGTGAAGACGGGTGGTGTGAGGCGGTGATAGCAAGACCCCTGAATGTCGTGTCAATTCACGCCGATCGGCGATGAGCGTCACCGCCGGCCGCTGGCTGGTGAGCTGCGGCGGGACAGCGTGCAGCGTACAGCGTACAGCCAAGTGACTTGGGGACCGACCCGACTTTCGGCATCTCACACACACCCTTTACCTACTCTCACTCTCCCACCACCTACTCCGCTGCCAGCGCGTCGCCCCCCGCCATGTTTGAGCGCACGCTGCAGGACCTCATCCGCGGTCTCCGCGCGCACAAGGCCTCGTCCCGCGCGCAGGAGGACGCGTTCCTCAACGAGGCCATGGGCGAGATCCGCGACGAGCTCAAGGGCAAGGACATGGCGTTGAAGGCTGAGGCCGTTCTGAAAATGTGCTATGTGAGTGTGCTCGCGACGTTGGAGGGGGACCGCCTGGGCGTGCTGCTGTCCCCGTGGTTGGTGCAGCAGCGAGCTCTCGGGTGCGGCGTCCTTGGAAGGGTCAGCTGGTCCGTGTTTGCTGGAGTTTAGCTGACACCACAGCTCATGATGCTCTACCCCATTGCGCCGCCTGCTGGGTTTGCGTTCCATGTTGTCGAGACTATGAGCTCGGCGCGGTTTCATATCAAGCGTGAGTGGCACACCCCTTAGAAGCTACTACGTCCACCATCTAGCTGCAATCCCGGTGGCCACCGGCGCGCGTGCTGACTTGTCCAGAACTCGGCTACCTAGCTGCTCCCATGGCATTCTCAGGCGACACTGAAGAAGTCGTGCTCACTGTCAACGGTATCAAGAAGGACCTGCTCTCGCCACACCTACCCATCCCCCCACTGGCCCTCAGCGCTCTCCCGCACCTCCTGTCGCTCACCCCGTCGCTGGCACACACCTTCCACGGCGACCTGCTGCTGCTCCTGACCCATTCGAGCGCGCGGGTCCGGAAACGCGCAGTCCTGTGTCTCTTGCCTGCCTGGGAGGCCTATCCCGACGGGCTGAGGGAGGGATTCCCGCGCCTGAGGGAGCGGCTGCTGGACGACGACCAGAGCGTCGTCGGCGCCACCGTCGGCGTGGTCATGGAACTGGCACGGAGACAAGGCGGCAAGAACTACTTGCCGCTCGCGCCCGAGCTGTTTGCGATTCTTACCGGCAGCAGTAACAACTGGATGCTCATCAAGGTCGTCAAGCTTGTAAGCAGCTAACAGCGTCCTACGGAAGCCAAGCTGACCTTGCCCAGTTTGCCATCCTCACCCCCCTCGAGCCCCGACTTGTCCGCAAGCTCCTCCCGCCCCTCACGAGCCTCATCTCGTCCACGTCTGCCATATCGTTGCTGTACGAGTGCGTGCGCACTTGTATCGTCGGCGGAATGCTCGACCCCGACCGCCCCGAGGGCGAGGCACTCGCGAGGGTGTGCGTGGAGAAGCTCGGTGGATACTTGCGCGACGAGGGCGGCGACCAGAACCGTAAGCTGCTAGCAACCCGACTGTGTAGCTGACGAAACAGTGCGCTACATTGCTCTTCTCGCAATGGTCAAAATCACCCCGACACACCCACACATGGTGGCCGAGTACCAGGACGAGATCCTGCAGAGTCTCGACGACGCGGATCTGTCCATTCGCATGCGCGCACTGGAACTCATCACTGCGATGGTGAGCTTTCGTAATGAACGACCATAAGCTGACATGACGCAGGTCGATCGCGACAACCTCCAGCACATTGTTGACCAGCTTCTTGCACACCTCGCCCCGCCCGAGGACGAGTCGCCACCCCTTCCCTCGGCCATGTCTTCACTCGCGGCCGTGGCGGGCCAGCAGAGTGTTGGCAAAGCCAGCGACGTTACAGTCACCGCACAGAGCATCTCGTCCTCTCCCTCGTACCGTTTGCTCTTGTCCCAGCGCCTCCTCGACATTGTGGGCCACGACACCTACGTCAACGTCACCGACTTTGAATGGGTCGTGTCTGTCCTCATCGACGTCGCGTACGTGTCCAACGTGGATGTTGGTAGCCAGATCCGCGACATGCTCCTCGACATTGTGGGCCGCGTCAAAAGCGTGAGGCCCTACGCTGTGCGGGTGCTTGAAAAGGTGCTCGGCGACGACAATCTGCGTGAGCGCGCGAGGGACAAGACAGGCGAGGACGGACTGCTCGAAGCTGCTGTATGGATCTGCGGAGAATACGCAAGGTAGGGTGTTTTGTCGCTGGTAACGCTAACCCTGCAGTGACATCGGTTCGCCGCTCAGCGCCATCTCAAACGTCCTCTCGCATTCGCTCCCGCTGGCGGGCGGCAATGTCATTTCCCTCTCGGTCCAGTCCGTGGCCAAGATGTTCGGTTTCTACGCCGCGTCCATCTCAAGCCGCTGGTCTGCTGACCTGCACACCGAGTGCAAAAACCTCGTGGCTAGCATACGTTCCGGCCTCGAACCCTTCCTCGCCTTCCCGCTTATCGAGGTGCAGGAGCGCGCGTTCGAGATCACGCAGCTGCTCGCATTCGTCAACGCCGACCTCACAAACCATGTCCCTCCCAAGGTTTCCAAGCCTATCGAGTCCATCCCGGGCGTCGAGGGCGGGTTTGAGGAGTCTAATGACGACGACTCGGCAGAGCCTCCTTACCCCAAATCCCTGTTCCTCTTCCAGCCCCTGTTCACCTCGCACGAACTCAACTCGGTCGCGTACATGGCCCAGTCGGCTGTGCGTATTCCCGAGGGTCTGAACCTGGACCACGACATTGTCCCCAACGCGGGCTTTAGCGCAGACATTGACCTCGACGACTCTGAGAGCGAGGAGGAGCGTGGCGAGGTTCACCTCGGGGAAGGTGGCGGTGCGGGTATGGACGAGTTGCGCCGTGTCCTCCGTGAGCAGGATCGCGAGAGGAAGGGCAAGAAGAGTAAAGGCAAGGGCAAAAAGGTTGAGGGCGAGTTGACTGCCGAGGAGAAGGCGGAGAAGGCCAAGGTGAGTTGTATCAAGTTCGAGCAAGTCAGCTGACAGAAATCAGCGCAAGGCGGCGCGCAGGGATAAGCTCAAGAACGACCCGTACTACCTCTTTGACAAGAACGAGGTTGACGACGACGTGGACAATATCCCCATCGTGCGGCTTGACGACGCAGAGATGGCTGCGGCAGAGGCCCCCGCACCGACAAAGATCAAGTCCAAGAAGAAGAAGGCCGCCCCACCACCAGAGTTTGACCGTGCCGGTGAGATGCCGGAGGGTGCGACTCCCCTGCCTAAACAGGAGGCTCGTCCACTCTCGGGTCTGGCCGCGATCGACCTCACCGCCCCTGCCGCCGTCTCGCGTGAAGGCAGTGGCCGGTTCGAAGAGTACACTTTTGGCGACGATGGCCTGCCGCCCCGCGAGGTCGAGGTGCAGACCGCGTCGGCCACCCCGCCGGCGGACAATGAGGCTGGCACGCCTGTGATCCCCTCGCCGAGCAGTGCGGATGTCCCGGCCAACGAGGAGGCGGTCAAGGTCGTCAAGGTCAAGCGGAAGAAGGGGAGTAAGAAGAAGAGCGCTGTTGCATAAGCACTAGGCATACGCATATCATATGGCGGAGCGAGGGGGAGTAGAGGAGTAGAGTCACGACTAGAGCATGACCAATGCACTTTGCATAATGTACACGCGAACGAAGGATGACCCTCCACTTTTGTTGATGTGGGGTCTCCAATCGGCACAATCTGGTTCCGCTCTGCCGTGTTGTTGCCAGTTGACTCACCGGAGGCAAGGCTGTCTTCCTCCCTCCTCCATCATCGTTTCCCACTCTCTGTCTTTCGCCCGTCGGCGCGTGCAAAAGCAACCCAGCAGCGCACGATGGAGGCCTCCATTCGAGATCCGAACATCAAAAGTGCGTGACCCAGCTGGGCGGCCCTCGCGGAATCCTAGCTGACGCCTTCCTCCTCAGACTTTGTTCGGCTGCTCCAGTGCGCGTCCCGCTTTGGCGATGAGCTGTGTATGCACGCAACCAAGGATTCTGTGAGCAGATGCGAATCTCGTCTGGCATGCAATCTGACATCCGCAACCAGTGGGAGCTCTCTGTGACCAACTCGTCCAAATCGGCGTTCTGCTTGTTCACCCTCAAGCCGTCGTTCTTCTCGCGATACAAGGCGACCGGCACACCTGACCAGCAGCGCCGGGGTGTCAAGTGCCAGCTGTATGCCAAGGTGAGCTGAAGATCCTACGTAGGAACCTAAGCTAACAATGTGTCAGTCTGTTCTCAGTGTCCTGGGTAAAGCGTCCAGCGTCAACACCGTCGACCGCGTCGACCTCAAGATTATCGATCCGGACGGCGGGCTGCGTGCAACTACCCAGCGAGATGAAGAAGAGGAAGAGGAGGACGACATCCGTGTGGCGGAACGCAGTGCGCAGCTTGAGATGAAGCTGTTATACCACCACAGTGAGTTCAGCTTAAACGCCTTGGCCGCCAGCTGACTCGGCAGACATTACAAAGAAGCACTTTCTCCACGTCCAGTCGTCCGACTTTTTGCGCGCCGTGGTGGACCCAGACTCGACACCGTCTGGTTTCCAAATATCCGCCAGGACACTACGTGACTGGCTCGACCACTTCAACATTGCCTTTTCGTCCGCCACCTCCGCCAACGGCGCCGTCCGTGGCGATTCTCAGCTCGCTTGGCGGTTTGGACAGACTGAAGTCCAAGTCAAGAACTTTGAGAATGCCAGTACGAGCGCGCTGTCGACGGAAATCAAGATTGACGTTGCCGAGTTTGAAGACTACGAGGTCTTGGCTGAGGCTGGGCATGTGGATCTTGCACTGCCGATGCGCGAGTTCAAGGTGGGTGAATTGTTTCCGGGAGTTCCTGACCCATACACAGGCCACCCTCCAGCTAGCGGAGCAGTTCGGAATGGACCTTGACTTCTTCTTCTCCGAAGCAACCCAGCCTCTGACCATCAGCTCGAGATACATGGGCCTCGACCGATACAGCAACGAGTCGGAACTCTTTTCCATCTTCTGCGTCATTGCCACCACCACATGCGAGGCCTTTGCCAACGTTCCCGCATCCGCACCCGTGGCGGTGAATGGCAGCCGCGCAGACCGTAGCGAGAGCGTCAAGGTCAAGCCCGAGCCAGGTGTTCCCGGATCAGTCCGGAAGCGCCGAGCACCAGACGGCAGTGGACGCGCAGGATCATCAAGACCCCCGCGTGCCAGTCTTAGCCTGTCTGCCCAGCCACCGCCAATGGTCACTGTCGTCGGCACCGCTGCTGCTGCTGTTGCGTCCCAGGCCATGTCCCAAGCGGCCATGTCCCAGGCTGCCATGTCCCAAAGCGACATGTCCCAAGGTCCCAGCCGCACCAGGAACCCCAACGCCGAACCACTCTTCCTCCCTTCACAGACACAACGCATGACCCAACAGGAGGTCCTGGACATGGCTGGCATGGGCGACATTGACCTCGAGGCAATGATGGATGACGCAGACGCCGAGGATGCCGAGGAGAGCAGGCTTGAGAGTGGCGCGCCTGCAGACTGGGACGAGGTCGAGTTCCAGAACCTCCGGGCTGACCTCATGTCCACGCAACAGAACACCGATCCCGGGACGTCACAGCGTATCGTCTCACCACTTCGCCGTCAAACACAGGCGATCGATCTCTCAGATACAGAGTTTGAGCCCAACACGGACATTTTTGGCGACACGACAAGCATATCGCCCGTCAAGACCCAACGCCGCTCGAGGTCGAGGTCAAAGTCGCGTCAAAGGGAGCGGTCAAGGTCGCGTACTCAGGAGAATTCTCCTCCTCCTGGCATGGATGCCAGGGAGGAATTGGACGATGATGACGAGTTTGAGGCTGATGAGTTTGATCCTACACAGCCGTCTGGTCGAAAGGTGGGTGTCTTTTTCATACCGGAGCTGACCCAGCAGTTTGAGTCCTTCTTCACGGACTGATACCCTCATGTACGATACTGCCAGACTTTTTTTTCCTTTGGTTCCATGCCTGTGCACCTGTATGCATCATCTGTATCTCCCAGCTCGTTTGATGCGCCCTCCATGAGGACCAGTTGTCGGTAAAGACGCTATCCGAAAGGGCGCCCCACACGGCAATGACGCAGAGTGAGGCTCTTCCAGACCCGTCGATACTTCCCTTCTACCACGCATGGGCCACACCGTCAGCAGGCAGCACCGTCAGCTCTGTGTTCATCGCCTATTTTTTGTCTCATTTGCCCATGTTCTCTCTTCCACCACGTCCTTCACATTCAGTCACCATGACACGAATGACCAAAGCGCTCTATCAAGTGGCTCAGAAACTCAAACCAGTGGGCCCGCCACCATCCCACACCAAGCCGAGCCCCCCTACCGCCTCGAAGCACGAAGCCATCCTCCAGTCCGCTGACGGTACCCCCTTCCGCATCCCGCTCGACGCCCTCGATACGCTCGCTGCCCGTTCGAAATTCTTTGAGGACCTGGCGGACGCTCCACTAAGCGAGGACCCGGACGATGACTTTATCATTCCCCTCGCGCACGCCACCACCCCCGTCCTCCAGCTGATCCTGGACATGTGCGTCGCCGACAAGCCCTTCACAGTCTCGTCCGACTCCCTCCCTCTACTCGATGACCTCTTGGACGCCGTGTTCGAGTACAACCTCCCCGTCGCACTCGACCGCCTGGTGTTTGACCCTGAGGACCAGACGGCTTTCTTGCAGTTTACTCTCTGGGCCGTCCGCTTGGTCCTCGACGACGACTATGGAACGCTCGCCAACTTGAGCAAGTGGTTCAAGAAGCTCTTGGGAGACGGCGCGGTCCCACGCGAGGCCTTTGGCGCGGTCGCCCTCCATGTTCCACCCTCAAGTGTCAATGAGTGGGCCGCTGCAACGCTGGCCACCCGCGCGCCCAAGGCTTGGGACTCGTTTATGCGCGTGTACACCCGCCAGCAGCTCGTTCTGGACCAGCTCCTTTCTGTGGACATTGACGCCGCGATTGTTGAAGTGCACTCTGGCCACGACTGGTCGTGCCCATGCTATACCGACTCACACGATTCGGACGCAGACTCGGACACCGATACCGTCACGCAGTCCAACCGGCCCCATATCACAATCACGTCTGCAATGGTCAACAAGTTCCACGCCCTCCGCCTCGCCCAGAGCGGCACGGTCACGGACCCGAGGACGTTTGTGTGGCTTGCGTACCACACCATCAAGTGCTCTGCATGCCGTTGGGAGGTGAGGGACGATATTGCTTGGGTGTGGGCCACGCGCAGGGCGAGGGACAGTTGGGGCAACTGGATCAAGGCGGTGGAGAAGAAGGTCGTCCGTGAAGGCGGTGGCTGGGAATGGGACACGGATAAGGCGATCAAGTGCCTCTGGCAGGGAAAGTGGTTGCAGTAGAGGTGTGGACATAGGTCGTTAGGGGCTGCGCTTGCCCCTGCTTATGTGATACTTGTGGACTAGGACACTGACAGCTGGTTTCCTGCTGACCTCTTGCGTTTGAGTCTTTACTATCCAATGGCGAGAAAAGGGGTGTACCGTCGGTATGCCAGTTTCCCAACTCATGACAGTCTTCCTGCGCAAGGACGACGACGTGCTGATAGCTCGCTACAACATTGTCACTCTGGTCACCCACGAGTTCTCATAATTGCCGGCCAGATAACGGCTGGGCTCTACTTGGTCACCTCAGTGCTTGTCTTGGACTCTCCATGTATTCACTACGGCGTCACTGCAAGCCCATCCTGACCCCTCCATGTTGTTTCAGACTCACTCTCTTCTATACCTGCATTATGATGACCCCCGTGGGGGTTCAAGTCATCTACGGCTTCGATGCAGTGTGGCGCTCATGTTAACCTTACTGCCACCAATTCCACCAATATCCGCAGCCAGACTGGCCTTGGAGGGGCGAGTGAGTGGGGAGGGGCGGAGTATGCCGCCTACGCACAGACCGCGCCTCTGTACCTCTGTGTTCCTTTCCAACCCTCACAGGACTCGACAGGAGGCTATACGATCCACTTGTGGCGGCGAACAAGGCGCCAAAAAAGGAGATTTAAACCCGACTGGCGGAGAAATATTGGTGCCACTGATAGAAACAGAAGCTATTGCTTTATCCCTGCTGTTCGAAACCCCATTTGTGACATTCTTTACACATCTAGACTAGTTCCAGAGCAAGGGATGTGGAGTGGGGCCTCCAGCAGCAGTGCGACCACCACGAGTAGGTGACTGCACGGCGCGGGCCGAGAGCCGGGCCGGCAAAGAATCCACAATTCCCACCGGTATCTGTCGGTGAATATCCTGAATATCCTCGGACCTGACGAGATCGACGGAGCCGAACACGCCGACAGGCCTCTAGGCCTCTATGGCGCTTGGAACACGCGGTGGGCGTCGACTCCTTGCACCCCAGTGAGGGTCTTCCGCACGCACAACCCGCTCTTTCGCCGGCTGTGTACAGAGTGTGAGATGAGTAGGAAACAAAAAAAACAGAGGTATGGTGGCCCAAAGACGGACGATTTCATCATGTCGCGCCGCTCGAGATATCACCGTTCTGTTTTGTTACACTTTCAATTGTTAACTCTTTCCTGATGAAGAACAAGAACGCTCGCAGCTCACTAATCACTGAGTTCATCCCGTTAAGAGCGGCGGTCGCCGATTTCGGCCCGAAAAGCGCAGTTGTGCCAAGACTGATCTGACGCCAAGCCCGATACGAGAAATGTGGGTGATCGAACCCTCACCAGTCCTGCTGTTTTATCAGTTTTCTCCGTTTTCTTGGCCACGCTGTTGCAACCACTACCTCTGGCGGGGCATCAGTCACTTTGCGCGGGGCTGGCGGGCCGTTGCTGGAGTCTCCGCGCCGGGCGGTCCGGTGCCCCGTCCCGGCGGTCCGGCCAACAACTGACGAGATCACCGAATGTACGACACCCCGTGGGTGGGTTGTAGAGGGCTTGGCATCTGCTGCGGGGGTCTGGCGGGTATGGGTTTCCAGTTATCCAGTGAATGATAGCCCTTCAATGCGTCGGGGTGCTGTGGGGTCCCATGTGCTGAATCTTAGCATATAAACATCGTTCCCCGACAGACAGCTAGGCCCCACAACACACTCCCCACAATGTCTCCCAAACAGCACGTCCAGGAGCTCGACTCCAAGCCTGAGTTGGATGCTCAAGAGTACATCGACACCCCCGACGAGGAGCTCAAGGGGGGCAAGGCCAAGGTCAACAACCAGCTCGACCAGGCCGCCCAGATCCTCGCCGATGCCGGCCATGTCGAGTTCTCCAAGGAGGAGAAGAAGCGCGTGCTCAAATGGATCGACTTCTATGTCTGTCTTCCCATGTGTATCGTCTACTGGATTCAGCAGGTGAGTTTGCGCTCTGCAGGGCGAGTAGAAAGTTGGAGGTGCATTGTGACGGAAATTCATTCCGACTCTCCTAGCCACTTCCACAAACCCCACCTTTTTTTTTGTCACTGCGACCTCTGTGGCCTCCCCGGATGCAATACCCGATGCTAACGTAACAGATGGACAAGGCGACCGTGACGTACGGTGCCCTCTTCGTAAGTCTTATGTGAACTGCTCTTGGGCTCCTGCTGACGGACCAGGACCTGCAAACCGCTCTGAAGCTGCACGGCCAGCAGTACGCACTGCTGAGCAGTATCGTGTACATTGCGCAGCTCATCTGCCAGCCTCTGTCGGCTTATGCGCTTGTCGTCTTCCCCGTCAAGTACTGGGTCTTGGCCAACTACTTCGTCTGGACAGTCTGCACCATGTGCTGTGGTGAGTCTTGTGCCCTGTCTCGCCAGGACGTCTGAGTACTGCCCGCTAACTTTGTAGCTGCGTGCACCAGCTGGAAGTCTCTGATGGTCTGCCGCTTCTTCCTCGGCGCCGCCGAGGCGACTATTCTCCCGTCTTTCGTCATGATCACCCAGATGTGGTGGACTCGCCGTGAGCAGAGCTACCGCACTGTCACCTACCAGATCGCCAACTCCATGGCCGCTATCACGGGCCCGCTGATCGCCTGGGGTATCGGCCACGTTACCAAGGGCATTTACGCCTACCAGGGTATCTTCCTTGTGGTCGGTGCCGTCGGTGCGTTCTTTATCCCCATCGTCGCCTGGCTGCTTCCCAACTCGCCCGTCACCGCGCGCTTCCTCCGCAAGGGCGACGACAGGCTTATCGCCCTCGACCGCATTCGCGAGAACAACACCGGTACCAAGTCCAACGTCTGGAAGTGGCACCAGGTCCGTGAGGTCCTCAAGGACCCTAAGACCTACATCTGGGCTCTCATCTACCTTACCTCGACTCTCGCCGCGTCCGGTTTCGGCAAGTTTGGTGGTCTGATTATTAAGGGTCTCGGCTTCACCAGCTTCAGCGCCACCCTCATGGGCATGCCTACTGGTGCCGAGGCCATGGTTACGCTCGCGATCGCCATTTGGGTTACCAACCGCATTAAGATGCGCTGGCCCGTTATTGCGTTCATCTGTTTCTTCCCTATCGCCGGCGCCGTCGGTATCCGCGTGCTTGACCGCTCCAACCTTCCTGGTATGGTCGCCTCGTACTACGTGACCTTTGTGTACGCCGCCATCCAGCCCCTGTTCTACGCCTGGGCCAACCTCAACCAGGCCGGCTCGACTAAGCGTGTCGTCATGTTTGCCATCATGTTTGGCGCCCAGTGCCTCGGTAACATCATCGGCCCCCTCGTTTGGCTCGACAAGGAAGCGCCCAAGTACTACACTGGTCTCGCTTTTGCCATTGCCATGTACTGCGCGCTCTTCTGCCTCGTGGTCGGCCAGGGCTTCTACTTGAAGTACCTCAACAAGAAGCAGCGCGAGCGCCGTATCGCCATGGGCCTCCCTGCCGAGCTCCAGGACATCTCCATCATGACCCTCAACGAGGCTACCGCCTACAAGGCCGAGCTCATGGAGGCCCTGCGTGCCTCGGGCGGAAACATGGACATCTTCTCCGAGTCGTTCGACGACTTGACCGACTGGGAGAACCCCATGTTCATGTACGTGGTCTAGGCGGGAGCAGAGAGGCAGGATAGGTCGTGCGGGGATGGTAAATAATGGGATCTGGATATGTAAGAGGATCTGCGAGTGAGTTTAGGCCTGCGTGGAAGTGAATGCAAGCAGTGTATATGGCAACATGGCCCCCTGATTCCGAGCACTCTATGCAGCAGGCGGAACAGGGTTTATCCTATTTATCGGCCATTTTTCAGTATTTTCGATTTTGCCACAACCACGTGATAGAGTTCTGTGTCCCCTCGATTCACTGTTCCGCAACCAGCACAGCGTGGGTAGTCTCAGCTGCCTGACAATGTAGGCACTCGTCCAAATCTGCCACAACACGCGCAGCACGTACATACCTGCCTATCGCCCCCTCTGTCGAACAGTCGAGCCAACGCTCCAAATGCCTGGACCACGGCCTGCCAACGGTCCCGGGTCTGGATGCTTCCGCTGCACGATACCACCATACAGATTCATAATACTGTTACACCTTGTTACGGTACTTACATACAGACACGCTACACAGCTCAATAGTCCCAAAGGTCGGCGTCGGGGTAATAGTAGGAAATACAGTCTTCATGGGTCGCTGGATAGTCGTACCACGTTTGGGTAATCCACACGTACATGAGAATCGGAGTAACCCACGCGCGACACGTTGGACACTTGATGGTGTAGTATGACAAATGACAGAAGTCATCGGCTGCCTCTCGTTCGAGGTGCAACGTTTCGTCATACCAGGGCTGGTCGGCTAGGAAACATGCCCGGGCATACGGTGCGAGTCTTGCAGTCGCGACAGCCGATGACTGGGGCGTTGTGGGTCGAGTTGAACAGGTTCATCTCTTGCAGTAGCTGATCGCGGCGGCGGAAGAAGCCCACGATCGCATCGTAAACTGGTCGAGCGTGGCGGCTGAGTTGGACGATGGACCATCGATGGATGTCACAAACCGACGCGATAGTTAGGCCGCCGTGCTTGTCGATGAGCGGGACGATAACCCATGTCGTGTCGCCACCTTGGTCGCGCAGGGCCCGATCGATGGCTTGAACAGTCAACTCGAACAAGGCGATGTCTTTGAACAGATTGTGCGAGTTCCTGATGATCTGATCAAAGCCGAGACGTAGGTCATACAGTGTGGCCAGGGTGATACAGTCGTCAACAAGGTGCAGCGAGGAGTCGATTGGGAGGAGAGGATATTCTGCCTCGTGCAAATCCCTCCACTCTGGATCTGCTGCGAGTTCTTCCCAAACGACAAGATCGAGCGTGTGTTTGAGCCCCTCACTTGATATCCCCAGGAGAGGGATTACACGAGCGTCGTCTTCCCCTTGAGGAGTAGGGAGGTCTGCAATGTCGGCGAAGAATGGAGAGTGTTTGGCGAGGGTCTGGAGCTTGAAACGGAAAGAGACGCCGTCATCCGACTCGAGAATGTGGCCGTCGTCTTGGACCGTGTTGTACTCGGGATGGAAACGGCGTGCTGCTGCCTCGCCCATGGTGTAGCGTATATGTTAAGGACCTGTACTAGACCTGTACTAGATGAGATTGAAGAGGTGGTGATGGCACAGTATTGATCGCTGGTCGCTGAGCTCATCGCCTGACAGCCCGCCCGAACCAATGGCCAGTTTGCTTCCGCGTCGTGCCACTTGCTGTCCTCATCCGCGACTCTGTGCTGTCTCTCCACTCTGTATGTACACCTCAGGCAGGCTGCTTATGTTCACATGTGTCTTGTTCTATATTATACAAACGTTTAATACTGCATGGCACACTTCCTTTTCCCGTATCCAAGCCGTCTCTTCTGTCGGTCCTGCCGTGCGAGCGGTATGAGTGTTGTTTCTTGTTGTTGTAGGTATAATCGAGAAAGAATGGAACGTTCGAGTGGGTCGACCTTTGAAGGTGCCGTGGTCACAACTTGGGCAAGGGACTCAGGTAACTGATCACCCAATTTCAGTAGCTGATCATGTTCTCGGTGTGCGGGACTCAACACCGATCGAGGTCTGGTAGCGAATCCGCTCAGCGTTCATTGGATGCTGTGGCTCTCCGCACCGTGGGCAGCAGTGGCCCGCTCGTTGTCCTAGAGATAGGACCACTCATCGGCCCACTCACTGGCCCTCTGAGCCTCGGCCCACTCAGCCTCCATGAGGGCATCGGTGTAGACGTCCGTCCACCACTGTGCTTGTTTGGCAGCGTCACGCGCCTTCTCTTCCTTCTCTTCCTGCAGCCGCTTGTACGCCGTCAACTTCGCTTGCAATGCTTGGGCCTTTAAAATCGTAAATTCGTGGAGGGCATCGAGAGCGCGTGGTTGGTGAATCGAAAGGATAGTTGTACACCATTCGCTGATGGGGAGCGATTTTTCGAGCTCGTTCGTCCAGTAGGCCATTCCCCATTCGTGGTCGTGTCCAAAGAGCAGGCAAGCAATAGTGTATCCCAATGCTGGATTACGGCCCGCGCCTTGCTGAATGCAGAGTTTTTGCCACAGGCAGTACAGGCCATGCCTGAGCTCAAAGCTCAGAGCCAGCTCGACGAGTTGTTCTAGGAACCAAGGATACCACACCATGTGAGGCATGATCAAGGGGACCTGGCCGCCACTGGTGAGGTTGCGGGCCGCATCGAGTGTGAAAGCCAAGGGTCCGGAGGAGATCGAGGGGAGCGGGATAACGTTGGGAGCGGGGTGGTTGCTGGTGCCGTCGGCGTTGAGTGTGAGGAGAGGTTGGGGGAGTTCGTTGAGGGCTTGAAAGAAGGGTGAGAGCTCCGCCAGACTGGCCAACGAGTAGCGAAAGACGACCCCGTCGGATGTCTCGAGGACGACACCGTCGAGGGGGCGATTGTAGCGTGGGTGGATGCGGCGTGGGTGGATGAGTTCTAGCGGGTCGTTCATGGTTGCAATGGAGGGTGATGAAGAGGTTGCACAAGATCGGCAAGTGATGGATGGGGTGGCAAAAACATGACGCGTCACGGCCGTTTCGGAACCCCCAGGCGTGGCACAGATCGACGTCCACACTCTCTCTCACTCTCGCACTACTGCCGACACTTCGTGATCCGCACATTTACCCCGTTTTCTCAACAACCACTGCCTCAACCCACCTCATCTCTTCACCCAGTATATCTTCTCCACTTGTAGAACATCGTCGCCGATCCCGTGGCGTAATGGTAGCGCGTGAGATTCCAATCTGGGATACGAACGAAGTGTCTCCCATCCGAGAGGATGGCGAGGCGACTACTCCTCAAGGTTGTCCGTTCGATTCGGGCCGGGATCGTCTTTTGCTCCTGGACGACCTGGAGGGTACGGAGAAGGGCATATGGGGCCTCTTGGACATGCATGCGGGGCCCTCACTGCCCACAGTGAGCACTCGAGTGGTATTTGGCGAGGTACACAGTGTTGTTGCTGTTCGAAAGTCCATGTTATCCGAGTGCCACTCGCTGGCCGGCATGCACGTGGTGCAATCAACAACACTGTGCCATTGTCAAAGAACGTTCATTGTCGTTGTCGTCAGTCAGGACCTGGCACGGAAGCGTTACAAGCAGTGTCGAGGCCCTCGATTTTGTCATTATGGCAGCTTGTATAACAAACGACACTGGAATCTGGGATGCAATGCGTTCCCAGGTTCCGGAGGGCAGGTCATGTGCCACTCGTTGTTCTGCGACTGTACGAATGAATGTCCAGCTCTCTCCAAAGGTGTTGCCATGCAGTGTGCACAATCTCTGACCTTGGAGTTTGGGACCACATGCATACCTCGTATAGCCTAACGTTGGGCACAGCCCACCGTTCCAAACCCTTTACAGGAGTGTGACAAGGTGCCCTCTATACATGGGACGTACGCGGCGCCTGGTGTGCACACGCCTATACCGGCCGCGGCCATTGCTCGGCCCCGAAACCAAAGAGCGGCCAGCCCAGAGAGAGACGATCTACAGTACAATGTGCGCGCTCTCGACCGACGACATGAGCTGCCCGACGCCAAGGCTTGATGGGAGATGAACCCTCTCCCTGGCACGCCATGTACGCCAACGTCACAGACAGCCCTGTCTCTCCTCGGTCCGCCATATGTGAACCGATGCTCCCTATCGTTTGTTTTTATCCTGGTCTGCCCATCTGGCCCGTTTCGTGTCTCGCAGCTGTGAAAGGTCTTGGACAGTCACGCTCGACGCCTGTGAGGGTTCTGGCCGCACGAGCCTCGACGAGCTAGCTGGACGCTCGAGCGCTGGCAGGTCAGGTGGCGCTGGTAATGTTTGGCGGCGTGTCGGGGTCGTGCACCGTGCGCTGGGGGTGCACGAGCACGCACAAGCACGCTTGGACTGACCGCCGGGGTAGAGCGTGGCCTCCATTGTGTGTTGTGCGTGCTTGCATGCATGTGCTGGCCGTGCTGGCCGTGCTGTAGGTGGGCATATGTCCACCCACAAAAGGCCGCCCGCCGTAGCGCACGCCACAGAGCGCACTCGTCACGCCGACTGGGGCTGTCACAGTTCGGGCGGGGGAACCTGGCGCGGCTGATTTCTAACTTTCTTTTCGACTTTTACCTCTTCGTCAACGTTAGTCAGCTCTTACTCACCATCAACAGCCAGCTACCGACCACTCTATTCACGACCTCTTCAACGACAACCTGCTAGCTTTCATTGCTAGCACGACCTCTCCCCTTCACCCACACTCTCCTACCACTGCTCGACGCCACCGCTGCGCCACCTACTACCCACCCCAGCCTGCGGTGCCCTTTGTCACCCACCCTATACCTACCCAATTCCCTCTTCCGGTCGACACTCACTATCGACTTATCATACCTATACCCAAGCCAGAGCCTGCTTGGTCACAACCAACACTTGTGGGCTCACTCCCAACACCAACCCAGTGAGCACAACACAACTTGGTTACCAGTTGCAGGCGCTGATCATAGTTGCCACGGCCTTTTGAGACGGGCGCTGGGGCCTCTCACCTCTTCACATTTCACCTCCTTCACAACGACACATAGCCTAGAACGGCCCCCACAGCAACCACATGTTGCTGTCATGTCTTCGTGAATGAGTTAACTATACACGATACCTTGCTACGACTTTTAACGACCTCCACGACCCTCACGCACCCACTCTCCTCGGTTGAGAGTGGCACCCCCCACGATTCCCCACCAAGACCTCCTTAGCTCGTCTTGTTTACTCTGAAGATCCTTTTACGACCCCAACACAGACGATCCTCACCCCGCTCAGCCTTCTGCGCGCGCGGTAAACACCCCCCTCGTCCACGACTCACAACACGATTCTCGCCATGACCACCTGGAGTGCCCGAGGGCACCATCTCGCTCCAGAACCAGCTGGCAAGACACCGGACGCTCCGTCGTCCACGGCTGGTTTCAAGAACTCTCTCCGCAAGATTCCTTCCACTTTCCTCCTCCGCGCAGACCCCCGCGGATTCCGCGACACCACCCTCAATGGCAAGCCACAACCCAAAGTTCGCAAAGGCCTCGCCAGTATGTTTGGCCGCGCCCGGGCCAGCCCTCCCACCGTCACCGAAACTGTGGCAGTGGCATCCCAGCCAACATCGGGTACCAAGTCACGTAGCTGGCTTCGTCCCCATGTCCGCTCCGTTGAGCCCGAGAACAAGCAGCGCCCCAGTTGCGGACCCGATCCATTTGGGCATCCAGGAGAGGGTGCAGCACACATCGTCGCGCGCCCGTTTGCCGTTGCTCAGCCTGACCCCACCGTCAAGGCTCTTCAGGCTGAACGCCGCCCAACCCCCACCACCACGACCGACTGCGACCGCACTTCTGACAGTCTCGAAAGTGACGAATCCTGGGTGGCGAGGTGAGTACATTACGTCGGGATGCCAGCTTATGTCGCAGCTTGAGCAACTATGCTGTTCCCGAGTTTGAACTTCAGTCGACCTTCGCCCAAGACGAACCCGCACTTGACATTCCACCACGTGTCTCGTCTCTGGGAACGGTTAAGCGTATTGCAGAGCTCACGGAAGCTGCTGCTCCCAAAGAGACTCTCAAGAAGGACAAGACAATGTCCAGGGTCTGGAGCATCCTTACCCTCAAGAAGAAGAGGCAGACGTTTGACCGCACATGTGAGCTTCACCGCCCTGTTGTTTCTTGGAGCTCACCATCAGCTACGCAAACGTCGTCGCAGGACATTACCCCACCTCCCACAGCCCTGGGAGGCACCCCGCAACGTGTTACCCCTGCACCCCGCCTACCAACTCTGCACGTCACCAAGCCATCGACCGACCTCGACCCTGTGCTCTCGAGCCCATTTGTCGACCCTAACTCGCCGTTTATGGCAGCCAAGTCCTGGTCATCGGCCAGTGTCGGAACTGGCAGCAGCCGCCGCTCGTTACCCCAGCGCAAGAGCCTCTCGGGCTTATTTGGTTTCGACATCAAGGAGAGCCTCGCCGAATTCCACTTGGCCTCGTCGGGCAAGCGGCAGTCCACCCCCAGGAGGGACCAGGCGAGCTTCGACGATGGAACTCCCCACTCGGTTGAAGTCCACAGTCGCTTTGGTAACGCTGCGTTTAGTCCTGCTGGCAAGGAGAAGCACCTCTCTGTCCTCTCAGAGAACCAACTGGAGCCAGGTTCCGACACCAGTCCCGACACAGCTGCCTTTTACAGTCGCTTCGGTAGTTCTGGTTTCAACGCTGAGGGCAGCTTGCAACAGCCTGACGGTAAGTTTAGAACCCTTGTGCTTTTGGGCTGACAGGCCCAGTGTCCATCCGGGACATGTCCACTGCCACTCGCCAGTTGTCCAAGATCGTATCCCACATGGATCCAGCTGCGAGCCCGACTCCACTCCGTAGCATCCGCTCCGCCATTCTCGGCAGCAAGCATGTCAAGAACGCTACCAAGAGCCCCCTCAGTGCCAACAACAGCCCTCGCAAGCGCGGTGCGCTCTCACGTGTGTTCCAGGCGGAGTCCGGTTCTCCCAAGGCTGGTTCAAAGTCCCCCGTCACAAAGTCTCCCGAGGCCAAGGCTCCTTCCACGCCGCCTTCGGCCCGCATCGGCACCAAGACCCCGGTTACCAGCATGGTGAAGAAGGGCATGCGCAACATCTTTGCCCCGTCATCGCCAGCCTCGCCCGTTCCACCTGTGCCGGCCCAAAAGTCACCACTCAAGTTCGGTCACTTGCCAATTTCGCCTGCTCACCTCTCGCCTTGGGGTCCCAAGTCGTACTGCTCGTCCCTCTCCAGTGCCACCAGTGGCGAGGTTGCCATCGAGCTCCAGGCCCCGTCCGAGGCTACATCGTCCAACCACTCGCTCGAGGTATATGACGATCGCCACCTCAAAGCTCACCCGTACTCCCTCGGTCTTCCACCGCCTCCACCTGCCAACCGCAAGGTCGACCGTCATGCTCACCGCCGACAGACCTCGCGTGCCCAAGACAACACAGACACCGACAACCGCCAGTCGTTCGACTTTACCGGCGAGTATGCGCGTCTCAACACTGGCACGCAGCGAGCCAGCTTCATGAGCGCTCTCCAGCATGCTCAGACCGCCAAGGTCGACCCATCGCCGCTCAAGCAGCATGCTCCCCAGGTGCCCAAGTTTGACCCCGACGACTCGTTGGAGATTCTCGACTCGCCCGGTGACCACAAGCACAGATCGCCGTCCCCATTCAGAGGCCAGCCGGCGTTCCAAGAGTTTGTCGCTCAGACGCGTTCCGGTCAGCGCAATGCCCCACCATATGCGCTTCCTCCTCCGCCTGTTGGTCGACGCTACGGTGGAGGGCAGTCGCACGAAAAGTCGTTGTCCGACATTAGCTTTGCGTCCATCTCGAGTCTCGGTGCGCCGATTGACATTCGCTCGGACTGGACCAATGCGTTTGAACACAACTTTGCCTTCGTCGGCGCTCCACCGCCACTCATTCCGCTGCCGCCTCTCCCCTCCTTCCCTTCCTTCCAGTCCATGGGAGAGAGCGAGGTCTCATTCAACTTCAATCCCAACCAGCGTTCCGAGTCGTTTGCGTCGTTTGAGTCGCTCAACCACGCAGACATCTCGTTCACCCACGGCGGTCCTCCACTTAGCAGGCACCCTCACCGTCGCCCGTCGCACTATGGCAGGCGCAACGTCAGTGGTGGCTCGACAACGACCGACAGTGGTATCGGCCGTTCTGACTGGCGGTCGCGGGGTATCAGCACGTCCTCTAACATGTCCACGTCCTCGAGCATGGCCTCTATTGCCCACCTTGGTCGTCCAGGTCTCGGTGACCGCATGTTTGAGCGCGACCAGGGCGTACAGCTCACCTCCATTGAAGCGTCGCCAGCCGATGAGACTTGGCAGTCCCAGATGGGTGGTCGTGAGCGCCACTCGTACGCGTCTACCATGGAGGGCGGCTACGACGGCTCGACGGAGGGCGAGTCGATCTTTGGTGGTCCTTCGGACACTCGTCTGGAGGCTGCTGCTAAAGACTTTTTCCTCAAGGGTATTCGCCACATGTCCGCAATCAGCCTCTCCAGCGAGGAGGACACGGCAGTCAAGCACAACCCCCAGGTCGGCTCGCCGACCCTCAAGGGCGACATGGCCGTGGCCGACCTCCTCGTGCCGTCGTATATTCCCAAGCATCGCACTGGCGCATCGCTTCCTGGACCTTTCCGTCCTCGCGAAGCCAAGCACCGCCGCCGTCCCGCGCCGCTCAACTTTGACTCTCAAGATGAAGAGACTCCAGGCCTCACCTCGGCGTGCACCTCGACTGATGCATCCTCCTTCTTCTCCGTGGACATGGGATACAAGCACGGCGGTGTCCTGGGACTCCCTGCTGCGCTCAGCATTGGCCACTCCCGCCAAAAGTCGTCGGTTGCCAGCGGCGTCCAGGTCCAGCCGACCATCAAGGAGGAAGACTCGCTCGCGACGCTCCGCCAAATGCCGCCACTTCCCAAGGCCTACCGCGCCCCCGTGCCTCAGCAGGCCCAGGTGTGGGAGGTTAATGACAGCTTTGAGCTTTCCCAGGAGGCCGACACGTCGTTGGGCCGCTGGAAGCGCGAGGAAGCCGAGGCAATCGCTGGTGGCAAGGCTGACTGGGCCGACACTTCTATCGAGTCTGAACGTTCCACGATGGGTGGGTACAGAAACCACGACGGTCTTAACCCAGCAGACTTGGCAAAGCCCATGACGCAGGATGACATTGCCGCATTTATCGCCAAGTCCCAGGCCATGTATAAGCCCCTCGAGGAGGTCCAGCACAAGCCAGTCCAGCGCCACGTCCGTTCTTTGGGCAACTCTCGCGCTGCGGTCGCGCCCTACGGTCTTCCGATCCCTCCGCTGGCGACGAGGTACCAGAACAAGCGCGCCTCCACTGGGGACGACGACATGCCACACTCTGCTTTGCTTGCCGAGTTTGCCCGTGACGCTCTGCCCCCGTCTCAAGTCACCTCCCCCACAGCGACCGAGGATGCATCCGGCGACGACGACTCGTGCGACACTTCGGTCCGCTCCCAAGTGACATCCTCGGCCCGTCGTCGCGCCCTCGGCTGGGGTCGCCGTCGTCCAAGCGATGCTGCTGAGATTGCGATCTCGCCTCCACCCCTCGCCTCCGCCACTGAGACTCGGTTCCCCACAGAGAGGCCCAAGATGACCCGTTCCGAGACGCTGCCTTCGTTTATCTGCTTCAGCGCCCAGAAGCCCGAGTCCAAGGTCGCTTCCCAGCGCCACTTGAAGTCCGATGTCGATGTCGAGGATACAGACGTCCGCACCATGCCCGCGAACCAAGCGCCTAAGCCCCAGTCTGAACCCGAGGACGAGGACGAGGCCCTCATGTTTACCCCTAAGAAGGACAGGTCCAAGTCCACCCTCGGCGCCAGGAACCCCACTCGCCCCACCACCAGGCCCCGTACCGCCATGCACGTGCACGTCGACAGCTCTGGCTCACCTCTCAACCTGAACACTTACCAGGGCAGCGTTCCCCTGGTCCGTGTTCTGAGCAACGGCAGCGGCGATCACCAGTCTCCTCTGCGCCGCATGGCACCTCTCAAGCCCCTCCAGCTCGTAAACACCCGCACCATCAAGCCGCTGCCCACTAAGAAGTCGCAGTCAAAGATTCCTCTCAAGACGCAGCCGTCAACCTTGGGAACGACCAGGCCCGCCAGGCCGGCCTTTAGCCACCACAACCCCCAGTATGGCTCGTTCGGCAAGGCCGACAGACTCGCCGCGGTCAACATGGGTCGCTCGCTCCACGTCTGAGCCATCGACTTTATTCATGTCAACACATACCTATACGACCGGAGATCCGGTGCGACGTACTTTTTGCAAAAATCTCGAAAATACACACAGCCCACGAAAAAGACCAGAAAACCCATACAAAACAGGCAACCAACCATATGGTGCCACGACCGACCTAACCCGCGCGACCATACAAGCAGCGCTTTCTTGTGTACACTTTTTACCCCCCTACCCCAATGCCTTTTAACGCTACGAGATGAAGGAGGATGTGCGGCGAGGAGAAAGTTGTAGCCGCGCAGAAACAGTTGTACACACTCCAAGAAGGAATGCAGCCCATGTGTCAAGTGTTCAAGATGTCATGTCTCTATCTATATGCTAATGGCGGTGGCGGAAATTGCTGCCCTACTCCTTGACGACCTCGTACACCTCGCCATCGCCCTTCCACCCCTCGTCTCCCCTAGCGAGCACCTGGCCCCAGAAGCGCATGATGGGCTCCCACTCGGGTCTGCCGCGGGGCATGTCCTCGCCCTGCCCGCTCCCCTTGGCGACTTCCATCGTCGTGAACGCGCGCTTGAGCCCCGTCTCCTGCTGCGGCTTTGGCGAGCGCATAAACCACAGTACGGGCGTGGGGGCATGTATAGCTGCAGAGGGGAACGATTCCAGCCCCGCACACACCGACACGGCCGATCCCAGCCGCTTGGCCTCGACGGCGACCTCTTTCGGCTGTGCTGACTGCTCCGTGACGGTGAGCTTGAACTGGAGCGGGGTACGGCCCACGGCCAGCGCGAGCTCGAGCGCCATCGTCCCGCCCTGGCCCCATCCGAACAGGTGGATCTGTTCCGCCCGCCACCCCAGCACAGTTATGAGCGTTGTGAGGAGCTTGCGCAGCGCCGGGAGCGTCGGCGACGGGTCCGGGTGCGGCAGGGGGTTGAACATTGGGTCAAAGGTGTTGTACCACGTGTACGCGCCGTCGAGGAGGGGGATGCTGTGATGGGTGTCAGCTGGCTGGTACCGGAGATATCGCTGTAGCTGACGTTGAGTCGTGATGGTGTAAGGGGCTAGGAGATAGGAGAAGGAGGAAGAGAGCGAGAGGGAAGAGGGGAGGGAGGGCGACTGAGACTTGGGGGGCTGCGCGTTATTTGATCGATCACCAGCCCCATAGCCTTCGAGTCATCTCCGTCCCCCCGACACTGCGGCAGAAGCTTGCAACTCACACATTGGGAGCTTGTAATGAGAGCACAGCGGTTGAAGGCAGGTTGAGTTGCTTACCCAGTCCTGCAAATGCGGCTTTGGTGTCGCCTGGCGGATGTCAGCTGCCGTTGCTCGAACAGCTGGCTTGCGCTCGTGCTCGTCGCTCCTCCGGCCAATTCATAGAGCTCTACGTCACAGCTGAGTTCCATAGCTCAGACCTATGACCGGGGGTACGAAGCATCGCGCACGACTATCTCCACGGTCTCCCTCAGACTCACCCAGGCCATGGAACATGATCAACAAGTTGGCGTCCTTGCCGTCTGGTGCGGACCTGTAGTCGAAGTCCCACGGCGCAAGCTGTGCCCGCGTGGGCACAGCCTTCTTCGCTGCCGGCGTCGGAGTCGCTGGCTTGAGTGTGAGCGGCGTTGACGAGCTCATGGCGACGCGATTCCCGATGGGACAATGTACAGTTGACAGTCGGACGTTGGGTCCGCTGGGTCAACTTGGGGGTGGAGGCGGGGAAAGAGGGACCTGGAGATTTTGGACGGGGTGGTCGCTTTTGGGCGGCAAATTGAATGTGCGACTTCTTGTTGTTGTTACTCATCCGCCTACACCATGCTCTTTTGCCCGTACTGCGCCAACAACCTCACCATCGGCGACGGCGACGACACTCCGGACAAGTGCTGGTACGTGTGATGCTCTGGCAGCGAACTGGCTCGGCTCGGAGGGAGGGCGTTGGGAGCTGGAGCAGCTGTTGGACGGTGCTGCCTGCCTGGTCACCCTCCACATCCACGCATGAGTTGGGCTCGACAGTTACGCCAAGACTGCGCGAATGTCGATATCAGTGAGACAAAGGCGCACATGCCATGTTGGTTCACTGTCACCTGGGATGCCAGCTGGTCGCTCGCTCGCTTGCGCTGCAGGCGTCCCCGCCTTTCAGCCCTCAACTTCATTCATGTTCGCGAGTCCACCGCTCACCTTTGCCAGGATCTGCCCCACATGCCCGTACAAGTGGATCATCACGCAGCAAATCAGCATGCGCACGCACTTGTCGCGTAAGCAGGTCGACGACGTGCTCGGCGGTGACGAGGCTTGGGCCAATGTCGACCAGACCGACAGTGAGTTGCGAGTTGCTTGAACGGCGTGTCGACGCATCGAGCTGGGACGGGGATGAGGCCTCGTTGCTGGGAGTCGCTGAAGATCTGTGCTGATAACTCCTTCCTTGCCTTGCCTGCTCTCGTCGTGCCCAACTTCAATCCTTTGTCCTTGTCGTTCTCGGTCACCTCCACTCGCAACCTCACGTCGACCTTCTCCGACATTTGCCGCCTCCTCGCCTTGGCCCCTTCCCCTGTCCACTTGCTCCCCTACAGTCGACTGCCCCAAGTGCGACGACTCGCGCCGCGCCTACTTCCGTCAGCTTCAGATCCGATCGGCAGACGAGCCGATGACGACGTTCTAGTGAGTGCGACTGAGATATCAGGGGAGGGATGTGGACCGTGGTTAGATGCCCAGCTACATGCTGCCAATATTAGCTGGCAGCTGTTGCCTCTCCACTTCTCATCTGCTGTGTTGAAGGGTTGCTTGCACCCTGCCGACCTGCCGTTGAGTTGAATTCCATTCAGCAGGTCAATGAGTATCCACTCCTCGGGAGCCATGCTCGCCGAGGCGCGCTAGAAACTCTTGACAGACGCTGCTGCAGCGAAAGAGCCCTGCGGCAGCCAGCAGCTGGCCACTCGTGCTACATACGCAACGCAACAGCTGACACCCTCTTCAGCAAGTGCGTCGGCTGCTCCTGGCAGTGGAGGGAAAACTAGACGGCGTACCATCACACGCCCGCGCCGGCGGACCTCCGGCTTGTTGTACATGCATCTGGGTCAATAGATACGAGCGAGAGCGAGAAAGTCTAATGTGGTGGAGTCTACTGAGCCCCAGCAAACGAAGGGAGAAAAATAACAAAGGTAGCGACGGCGGCTCACGCGTCGGCGATCGCTCCGTCCAACACGTCCATTATACGTTTCACGCGGCCCTTCTCCCTCGTCCTTGCCTCCCTGTCGAGTGCTGAAGCGTCGTTGTCGTCTCCCAGTCCGGGGACGTCGAGCTCTACCAGCCTCGCACGTTGGCGAGCTATCAGTCCATCCTGAGTGGGGAGAACGTGGGTGCGGAAGAAGGTGTCGAGCTCTTTCTTGAGTTCTCGAGCCCATTGCTGTGGGGTCAGTATCTCTGCTGATCCTGTCCTGTAATCGGTAGGAAGGGGATACCCACAGCCTGCTTGTCGGCTGGTACTGTCTTGCGTGTGATCTTGGCGCTGCAATGTCAGCGGGTGAAGTCGCGCATGCACCCACATCTCGCGCTCAGGCGCGGTCTTGCGTCCGTGATCAGCCTTGATCTTCTCCATGCGCGCCCACAGGCGGCGTTCCAGTGCATCCTGGTCGGACTTCATCTGCGGTCCTGTCAGCACAGCGCCCGCTGCTGTGGGAATCAGACCACACACACACACCTTCCTGAGCTCGCGGACAAAGTCGTCGTCTCGCAGCAAATCAGTGATGACGGGCAGGCAGCGCGTAAAGCTCCATGTAGCCTTGTTATCGTCCAGCTCGTCGGCTTTGCGTTTGCCCTTATCCACTGCTGTCGCCGATACCGCGACCATGGCCTCAGCTTCTGCGTTGCCCAAAGCCGACGTCGGACCAGGCCGCTGATCGCGGACACTCGCCGCGCCGCTCGTCACCATCCCATCACCAGACACACGGCGCACGCCGGCGGGTTCCCATGCCTTTGACGGACCAGGTGTCTGACCTACAGGGCCGAAGAGGTCAACATGCCCGCGGCGACCGTCAAACGCTGAGCTAGCGCCGGGCCGCGAGGGGCGGGGCTGATTTTGGGCAGCGGCGGTGGAGGTCGTTGGAGGCGTGGGGACGCCTGGGTGATCGCTCAACTGGGCAAGCAGTGAGGAAAGCATGCTTGACGACGGCACCGGTCCACCACCTCCTTGAGCGCCGGCTCCACCTGTGCCGCTCGATACACGCGGCTGCGGCTGGGATGTTGCCGCTGACGAACTGGGTCGGCGGCCAAATGTTGCTCCAGTGGAAGGTCCGCCCGTCGCTGCCCTCGTCGGCCCCGAGGTGGTGGTGGGTGGAATGTCGTCGTCTGTGCCCTCCTGCGTCTCACGGAGGAGGGCGAGGAGGCTCTGGACGCTCTGTGCGCTCCTGTCCTGCGATGGGGGTGAGCTGCTTGCTGCCGAGCACGGGGACGCACCTGGAAGCTCATTGCATGGCTTTAGGGTGTTGAGTAATGGACGATGACGAAATGGCCGGACGCACAGGAGTCGACATTTTAGACTTCGCGGTTCGGCTAATGATCTGACCTTTCCATCCAACATCTTCCAAAAGTGACGTCTCCCAACATCTCTCGCCATCGCCCACCCTTTTCTCTTCTCCCCCTCCCCCCTCCCCCCTTCCCACCTCGCCGACCTCCATGGCGGCGCCATCTGCCAGCGCCCAGCCGCCTATCGCGAGCATGGCCGTGCCCGTCGTTGCTGCAGCTGTGAACGCTTCGCCCACCGTCGCCTCACCAGCGGAGCCCATGTCGAAGGCCCAGCTGAAGGCCCAGCACCACCTCATGTCTGGTGGACTTTCAGGACTCACATCGGCGGTGTGTCTCCAGCCTCTCGATCTGCTCAAGACGCGACTCCAACAGCAGGGCACTGTTAATGGGCAGAAGCGGTATGTGGTGCAGGTGGAGCGCTGCTCATGGCTGTCTGCTCGTGTTGGGCACCGAGTGTCAGACCGTCCTGGCTGCTCATCACGAGCAGTCTGTATGACAGCCAGATGCCATTGACCATTAACTGACTCATCTCCAGACACCGCCTTCTCCCTGTCGTCCGTCAAGTGCTCCGCGACGATGGCATCTTCGGTCTCTGGCGCGGAACAGTGCCGACAATTGCACGGTGAGTATAAACACCATGGCGGGCCGAGTGTGTGGTGACTGACCTGTTGCAGAAACGTCCCGGGCGTCGCCATGTACTTTTACATGCTGTCTTCGTTCCGCTACGAAATGGCCAAGATGCCAATGTTTGCCACGACGGTCGAGACGACTTCGAAAGATGGCAAACAGCGGAGCGCACTGACCAAGTTGTCCTCGGGCGGCAACTTGGTAGCGGGTGCTGTTGCGCGCACAAGTGTTGGCTTTGTGCTCAACCCTATCACCGTGATCAAGGCGCGGTACGAGGTGAGTCACGGAGGAGGACGGAGGAAAGGGGGGTGACGGAGTTGTCAGTTGGTGGACGGCTAGGAGCTGCCGCAGCCTGCTGGCAGCTCGCGCGGCAATTCAGCTGTACGCTCGCCTCAGATTGAAACGAAGCTGACTCCCAGTCCAATGCCTACAACGAGTACCGCTCCTTGGGAGGAGCCCTGCGCAATCTCTTCGCTACCGCCGGCGTGCGCGGTCTCTTCCAGGGCTTTACAGCGACGGCAGTCCGCGATGCTCCGTACGCGGGTCTCTATGTCGTCATTTACGAAAAGTGCAAGGAGCTTGCAAGTGAGTCACTTTAAACTTCGGGCATGGCATGGAATGGGCGAGCCGGCGGCTCCAGCTGGGGTGGCCAGACTACGCATACTGCCGTTGTCATTACCAGTGTTGTTACCCTCCAAGCCCGAGAGCTAAACTCCCCAGGCCAAGCATTGACACTCCGCCCCGACCTGGCGGTTCCCAACGCGGCATTGCACTCGGGAAGCGCCGTGACCGCTGCCATGCTCGCTACAGTCCTCACTTCGCCGGCAGACTGTGTCAAGACGCGCATGCAAGTAGCGCCCAAGGAGAACCCCAATATCCGTCGGGCGATTGGACATATCTGGACTGTGAGTGGCTGTTGCTGCCCATTTGGATGAGTTTAGGGGTGTTCTGGCGGCGGCGGTTACTGCGTCCGTGTGCCACATCCGCCATCTTATCAATCTTCGGAAAGATACGCCCCTGCCGCATCCGAACTCTTGCAACCACGAGGCTGACGTTTGCAGGATTCCGGTATGAGAGGCTTCTTCGCCGGCTCATCATTGCGTATCTCGCGCAAGGCCGCCTCGTCAGCGATTGCGTGGACAGTGTACGAGGGCCTGTTGCTGGTCTTCCACGCAAGAGAGAAACGCCACAAGGCAGAGGCCGCAGCGCCGACCGCGTGATACCCGCCACAGACGACGAAAGTGTAGCAACACGTAGTAAAGAAGTAAACGGCACAAGGCAGCAGCAAACAAAGGGATATACCAACGGACCCATACCTCAAAAGGCCCTAGTTCAGTACCTCTGCACGACACGGCACCCGCGAGCCACCCCAGCAACCCCACCACACTCTCGACACTCCTCCCACACTCATCCTCACCCCCGCTTGATGACAAGCTTCTCCTCCTCTCCCTCCCACCCTTCTTGTACCAGTAGCATTTGAACCCCTGCACGGAAAGACAGAAAAGGGGGATCCCACCCCAGACCCCAACCCAAAGGAAAGGACGCTGTACCACCCCGGTGTAATGCATCACACATCTCCGAATTCGCACACAACCGCGGCGGCTCTCCGAGCAACTAAATCGTTGCAGACAGACACGTTTTCCATACATGCAATAAAAAGTGTGTCGGTTGGTATGTGTAAAGGCAGGACATGAGACAAGAAAACGACCACACCAACTCATGGCCTAGCGGTCACCAGCATGGCCACCACCCTCCCTCGGCGCATTGATGGGCTTGAACCCCATACGACGGGCGTACTCCCTCTCCTCTTGCTCTGTGAGGCGGTCCGCGCCACTCCAGTTGGCCGACGAGGTACGCGCGCGGAACTTGCCCTGGCGGGCCTTGAACAGCTCCTCCATGTTGAGGGGGCGGATAGCGCCGAACAGTTCGTCGGGGTTGACGTGGGCCTGCTGCTCGAGTGCGTGACGGAGCTCGGGGGACTCGGCCCAGGCCGGGCGCTTGAAGTCCGTCTCGCGGTCCGAGTCGTCCGAGTCAGAGTACTCGGACGCGATGTCGGGGAGGACAATGTCCTCGCTGGCCTGCTCGGCGGCCTTGGCATCCAGTTGGGCCTGGAGGGTCATGCGCGATTGCTGGAGCGAGGCAGCAGCGTGCTGGGGCGCAGGGGCGTGCGAGGTACGCGAGGGTGGGCCGAGGGGACGGCTCGAGCCGGTCGGGTTGACGAGTTGGATGGTCGGGGTACGGTGCTCGTCAGCGGCAGCGGTGGCGGTGCGGAACGACGTGGGGCCCATCTTGGACGCGGCGGCACCCTGCGACGAGCTGGCGCTGGCGGTCAGGTTGGTGGCAGACTTGGCTGGGCGGAGGGGTTCCTTGCCCTTAGTGCCAGGAGCAGGAGCAGGCTGGCCAATACGCTTGATAGTGGGCGTCTTGTTCAGAGCCATCTTGCGCTTGCGGATAGCCTCCTCCTCGGCAGCCTTGGCCCGCGCCTCAGCGGCCTCACGCTCCTCGCGTGCCGCCTTTTCTTTCTGGAGACGCTCCATACGCTCCTCGCGCTCCTTGCGGTTCTTCTCCGCCTCGGCCCAGCGACGACGCTTCTCCTCGGCTTCGGCGGCCTTGCGCTTACGCTCCTCTTCGGCGGCGGCGCGCTCCTCACGCTCCTTGCGCTTCTTGTCCTCGAGGCGACGGCGCTCAATCTGCTCGCGAAGGGCGGCCTTGCGGTCCGCAGCAGCCTGCTCCTTCTTGGCAGCCTCCGCGGCACGCTGGACGCTCTTGACGGCACCAGTAGCCGGCTTGACGCCGAGAGACTTGGCGGCCATACGTTCAGCCTGGGACAGAATTCCAGTGCTCGAGCGGGACATGGTCATGGAGCCGGTAGTCGAGGTCGACATGCCGCTGGCCGTGCTCGACATGAGACGTGAGCGAGGCTGCTTGCCCTTGGTCATGGGCATGTCATCGTCGAGCATGTCCTCATCGTCGGCGTCGTCGTCCTCGTTGGACGAGGCAGTCGGCGGGCGGACAGGCTCAAACTTGGTGCGGACAGGAGCAGTCATGGTTGTCTTTGCTGACACCTTGGCCACTGAGGCCTTGGCCCTGGGAGGCGGCGAGATGACAATCTCGGGAGCACGGATGGAGCGGACAGCACGTGGAGGAGGCGAGCAAGGGGGCGTGGTCGATTCAAAGTCAATGTCGATGCCGCGGGCACCGAGAGCTGACGCGGGGCCCTCTTCCACAGGGAGCGCGTCGTAGTCGTCACCAAAGTCAGGTTCGGGCAGCTCGGGAAGGGTAATCGAGTCGTTGACAGACTCTTCGTCGTCGTCATCGTCATCGTCGACCACAATAGCCATGTCGTTGGCCTCATCGACAGACTCAGAAACAGGGACGTGCTTGACTCCGGTCTTGCGCTCCTCGTCGGCCATGTCGCGCATGATACGGGCAAGCTCGGCCTCAGCCTGCTCCTGGGCACGACGGTCCTCGGCCTCGCGGTGGAGACGAGCAGCTTCATCTTCGGCAGAGAGGCCGAAAATGCCAGAGCTAAAGTTGCCCAGCCCGCGGAGGAAGCCTGCGCCAAGACTGGTGCTGGAAGAAGTGTTGGCAGTGAGAGCGGCCGTGGGAACGACGGCGGTGGTAGCAGCCTTTGGCGCCGATGTCGAGAGGCGAGACGCTGCGTGGCTCTTCTGCTTGGCAGCGGCAGCAGCAGTACGCTCACGGAGTTCGTCGAGAGCACGGGTGACCTTGTCGTGACGGGCCCGCGCCTCTTGAGGAACAGAAGTGGCCGTTGGGCGAGTAGTTGATGCGGCAGGAGTGGTTGTAGCATGGGGAGCAGGGAGTGAAGTGGCTGATCCGGGGGCTCGGGACGCGAACACGGCGCTGCGAACAGGGGAAGCAGGCTGCCCAGTGGCAGCGTCTGTGGCTGCGTTGTGGTCGAAACGAGCCATCTTCTCGGCGCGCTTCGAGTCCTTGTCGACGGGCCTGGAGACATCCTCCTCTTCCATCTCCTCGGCGGCTTCCGACTTGCGCTTGAGTGCGCCGGGCCCGGTGCTCTTGTGAAGAGCGTCGAACTGGGAGCTTGTGCGCTGGAACTGGGAACTGGTACGCTGGGAGTTGCTGGCTACCGACTTGCGGTAGGTGCCAGTGCTCGAGCCTTCGCCATGGTTGATGGGAACGGTGCGGGTGCCGAGAGCCTGGCTGAGCCATGAAGAGCGAACCTGGCGCGTGGGCACCGAAGCTGAGTCCTTGACAGGCGACTTGGCAGGCGATTTGGCGGGGGAGCCGGCCTTGATCGGGGAGCTCTGTTTGACTGGTGAGCTGGCCTTGGCGGGTGAAGCAGTTTTGACGGGAGAGATCGCCTTGATAGGCGACCTGGCCTTGACTGGACTAGGCGATGCCTCCCTGAGGGGTGACCGCGCCATAACAGGAAGCTTGGTTGGAAGCTTGCTCTTAAGAGGAAGCTTGGAAGGGGTGGGCTTGAACACGGGTTGCTGGATTTCAATGATCGAGTCGTCCAGCTCGTCTTCATCCTCGTCGACCTCGATGGGCTCGTCGATTTCGATGGGCTCGTCAACCTCTTCAACTTGTTCAATAACCTCTTCCTGCTCCTCCTCTTCCTCCTCTTCTTCTTCCTGCTCCTCTTCCTGCTCCTCCTCCTCCTCAATCTCCATCGGCTCAGGCTCAGGCTCGGGTACGGGCAAGTGAATCTCCTTGAGGGGGCTGCGTGCAACCTTCTTGACAGGCGACTTGACGGGCGTAGGAACAGGGGAGACCGCCTTGGGGGCTGGGCCACGGAGCTGGCGTGACGACGAAGGCGTCGAAGGCACGCTCTCGTTCTCCTTCAAGCTATCGGCCTTCTTCTTGGGCCTGCCGCGCTTCTTGGGCTCTGCCTTGGGGGCTTCATCAGCGGCAGCCTTGGTCGCCCTGGTGGGCTTGGACTTGGCCGCCGGCTTGAGCGTTGCGGCGCCCTTGGGAACGAGCGGCGAGCGCGGTGTTGGTGACTGCGTCAAAGCGTTGAGCGACTGGACCTGCAGTGGCGAGAACGGCTGGCGACCCTGTGGCGTTACGTCAACACGCGGAAGGAAAATCAGGCGCGCACCTCAGCGGGCGTTACGCTTTTGATCAGACTTACAACGTCGGGAGACTTGGCAGCAAGTGGGGAGAGTTGAGCGTTGAAGAGACGGATCTGCTCCTGGCGAGTCTTCTGGGCAGTAGTAGCGCCACGGGTCTTCTTGGCCGTCGCGGTACGCGAGGGGGTCTTGATGAGGTCGGCGATGGGTGCCCTGAAAGTCAGTAAACATGGACCGGGTGGGGTGGTAAAGCTGGTGGTACCCACCTGCGGCCCTGCACCTGGATGTTGTCGATATAGTCTTCAAGCCAGTCGTATCCGTCGCGGTTGATGCTTGCCTCGAGCTCGGCGAGGCTGGAGCGTGCGGCGGCGCGGAGGCGCTCGGACAGATCAAACGTAAAGTCTGATACTGTGGGCCAGGCGGCCGAACCGGTGGCCATGGTGCAGGCTTGTGAGAATGTGGCCGAAGGTTGTCGAGGGGTTGTCGAGGGGGGACGGCGAGGGGCGGGGGGTGACAGGTGTCTCAAAGAGAGCAGAGAGAGGGGAGAGATAGATGTGAATAGAGATGGAGAGAGAGAGGGAGAGATGACGAGTTGGGCGTAAACACTCTCTGGTGCGTGACGGGAGCAAATCCTCTTTGGGTGCCGTCCCGCTCAAGTCCAGTCACGACCACGTGCGGACCAAACATTGATGCATTGCATGTTGACCTCCATACATACAGCCTTTTTATACACTCTTCTTCACACGCATACCGAGCTCGGCACTCTTGCATTCGCACATACTGTCCCCCATGTCCGCTCTGGGCGCAAGGGTGAGTCCCACATTTCTGGAATGTGTTCCAAGCTCAGGCGACTGATTTCTATCACAGACCAAGAAGGTATGATCAGTCCCGATTGTCCCGACGACACTGAGTGCGTCATGCTAACTAGCAGGTCACAACATATGGCAAGAAACAGAGTGTAGGCTAAAGACTGTGCCCGTACCATGCTAACGCTCAGCGCATCATCAACATACATGCCGACATTACACCCGAACGCCCAACCACTACTGCAGCAGGTCCCGCTGACTCGCCGCTGCCAGTGAAGCGCCAGCCGCTCAAGGCCAAGCCGTCCCAAGACACGATTGCTCGGCGCATCCTCTACAGTGCTCCCGATACACCGCTCAAGGCACTCAAGACATTCGACTCGCCACTCAAGCCCAAAGCTGCCGCGGTCCAGTCAACCAGGGCGGTCCTGGGCCCGTCCAGGGTTGTCAAGGCCATCACACGCAAACCGCCTTCCTCCGACGACGACGAAGTGGTGTTCTTGAAGAACGTCACTGCGAGGCGTACTCGTCGAGTGGTTATCCCTCGTTCTCCATCGTCTTCACCTGGTCGCACTAGTGTCCCTGGAAGCATGGTGCGCGGCCGCTTGCGCCATGCTATACCGCCAACCACTCTCCGCAGTCACGTTGCCGCCAACGATCTCACCGCGCGTCTTGCCAAGGTGTCGCTCGAGGACGAAGAAGAAAAGAAGAAGGCAAAAGAACAGCCTTCCACCGCCTCGCCACTCGATGACCTGCTCGCTGTATGCACCATCTCTGAACGGATCCCCTTTGACAAGTTCTTCGTCCACACCGAGTTTACTCCCTTGCTCCGCGGGACCGACACCACCATTCGCAAGTACGGCGAGGCATCCTACTCGGAGGTGTTTACTGTCGGCGCCGAAGACACCGCAGTCGTTGTCAAGGTCATCCCTCTCCTCGGTGACAACGCAGAGTTCGATGTCGAGCTGCCCGACTGCTCCGAGATTCCTGACGTTGTCCGCGAGATTGAAATGACCCGGCGGATGGCCGGCGTGCCCGGTGGCGGATTTGTGGACTTTTTGGGGTAGGTTTTGGCCCGAATCGCCCTCGATGCTTGGCTAACCTGTCAGTGCCTTTGTCGTCGAGGGAGCATACCCACAGGTGTTGCTGGACCAGTGGGACCAGTTCAAGGAGGAGAATGGGTCAGAAAGCACCAGGCCAGGTGAGCGATGGAGTCGTGAACGAGGCTAACCGCAGTCACCTTCCCCTCAACTCAACTCTACGCGCTCATTATCCTGCCCAACGGTGGCGTGGACCTGGAGTCTTTCAAGTTTGAGCAATCTCGCGGTTGGGTCCAGGCCGCAGCCGTGTTTTGGCAAGTAGCCGACGCGTTGGCCAGGGCAGAGCAGTGGACGCAGTTTGAGGTGAGCTTAAACCCGGACGGTGCAAGCTAACATCTAGCACCGTGACCTCCACGAAGGCCAGATCCTTGTCACTTCCGTCGACGCCCAACCCCCCGCGCCAGTGAAGAACTATCTCGATCCCGAGGCCACTGCCGTCCGCACTGCGGTTATCGACTTTGGACTCTCCCGCTTAGACCTTCCAGGGAAGGGAGCAGTGTTCACCCACCTCCCCAAGGAAGTGTACGAAGGTGTGGGCGACCAGTGGGACGTCTACCGCGCAATGCGTGACACGTTGACCAACGACGCATCCACATCTACCTCGTCAGACCCATGGACCGGCTTCCACCCAGCAACAAACGTCATGTGGCTGCATTACCTCGCCAAGCGTCTTCTCCGCTCCACGCCATCTCTGCGCAAACCTTACGCTCGTCGTGGAAGCACTGCCACGGCAGCAGCACCCAGGAACTCGGCCGCGGCCAAGAAGGAGGTTATTCGCGCCCGCGCCGAGGCTGCGTGGGGAATGCTCTGCATCGTTGAGAACACTTTGGCAATGGGTCTGGCTCCTAATTCGTCGTCTCGGGGATCAAGGGCAAAGAGTAAAGTGGAGCTGGGCAGTGCCGCTGCGGTTATGGAGTGGGGCAGGGAGCAGGAGTGGGTTGCGTAAGGTTCTGGACAATTGTATTCGGTGTAATGAGATGGAGGTCTTGTAGCAGGTAAATGAGCGGCAAAGCGGCAAATGGAAACAGTCACTTGGCACGTTGGTAAAAGCCACAGTGTGTCATTCCCACGTCACGGCTGCCACAAGCCATGCCCGTCACAGCTGAAAGTCTTGACTCTTGGCCTCTTGATGGTTAAGCAACCGCACACCTACGCATGCATGCACCGAAGGCACCCGCTGGGTCAGTATGTTCCGTGTCGGATGCACTCGGGGCAGTCAAGACATTCAAGCATGAACAAGACAAAGTGATGGCCGAGCGCTGTGGCCCCGTGGTCGGGCTGAAAGTGGCGATCAGGAGCCCGACTGCGTATCTTCCATGATCAGTAGCCGCGCGACCGAACCCCGATTCTTGTCGACTGGGATACCAAATGTGCATGTGATGTCGGCAACGGCCATAGGCTATCTGTCGTCTCTCAGCACACGAGAACGGGTGACTGCGGATCTTACTCAGGTACACCCACATGCAGCTAGTCGTGCCATACCAAAATACGCCAGCGCGGTTGCTTCTGGCGGTGTGTCACAGTACATAACATTGCTCGTTCTTCCGTCACAACACTCCTCGTCCCCAAGCCTGCCCAGCGATGAGTCTCAACATGGGCGCGCACCCGACTCCAAACCCTCCCAAACCCACCAAGATATCCCGTCTCAAGACCTTCCTCGACCAGCTCGACCCGCACCCCTGGGACTTTGACTTTGACGAGCCGGGTTTCCAGCCCCGTCCGTTCTTTGCCCGGGTGAGTGGCGCAGAGCTAGTGGAGTGTGGAGTGTGGAGTGTGAAATAGAGCCAGAACTGAACATGCCAGCGCGCGACCTTCAGCGGGCCTCCATCCCTGCCCAACCCCGTCCCCGAGGCCATTGAATGCAAGGGGGTCGCCAAGACGAATGACAAGGTTGGTGGCTGTGAAACGCGTTGTCGTGTGAGTGGCTGACGACTGGCACGCTACTACTAGGTGACGGAACCGACATCGCCGTAAACCGTTAAACTACATGGGCGGCATGGGTTGACTGGACGAGAGGGCAAGGGCCGTGTGTAAGAGCAGGATGAGGTGAAGTTGGAGGCACTGTACCATGGAGAGAGGACTTGAATGTATGTATGAAGAAGCCAGCACGAGGCAGCAACCACCACATGTGGGGGGGGAGGGGATATGGCAATCTGCTAAACCGAGGTCGTCAGCAGTCGGCAAACACACGGTCCGCCACCCAGGCAGTCATCTTGTCGATTAGCCACAGTGTACAGTGTATTTCTGACCGGAAAGCAAGTCTGAGTGTCAGTCTGAGTGTCCTGAGGATGCGAGTCCAAGAGTGGCGTTTTGTTGTCTCTGTCAGGAAGTACGCTTTTGCAAACAATACATTATGTGCCTCTGTGGAAAGGAAAACATGAAATATAGACCAGCTACGAAACTGCGAGACTGTCCGTCACACTCATGGGCCCCCAAGGCTATCCAGGCTACATGAGCGCTGACCGAGGAAGAGGAGGAGGGCGATGGGGAGAGACACAGTTTCTTCAATGGACGACGAACAAACCAAACCAAACCAAACCAAAGCGCAACGCCTGCAATGTCCCATAATCACCTCCTCTGCCGCAAAAAGGAGACGGTGCTGACCATCAGGAGGATGGCGATACCGATGATAAAGCCGGCGAGAATGAGGACGTTTCTAAAGTAGTTCTTAGCCTCGAAGCCGAACAATGTGTTCATGATGACGACGGCGCCAATCTGGATGGAGACGCCGTTCTGCAAAGGTCAGCAAATGACAGAGAGAGAGGGAGGTCTCCACGAAATAACTCACCAAAACGTCGATGATCTGCAGGCCTGCGCCAACCGCGTTGACTGTGAGCGCCTCCAGCGTATACGGCAGGGGCATGATGTAGTGGACCCAGCGCAGAACCGGCGGGATCTGCATGAGGTTGATGAAGAAGCCAGCATAGACCAAGTTGGCCATGACGAACAGTGCGCTAGTGAGCATGGCGACGCCCATGTGCGCAAACACGACACCGAGGAGGAAGTTGTACAGGGTTGCCACGACTGTAAACTCGAGAATGACGAGCAGGAACTTGAAGAACAGCGCGGGCTCGCGGTTGAGGCCGACCATAAAGTAGACGATTGTGCTGACGATGATGGACGGGATGAGACGGAGGGGCAGGAGGTCGTAGAGGAAACGCGCAATGAGCCAGGCAGTGGGCGAGTAGAAACCGGCATCGTGCTCGCGGAGGTACAGTGGTCGGATGTCCTGGACGTTATTGAGCGCGCTGAACGAGGTGAACAAGATCAGGGCACCGAGGAAGAACATGGAGCCGACGAGATTCTGGAAGCCGGCAATGGTGAGGTTGATGTTGAAGTACAGGCCGCCAGCGAAGCAGCCGAGAACGCACGCGACGACAAGGTGGGCGATGAGGAGCGTCTTGTCGCGCTTGAGGTTGCGCCATTCACGGCCGCCCAAGACCTGGATCTGGGTCAGAAGCGTCGTGGCGCAGTGGCTCTTGGGTATCCAGCTGCGCGACTCCTTCTTGTTCTCTGAAGCAATAAAGGCGAGGTCCACCTCCCTTCCAGTCGACAGCGTCCGCCTCAAACTGTGGGTGCGGTGATGCGTGTGGCTTTCCTCGTGGCTGCTCTTCTCGGTCAAGCCGCGGTGTACCGATTCCTCGGACTGCATCTTGGACGCGGCTCCAGATGCCTCGGGCGATGGCCGGCTGTTGGTGGGGACCACAGACGCCTGGCCAGAGTGCAAGCCTGCCGGACGCTCAGCGGCCACTTCCAAAAGATGATCAGCGATGTTGTAGCCCGGAGGACAGGGGCGACCTTGAGCGGCAAAAAACTCGGCCGGGGTGTTACCGCCTGGGCCAAAGTAGAGCTGGGTTCCGTTGGCAAGGAGACACACCTGGTCGAACGAGTGGTACAGGGCCGACGACGGTTGGTGGATGGACGCGACAATCGTGGTGCGGCACGCTGGGTCCTGGGTGAGTGACTTGAGCAGGCGAACGATGCGGGCCGCCGAGACCGAGTCGAGACCCGAAGTGGGCTCGTCCAGAATCAAAATGTCAGGAGCGGCGACGAGCTCGATGCCGATGGACACACGGCGCATCTCGCCACCAGAGACACCGCGGTGCTCGCCGGATCCAATGCGTGTCTCGGCAATGTCGGACAGGCCAAGCTGGGCCATGACCTCGCGCGCACGCTCGTCCTTGACGGCCTTTGACACGTTTTCGGGCAAGCGAAGGTACGCTGCAAACTGTAGAGTCTCAAGAACGGTAGACGTGGGCGACAGGACATCGCTCTGGTCCACATAACCAATCTTGACGCGGTGATCGTCCTTGAGGTCAGACAGATAGACGACCTTGCCCTCTACCTCGCCTGTCTTGCGCTTGCCGGCGAGAATGTCCACTAGCGTCGACTTGCCCGCACCCGAGGGGCCGAGGACGCAGCAGAACCCGCCAGCGGGGAGCTCGCCGTACACGGAACGAAGCACGACCTTGCCGCCGTTCGGACCGACGCCAGAGCCTTCTTCCTCGGACTGCTCCTCCTTCTTGATGCGCTTGTCGGGCGATCCCCAGCCACGCAGCCACCGGATAGTGTTACCATACAGTCCCCGACCGTGCGGCTGCACTTCGTACCCGACACCAGTCCACGCTAGGCCGACGCCGCCGTGTTGCTTCTTCTCGAGCGACTGGTCGGGAACCTTGCGTGCCTTGTTGCGGACGATCACGCCCCAGATGCCGAGCAGGACGATACCGAGAATGATGGCGCCCACGACCGCTAGACCAGCGATAACGCCGCCAGAGAGTTGGTTGCCCGAACTGGCTGCTGTTGAAATGCCCAGAGCTTGGTCGACGACATATTGCTGAACGCACTCGCCAAAGACGCACGAGTCTAACGCGAGGCCGCCGCTGCCAAACATGTTGTTCAAGAACGTCTGCTTGAAATAACACGTTCCGTCAGGGTTGCACGAGACGGTGAGCGGGCCCGTGAGAGGGTCAATGGCGACGGTGAGGTTTTGCGTGGTCTGTACATGTCAGTTGGCGCCGCCATGGCCTGCGTGCAACTTACGGATGCACCCCCGCCACAAAAGCTGGTTCCAGGCCGGCAAGTACAGTTGAGAGTGGGGCAGTTCCAGTCTGACGAGTTGGTCGTTCCGGACCCGGTCGAGGAGACGGTCTGGACACACGACGACGCCGTGCAGTAAAACTGCTCGACATCCTCGTACCAGAGTTGGGCCCAGATGACATTGTCACCGCCAGCGATGCCGGCTTGCTGCAGGGCCGTGGTGCCGCCGGGTGTACGGGACGCATTCAGGAAGCGCGAGATGGTCAATGTCGACGTGCCCGGGAACAGGGTTTGGAGGAGGGGCACGTTGACAGCACAAGACATGTGGCTTGCCGCGTACACTGTCGGGACGCTCGAGCACATCATGCTGGTGTTGAGGGCGCTGTTGGCCAGCGCGGTCGACGAGTTGAGGTAGTTTTGGATCGAGACCGAGCATGCGTCCGACGACTTGCACACTTGCATGGTCAGCTTTAACCACCCCCACCCACCAAGGAGCACGACCTGTCCACAACCCACCTGTACATGACGGTCCCGTCCAGCCGTCCGAGCACGCGCAGTTTGTGACGTTGCCAAACGTTCCCGTCGCCACAGTCCCAGGCGTGTACAGGCTACCGCCACACTGGGGGAGGTCGCATGCGTTCGAGCCTGTTTCTGTAAACCCCGCGGGGCACACACAAGAGTCTCCAGAAACCTGAGCATAGTTGACGCAGCTGTCCTGAGCCGCCAGGACTGCGGGGGGCAGGAGAACAGCGAGGGCGCCGGCAACGGCCGGCAGGACAGCGATACCGCGCCGGCCTCGACGGCGATCGAAGAGGATGCGCATGGGCGCGGGGTCTGTCACAGAAGCGAGAGACGGTGAGTGAAGGAGTGTGTGGTGGCGAATGCAATGGAGAAAGGAGGACAAGTGTATGTGTGGGACGATCGTGCACTGCACTGTGCACCAGCGGAGCGCGGCGGGTGCACCAAAACGGCGCGCGCCTCTGGGCACAATGTCCCGAGGGGGGCCATCCTGCGGCTATCAAGAGAGCCTGGCCACCGTGCGTGGGGGGGAGCGTCCACAAAAACACGCCAGGCGGTAGCGGCCGTTAAGGCGAGCGCGCAACCGAGCATTCCACCGCTAAATGACTCTAAAGACGGCTTTGAATTAGCACTGCCCTAGATCCCGTTTGTGCGACGCGCGTGTGGATATAACCAGCAGCGTTTTGTAGTCGTGACATCCATATTAGAAAAGAGAGCCTCATACGAACACACACTCTCCGCGTCTATGCCAATAACTGCTTCTACACTGCCATGCCTCTCTCCTACATGATGACACACTGCTCGTCGCCGCCGCCAAGCGCACCGAGGTCCTGAACGTTAGCTCTTGGGCGTCACTGCGGTCAGCTACTCACGAATCCCTCTGGAAGATCACCCATAATCTCGTTGGGGGGGCCACCGAGGTCCTGCATCTCGCCCACAAGACGGGCAACCTCCTTGCCGTCCGTGTCGTCCGCGTACTGCGGGCGCTTGAACACCTCGAGGATCTGGAGCACAAGCTTGTGCTGCTGCCTGTACTTGACAAGCTCGGGCTCCTTGACGCCAGCAGGTGGAGACTCGAGGTAGCCGGGATACTGAACAGTCAGCTACGATGCGCACCACTCAACTCACCTTTGCAGCCAGCTCGGTCATGGGCTCCTCGAGCACCTCCTTGCTCATGAGCTGGCCCATCATGCTGTCCAAGAGGCCGCCAAGCTCGTCGTCGTCCTCGCCAAGACCGTCGAGTGCCGAGGGGTCCTTGGAGAGCTGCGCCAGGAGCGCAGCGAGGTCCTCGGGCATGCCGTCGTTGCTCGCGCCCGCGCCGCCGGCATTGAGCGACTCCATGGTCCGGCGGATGGTGTCGTCAAAGCTGGCCTTGCCAGCAGGGCCACCGGCTGCCGGTGCGGCGCCACCAGCACGAGTCGAGGGACCGGGCGACGCGCCCTTCTTGCCGTCCAGACCCAGCGCCTCCATTCCCTCGCCCGAGAGCATCATCTCCACTGCGCGCTGGAACGCCTTCTCCTCCTCCTCCGAGCTCATGTCGCCGGCGGCCGCAGCACCAGACTTGTCGGGCGAACCAGACGTAGCACCGGGCATGGGTCCAGGGGGGTGGTCGACAGCGAGGGAGCGCAGCAACGACTCCATGCCGTCCATGAGGGACGCCTGGAACTCGTCGTCGTCAATGTCGCCGCCGGCCTCAGCGCCCCCGGCTGCCGGAGCCGGCGAGCGCGACGACGACGAACCGGCACCAGCCAAAGCAGCGGCAGTGCGGTCGGGCTCGGAACGCTTGCCAAGCGTTGATTTGGGCGCGTTGAACGAATTCAGAACGTCTGCAGCGTGAGCGTTAGGCCAGCACCAAACGAAAAAAGGAGAGGCTGCAGACATACCATCGAGGTCGTCCAGGTCATCATCGTCATCGTCGTCCTCGACCACGGGGTTGCGGTACGCGGTCTTGCTAGGCTCGGGGGCCTGGGTAGAGCTGGTACCACTGGCAGCGGCGGGTTTGCTGCTGGACGCGCTTGTGGACATTGTAGTTTTTATGTGTGTGTGAGTGAGAGACGTTGAGAACAAGGTGTCGACGGTCGAAATGCACCGGCGGCCTCGTTGGTCCGCCTGGGGTGATAACCGGACATGCCGGTGGCGAACGAACGGAGCGTCCGGCGAAGGCCGGGTTAAACGTAGTGTGCCACAACGCCATAACACCGGCAACCGGGCGGCGATATATGGGGTGGGTGTTGACTCATTTGACTTGACTTGTAATGTTAATACAACTGCCATTTCTAATAACTACTGTGATGGTTGGGGTTACGTAACAAGTGATTGGCATCCCATCCCACGCGCGACAGGCACGTAGGCACACAAAACAACGGCATGGGTTCCCGAGCGGCCAGAGCGTCGTCGGTGGGATGTGTGCGGTGCATCCCGGCATCCCATTGTGTCGCCCACATGGCCACATGGATAAAACATGTTGTGCATGTCGTGTCTCTCGTGTGTGTCGTCGTCGTCGTCGTCGGCAGCAGCATCTTTGCACGTTAGTTTCTCCAGGATCCAGGAGGTCGTTTTTGACGCGGTTCTGCGTCCAGCATTAGCGCAGTAGTAGTGGAGGAAAGGGCAAAAAACAGTCAACAACATCTCCCTGGGGGCCATATCCACCCCCGTCCCCTGCCCGCCCGCGGCAGTTGCCTTGCAGCCCCTCGTTCCTCTCGTATGGATTTCATTGCCACACACCCCAGGCAGCATTCCATTCCCCCCTCTCTCTCTGTGCTCAACATACAAACACACATTGCCACCACCACCACTGCACCACTGCACCGTCTCGCCACCTGTGCACGTCCTCTCCGACTGGTACATTTTGCGTGTCCGAAACAAGACGCGGCCTTGCACAAGGGACTGCAGTACGCGTGACGCCACAACACACGGGCACTGACCCTCGAGGCCTCGAGAGACCCTTCCTTCCCGCCTTGCCTCTTTCGCATCAATTCCTCGTCCCCGTTTCAGCACCACCTCCTCCTCTGCTCTGCAGTCGGGCTTGCTCAACTCCGTCGTCTCTCTCTCAACCAGCCACCCTCCTCCTCTTATCCTCCATGCTCCAACCTCCTCCTCATCCTCATCCTCCATCCTCCTAGTCGCGACACCTCGCCGGTGTTTTCTATCCCCCACCCCCACATTCGTTTACCACACAACACACACCCCAACAACACCGCCCACCGGGGCGCCTTCTTTCCCTCCCTCCCTCCTCCCCTCTTCCTCCTTCTTTCCTCCACCTCCTCTTCGACAAGGGACCTCATCCTCTCCACCACCCCAGCCATGCGTCGCAACCCACCAAGACGCCGCTTAGGCGCATTCGCCGCCGCTGCGTCTCTCATCCCCGCCGCCATCGCGGCATCAACACCCGCACCCGCAGACCTCCCGGCCATCGACTTTGGTCGCATGGGTAGCGTGGGTCTGGGTGGCGCCTTTGCAGGCCTCGACTGGTTCTCAGCACAGTCGCCCTTTGCAGCTTCCTCGTCAAGCTCGTCCTCGTCAACATCGTCATATTCTGCGGATGGCGGGACACTGGTTATGCGCAACGCCGACGGATCGTTCACCCCTCTCGGTGCAACAAACACGGGCGGCTCGATAAACGCCATCTGCTGGGCGTCTTCTGCAGCCTCGTCGTCCGACTCCTCTGCGAACAATGGCACGCTGTACATTGGCGGCTCGTTCACGTCCGTGGGATCCACCTCGTCTTCCAACGTCATTGCATACGATATTTCACAAGGCAAGTTTGTCGCCATGTCAGGCTTGTCAGGCCCCGTCGAGTCGCTGTATTGCGACGATTCGCATAGCGAGGTCTGGGCGGGAGGAGTTTTCTCCGCACCAGCAGGAAGTGGAGCAAACGTTGCAGTATGGTCAACTGAGACATACGCTTGGACCGCCGTGCCGTTTGGCGGCCTCAACGCCGCGGTCGAGTCCATCTCGGCCAGCGCAGACGGCAACAGCTTGTACTTTGCAGGCCAGTTTACCACTCAGTTTGCGGACAGCGGCACAGTGTCGACGGTAGCCGCGTTCCGCAACCTCGCATCCGTCTCGCTTGCCCCAACCGACACTGTCACAACCGGCAACTCGGGCTACTTTGCGCCATACACTTTCACCCAAGGTGGAGTGGCCATCTCGGCCAGCCCAACAACAAGTCAGGCCAGCTACGACAGCGCCGACGTCCTGCTCTGCAGCGGCGCAGGCACCTGGTTTGCCGACGACGACACCACGTCCGAGATCAACCTCATCGCCCAGTCCTACCTCTCAGCAACGGGCGTGCGCATTGCCAATGGTCAAGTCGATGGCCGTGCAACCACCGGGTTTCAGCTCACCACCCTGCCCGATGGGACCCTCCGCACACTCACCTACACGGACCCCTCGACTGGTCAGAACGCGACGTGCTCGGACAACTGCCCCCTTTCTGTGCTCTCGACTGTCGCAGCGCAGGATTTCATCTTTGCCGACGGCTCGCTCACCATTACTGGTGTGCAGATTGACATTAACGAGTGGCAGGGAGACAGCGCCGCGCTCGAGTATGTGCAGCTTCTCTCCGAGGGCGTGTACGCTTCGTTCCAGACCGGAACGGACGTGTGCAGTAGCAACGCGACCACATCACTCGGCTCGGTCCTGGCAGTGACCCCCCAGGCCTCGACCGTTTTGGCTGTTGGCAACTGGGAGGCCGCCATCGCCGACTCGAGCGCCGACCCCGGTATCCAGATCAACTACATGATGGCCCAAGTCAACGTCGACGCCGTCTCGACCTCCGACACGCAGCTCACCCTCTACCCCTACGTCGGCATTTCGGGCTACTACCAGGTCTACCTCCAGATTCCCGGCTGTGCCAGCATTGGTGACTGCAACCAGCGCACCAGTGTGACCGTCTTCATCTTCCCTCAGGAGGGCGGTACCCCGTACTCGATCTCGGTGGATGAGAACGTGCAAGACGACACAAACGTTCTCATCTATTCTGGCCTTGTGGATGCCTCCACTGCCACCTTTGGGCCTACCATCACCGTGTCCCTCACCAACCCCAACGCCATCACTGGCGACTCGTACATTATTGTCGCTAGCGGTGTCCAGATGACCTTCAGCGGCCCGGCAGGTACTACCTCGACTGTCACTCCGCCCACTGTTGTCAGCACGGGTTCGCTCAGCGGGTCGTCGGCGGCTTCGGGCGCTGCGTCCACCGGATCGGCAGCCGGGACCGGGGGCACAGCATTGGCCGGCACCCAAGGTACTGGAAGTGGCACAGCTGCAAACACCGGATCGGCGACTGGACAGACTGCCGGTACGGCGACTAGCGGTACTGCGATCGTCTCGACGTCGTCACCTGTGTCGACCTCGGGCATCTCTACTACGTCCACATCGTCCACATCGACCACTTCGGCCTTGCCTTCCGCCACGCCGATCCGTGTCGCGTTCGGTGTTTACCAGTGGACTCGTTCCTCCAATGTCAACGCCACCTCTGTCCTCGCCAACTCGACCGAGTCGACCCTCACTCAGCTTGGTTTCGCCCTCGACTCTGCTTACAATGCGTCGTCAACTAAAGACTTTAGCGTCAACGCCGTCACGTCCGCCAACGACACCATCTTTGTCGGCGGCAAGTTTTCGACTTCTACCTACGCCAACATCGTTGCCGTGTCGAGCGCTGGCGCTTCTGCTGTCGCAGGCCAGGGTCTGAACGGCGACGTCAACACCCTGGCTACCGTCGGCAACTACGTCTACTGTGGCGGTGCCTTTACTGGCATTCAGCAGAGTGGCACCACTCTCCAGTACCTCGCTCGCTACGATCCCAATGTCAAGGCTTGGGCTGCCGTGGGCGGCGGTGTTGATGGCCCCGTCGAGACTATCGTACCTCTCACCAGTGGCTTTGCGGTTGTGGGCAACTTTACCAACGTCATCGACGCCAACGGTTCGACTACCTCAACTGGCGGCTACGCTGTGTACAATACGTCTACCTCCGCCTGGAACACAGGAGGCATCATCTACGGCACGGGCTCGGCTGGTACTGCTGGCGGTAACACGACGTTCATCGCTGGCTCGTTCACCGGCTCGTCCCAGAACGCGGTCAACGGTGTTGCATCGCTCACCACAAACTCGGACGGCAAGGCTGCAATCAGCAGCATGCCTGGCGTTTCCTTCTCGAACAACGGCTCGGCTTCGACATCCACCTCGAGCCGCCGTCGCTCCCTTACTGCCCGTCTCCTGTCGCACGTTCGCCGCAGCGTTATCGACGCCCACCTCGTGGAGCGTGCCGACGCCATTGCCATCCCCGAAGAACCTGCTGCCGCCCCGGCCACCCTCGCTGGCGCGTACTGGACAAACACGTCGGCGTCGGGCAGCCCCACTGTCACCATTCTCGGTGGCAACTTTACCAGCGGTTCGAACATTGCTGGCCTTGCCTTTGATAGCCCCAGCGGCATGACTGGCCCTGGCAAGCCTGTTTCTGGTGTCGTCCGCGCTCTGGCCGTAGTCGACAACGAGCTCTTTGTTGGCGGTACCAACGTCACCGTCAGCGGTGTTGGCTCGGGTATCATCCTGTACGACCTTGCCAACAACTCATGGTCGGCCAGCGGCATGTCCTCGCTCGTGGTCTCGAACAGCGGCGAGGTCAACGTCAACGCGATCAAGAACCGTCTCGACACCAAGACCATCGTCGCCGCTGGCAACTTTGAGTCGGCCGGCTCCTTGCCCTGCCCCGCCGTCTGTTTCTGGGACGTCTCCTCGCGCCAATGGCAGCGGCCTGGCAACAGCATCTCGTCAGGCGAGGTGCGCTCCATCGACTTTGGTGATGCCCAGTACGGTACCCTGGTTGCTGGTGGCTCGTTTGTCCTGGACGGTACCAACGTCTTTGCGGCTAGCTACTCGTTTGCAAACAGCACCTGGCAGGCCCTCGGTACCCTCCCGGGACCTGTGACCTCCATTGCCGTGGACGACAGGAACCTCACCAACATTTTCGCCACTGGCTACGCGTCTGGCGACTCGACACCTTACCTCCAGCGTTGGGACGGCTCGTCCTGGTCGGAGCAAAACTCATCCGCCCTCGAGTCTGGCACCGTGATCCAGAACCTCGCCTTTGTCCCCGTCAAGGACACGCACACTGCCCAGGGCTCCATTGAGTCTGACCGCATGCTCATGGCATCGGGCAACGTTTTCCTGGCGCAGTCGGGCAACGTCTCGTCCGCCCTGTTTGACGGCCAGTCGTGGTACCCATACCTGGTTGGCTCGACCTCGACTGGTACCCTGGCTGCCGCTTCGTCGCTCTTCTGGTCCGAGCAAAAGTTCAGCTTCTCCCTCGTCAAGTACCTTGCTCGCGGCCTGGTGGTTCTCGTCGCCATGGCCATCGCCACGGGTCTCATCCTGTTGCTGGTCCTCATCATCCTCCTTGCCGCCTACTGCATCCGCAGGCGCGACCGCAAGCAGCAGACGCCTCCCGACCACTACTCGGAGAAGGCCCACAGCGAGGGTGACGTCTCGTCGACACACCAGCTCATCCACGACTCGGTCCAGACTGCCCTCGAGCGCTCGCTCCTCCCCGGTGCCGCCGCGGGTGCTGGTGGCCTCGCTGCCATCCAGGGTTCGCGCCCCGAGTCCGGCGACAGCATCTACCACGAGCCCGAGGACCACGCCAACCCGGCGCTGTACGACGACAATTCAGACGAGGGCCGCGAGACGGTCATGCGCTACGACTTTTACGGACCCGAGCTGCAGACGGGCGAGCTCGCGATGCGTGCTGGCCAGCGTATCGTCGTCCTCGACGACGAGCAGAGCGAGGAGTGGTGGTACGCCCGTGACCCGGCGACAGGGCGTGAAGGTGTTGTTCCGGCGACCTATGGTGGGTACTAATCGCCTATTGTCCTTGTTGCACCCACGCTGACATTCTCCAGTGCTGTGATGATACCCCCCATGTGGACACTTTTTGACTTTGGGATAACCCTCACGACCTTTACGACACTGGCCTTCTGCCCCCCCCCGCGCAAGTTTCCTTTTTTTTTTTTCCCCTTTGCCTTCCTTACTGCGTGAAAATACCTGGTGTGCTTAGGCTGTGTCTCCTCTTAATCGTTCCGAGTGGCAGCCACCAGGTATAATATAGAGCGGTTCCGTGTGACACTATATACTTTTGTCTCTCTCTTACTCCTGCTAGTTTTTTGTCGTGGCATGGATGTGACAGGGTGGAAACATTGTTCATGCTGAGAAGCAATGGGCGGGGATACATGACTAAGTTAAGTATACACAAGGAAAGCAGAAAACGGGAGTGGCACTTTTTTCAGTTGCTGCCTGAGTGGCTGCCTGCTGATCGTTGTGAGCTTGGATGGCGCCTACGAAGGTGGGAACTCACTGCTGAAACATGGAGACGAAGAAAGCCGGGGGATAGTAGGCCAGGTGTCACAGTGGAGAGGAACAGAGTCTGTTGCGGTTCGATGCGGCCGCGGGTGAATGGAGAGGATGGTGTGCAGGGAGGCGAGGACAGGGGCGAAACGGGCTTGCAAAGGCTACCGGTGAACCGAGCTCCAGGAGTGATCAACACTCATAGCACCCAATAAAGCGGCAGAACCTAGCACGCTTCTCGGCCACAGAGCCATGGGACGGCTGGTCGTACGAGTCGAGCAGGTCGGTGAGGACAGGCCCTGCGGTCAGCCAAAGAACATACCGGCAGGAATACACACCGGTAAGACCCTGCAGCGCCTGCATGGAGGCCGGGAAGCTGGGCAGGGGAGGGAGCATGGGCGGAACCGGGGAGAGGGGATCACCAGGAGCGAGAGGTGGAAGGACCTCGATGGGGGGCTTGCGCATCAGACCCACGAGACGCGAAGTCATGTCGCGCGCCCGGCCGTGGAAGGCGCGCGACTCCTGCCACGAGGCGCTGCACAGATTAGAACCCTCCAGCCGGTGAGAACTCACAGGGCCGCCATGTTGATATCTGTGTTGCGGATCGCCATCAACACCTGGGAGTGGTTGGCCTGAGCTTGTACAGCGGCCTGCTGGCGGTAGATGGTAAACCACGCCGGCTCGGCGGCGAGGTTGTCAAAGCCAGTGGCGATCCTAGCAAGGGTCAGCGTTCAGGAGGGCACAAGAAGGCAGTTCCGCTTATTCTTACTCTCGGTTGGACTTGGCCAAACTGGACAAAGCGTCTGCGAGGGTTGGCATGGTTGTTGAGTTGGGGGAGAGAGAAGACAATGGGCGAGAGGAGTCTTGTTTTTGTTGTTGTTGAACGAGAGCGAAACCATGCCATTACGTCAGCTCATGTTAGCTCCTCCAGTAAATGACGTGTGGAGCCAAACCACGTGCCACACCCGCGTCATCGCTTATCAGTCCCGCATTCTCCACCCCACCCCGCGGTTTCAGTCAAGCAATCTCATATCCGCGTTGCGATTTGATCCACTCACCTCTTGACCCACTCCACAAGGCTGCAAGCTGGCGGACAACAGGCAGACCGCGATCCCCCTTCTCCCTCTCCCGAATAGACAACATACCATGCCCGACCTAGACGACCCGGGGCCCACCAGCCCGCCCTCGCGCGCGACGGTCCCCGTGCCTGCAGCTGGTGCTGCTTCCCGGCTCCGTGGGGGCGAAGACTGGACGGACGGCGCGACGGACCAGGCAATCTCCATTGCCATTGAGCAGCGTGACAAGGAGAACCCTCCCGGAGAGGGCGACTCGATTTCGGGCTCGCTCATCCAAATGGACGGTGGTGAGTAAAAGAGGAAAGCTGAGTGTGTCGAGAGGCCAAAAACTAAAGTATCGTACAGGTATCATTCCTTCCTCTGTGACGCGCACCAAGTGGTACGGCCCCGGCTCTCGACGCGGTTCGATGGCCTCGTTCCGGTCCAACTCGGGCATGTGGAGGCGCCAGAGCCACGACAACCTCAACAACATGGCCACCCCGGCTTCTCCGGCTCAGTCTGGAGTCTTCATTGCCGACTCGGAAGATGAAGGCGAGGGTTCGGCTCCGTACAGGTCCCGCTACAGAGGGTCTATCTCTGGCATGCCGAATCGTCGTGGCCGTCGCGACTCAAGCATGGACTACCGCCATCAGCAGCACAACCGGAGGACGAGCTACCGAGACAGTAGAGACGACTACGGTGCGCGTGAGGATGAGGACCACGATGCGGCCGCTTCGCCAGTTCGTCCTGGAAGCGTCCTCGGCCGCCTGGCAAGCTTTATCGGTATGCCCGGGCGAGGCGAGGCAGGAGACGAAGAATCTGGGGGGCTCATGGACCATCATCGTCGTCGTCGGTCTGGCGATACGTCCTCTCGTCGCGGCTCGATCGACACGTACCGTTCCGACGAGGACGTAAGGAGCGAGCCGGCATCCTCGGTCGACTCGTGGGGATACCAGCACGAAGATGAGGATGAGGACGGCGAGAGCTATTCGTCGTCCCTTGCCGACGACACTTCCCTTCCGCCTCAGTCTCGTCCAGGCTCACCTCACCTCCCGCTCGTCCCTGTGCCGGGCGACGGTATCTTTGGGGACTCGACCGTTCACGTCAACCAGGAGCCCAAGGAGTTTGAAGACGACGACGTCGTTACCTTCCCCAGTCGCCAGACAATCCTGCTGCCTGACGAGGACCTCTCCATTCGCTTCACAGGGTACCGTACCGACACTTTCCGCAACATCATCTGGTGGATCGGCTGTATCCTCACGTTTGGCTTGTTGGGACTGCTAGGCCGCTGGATCCCAACCATGTGGATCCGTTTCTGTGGCCGCGAGACTGCCTTTGAGGACGCCAAAGAGGGAGGATGGCTCATGGTCGAAACTCCCTATGGAGACATTCACATCATCCCCCTCCAAATTGTTCCTTACCCATACCCGCTTTCGACCGTCTTTCCCCAGGCTCATCCCCCGTCCCATGTCCCTTCGCGTCCCGACTCGGCGGCGGGCTCGGCTCGTGCCGGTATTGACGGCGCGTCCTCGTCCACACCTACTCGCGCCAATGGTGGCGACGTGGAGCAAGGGAAAACAACATGGGAGGAGAAGAAGGGCTTCCTCAAGGTCATGGACTATCGCTACACTCGCTTTGCGCTCGACCCTGCCAACAGCCGCTGGGCCATGATCCGTGACTGGCGCGACCCCAAGTGGGTTGCTTGCCGCACTGTCGCCCAAGGCCTGAGCACGGCTACTCGCGACCAGCGCAGGCTTCTTATGGGCGAGAACATTATCGACATTGCTGGCAAGTCGCTCGGCGGCCTGCTCATGGACGAGGTGCTTCATCCCTTCTATGTCTTCCAGATTGCGTCCATTGCTCTCTGGTCGGTTGACGATTACTACTACTACGCCTTTGCCATTGCCCTCATTTCCGCCGCGTCGATTCTGTCCACTCTGATTGAGACCAAGCGGACCATTGAACGCATGCGCGAAATGTCTCGCTTCCACTGCCCCGTCAACACGCTCGTTGATGGCGAATGGAAAACGGTCGACTGCTCCGACATGGTCCCCGGTGACATTTTCGATTGTTCGGACCCCACCCTCACCGTCTTCCCCTGCGACGCGCTCTTGCTCTCGGGTGACGCCATCGTCAACGAGTCGATGCTTACCGGTGAATCGGTCCCTGTCTCAAAGGTTCCTGTCAAGGACGACGCTCTGCGCTCCCTGTCTCGTGAAGTCAAGTCGGGCTCGTCCGAGATTGACCCCGACCTCGCCAAGCACTACCTCTTTAGTGGCACCAAGATTATTCGTGTGCGCGCCGGCGCCAAGCCCCAGTGGGCGCCCAAGAGTGACGAGCCCATCGCCCTCGCCATGGTGGCCCGTACGGGCTTCAACACGACCAAGGGCGCGCTCATTCGCTCCATGCTCTTCCCCAAGCCCCTTGGCTTCAAGTTCTACCGCGACTCGATGAACTTTATCGGTGTCCTGGCCATGATCGCTGGCTGCGGCTTTGCGGTCAGCGCCGTTCAGTTTATTCGCATCGGTATTGCCTGGCACACGATCCTTATCCGCGCTCTGGACCTGATTACCATCGTCGTGCCACCTGCTCTCCCCGCGACTCTCACCATTGGTACCACTTTCGCGATTGAGCGTCTCCGCAAGTCTGGCATCTTTTGCATTTCGCCCAACCGCGTCAACATTGGAGGCAAGGTCAACGTCGTCTGCTTTGACAAGACTGGCACTCTGACTGAGGAAGGTCTCGATGTCCTCGGTGTCCGTACCGTTGACCGTCTCGACCGCCGCTTCTCCGAGCTCCACGGCGAGGTTGAGGACGTCCCCACGCAGGGTGGCCCCAACGGACGCACTCCTCTGCTTTACGCTCTTGCCACATGTCACGCTCTCAAGCTGATTGATGGCGAGGTGTTGGGCGACCCTCTCGACATTAAAATGTTCGACTACACCGGCTGGATCCTCGACGAGGGCCAGTCGCGTCCTGTCAAGGGTGGCGGTGGCGCCGAGCGTACCCAGACACTTGTCCAGATGGTCGTTCGCCCTCCCGGCTCAGAGCAGTGGCGCATGGAGGACGCTCACGCTGCCGGCCGCAACCTCGAGCTTGGTGTCATTCGCTCGTTTGACTTTGTGTCTGCCCTCCGCCGCATGACGGTCATTGTCAAGCGCCTCAAGTCGTCGTCCATGGAGATTTACTGCAAGGGTGCTCCCGAGATCATGCCCGACATCTGTGACCCGGCGTCGTTCCCACTCGACTATGACGACATGCTCAGCTACTACACTCGTAACGGTTTCCGCGTTATCGCTATTGCCGGAAAGAGCGTCGAGGGTCTCACGTGGCTCAAGGCCCAACGCATGCGCCGCGAGGTGGCTGAGAGCGACCTCCAGTTCCTTGGCTTTATTGTGTTTGAGAACAAGCTCAAGCCTGGAACCGCTCCCAACATCCACACCCTCCGTGCTGCCCATATTGCCTGCCGCATGGTCACGGGTGATAACGTCCGTACCGCCATCTCGGTGGCGCGTGAGTGTGGTCTCATCTCTCACTCGGCCTCCGTCTATATCCCGACGTTCATTCCCGGTACTGGTTTCGGCGAAGAGTCCAGGTTGGACTGGAGCTCGGTCGATGACGAACGCCACAAGCTCGACGAGTATACCCTCAAGCCCATTTCACAAGAGACAATGGCCCTGGACACGGCCGAGCTCGAGATTACCGACTACCAGCTCGCGCTCACGGGTGATGTCTTCAAGTGGATGCTGGAATACGCTCCCCTCGAGGCCATGAACCGCATGCTGGTCAAGGGTGTCATCTTTGCGCGTATGAGTCCCGACGAAAAGGCTGAGCTTGTCGAGCGCCTCCAATCCCTTGGATACACTGTCGCGTTCTGTGGTGACGGCGCCAACGACTGCGGTGCGCTCAAGGCCGCGGACGTCGGTGTCAGTCTCAGCGAGGCCGAGGCCAGTGTTGCTGCCCCCTTCACGTCGCGCACGCCCGACATTTCGTGCATGGTCGAGATCATCCGCGAGGGTCGCTGTGCGCTGGTCACGAGCTTCAGCTGCTTCAAGTACATGGCGCTCTACTCGCTCATCCAGTTTACGACCGTCACCCTGCTGTACTCGTTCGCCTCTTCCCTCGGCGACTTCCAGTTCCTCTACATTGACCTGTTCATCATCATTCCCATCGCCGTCGCCATGGGTCGTACCCTGCCGTACCCGAAGATTCACCCCAAGCGCCCCACGGCTAGCTTGGTGTCCAAAAAGGTCCTGACCAGCATCATTGGCCAAACGATTATCAACTCGTCCATCCAGGGTCTCGTCTTTGTCTGGGTCCGCCTGCAGCCATGGTACACTGAACCAGTGGAGAACAAGGACGAGCTCGAGACGTTCAACTATGAGAACACTTCGCTGTTCTTGATCTCGTGCTTCCAGTACATTCTTGTCGCTGGCGTTTTCTCCGTGGGACCGCCCTACCGCAAGCCCATCTGGACCAACCCTTCACTCCTCCTGTGCCTCGCGGGCCTGACCGGATTCTCCAGCTACGTGCTGCTCAACCCGAGCACGACCGTCGCCCTCATTCTCGACATCATCTCCTTGCCTATGGGTTTCAAGGCCCAGCTGCTCGCTGTGGCCGTGGTCAACATTGGCCTGTGTTTCGGATTCGAGCGTTATGCCGAGAAGCCCATTGCAAGGGCGATTGCGAGCGTCAAGCGCTGGAACCGTAGGCGGCATGGCAGGAGGTATGGCCATGGCGACAACCACTACAAGGTGATTGAGGCCTCGCTCGACCAGGCCAGGCGATGACAGGAAGAGGCAAGGTGGAGGTCGTCGTAGAATAGGGATGGTTACCGTATATGCAATGCTTGTTCCCAACCGACCTACTGCTGTAACCGACGAGGAGCTTTGGTTCTGTTGCTGTACACAGATCACACAGAGCTGCAGCGACGGACAGTTGCCTCGTTGTTTTCCTTCCTTCGGGCCCCCGCACAATGACGTCGTGAGCTTCGACCACCTTCGACCTCCATCTCTCGCCAAAGACATATAGGCCTAGGCAACGCACTTCTCTCCGTCGCTTCCCACCTTCTCGACTGTCCCACAATGTCGGCACCAGCTGCAGACAAGACTCCCCCGACCAAGGTCAACCCTCCAGCCTCGGGACTCGGCTCTTCAGGCGCATACCAAGGCATCCCGGACGGCCTGGTGGACATTGACGAGATCGATGTCGCCTTTGTTGACGTCGGCGACGGCCCGACCAACCCCTACCTGCGCAACATTTACCCCGGTGCAGCGCTCATCGCGACGGGTCTGTCGCTGCATGGACTGCGGAGCGGGTCGCTGTCCAAGTCTGGCGCGATCGCTGCCTGGATCGTGGGTTACGGACACCTCGCGAACCCGCTCAAGCTGTTTGGTACGACCTTGATTGCGTTCTACTTGCTTGGATCACGGGCTACAAAGGTGGGTTAGGGGTTGGATTATACATCCCACCCGGCGCTGTTACCACTCTATATGTAAGCACAGCGCTAACATAGCTTCCAGGTCGACGCAGACATCAAAGCGACGCTCGAGGACGGACCCGACCCCGCAAAGCCTGGCGGTAACCGCGACTGGGTCCAAGTTCTCTCCAACTCGCTGCCCAGTCTGACCCTTGCCCTTCTCTACCGCCTCACTTGCTGGGTGGGTTCCACTTCACACATTTGCCAAGCTGACCCACCAGGACGCGCCGAGACCCTTGCTCATGTGGGATCTTCCCCGTCGCATCATCTTTGCTACCCTCGGGTCCGTCTTCCGTGTCCTCTTTACTGTGGTTGCGCTGACGGTATTAGCCACTTTGCGACCTGCATGGGCGACACGCTTGCGTCTGAGCTGGGCATTCTCTCGCCCGACAAGCCCACGCACATCCTCACCGGCCGGACCGTGCCGCCGGGCACCAACGGCGGCATCTCGGCGTACGGTCTCGGGGCGTCGGCGCTCGGCGGCCTCATCATGGGTGCGGTCATGCTCGTCGACCTGAGCATCGAGGACATGGCGATCCGCCGCGTCCCGCCGCAGTGGGGCTCGTGGGCGCTGCTTGGCTGGGGCACGATGGCCGGGTTCTGCGGTAGTCTCCTTGACTCGATCATCGGCGGCGCACTCCAGCAGACGCTGTACAGTACCGTGGACAGCAAGGTCCTCACCGACTTTTCGGAGAGGGACCCCCTCGAGCCCGGTCTCGTTACCATTGGTCCTGGAAAGAACTGGCTCTCAAACTCGGCCGTCAACCTGATCACGTCTAGCATCATGGCCGTGGCTGGCTGGAACGTCGGTGGCTGGTAAGGTAAGGGAAAGACGAAGGAAAGAGAGAAAGAAAGCAGAACCCAAGCTCCTGTAAATCACTATGGGGATGCATTGATAAACGTATGACCAGTCTCTATCGTTCCTGTCTGTACTCGAACGTGTCCTCCTTCCTCCATTTTTTGCGGGCCTCGCCTCACTTCTGCTTGCTCAGAACCGCCCAGCGACAGCCTTGGCCTCCTGCATCGTCTTGCGCGTCTCGCCACGACGGGCGTCGAGCGTCGCGCCGTTGGTGCGCAGGACGTACGCAGACGCAAACTGCTCAACATCCGCAGGGGGGAGACCGTCGCGCGTCTTGAGCCACTGAGCGAGGACAGCCGCGGCCTCCTCGGCGTAGTACTCGCGGGCGTCGGCCGCCTCGTCATGGAGGGCAACGACGACGTCCCAGAGGTCCCGCAGGCCGACACCGCCGGCGAGGAGAGCGCGGGTCGCCCAGCCAGCGGCGGTCTCGTCGCGGAGAGGCGCGGCCTCGTTGTAGACGAGCGGCAGAATGAGGTCGGCGGGGGCACCCTCGGACGGGTAGAACTTTTGGCAGAGGTCGGTGACGAGCTCGCCGACAGCGGCGTCAATGGGCACCTCCTGGGCGCGGGCGCGGATGAGCTGCTGCCACACAGCAACACAGACATCCTCGACGCGCGTGTCGGCCGTCTTGAGGATGAGCAGGATGGGCTCGTAGAGACGGAGGGGACGCGCGTAGTTTTGGTACAAGTCGTCGAGGCCCAGGAGCTCGGCGTTGAGGGCGTCGAGCGGGGCAATCTTCTCGGCGGGCGACATGTCGGTGTGACTCTCGACGGCGCGGACCACCTCGAGTTGGACCTGCGCAACGTCGATGCGCTCTTGGAGACCGGTGGTAAACTCGACATCCTCAGAACCAAGCGATGCGGCCGACTTGGCGTTGGTCACAGCCTGGGCGAGGTAGTAGACGCGCTCATTCAAGCCCATGTCACCGAGACGAGTGGCCAGGTCGGCGAGGGCCTTGGCAGCCTGGAGGTATTCCTCTCGCCTCGAGTAGTACTTCCACAGCAAGTCGCGGCGCTCGGGAACATTGGACGAGGTAAGCTGGAGGTAGCGCTCAATGAAGGGGGTGTCAAACTCGAGGAGCTGGTCGGGGCGGCCGAGAGCGACAGTCCAGTCGTAGAGGTAGAAGTGGAACAGCTCGTCGTCGGACGCGATGGCGAGGGCGTACGCCTCGTCGCGGACGCGGATGGCGTCGACAGTAGGCTTGTTGGCGGCGAGGACTTTGTTGAGCTGGTCATCGTACGACGCAAGAGCCTCAACCACGAGCTGGTAGCACTCCTGGCGCTGCTCAAGGAATGCCTTGCGAGGGTCACCGGGCTGGCGACCATCACGGACATAGTCACCAGCCTTGTCGTCGGCGTCAATCTCCGTAGCCACGCGGAGGGGAAGCTCGATGGTGCCGCGCACATCGATGAGGGCACGGTACCGTCCAGTCACGTCCTGGAGGCGGGGGAACACCGAGGCCGGAGCAGAGGCCGCCGCACGCTCAAAGAGACGCAGCGACTCGGCCAGACTCTCCTGGCGTTCGGCAATGTCACGGGTGCTCTCGGCGCGGCGGAGGGCCTCCTCGGCCTTGTACAGCACAACGTCGCCCGGCTGCACAAAGGTGCCGCAGCGCTGCTGCAGGATCGTGGAGAGCGTGTCGATGCTCAGCTCGGCGCCGATCTGAAGCTCGATGAGGGCAGTGACAAGCTTGCGAGCGACATCGCGGCCTCCCTGGCTGGTCAAGAGACCCTGGAACGTGAGGCTCGCGAGCGTGGTCTGGGTGGCGAGATCGCACTTGGCAATGACGTCAGGGAGCTTGTAGTCGTTGAGGAGAAGGACAAACGAAATCGCCTCGATGGCCTGCTTGAGCAGGACCTGGAGACCATGGAGCGACAGCTCCTCCTGGTCCCATGCGACCTTGGCGTCGCCCTCGGCCTGGTGGCGCGGGAAGGGGTGCTCCTCAACGTAGCGGCGGAGCTCGGCAAGGCGCGACTGGACCTCGACGAGGGTCTTGTCCTTGACGCCGAGGCCAAGCCTCTTGGGACCGGCAGGGACAGTAACCTTGTGGTTCCAGATGGGGCGGAGGAAGCGAGCAAGGATGAGCGCAAGGCCGTCGTGGCGGGGCGAGTAGACGATGGTGCGAGAGCCTGTAGTCGAGGTGCGGATGGAAGGGGGCTCGGATGTGAGGAGAATGTTAACGGACGCGTTGGCGAGGTCGGCCTGCTTGTTGTCCGGACGAGTACCCATGAGGATGCCCATGGACATGAGCTGGACGCGGCCAAAGGCGAGACGGGCAGCGTTGACAGCGAGCTCCTTCTCAATGTCCAGGTCGGCCTCGAGCATGTCGACGGGACGGGGCTGGACAGCCCAGAAGATGCCGCTGGTGGCGAGGATGAGGAACTGGCGCGCACCCACGGTCGCCTGGCGAGGGAGAGCCGAGAGAGCGATACCGTCGTCGCGACGCAGTGCCGGTGCGGAACGAGCAGGGTCGGTAGCGGTCACCTCGGCGATAGTCCAGACTTGGCTGGGGATCGTCTCGGTGACGGCCCACTCCTGCAGGATGGGGTTTGAGAAGTTTTCGTGGTTCTCGCGAAGGGCAGCCTGGCGGCCCACGGCGGGGACGACAAACGTAAGGCGCGAAGTCGGGGTAGCGGTGCTTTCGTGGTGGACGTTGATGAGCGTGCCAGACGAGTAGAAGCTCTGAGCATCGGCACCAGTCGTCTCGGGCGGTGGTGGGCGATGTCCAACAATGCCCAAGCTGGACAAGTGGCCGAAAAAACCAGCGGCACCGAGGTAGAGGCGGGCACCAGAAGCGGAAATGGCAACGACATACGTCTTCTTGCTCTCCTGGCCACTGACGATGGCAATCGACACAACCCGTGCGCCGGGATGCGATGGCGCTTGGCCGCCATAGTTGTGGCGGACAAAGTCACTGCGGAGGGAGGTGTAGCGAACGCGGAGCTCAAACTTGGTGCCAGAGACATCAAACCACTCCAGCTCGCCGCGCGTGTGAAGGGCAAACAAGCGGCCTTGGATGGGGTCAACAACAAACGACTCGATACCTTCGCGCGTGTTGCCGGTGAACACGCTGGGGACCCATGTGCTGAGGTATCCGCTGCTGCGGTTCGAGATCCACACCTTGGATCCGCCACCGAGCCATCCCGAGCCAGTGCTGTACTCGAGCTCGTAGAGGTCCTTGTTGGCGCCAAGGAGGAAGACACGGCCCGAGTCGGTGCCCTTGATTTCAAGCATGCTGGTGGGCGTGTCGACGCTCAAGTTGGTAGCGTACAGCGACAACTCGCCCTTGGCTGAACGGCTCAGCCCCAGCAGGGTCGCCTTGGACGCCGTGCAGATGACGAGCAGGTGCGAAATGTCATCCACAAACACGTCCTTGCGCGCGCGAACCAGACCAACGCTCTGGATCGTGTCGGCCTGCTGGTCGTAGCGGCTAAAGTCACGTCCGTCGGTGTAGTCCCAAAGGAAGAGCTTGTTGTCGACGGTAAACCATGCGCGCTCAATCTCCTCAAACAGGCCCATCCGCGCGGTCAAGTGCTTGTCTGCGAGTTGTTAGCACACTGCTCAGCGATGAGTAGCTCACAGTTCAGCTCCTGGTGCAGAGCATCCGGAAGCGGCGTCGTGCGAGTGATACGAGCGGCACGGAACGCGGCGCTCTGGGTTGGCGGGGCGACATATGGTGGCTCGGCGGCTGGCCGTCAGTTAACCGTAACGGCAAATGCAAACTCACATGGCGCAAACAAATCGGCGAGGTCGGGCGAGATCTCATTGTCGCCAACGATACCGCGCTCAATCTTTCCACGCGCACGACCAAGAGGGCCATACACTGGGTCCTCGTCCCTGGTGACGCTCTCGAGCTGCTGGGGCTGCAGCTGCGTGCTGCCTGTGTTCGTGTACGTCGGGTACTGGTTGTAGCCTGTCGCGCCGGCGCGCGCGGCCCAGGCACCCTGGGGAGCAGCAGCGGTGGGCACGCCAGCACCAAATGGAGCCTGGGCAGGAGGTACACCAGGCTGGCCCGGGACAAGACCAGCGCTGGGCAGAGGCGTGCCGAGTTGGCCGTAAGGGTTGGTCGGGACCGGGTGAGAGAGGAAGGGATCGTGCGACGGCTGACCAGCGTTCCAACCAGCCGAGTTGGGAGGGTTGGGAAGCTGGGGGTATACTGGTTGACCTGGATAGCCGTAGCTCTGCTGCTGAGGAACGCCCTCGCGGTTGAATGACAACATTGTTGTGCTGATGATCCGTTGATCGCGAGGAATGGGCCGGAGGACGAGGTGGTTGCGTTTCCGGTTTCTGGGAGCTGGGGGAGGGAAGGGAGGAGAGTGAGAGGGGACAAGAAGAAGAGATAGAGTCGAAAGGGGTCCCAGGCGGTGGGATTCCTAGCACCCCGTCGACTAGCGGTTGGTGGCTGGGAAGGTAAGGTGTTGGTGGATGCAAGAAGATGTTGGTCCGTTGTAGCTTTCAAGAAACCAGAAGTGGCAAGCCCACGTGGATTTGCTTCCGTCATCAAGTGGCAGCGATGATGGCTGAGGTGGAGGTTGTCATACGCGGGGCCAGTGATGGCGAGCACGAACGGTACGTTACAGATATGTAATGGCATAGGTACACACGGTACAGTACATGGCACTAGTGTGCAGTAGGATTCTATAAAACAGAGGCAGGAGTTATGCAGTAAACCATCGTCCCACATGAAACTGTCGTTTTGTTTTCGTTGTCTTTTCTGGTCGGCTCACTGCGCGTTGCGCTTCTCAGGCCACACAATAGTACGGACTCTGCAGAGGTCAATATGATTTCGAACTGCTAGAATCTCACCTCCACTGGAGTGCTCCTTCTGAACGGCGCTGGTAGCCCGCTTTGACGAGGGCGTTGGAACACTTGGTGGCCGCGTCTTTGGTGGGGTGTCCTTCAGAGTCTTCGAGCGGGAAGTAGCTGTCGATAATGTCGTTCTGGGCCGTTAGGTGCAAAGAATAAGAGTCAGCTCACCTCTTCGTCACAATAGGACCTGTCGGGACGCTTTGGCTTTTCATAGAGCGTCCTGGCCCTCTTCCTCGGCGGGCTCTCGAGGCCAGGCTCAGATGACGTAGGGCCCAGCGCAAGTGGGTCGGGAGACTCTTCGCGGACATTGGGAACCTGGCGAACGACGGAAGAGGCAGTACGACTGGACACAGACCTTGCCTTGGACTTGGGAGGCTGAGATATGTTAGCCACCACCGTGGTCCCCCATCTCACAGTCGAGTCGTGGCCCCGCTTCGTGGCATGTTTAGCTGAATGGACGACAGGCTCAGCGGCCTCCTTAACCTTCTTGCCGTGGACACGGCTGGACGAAGACCAAAGCGAAGTCTCGGGGAGCTGTGGTTGTTAGCTACGGTCTTCTGCGCTCAACTAACCTCCTCCTTGGCGCCACTCCCTGGAGATGAGGCTTCGGACGCCGCCACGGCGGCCATGACAGAACGGGTCAGATGGGGGACGCTGTCCGGCTGCACCGGCGTAGGTGGTCGGGAACGGGCAGGGGACTGGGACGTAGGGGCTGACGGACTCTTCTTCACCTGCTGGCCCAGGTTAGCAGTGTCTGTATCCAAGATCCTTACGGTGGTGGGAGTATCGACAGCAGGTGGGGACGAGGTCGCCATGCTCGAGCGCGTCGCCGACCGCCTGCCCTCGTGGCGGCTTCCCTTGAAGAGAGATTCGGCCGCCAACTGGAGGTCACGGAGCTCGGCTTTCTTGTTGTAGCCCGCGCCACCCTTGAGGCTGAAATTGGTTAGCAAATGAGTGAAAGGACTAAAAGGAGGACCTTACCGAGCCGGTGCTAAAACGGGAGGAGCAGCAGGTTCGTGCTGAGAGGCAGAAACATGTTGCGCTGGGGTCTCGACGGTCTGGGAAATGTCTGCCGGAGGCGAGGCCGAAGTGCCAGTGGGATCCGGTGACCCGATGATGGTGCGGAGGTCTGACATTGGAGGTGGCGTGAAGTCCTCCAGAGGCGTTGTCGGGGGGCGCCGAGGTGGTGGCGGTGCAGTGTGGGGTAAGGTCAAAGAGAGGCTGCTGACAAAGAGCTTGCGCGGGGGAACGTGGCTGTGCCGATGACGCTCTACCCATCCTCGCAGACTCGGAGGGGGAGAGCACCGTCGTCTGGGAGCTGAGTGGTTCGCCAGTGACTTGAGTTGAGCCCGGCGGCTCGGAGGAGCTGCGGATCGAGGTGAGTGGCGACGAGGTGATGGACAACTCCAACGCGTTGACCTCAGTAGGTGAGGTTGGAGTTGGAAAGTGAGTGTGGAAGGGGAAGCCCTCCACTGCTGAGCGCACAGACCGCTCCTTCGTGAGCGTGGCCGGCATGAGACCGGGCGTAGGGGACGGTGTCATCGTCTGGACGACGGACGATCCTTCACACTCATCGATGGGCGTAGAGACATTTGGCGAGACATCTCGAGAGACTTGTTCGCAGTCGAGGTCCGTGAGGGCAGAGAGACAGCGCCCAGGACCATCAGCTCCACTGTCCACGCCGGGTGATGGCGGAGGGCTGGGTGGAGTGTGAGGTTCGACGATGGAGATGTTGACGACAGGTTTGGGCGTAGCTGGCTGATCGTCGTCTGCACAGTCCACCGGGGTAGCGTGCAGCTCCGGACTAGGGGGCGGAAGGTCACTGGACGAGGCTTTGGGGAGGCAGTTCACGAACGTGTTGCTGATGATCTGCCACACACCACCGTCGGGCCGAGCCACAGACTGTGGTGACGTAGCCTGCTCAATGGGGGCAAGTGTCTCAATGGGAAGGACGGGCGATGGCTCTGGGGTGATACTGGAGAAGCCATTGAGAGGTGGCGCCAGGTGTGGAACGGTCGGCGGAAGAGAGACATGGCGGGGCCTCTTTCCCATTGCAGACGGAGGTGGGGACGCTGACTGAGTCCTAGGGCGCTTGTGTGGAGCGTTGAGGGCGTGGGAAGTCGGGCTAAGAGAGAACGCGTCCTGCTCCGGCCGAGGCGACTCACACGGGCTCGCGACGTGGTTGTCGGGGGCACACTCCAGCAGATGCTTCGCCACCGAGGGCTCGGCCGGCGTATCATCACACTGGTAGGATTAGCGATCAACTTTTCTTGTACGAGCTCAGCACACGGGCACAAACGTACGGTTGTCTCTACCTGCTGGTCGGCGACAACGTTGCTGCTGATGACAATGGGCATGCCGGGAGTGTCACGGGGAAAGTCGTCACCACCGGGGGGAAGGTGACTCGACGGAAGGAGGACTGAGGGAAGGTGGTCGGGCGAGGGAAGGTCTTTGTCGAGGACAATGCTGCCCTTCGGAATAAAGACCATCTCATAAGGCGTGGAAATGGCGTCGATACTGGAGTCGGGTGTGTCGTCGTCGTCGTCGGTAAAGGACGAGCATGGACTCGAACCCGCGGACGGAGTGGATGGGTGGCTGCTCTCGCGGGTGCTTGCCGAGGGTCCGGCCGCCTCTGGGACAGATTCCTCGGTTTCATCCTGGAACGTGGTCAGCCCCAGATATACCAGCGCATAGCATGGTCCAGTCACGTCCGTTGATGGGAACCATCTGCTGCAATGGGAAGAAGACTTTGAGCTACTACGTACCTCTGTGTGTTCTCCGTCCTCGAGACGACGGAAGATGCCGCCAATAACCTCTCGTAACTCTTGCTGGGACTCGCTCTCTGGGATCACTGGTGGGGAAGGAACGGAAAAGCCGAGCAGCTCGGCGTCGGACAACGTGAAGCGTACTGAGGGGTGACTTGGCCCTACCCCCTTGATCCGCGGGCTGTCAGAGTAGTCGGAGACGGTGTAGCTGTCCCAGTCCACCATCTCGGGGGGCAGAGGAAGGTCCTCCATGAGATCGAAATCGGACGCTGAAGCGGGGAGAGTAAGGAAGGTGTTGTGGAGGACGGTGCGGGGGACGGATGCCATGTCGGCAGGGAGGGTTGCTGCGAGAAGAGAGTCGTGTAGAGAGCGTTTGGGACGTGACGGCATAAAAGGAAGGAAGGGTGAAAGAGAGAGTGAAAGAGAGAGTGAAGGAGAGGGAAGGTGTGGGATATGAATGGATGATGGAGGAAGGCGAGACGTGTTGTGGGGTCCGTTGGCGCACGAGGGGCACAACCAAATGACCGGAACAAAGTGTCGTTAGGGGAGACTGATGGGATCAGGCGAGGAGGGCATGGGGTGATGGGGTTGGGACTTGTTGTTGTTCTTGTTGTTGTTGCTGTGGTTGTTGTTTTGATGTGGAATGTCAAGTGGTGGCGAATGATGACGGTGTTGTGGATGTGTTTTCTCCTCCGCCCGTCCCCACCCCCGCGCCCGCTGCGCCGCTGCTATCCACTCTGACGCCGTCGTCAGCGGCGTGGAGAAACGGATTCACATCGACGAGCAGCGCACAACAGACGATCGCGGCCAGATCCCTCCCCCCCTTCACACTGCATACCGCTGTCTGTGCACGGCCGTGCGCCAGCGAGCCATTATATATAACCGGTGTGTGTGGTCCGTGCACCCTCCGGCCTCCGGCGGGGGAAACCAGTCTTGGGGGGCGCAAAAGAGGCCAAAGACGGGAGTGTGCGTTCGCACCCGGCGTTTGAGTGTGTGTGCACAACGAGCCGGAGCGGAGGGTGGGTCTGTGCTTGTTGACAGACGGCAAGTGACAATGACGCACCATGTGCTCCATCCATGGTCTCCTCGCCCTTTGTCGTTCAGCGCGTCAATGGCGGTGCCCGAGACGTCTGATGAGCGAGTGGCTGTAGACAGTCACATCAGTCAGCAGTGACCAGTGCTCAACGCAGGTGCACATATCCCTGGCGCACAGTGCTTTCTTGTCAATCTTCCACTGTACATACATCAAAGCTCAAGAGCTCATAGCTCACGAGTTCGCAGCGCAGTAGTAGACAGGCGCGCGACAGAAGTCTGCACTTTGGTTGCAGGCAGCCAAGGTGAGTTATGTAACATAGAGAATACCCACAAGGAGACAAGTTTGAATATTAGAGATGCAATGAAGAGACGACAGACACGTCGGACTGTCCAAGTGGCTCAGATCTTGATCCTGAGAAAGAAACATGTACGCGTCGGGAATGAGAGAAGCTGCGCCACGCCACGACGGAATGCCACATTGTTCCCATACTATTTCCCGCTGCGATTTTTCTTGAATACAGACCAAGATACATACGACAAACCTCTTGCAATCCACGGAGCCAAGAGTTTGTGCCTTGCTCCATAATATACGTAGCTAACCGCCATAGAAATTACGCAGGCTGTGACATGCAAGGGAAAAGTGCAAGGATTGCCAGTTTCTGCCGCCAAACCTAACTGAAACGCCACACAACGATGAACAATGTCCGTCCAGGTTGTTTCCTGAATACCTTCTCCTCACGGCCAAGTGTTAAGTGTCCTAAGAATCTAGTGATATAGTTAAGCGTAAAGTACCCAACTGTAGCTGTGATATCCCAGCCATATATATTGAACCCACCACCCATGCCATCTCGGGTGGAAGAGTCACTCAGCCAGGCACCAGCGTGATTTGAGAGGCCATGAGAGGAGTTCGGCATTACACATTCCCGCGCAAGCGATCTGGCGCACGTCTCCGGTTTGCCTGTTATTGATTTGGCTTCGGGACACATCTGCTGCCTTCCACACTCGTCGCTCAACGTTCGGTGGCCCTGTCCAGTACATACACTCACCCTCCAGCGCTTCAGCAATGGCGGTGACAAACGTAGCGGACCTGACCATCGTGCCGGTCACGCCGGCTCAGGCCCGCGCGGCCTCGGACAACATGTATCCGCACTGGGGCCAGCCCAACGGGGTTGTCTCGACGGACGAGTACATTAAGGCGTTTGACAGCATCGCAGCGACAGGACCGTGGGACACGGCGTACACTGCCTGGGCCCTCGTCCCGCGCTCCGACCCCACCACTGTAGACATTCTGTCGCACTGCCAGACGTTCCGGAGACGCGCATTCGTCGTACAGCCAGGCAGTGACACAGTGAAACAAGTCACGTCGTACGTGGTGGCTCACGTCTTCACGCCACCCGAGAAGCGCAGCATGGGGATGGCGCGGCACATGCTCCGTCTTCTCCACTATACCCTCGCTCCGAAAGACGACCTGCCCACCTTTCCCAAGGCGTGGGGTGCTCCGCCGACCACGCACTATGGCGATGCGGCCTTCTCGGTGCTGTACTCGGATGTTGGGCCGGACTTTTACCAAGGCTGCACCGTTGGAGAGGACAGGCCCGGTTGGGTCGCTACGCCAACAGACAAACGCACCTGGCCGGTCGGACAGGGAGAGAGCACATGGGATCCAGAATGGGAGGCTATCGATCTTGCACAAGCAAAGCAACTCGAGGTCACTGCCACCGCTGCCAACTGCCAGGCAATGCCGCGCACTGGGGACCGGACACGGACTCGGGTCGCGTTCGAGTACACCAACGGGTCGTTCAGGTTCTCACCTGTGCGCGGTGCGGTCATCGATGTCGCGTCCCATAAGCGCAAGAACCTCGATGGCCTTACCGTCGGGGTTCGCTTGGGTGCTCCTTCCGGCGTGGAACGACCTTACATCATCTATACCGCTCGTATCCGAGGTGGTGCTGGCACGAAGAAGATGCGCATCGCCCACGTACAGCACCCTGTGCCCTTTGACGCGCTTCTTCGCGTTGCCAGAGCGGCTGGCGCCCAGGAGATTGAGCTCTGGGGAGACGACTCGTCCTGGGATGCAGAGGAGCATGAGGTCACAAGGGAAAAGGAGATACCATGTCTTGCGTCATACTCCCTGGGCAAGAATGTCGAGTGGCTTTGGTGCGAGCAGTGAGTGGTGGTTGACGTCGCAGAGCGGTTTGTGGTGACTGACATCCAGATGCTTTTGGGCCTGAGGCCCTCTTGGGACGAGATCAGCCACATATGGAATGAGGAAGAGTTGTCAACTTGGAATATTAGTAGATCATCGACACAGGCGAACAGGGACGATGCACTTTGAGTACTGCACATGTTACTAAACTGGTCTGATCCATAGGTGTGTCTTGGGGGATCGGGTTGTTGAATTGCCACTGGCCAATTTGCCGCTTATCGCCGGCGGCCTGGCTGGCCGGATCCGTCCTGAGTGGCTTGGGTGGATGTCATGATCAACGAGGCAAGAAGCGTCTCGAACAGCTCTAGACATATATCCCACATCTATACCAACAACAACCATGTCGGGCGGCTTCTTTGGCTTCGACACGGCCCTTCCTGGGCGTGACAACGCTCCGTCCGCCTCCGCTCCCGGCGGCACCGTTCACGGCTTCCAGGCGCGTGCCGATGCCGACTCGTTCCTTGGCGGCGGCGGTCTCGGCGGCGCTGGCGAGGAGGAGGACCTTGCCGTTTACAACTGGGGCGAGGGCATGGACACTGGCCTTCTTGAGGGCGGCGATGACTTCAACGACGAGACCTTTGGCGACGTCGGTGACTTCAGTGCGTGGTGGTGGCTTGTTTGCTTTGAACTGTAGCGCTGACGTACCTCGCAGGCCAGGACTTCCAGTTCTCGTCGCAACCTGCGCCTACCCCGGCCTACCGCCAGCAGCCCCGTGGACCCATTGCCTCTACCAAGAGCCACTTCCACCCCAAGGCTCAGGTGGACCTCTTTGCTGCCACCGAGGACGACTTCTACTCGTCCAGGCCTTCCACGAAGAGTCAGTTTACGACCCCCCTTTGCAATAGCTGGCTAACAAGCAGAGTCTACCAAGCAAAACAAGAAGAAGGAGCCTGAGCCTCTCTGGGCCAAGGCATCGCCTGCCAACCAGTGGGGTGCTTCCCCCGTGGCGCAGCCGCGCACGCCGACCCAGCAGCCCGCCCCCGCTGCCCGTCCTCCACCTGGCCAGATCCTGTCGCTTGATGAGATTGAGGCAGACCTTGCGCGTACCAACATCAACGTCCCGACTCCCCCTCCTGTTCAGCAGCAGCAGCAGCAGCCGCGTGTGCTGACTCTTGAGGAGATTGAGAGCCAGATGGTTGCCGGCACGCCTCCCCCTGTGGCCCACCAACCTCCTCAGGCCCAGCACCAGCAGCACGCTTCTCAGCACTCGATCCACGTCCCCACTCCTCCTCAGCGCAACACTCCTCCCGTGTCTGCTGGCCTCAATGGATCCGGCCACTCGCAGCAACAGCAGGCTCTGCTTGACCAGATGTTCCCCGATCTTGGCTCAGTCCCCGCTCCCCAGCAGCAGCAGCAGGTTCCCGGCGGTCAGCAGGCCATGGCGCCTTCGGGCCCCCACCAGCCCAGCCCTGAGGAGATGGCGCACATGGAGGAGCTTCACCGTCGTATCGCCGGCAAGATTGAGGCCATGTCCAAGCACAACAACCTCATGGGTAATTCCGACAAGGACTTTATCACGCGTATCCAGCTCTCGCAGCTGGCCACGGCCGACCCTTACTCGTCCGACTTTTACGCCCAGGTCTACTCGGCTCTCATCCGTCGCCAGCAGGCCGCGGACGGCCAAGGACCCACTGTCGTGCAGGTCGCTCCCGGTCTCGGCTTCGGTGTCGGTGCTCCCACCGGTAACCGTTTCGGCAAGATGGGGACTGCGTCGATGCAGCGTCTCACCACTCAGGTGAAGAAGCTTGTGTCGACCACTGCCAAGCGCCAGCAGAGCAACATGTCCAACGACGCTCTGCAGGGTGCTCTTGGGCGTGTGCCGCGCGCTCGTAGCCAGGTCGCCCCTCGCCAGGTCCTTGCTGTTCCCGCCGCGACCAAGACCAAGCACCAGCCCATCAACCAGCTCAACCAGAGCACTGGCCCGACCCGTCCTGCCCTCACTCGCAAGCAGGTCATGTTTGCCCTTGAGGAGCTGTACGATGACGTCCTCGAGATTGAGCAGATGCGCCGTGACGCCCCTCCCCCTACCGACGTGCCCGCTGTCGAGGCGTGGAACGCCGCCTGCGTTGCCAAGGTTGACGAGATGTGGAACACTCTCATGGTCATGGAGCCTCTTGGCGTGTCCAACCCCCACCCGTTCATCTCCCTCATGAACCCTCTCAAGGGCCAGCGTCTTTTCCCTCGCCTCCTCCGCCACCTCCCCCAGCAGCAGTGTCTCACTCTGCTCACCCTCCTGATCGCGACCTACCCCCAGCTCGACGTTGTCTCGCGCGCTCCCCCTCCTCCCGTCGCCGACTCGTCACTCCTCACCAAGGCCGACCGCCTCGACCGTGCGCGCCGCGAGGCCGAGACGGACAGCTTCCTCCACCACGTTATCCCGGGAGTGGACGCCATCATCAACCAGTGCAACCTCGGCCTCGTCTCGGGTCTCCTTGGCATCTGTTCGCAGCGCATGGAGGTCTGGAAGGTCGGCGCCACCCGCCCCGGTGTTGCCCTCTTCACTGCCCTCCTGTCCAAGGCACAGTCGCTCGTCCGTGCGCCCCAGGACCCCAACCACCCCGAGGCCCAGCAGGACCCCGCCGAGCTCGAGCAGTGGCACAAGATGTTCGACTACTTTTTGCAGATCATCCTCCCGCACCTGCCCGAGCTCTTCCCGTCCACCCAGGCGCAAAAAGTCGCGTTCGGCCCCGGTGCCTACCTTATCGGCGCCGACGCCGCCGGCGCCAACCAGTTCAACGAAAAGGAAGGACTGGAGATTGAGCGCCGCGAAGCCGAGGTGTGGGGTCTTGCCGCTGCCTTGGCCGTCAACGCGCCCGAGGACCAGCAGACCAACCTCGTGGCGGCGCTGCGCGAGAACATTCTGCACTCTGTCACGGCGGCGCGCGACTCGCACACGCCGCGCGCCCGCGCCGAGATGAAGCTGCGCAACGTCAACATGTTCCTGCATGGCCTGGGCCTCGACGCGAGCATGGTGCCGACTTAGGAAACGGGATGGGATGGGTTGAAATAGACAGGCGGGGCCCGGGAGACCGGGACTGGTCACCAGGGACCGCCACTTGAGAAGAGACTGAAGAGAGAGAAAGAGAAACAGAGAAGAGACGTTCGTGAGAGAGAGCTTGGATCTACGCCGGGGGATGATATCGTGACTATCGAAGCGCGTAAGAGACGCTGGTGTACACTATGATAATGTTTGGCCGTCCTGTAGTGTGACTGCATGCATAGTTATCCTCATATGCGGGGGGAATGGAGTGGAGTGTTGGGACGAGCGGCGCGGGAGGGAGGCATCCGGTGGCCGCAGAAAACCGAACCGTCTCTCTCATCTTATCTTGGGCCAATTTCTGCAACCTGCGGCAAAACATGCAAACCGCTAACGACCCGTGGTGGCATGGCATGGCACGCAGCGCTACAGATGCACACGGTAAACACTGTACTGTACACGACCTCGTACACGACAAAAACCTAGACAAAACCCCCAACCGCGACTCCCTCCCTCACAGGTCCAGCGGGTAGGTACTATACAAAAACAACAACCCCAATCCCACACTAGTACCGGGCCCACTGCGACGCCGCCGTGTTGCGCTTGGTATCAAGGAACCGGCGCGGCGACTGCGGCGGCGGGGCCATGTGCTGGTCGTGCACGCTGCCCATGGCATACTCGTCGTCGTCGGGGTTGCCAATGCCGCGCGGGCTGCTGATCTGCAGCGGCGCCTTTGTGCTGGCCGGCTTGCCCAGGCCAAACATGTTGGACAGGTGGCGCGACCCGCGCTCGCCGTACGTGCTCAGTCCGACCCAGTCGTACCACTCGCGCGGGTTACCGCTGCTGCTGGCGCCAGCTCCTCCGGCGGCGGCGGCGGCGGCGGCTCCAGAGTGCGGGCCCTCGAGGCGTTCCTCGCTCTGCATGCGGTGGGCGGCTGCGCGTTCCTTTTCGCGCCACTGGTCCGCTGCTGAGCGGCCGTCTGCGCCTGTGGAGATGGCTGCTGGCGGCGCTGCGCGCGAGCCTTGCGACGACGAGAAGCTGCGCTGCAGGTTGGTCAATGGCGAGTGGCCGCCGGCGAGGGCGGCAGTGATGGGGCCGGGCGAGTTTGTAGGCGAGCGGCTGACGTCGCGCATGGGTACCGATCCGAGGTCGTCTTTACGTGTCTCCTTGGCCCACAAATTGTTCTTGAAGGGCAGGAGCGAGCGGCGGGTGTACGCTGGTGGCACTGCCGCGAGACCCGCTGCGGCGCTGCCAAACGACGACCCAGACGCGTGCGTGCGCTGTCGGCCTGGAGGGGTGCCCGCGTACACCTCGCGCATCTGGCCCGACTGGCCCGGATTCTCTTCGGGCAAGTTGACAAACCGCCATCCGACGTCGCGCGCCATCATGCGCTTGTACCACGGACGGTCGTCGTTCCAGCCGAGCTTGGGTGTTGGACGCCGTTTTCGTTCGCGCCGGCGCCAGAAGCAGATGGCAATGAGGCCAATGAGCGCCAGACCACCCGCGGCACCGACCGCCGCGCCAATGGCCGTCTTGGCTGTCGAGTTGTACGGCTTGGCGGCGGCAGCGGCAGCGGACGAATGGACGGCTGACGTGGTCGGCCCCACAGTGTACGACGGTGCGCCGGCGGTCATGGTGGCACGGGACGAGGTGGTGGTCACTTGCTCGGCCAGGGTCGCGGCACCGAGCTTGGTAGTCGCGACGAGGTAGTCGAACGAGAGCTGGCCCCACTGGTTGACCAGCTGGATCGTATGTTGAGAATCTGACAAGCCAGAGACGTGGTACAGCACCTGTTGGTACACCTCGGGTCCTCCCGACGCGTCATATGTTCCGATGGACGCTCCGTCCAACATGACCTGGTAGCCGCCGGCAGGCCCACCTGTCGTTCCATACGCCCACACTGCACTTCCTGTAAACTGCATCGAATTGTTTGCGCCAGACAGAGTTGTCCACGAGATCGAGCTGTTGTGGTTGCGCGCCTGCGTGCCTTCCTCTGTGACGACCATTGGGTCCGACTGGGGTGTCAGTTGCTGGCCCTGTAACAGCCACCTCAACTCACAGTGTTGACAAAGTTGCTGTGGTTGCTCTCCAACATGTTCCACGCCGGGCTGAGAATGACCGTTCCATTCGGGCCTCCTGCCCAGGCCGTGTCGTCAATTGTCGAGTTTGTCGTTTCTGGGCCGTTGGCGCCGTCCAGCGTCCCAGTGACGCCTTGGACGTTGGCCCACGTCTCGTTTCCAGTCTTGCCGTCGGTTCGCTGCAGGTCTAGTCGGAACGTGTGCATGCCTGCCGGCAGGCCTCTCACGCCAACAGCAGTGGTCGTCGAGCCCGACGGCGCGTCCGTGCCGTTGACCAGGACCTTTGTGGTCCATCCAGTCCCCGAGCCCGACGTGCCGGCGCCAGCACCCGGGCCACCGCCTCCGCTCGACGGAGCAAAGTCGACCTCGAAGAAGAGGGCAGTACCTGTTTGTCGGGAGTGGGAGTGTGGGAGTGTGTTGAGAGCAAGGGCAGGCACATGAGGAACAACGGGTTAGTTTAATGAAGAGACAGAGAAAAAAAAAACGAATCCCTGCGTGTGTGGGACGTACCGGTAAAGTTGAGTGAGACCGACGCGTTCTGTGCGCTCGTGACCCATCCAACGTCATCGCCCGTGGCATTGGTGTTGGAGTAGGATGCATAGTCCTGCCATCCGGTTGTGGGGTCGCACGAGTGGCATGGCTGGTATGCCAGCAGCGGGGAGCTGTTGTGGGGGGACACGGGGTACAGGGCCGGCGCGAGGGGGTGGCGTTGAGGAGGAGGAGGGGGGATGGCGCATGGCGGTCAAAGAGACGCGCGTGGTGTGTGTGGCGCGCGCGCGTTCGAGATAGCCGACAACAAAGGCAGGAGGAGGCGTTTGTTGTGTTTGGTTTGCAATGGCACAGCGTAAACATGGAGAGGGGAGAGGGGAGGCCGGGTGTAGTGGGCATGTGCGACAGACACAGGCGATGGCGGCGTCGAGAACGGCGTTGGAGGCGGAGAGGTCGAGATGGTTTGGTTTATAGAGGAGCCGTGGTCAGCACTCCACCCGCTATAGGCCCACGGCATGTCCATATGCCGCGCAGACACAAGGACTCACCCCGATGAGAGATAGACCTGCATCGTGCTGGTCGTGACCAAGTGGCCTGTGGAGTTCAGAGTTGAGAGAAAGGACGGCGCGCGCGTGTGCACACGCTGGGTGTTGGATGGGGTTGCCTGTTCACTGTGTCTCGGTCCCGTTGTCGTTGTTGAATCCGCGGTTTTGGGACGCGTCCGCAGTCGGCCAGCGCGCCAGGAGGCCAGGAGTGATCAAGAGGCGCGTCCAGTGCGCGAGTGTGTGCAGAGTAAGGTGGATGCAGCGATGGGGGGGAGGATGTGGATGTTGTGAATGACAGAAAAGCGTGTATGTGTGTCGGCGTGGTGGTGGATATGGTGACGCGAAGAGGATGCGCTCCAGCAGTCAGCCGTCAGCAGTTCAGAGCAGTCAGCAGCAGCAGCTGATTGCACTCGACAGTTCCCATCTGCACATTCCCCCTCGTCCCCTCTCCTCACCCGCGGCCCCCCATGCTCCGGTCTCTCTCTCATTCTCTTGTGCCCGAGACCTCGTTCCTATTGTAAAAACGCGCGGGCGGCGCGCGCGCGCGGGTGGGGGGGCGGCAGACGCGAGGCAGAAAGTAGACCATTGAAGCCCGCGCCAGCAGCCGCCTTGGGCGTTGCTCCCTCCAACAATCCAACAACGCTCTTTTGATCTCTTGGCAAAAAAGGCCGCATTGTTGGTGGTCTTTTTTGCATGCACGAAACCTCTCCCTTGCGTCATTCCTCCTGCAGTACACAGTGGGTACAGTGCACACAGTGCATGCAACAATGGTCACACCAGGACAAGGGAGACCTGGATACATGCTGATGCATGATGGACACGGCATGGCAACAAGACGACACTCTCGGCACCACACCCGCGCCGGAACCCCCCAAATGAAACAGTCCCAACAACACGAACCACGGCATGGCGCCCCCCCTCTTCCATGCAGCTCTCTGCGCTTCATCCACTCTTCTCCATGGTCCACACCCCCAGGCCTTGCTCGCCCCAGCAAAGGCCTTTTGCCCCCCTTTGTGGTCGTTCCCGCAACCCCCAACCTCCCTCTCAGACGCCGCGGCACGGCATGGACTGAAACGCACAGTTGTCGCAGGTATCCAGGCAGCAAACGCTCCTGTCCTGCTGCGGTCGCCGCTACTGCAGGCACAAACCCTGTCGCCCACCCGGTACAGTACCCGGCAGCCCAAGGTTACAGCTGGCAGCCTGTGCACCTGCTGCTCACAGATCGCAGATATCTCGCCTGCATGGCCTGCACATTGCCTGGTTTAGCTGGTTGCTTCTTTACTGTATTGGGTGGGACACAAGGAACAAAGGCCCCGTCGGAGACCACCGCCGCGCCCACATTTCGGGCAGTGTTTTGCAACAAACAGTAGACAGTAGTCACCCCCCCCACACCCCACATCGCCATTGCGGCATCGTGTGGCCCGGGGCCTGGTGCCCTCGCCGTCGTCGTCGTCGTGTCGTTGTCGCTACCCACATCCACAACCACGACCGACAAGCAGCACTTGAAAACTTTGCAGAGGCCGATGCATTGGACACAAAGCCACATAAGCCACATGCTACCGTACTCGGGCTACTACCTGTGCTTTGCGTTTGTGCTTTTGTCCTCGTGATCACTCTCGCTCATGATTTTAGACGACCCAGGTGATCCACACGATCCACACGATCCAGACTCCAGGCCCTTCCCTTGCCAACTTGCTCTCCCTCTCTGCATTCGTCCATGTGGCCCACGTGAAAACTAAATGGGTAGACAGGGTACGCCAAGTACGGTACATTTGTAAGGTTTACAGGTGAGGGGGAGAGGGGAGGGGGGGAACCAGCTCAAAGCGTAGCTAGAGCGTGGCAAGTGGCAAGTGGCAAGTAGCGAGTGAGCTATGAGAGCGGAGGGATGGTGCTGCTGCTGAGAGCACACGGGCACACTACCGCCACTCTCAGCCCCCCTTGCTTACTTGCCGCCAAGCGGCATGCGCGTGTATGCGTGCGTGCCGCTAAACAGTGTGATGCGATACTCTCCAGATTAAAAAGGGATGGGTTTCCTGGTCGCCTCTGTTTCTCCGCAACTCTTTCGCCCGGTGCCCAGGCGGAAGGGCGGTACCGGAGGATACCCCCGGTATCCAAGGCAAAAGCGAAAGCGACAGACAGCACGAGTCCGGGGGGTGGGGTTGGGGGGATATTTACAACTCTGCCGACGAGCCGGCCGAGTCAAAGCTGCCACGCTTGGCCGCTGCCGCACCACCGCCATGTGACGGGACATACTCGGGGTCCACAGACGGCGGGTCGAGGTGGAGCAACAGGTTGAGTACAAACTGGCACTCAAACGACGAGTTGGCAAAGACCGTGGCGAGCGACTCGCTGGGCGTGCGCAGGATGTTGGGTGCGAGGACCAATGCTAATGGAGAAAAGTCAGCGGTTTGTTTGTTTCTGGGTTGTACATCCCGTGGCGCCCGTGTCGCAGATCGGACCGTCGCCCCCACGGCTCCCTCACTCCCTTCACGACCCGCGCGCAGGGAAGGGTAATTAAACAAAAAAAGATGACGTACCGAGATTCTGGGGGGTCATCTTGGTGATGGCGACGATATCGGGGTCCAGGAAGAGCTGCATGAAGCTGATGACAAACAGCAGCACGCGGCGGTTGTGGTCGGGCAGCTTCTTGATGAAGATGATCGTGTGGTCCACCGACTTTGACGCCTGCAGCGCCGCATTGTACAGCCCAGTGGGGATGAGGGGCTCCTCGAGCTCGCGCAGCCACAGCTTGAACAAGGACGCCACGACGTGCGGGTCCTCGACGCCGCTGAGCTGGTACTGGCCCCGGTCGATGTGGGCCTTGAGCTGCGCGATAATGTCGGCGTCGCCGGGGACACGGAACACGCCCTCGGCTTCTGTACCACCCAGAGCGAGAATCCCGTCGGCAAGGAAGGGGAGGATGATGGGGATGCGGAGCTCAGGGTATGCACCTTCTTGGCGCTGCATGATGGTCTCGAGAGTCTGGCCATAGACAGAGGGGTAGAACGCAGCGTCCTGTAGCAACGTCAGCGTCACGAGGCCATGGCGCGTCCCATTTCTAAATAGGACTCACCGAGGCGTGTTCAATCTCCGTGATAGTCAAGACCCGTCCACGTCCGCCCTTTGCGCCAAGCACATCGATGCGGGTGAGACAGTCTGCGTTCGCGGCGTCAGAGATGCGCGGAAGCGGAGCGTTCTGGAAAGCTAGAGGAAAACATACACTTGGACATGACGCCGATACCATAGTCGGGGCGCTCGAGGTGGCCGACGAGGAATGAGCGAACAAACGGCTCAAAGCTCTTGGATGGACCAAAGGCCGCGACGAAGACGCAGAAGAGCTGGAAGCCAAGGACGGCAGCGTCCTTGTCCGGGTTGCGGGTGAGCTGTTTGATGAGCTGGCAGTAGAGCTCGTCGCGCATCTCGATCCTGCCCACGCCCAACTGGATCATCCACCGAATCTCCTCGAGAATGACCGTCTTTTCGTCCTTGTTGTCGTCCCGGCCACCCCGAAGCGCGAGAACAGAGGGGCCCGCGGGCTGGTGTGGTGGGCGCGCAGACTCGACGGCACGGTCGCGCTCGCCCATGACGTGCTGGATGATCTTGAACGTGGTCATGGCATCATGCACAGAGCCCTTGGAGAGTACCAGGAGCGGCGCAGTGATTGGGTTGCGCTGCCACTCCATGATACGCTCCAGAGACAGGCGCTGGCGGAGAACACCAGAGCGCTTGGTGGCGAAATACCGGTCGGCAAAGTCTCGGTGGAGAAGTTGTGCAGCTCATAGCTGGCACTGTTGGGAGACGAGGGCTGGAGGACGAGGTTGACCGCCGATGCGTCGATGGGTTGCAGCATCTCATCGACATGGATGGGTGATGGTGGTGTGGTGAACATGGACTCTCCCTGAGATAGAGCCGGGCTAATCTCCACATTGCGTCCCCTGACCGTGCTGCCCACGCCGCTAACCTTCTTGGTACGGCGTCGACGCTCCCACCACGAGGTTGGAGGGCCCGAGTCAGAACCCGAAAACTGGTCGTTGGATGGCGATGCGTCGTAGTCGCTGCTGTACGCGGGGCCAGCGCCTGTAGGGGTGAGGGGCGGGCGCCTGCAACGGGCGGAGAGGGGGGCATGTCGGCGCTGGGCGTAATGGGCCCACTGGAGCTCGCCGTGGCCGAGGGCGCGACTGGTGACGCGTGGGTTGAACTCCGTTGTGCGAATCGGACAGAGGATGTATGCGAAAGAGGAGTGTCGTTGTCACCAGAGGATCCGTTTTGCTTGCTAGACTCATCTGTCGCGCTACCCGCATCCGGTTGCGCGGGAAGCGCATTCCGCTGGCACAAGTAAGTTTGAATGCCCCTGGGCAAATGGAAACCACCACCACCTCGCCACATGAATTGACACGCACCTGTATTAATCCGAGTGGAATGACAAAGGCGTCTCCTTCTGGACGCTCCCATTGAGTGACTCCAGTGAGCGTGTCTGTACCATGGTCAGCAACATGACACGACCACACCGTCTCTTTCCTCACTGTAATAGTAGCTCTGGTTGTCGCGCGTTGGATCGGCGAGCTCCCACCATTCGCCATCAGGGGACCTAGGCACACTGCAGTTTGGGTCAACGCGTTCTAGCTGCGCGGGGAGAGGACCAGTCTACGTACACAAAAGCTCCAACTGGAGGCTCCCAGCTGCATTGGCCTGGGGCATGTCAGTGATTCAGTGGACGATTATGATTCCTGGTGTGGAGGCGTACCAGTTGCAGGACAAGCGAAGAAGACATGGTTGGTCTGGGCCAATTTAGTACACGGGATCGCTAGCGCGCGGGAACACTACACCACGCTCACCTGCGGGTCGGCAATGGTGACCCAGAACTGCAGACTCCAGCTCATGCTGGCGTCCTCGCACTTTGAGATGATGTCGCGGACGTCCATTGGGCCTGGCGGTGCGAGTTCATGCGGGGGTCTTGTAAAGGCAGACGTTGGTCGCGCGGCAGCAGGCGACGAGGTTCTTGCGGCGCCCTTTACGGGGTAGGACGGCTCGCCAAGAAGCGCCGCAACGAGGTTGAACGGTTGATCAATGTTGGGCGGTTCGGGTGGGCGTCGATGGTTTTTAAGAATGTGGGCCGCAGCCTTTCTGTGAGGAAGCGGTGGGAGAGCTTTATCGACGACGCGAGATACAGGTGAGAGAGGAGGAGGGGAAGCAACAAGTGTCGATGGAGGAAGCGACGACTGGCGGCGCTCGGCAACGGCAAAGGGGTCTGCTGGCAGAGGCGGCGGCGGCGCACGGACTTGTTCTGTGGACCTGGGCGAACGGGCTCCTCCTCCCAACTTGCGGACAGAGCGCGCACTTCGTAGGCGTCGGAGAACACGTCCTCGTGCGTGAGCGTGCGGCAACGTGTGCGACGCAGACGCAGGGGCTGTTGAGGCAGCGGTGGTGTGGGTGGTGGGCAGCGGTGGAAAGGGTGATTTTTGGGACGGCGAGTTGACGTCCACGGACAAGACAACTGTTCTTGTGGGCTGCAAAGGGGCTAGCGCTGCGCCACGGCGTCGGGTGAAGAGGGACGATGGAAAGGGGGAGCAGGACGAAGAGTGGACTGAGGGGGGTGCGTTTGGGAGGTAATGGGCAGTGGCCGACGACGACATGTGGGCCGTGGGGGGCGGATAGGTCGGAGCGCTCTTGCTGGTAGGATGGACCGGTTTGGCGGACGGATGACACAACCAGTCCTGCAGTCCTGACGAGGCAGATGGCGGCCCTGATGGCAATGGCGGCAGACGAGGTATGAGAGATGGGGGGACAAGGATGGCAACAGGAATGGTATGTTGTGTGCAAAGGAGATGTTCAAAAGTGGAGTGCATAGGAGAATGTGTATACAGGTCTTGCGATTGCTGGCAGCTGTGTGGTCCTTGTTGCTTCTGGCCTCCGCTGCGTTGGCCAAAGGGTCGCCCAGACCAACAGGTGTGACTGAATGGTCCGTCGCCGCCGTTCAGGTCGCGTCTGCAGATAGAGCCAGGTGTCGCGTTCAGGTCGACACCCAGGCCCTGCTCCTGCCCCGCACGTCTCATACCCAGGCTGCTGCTGCTGCTGCTGCTGCTGCTGTAACGTTAGAGCTGCCAAACACTCTCGACACAGCGTGACACCTACATACCTGCTCATGCACTGTATACGCGTCGACGCGACGGGGAGCAAGAAACGCGCGCCTGTGGCCCAACTGGTGCTACAAGCTGTATCTGACCCGCACCCGATGGCGTATCGATCGTCCCTCCCGCACGGGTCCACCAAACCACGCTCAGGTGCAAGATGTGTTTGGTCCACTCCCCAACCCCCCGCGCCGCGGCTTCGCAGCAATCAATACGCAGTCCCAGTACGCCAGCTTTGTTGGTCAATGAATCACAAGAACAGGTTTTACTCGCGCGAGCAGAACACAAGAGCGCCTGACTTTTCGGAGGTTGGAAGATTCAAAAACAAGGCGCGTCGAGGGGAACCTGGTACGCGTCCGGTGCGCCAAAGTTGGGTTACAGAATGAGAGCTGGCGTATGCCTCAAACTGGTCTCACAAACCAAGCCCGGAGGCAAGAGCGCAAGAGGTACAGCTGGGCAATAGGCACAGCATTCAAATCTTAATAATGGGGATAGGGGATCTGGTCGCAGCCGGGTATCAGATCTCGCTCGTCCATGACCTCCCGGGCGTGGGTCAGCGTACTGCGAGTGCCCCACAGGCCCCAGGATCCAATGTACTAATGTGTCAATGTGTCAGCAAGTGCGTAGTGAATTGCAGGGGATGATGCGAGAAGTGTGCACATTGCGTATTCAAGAGAGGAAAGATTAAAGAGAGGTTGGAGAATGCAGATTGGGTGCAAAGCTGGAGCCACATAAAGGTGTCCCTGGCGCTGGCCGGCTGACGACGGTTGACTCACCCCTGCGACGCCTCCGTCCGTCCACCGCTCGTCACAGAGTGCGAGCAGCGGCAGTCTCCATCAACAACCTTGTTGGTCCTTTCTTCTCTCCACCGCGCCAAACACCATCTGCCACAACCGACACCCAACCTCCGCCCCTCCCATCAGCCCTCTCTCTCCACTCCGCGCACCATGGCCAGCTAGCTGGCTCCGGCGCATCTCCTGCAGCCAGCCCGGCTCCCGCAGACGCGCACCCCAGAGACGCGTCCAACCCTCGACGGCACGAGGCCGGCCCCCCGCCGCAGCGTCAGTTGCGGCTTCTAACCCTAAGGTGAGGTCACCTTCTCTGTGGTTATCAGACCTGACAGTTTCTCAGTTCTTACACTCTCGGCGACAGCCGCGCCCGGTATCCCCGCCATGAGCGTACTCCGTGCCGCTGGGCTGTGAAAGCAGGCCCAGGAAGGGCCGTCATATCGGCCGCCCAGGACCGCGCTGCCAGTGCCAGGCCGTCGAGGTGCAGAGGGGTTCGCAGCGGGACAGTCGGCAGCATGTTGGAGAGCGTCGCGCGGGCGTGTGGGTGCCAACGTACAGAGGATGGGGATGGGGAACAGGTTGCGTGTGTGTGTGTTGTGGATCACTCAGTGGTCGTCCTTGTGACTGGACATCGCGGTCCCGTGCGCGTTCGCAAGCTGGCATCGCTTCTACCTAGATTTTCCTCACCCGGAACACGGACACCAAGTCTAACAGGTCCCAGAGACGCTGTACCCCCCGCCAAACACTCGAGGCCCGGCACCAACCCCAATGCCGTCGAAGAGGATTCGTCCTAGAGCTACGTGCTCGTGCCTTCACAGCGGGGCGGGGCGTGTTGGGGCCCGGTGGAGGGAGGTGGCAGAGGGAACGCAGTGTAGGCGGTTTGTGGTTCTGGGAGAGCGGCGCATCGCCCCGCCAAGAGGTGGTGAATGGCAATGTCGGCCAGCGCTGGGGGAGGGTTCTGCCCAGAGATCCCAAGCACGGGCCGGGGAACGGTGTCTGGGGGCTGTCTGAGGGCTGTCTGAGGGCTGTCTGGGGGCACCCATGGCAGGTAGCGGTGTTGCTGATGCAGATAAGTATGTAGCTTGTGAGGATCAGCGATGCAGCGCTGGAAGTGGGAAGACACATGTGAGAGATGAGAGTGGTCAGCAGCCCCGCGCCCAGTGGGTTACCTCGATGGGTGGCAAGGAGTGTCAAACGCGTTGATATCGAATACATGGTACCAATACAGTAGAGCGCATCATAATGCAGGATCCTGGTCGTATGTGTTCTTCTCAAGCTGCACGGGTCAACACCAGATACAAGCGCAGTACCCACCTCCTCCTGGAGAGATGTGCGAACCATGTCGACGTAGATAGACTTGATCAACACGTGCGTGTCGTCCACTGGCAGTCAGCTCTGTCTGGGATGGCCTTGAGAGCTGCGACAGCACCATACAGCACCGTATATGACAACCGCTTCCTCCTTCCCCGTACTTACCGTCACGGATGATGAACTTCTGGGGGCCATCGCGCTGGGCGTCGAGGTGGATGAGAATCTGCTTGGCCGCCGAGTCGCTGTCTGCGTCAGCTTAAGGCAGGAAATGCAAGCAAGCTGGAACTCACCAGGTGATCAGAGTTCCATTGCTCGCCTTGACCTGGTATGGGTCGTGGTACGACATGGCAGACAGATAAAGGGCCCCCCGGTGGATGCAAGTGAGAGGAGATGAGTTGACGTGAGTGGACCGCCTGATGATGCGTTCGGCACTTGATCCGGAAATTACGCGCTATCCCATTTGACGCCGCGTTATCTGTACTGTGTGACCCTTCAACCCATACCCCAAGCTATGCCAATTACAATGCGTCCGACACTGCCTTTTCTACAGGTTCTACCGTCCTTGTATGCTTTCCCCAATGGCCCTACTAGCTCTGCCCCAAGAAGAGTGCCGTGTATGCTCAGTTGAGGCCCATGGCACCGAGGCGGGCGTGTGCGATCCTCCAGACGTCGGCGACGGCGCGGTCGCACTCGGCCTTCCACTGGACAGAGTCCTGAGCGCGCACGAGCTGCTGGATGACATCGCTGTCCACTGCAGGCTCGCTGGCCGCAAATGACTCCGGAAGGGGGTCGGGCGAGACAGCGAGGCCAATGGAAGTCTCCATCTCGTTGACAATCACGTTTCGTGGGCGGCCGTTGACAAAAGTGATGAAGCGGAGGCCGGGGAAGACGGTGTTGAACACCTGGTTGAGGTGTGCGAGACTGTGTGGTCAGAGAAGATCCTTGGGTTCAAGCTAGCTGTTTGGCCTCTGGCAAACACTGAGCGAGCCCATGCCTTACTCACCGCTCAAGAACGATCGGGCGGGTGGGCTGGCTCGACTGCTCCTTGGCGCTGTGAGCGCTCAGGTTCTTCACCTCGCCGATCATGGGGTGGCCAGAGACAAAGTCGGCCTTCTGCTCATAGGTCCACTGCTTGGCTGCGTCGGCACACATGTCGACGAGCGTACCATAGCTCGCGGGCGGGGCGGACGTGGCGGACAGGCGCTCGAGAACGGAGGGGACGAGGAGGTCACGGAGGGCGGCACTCGGCTCGAGGAGAGTCGACAGAAGCTGGGTGAGCTTCTCGCGGTCCTGGCAGTCGGCTAGCGCAGCGGTCGCGTCAGAGGAAGCCATGTTGGATGGTGAGGAGGTTGAGAGATGTGGATGTTCGTTGCCCCGATGTAACCGGCGGCAGATAGCGGCCATCTGTTTGGTTCCGGAAGTTACGTAAACCGGAATGTGACAGTCAGTTAAGGTGGAGGATGGTCGTCCGAACACTTCAAGTGTTCACCACATCGCACAATGTCTGCCCCGGCCTTCCTCGTCGAGCACGTCGCCAAGCGCACGACGGCCCCCTCGACATCTGAGAGGCCACACATTACTCTCACATGGGCGCAGAGTCTCGACATGAAGATTGCCGGCCCCGGAGGCGCGCGGGTTACGCTCTCTGGGCCAGAGAGTATGCTCATGACACATTGGTGAGTCTGGTCGAGAGGGGCAGCGACCAGTAGGAAGGTCTGCTTGTTACCTTCTAGCCTCTGCAAGGAAACGCACAAGCTGGAACTAACAACAGGCTGCGCACCATGCACGACGCGATTCTCATCGGCGTCCAGACCGTCATCATGGACGACCCAAGGCTGAAGAGTGAGCTCCCGGTTCCTCGTCATAGCTGACCACGCAGTCCAGCAGGTTCCTCAGGATGACCCGACCCTCCTCCCTCCTCAGCCTCTCGTTCTCGACCCAAAGCTCCGCATGCCGCCGACGGCCCGCATGCTCTCCGAGTGGATGAACAACAAGGCGGGAAACACGACCGCCGCAGGACCACAGCTCGTGCGACAGCCGTGGATCATTTGCGGCCAGGACGCAGACGACGCCAAGGCCAAGGCTCTTGAGGAAGCTGGTGCGCGCATTGTGCGCGTGGAGCTCCACGAGAATGGTGGGTAAGGTGCCTCCGTAACGATCTAACCCACTCCTCAGGCTACATTTCGCCCACGACGTTCCCGACTGTGCTCCGCGACCTCGGGCTTCGCTCCGTGATGATTGAGGGCGGTTCGCGCGTGCTGTCTTCCTTCCTCCATGCGCCTAACCGTGCTGACGGCACTCCCGTCGTGGACAGCGTCGTGGTCACTGTTGCGCCAATGTTCATCGGCGAGGGCATCAGTGTTGTGCCTCCTGGAGCGGACGTCGGCCTGCCTGGCCTCACCTTTGTCCACACCGAGACCATGGGCAAGGACGCGGTCATGGTCTGCACTCTTGCCGCATAAAACCCCCCACTTATCTATTCCTGCACACACACAAGGCATATGCATAATTGAAAACTAGATGTGTGTGTCTTGAAACAACCCACGTATCTGATGCGTCTACGACAGAAACGTATACCAATAATATACGACCCTTTTTTTGCGTCTACTTACACCCGACTGCGTGCGCGCTTACTGCGCGACGTGCCAGTCGAGCTTGTCGGCCCACTTCTTGTCCTTGAGGGTAAGGAGAACCTCCTCGACGTCCTTGGCGCCGTTGCCCGAGAGGACGATGACAACGTTCTGGTCCTTGGGGAGGGTCTTGGCGAGCTGGAAACCGCCCCAGAGACCGTGGGACGACTCGAGAGCGGGGATGATACCCTCGCACTGAGTGGTCCAGCGGAAGGCAGTGAGGCACTGCTCGTCGTCGGCAGAGATGTACTCGGCACGGCCAATGTGCTTGAGGTAGGCGTGCTCGGGGCCGACCGAGTTGTAGTCGAGACCGGCCGAGATCGAGTGGGTGGGGATGAGCTGGCCCATAATGTCCTGGATAATGTACGAGGCGGCACCGTGGACGACACCGGGAACACCCTTGCCGAGAGTGGCCGAGTGCAGGTTGGTGTGGACACCGTGACCAGCGGCCTCGACACCGACCAGGCGGACGCTCTCGTCCTGGACAAAGTCGTAGAAGGCACCGATGGCGTTCGAGCCACCGCCGACACAGGCAACGACAGCGTCGGGGAGCTTGCCAAACTTCTCAGCCGACTGCTGCTTAATCTCACGGCCAATGACGCGCTGGAAGTCGCGGACAATGGTGGGGAAGGGGTGGGGGCCAATGGCCGAACCAATGAGGTAGTGGGTGTCGTCAAGACGGGTGACCCACTCGCGCATGGCCTCGTTGACGGCGTCCTTGAGGGTCTGGGTACCCGAGGTGACGGGGACGACAGTAGCGCCGAGCATCTTCATGCGGAAGACGTTCATCTCCTGCCTGCGGACGTCCTCGGCACCCATGTAGACAACGCACTCCATGCCAAACTTGGCACAGACAGTGGCGGAAGCGACACCGTGCTGGCCAGCACCAGTCTCGGCAATGATGCGGGTCTTACCCAGGCGCTTGGCAAGGAGGATCTGGCCGATGGCGTTGTTGAGCTTGTGCGAGCCAGTGTGGTTCAGGTCCTCGCGCTTGAGCCAAATCTTGGCACCGCCCATCTTCTCGGTGAGGCGGTCGGCGAAGTAGAGGCTCGAGGGACGGCCAATGTACTCGAACATGGCCTCGTACTCCTTCCAGAACTCGGGGTCGTTGCTGGCCTTGATGTAAGCGGCCTCAAGCTCGGAAAGGCAGTTGACGAGCGACTCGGCGACGTAGGCACCGCCGAAGGGACCAAACTTGGAAGGAAGCTTCTCGCCGGCCTTGACGGAGAACTCGGCCTTGTCGTCGGCAAGCGAGTTGGGGATGGGCATGGCGGGGTCGGGCTTGCCAGCAGCGTCGTTGGCAGGGTCCTTGCGGCCAAGGGCGGGGGGGTTCTGGCCCTTGAGCGAGATTGTCAGGCAGTAGTCCTTGAGAGCCTGCTCGGCAGTGCCGGCGGGGGCCTCGGAAACGACCTTGAGGATCTTGGAGCCAATGACGACACCGTCGGCACCGGCCGAGGTGACAAAGTCAAAGTGGGTGCGGTTGTCAACACCAAAGCCGACAGCCAGGGGCACGGGCGTGATCTGGCGCACACGCTGGAGGATCTGGGGGAGCTGGGCGTTCATGCCGACGGCAGCAGAGGAGCCGGTGGTGGCCATCTTGGAGACGACGTAGATGAACGAGTCGGCAATAGTGGCGAGGTACTTGAGGCGCTCGACAGTGGTAGAGGGGGCAATGAGGGGAACGTACGACATGCCAGTCTTGGCACAGATGCCACGGAACTGGCCAGCCTCCTCAGGAGGGAGGTCGACGATGATGTAGCCGTTGCCGCCGGCGGCGTAGGCGTCCTCGACGGCCTTCTCCTCACCGTAGGCAAGGAACGAGTTGTAGTAACCTGCCACGTCAGATTCAACCCCTCCTGACATTGATAGACTCACCCATGAAGATGACGGGAGCCTTGAGGCCCTTGGCGCGAGCCTCCTTGACATAGTCGAGACACTGCTTGTAGCCGACACCGTTCTCAATAGCAATCTGGCCCGTCAGTCACACCCGACACAGCAATGGGCAGTAAAAAAACACGTACAACGTTGGCCTTCTGGATCACGGGACCGTCGGCAGAGGGGTCAGAGAAGGGGACGCCGAGCTCAATGATGTCGGCGCCGCCCGCCTCCATGGCGAGCATGAGGGGAACGGTGGCATCAGCGGTAGGGAAACCGGCAGTCAGGAAGGTGACGAAGGCGCTGCGCAAAGACGTCAGCACTCCCCTGTAGCGGAATAGATAACAGCCATAGCTGGTCTTCTAATGCAACAATAAAAGAGCAACGCGTGTCACGCGACGCTGCACTGTGGGACGTGGGCTGGAGGGAAAGGTTGGAACTCACGCCTGGTCCTGCAAAGGGGTCAGCTCAGCCGCCAGCTCCACAAACTAACCTGCTCCTTCTTTTCGGCAAAGACGCGCTTGAGACCCTCAGACATTGTGAATGTTGTTGGGGGGGTGGTGGTGTCCGGATTAGATTCGGGTTTATAAGGTGTCGCTTGTTGCGCCAAGAGACCGAACAACCGGTGCTGATAGTGATAGATGGATACGCGACGAGTCGAGGTTGTCGTCTTTTGCGAGTCGATTACTGGCCGTCCCACCCGGCAACCCCACGGCCCCGCGGAATCCCCGGTCGATCGGCCCGTGGGTCACGTGATGGTATCTCCGTCCATCGGCCATATGGCTCGCACGTGGTGATTTGTTCTAATGCATTTAGGACGATTAGAACAAGGATTAGTTGCATCACAGTCAGCGGAACCAATTATTTACAACCCTCAATTCTGCCCAAAAGTTGATGGAGATCCAAGTTCATGACGCACCCACTCAACAACACCACACACCTGTAACAACCATGGCCGCCGAAGCTGCCAACCCCGCCGCACGCCGGCCACGCAAGAGGAGAAGGAGGCAGGCGTCGTACGACACCGACAGTGACTCGGCAAGCAGCAGCAGCGATAGCGATGACGACTCGGACAAGGAGGACGACAAGAAGGACAGCAAGATGGATGTTGACGGCGCGTCGTCGAGCGCAGCTTCGTCTTCATCAGACTCGTCGTCTGACTCTTCATCCGACTCTTCCGACTCGGACTCGTCCGACAGTGACAGCGACGACGACGTCAAGCCCGCCCCCAAGAAGGCGGCTCCCCAGCGTCCCCGCCAACCAACACTCTCCCCCTCGCCTCCTCCCCGCACCATCCCTTCCTTCCTCCCAACGGCCGGAGCTGCCGAGGAGGACGACCGCCGCGCAAGGTTTAAGCGCATCTACATGGACAGGCTCGTCGAGGGCTTTGGTGGTGACTTGGAAGACTTGCGGAAGGTAAGTGACACATGTTCCATTCGCAATCGTTGCACCTGCCCATCTTCTCCGACGCTGATAATTTCAGGCCGACCCCACTCTTGGCCCCGCCCGTCTCCAGCTCCTTATCGACTCGCTTGCTGCCGGTGTCGACGTGTTTGCCGAGCCCGCCACTGGCGGCGTGGACGAGGTTGGCGTGATTCTCAACGACTCGGCTTGATCTGGCAGTCCCCCCAACCGTGGCACACAGGCACGGCACCACCAAAACACACTGGCACTGGCACGGGCAGGAAACACCGACCCACCACACAGCCTGCAGGCCTGGCCACACTCGACTGGCTTCTCTATCCCCGCGGCCACTTGTCCCCGCGCGGACTGTACACTAGGATATGGCATATATGCATTCGTGACACAAAAAAAGCTCGTAAAAAACCCCCGACAAAAGATATGGACTGATATAAACACAAATGAACAAAAAAATGGAGATAGCGTAACAACTATTTTATCATGGGCCCTCGCGGGGCGGGACGGGTGGACCAACAGACTGAGAACTGTCAGCTCGTGCTTTGTGCAGGTCGATCATCAACATGAACACTCACTCCAGGTGGTGGGGCAGGGTAGGGCATCATAGGGGGGATGAAGGGAGCTCCGGGAACCATGGGAAGATTGCGCGGTGGGAGCATTGGGTTGGGGACCGCTGGCATGAATCCGGCCCAGTTGGGCGGCGCCTTGGGCTTCTTATCGTCCTTCTTGTCGTCCTTTTTGTCTGCCGGTTTGGCCGGCGGCTTTTGGGGGTAGGGAAGAACTCCCATCAAGTCGCCAGACTGCTGGCGGCCCTTCATGAGTAGGAGCTCGGCCAGCTCGACGTAGAGTGCGCGACGGCACTCGCGCAGGTCGCCGACTTCCTTGATAAGCGTGCGGACCTCGCCCTGGGTTTTTGTCAGCGGGTTGAAACTATGCGCAGAGCCACAAACAGATACTCACAGCAAGCGACTTGGAGAAGTCGTCCATGTAACCAGCCAGGTTGAAACCGACTTGTTCCTTGGCCCAAGACTTGGCGGCGTCCTGAGTCGCCTTGTGTTGGTTGGAGTTTTGCTCCATAATCTCGACACCGAGCTTGCGGAGGAACTGCGCTTGGTCGTCACCCGACTGTTTGAAGGCATCCAGGACGGCCTGGGTGCCCTTCTGCTTCTTCTCATCCTCCTTCTTCTCTTCGACCTTGAGGTTGGCCAGCTCGGCCAGGACCTTGGCGTGGCGGTCGGATTGCTCCTTGCGCTCCGCCTCGGCCGCGTCCTTCTCGGTCGTCATCATCTCCACGAACGCCTTGTTCTCGGTCACCATGTTGTTAATGGCCTCCTTGAGGTCCTTGAGCGTGCTGATGACCTCGTCGTGGCGTTCCTTGGCCTCCTTCTTGTCCTCCTCGGAGATATTAACACCTGCGAATGTTAGCGGACGCCCAACGTCCGAGTACTCACCCTTGGGGGCAGGGGCCTCATCCTTGGTCTCCTCCACAGGAGCCTCCTCTTCTGGGTTCTCCTCGTCGGGCTTGGCTGTGCCGGGACGCGACGGGGGCGGCGTCTTGGGCGCCTTGGCCACCGGGGTGCCAGCCCGCGAGGGCGTGGCAGGCGGCTCATCCTTGTGCTGGTGGTGAGGTCCAGCAGGCTCAGTGCAGCAGTGCTCGCAGTGGAAGTTGGGCATGGTGAATGGCTGGGCATTCGCAGCGGCAGTGTCGTCACCCGCAGCGGTGGCAGGAGCTGGCCCATCGGGAGTCGGTGCATGTGCGGCCTCGCCCTTGGGGGCATTGTGTACCGTGTGCACCGAGCCAGCAGGCGAAGGCGGGCGAGGTGGCACCAGTGAAGCAGCACCGTCATCGGGGTTGGCAATGCGAAGGTCGCCCAGGGTTGGGGCGGCAGGCTTGACCGAGTCCACGGACGGCTTGCGTCCCAAGTCGGCAGCCACCGATGCAGGCGGAGGGCCTTGGTGCGATGACGGCGCACCATGAACGGAAGGAGCGCCGTGGACGGAAGGGGCACCGTAAACGGAAGGAGCACCGTGGACAGAACCGCCGTGAACGGAAGGAGCACCGTGAACTGATGGCGCACCATGAGTGGACGGCGCACCGACCTCGGACGGCTCATACTCTGATGGGTCGTGCTCGGACATGGCAGGAGGGGCAGGCAAGGGAGCGCCGCCAGGTGCCTTGGGTGCGGCGGCGCCTGGGTGGATGGTGTGGATCGACGGCGCGCGCACAGAGGAAGCAGGCGTCGCCGAAGTGACCTTGATGGCCGGGGTAGGGGGTGAAGGCGGGCTGTGCTCGGCAGGAGGATCGGGGATCTCGACCTCTCCCGTCTTGACAAGTCCCTCCTCACCGTTGGGAAGAGTAACAACTTCGTACACTGGCATGGTCTTCTTCGAGGCAGCGGAAACAGCCGATACGGCGGAACCCGCCTGGGATGCAGCCTTGAAGGTGGGAGCCTTGAAGGGAGCGGCAGCCGACCTGGCGCTGGGAGCCTTGGAGGCAGCCTTTGTGGGCATGTGTGGCACATTGTTGAACTGCGCAGGCGAAGGCAGAGGGCGGTGAGCCGAGTGCTCGGGCTCGTCCTCCTCTTCCTCTTCCTCCTCATCGTCGTCCTCGTAGTCGTATCCGTCATCCTCTGGCTCAGAGTGGATGGAGTGGATGGACGGGGGCTTGGGACCGCCGCGGTTTGAAGGGGCCTTGGAGGTCGGAGGACGACGCGAGCCAACGCGAGATGGCGCGTGCTGCGACTGCGTGTGGTGCGAAGGCAAGCGGCTGGGCAGGCGGTTAGACGCAGCATTCGAGGGCAGGCGTCCTGGAGCATCCGCAAAGGTACCCGGGGGAGGAAGGCGGCCACCATAGGAGCTGGCGGCCTTTGCCGTGGGAGGGCGGTTGGAAGGAGCGCGAGCTGATCCGCCACGCGAAGGTGCACCACCACGGTTGGAAGCACGGCTGCCACCACGAGGCGGCGAGCCGTACGGGTCGGGGATGTGGTGCTGGACCTCCTTCTCCTCCTCGCGTTCGGTCTCGGACTCGTGCTCGGAGCCGTACGGGTTGTGCTCGTGGTGCTTTGCTTCGTCTTCAGGATCGTCAGCGTACATGTCTTCAGGCTCGGTTTCTTCGTGGTGACTGGGAGCGTGGTGACTGGGGGCGTGGCGGCTAGGAGTCTTGTGAGAGCGAGCTGCAGAGCCGAGGTTGGCATACGAGCCTGCAGGCGAGTGGCGAGCAGAGCGCGCAGGCGAAGCTGAAGGTGCACGCGACGGCAGGCGACTGCCGCCGTGCTGCGACGGGGGTGGCAGAGAGCCACCGGCACGAGAGCCACCACCACCCGAGCGAGCAGAGCCAGGACCACGGGCAGAACCCGCAGCTGAACCAGCGCGCGAGCCAGCACGGGTGCCATGAGCAGAAGGCGGGGCGAGGAACTCTCCCCTAGACGAACGTGGCGGGGAAGACGAGCGAGCCCGTGAACCGGCGTGAGAGCCAGCACGGGTGCCGTGGTGAGATGCGGGCGCGGCAGAACCGGCCCTTGAGCGTGTTGCGGATCTTGGTTCTTCATGCTCTTCGTGTTCAGAGTGATACGGCTCACTGTCGTGCTCGTCACCGCTGTGGCCATCGCGAGCTGAGCGGCCATCACGGCCGTCACGGCCGTCACGACCATCGCGGCCAGCTTGGCCGCTGTGGTGACTATGCTCATGCTCTGTCTCTGATCCTGAGCCGTTAGGCACATTGTGCACATTGTACTCTGGCTCAGTGGCGGAGTGGTGCTTGTCTTCATGATCGGAGCCCGAGTCGGAATGAGCACGATACGTACCTGCACGCGACCTCTGTGCGGAAACCTGCGAGCGTGGGGCCTTGGATCCGGCGTGCGAGCGGGCGCCGCTGGTGGGAGCACGAGACCCGTGGTGGGAGGGCTGGCCACCACGCGAATGCGAGTGCGCGGAAGGGTATCCGTCCTCCTCGGGCTCTTCAGAGTCGTAAGGGTCGCTGTGGTGGCGGGACTGGGCATTCGAGCCGGCGCGAGAGCGTGTACCAGCGTGAGTGGGAGCACGAGATCCGGCGTGCGATGCTGCGCGAGATCCACCGTGGTGGCTGGCGTCGCCGTGCTTGCTCCTGGTCGGCGAGTCGGGACGCAGCTCGGTCCACTCCTTGCGGCTGCTGCCAGCATGCGAAGGAGCGCGCGAGCCGACGTGAGATCCAGCACGAGATCCAGCATGGGATCCAGCACGAGACCCGGCAACCGACTTGGTGGGGACCCTGAGCTTGCTGCCGTGCTCATCATCCGAACCGTGCTTGCTCTTGGGTCCCGTAGCCATGTTACCGTAGCTAGTAATGGGCTCCTCCTCGTCGCCATCGCCGTGGCTGCTCTTGTGCGGGAGCAGGCTGCGCCAGTGGAAGCCTGAGCCATCAGTCTCGGGCATGTCGCCTTCGACCATCTCAGGCTTGCTGTGGCCGGCGGTAGAGCGAGCAGGGGTCGGGACAACAAGGTGGTGCGGCTGGTCGCCATCTGTGGCCATGTTGCCGTACGAGACCGGCTCGGGCGTGCCTTGGCGGCTCGCGTGAGGGACGTTTGTAGACCAGACCTGAGCAGGAGCCTTGGCGCTCTTACCGCCAGAAGCCGAGTGAGGAGTTGAGGCGTGACCGGCAGAGTGACCAGCAGTAGGCTGCGTGGCACCGTCGGCGTACGAGACTGCGGCGTGGTCCGTGGGCATGTTACCGTACGACGTCGCCTCGGGCTCGGGCGAGCCCATGCGACTTCCGTGAGGACGGTTCGTGCTCCAGACCTCCTTGTCCTTCTTCTTGGTAGGCATGTTGCCGTACGAGACAGCCTCGGGTTCATTGGCTGACGAGTGAGGGACGTTGGCAAGGTCGCGGGCTTCAGAAGAAGGGTCGTGGGCGTCGTAGAAGGCAGCAGCGGGACCAGTGGGTTCACCCGCACGCGTAGTCGTGGTAGTCGTGACGGTCTCCAGGGGAGGCGGAGCGCCGTCGTAGGTGCGCTTGGAGATGACAGTGTGCAAGGGGGCGCCACCGTTGGGAGTGTGAGTGATCTCCTCAATCTCCTCGCGGATAAGCTGGCCAGGGCGGGGTGTACGTGTAGGGTCGAGGTGAACGTGGTGGTCTCCATAGTCCGAGCCGGCGGCGCTTCCATTGCGGGAGAGCATGTCGGCAACTGGAGGTTGTGGTCAGCGATGAACTTTATCTCTGCTCCCCTTGTGGCACCGCCACTTACTCTTATCGGACAGTTTGGCGAGCTTCTCGTCCTGCTCGTCGTCCTTGTGGTGCTTGGCGAGGTTTGCGAGGTCCGACAATGAAGCATCGTCCTTTGGCGGGGCGCGGATGCCCTCGACAACGCGGTTGCCGGCGAGGACGGTGCCGTCAGAAAGGATCTCAGCCTCGACACGAGGAGTAGAAGGAGTAACGTGGATAGCGGGAACGGAAGACTTGGAAGGCGCGCCGCGGATGCCGTCGACAATCTCACCAGTCGAAAGCTGAACAGTGCCGTCGGAGAGGACCTGGCCGTGCACGCGCTCACGGTGGAGGTCGCGACGGAGCGTGTTGATCTGGCCGAGGATGTCCTGGAGCTCGCGGGAAACACCGTCCGACATGTCGGTGAGCTGGTCACTCATACCGTGCAGGTAGCGGGCCATGTCGTTTTGCTGCTCGCCGAGAACGCGAGTGCGCCAGTAGTCGGTGCCGGGAGTACCAGGAGGGCTGCCCTTTTCAGACTGCGGGGGGTTGATGGTGATGGCAGGAGCGGGAGGAGCAGCAGTGTTGAACGTAATCTCCCGAACGACGGGAGTGAGCAGCTGCTCGTCCTTTCCAGAATGAGGCGAGGTAGTGGCCGGGGGTGTAGATTCCGTGTGCGTGTGAGAAGAGCCGGTAGACGAAGAAGACGATGATGAGACGACAGACCGCTTGGACGATGCGATGGACCGGGGCGTGTTGGTGAGCTCTGTACCAGAGTCGAGCGCATGCGCGGTAGACTCTGAGCCATGGCCAAAGTGCGACTGCGGAGGCGGCATCATGACAGGCATGGGCATGGGCAGACCACCAGGCATTCCCAATGGACCGGGCATAAAGCCAGGCATGCCAGGCATCATGTTGACACCGAGACCGGGGTTGAACATGGGAACACCTGGCACCATGGGGGCAATACCACGGCGGAAGTAGGTAGAGGACATAGGAGTGCGGATCGAACCAAAGCGAGAAGTGCCACGACGAGACATGAACGGCGGGCCCATCGGACCCATCGGACCCATGGTGGGAGGGTAGGGGCCCATGGGCGGTGGCATGGCGCGCATGTCGTGCGGGTACTGGTACTTGGACGGCGGAGGAGGAGGCATGTCGTCGTACAGATCACGATGACGCTTGTCGTTAATCGGAGTCGGGAGGTCAACGTTTGCAGGAGGCGGCATCCTGGTAGCTGGACGCTGGTCCGAAACGAGGGCGCGGTCTTGGTCGAGGGAGTCAGGAGCGAGGTTGTAGTACTGGACATTGTCGGGCATGGGGGCAGGCTGCTTCTCGGGCGAAGGCGCCTTACCGGGGTCGGCCATGGTAGTCACAGGAACTTCACGAGTCTGGGGGTAGTCTTCGTCATAGTCCATGGCGGTGTATTCCGAAGGAGCCTGCTGTCCGTGGGCCTGGGCAATGCGCTGAACGAGCCAGGGCGGCATTTCCGTGTGCTGGTACTGCTGAGCCTGGGCGGGAGACGGGAGCGTGTCCATGGCGGTCTGCAAGTCAAAGTGCTCGTACTGGAGAGGAGCCTCGAGGAGCGAGTCGGCGACAAAGCTGGATGCGTGGGGCGAGTGCGGGGCGGAAGACGGGGGCGGGGCCTGGACATGGTCGTCAAACGAGTACGTGCTGCCAGCACCTTCGAACCAAGGACCCTCGGTCTGGCTGTCAACGTCGGTGACTGCCGGGGTGACACTGCGCATCTGCTGAACGGGTTGAGCAGGAGTAGGGTACGAATTGGGAAGACCGGTAAGCTCGTCAAAGATGACGCGCAGCATGTTCTCCATGTGAGACAAGTCGACGGGGGGAGGAGTAGCGGCACGGGTCATCTGGATGTCCGCAAGCTGCCCGAGAATGTCGCTCTGCTGGCCCAAAACCTTGCCGAGGAGCTCACCCATGTCGTCCAAGCGCCGGTGGATGGCATCGGGGATGACAACGGGAGGGGGGGTCACTGGACGCTCCGTCTCGTCGCTCGAGATACTGCTGTCCGACAGGGCAGGCGAAGGGGGACGGTCCTCGTCCAGTTCGCGGTCCTTGTTCGGCACGGGCGGGGGAAGCTCGCGGTCCGCCAGCTTGCTGATCTTGGCCTCGATACGCTCGAGACGGTCGACCTTGTGCTCGATGCGGTCCATCTGGGAGCCCATGCGGGTCGTCTGGCCCTGGCGCACCTGCTCCTGGCCCTGGAGGTAGTTGACCAGGCGCAACATGGTGAAATCACGCCCATCGCGAACACGCGGCGGCTGGACAGTGGACACGGATGTTGTGCGGTACGTGGTGGTCGACTGGGTGTCCTCGGTTGTTGTCGGGTCCTCACTGGAAGACGTCGTGGGGTCCGACGACGACGACGAGCTAGGCGGCTCTGAGGGTGCGGGCGCGAACGCCGGAACAGCCTTGCGAGGAATGGCGCGATGCGAGGATGGTGGAGGACCAAGACTCTCCGGGGCGACAGACTCTGTGGCGGATGACCAAGCCGACGGCGCCGTGGCAAAGGAAGCTGTACCACGTTCTGCGGTCGTGTACGGCGTGGCCGGTGTCTGGTACGAAGAGTAATCCCCAGCCGTCATGTACGGGCTCTGCGCTGCCCTGCGTGCCGTCTGGGAGAGGTATGAACCAACAGTAGACTGGCGCTCGAGGGCGGCAAACAGCGACTCGTTGGTGTCTGGTTCCGAGACGGGCGTGGCAGAACGGCCACTGACAACAGTCGCACTATGTCCAGACATGTCGGGGAACGTTGACGGGTCTGAAGCGAGTGTGAAGCGGTTACTGAGTCCCGAAGTGTACGCTTCCGGGGTACCATACTGGTTGCTCGATGCGGTAGCGTAGTTGGACGACGAGGCTGCCGAACGGTTCTGTGGCGTGGGCGAGAAGAATGACGAGCCACCACCCGAGGACGACGACGACGATGATGGCGGTGGGGGTCCAGAGGTGGAGCTGACACCACTCACGCCTGCCTCAGAGGTGGTATACCGCGACGACCCGTCATGCGAGATGGGGATCGGAGGCGCCGACGAGTACATGCTAGGAGCGGCCGCAGAGCTCACGGTCGAGTATGCCGATCTCCGCTGCAGGAGCGGGCGGTTGCTCGAAGCGCCCGACGAGTTGCTGCGCGAGACGGGAACAGGCGGCGCCGACGAATAGAGGGAGGGACCCGAGACCATACTGGAAGTGTCATGGGGACCGGCCGTGGAAGCTGCGCCGCGCGTGACCGTTGAAGGGCCAGACTGGGGCGTGTCGTAGGCCGAGGTTGTGGCGGCCGACAAGCCGGCGGTGTGGAACGCGCTGCTCCGCGACGACGCTGTTGGCGCAAACTCGCCTGGCTGGAGAGAGCCCATCGAGTTGAGGGCAGTGTACACGGTTGTTGGAGGCTGACTGGCCGTGTACGAAGGCGGGGCTGCGAACGCAGGATGCGGGGGCTGGCGGTTGCTGCCGCTGGCGGCCTCGTTAAAGTAGTCGTATGGGGCCTTGACAGTTCGCGGGGTGCCAAACACACTGCTCTTTGTGTCCGACACGGGCCGGTCCATGGCGGCGAGACTGGAGCCGTCCGTTGAAAACTCGGTCCCTGGCCCAGGAGTTGCGTACTGGGCGGCCGAGTACATGCTGTCTGCGGCCGTCGAGGTGCCATAGGGGCTCTTGCGGGCTGTCTGGAACGACGAGCTGGCAGGAGTGGAGCTGGAGGACATTGGGGGGTCGTACAGCTGGTACCGGGCTGGCTCCGACTCGACACGGTGCGACGGTGGTGGCGGCACGGTGGGAGCACCAATGTATCCGCTGTAGTCTGCGAGCGAGGGGTTGGACGGCACAGACGAGCCGCCAGCTGAAGAGCCGCCAGAGGAATGAGAAAGTCCGCTGGCACCTGGGCCAGCACGGAGAGCGGTGCGCAGAGTGACAGCACTGCGCGGGGTGGACGGGGCCTGTTGTGTCGAGGACGCTGGTGGTGAAGCGGTCGAGGAGGTAGGAAGTGACATGGTCTGCGACGAGCCAGAGGCAGGCGATAGCAGGCTGGAGGGCGAGACGACGCTCGTAGGGGTGGAGCCAGCGGGGGTCCTGTAGCTCATCGAGCTGACAGAGTCGGAAGTGACGCTCTGCTTGGCGGTGTCGAACGACTCTACGGAGCTGTTCTGCAGGTTCGACATGGGAGGAGCCTCTGCCTGGCGGATCTCGGTAATGGGCGACATGGTGTCACGGAGCACTGGGACTGCAACGTCGCGCTGGCCAAAGTTGACATTTGAGATGCTGTCCGATGGCAGGAGACCAGGCGTGCCAAACGTGTGGTACGAAGGCGACGGGGACCCGTGGAGGAACGGAGGCGACACAAGCGGGGGTGACATGAGCGCACGAGGTGTACGGTCTCCACTCGAAGCGCGGCCGGGCTGGGACCGAGCCGCCGCCACAGAGGCAAACACATCCTCGGTGGTGGTGGTCGACTGGGGAGCCGGAGTCGACGGCGCAACGGATACTGCAGGCTCCGACTGACCGACTGGCAGGTCGCTCAGCGATGAGAAGCTCGTTGCTGCGTTTGGTGCACTGTGGCGGAACGAAGGGGGAGACGAGATCTCGGGCGAGAGGAGTGGAGGCGGGGCGATGCCGTGGGCAAAGTGGAAGTCGCGCGGGGGACTACCGCGCGATGTGGCTGCCTCCCTAGTGAGGAAACTGGGCGACGAGGAAATGGAGGCCTCACGGAGATCAGCATCGGACGCGACGCGGCGAAGCGACCGGTTGCGCTGTACGCCAGCTGCGAGACGGTGAGAGTCGCGAGACAAGAGCGACGCCATGTTGCCGGCGGCGGTAAGGACAAACGAGTCATCACTCGACTCGCGGGGCATGCGCTGCGTGGGCAAGATCTGGCCACTCGCAGGCGCCTGGGTCGTTTCGAAGCGAGTCGAGGCCGAGCCACTGCTGCGGCTCACACCCGAGTGGATCGACGGCGCGCGGCGCGGCGCGGCACGGCAAGTGTCGAGGACGTTCCAGATGGCGTTGACCCAACGAACACGCTCGCGGGCCGAGTCACAGCCGAGGTACTCTGTGCCATCGTCGTACACGAGCTTGAAGGGACAGAGAACGCTGGCGAGCTCCCCCTGCCTGCGGGCAGCAATGGCACCAAAGTCGTTTTCGGCCGCAGGGTGGTTGGGCGAATAAGACGAGTGCACCTCTGCAAACACACGCGTCAGTAAGAGGTAAGAGCGATTTGGGTCACGACAGGACTCACCCTCACAGTACTCGAGGTCGAGCAGAACCTGGGCCTGAGCTCCCGTTGGCAGGCGCCATGTAAGCTCCAGTGCCTGGGGATACAGACGCGCGTCGGTCTGGATCCAGCGGTAGCTGTCCTCGTCGTCGGTGTCTTCGTGGACGTTGAGAAAGTACATTGTGCCTGCGCGAATCGGCTAATGTGGGTTTCGTGTCAGCCGGATGTCCCCCGCTGCTGGAATATGCCACAATGCCACACCCAAAAACGCGCGAGACAATTGTGTGCGCCACTTACCTCTCCAGTGAGCAATTTCGGGGTGGCTGGGCGCTCCGACTCGTAAAAGGACGCCCGGTCCATGTTGGCGCTGGCGCTTTCTCCACTTGTCGCTGCTGACGGTGTGAGGCGCTCGTCGGAGCTGGCCATGCGCGAATGGCCCGAGCTCGGCGACAGGTCGTCGGCGGCCTGCTCTGCCAGACGGTTGTCGTCACGTGTGCGACGCCGGATGCTGACGTTCCATGCTCGGTCGCGCAAGAGGCCCTGTGCGCCGCCGCGCTCCAGAGTGGCCAGGGCGGTGGTCGGAGCCGACGACTCGCCCACTGCAGACGTCTCGGCCGCCGTGCGCGCACGCCAGGTCGCGATCATGCTCCGGACATTCGAGAGGGGCGTGGGGGGCTTGGGCGGCGGCATGGGTACATCCTGCTGAGCACTGGCCGCGGATGATGAGACGGGTGGAGGAACTGGGAGGGGCTTGTCTGGCGACGGCACGGTCGCTGTCGCGGGAGCGGGCAACTTGGTCTCACGAGCCTTGGTCGGGCTGGCCATACGGCCTGGCGAGCGGGGACCAAGAGGTGCGGGAGGTGTTGATGGCTCGCTGCCGGACCGCGACTCGAACATTTTGATAAGCTGCGCCGCGCGTGCACCGCTCTTGCTGGGACTCGGGGGCGCACTGGGACGAGGCGTGCTGGGGAACCCGGTCGCGACACGCTCAGCCTCACTCCGCGTGATGCTCGAGGACTGCGACGACTGAGCAGGGGGTACACTGGGGCCGACGGAACTCGCGATACGGCTCGCTGCCGGGCTCATGGGGCCTGCATGTGATGTGGCAGGTGTCGTGTTGGGCTCGGTGTGCTCACTGAGAGCCTCGAGGATGTCTGTTGGGCGGGAACCCATGGTGATCCCCAAACCATACAGAGTGTTCATGTAGGGATCAACACGAGGGGTAGCACCCAACAACGAGTCGCCACCGCTCGAACCCGAGCTCCTCGACGACAGTGTAGGAGACGTGGGCGCCTGCAGCAGCGTAGGCTGTCCGCGGGGAGGGGACAGGGCAAAGGACGAGACGGGGGACGCAGAGCCACGCGTTGTAGGTGAGCGTGGTGGCGACATGATGGTCGAGGGAGGTGCTTGGGAAGCTGTCAGAGTCGGCGACTGGCCGAGGGCGTTGAGGGCGTCGAGACTGGCCAGGACGCTGTCATACTGCGCCGCAAGTGACGAGCCGGTGACCTGGGGACGGATAGGGGTGGCGGGGTCGTTGGTGGCGGGGACATTGTTGTTGTTGCTTGTGGTGGTTGGGCGTTGAGGGGAGGGCGAGGTGGTCATGATGGAGGGGACGACGGAGGGCTGTGGCGAGAGCAGGAGGGGGTCGGAGGGGGGTGGGGCCGGAGGGTCGTCGTCTGCGAGGCTGTTGAGTGCCTCTACGAGTGGCGACCTGTCCGCCGGAGCCCACCGTCGCGGCCTAGGCGACAGCGGCGGCGGGGTGCTCGCCATTGTTGGTGGTGGGTGGGTGGGTGGGTGGTGGTAGTGGTGAGTGTGTGAGTGTGTATCGTTAGGGAGAGACGTGAGTGATTTGTTTGATGGCCCATGTTTGTTGTGCACCGGGGTGTGTGGGTGCGTGCGCTCGAGCCACCAACCTCCCACACTGTGCGCGCTCGCTCGCGATCATGCCTGACCCGTGGGAGCACACGGGGCTGGGATATGTGCTTCTTTTGGCCCTCTCGGCCCTCTCCCCACCACCGACGACGGGGGCGTGCATATGGGCGGCGTTGGCGCAGGGGGACGGGGGCTAGATCACACCACAGATATGAACGGGCCGTCTGCACATATGCAAGCGTCCGGGCACGGCGGCGTATGAGGGAGCAAGGGAGGGAGAGAGGGGTGGTGGTCAGTGCACGGGGCGTCTCTGGCGCTAGAAGGCGTCGCGCCTGTGGAGCCATCGAGACGACCACCCGCTCTCACTGCGCATCGTTTGCTCTCGCTCTCGCTGTGTTTGTTCGTTCTCGCTTGGCGTGTGCCTGTGCGCGGTGCATGTTTGTGGGGGTAGGGGGAGGGAATGTCGACACAATCATGGTGGTAGTGGTGGTAGTGGACGATGGGATGAATAGCATATGCAATGTACAACACTACGAATGGGCTCTACTTTTGCTCGACAATGACGGCCTCTGCGGTGTGGCGTCAGCGTCTTTAAGGAACCTAAATTTATCCGGGGGCAGCCACAGTAACCACAAAACCCTCCCAAACCACCTTTCCCACTGGTGGGCGAGAGGGTATTTGGCAACACTAGTGGTGTAGTGTGGAACCCCCACTCAATGCAAAATGCAATGCAAAGAGAAAAAAGAAGAAAGAAAAAAACTTACTCTTGCGCTCGGCCTTTGGCTTTTCCTTGCCAGCACGCGAGTGCTTGCGGCGGCGGTCCTCCTTGACCTTGCGAGCCTCGATCATATCCCGCTTCAGTTGGGCCGCATTGTGCACGCTGGCGGGCAGGTGACGACGCTCCGCCACGTTGCGCACCTCCTTGGACGTCGACCACTGCTCCACAAGCTTCTGGCGGTACTCCATCGCCGCACGCTCCTTGGTGCTCGTGGGACCAAGCTTCTGAGAAGCCTGGCTCTTCCATATCCGGACGTTGCCGTCGTCGCTTGCCGACAGGACAAAATCCGCAGTTGGCGTGTATGTAACGTCAAACACACTGGTGGTGGGGCTATCAGCAAAGCATTTCGGGGGTGGGGGTGGGGGTGGGGTGGGGAGGCGAGGGGAGGCGAGGGCCAGAACGTGGCGATCGCGAGGCACTAGAAAAAACAAACTAGCTCTCACAGCGCCTACACTGGCCCCCCTTTCCCCTCACCGTCTTCTATTTACTTACCGCTGCATGCGCTTGGTGTGGTAGACGTCGCGACTCTTGCCAGCGTCGCGCTTCCACAGGCGAACCGTGCGGTCGTAGGACCCTGAGACAAACTCCTCACCAGTGGGACCTGAAAGCGAGAGAGAAAAAACACACGAGCGTCAGCATTCCACATCCCTCTCCCGAGCACACCCGAACAGGCGCCCCCTCGTTTGTAGACATGACCAGTTGGGCCAGTTGGGCCACGCCGCCGCCCGCCTCGCCGCGGACCGCGGTCGACGCCTCCACTGCTGCGGTCCAGCTGTTTTGGCCATGTGTCATCAAACGAGGGGGTTCAAACAACTCACTCCAATCACATCCCATGACGCCACCAACGTGACCCTTGTAGATCTGGGTGGGGCTCTCGAGGTTGCGCAGGTCGTAGGTGTAGAGGTTGTGGTCCTCGGACGCGAGGAGAAGCACGGTAGGGAGCGTGGGGCACCACGACAGCGAGTTGGAGCGCATGTTCATGACGATACGTCGCTCGGCCTTGCCGGTGCGGATATCGTACAGGCACATGGTACGGTCGCTGCCGACCGAGGCCAGCACGCTGGTCTCGCTGTGGTTGAACTGCAGCGCCGAGACGGTCTCGAGCGACGAGCCAAACTGGAGCGTCGAGAGCGGCGCAGAGCGCGTCTCGTCCCAGACCTGGACAACGTTGGAAGCGGTCGCAAACACATTGTCGGTGCGGTGGTGGTCGATGCCGTTGAAACCCGTCTTGGTGGTGTAGACCATCGCAGGCTCGAGGTTGAGGCCCCTGGCATCGCGCTTGCCCTCGTCCATGGCCAGGTCGTCGTCGTCGACATCGGCGTCCTCGCCCACCGCGCCGGCGTGGTCGAGCGTGTCGTCGCCCGCCTCCTCCTCAACAGTCATGCCAGGCGCAAACGCCTTGGACTTCCAGATCTTGAGCGTGCCGTCGAGCTTTCCCGCAGTAATCAGGCCGCGCTTGCCGTCGCGCGCGTCCGACGTCCAGCACACGCCACCGACCATGCCGCGGTGCGCCTGGATCTTGAGCAGCGACCGGCGCTGGCTGAGCGAGTGCACCAGCACCTCACCGTCGCCACCACCAGCAGCCACAATCGAGACACGGCGCGGGTCCTTGCCCAGGCAGTACACGCCGTCCTGGTGGCCCTCCAAAGAGTCCACAAACGGCTTGGCGAACATGCGCTCCATCTTGGCCGCCGTCAGCGCACGAGTGTACTCGCGAGGCTTGGCAAAGGGGTGCAGATGCGGGGCGAGGTTACGCTGCAGGGGGTGCGGGGCAGTCGACGAGCCAGGGAGGTGGTCGTCGAGCGACCGCGAGATCATCTTGATCTTCTGAGAACGCGTTAGACACAGGGAGCAAGCGGAGTAACGCACCATGGTGGAAGATGTGGGGCTTTGGGAGCTCTTCCTTTCGGGGTTCTAGGTGGTTGCTTGTGCTTTTGGCGAGATCCCGAGGGTCGTATGGATGCACAAGAGCACGTTGGTGGGGTGGTGGGTGGTGGATGCCAATGTTATGACCTCGGTGTGGGACTCGAAGTGCAAGAGTCCCAAAATCGCCTTCCTCCACCCTCGCCACCACTGGAAATTTACACGTGTAATATACTCCCGCGATCCCGCGATCAGCTGGTGAGTTGGTGCTCTGATCGTCTTGATGCCACCACCACAAGCCATGCATGGGACCAAAGCCCTCTGGCCTCTGGCTCGCGGCGACCACTGTCACAGACTCTTGGAAAAGATACTTGCCCTTCCTACATTCATGCAATGCTACAAGATACTCCCAAAAAAACAAACAGACACAGACATACACAAAACACAACTCGCTCAGTCCTCCATCATCAGCCACTCACGGCTCCCGACCTTGACCTTGCCCTCGGCCTCCTCGTCGTCATCCTCGTCCTCTGACTCTACCTTCTTGCGTGCCTTGGGCGGCGGTGGGGGCAGTGCCTTGGCTCCTGGACCAATCTTTTGGTGCAGAGGTACAATCTTGAGGCGACGAGACATGCCCGCACGCTTGGCGCTGGGGAACTTGGACAGCACGGACGAGAGGTCGTTGCGGGCTGCACACAGGGGTTAGCGCGCTGCGGTTACAGTGGTTTACACTCACGAGCCTTCCAGCTGATGCCGGGTGTGCTTCGGGCAGGGGCAGAGACTGGGGTGTTCCTTGCTGGGTGCAGAGTACGGGGAGGAGTTGCAGGTCTGGGTGGGGACACTGGGACAGGTGGAGCGACGGGCTCCGCGGCGGTGTCCCGGGGTGTCTGTTTGGCGGGCGCCGCCGCCCGCTTGGCAGGCTGGGGCGGCTCAGAGTTGTCAACGAAGGGCGAGGTCTTGCGCTTCTGCGATGTTTTGGATGATGCCTTGGGCGCCGCGGGTTCGGCCGTGGCCTGCTTGTGGGGCGAGGTATTGGAACGCTCCCCAGACTCGTAGACCTCCGGCAATGGCGTGCAGTCGACAAGAGGAGTAGACTTTGGCTGTGATGTCTGGCTCGACCTTGCACTCTTCTGGCTTGCCTTGTCCCTTTGACTGGGCTTGTCTTTGCCGGCCGTCTTCTTCGCCTTGGTCTTTGGGGGGTCGGGAGGGATTTCACCTGCAGCGATGGCGCGTTGGTGCTCTGCAAGTGCCTGACGCCTGATCTCTGCCCTCTGCCTCTTCTTCTCGGCCTTGGCCGCCTCCTCCTTCTCCTTGTTGTCGCGGACGCGGGTACTCTCGCGGCGAGACGACGACGCGTTCGCAGACTCGATTGATGACATTGGCATGTTGGCGGAACTAGGCACGATGGAGTCGTTTACCATATGCGAGATGCTCATGCGCGACTCGAAGAGCGAGGGTGGGTCCATGGGACGCTGGGGACTGGACGGGTTAAACGAGTCAATGGGGTCGACGGAGCTTCCTCTGGCATCCCGGCGGAGCGGTAGCGGGATAACGACCTCTAGCCGGCTTGCCGGGGTGCGTCTGGCCGGTGGCGAGGATGTCTGGATGTGGGACGCTGGGGTATCGAGCACCTCGATAGGACGAGACGAGGTGTCAATGATGTGCGACAGCTGGGTATCGCGCGACGATGCGTCGTTGGAGGAAAAGGTGTCGATACGCGACGCGCACGTGACGATCGTGCCCCGAGGAGGAGAGTCAATGTCCGGGGACAGCACGCGATAGGAGTGGCGAGGGCGGATGGGTGTCTCCTGCGTCTCTCCAATGACTAGAGAGCATGGGTCAGCATCGGTGGCGAGGAAAGGCTACACATCCGCTCACGCATGATCGGGCGCAACTCTAGATCCTTCGAGTCGTCTGTACGCGACGAGGAGAGGGAGTGGGGTGAGAGTCGAGCGATGGTGCGTGCTTGTTGTGTTGAGAGCTGTAAGGCGCGCTTAAGCTCTGCCTCTTCTCTGCGTAAGGACATGAAAGAGGTAAGTCGACGTGAGGGGGAGAGGTGGGAACGGGTTGGTAGGGGTGGCGAGAGGAAGGCAGGCGCGTCCCAGTCAGCCGGGGTGGAGGGAGGCAAAAGGTCGCGTCAACACTGGTAATTATTACGTAATACATTATTTGAGCCTCCCTCTTACCATCTTTGGCAGAAGAAAATTGTCGGCTTGGGCCGCCACTCTCTCGGGGGTTGCAGTCCTCATCGTCCAGACATTCCAGGCAGCGCACAGCGCAACGATCTGAAAACCGCCAGCGGCCAGGTTCTTCGTCGCTGGTACAGAGTGGGAACGTGCGTATGAAGGGTACGACGGCCAACGAGAGGACGAGTCTGCGGAGGGGGACGGAGTGGCCGAAGGGGGCCAGCTGCTGGCGTTACCATGCTTACATCATATAACGAGGTTCGTTTACCGTTTTTTGCCTGACCACCCCCTTAGATCCTTAGATGGGTCCCTGCCACAAATTCCACCACCACTATACCTTTTTGCCAACGGCCGAGTTATCCAGGCTGTTCGTTGGACGCGGAAGAGTGTGGCAAACCTACACACATGTGCGTGACAGGGGCTCTTGCAGTGGACGGCCGTGGACGCAAAGTGGCCAAAGTGGTCTGTGTGGCGGGGCCTTTCTGCGCCACTCTTCCCAACTGGTGCCTGATCGACGACTTGTCCTGCGGAAAAAAAAGGACAGAGAAAAGAGAGAAAGAAAAAAAAGCGGCAGGACGGAGTCACGCCAGCCCCGTTCGCACATGCCTGCGTGCCGAACAGTGCTCCACGCGTGCCGAGGATTGCGTCCACTTTCGGTATCCGTGCCCGGCAGATGTAGAGCGCGGCAGTAGCTGTGGAACGCGACAGAAAGTGGTGAAAAAGACCCCTGTGTTGGCACGAAACTGCCCTGCCTGGGCGTAGTATTTATATTGGCTGTTAGCCCGGTGCCAAGCCGCTCTGTTGCCGACACAAACAACAGTGCTCGTACGCTCGTGCATGACACTATACTCTACTGTCACCCCCTGATACAAACCCAAGGAGTGTACCAGTAGTGTCGGTGTACGAGCATGTGGTTTTTTTTGTCTTGCAGTCTTGTCCCAATACGAATTTATCCACCGCGCACATATGAAAACCCGTGTTGCCCGCGAAATGCCACAGTTACCGGCCAGTTTTGGAGCGTTTTTCCGGGCCTTTTTTGGGTCGTGACTCACCGGTGGATCGGTGGAGCCGGGAATGTGTCCAGGACAATTGCGTCACCGTGTGCGACCGTGTGGTGTGTGGTATGTCACCGCGACGCGACTAGCGCGTCATGGTGAACCTTCCTAGACAGCTAGACGAGAGGGTGCCATGGAATTTGGCAACGTGCTAAAAATTATCATATCACTCCACCAGGGTGAGGCTGGCGAGGCAAGTGCTTTTTCCCCGTGGAGGGACACGACGACGAATATGATGATGATGATGATGATGGTATGATGACAGACCCCAATGAAAAGGGCGGCATGTCAACTCACAGGCCCTCGAAACCCCGAGTGCGTTTGTGCTCAACTGCGGTATGCAAGCGAGACGTCGCCTGACAGGGCTGTGCACCGGGTTTACAGAGGTACAGAGGTGCGCCCGAAGAGAATAGTGAGCCCGATCCCAAAGATATCGATCTCTGTCCATGTCCGCCTGCCAAAACTAAACGCCGCCGACATTCCCCCTCACTACCCCCCCCAATTCATACTGAACACCTGGGCCACGGCATGTCACCGCACTGTGCGGGCCTTCTTCCCGGAGCTGCCGCGCATGTGTGGCTCCTGGTATCTGCCTTTTGAGGCGTACATACGCCGACACGCGCCGCGGATGTACCGCGAGATTCACCGAGATACACCGCAACTGAGCCAAGGGAGAAATTGCAAGCACGGATTGTTCCTTGAGGTATGTATCTCGAGGAGGCGCCAGGGCGGGGTCGAGTCGTACACGCGCTCCTTCTCCAATGCCGTCGCGCTCCCCCTGTTCTCCCGGTTGATATCAACAGGACCAGGACCCTCGCAGCAGAACCCCACATGTAGGCTTTTTTCACTTATAAACGATCGCATAGACCCGAGTGACCCACTTCCCCCTTTGCACCCCGCCACCACACCACTTGACTGCCACCAAAGACAAACAGGCCTACCTTGTTTTTTTCACGTTCTGTAACCCTTCGGCTCTGTACGCCACCAAAGCCACCCTTGTCACCCGACACCCCTTCTCTTCTACCCCCTGTGTCCCGAACGGAGAAAGGAGTGAATCCCTGCGCAGCCACTTTCGACGTTGAGCCCAAACGGAAGACGAGCAATCGAACCATTACATCCTCCCCAAGCTTCCCCCCAACACCCATCGCCACCGTGGCCGACGTTTTACTCGCCTTCTCGCCCGAGAGGCTCCCGTCAACCCTCCCGGGTTCCCGACTGTCCACCGTACGCCAGCGCTACTCGCCACGCACGCCCCGCATAGTGTCTGCCCCAGTACGGAGGGCAAGTGGCTCCACTAGCCCCATGGCAGTCGTCCACCCATACTCGGTAGAAAGCGACGCTCGAAGCGACCCACCGAGCACTCGCCATGCCACACCGTTGTCTCAGCCGCCAGTGTCACCACGGGACAAGCACTCGCCTCAACACCAGCGGCGACAAGAACAAGAACAGCACGAACAGCAGCAGCAGCAGCAGCAGCAACAACAAGAAGAAGCGCCGCCGCAGTCTGTTGGTTCTTGGCGCCCAGCGTTTCGCCGCGCAAGAGACTCGATGGCTGATATCATGTCCCGAGACGACATGTTGGCCACCGTGTCGTCGTTTGTCGACGACCTTCCCCCCTTCTACGCCACTGCGGCGTGGTACCACGTCGGGGAACAACGGCGAGACGGGGGAATTGTCAACCTGGACTCGCTCGCCGCCTACTTTAGCGAGCTGGACAAGACTGCTTCAACAGCCACCCGCGTCGCAGGAGTGTCGCCGAGCAAGAATGGCCTCAAGAAGATGCTCGCCACCGATACCTCGCCACCCGACCCATCCTACATAGACTTTGCGCCATCACGACCCCGGATCGCCGACCTTTTGCACGTCGACCAGAGGTCGCCAGAGACCGACGACGAGCGGTCTGTCGACTGCGTTATGACGTGCTCCCCGCCATGAAACCAAACCCTTCAAGACATGCCCCCCAACCCCAACCCCAACGGCTGGTACGCTGGGCCTTACGCCTCGTAGTAGAAGAACTATTGTATCCCCCCAGCCCACACTGTAGATTAGAGAACGACCCACCCTCATCACCACTGCCCACCTGCATATGCAATCTAGACGTAAAAAGTCTCTCTCCACACACACACGAGTTGCTCGCTAGGGAGCCACTGGGCCTTCGCTAGGGACACACCCCCACTGCCATTGTTCCAACCGAGCTTTTTTCCTTGCTCTAGGTAACGTTGTCGCTGGCCAAAACTGGCCAAAAAGGAATCGCGCCTCCCCGTCCCGGTCCCCCCCCCCTCCCCCCGGAATGATGTACAGGCACCGCCCGTGGAGCAGACATGTGTCCTTTTTGCATGGTGATCGGTTGGTGGCACGGAGTGATGGAGTGTTGCTGGGCCTCGTAACTCGATGGGCTCCAGCTCCACCGCAACCGCCGCAACCGCTTTGCGGGAGTGGGGTTTTTTTTTTTTTGCGGAATGGGGCATGTCGTATGCGATCGTACGTTGGTGAGGAGAGACTGGGGGGGGGAGTGTCGGGTCCCAACTCGAGAATACAAGTATAGCACACTGGTGCATCGATGACACGCCTTGCTCCATTCTGAATCTCGGGTGGCCGCGGGTGGGGCCAAGTTCAACCTTTTCTGGCTCCCCTCGTCTGACGTAGGCATGTGCCGCCACTGGCCACTGGTCTCCACTGGAACGCGCGGCTGGTACTGGGTGCGGAAGACATGTGCACACGGGGTCTAGACTCTGACTCTGGATCTTGGGTGTAACGTGTCCAGACGCAGACGGTTGGGTGGAGCACAGAATGTGCTGGGTGGGTGGAGCGAGTGAGTGCGGGGAGCATACGTACGCACAAGAGTGGCAGAGTACTCGTGGTTGCCAACGACGCTGGCTGCTGCCATGTGCTTGGCAGACGCAGGGCGCAGGGCAGAAGGGTGTAGGGATGGTGAGAGTGGGTGCCTGGAAATGTGACCTTTTGTTGGGTGCGTCGTGTTGGCCCCCGGCCGGTTCTTGCGGCCTGCCTGTTTTGGTGGTTCAGAACACGACAGCAAGGCTCTGTGGCGAACATGCATACCACAGCAGGCGAGCACGGTGGGTGAGCTGCCACTGACGCTACCGAAACGGATGAGCACGACGAACGAACGACTGTGACGAGCCAGCAGGCCGGCGGCATGAGGCTGCGGTGGTGAAACACCCAGCGTCACATGCGGGGCAGGTCCCAACCAGCATGCACACCCCCGCAAGCCCCCTCGCCCCGCTAGCCCCGCTCACACCTCGGCGTCTCAATTCCATACCCCTCTCGCCAGCGCGCACCCGGCGCCAAGTCTGCTCCAAAACGTCAACATCCCACCCTCCCAAGTCACCACAGCCCCCCAATCTCTCCCCCCCCCGCCGCATACACACCATGGATGCAGCCGGGCATGGCATGCTGGACGATGCCTGGTGGCTCCCATTCACTTCCAGCGGCGAAGACTACGACCTCGGCGGTCCAGTCGGTACGTGTCCACCACACACCCAACATTTGTTGGTTGTAGCACAAACACAGCACGAGGACGTCATGCTCACTCCGCAAAAGGGTTCGGAGCATCATCCACAGTGTATGCTGGGGCATTCAACATACCAGGCTCCTCGACCAGCGAGTGGCGAGAATGCGCTGTCAAGGTGTCGAGTGCAGGCAGCGACTTGGCCCTGCTGTCCAGAGAGGCGCGCCTGCTCGCCCTCTGTCGCCACCCCAACGTTCTCCGGTGAGCCGGGATTTTCTGCATTCGCATAGTCTACACACAGCTGACACACTCCCAGTGTCCTTGCGACCTTTACACTCCCACCGGATCATGCCCGAGTAGCTATTGTGACACCGCTCGTCGAAGGAGGGTCGCTCGCTGGCATACTCGAATGGCGCTCCCGATCGCCTCCGCGGCGTCGACGTCATCGAGGCGTCGCGGACGGCTCTCTCGACGAGGACGAAGTAAAGGCCGTGGTACGACAAGTCCTCGAAGGGCTCGTCTACCTGCATGCCAATGGCTCCTTGCATGTGCGTATCCAATGCTGCTTCTCATGCTATACAGACTTGTTGCTTCTTCACACACGAGGCAGGAAGGCAGGCAGAGGCCCGGCTGCGCGCCAAGACCTTCCCTTCCTAAACCCTCTCGGCGCACACTTTGCTGACGCGATTCGCCGCAGCGTGACCTCAAAGCAGGCAACCTCCTTCTGGCGCCGGATGGAACCATCTTGCTGGCCGACTTTGGTGTCGGGGGCGACGTCAACCTGCCCCCAACACCGTCCGGGGATGCACGCCTGCCCGTCGAGGCGGTGCGGTTCGATGGACCCCGCCAACGGATCGTCCCGGCAGCTACATCGGCGGCGCCACCAGTGGTCGTGCGTGAAATTGGCAAGCGACATTCATTTGTCGGCACTGTGCGTAAAGATACCCTCCCCACGATGTGTGCCCCGCAGCAGCATGTTTACCTGACACACCACCCGCAGCCTTCCTGGATGGCCCCAGAGGTGATCCTCGGCCAGCCGTACGATGCCAAGGCCGACATTTGGTCGCTGGGTATTACGATCATTGAGCTAGCTACGGGCAGCCCTCCCAGTCACGGCCGCCCTGCCGACGTCCTCGCCGCCACAGTGTCTGCGACCACGGCCCCGTCCCTTCCGTTACACTTCGGCAAGCACATGCGCGAGTTTGTCGCAGACTGTTTGAAGAGGAACCCGGCCAACAGACCCACTGCCGAGAAGCTGCTCGAACACGCATGGCTCAAGGGAGCCAAAAAGGCGTCTTTCCTGGCCGAGTACTTGCTCACTGATGTGCCCGCTCTCACACAACGGCAAGAGCTCCGCCGTGTGCCCACCATGTCGTCGTTTACCTCGGGAACACCGAGCTGGGATTTTTCCTACTCTGTTCCACCTTCCCCTGTCGCACGGTTCGCGTCACCCTCTGCGGCATCCCTCAGCCTGTCCCCGTCAGCAGCGGCGGCAGAGTACGGCCTCAACCGCCCGCAGTCGCGTGCTTCAAACCGCACGTCGATGGGACAGGACTACTTTCCCTCGTCGCCGCGCATCAGCCTCTATCAGTGGGCCGAGCGCACCGGACCGGCCGATTCGTTGCCGCCAACACCGACAGATGCAAACAGTATGTATAGCTCGGGGTACATCTCGCACCCAGGTTCTGGCTTTAGCGGCGGCATCGTCGCCTGGCCGTCGCCGCGTCGTGGCGGCAGCGAGAGCGGCCGACCTCGCAGCGGTGTTCCCCTCGTGTCGTCACCTGCCGCTCGCCTGAGGCGGGGGAAGAGCACGTCCTTCCATGCGGGTCTCGACAGTGTGCCCCAAAACGTCGTGCAAGACATCACCTCGTCGCCCAACGCCAGCCTGACGCACAACACGAGCTTTGGCAGTGCCACGGGCACGACCATGGGCGAGTCGCCAGTGCGCACGACGGCGAGCGTGGCACCCGATGTTGGCCAGGTGCCCGAGGACGAGGGCGGCAGTGGTCCCGGCACCCCTCACCAGCACACGCCACGCAGCGACAGCCCCACCGAGATGGGCGACCACCTGATCGCCTACCACCATTCTCGCGATGTGAGCGGTGGCGGGCGGAGCGACAACAGCGGGGGCAGCGGCGCGAGCGGCGCGAGCCCCGCCGCGTCGTATGCGGCGCACTATGTGGCTAGCTACACTGCGAGCCTGGGACAGAGCACGCAGAGTCACCAGAGTGGCACGAGTATCAGCAGCGACAAGGCCACGCCCATGCTCGACCCGTCTCCGCGCCGCACGCCCAGCCCCACCGAGCAGCTGCCGTCGTTCACCCTCGACCTCGCAGACGCGCCGTACGGTCGCGCGCCGCGCACGCCGCGTGGGATCGATACCCCGCCCGACAGCCTACTCCTCGGCACGAGCCCGCTGGGGTTGAGCATGAGCCCGCTCGAGTCGTCGCCGCTGAGCACGACGCCGCGCCAGTCCACGCCGCTGGGCAGCGGGGCGTCCCGCGAGAACGTGTACGGTGCCGTCAACCACACCAACCACAGCAGCCACAGCAAGCCTGGGTGGTTGCAGCGCGGCGACAAGAAGAAGGACGCCAAAGATAAAGACAAGGACAAGGACAAGGAGGCAAAGGATAAAGAGTCGTTCACGGCCGCGCTCGTCGGGTCGTTTATCGGGCGCAGGGCGTCACGGAAGCGGTTGTAGCTCGACGCGGGCCGCGAGCTGACAGTCAATCCGACCAAAACAACACCATACACGCACGCACGTACGCACAGACGAGGAAGGCGCACCCACCCACCCACACACACTCCACACACACGCACTCGCCACCAGACATGCTAAACCCGTTGTATCTAATCCCATACCCCCACCCCACCACCACGCCGTCCCCCACCCCTCTTCATTATATCAGCTACAGTACACCGTCATGCATATTTCACGAGTCCGCAGTGCACATGACGCTTCCGGCATTCCCCATCACAAAGACGTCCGTTCCGCTCGCTACCAGAGTCTGGGTACTCTGGTTACCCAGATCCAGATCCAGTCCGTCAGTTGCTGTCCACCGCAAGCAGCGTCACGTCATCTCTGCCATGTACGCGTCACTCGTCCCTCCCGGCCTATATGCTAAATGTTGCAACGGTCCATATGGGCGAAACATGCGGAGACTGAGCGCGTAACAACAACGTCCAGAGGGGTTTTAAGGGATGAGAGTGTATGTAACGGGATAGGGGAGAGCTAGGGGGGAGAGAGAGAGAGAGAGGGCGGAGAGAGAGGTACACGCGGAGACATGATCCTTGCATGAAAGGACGGCCGCGAGTGTGGAGGGGTTGTTTGGCCTGAAATGCGAGGCACAGGACTAGGTGAGAAAAATAAGAGAAAAATCTAAGAGCATGCTTTGTTGTGTGTTTGCGTGTGTGTGTGATGACGTTTAGAACGGGGGCTATACGCTTTGCTTAGAGCATGACGGCACCGACGCCGGCGAGGGCGGCGAGGACGGAGAAGGCGCCGGCGACGAGGCCGGTCGAGGGCGCAAAGACGGCGTGACCGGCCGAAGCGGCCGTGGACGACGAGGCCGAGACGGCGGCGGCGTCAGTCGCGGCGACGGTGACCTGGGCGGTGCCGGTGGTGGCACCGGCCGAGTCGGTGAGGGCCGACTCGATGACGGTCGACGCCGACTCGGTCGTGGTGGGGAGGTCGGTGAAGGTCATGCCGGGGGTGTAGGTAAAGTAGGCACCCGAGGTGAGGGCAGCAGTGGGGATACCGTTCGAGACAGTCGAGTAGGTGGTGCACGACGACGAAGCCGGGGTCGAAGCGGCGGTCTGGGGGGTCGAGGTGTAGCCAATGGTCCAGTAGGCAAGGGTGCCCGAGTTGGTGTACGAACCGGTGTAACGCTGAGCAAAGGTCGAGGTGGTGCCGTTGGCAAGGGGGTAGACACCGGGAGGGTAGGCAGAGTCGGCCTCGCAGTCGGTAAAGGTGCCGTTGGTGTAGTCACCGGGCATGACCCAGGCGCATCCCATCTCGTCGAGGGTGTGCTGGCACTCGATGGCGGCCGAGTAGGTCGAGTTCTCGGCGATACAGATACGGAGACAGAACTGCTGGTACGACATGTAGCTAGGGAGGGGAGGGAGTGTCAGCGGGTTGCCTCTTTGAACCTTGTGTCCAACAACACTCTACTCACTTCATCCACTCCTCGTACGAGACGTCCGAGCCGGTGGCATTGCAGGTGACGTTGCCACCGACGGGGTTGCCGTCACCGGTGGCACCGTGGGGGTCGAGCTCACCACCCTCGTCGCCCTCGGCAATGTTCATCCTGGTGAAGTCGCCAAAGCCCTGGACCTGCCAGTACAGGGGGGTACGGACAAAGTGGACAGCCGAGAGGGTGCCGTCGGGGATGACACGGGCGTCGTTACGGGGCTGGACACACCAAGCGACCTGGATGGCCTCGGTGTCACCAATGGTGCTTCCGGTCTCGGGGGGAGCAAAGACACAGCTGGGGGAGGGGAACGTGTCAGCACGGCGAGTCTGTGCACAAGGCCAAGCAACGTGTGGGCCCTGGGGTTGAGCCAAATTGGGCGGGGAACCGGCGCACGGTGACCCAAGTGGCCAAGTGGCCCGACGCGGCGCAGTTCAAACGACCCGCGCGCGCCAACGGCTCAACCGCCCCCAGGGGGAGAGCCAGTGGCACCAACTGTGCGTCGCAAGTTGTGTACTGCGGAGCCTGCCCACACGATAACGTATAGGAAACACCACTTACAAGTCGTCAATGGCGTTGAGCGAGAGAAGACGGGCATACGACGACATGTTGACGGCGGTGCCGAGCGAGGCGGCAGTGGGGTTGGTAACACCTATGCAGTGTTAGCGTGGCTCTTTTCGGTATCACTGTGGCGCATGCAGACACATACCCATGGTGCCGGTAGCGGTGACCTGAGCATTGGCCTTTTCGCATTGTCAGTACCGGAAGACCTCATCAAAAGTGTGGCCCGACTTACCACGCCAGCCATGACGGCGGCAGCGCCGAGGAGGACGGTAGAGAGCATTGTCGCTGAGATGAAGGAGGTGGGGAGAGACGAGGGGGGAGAGGAGGGGGGATGAGAGACCTGGCCTTGAAGAAGAGGATTCAAAAGGTCGAGTGAGTGTGGGTTGGCAGATATCTCTCGAGAGGAGTGTGTTGGAGAGAGAGAGGGAGAGAGGTTGTTCAAGGGGGGTGTGTTAAAGAGACGGGCGACGAGTGCGCGCAGTTGGGTGGGTGGGTGGGTGGGCCGGCGGGCGGGCGGGGGGGGGCAAGCAAAGGAGACAAGGGCGCGGGCGGGGTGTGGTGGTGCTGCCAAGGCTGTGCGGGCGGTCTAAATCCAGCACTGCGCGCGCCGGACCCGGCACCCCTGCAGGGAGGGACAAGACAACGCGCGCGTCAGCCGTCACAGCGTGTGCGCAGTCGTCTCCCCCCCGCGGGCCTTTTTCCACTCCAGGCAATGTCTATTTCGGATCCCCCTGGGCCCGCCGTTTTTTGCTCTGGCGCTCTGGCCATGCTCTGGAAAAAACACACACGCGCGTGACAACAAATGCTGTTCCACCTGCTGCGCACCGTTGTGGTGCTCTTGACACGAAAGAGAGACACCACTCTATACTTACACATGCGGGGCAAATACATGTACAAGGTGACATCATGTGTTGCATCACTGCAGCTGAATGGCTAGGTGGCGAAAAGAAAGCTGCCCCTACATGGCGGCGTGATCTGCGGGTCCACTGTCCTTGTCTTTTTTTGTCTCTCTCTTACACAACGACCAAAAGCCCTCCCCGCTCTGGTGGCGGGAAGATGGCGACCCGCACACCACATCCGCATGCCAACGTGCACAACTGGCATTATGAGACGCAGCTGTGGTCAAGAGGGTTGAATACATGTGGCTCTTCTAATGAGCATATGCAACGGGCAATTAGGTTTGGGTGGCATTCAAGGCCCCCGGTGCCGGTGCATTAGGCGAATGACCGTCTGAGCGACCTACACGAGCGACGCGACGAGCCAGCCGGGTGACGGCGCAAAAAACCCACACCTGAAACCGGCCAGGTACGCGCAGCCACCACGAAAAAGGCTTTTAGAACATGGCCCGGCGGGGGCGGTTGGCTCCGCCTACATTGCCTTGTTCGTGGCCCGCGGCCACGTCGGAGAAGTGGTGGGATGATGTCTGGCCTCTGGCTGCCAACATGTCGAAATGTCGGCTCCTGCCACAAAGGTTGCACTATGTGATCTGTGAAGCTGTAATCGTCACTGGCTGCCAGACCGGTCGCTAGCGAGCCCACCAGCGCCGCGGCGTCCGTTTCGTGCCCAAAGCTCTGCTCCTGCATCTGTTACGCACATGCATGCGGCGCACTGTCCTCGCTTTCCTCGCTCGCGCCAAACTGGAAATCACACTGCATGTGCCATGGCCCAGCGTGCGTGCCCCGGCGATGTGCGATAAGCCCTCGCCCCCATCGCCATGCCTCACACCCCATGGATCGCCCCGCGCGTGCATATGCCCATGCTGCCACTGGCCACACCATGGTGCACGCCTGTGCGATCGTTGACATCAATTGCGGCCCTTGTATGCTCCACTCGTCTGCGAACCCCCCACCCACACGTTACGCTGTCCACCACACACCGCAGCTCCATCTCGTCCACACCGAACGCAGCTGCGGCGCCACGCCGGTAGACCGGTGGGTTGGTCCAGACTGCGGTGTGCGTTGCGTACAACAGGAATTTACAAGCATGGGTACCACAGCCTATGCCCAGAGATCCAGAGACGTCCACCCGAGAGCCCACAATAGACTCCACTCGCGCCAGCCAGACCGGCACGTCGCCACCTGGACGATTGCACGCGACGCGTCGCGTCGCATCGCATCTGGCCACCCCCGGACCTCGTCCGGGGCTGGAATGAGGCCAAGCCCCCAGATGTCTAAATCTGTCGCTTGCGCACAGCCGGCCAAGAGACGGAGCGAGAGCCAGCCAGAGCGTCAGAGTCAGAGCCAGGCGACAGGCGAGGCGGGCCATGGCTGGCGGGGTCGGCATGGCTGGACAACTGACATGACAGACTGCACGCGCCCAACGGCCAACGACCAACGGCCAACGGGCAACGGCCCCGGCCTGTCCAGGATATATCCACGACCACACCCTGGCCCCCACTCTCAGGACACCGTCCAGGAGAAGTCTCCAGCCAGACCGGGATCGAACCCCCTATACGCTCCGCACCCCCCATATTGAAGGCCCAAAGGCCCAGAAGGAGCAGGAACACTGCAAAGGGGTGTGGCCTGTGGACATGCAGCCCCCCCTTGAATTCCTCGCGTCGACAAAGAGAGAGAGGGTCGAGATCCAAGTCACTTTCACGGAAAGCGCGTCCATGACGCACAGTAGTGCATGGGTGCATGGGGGTGTGTAGTCGTGCGTCCATTTCTGGATCGTTTTGGATCCTTTTTGACACTTCCGGGCCTTTATTTTTATTTATTTTTCTGGCTTTTGCTTTTGGCAGTCGCGTCGCGCGGGCGACATGTCTCGGAAGTAAGCCCAGCCATGCCAGCCCGGCCAGCCCCCATGTACGGCTCTGCCGGTGTGGAAGCCAGCCTCCAAACCTTGATCAGAGTTCGTCGCGTCCGCGTCCGCGTACGCGCCGTACGCACGTAACCGCTCAAAGACCTCTGTGCCTCTGGCCTCTGGTGTCCGATCGGGCGCCAAGTTCTCGGTCTCGCGGTCTTCCAGGGACGGGAGCCGACAGTGACAATGGCCCGGGCCATGGTGACAGTGACAGTGACAGCAGTGGTGCTACGCACCCGCGCACTGCGATCTGCGAGCGGTGCAACTGCGTCGTCTATTTTCTTGACCAGTGGATGCAGTGGACGATGGGCTCTGCCAACACGACGGGGCCCACCGTCGTTTCTCTCCTGCACATGCGCATGCTTACGCTTACGTTCCCGCACATGCTTATGCTCTTATGCTCTTTTCCACGCTTGTGTTCACGCTCGCGTACATGCGCCGCGCAACACCCTGCAGGTCGGGTGCACCGTTCTCGCCCTCACATCACTATGCATCTGCGGACGGGGGGTCTCGTGGATCATCTGGTTCGGTCTGGCTAGATACATGTACACACAAGCAGCTTCCTGTCTTTTTTTTTTCCTTTTCCCTCTCCTCTCTACAGTATCTACACTGCTGCGAACCCCCGCTCTTTCCGGGGCCCTCCCCTCCCTGTATCCTTCCCCCCCCCCCCCGTCACCCCACTTCCGCGCGAGTGACATGACATGGGGACGTTCTTGGGCGACGTACTATTCCTTTCTCTCTGATGTCACTGGCCGCAGCCAATGGAGCCGCCAGGGCGGCACTGATGACGCGTAATGACGGCGACGCCAACGGTAACGGCAACGGCAACGGCAACGGCAACGGGGACAGCCACGGCCACTCACAACGCGGCGAGAACACTCTGGATCCACGTGTTGTCCGCAAACTTGGACTTGTACTCGTCCGCGATGGAGTGGAGGGCCTTGAGCTGCTCCTCCTCGGTACCGCCCTCGGCACGCGAGCGCCACTCGTCGAGGAACGAGCGGACGAGCGCCGTGCCCTCGTCCACGTCCGTCTTGGGGAGCTTGGGCGCGCTCTCGCTCGTCGTCTCGCCAAAGTCCTCGAGCTCCTCGGCCTTGCGCTTGGCGAGCTGTAATTGTGAGCTGAATGTCCCGGCCGGTTTCAGCACTACTCACCTTGACCACCGTGTCGGGGAAGCGCGCGAGCTCGGCGACATGGATACCGAAACTCTGGTCACTGTGGCCGTCGACCACCTGGTACAGGAGCGTGATCTGGCGTTCCAGCTCACCGTGCACTTCGGCGCGCACCTGGAGGTTCTTGACCCATGCCAGCTGGTCGGCGAGCGTCGTGAGCTCGTGGAAATGGGTCGCGAACAGGCAGAAGCAGCGAATGTTGGTCGCAATGTGCTCGCTGATGGCCCACGCGAGACCGAAACCGTCATAGGTCGAAGTACCGCGGCCGAGCTCGTCGATGATGATCAGCGAATCACGAGTGGCAGACCGCAGGATGGTGGCCGTCTCGAGCATCTCGGCCATGAACGTCGACACGCCCTTGAGCTGGCTGTCGCCAGCACCCACACGCGCAAGGATGCAGTCAAAGACGGGCAGCTCGGCAGAGTCGGCGGGGACAAAGCAGCCCAGCTGGGCCATGAGCGCAATGACGCCAATCTGGCGAATGTACGTCGACTTGCCGCCCATGTTGGGACCCGTCAGAATGTGGAACTCGGAGGTGCCTGCTAGGTTAGCACAATGCGTACAGTGTTAACCCACCCTTGATCATTTCATGGTCGTTGGCGATAAACTCGATATCGTCCTGGACCTCGAGGCATGGGTGGCGAGCGCCACGGACGACAATGTCGCCGCTGCCACGCTCCTTGACGACAGGCTTGGCATAAGGGACGGGGGCGTTGGCCGAGACGTGGGCAAACGAGACAATCACGTCGAGGGCGGCAATGAGGTCGTCCAGTTTCTCCAGCACGGGCGTGTACGACGAGGCAATGCTGACAACCTCCTTGACGAGGTGGCGTTGCTTCTTCTCGTACTCTTCCTGGAGTCGCGCATAGTCCTCTGACAAGTTCTTCAGGAGCGTGGTCGTGAAAATGGTGCCCGACTTTTGCGTCGCCAAGTCAATGTACTTTTTCTTGCCGCGGATCAAGCCCGCCTCCGCCTTGGTAATGCGAAACGAGTACTTGTACACCTGGTGGTTCTCGAGGTGGAGCTTCTTGTCAATGTCCAGACCGAGCTCCTCACCGACGCGGCGGTGCTCTCCGTCGAGCTGGTCGCGAACGTCGATGAGCTGGTCGCGGAAGTTTTGAAGGTCATTATCGAGCGTGGGCAAAAGGACAAAGTTGTGGCCCTGGAGCTCGTCAAGGTCGATGGTGCTCTCGACCATCTCCGAATACTTTTCAAGCAGCTCAATGTTCTCGTTGAGGGCGTTGACGTACACGTCGTCAAGAATGTGGCCGTGTTCCGGGTTGTCCTCCTTGACCAGGTTGAGGCACTCGACGATACGCGGGAGGGTCTGGACAGCCTGGTACACGCGGACAACGTCCTCGAGACCGGCAATGCTGCGGTGGAAGCGCTTGCAGATGCGGTGGAAATCGGGCATTTTGCGCAAGTGCTCCTCCTGCAGGGTCCTGCGTGTGTTGCCGTCGTTGACAAACATTTCAACCACGTTCTGGCGCTCGAGGATCGAGTGGAGGTTGACAAGGGGCTGCTTGAGCCAGCGGCCGAGCAGGCGCTGGCCCTGGCTGGTCTTGCACCGGTTAAGCAGGCCGTACAGGCTCATGTTCTTGTTGCCACCCAGCTCGGCGTTGGGCATGAGGTTGAGCGCCTTGAGCGCGCTGGCGTCGAGCTTCATGTACTGGGACAGGTCGTGGTGGTGAAGGCGGAACTGGCCGTGCATGGGCGTGTCGCTCATGAGCGAGAGGTAGTTGATAATAGCAGCCAGCGACATCATGGCCGTCTTGAGATCAAACTCGGGGAGGTTGGCGGCATGCGAGTCGTCCAACAGACGCGTGAGGTCTTGCTGGACACTGCCGGTCTGGAACTCGGACGACTTGCGATCCGTCACAATGACGCCACAACGCTCAATGAGGGTGCGAAGCTTGGAGAGCTCGTGGTCGGCGCGCTTCTCGTCTGCCTGGAGGATGCACTCCTTGATGCCAAGCTGGATCACGAGGCTTTCAGTGTTGCCATAGTTTTCGTCCTCGGCATACTGCGCCACGCCAATCGTCTTCTCCTGCACGTCCACAAACGCGGCGCCGACAGTACGCTGGCCGTCCTTGATGGCGACTCGCACAGCCATGCTGACGGCGTTGGCCAGCAAGTCTTCGTGGGCGAAGAGCAGGTCCTCGAGCTGGCTGAGGTTGCCGGGCGACGCGACTTTGCCCGAGTGCCAGCGCGTGTTGTTCTTGCGACCAGCGGTACCGTCCTCGGGCTCCCAAATCTCGACGCGCATCTGCTTGGTGGTAAGGCAGTCGCGCAGGAACGCCTTGGCAAGAGTCATTGAAATGGTCACGCTGGGCAGACCGCGGGCAGACGTCGACGACGAAGGCTTGCTGCTGCCCGCACCCAGATACTTGAGAACGTTGGTCGTCTTGTACACCTGGTCGGCGATCAGGAGAGCGTCGGCGCCATGAGCTGAAAAGTACTCGCCGCGGTCGAACAGGCGGACGAGGCCCTCGGAGTGGACAGGCATGCGCTCGACGAACCGCACGAACCGTTCCTCGGTGTCGCGGTCTGTGTGTCAGAAGGTGCGGGGCGAGGACTGAACACGTACCCATCTGCTCAAACTGCGGCTTGGCCGCAGACAGTTCCTTGTCGTACATGGGCTCCATGTTAGTACAGTGGAGAGATTTCAGAAACTCACCATTGTGAGATTTGTAAGACGTGGGAGGGGATGAGGAAGGCGACAACTCTGAAAGCAATATCAAACGCGTCGCAGCACGGTCATCCGCCGTCATCTTGACGCGTCTCGGGGCGGAAGCAAAATCAAAGGCAGCCAAACAACCAGGCCACGTTCGGTGCCACGTACAGTACACAGTGAATCTGATCATGATATGAACATACATGTCCCGAGGCCCTACATTAAAAGCTCTCCTACTGCATCTGCTCGTCCTCCTCGGCGCTCTCAAACAGGAAGTTGGCGGCAAGCTCCTCGTTCTTGTCGCACAGCAAGAAGGCTTGGAGCACCATCTGGCGGTCAAAGCCGAGCTGCTCGAGACGCTCGACAGCAGCGGCTTCCTCCTGGGTCAGGTTGACCTGCATGACGTTGGGGGGCAAGTAGTCCTCGCCCTCGCCCTCGCCACCCAGCTCCTCCTCGCTCACGCCGAGAAGGTCGTACAGGGTCTGGGGGTCCTGGTTGATCAGCTGGGCCAGCTGGGGATTTGACGCAGCAATCTGCTGCAGGAGCGGCTGGATGAGGGCGGGGTTCTCCTGGACGGCCTGGCGGATACGGGCGATCTGGGGCGAGTTGGCAATGGCTCCAAGACCACCACCGGCACCAGCACCGCCGGCGGCACCGGCGGGAACACCGCGGTCGCGCTGCATAGCAGCCTCGGCCGCAGCAAAGAGGTTGTCGGCACCGGCACCGCCCGAGGGCGCGGGAGCAGCAGCAACAGGGACAGAGGGGGCGGGGACAGCGGCAGCGGGTGCGGCAGCAGTAGTGGCAGGAGCACCGCCGGCGGGGGCACCACCAGCACCGCCCATGGGCTCAGTCTCGGGGATGTTGCCGCTCATGAGGTACTCGGCGGCACGGTCGGGGTTGTTGAAGCTGGCACGCAGGGCGCGAACAACCTGCTCGCGGGGGAAGCCCATCTCGCAGAGGTTGTCGATCGCAGAGTTGAGCGAAGCACCGGTGACTAATCGCCATCAGTGACCTGGCTTGGGGGGAGGGCTCAAGTCTGTACTCACGGAACGACGAGCCAAGGGGCGACTCGCCGGCCTCGGCAGGCGCGTCGGAGGCGGCCTCGGCGGCAGGGGCAGCCGGGGTAGCGACAGGAGCAGGAGCGGCCTCGGCGGCGACAGGAGCCTCGACGACGGGGGCCGGGGCAGCGGGCGCAGGGGCAGCAGCAGCAGGAGCAGCCTTGGGCTTGGAGACCATCACAACAAGGAAGTCCTTCTCCTTAATCTTGAGCTCGCCAACGGTCGACTCATCCTTGAGGATCTTGCCTGCTCTGTTAGCTGCAGCCCAGGATATGCTAACTAACCAGAGTAGATGAGCTTCTGGAGCTCGGCAGGGAAGGTCTGGGACTCCTGGATCTTCTGCTTGATGGCGCCGACCTGGAACAAGTCAACAAACGTGTTTCCGCACCACTTTCGCGAATGCTTACAGTCTCGGAGTCCTCAGCGTCAATCGTGAACAACTGCTAGTGAGCTCATGTGTACCGCGCGCGTTCCCTTACCTTGTTCTGGACGGTCTTGAACGTAATCTTCATTGCGGCTGCCTGATTCTACCCAGCGTTAGTCAGGAGGTCACATCATCTCGCAGGAGGGCGCGCGCGCGCGCAAGTCCACCGCGCCACCAGTGCTTTTGGGATACGCACCTAATGGGATATTGTGGTATAGGAAGAGAGCCGGCTGGAGCTGGCTGGTGATGTCTTTGTCGACGTGGGGTTGCGTGTGCAGTGGGCAGTCGATGCTCGCAGGTGTTAGGGTGGCCAGAAGGAAGGGAAGCCAGCATATGGGTTTACGACGAACAAGCGTCATCTGATAGGCAATCTGGTCCCGCGGTCGGAGTATTCACACGCTCAATTACACATATTTCTAGGTTCCCCAATACCAGCTGATTCTAATTGATACTGAACAGTAAGCTGATTGGATTGTAATGTGGCCGCCCCATGTCCACGGTCATTGCTATGGGCTCTGTGGCAGGCTGTGGGCGAAGGTGCCCCTGTTACGACGGGTGAGCGGGAGACTTGAAGCGCAACTTTGATTTTGTGCAGAGGGGAGGCCCTTGGTACAGTCCTCTAGCAGACGACCAGGAGAGTTTCAAACTACCGGGCAGTATGGGCAGACCAAGGACCAAACACCGCACATGTCTCTCGCGATAGACGCCATCGCATATGAACAAGCACCATCCGACTCTCAATGGGTTCTCACAACATGCTAAGGAACGCCGGCGTTCTACGCCATATCTATTGTATGACCTCGGCCCAGGTCTTGAGGCAGTCAAACACTTGACATACATGGTATCACCCTGGGGGTAAATTAAATAATCCTGGTGAGCTGCTGAAAGGCAGATCGCCCGGCAAGCAGAGACAGAAGCCAGCCTGAGAAGACCGAGAGGATCTCTTTTGACTTGTACAACCACGAGTAGCTTGCAAGGGATTGATGGCTCCACAACGATGTCAACCTATTCAACGGCCGTTTAATGTGTCCCATAGAACCGAGAGTCGGAAGGTTGTCGGGGGGTCCAAATGCTGATCGTCCAAGGACTCTGTTGAGGCATCTTGAGAAGAAAACTGTTGGGAATCGAGTCTTCCCCGGTCACCTGACCCCTGCGAGGCTATGCAGTGCCGCCACTGGTGCCAGTCGAGACCTTTTAGACAGGGGAGGCAGAGGACGTCCGCATTTTTGCTTGATTTTGTCGGTCTTGCTTCCTTAATTATTGTCATCTTCGCTCCGCCGCCGCATTCAGTCCGTTTCTGCATAGGTTGGATATGCCTGTGAAGGTGCGCAATGTTTTGAGGTCTGTGAGAGAACCGGGACGAGCAGCCAGACCCCGGTGGTGGCGAGGATGCGGTGGTGGCGAGGATGCGGTGGTGGCGAGGATGCGGTAGTGGCCAGGATTGGTGGGAGGATGCGGTGTGGTCGTAGTGATGGCTATACCCCCCAGACAAGTGGCCTTACGAAGGAAGCTTGGACTCTACAAGACGTCCTCGGGCCAGCGGAGTATGCAACATGTATTTCGCATTAGTCGAAGCTGTCATGGACAGAGGAACAGAGGACTAGTAGCCGGCAGCTGACATGGACCATTCTGACTGTGAGCAGGATGGAGCAACGACGCGGGGTGTCCCTGAAAAGACGGTCAGTCGCGTTGGCCACCCCTCTCACGATTGCCTCGCCGGCGGGAGCTCTCTCATGAAGTTAGTGGCAGTTGTATGCCTGTTCATGGCTTCAAGGGCACAAAGAGTGGTCACATGTCCACTGCTCTTGGGTCATGCATGTATGTCTCCATACGCTGGAAACGGCTTTGGTCACTGCGACGTACGCGGCGGTTGCCCGGGAACTGGGCGTCCACTGACATCTGAACGACGTGAGAACAACGCAGAGAGGCAGAGGCTTTTCCGCTGCAGTCTGGAAGGCAGTACTACTTTGATCACTTCTAAGCACCACCCAGAGTACTTGAGGAAGTCGGGGTTGTGTTTTCCGAGATCGCACACTGCCACTATTCCACCAAGAGTACCAGCCTGCGGCGTGCGGGGGCGGGCGGTCCGGACGTGCAATGTTCTACCGAAAACACACTAGGGCGGTTGTACTGGTGCGGTTGTCGGTGCATCCTCGTCGTAGTGTGTTTTCTGGACAGCACCCCATAAGTTACGTAATCCTTTGGAGACGAAAAGAAATCGTGACTTGAACTTATCGCCGACGAGCTTTCGGATATTGGGCGTGATGGACCCTGAGTCCCATGCTGGCCCGCCGCTGGCAGTCCTTGCAGAGTTGTTACCTGGCCAGCGTCGAGAGACTGTCCCTCAAGCAAAACCGGCTCAGTGCGTACCCCCCCTCCGTCGCCATCACCAACGTCGCCAACACCAGCTGACCCCAACTCCAGAAAATGTCGTCGTCCGCCAAGATGTGAGACACACCGCGCGGGCCGAGAGAGCCAGGAGGAAGAGAGAGGGGAGAAGGGATGGGGACGAGAGAAAGATCGAGACTGGCGCAGCGGGGAGGCAGCAGCATCCATGTTCGACCTACCATGGGGGCATGCTGTCGGTCCGCGGCGGGACGAGCAGTAGCGAGCAGCGCTGCCGTCCTGTGCGCAGAAATGCGCGCCGTCTTGCGCGTCTCAACGGGGCCGTGCAGATCTTGAAAGCGTTTCCAGGCCGACACCTCTGGAAGTCTTGAAATCTGCCCGGACCGTGGCCGCATCCCCTTCTGTCCCGTCCTCCTGGCACCTCCGGCCGACAAGCGAGAGACACACGCTGACGTTGCAGCCGCGCTTTCGAGCTCCAGTCCAAGAACAAGGCCGACCTCCTTGCCCAGCTCGTTGAGCTCCGCACTGAGCTCGCCTCGCTCCGCGTCCAGAAGGTCGTCGGTGGCTCGTCGTCGAAGCTCACCAAGATGTGCGTACACCGCGAGAAGGGGAACAACAGCACCGTGCAGAGAGGGCAGAGGCTGGAGAGGAGGCTGGGCACCAGGCGGGTGAAGGTGTAGGAGAGTGCACGGTGTTGTTGGACCCTTTTCAAACTTTTGGTCGTCCGCCAGGCCATTTTTCGCTGACGCTGTCTCTAGCAACACTGTCCGCAAGTCGATCGCCCGCGTTCTTACCGTTGTCAACCAGAAGCAGCGCCAGAACCTCCGCGAGTTCTACAAGAAGTCGAAGTACATCCCCCAGGACCTCCGTTACAAGAAGACCCGCGCCATCCGTCGCCGTCTCACCACCAAGGAGGCTTCGGCTATCACCCTCAAGGCCCACAAGAAGGCCATCCACTTCCCCCAGCGCAGTGCGTATACTTCAGGGGGTGTCCAGGCATTTGGCTGTGTTTCGCGAAAGAACATCAACCAAACGTTCTGCACCCCCCGCAGGCTTTTAAAATGTTCAAATCACTGACGCTCAACAGAGTACGCCCTCAAGGCCTAAGGCTTTGATGATCATTGGCATGGGTGGCGATGCATGAGTGTACTACCATCGACGGGCGTCCTTCTGGTTCGGAGTTTGCGAGAGTCGTGAACCGACCATGGAGATGGACAACTTGACTGGCTGCAAACGAACACGAGGTGCAGAGCAGATGTGGCAGCAGGGGTGTAGTGACGAGGGCGAGAGTGTTGGCCGTGTACTCGGAAGGCCGCTGTGTTGCCGAGTGCGTTGTCGCTGCTGTGTAGCAGCGCGTGCGAAGGACGGAGACCGCTGCATGCTTCACTGTATGTGTGTAGACTAACTGTGGCTACGGCCCGTGACGTCGCAGTGCGCATCTTCGCCCACATCTACATCTACATCTGCGTCGCGCTTGTCCGATGCGCGCCTGTCTCAGATGTACACAGGAGGGGATGGTATGTCAGTGGCGGGGAGTCGGATCCAAAGGAGTTCAACAGGCCGGTGGCTGCCACACACTGACGTATCTCATTCGTTGGGTCTGGGCGCCGCGATAAGGGCCTGCCCATGTTCCGTCCAAGGCGGAGCGCTGTGCACCGAGGGGCTTCTTGCCCATGTGTCGAGTCGTGCTGGTCGACTCCAGAGGTCGAGGGAAGGTCGGCTCCGAGCTGCTGTCGGACCGTCAGGAAAACGGTGTCCCGTATACTCAGCCACTAGCCGGTGGACAAGCTCTGTGGCTTCTCGATGCAGGGGGGCATAAGCCCGTACGCAGTTTCTGCCAAGTGGGGCAGGGTGTCACGGCTGCAAGACCCGCGGTTGACTGGGCGTGGATTCCGCTGGCGATCAAATGTTGTGGCTAATATTTCAACGATGGCTCTCCGGCCTTCAACTTCGTAGAACATCCAGGCAACGGCATTTTATGGGATGGGGGGACTGTAGATGCTCCACCATGTACAACCATGTACAAAAGACTGGACAGACATGCCTGTGTCGTACTTGGGGCCTTGGGGCCGTGGAGTACTCTCTGCAGGACATACGGAATACACAGAAGCGGGAATGTGATTTTGCTCTCAGACGCCCGCTTGAACACCTTTTGTCCTGTGATATGGTGTCTCCAGGTCTTTCATTTCTCCCTAAGGATCTTGTGTGTTGGTGCTTGAAATTAGTTGTGGCCCGTGGTGTAAAGGCAGGAAATGCATACTGCGTGCCCACAATGATCGAAAGGTTGGAGGAGAAAACGACTAGGGCCGAAAAATAGGTAATTCCAACCTTTTGAAGCTGACCTTTCCTTGTCATCAGCACCAACCTCGACACATTATCGTGCTGGTTTCTTGTGCACTCTGTCTCCAGACAGATGATAAGACTCAAGCCATAGAAGGGAGAGTGGTGGGGCCGCCGGGGCTTGATAACACATTGCGGTAAAATGGGGTTAAACACGACCAGCTGCCCCCCTATTTCAGAGACGAGCAGCTGGCACTGCAGACGGCTGTACTGCTCTTTGCTACCTCCCATCCTAGAAGGGTAGCAAAAGAACACATCATATGTGGCCTGTCTGCCATACATAACGAAGCAGTCGGTGACGAGGCTGTGACGACACAAGTGGCGGTAATTCAACGTCAATTCCGACGTCAGTCCAGCGTCAACGTCCGAACCAACATGCAATTCCCAAACGAACATGCGAAGTGTATGCATACAACAAGGCTAACTGGGTGTCGAAGATAATATGCCAAAGGGCCACGTATTGTCTAGAGGGGGCGGTAGGTCTGGACTCGAGTGCCACGCTCACTCATCATCGTCGCTACTACCATACGCGCCAGTCTGCGTCTCAAAACTCTGATCCTCTCTCCCTTCGTCGTCGTCGTCAAGGTCCATCTCGTCTGCTGACCTGTCGTCGTCCGAGTCGTCGTCGTCGGCTCGGTCTGGAGCATCGATCTGGGCAGCGTTAGTGATAAGCTCAATGAGGACGGCGGCTCTGGAGGCATCTGAATGCCAACGCTCCTCACGCTCCGCCACGAGACGCACCATTGCAACAAAGCCCTTTGCCACGGGTTCGGCTGGATCAATGTCCAGTGCTTTGACAAACCAGGTGCGTGCGGTGCGAATGAGCCCCATGTTCGGCTCGCCGGACGACGTGCCGTCTACTGGATCAGTGGATGGACACAAATAAAAGCTGGCACAAGTGTACGACCTGCACGTACCAGTTGTATCTGTCGCATCTGTCGTATCCGTAGCCTTGCTGACATTGGAGTCGACCGACATTTCGCGGTCATCTCGCCGCACTTTAGGCGGACGACGGGCACTCTCAGGCTGGGCAAGGTAGAAGTTGAGGAGGCCAGCGTACGTGTGGAGGGAGGCTGAAGTCACATATGGGTACGCGGAGATGTAGCTGACATTAGCACAGAGCTGTCAGCAGGATAGTAGGTACGCACGTCTCCAGCTGGTCAAGGGCGGCACGGTACCGGCCAACGGCGATAAGGTGGAGGACGTATTCGGCGAGGATCTCGGGTTTCTGCGGTTGGTCAGACCAAGGAAACAGTGGTTGCGGCGGTGAAGGCAAAGGAAGGCGTCAGGGGATGCTGGCCACTCACTTCATAAGGCTTAGAATGAAGCTGTAGGCTACTGAGGAAGCGTTCGGTCGCCCCGCGCTCGGTCTGCGAGTACTGTGATGCGCCATACTGTGATGCAGACGGTCCACCTTGGGTACCATTGTTGTTGTTGTTGCCATTGTCCCCAGTAGTCAGGAGATACAGACCCCAGTTCCAGCGGTCCTGCCAGTTGACGTCCGGGCACCGAACCTGTCATGTGGCGTCAGTCACTTGTCACCTGAACAATAACAACAACAACGAGAAGCGCAGAGGGAAGACAAGGGGGGAATGTGTGACGTACAAGAATTGCCCAGGCGCGACGTGCGCGGTCCAGCTCTCGCCTGAGGATGCAGGCGTGGAGGAGGTCTACGAGGTTTTGTATGTATGCTGCGCGTACTGTGGGGTGTCTCTGTGTATCGTGTGGGACGACATGATACTTTGTTGATGGCATTGGTGTGGGGTGTGTGGAACATTGGCCATCATGACTTGCGGAAATGGACATTGTGTGGTGGAGGCCGCCGCCGCACAGACCCAGGCACCACACACGAATGACCCATGAGGGCCCACGCCGCCATTATCCGGTCCTCCCCCTTTGTCTCCCCCTTTGTGCCAAAATTGCGTCCGCGTGCGGGCCCGAGAAAAATTCCTCCAGGCGGTGGAACGTGGAGTGGGAGGACTGGGGGGGGGGACACTCGCTGGCAGGCAGGCCGCCCATCATGCAACGCCTCTTCTTGTACTCAACCCCATCACCTCCGGGTAACCCACATCTTTCAAAGCTACTCCAAAAGCCACCCCCTACGCGCACCCGATCCGCTCGTCACAGACAGAGCGATCACCCCCCAAAAAACAACACCAAAAACAATCATGGCGGAGTGAGTGAGGACAGCTAGCACACGAGCGTTCCCAAAAGAGACACCCAAAAAACCTGTCTTTGAAAGCCCCGTCGCGCGTTTCTTTCGCCCCCCAGGGGACAAAGCGTGTGCGCTAGGTGGCAGTCATGAAGGGAAACCCGTTGCATTGCTGCGAAGATGTCGTGTGCATGCGATGGAGAAGACGAAACATCCAGGCATCAGGATGTGATGAGCATCCTGCGTTGCGCTGTGATGGAAAGGGTTGTCGTCGTTTGGTGGAGAGAAGTGCCCTGTGATGGAGAAAATTCGCCACCAGCTGCTGACACACCAAAAGCATTAACGAGAACGGCCTCGAGCTGGCCCCCGAGACCATCGAGTCCAACTGGGACCAGGTCACCGACAAGTGAGCATTGCAGTCTCGGGAACGTCCACCCATGCGTTGCCCGAGCACGCGACATAGATAGAGCCAGTGATCTGATACGCTTCTTCAGCTTCGACAACATGGACCTCAAGCCCGAGCTCCTCCGTGGTGTCTACGCTTACGGTTTCGAGCGCCCCTCGGCCATCCAGCAGCGTGCCATCATGCCCATCATCACTGGCCGTGACGTTATCGCCCAGGCCCAGTCGGGTACCGGCAAGACCGCCACCTTCTCGATCTCGATTCTCCAGCGCGTGAGTCTATATCCTGGGCATTTCACATGGCGCGCTCGCATTGGCCGCCACTGTGCACACTGGCCCTGGCAGTGTCCGTGGCCCACTCACTGACCCTATACAGATTGACACCTCGGTCAAGAAGACCCAGGCTCTTATCCTCGCCCCCACCCGCGAGCTTGCCCAGCAGATCCAGAAGGTCGTCATCGCCCTTGGCGACTACCTCAACATTGACTGCCACGCCTGTGTCGGTGGCACTGCCATCCGTGAGGACATTGCCAAGCTCAACGAGGGCCCCCACGTCGTTGTCGGTACCCCCGGCCGTGTCTTCGACATGATCAACCGTGGTGCCCTCCGCGCCGACTCGGTCAAGATGTTCTGCCTCGACGAGGCCGACGAGATGCTCTCGACCGGCTTCAAGGACGCCATCTACGACATCTTCCAGCTCCTCCCCGCTGAGACCCAGGTCGTCCTCCTCTCGGCTACCATGCCCGCCGACGTCCTCGAGGTCACCAAGAAGTTCATGCGTGACCCCATCCGTATCCTCGTCAAGCGTGACGAGCTTACCCTTGAGGGTATTCGTCAGTTCTACATCGCCGTCGAGAAGGAGGACTGGAAGCTCGACACTCTCTGCGACCTTTACGAGACTGTCACCATCACCCAGGCCGTCATCTTCTGCTCGACCCGTCGCAAGGTCGACTGGCTCACCCAGAAGCTCCACGAGCGCGAGTTCACCGTCTCGGCCATGCACGGTGACATGGACCAGGCCCAGCGTGAGGTCATCATGAAGGAGTTCCGTTCGGGCTCTTCGCGTGTCCTCATCGCCACCGACCTCCTTGCCCGTGGTATCGACGTCCAGCAGGTCTCGCTCGTCATCAACTACGACCTCCCCGCCTCGAAGGAGAACTACATCCACCGTATCGGTCGTGGTGGTCGTTTCGGACGCAAGGGTGTGGCTATCAACTTCGTCACCACCGAGGACGTCAAGATGCTCCGTGAGATCGAGACCTTCTACAACACCCAGGTCGACGAGATGCCCCTCAACGTCGCCGACCTCATTTAAGCAAGCAACATCTTGGTCTTATTTGTATCCCCCTCGCTCCCCTTCCTCTCCCGTGTACCCCCTGGCCTACCAGGCCAACCACTTTCCCATTCCCCCCTCCCCTCCCCCTCCCCCAAAAGTGTGCCTCTTATTGTCGTAGCTGCTGCGGCATAGAGGCCGCCGACCCAAGCGCCTCTATGGTTGCAGGTTGACGTCGTTTTGTAGAGGCTTCGCCCGTGTCCTCTTCTAGAGTCGGTCGGAGAAAGCGATGATGCCACAGCATGATCTTATTCCACAAACAATGTTGCAATTGAGAGAGCTGCCCCAGCCGGAGCCCGTTGTGTTTACGAAAAGAGACCGTTTGAGTTTGTGTGCAGCAAAAGGAGGTGTAGAGCAGAAGTGGTGTATAAATGCATACAAGCGACCAGCGCCATTACACGAGACGCTTCTCCGACGACTCAGCCCAGCTGGATCCTGTCCTGTCGCCAACGGCTGCCAACACGCTGCTCTCAGCAGGAGCAGCAGAAGAGGCATGAGAGTGAGCAAGAGGAGCGAGACCAGCACGCGCGCGACGCTCGTTCTTGAGACGGTCGAGCTCGACGTGCAAGTCGGCACTGGTCTTTGGGGGTTTCTGTTACCGGTCAGCGCGAGGTCAGCATCTTGTGGTCCAACTCACGTTGGTAGACTCGTACGCAGGCCAGACCTTCTCCTTGTACTGTTCATTAGTCTGTATCCCGGTCTTCATTTAACATACAGGCTGGACGTGGTGCTCATACCTAACATTGTCAGTGCCACTGCGGAGGGGAAACAGGGATCTCGGAACGTACCAGTTGGGGTCGCCAAAGTGGACCATGGCGAAGAGCGGGATGAAGAGGTAGGTGGCAAACTTGAAGACCTCGACTGCACGTCAGTTCTTGTGCACAGCTGCAGAGGGACCCACGGTTAGCGCCCATGGTGGAAGAAGATGTGGTTGAGGAGTATCAAAGTCGATCGATCCTTCTCCGACATTGCGCGAAACAGTCAGTCAGCCGTCAGGCAATCCGAACTCGGAACATGGGTGGATTTTGGTTCCGTCATTTGCACATTCGCCACTCGACCCAAGTGTCACACCAACGGCCCTCAAGTACAGTCATCACCAAACCCAAACTCGTTGCTTCATCCTTGTCTTCTTCCACCTCGCCACTCGACATGTCGCGGTCTCCGTCGCCCGCGTCGTCGCTTGACTTTGTTGACTCGGACCCCTCGGGCTCAGAGGACGAGTACCAGCCCGTGGCGAGGCCCAAGGCGCCGCCCAAGCCCCAGAAGGCCGCAGGTGGTGGTGGTGCCGCCGCCCGTCCGTCGTCGGGGATCAAGATCAACTTGACGGCGCTGCAGCGCGCTCGCGAAGTTCAGGCAGCTCACCCTGCCGATACTGGAGAGGAGGCGTATGAAGAGTACCAGCCGGGGGAGGATGAAGAGGGCGGCTTCCTGGGCGGGGAGGTTGTTGGACCGAGGGTTGTCGACCTCTCAAGCGAGTCGCTCAAGGCAGACCATTCGTCACGGCCTCTGTGGATCGACGGGTCTGGTAACATGTGAGGGTCTTCTTTTCTGTTCTACTTCTGGGTCATTGTTTGGTTGTACTGAACGTTTGGCTAGCATTCTCGAAGCGTTCGCGCCCCTCGCAAGCGCCGCGCAGGACTTTCTCATCGCCGTCGCCGAGCCCGTGTCCCGCCCCACACTGATACACGAGTACCGCATCACCAAGCCGTCTCTGCACGCCGCGATGAGTGTCGGTCTCGAGACCAATGACATTATCGAGGTGCTCTCGCGTCTGTCCAAGATTCCTCTCCCGCGCAAGCTCGTGGAGCGCATTCGTGACTGGACCAGCTCGTACGGCAAGATCAAGCTCGTTCTCAAGCACAACCGTTACTGGCTCGAGTCGAGTGTACCCGAGTACCTCCAGCTACTGCTAAAGGACGAAGTGATCAAGACGTGTCGCGTCCACCGCGAAGAAGAGGACGCTGGCGACGTGACGTTTGGCGTCGAGCAGGTCTCCAAGCCCAAGCGCGACTATCTCATCCCCGGTACCGAGGAGGCTCGCCGCGCCGAGCGCGGTGAGGTTGCAGGTGGTGCCGGAGGCGAGCGTGAGCGCGACGACGTTATTGGTGCTGTTATCGGTATCAACGAGACGGACGAGCTGGACGAGGACGACGCCGTCCAGAGCTTTGAGGTGGCCGGTGAGAAGATGGAGGAAGTCCGTCGCCGCTGCAAGGACATTGATCTCCCGGCGCTCGAAGAGTATGACTTCCGCAACGACCACCGCAACGCCGACCTCGACATTCAGCTCAAGCCCATGACCGTTATTCGTCCATACCAGGAGACGTCCCTGTCCAAGATGTTCGGTAACGGCCGTGCCCGTTCGGGTATCATTGTGCTGCCATGTGGTGCCGGCAAGACCCTTGTCGGTATTACTGCCGCGTGCACTATCCGCAAGAGTACACTTGTGCTGTGTACCTCGGCCGTGTCGGTCGCTCAGTGGAAGCAGCAGTTCCTGCTCTTCTCCAACATTGCTGAGCGCAACATTTGCGCGTTTACGCAGGGCGAGAAGGAGATCTTCCACGGTCCAGCAGGTGTCGTCATCTCGACATACTCGATGATTGCCAAGACTGGTAAGCGTGCCCACGACGCCGAAAAGGTCATGGCCTTCCTGCGATCGCGCGAGTGGGGTTTCCTCCTCCTCGACGAGGTGCACGTCGTTCCCGCCGAAATGTTCCGCAAGTGCGTCAACGGATTCAAGGTGCACGCCAAGCTCGGTCTCACAGCCACCCTCGTGCGTGAAGACGACAAGATTGGAGACCTCGGCTACCTCATTGGTCCCAAGCTGTACGAGGCCAACTGGATGGACCTGGCCAAGAATGGTCACATTGCGACCGTCCAGTGTGCCGAGGTGTGGTGTCCAATGACGCCCCAGTTCTACCGCGAGTACCTGCGTAACCCCTCTCGCAAGCGCATCCTTCTTCACGCCATGAACCCCAACAAGATGCAGGCCGCCCAGTTCCTTATCAACTACCACGAGTCACGAGGCGACAAGGTGATTGTCTTTTCTGACAATGTCTTCGCCCTCGAAGAGTACGCAATCAAGCTTGGCAAGTCGTTCATTCACGGTGGAACCCCGGAAGGCGAGCGTCTGCGTATCCTGTCACGTTTCCAGCACGACCCTCACCTCAACACCATCTTCCTGTCCAAGGTCGGCGACACGTCCATCGACCTTCCCGAGGCGACGTGTCTTATTCAGATCTCGTCCCATTTCGGCTCGCGTCGTCAGGAAGCTCAGCGTCTGGGACGTATTCTTCGTGCCAAGCGTCGTAACGACGAGGGCTTCAATGCCTTTTTCTACTCGCTGGTCTCCAAAGACACGCAGGAGATGTTCTACTCGTCCAAGCGCCAGGGATTCCTCATCGACCAGGGTTATGCCTTCAAGGTCATCACCGAGCTGCACGGTATTGACAAGATGGAGGGTCTCGTGTTCCCGGACGCGGCAAGCCAGCTGTCGTTGCTTGAAAAGGTTCTTTCCACGTAAGTGTTTCTGTTTTCCAGCGCGTACATAGCCTAACAGTACAGTGGCTCGGAATCGTGGGAGACGGCAGACCACTACATGCGTCTCAACGGCAAGCACCAAAAGGCGGCGTCTTCGAAGCAACCGCGCCTCTCCGCCCCGTCCGGAGGTGCCGGTCCAGCCCAGCGCTTCGCCGCTCCCCTCGAGCACCTCTCTGGTGGTCTCCACATGAGCTACCAGGAGCAAAACAAAAGCGTCAAGTGAGTACGGAAATTTCTAAGTGGTGACTGACCCATTCAGCAAAGAGCTTGCTCGCGAAGAGCGTGCAAACAAGAAGGCGCGTGTCGGTCAAGGCCAGGGCGGCTCGCATGCCATCTTCCGCAAGCGTGCCACCGAGCTCGCGGCGGTCAAGAAGCGCATGAACGGGCCATAGAGAAGTTGTACAATGTATCCTTACCCCACATAGTAAACAGCAAAACAAAGAGACACAGAGACAGAGACAAAGTCACCCAGAGATGCACATGCAGATAGATAAAACATAAAATGAGAGCTTGCAAAGGGTTTAGGCCTTGACGGTGACCTCGCCAATGTCCTCGTTCCAGATCTTCTGGCCGTTGGGGCTGGCGATCCAGTCGGTCATCATCTTGGTGACGGCCTCGTCCTTGAGGTTGACAACCTCGACGCCGTGCGAGCGGACGAGGTCCTCACCGCCGACAAAGTTGTCGTTCTCGCCAAGGATAATCTGCGGGCAGAGGGTTAACATCGCGCATCGCTGTAAAACCCAACGTGGGCCGGCCAAATCGGGGGTGGCCGCGGCCACGCAGATAGGGCGAAGATGACGATACGCACCAGAGGAATCTTGTACAAGAGACAAGTACCCGAGCACATGAAGCAGGGGCTGAGGGTGGTGACCATGGCACACTCGCGGAGGAGACCCTCGGGGACGCGGCCGAGGTTCTCGAGCGCGTCAGTCTCGCCGTGTCGGATGTTGGAACCCATCTGCACGCGCTGGTTGTGGCCGCGGGCGAGGACGTCGCCAGTGGGGAGGTGGACGATGGCGGCTCTGAAGTGGTCAACATGAAGCGGGTTGGTTACGTTTTGGTGGTGTCAGAGAATTCAATGGCATGTCGAGCGAAGAGGAGATGGGATGTATCAGCCTTCGTTCATCGCCCCGCGCCGCTGGTTTGTTGTGATTTCAGAAATCATGGGCACTCACCCGATAGGGATACCGCCCTCGGACAGGCTCTTGAGGGCCTGCTCGTGCGCGCTGCTGTTAGCTGCTGGATAGTATTGGATCGTAAGCTTACACGCGCATGAACTGGGGGTACTGGTCGGGGGTGACGGCGGGCATTGTGGAATGGACAGTTGATAAGACAACGACGGGCCGCTTGAAAAAGTAAGGAATTCGTTGTTCTTGATTGTAATTGCGGGGCCCGGAACGCTAGTGGCCACACGGCTCCGCCCGCCTTGGGCGGAGAGACGTTGACGACACTCATGGTGCACGTACGCCACGCAGCGTCAACATATCCTGCAACCACCACATCCACACGTCGTATCGGCTACACACATTCGCCCGCCCGTCCGCTGGCCATGGTAAGCCCCACAGACAGACACATGTGAGCGGATAGGACTTTGCTGACACTTGCTCTTCATCATCTACTCCATGTCCCACTTTCAACCGTCCCCTCAACCCCGCACTGCACGCGTCACCCGTGTCACCGCTGTCGCCGCTCGACATGTCCCCGACTCCGATTTCGGACCGCGCTCTTCCGGCCGCCACCCACAGGATCACAACCTGCTCGTCTCAGAGCTCCAGTCGCTCATTGTCGAGAGCAAGCGCCGGAACCCCGAGGTCAAAGATGCAGGCGAGGCCGCTCTCGAGATCTTGCGACCAGGACCGCAGCCGCGCGAGGTGTTGGTAGGTGAGTGCGCTTGCACGCAGTCCGCAGCTGTGGGGCTGTGGGTTCCGGGGCTGTGAACAAGAGAGAAAGGAGTCACACGTCGCACTCTGTTACTGACGTCTCCTGCAGCCCGCGCAGAAACGCTGCTCGCACCGGTGACGCTCGGCTGCAAGACGAAGAATGCCAAGATTGTCGGTATTAGCATCGCTGCTCTGCAGCGCCTTGTCGCGCTCGGCGGCGTGCCGCTGGCTTTATTGCCAGACGTGCTTTCAACGCTGGGACACGTCGCGGGTAACGCGGTCGACATCCAGCTCAAGATCCTGCAGACGCTGCTGAGCATCCTCACATACTGCAAGGACATGCACGGGGACACGCTTGGCACGGCACTGCTCCTGTGCTTCAAGCTGCAAGACTCGCGCGTGAGCGTCGTGAGCTCGACGGCAGCAGCGACGCTGCGTCAGGCGATCATGGTCGTGTTTGACCGCGTCTCCCTCGACACGGCCCAGTCTGAGACGACCGTCCCTCTCCAGCTCGCCACCGAGCCTCCCTCCACGGTCGAGGTGTCACCTTCGGCAATGGACGCCTACAGTATCCTCGCCGACCTGTGTCTCCTTACCTCCCACACTCCCTCCGGCTCTGGCCTCTCCCTCTGGACTGCCGCGGAGAAGGAAAAGCCCCGCATGCTCAAGCTCTCGTCCCTCCAGCGCACGTTTGGTCTCGAGCTCATCGAGTCAATTCTGAGCGGCTACGACAGCGTCGTGAAGAAGCACCCAGAACTCCTCTTCCTCCTCCAACACAACCTTCACCCTCTAATCAACCGCATCCAGAGCGAAAAGCCCACCTTTCCAGTGGCTCTGCGCATCGTTCGCCTCATCTACGTCCTTATCCGCAACTATCACGCCGAGTTGCCGACAGAGGTCGAGCAGTACCTTGTGTGGCTCATTCGTGTGGGTGTCGGCGAGCACGACGACGAAAAGCACGACAAGAAGAAGAAGGACGCCCACAAGGACAATGTCGTTCCGTGGCTCCACGTCCTTGCCCTCGAGATTATTAGGGGGATTGCCAGTGACCCAGCCTTACTGCGTGCCATCCAGGCCCAGTATGACACGCCTGACGGACCCAAGCTCTTTGTGCGCATTGTCTCCGCACTGAGCCATTTCCTCAACGAAAAGCCGCAGCTCCTCGGTGCCGGCGCTCAGATGCACGGCCTCGGCGTCCCGCATACCGTCATGAACCAGCACGCTAATGCCGGATATCTCGACATGGGTATCGGCATGATGGCGTCGGCCGCCAGCGTCGGTGTGTCGGCCGTGGGTGCCATGGTCGGGTCTGGGCAAGGCGGTGGTCTTGGACAACACTCGACAATGAAGCAACGCCTGATTGAACAGCACGACAAGGCTGAGGCACCAATCGTGCCAGAGACGTACCCGTACCTGCTTGCCGTGCAGTCGCTGTGCGCTATTGCCGAGAGCATTGTGGCTGGCGCTGGCGCCAAGGAGACAAACGACGCCGCAAGGGCGATGGCCGACTCGGCATGGCCTGCTCTCCTGGCCAGCTTGTCCTACTGCATCTCGACCGACCTGTCTGACCAGCTCTTTGCTGAGGTTCTCATTGCCTTGCAAGACTTTACAGTGGCATGCGGCACCCTCGACCTGGCTACTCCCCGTGACGCCTTTCTCAACACTCTGGCACGATATGCAGTCCCGCCACCGGTTGTCTCAGCAATGCAGTCATACATCGACCCTCCGACAGCCAAGAGTGCAGGCGTAGCCGAGACCCTTAACGCGTTGACTGGCGGACCAAGCGGCCCACCATCACTGTCGGAACGCAACCTTGCCTGCCTCCGCAGCCTCATCACCGTCGCCCAGCTCTTGGCCAGCAGCCTGGGTCCCGGATGGCACGACGTGCTGGAGACCCTGCAGAATGCAAACTACCTCCTCTCTATGCGCAAACCCACAAAGCGCCCCACATCGGCTGCCGTGACGACCCCACCGGGAGGCTCTGGTCGGTCGTCGGCTGACATTCCCGGACCAAAGCCCGACGCCCTCAAGGACCTCGACGGCGAGAACATTCAGAACGCCGTCGGCGTGCTGTTCGACCGATCTGTGGAGCTGGACGACGAAGCCTTCACCGTCTTCATCACAGCCCTGTGCCGCTTGAGCGCTGAGATGATTGGCATGGACGTTGGTGTTGACCTGACCGAGACGCTGGGGGTCGCACAGGACAACAGGCGGCGTACGAGCGGTATAACGGTGTCAACTAGCATCAAGTCGGGTGAACGGAGCTTTGGTCTGAGCAAGTTGAGATTGGTCGCAGTGCTCAACCTCGGACGGCTCGTGGCGCAAGATCCCATGGCAGGCTGGACTGCAGTCACGCAGCACCTTCTCGCCGTCTCGCGTCATGTCACTGCCCCGTCCGCGATCCGACTCCAGGCCTCCGACACGCTCGACGAAATTCTCCTGGCGTCGTTGCGTACAACCCACGAGCGTCGTGTTCAGCACAATGTCTTTGACGTTCTCGTCCGCCAAGTCGACCCCAACCCGATCAGCAGCACGATCACGACTGACTATGACGTTCGATCGTCGGGATACCAGGCCTTGAACCAGATCCTAGAGTCGTCTGGCCATTCGCTCGAGGTTGGATGGCCCACGATCTTTGGCATGCTCAACGACGTGTGCAAGCGTCCCGAGGTCACCCCCGGTCAACCTCCAGCCAACATTCACTCGGCCCGCGGCGACGCCAACTTGGTGCGCATCGCCTTCCCCTCCCTCACTTTGATCTGCACGGATTTCCTCTCGGCACTCGACCCCGATGCGATGCGCCAGTGTATCGCGTGTCTAGGATACTTTGGACGCCAGCGCGACGACGTCAACATTACGCTTGCGGCTATCGGACTGTTATGGACCTTGTCCGACGCTGTGCAGGGCAACTCGAAGGACCTCTGGCTCTACCTCCTCACCGAGCTTCTTGAGCTGGCCCGTGACCCACGCCTCGAGGTCCGGAGCAGTGCGATGCAGACGCTGTTCCGTTGCGTCGACCTGTACGGCGCCAACCTCAGCCCCCAGCTGTGGGAGGATGTGTTCTGGAAAGTCATCTTCCCTCTCCTTGAGACCATGGGCCCCGATGAGAGCCAGGTTCTCGCCCTCACGTCTGTGGGATCCATCTTTGGTACCTTCCTCCCGCAAATCTCGGCCCTTCCATCGGCGACAAAGGTGTACCAGAGCCTCCTGGACCGGCTGGAGAAGAGCTTTATCGCCGAGCCCCGCCCTTGCTCAACTGCCGCGCTAAAGGTCCTGGAGCGCGTCCTCGGTGTCACAAAGCGCAAGACGCCATTCCTCGACCCGACATGGGACACGTTCCGCGCCATGGGCGATGCTCTCGAGTCGGGTGAGCCTTACACCCAGGAGAACCTCGTGGCCCTCGTGCGCGTCGCCGCACGCCTGCACGACCTGCTCGAGTGGAACGACGAGCGCGTGCACCAGCTCTCGACCATCCTCCGTGCCGTCGTCGCCTACTCGCGTTCGCCAGACTACCGCCCGGACGTGGACGCCATGTCGCCACTGCAAGAGGCCGTGGCCGAGCTTGTCGCCAAGTCGAAGCACTTTGGCCCCTCGCTTGTGCTCTCTGACCTTGCCGAGTTTGCCTCGTTGGCATACATGGGCGAGTCGGGTAGCAAGGTGACATATGTCGCACTGTCCAAGTTTGCCATGCCCCGCATGGCCGAGGTGTTTGAAAAAGTGGCCAACACAGACGCGCTGTACGACGACGGAACAGTGGAAAATGTACTCGGAGCGTACGCACTGCCCATCAAGCTCAAGTACGACTGCCCGCCGCCCAGCAAGTTTGGCTCCGACCCGCCACTGTGGCGCACGGCCATGGGCACGTTTGTGCGCGTGCTCGATCTCGTCATGCCGGCCCTGGAGACCAAGAGTCTCGGTCCGGAGCGGTACGCCGCCATCTGGGCGCAGGTCATGGACGTGTACGCCGGCGTTCTTCTGGCCGAGCAGGACGGCGCCGCCGCGAGCGACGACGAGGAGTTTGTGCTTCCCATTCTGGACCGGATCCGTGCCGCCATCTCGCCTCGGCTCGCCGACGCCCGTGTGCCCGGCCACGTCGTGTCGGGCTACGCCGAGACGCTGCGCAAGGCCTCGGTGCTGTACCACTACGACGTGCGCGCCAACGGTGGTACGACGGCGCCTGTCGTGCCCGAGTCGTACGAGGCGACGCGGTACTGGGCGTTTGACCAGCTCGTGGCGAGCGCATCGAAGACAGCAGACGGGGGCGCGATGGAACGACGCGTCGCGGCCATGTTCACGCCGTCGGTTCTGAAGCGGTTTGAGGCGACGTTGAGGCAGTTCCTCAGTGACGCAAAGTTGCGTGGGTCCATGCCGTTTTCCAGGTGAGTTCTAGTGCAGCACTAAAAGTGTGACCTCGTAGCTGACCACACAAAAAAAAACCAGGGTGCGCGAAGACGAAATTCTCTACGTGCTCCGACACCTCGTCACCATGACATTGTGGGAGGGTTCCAACCCGACGACAGACGGGGCCAGCACGCCACTGGCCAGCGCGGCCGCGGCATCCCCCCGCGCCCACCTGTTCCAGTACTACCTGCTCATCCTGGAGATTGCGTTCGTGCCCGCGACCTTGCCGAGCATGTGGATCCGGCCCGACGAGCACGCGCGCCTGTTTGGGCTGGACGGCGACGGCGCCGAGGCCGACGCGCCCCGCGACGGCACCGACTTGATTGAAGTGAGCGCGCGCGACCTCGCAAGGAGGGCGTTGGCGCTTGTGGGCGAGGAACTGCGCCTGAGTCCCGGCAGCACGGCAACGGCCACGGCAGGCTCGGCCGCGGTTTAAGAGACGTTCCTCCTTTTTTTTTTTTTTTTTTGTTTTAGCATTTGTAGATGGAGACACGCAGAGATACGAGAGAGGGCAAAATGTAGATGGCAGTAGACGGCCTGTGGAGATTTCTTCTTCTTCTTCTTATTGTGGTCACGAACTGTGCTCTGTGGCGGCTGCATCGTACATCTATCTATGCTTTCTAACGAGGGAGAAAGTCGCTTGCCAATGTTGTCTCTAAGACGCAACGAGGAGGAGGACGGCGGGGACGGCGGGGACGAGTGGAATGTACATGTGGGGGGAAGGTGTGATGCGGGGAGGTGGGATCATATTGCGTGATCCTCCGTGGCGGTAATTGGTTTCCGGAGGAATATGCGTTTGTTTACAGGCAGGTACAGGCTGAGGCTTGACGCGCCACCGCACGACAACGCTAAGCGCGCAACAGCCCAGGCGGGCTGCCGCAATGAAGTCCACCATATATCCAATGTGTCGTGCGCTGTACGTGTGTGTTCTAATACGTCGTGCTTGCGTTTACCTGCATGCTGAGTGGTCCGGAGGGTCCGCGGTGTGGTGTGTGCGGTGTAGATGTGTGGGGTGTGAGGTCGGTGAACCGGTTATGGAGCCCGGTGGGAGTTTCTTTTTTTTTTTTTGCGTGCTCGAGTGTGTCGACACCAGAGCGACCTCACGAACCAGCACGCCCGCATGAATGCTGCACGCACACAGCCAACTGCCACGGACAGACAAGGACCAACTTGAGCTGTGGCCCGCCTCAGAGGGCCCGCCCGCCATACTTGAGCTGGACCATCTCCTTGAGCAGGCCGTTCTCCTTGCGAAGGTCGTTGACTTCGACCTCGAGCTCGCGGTGCTGTGTCTCGAGCTCGCGAATGTTACGCTCGACGGTTTCGATGTGTGTCTTCTTTTTGGCGCGGAAACGAGCAGCTAGAGCGTGTCAGCAGGTGCTAACAGGATGCCTTTTTTTCGTGATGAACAAAGAGATGTCTGTCCTTGGACGACCCGGCAGAGAAACACAATCGTCCTCGTCCTCGTCCCTCCACTCCACCCCGCCGCCTCCTCTCCAACATGTCAAAAGTAGGCTGCGAGTCTCCCGCGACTGCACTACCATTCTAAACTCACATGCAAGAGTGTTGCGCACGCGCTTGTCCTCGGTGTCGTCGAGGTTGGCGCCGGGCGTGGGCGCCGCGGACGGGGCCGCCGTGCCCCCGTTCGATCCGATCGTGCTCTGCCGCCTGGGGAGGGGCCGGGCCTCCTGTGTCGTCGTTGTCGTCGCGTGTGTCGCGGGCGTCGCTGGCGCAGTCGCATTCGCGAGGGCGTGGGCTAATGCAGCTCCTCCGTCCTGGGACGACGTGGACGGGTGGGAAAAGTGGCCATGGCTGCCGCTGTGGCTGTGGCTGTGGCTGTGGCCGTTGGTGTGTGGGTGCGTGTGACCGTGGTGGACCTGCACCTGGGAATGGTCGGCATGGTGCTGCTGGCCATGGTGGTGCGGAACATGCACGTGCCCATGTGCATGTGCCAGCTGGATACGTGCGTTCAGCTCTGCCGCGGCGGCTGTCTGCTGCGCATGTGTCGACGCGGTGGTTGGGGACGATCCATTACCGGGACCCGGACCCCACACGCCCGGATACAGCGCTGGGTGTGACGAGTGGCCTGGGATGAAGCCCTGCGCAAAGTGCGCAAACAGGTCGTCGTCGGAGAGGAGGGGGTTGTGCGGGGACATTGTGTGGCTCGGGACCGTATGCGGGTGGTTGTTGGTTGTCGGTGTGCCGGTCTGTGGTGAGTGCTGGGTGCTAGCAGCGGCGGACGTGGAGGCGACTCTGCTGAGTGCAGTGCCCCACGGCGATGCTGCGCCAGAGTGTGTGGCAGCTGCCGTGTTGGGCGGGGTGTCAATGTCTGCTGTGGATGCAGTGGTGGCCGGGTTGGAGGCGGCGGTGGTGGTGGTGGTGGTGCCACTTGCTGGGAGGTGTGCCACTTCTGTGCTGCGGCCGTGGTGGTGGTGGTGGTCTTGGCGCGGATGCTCGCCGAGGGCCGCGAGGAGCGCGTGCCAGTCTACGCTGGTGTCGTCTCTGGGCATGCGGATGTAGGGTGGGCCTCACGAATGTTCGGCGAGAGCTGCCTGTCGGTCTGCCTGGGTGAGAGGGAGAGAGCGACAACTGGAAGCAGCACCGCGGAATTCGTAGAGAAAGAGGATTCGTGAGAGAGGGAGAGAGATAAGAGAGCGGGGGCATGCATGCACGGTGACGGTGTGTCTGTGTGTCTCGCTCTTTGTCTCATTCACGGCCCATGACAATATGTCAAAACGAGAGAAGCAAAACCGACGGGGGGGCCATGGCGCGCTCGACGGTCAGAGATGAGGACGGATGACGTGCTCTCAATATCCCACCCAGGCGTCCCCCCACCCAGGCCAGGCCGCGCGCTGGTGGCGTGCGAGTATCACATTACAGCTCCCCTGGCGTGCCCGCGCGTGCTGCAGCGTGCTGCAGCGTGCTGCATGCCGTCCGGGGTACCCGTGGAGCCCAATAACGTGTCCATCGACGAGCCAGTGATGGCACGGACGCGCGCGCTCACCGGACGTACCGGACCTTGGTCGCCGCTGGCCGCTGGGCCGGCGGCAACAAAGAGCCCAGGCGGCTGCAACGGACAGGAACCGTTTGATTTGTATTTTGTCCTCGTCCTCGCGTCCTCGCACGCACCTCACATGGCCTCACACACCACCACCATCGCGCATGCAGGCAATGTCGTCGTGCAAACTACCGGAGCAGAGGTCTGGGGTGGTTTGACACCGTGATCGCCAACCAACAACAACGGCCAGCGGCCAGCGGATAAAGCCAATGCCGCCGGCCGAGCAACATATGGTCTAATTAGCAAAAGCCAATTTCCGTGTGCTCCGGGCCCCGACAGCTCCTTTCTCTCATGTGCTTCCCACGCCAGCAATCCATAGCAATCCAGTGAGATACCAAAGAGGTGACGGCAGGTGTCGGCATGTGGCTGGCTCGCCATAACACTTTGCTCTCGTGCTCACCCACGGTGACCACAGCGGTGACTGACTGGCCCCGGCTCTCTTGTGGTTACACACCCACTCTCTCTGGATCTCTGGCCCACTGGCCACTGGTGTCTACGGAATTCGATGTCTATCCCGGTGACCCCGAGACGCTATCCCGGACGGCGAGAGGGTCCACGAGGCCTTCAGCAGGCCCAGAGGCCCAGAGATCCAGAGAGCTGGGCCTGCAGAGAGAGCCTAGCCGCACATTCCACAAGGGATGCACGACGAGCGGCATGGGTGCTGCGCGCCGTCGGCGACACAGGCACTCGCACCAGCAAAATAATACTTAACCGACGACTTGCGCATATGACCACGCGTGGTTCAGGGGGGTTTCCTGTGCTTGCTTTAACACCACACGCACGTACTTGGTTCCCGCTGACAAGGTGTCTGAACATGCCCCGGACGAGGCATGGGCATGCCGCAAGCTGGCAGCAACCGAGAATCAGACTGAGACACAGCAAAAGGCAGATCCTCTCGTTCCCGCAATGGCGCAGGCCAGGCTCTGGACCTCGATCCTCTCCCTTCCCTTCAGGCCAACAGTTTGCCGGGCCTCGCGGATCTTCAAAAGTCGTTTGTGTGTGTCTGCCTGCCGCTGCGTTGCAGTTGTTCCGTTCACAGACATGGAAAAATGAAGGAGACAGACAGGACAGAGAGCGAGCGATCGGAGGCGGCGAGACCCACATTGTATGGGCGGACGCGGCTTCCTTTTGGGACAGACAACCTGCGCGCAGCTGGGCGGTTTCCCACCGCACGTGCAGCGAATGCGGGTGGCGGGGGTGAGAATAGCGACGAGGGTTGGTCATCGGGGCCCAGACATGGATTATTGAGGCCTTGAAGGGGGGCAAAGCAATGCAGCAGAGCATAGATAGAGCCGCTCTGTGCAGTAGGGGGGGGGGGGGGGGGGGGGGGGGGGGGGGGGGGGGGGGGGGGGAGGGGGGCACGGGAGAGAGCGCGTGGCCGCCGGAGGAGTATACCGACACCTTGTTGCCTTGTACACAGAGGCGAAGGAACGACCACAACCTTTGGTGGACATGCACAACATGTCACACACATCTCTTTGATCTCTTGCTTTTGCATTCACTCCCTTCTCCTGCAGACAGTGAACGAGCACATACAAGGTCGCTCTGCACGCAACGAACCGTCCGTCCCCACCCCCCACCAACCCACCCACCAACCCACCCTTTCGTGTGCTGTGCCGAGCCGAGACCTCCACCCCACACCCCCCCCCCACGTTGCCCGTGCCCCCACCACCGCCGTCTCGTTCCGGCCACCAGTCATCACTTCCGCCGCACACCCACAAACCCATTTACACTTCCACACCTTGCAAACGCAGCACTCGACTATCTGTGTCTCCCCTCCCCCTCCTCTCCCCTCCCCTCTCTCCCCCCCCCCCCCCCCCCCCCCCCCCCCGCCCCTCCCCAAACCACATCCCACCATGGCGTCCACCGCACCGGACGCTCCCCCACCACCCCGCTCCCGCTCTCCTTCCCCACCACCACTCGACAAGCTCACCTTGGAGAGCAGCAGTGCGCAAGCCAATGCTGCTGACTCAACACCAGTCGCTGCGCGATTACCCCCAGCAGCATCGAGTCCCACACGCCCACAAGTACAGATGACTGAATCTGCCCCCATCCTCCCATACCACTCCCCAACGTCCCCAATCTCCCCTGCCGCATCACCTTCGTCCACCCTCGCCCGTGCTCAGCAAACACGGCCAACACCAGGCCTACCTGGCGCGTCCGCTGGCTCGCCGGCGTTGGCCCGTCCACCCTTGGGCGGAGTACGCCCCCCAGCTGGCCGTGGAATGCCTGGTCCGATGGGCATGCGTGCCCCGGCATCGATGGGTCAGATGCAGACCCGTCTCCCTCCATCGCTGCAAGCCAAGATGAATAAGGTATGTGTGTCTGCTCTGCTCGTTATTTCAGCTGCGGAACGGTGGGAACAGCGAGCTGACTGATAACCCCTTCAGCTTGCGGCACAACGTAGCGGTGCACCGAGCCCAACGACCAGCAATGGCATGGGCCCCTCACCCCAGGCAACGTCGATGGGTGCCCTCCTTCGTTCGCAGGCGATGCGCGCCGCCCAGCCAGGCGGCACAACTGGCCCAAACGCGGGCCCGCTCGGCCTAGCTGCGCGCCGCACGATGGGCCGCCCCGCATTGAACCTCTCAGCGCCACCGACAGGTCTTCCGGGGCGTGCAGGAGGCATCGCCGGACGCCGTGGTCCCCCCGGCGGCCTGTCGCTCGCGCAGATGGGCGGCGGAGCAACACATGAAGCGTCTGATTCATCCAAGTTCAGCGATTTCAAAAAGATCATGGACCCGTCAGGCTCGCTCAAGTTCTCAAAGGCCGTGCTGCACTCGGGTGGCGTCGACTTTGGTGATGGCCAGAGCTTCAAGATCAACATGGACGAGATGGAGGTGCTCGGCGAACTCGGCAAGGGCAACTATGGCAGCGTGCAAAAAGTGTTCCATCGCCCAACGGGTGTCATGATGGCCATGAAGGTGAGTGCCAAGGCGGTGTGAACGCTAGACACTCTAGACACGCTTGTGGCTGACTTGGAAACAAGGAAATACGCCTCGAACTCGACGAGTCCAAGCTCAACGGTATCATCATGGAGCTTGACATTCTGCATCGCGCCGTCGCACCCGAGATTGTCGAGTTTTACGGCGCGTTCACGATCGAGTCGTGCGTCTACTACTGCATGGAGTTTATGGACGCTGGCTCGCTGGACAAGCTTACCGGCGTTCGCGCACTACCTGCCAAGACGGCAACGGCCAACGACACCGCGGCACCGGCCGAGCCACATGTGCCCGAACCTGTCCTCCGGAGGATAACTGCCGCAATCGTCCGTGGACTGCGGTTCCTGAAGGATGAGCTCCAGATCATGCACCGTGACGTCAAGCCCACCAACGTGTTGATGAACAGCAAGGGCGAGGTCAAGCTGTGCGACTTTGGTGTGTCTGGGCAGCTCGAGAAGAGTCTGGCAAAAACCAACATTGGCTGCCAGAGCTACATGGCCCCCGAGCGCATCAAGGGCGAGTCGCAAAACCAGGTGTCCACATACACCGTCTCGTCGGACGTGTGGTCTGTCGGCCTCAGCATTATCGAGATTGCAACCGGAACCTACCCTTACCCGCCCGAGACGTTTGCCAACGTCTTTGCCCAGCTCACCGCCATCGTCAACGGCGCAGCCCCCACCCTCCCGGATACCTACAGCGCCGAGGCGCGTGACTTTGTGGCCAAGTGGTGAGTTAAGATCTGTTCCGACGTCGTGCTAACTCGTCGCCAGCCTGCTCAAGGACCCCAACACGCGCCCGACATACGCACAGCTCCTGGAACACCCCTTCCTTGCCGGTACACACGCCGACGACGACATCGACATGGCCGCCTGGGTCACGGGCCAGATGGAGATGTACGCCAACCGACAAGTCGTGCCACTCGCCCACGTCGAGATCGAGTAGATGGTGTGTGTGTGTGTGTGTGTGTGTGTGCGTGTGTGCGTGTGTGCGTGTGGGCGTGAACGCATGGCAAGACAAGACAAGACAAGGCACGGATCTGCCGATCTGCCCACGATCTGCCGACAGGTCCGCGGCGCGAGAGTGGGCTGCGTGGGGGCGCCAACAACGAAAGACATCGAAGGAGTGTGCAAGTGTGGCGTGTTCGTCTCGTGATAAGACAGGAGAAACATCGACTCGACTCAACCCCATCCCGCCCGCAAGGGGGCGCGGACCGGCCGAGATCACAACAGCAGCAGCAGCAGCAGCGGCGACGCAGAAGGACTGAACGCGGGGCCCGGGAGGCCGGAAATGGGCGAGCAAGGTGGTCGTGTTGCGTTCAGCGCTGGACGACCAGGCGCGCAGGCGCGCGACATGCGTGCGCCCGCACCTTCTCCTTGCTCGCACGTGTGTAATTTTCGCTATCGACCATTCATTGGATCATTTGGAGGAATACCTAGGCATGTACTGCATCCACTTGGCTACTGGGCTTTGCACAGCTGCAACGGGGGGCGGGGAGGAGCTTGTGTGGGGCCAGCGGAGACTGACCTGGTCTGGTGTGCGGTCTGGCCTGAGCTTGTTGGGGCAATGTAACCTGATAACCCGACAAGGCCAGCGGCCAGCGGAAAAGAGCCGCGGCTGAAAGTACGTGCCGGCGCGTATTATATTGGGACAAACAATCAACCTTGGGCCGTTTCATCTTGTGTTGCGTTGCTTGTCATTCCTCGTTACAGCCTCCATCCACCTCTCTGACCATGTCCACACACGCATCGGATGGCGGACCCACCCTCCTCTCGCTCCCACCCGACTTTCCGCGTGCAGACTGGTCTCTTGCTCGTCTCGGGATGCCCCCATACATGGTGGGCGAGTATCGGTTCGAAGTGTCGTGGGCCGCGAGGCAGGCCAGCCCGCACTGGGCCACGGTCATGTCTGCCTCTGGCGGCGGTGTGATATCGGCCGCTTGCTTCAAGCTTGCCATCGTTGACAAGGCGCTCGAGGTGTGCGTCTCTTCTTGCCTCACTGTCGCTTCCTCGTCGCTAACGACTGGCAAGCAACGCAACCCACACGTGTAACCGGGTATGCCTGCTCCGCAAACCGATCAGTTTCAAGCAGTGGATGCGCGAGACGGACGAGGTGCTTGAGGACCTGTACATCATTGTGAGTCGTCTGCGAGCAACAACATCCACATGTGTCCTCGCCCACGAATCCATAGTTACCTTCCGTGTCCTTGACAGATGTGTCAGTCCCGGGCCTCTCTGTTCTGTTGACAGCTTGGTCCTCCTCTGACTGGTCGTCGGTGATTGCCCAAACATTAAACTCCCTCCTCTCGATCTTTTTCTGACTCGCAGGCATCCGAACAACTGCCACCCGGCTTGCCTGCTCCTGCAACATTCGAGGACTTGTACGCCTTCCTCCGCCTTGCAGTCAACCTGTGGATCCCGCGGTTCGACATTTATGACCCTCCACCTCGGCATTCCAAGGACTGTGCCGTCTTCGACATTGCGGAACTCGGACCCTTTGCTGCAAAGTACTCTGAGCACGTCCACCTGGTTTGCATCGAGGACCCTGCTGCTGGACGCAAAACGACGGCCACGACGGTCGTGTTCTCCCCGTCGGTTATTGCGACGCCTCGGTCCTCGGTCACGGACAAGGCGATAACTCCAATGTAGTCTTTATCTTGATCCCCCGCTCAGTTACCTTCAAACCGGATGGGCACCTTGATCGGTGGAAGCAAGAGCGCAGATCAGAAACGTGGGCCAACTGCTCATCCCTCACCTCTGCCACCATCAGCCATGACCAACCTCAACTTGCCTCCCATGTAGCGTGTACCACAATTGACATGTTTGTTCTCGCGGGGTGCGCGGGTGCCTCAATCATATTCTGCTGGGGACGTCCAGCTTGGCCAGCCAGGCTCGCCCACTAGTGTGGTATGCGGGACATGTGAGACAGTGGAGAGGTGATCCTGGAAGAGGAGCCACGGCAATGCTATGCACCTGCCACGCGCCCCCAAAAAATCACAAGAGAGCAGCGGAGGCTAGATCCGTAGGAGGGACTTGCACATGCTCCTCTATCCTCCCTCGTTGCCATGTATACAGTACACCGTGTCACACATGCTGCACAGGAGGATGACGGAGGCGCTTCAAGCACCTTCCCTGGGACAACATGTACACGGTGACAGCCCCAAGACGTATGAGCAGCTGTACAAGCTTTCTGACAACAAGTGACCGCCGCCAAGCCGAGACAATTGTGGCTACCATCGTCGTGCCGTGGACAGACAGTGGCCCCAGACAGTTGACAATCGACCTGAGTCTCCGGACGAGACAGTGGCTCTGGAGGCCCAGGTGTTCAGCCCCGTTTCCGTGGTGGGGCGGTGTTGGCATGCTCGTCGGATGCAGAATATGGCTATCCTCGTGACGAAGATCACACAGACAGCTCGATGCAATCCGCGGGGAGGACAGAGACACACGCCACGCCAGTGGTATTGTTGGGGGTTGTGCGACAGGTCGCCACACCCAGAGCGCGGAGCTGGAAGGCAGGCATTATCCCCCCTGTGTGGGGAAGCTGAAAAGGGGTGTGGGGCTCTAGGCGTCATCGGCAACCTCCACCTTTGGCCCGTTCTCAACCCCGTCCCCCAAACAACACTCACCCATTCACTCCATCCCATCGCGCGCTCGTCAACAATGCTTACCAAGACCTCGTTCCACGACGTCCCCACAACGGCCAACGGCCGCGCGGGCACCATCCGCATCTTTGTGATTGAGCCCAACGTCCCAGAGTATCCCAACGCAAAGTTCCCCGGCTGTGAGTTGGACTGCCGTTTCTTCCTCCTCGCCTTCCGTCGTTGCCTTCTCCCCTTTCCCTCCCCATCTGCCTTCTCTCACAAGTCCCATCCCTTCTAACTCTTTTCCAGGCGTTGTCTTCTCCGAAATCTACCAGGTGACCGGCCCCGTCGAGCGCTTTGCGGGCAACATTGCCAGCGAGGGCTACGTCGTTGCCCTCCCCTCGAGCTTCCACGAGTTTGAAGGACCCGAGGCCATCCCGTATGACGTCGAGGGCACCGACCGTGGAAACAAGTACAAGGTGGGGGGATCTTGGCTTAGGCCCCTTGATGTCATGCTGACGAGCCGACAGATTGAGAAGACGGTCGATGCCTACGACGAGGTACAGCTGCCAGTATCTCGTCACAAGCTGACATCAGGACGCGACCCTCTCGGTGGACCTCCTCACGAGCCTGCCCAGCTGCAACGGTCGTATCGCTGCGACTGGCATGTGCCTTGGTGGCCACTTGGTGAGCTACATGATACAGTGCAAGCTGACGCCCAGGCTCTTCGCGTAGGTTCGTCTTGAGGCTCACGTTGTTTGACCTGCCCAGGCCGCCTTTGACCCCCGTGTCCTCGCTACCTTCTGCTACTTTGCTACTGAGTGGGTCCACCACTGCCATCATCTCTGACACTGACCCGCCAGCGTTCACTCGGCGACCCTGGGCAAGGGCAAGTCGGACGACACCCTCATCCGCGTCCAGAAGGGCGATCTCACTGGCAAGGGCGAGGTGGTGCTCGTGTTCGGCAAGCAGGTGAGCTGAGACACATGTATGCGCTAGCTGACATCAGGACACGCACGTCGACCGTGCTGGCCGCACGCTCATCCGCGAGACCTTGGACGACGCCAACGTTACCTGTTCGGTGAGCTGGCCCCTACCATTTGCCAACGCCCGTTCCAAGCTCTAACAGACACAGTTTATCGAGGTTCAGGCGCAGCACGCGTTCATCCGCGACGAGGCGTCCAAGGGTCGCTGGGACGCTGCCCTCTCGCGCTCGCTCTTCTCCATGATGATCGAGTCGTTCACCCGCAACGTTGCCCGGGACCTCGGGCCCCGCGTCGGTTCTGGCGCCAAGATTGAGCACGTCTGTTAGAGAAAGAGGGCCCTCTGTAGATCTGACCCACATGTTAGCCGTGCGTCCAGGCCCGCCCATATGTGGGCCATATGGCCCCATAGCCGTCGGTCTCGGTGTGCGCACCGAGCACGGCGCCGGCGACCGAAGGATTTGTGGCTGTTTTTTTCGGCGACTGCGGGACCCCAACCTCACACGTGGACCCCCGTTGCCGCATGCGCCGCAAAGCCACACGGGCCCCCCATGCACCAGGTCGGGGCTCTGTTATTTGGCTTCCACATCGACGTCTTGTCTTTTTTCCCTCTTCCCCATCTCCCAAACCAGTCTGCACCATGGACGACTTTGAGTTTGACCTCTACAACCCCACGTCCGGCAACCTCAGCGTCAAGGACGGCAACTTTGTCGACTCGGAGGGACGTGTTGTCCAGCTCCGCGGTGTCAACGTCAGCTCGTCGGCCAAGGTGTACGTTGCCCCTTTTTTTTCTCCAGAGCTCGTCCGACGTCTTGCCGTTTTGCTGACTATGACCACGACAGTCCCAACTCGCCTCTCCCCAAGATCCACCAGCATGCACAGGGCAGCTACGTGAACCGCCCCTTCCCCGTTACCGAGGCTCCAGAGCACTGGGCCCGCCTGGCATCGTGGGGTCTGCACTTCAGTGAGCTGGCTGGTCCCTGAGAGCACCGTTCGCTGACACGTCCAGTCCGCATTAACGTGACTTGGGATGCCATTGAGCACGCCGGTCCAGGCGAGTACGATACCGAGTACCTCGCCTACCTCCGCGAGCTGCTCGCGAGCCTCAAGGGCACCGGCCTCGTCGCCTACGTTGTGAGTATTTACGAGGGTCAACCCGGCTATTGCGAGCCGTCGGCGTGCCTCGGTGTTGCTCCGTGAACCGGTACCGATGGCGTTCGAATCGCGGCGGGCGGCGCGGAGACCGATGGCGTCCAGGTGTTGCTTTGCGAGACGCGCGCAGACGCTGACGACGCGCCACAGTCGGTCCACCAGGATGTCTGGTCGCGCTACTCTGGCGGATCTGGGGCGCCCGGATGGACGCTCGAGCTCGCGGGCTTCGACCTGAGCAACGACGGCAAGGCGCTCGAGGACTCTGGCGCGGCCGTCCTCCACGGCGTCAAGGGTGGCCGCCTCGAGGGTGAGCGTGGTCTCTGGCCCACGGGTTACCAGAAGCTCGCGTGTGCGACGATGAACACGCTCTTCTGGGGCGGTGAGACCTTTGCCCCCACGCTCAAGGTCGGCCCCAAGGGCATCAACATTCAGTCGTACCTCCAGGACGCTTTCCTCGGCGCCTACGACCAGCTCGTCCAGGCCGTCGGCGACCTCGACACTGTCATGGGCTTTGAGGTGAGTGGGAAATTGCTGCGCGGCACTTTGCTAACGCTGTTTCAGATGATGAATGAGCCTCACCCGGGTTACATTGGCATGGCCACAATTGACAAGTGGAACTACAACACTGACCTGCACCTCGGCCAGTACCCTTCGCCCTTGCAGGGCATGTCGCTTGGTGCGGGCCACCCCACCCTCGTGTCGACCTACGTCCGCTCCTTCCCACACCCTACTCGTGTCAAGTCCAAGGCGGTCGCCAACCTGAACAAGGCCACGGCGTGGCGCTCGGATGGTCCCACCGCTGGCCAGTGTCCTTGGGAGAAGGAAGGTGTCTGGAAGTGGAGTGCCGAGAAGAACCTCGGCATTGCCCTCCAGGAAGACTACTTTAGCAAGGACCGATCGGGCAAGCCCATCGAGTTTTACCAGGACTTTTACTTCCCCTTCATTCGCAAGTGGGAGTCGGTTGTCGCCAAGCGCGAGCCCACCAAGGCCTTTATGCTCGAGCCCCTCCCCAACGAGTATGCTCCCCACTGGCCCGAGGACGTCCGTCCCAAGAACTTTGTCTTTGCCCCACACTGGTGAGCTTACGGACTGTTTTATTCAGAGCTGACGTCCAGGTACGACCTCCACACCATGTTCACCAAGAAGTTTGGCAACTTTACGGTCAACGTGCAGGGTCTCGCGCGCGGCATGTTCCCCCTCCGCGCCGTCTACTGGGGTGAGGAGGGTGTCAAGGACAACTATGCCCGTCAGATCCGCACCCTTGTCAAGGAAGCTCGCGAGCGTATCGGCAACGTCCCCATCGTCTTTGGCGAGTGTGGCATTCCGATTGACATGAAGTGGGTTTCTGACATTGGCTATCATAACTCACGCCAGCTACGAGGAGGCATTCAAGACTGGCAACTGGAAGTGGCAGGAGCGCATGCTCGACGCCCTCATCACCGCCATGGAGCTGTCGCTCGTCCACTTCAACCTGTGGTCGTACAACCCCGACAACCGCGACGACGTGGGCGACGACTGGAACGCCGAAAACTTCAGCTGGTACAGCAACGACAACCGCCAAAAGGTCCTTGCGGCGCTGCCGGCCGCCGAGGCCGCCGTGGCCGCTACCAGCCCGGACACGGGCGCGCGCCTCCTCGACGTCCTTGTCCGCCCCTACGCCGTCGCTGTCGCCGGCGACCTCCTGGCCTCGCACTACGAGCGCGAGACGCAGCTCTTCCGCCTGCGGTGGAAGGACCTGCCCCAGCAGCTCAAGGACGCCAACGCCTCGCCCCCTACGGAGCGCGTCACCGAGGTCTTCCTCCCTTCGCGCGTGTACGGCGGCAAGTTTAGGTGGAACCTGTCGCCCAATGGCCACTGCAGGATTGACCACGAGCGCCAGCGCGCGTTCGTCTGGTTTGACGACGACGCCGAGTCGGTCATGTACAAAAAGCACATGATCCGCACGTTTGACATCTGGACGCAGGAGCCAGAGGACAAGGCGACGTGGGGCGCCAGGCTTGGTCTCCTGTTCGTCCTCCTCATTGCCGCTTTGGCCTTTGCCAACGAGTTCAAGGCTTACAAGACCGGCTCGGGATGGGTCCAGCTGCACACCATGTAGAACTAATAACTCTATAAAAACCGACAAACTTTTTTGTAACTAGCTCTCTAGAAAGAAAACTCCTCAACACACCTCCATAATATCTTGGTCTCTCCTCGCAAACAAATGCATCGATGCAGTGGACACCGTACTATCTATAACCCATGCTACTACTATGGACGGGACAAACTATCACATCGGCCGAGATCTGAAAGTCTTGTTATGGGTGGGGTGGGGGACTGTTGTGTGTGGGGGGGGGAGGGTGTCTCTTATGTACGAGTCGGGAGTCTTTTGGGGGGCGTTTACGGTAACAGGGCGCTGGTGCTAATTAGCGCTTGACGGCGCCGCGTCGCAGCGGCTTGATCTTGCGCGCACCGGGGCTACCGGGGGTCTGGTCGGCGGCGTTGACACCGAGGCTGAAGCCATTGCCACCGGCTGGAGCAGCCTCGGGCGCCGGCGAACCAAAGCGGACGGCGGGGACGGCGGCACTGCTGCTGCTGGCTGCGCCAAACTGGAATGGACCGGCGGCACTGTTGCCGCTGGGGCCGTTGGCAGGAGCGCCGAAAGTGAACGGCGCAGCGGGGGTCGATGCGCTTGCGGCGGGAGCCGAGGCGCCAAACGAGAACGATGTGGTCGCTGCCGTCGGCGTGCTGGGGGCGGCAGGGGCAGTCTGGCCAAAGCTGAACGAAGGGTTTGAAGGGGTGCTGGTAGAGCCAGTAGCGCCAAAGCCAGCGCCAGAGCCAAAGCCGCCAGAGGCCGCAGCAGGGGGGTTGCCAAAGCCAGTCGACCCGGCGGCGGGAACACCAAAGCCAGTCGACGCAGAGGTGGCGGGTGCCACTCCAAAGCCAAAAGACGGGGTCGACGAGTTGGCGGCCGGGGCGCTGGTACCAAACCCACCAGTGGCCGGAGTGCCAAAGGTGAAGGGACCACCGGCAGATGGGCCCGCCGCCGGTGCAGGAGCAGGGGCGGCTCCAAATCCGAAACCAGTCGACGGCGCAGTACCGTTCGTCTGGCCAAACATGGCCGACGGGGTGCTGGAGGAAGGGGCATTGGCGTTGGCGCCAAAGCCAGTCGAAGGTCCAGCCGTGGTTGTGGCGGGAGCAGTCACACCAAACGAGCCGTTGGCACCGTTGGCGGCCGGGGCGGTGGTGGACGACGCGCCAAACGAGAACGCAGGCTTGTCGGCAGGCTTCTCCGCGGGCTTGGAGGCTGAGGGAGCACCAAACGAGAAGGGCGCGGCCGGCTTGGGTGTAGTCTCAGCAGGCTTGGATGCGGCGGGAGCACCAAACGAGAACGGAGCGGCAGGCTTGGGAGCGGCCTCGGCGGGCTTGGGCGCACCAAACGAGAAGGGAGTGGGGGCCGCGTCAGGCTGGGCAGCAGTGTTGCCAAACGACATGCGAGCGGGCTTGGCAGCCTCGGCCGGCTTAAGAGTAGAGGCTGCAGAGGGGCCACCGAATGAAAAGCCAGTGGTGGGCTTGGGTGCCTCGGCCGGCTTGGAAGCGGCAGCAGACGATGAGCCGCCAAACGAGAACCCAGCGGTGGGCTTGGGGGCCTCGGCGGGCTTGGATGCCGGAGCACCGAACGAGAACGGTGCGCCTTCCGTGGCAGGAGCGACGCTCTCCTTGGGGGCAGCGCCAAACGAGAACGGCGCACCCTCAGTCGCAGGGGCGACGCTCTCCTTGGGGGCCGCGACAGCTCCAAACGAGAAAGGTGCGGCCTTGGCAGGCTCCGAGGTGGCGGCAGGGGTGCTCGAGCCGGAACCGAACGAAAAGCTCGAAACAACAGGCTGCTTTGCCTCGACGGGCTTGGACGCGATGCCAAAGTCGAATGCTGGAGCCTTGGGAGCTGCAGCGACGGGAGGAGTGGCGGCACCACCAAAGAAGTTGGGGATACCGCCTTCAGCAGCCGGAGCAGAGGTGGACGGCTTGCTGAGGCCCATGCTCGAGTCCGACTTGGGGGGGAGGAAGAAGCCAGCACCAGCGGGAGGCTTGCCCGCAGGCGTAGTCGTGCCAGTGGGAGGCGTGAGGGAAGGAGTGGCAGGAGCTGCGGCGGCGAGAGAGAAAATCTGGCCAGTGGGAGGCGCCGATGGGGCGGTGAAGGCAGCGGGAGCGCCGACGACCTTGGACGCGTCGGGCGAGTCAGGCTCGGCGACCATGGAGCTTCCGGCAAGGGGCGATGACGCGCGAGGACGGCTTGACAAACCGGAACCGAGACGCGAGAGCGAGGTGCGGCCAACGGACGAAGAAGGAACCGAGAGCGACGAAGCAGGCTGAGGAGCAGGGGCCGGAGTCACGCTGAGACGAGACGAGAGAAGCGGAGCGGCGGCATCCGCCGACGACGACTTGTCGGCAGTGGTCTCGGCCACCTCGGGAGTCTTGGATGGCTCAGGAGCGGGGGAAGGAGTGAACAGCGGCATTGAGAAGTTTTTGAACGACGTGAGAGGAATCTTGGCCGACTCGAGTTCATCCATGTCGGGCAGGTCCTCGTCGCGAGCCGAGAACCGGCCAGCGCCACTGCCACCGTTGGGGCTCGTAGCGCGCGACGAGTTGTAGCTCGCGGCACCCTGGTGCGAACGGTGGCGACGCTCAGTGGCGGTGCGCAGTGACGAACGCGCGCGGGGTTCAGTGTCGTCGCGGACCTGGTATCCGTCGGTCTTGCTGGAGCTGGGCGACGGGGCCGTGGTGGTGAGGAGAGGCACTGTGGCCGGGACGGCGGAGGCAGGAGGTGAAGCCTCGCGCTCGTTCTCGGCTGGGGGAGTGGTCTCCTGACGCCTGCGGGTGGTACGCCTAGGCTCGGGCGACTTGCTGGGCGCCTTGGGGGTGCGGCTGCTCCTGCGGGTCGCCTTGGGGGTCTCCTCGGCGGGTTCAGAGGACCTGGCCCTCAACCGAGCCGAACGGCGAGCGGGCGAACGCTGCTGCGAAGTCTGCGACATGTGGTCGTCAGAGACGTAGCTGTGGCTGCGTGACGAGTGAGCCGAAGAGTGGCGCGAGGCGCCGTCCACTTCCATCTCGCTCATTTCAGACTCTTCGCGGCGGCGGGCAGCACGGCGCTCGTCACGCGCGACCTGCTCGACGGCCTTGCGACGGCCGTACGGCGAGATCATGGCGGACACGCTGTCCTGCATCCAGTCGCCACCGTGGCGCTTGCTGCGTGCGTTCTCGCTGGCCTGAGAGGTGGCGAGGGGGACGGCAATGGCCTTGCGGAGGTTGCGCGACGACGACCCGACGAGCGCGGAGGGGAGCCCAGGTGCCGACGCATCAATGAGGGGAGTCTTGCGCATCGACTCGAGGGCGCACAGGATACGCTCAGCGTCGTTTTGCTGGGGAAGACGGGGAGCCTCGGCCTGCAGCTCGCTGGCGCGGACAAAGCCCTTTTCGGCATCCCAGACCATCTGGCCCTTGCGAACAGGAGGCAGCTGAACGCCGGACGCGGCAGCGGCCAGCGAGCGACCAGTGGCGCGAGACACCGACTGCGAGCGGGTAAGCCAGTTGCTGTTGTCCGAGTTGGCGGAGCGGGGTTCGGGGAGGCTGCCCATACGGTCATCCTCCTCCGTCACTCGGTCAAAGCGCATGCTGACGGAGTGGCGCAGGCGCGAAGACTGGCGGAGACTGCCACGGCCGTCGCCCATGCTCACGTCCGAGGCCACGCTCGCCTCACGTCCCAAGTGGCTGACGAGGGTGGAGGAACGCGAGAGGCCGCGGCCAGCGCTGGCGCCGAGGGAACGGAACGGCGACATGGAAGCGAGGGCATTGTTGTTGTTGGCAACACGGGTGGTGGCCGCGCGAGACGACGTATCGCGCGTCTCCCTCCAAGGGCTCCAGGCGTCCGACGGGCTCCCTGCAACGCTCTTGACGGGCGTGTGCTCATACTCATCGTGCTCCTCGCCGGCGCCATCGGCAAGCGCCGAGAGATCCATGCGGCGCGAGCGGCCGAGCGCGCGACTGTTACGCAGACCCGAGGTTGCCGTTGCGGTGGCGCGCGGCGTCGCAGGCTGCAACATGCTACGTGGGGGGTCCAGGTAGGGCATGGACTGGGAGGCTGAGAGGGAGCGGCGAGATGCCGAGGCTGAGGATGCCAGGTTGACGTGGGAGGGCAGGGCCGGGAGCGCAAACGCGTTGTTGATGGGCTCGGCGGTGCGGGGGTCGTACGGTCCCCTCGTGGGCGACGTGCGACGCGAGCGCTTGCTTGCGCGCCTCTCGCTGGGGCTCACGGGGTCCTCGGGATCGACGCCAAAGCTCGCCTCCGAGTCGCGCTTGTTGGCGTTGACAGGGGACTTGCTGGGCGTCGAGAGCCACTTCAACGGGCGGGAGAACATGCTCTTGATGCCAGAGACTGACATGGACAGCAGACTCTCGGACCCAGAGCGAGGTAGTCCGCCACCGCCATAGCGACCTGGGGTGTACGATGACCCTGCAGAGGGGGTCAACAGGCCTCCAGCAGCGCTGCCATTGCCATTGTCCACGCCGTTGCCGCCGAATGAAGGGCGGCTATACGGACGTAGAGTGCGGGGAGTTGTACGCTTCGGGCCGCGCTGGGCGCCGGTGAGCGCGTGAGAGGGTGATTCGTCGTAATTCATTGTTTTGAAGGAGTGGAACGGGGAGGGGGTCGAGTTCGAGATGTGCAGGGAAGGAGGCGACGGATGATGTTGTCGGAAGGGCGCGCGACGGCGGGGCGAAACAGGAGGAACGGGGGGACGGGCGGGGTGCACGATGTGTGGGGACGGCGGCGGGGTATCCGGGTAGGTGCTTTTCAGAAGGCGCCGCCTGCGCTGTCACGCGGCATTGCCTGGTGTGGTCGACGGAGTGGTGCCGGAGGGGTCGGCGATGGGGGACAAGAGGGAAGTTGTCTGCGAGTGGAACCAACGACGAGGGATGGACCCACGGGAGGAAGACACCAGAGGGCCAGAAAAATATTCATTAAATCGATTTTATCCTGAACCCATGTGGAGGTCACGTGGGCATGTTTGGCTCAGATCCTCGGAGGCCTCCACGGCCACAGCATATGGTCGTACAGCCAACGACACGCACGGCAGCATCATACAACTCTGCTCGTAAATGATACATAGCATGGACTACAAGATGGCCCACGGCATGGAAGCAGTAGCATCCTGAGCGTGGTATATTAAGGTAGCCTCGTATTATGGCTATTTCTTGCCAAGAACACGCGGCACGAATACCAACTCGCGACATGTGACAACTGCGGCGGTCGACCGACGGGGCCCTCACTCCGGCCCTCACTCCGGCCCTCACTCCGCACCTAACGGGCCAACTCCTCCTCGGAATCGTCGTCGTCGACAACGATAGGCTGCTCCTGTCGTTGAGTCTTTTGGCGCTCCTGGTTTTGTTCCTGGTTCCAAGAAGCAGATCCGCGAGAGTACAGTGCGCCGTCGCTGCTGTCGGTGAGCTGCCAGCCCAGGGCAGTGAGGTCACGGCCAATGCGCTCCAGGAACGCGTCGCGAGATGCACTCGGCTCGACAAAGTAGGTCTGCACAAGTGTGCGCAGGTTATTCTGTAGCTGTCAGTTTTGGCTGTTAGGTCGAGCATACCCACCTTGACGTTTTCCACAAAGCCCCGCGCGTTCTCCTCCAGGTTCTGGTCAAGGCCCTCAAGACCTTGAGCATAGGAGCGCGCGTACGGCGCCTCGGAGCGGTTGGTAGGAGGGGGGTGCACGTTACCGGGAGTGGCAAGCACCACAGCAGGATAGTCGACATCGATACGCGGTGGACGCGGCTCTGGAGGCTTGTAAGGGGGGCCAGTGGGGAAGGGCACGGGCCTAACGTCGGTGTACCCGAGCGTACGACCGAGTTCGTTCTCCGCGTAAAGTTGCTCACGTTGTCCGGGGCGCGACGCGACTTCACGTGGCTCTTGACGCAGTTCTTGCTGCTGGCGGTGGTCTGGACGCAACTCGTGGTCACGCGGGGAGTCATGTGGGAGTGTGCTGCGCGGATCACGCGCATCGCGGTCGGAAGGAGGCGGTGCTTGGACGTCGTGACGCTCGTGACGTGACTGGGGACGTCCATGAGGCGGCGGCTGCGAAGGAGCTGGCGGCAGCGGCTGGTGGAGGGTCTGGTGGGGTGACATGCGCAGAGGCAGTGGTGCGCCGTGAGGCGACAGCAAGGGAGGAGGAGCTCGGGCGGAGTGACCTGGAGGAGGAGGAGGTGCGTGGTGGGGCATCATCTCGGGGAGACGAGAATTGTACCCTGCCCACTCCCCACCACCACCACCAGCCTCTCCGCCGCGATGCGAGTGAGTGCGCGGCGCTCCCTCCATGTGGTTGGCGGTCATGGGAGGCGTCATCTGAGGTGGGTACGGGCCGTGCTGTGAGAAGGGGTGAACTGGGTAGCCGTGAGGCGGCGGCGCAGGCTGGCCGTAGGGCTGATACCCATATGGACCGGACGGGTGGTAGCCGTAGGGGGGTGGGTGGTAGTAGGATTGCGAGTGGTGAGGATGCGGGGGATACGGCGCAAGCATGTGGTGGCGACCGTTCGAGGAGCGGCTGTCGCGAGGCGCGCTTTCACGGATTCCCCCGTCGCGGTCGTGGCCATCGTGGATGTGCTCGTCCCTCCCGTCACGCCGGTCATCACGTCGACTGCTGCTTTCGCGACGATCATCCTTCTTGTCACGCACATCCACACCACCACCACGCTCACGCTCACGCTCACGGCCTTGCCTCTCGGCCCGCTCACGCTCCTTCCTCTCCGCACGCTCACGCTCAAGCTGACGCTCACGCTCACGCTCTGCTCTCTCGGCCCGCTCCCATTCCTCGCGCTCTTGCTCGCGTTCTTCCCTCTCGCGTTCGCGCTCGGCGATCTCACGGCTGCGCTGCTGGTCCAGCCTCTCTCGGTCCTCGTGCGCGTTCCGGTCGTGTGCAGTGAGCCCGCGAGACTGGTCAATGATGAAGCGCGCCTCGTCCTGGACGTCCGGGAGGTTGGTAGGGACTTGGCGCACGCTGGAAGTGGCATCTTCAGGCTCGCTGGGCTCGTTGACGCTGCGTTCGTGGCGTTCGTCGCTCTCGGGAGGGGAAGGATATGTTGCGCCCATGCCGAGACGCGGGGTCTTGGACTGCTGCTGTTCCTCCTCAACCAAGTATTGGTCAAGAGTACGCTGACCCTTGGAGACATTGGCATTGGTGCCATTGGCCTTTGCTGCCTGTGCTGGGGAGGGTGCAGGGGCAGCACGAGAAGTCGACGCGGGTAGTGGTGGTGGTGGCGGTGGCGACGGTGAGCGAGCTGCAGCTATTGCAGCTGCTGCCGCAGCGGCAGCAACACGGGACGACGTTGGTCGAGTGGCCTGAGGTGTTGCATCGCGCGACATGGTGCTGCGCTTCGGCTTCGGAAGAAGGCCGGCCTCGACCACCGGGCTGCTGTCCTCGTTACCCAAAGTAGCACCTCGAGAAGACGACAGGTGCGACGGTGCCGATGCTGGATCGACCTGGTGGCCGGTAGCCGGTACGGGCTCGGAGCGACGAGGGCCCTTGCCCTTGACGAGTTTGGAGGCGACACGAGCCGGCTCCGAGACCGTCACATTGGCCGGAGTCGAGTTGCGAGGTTTCTTAGCCGGAGCGCGGACCGCTGACGAAGAAGAGGGTTGGGTGGCGGGAGAGTCGTTCACCGGCGACGAAGGCCGGGCACGCTTGAGAGGAGCGGCAACGCCGACGCGCCACCGTGACATGACTGTTGGCGGCCTGGGTATCGGCTCGGCACTGGGGGTGGACGATTCAATGACGTTGTCCTCGACAATTACTGTTGTGGGAGGCGGATGGTTTGACGACGTTGGCATTAGGGTGGCAAAAGTGGAGGAGGAAATCGTGTGAGAGAGAAGTGGTTGCGAGTTCGAAACGACAACAGGTTTAGGCAGGTGGTCAGCACAGACGCAGGCTATCATGCCAGATTGCAGCCACTCACGAGCATCGGCGGCGTCCTGATCCACGGACTCTGGCGGTAGAAAGTCGGCATCTGTCGGGTCGTCGTCTAAACAAGTCAGCTTGATCTTCTTTCCCCAGCGGTTGACGTCCGGTTGACTCACTTGCACGCGCATCACCCTGAGGGACATCGCCATCAGGTGTGTAGTCCTCACCGTCGCCGCCGATTGAGCCACCGTCAGTGGGCACTTGCGAGGCGCGCATGTCCTCTGGGTTCCACGGGTATGGTTGTCCAGTGCGAGGACGGGTCCTGGGTCGGCCACGCGGGCGGCGAGGGGCATCCATCGGACGTTCAGGCTCCGGGCTGGGCGAACGCAGGTACTTGTTGCCCTCGGCGTCAACAATCTCAATGGCCCACCCCTTCCAGCCGCGGCGCGCCTTTTTCGGCTTCTTGCCTCCGGGGTCTGGGGTACCATCGGTGCTGGCAGTATAGCTGACGGACGCGCTCCCGCCACCCGCCCCGTCGGCGCTGGTAGACGACGTTGGCACGACGCCTTGTTGTTGTTGGGCACTACCTGCGGGCGACGAAGGTGTGGCGTTGTTGCGGCGCCACGGAGAACTTGAGCGAGCAGCTGCGGGGGGAGGGGTAGCGGTGGACGCGGTACTGATGTGAGGTTGCAGGCGGGGCTTGACGTCTGATGGGGTGGGAGAGGGTCGCACACCCGATGAGCTGCGGACGGGCGACGATGACACACGGTGTCTGGTAGCGCGACTGGCGCTTGGGAGAGTCGAGGATGAGGCAGTCGCGTTCTTCTTCTTTGGTGAGACGCGACGCGCGGGTTGTGGAGGATACAGCAGTGGCCTCATTCCCGAGATGCCACCGCCCGCGACAGAGGAGGCGGCGGCGGCGGAAGAAGTCACGTTTGGTGACGGCGACGCAGCAGGCGACTCTGCGGCCGCCCGCACCATGCTGGGGTTCTTCTGTTTACGCTCGGCGGTTGCAGCGGTAGCCCATGTAGGTGCAGTGCGGGATGGCGCGGATGCGGAGGGCGAGCCGCTCATGGGAGAGGGGGGAGGTTGTGGATGGTGATGTGTGTGAAGTGTGGTTGTTATGGAGGGAGTGGGGTGTTGTCGTGGGCGTGTTTTGGGCGGCGCGGCACACGGGGGTGGATGGATGGATGGGATTTACTTTTGGTGGTTCTAAATGGCGCCAAACAGCGCGCGCGGCTGAGGCGCGCGGGTTGATGGCGTGGGGCCTGAGCGACGACCGGGGCGGGGGGGTGCGTGCTGCCACAGGCTGCGGGCTGCTGGTGGAGGACGGAGGAGGGGGGTGCGGTATAGGGATAGGAGAGGGAGGGGGGGATAGTATGTATATGTATGTGTGTGAGCGAGGGAGAGAGAGATAGGGGGGTTCCGATGATGATGGATGAGAGGGAGAGAGCGAGAGAGATGGGGGAGATGCGAATGAGCAACGAAGAGAGGAATGCGCGCGTCACACAAACCCGACAAGCAGCAGGAAGCAGCAGAGCCCCCAGGGACACGCGGGGGTCGCTCAACCGGTGTGCCGCCACTGCCCCTGAACTCTATCCTCCCACACACACAAATCTCCCCGTCTGTGGCACTTCTCACACCTCCGTCACTCCTTCACCACTTGTTCATCTCATTCTTGCCCCACATCCACATGCATACATTCCAACGTGGCATAAACCACAAGTGTAATACCACATCAACCCCTTTATGGCTTTCAAAATACATTCCCGGTTCACTGGAAGGCTGTATGCCCCGGTGGCGTGAGCGGGGCGCGTCCGTGGCGCGCAACCTCACAACCTGTGCCCAACTGCCATACCACGACATCTTGTGGCATCCTCTACAACCCAGGAAGTGTGTACTGGGGGTGGCCGTGGCCCATACATATTCCTTGTGCATGGATGCTACACTCGACATGCGTAGCGGGCGGTTCCTTTCGTCGGGCCGTGGGTCCAGTTCTCCACCCAGCCGCCCCTTTTTTGACACCGTCCACGCCTTTTCCCTCCCACACAGACACTGCAAGTGTCTACACAAGTGGCTCTTTTTTGCTTCCAGGCGGCCTGTGTATATCTGCCACATCCGCACACAGCACCAGTGGGGACGGGTGGAAAGAGTGATGTCAAAAAAAAAAAAATGATTCCCCACCCCACGCCCGCCTTTTGCCCCGTCTCCTGCCACAGCCAGGCGCGTGACCTCTCAGGCCCGGCGATTGGTGGGGCAAATTCGTGTCCGCCCCGCGTACCGGCCGAACCCAACACGCCGATGGAAGACCGTCCTTCCGCTCTCGTGCGTCTCGCTGCTGCGAGCTGCACGGATACGAGGGGCAGAGCATAAAAAATGTGGCAGTACATAAGGCGGGGGTGACACATTACATCACCGGAAAACGACGCCCAGCTGACGGCCACCTTTTTGCAGCAGTGTGTGTTGCCACGTCTCACGCGAACTCACGCACGTCCCCCCCGGGGGCCCTTTGGTCCTAGCTGCTTCTTGCCATCTCTCTGCGTCTGGAGACCCTATGTTGGGTGGGACCTTATGCTGGGAAAGGACATACACGTCGTGTGCATGCCCAGGCATTTAGTTTGATTGAACATTTTTGCGGCTACTGCAGGCGGCCCAACCAGCAACGCCGAACAGACACGCCTAACGTTCTCGGCTGTTGCTTTGCCCAGGCGCGGCTGTCGGCGTTCTCACCCAGCACTGGTTCACCGGGTGTATCACATGTGGCGTGGCAGTCTCCCGAGTGGCGAAAGGTGCCCGTTGTTTTGCTTACATCTGGAGACTGCCTGAGGTGCTCGCCCTTTCGAGGCAGTCGTACCGAAAGGCCCTGTGCACGCTGAGACCTATCCTTAGGTCTTCAGCAATGGCGACGACGAGACCCAGCTTTGATACGATTTATTCCTACACCGTCCGCCATGAATCCGTGTCTCCTCTACCCCTTGGCACACGACAGTAGGGAACACATGTAAAAGATGAGAACCAGGCTGGTGTGCATACACGCAGGTCATTCCTTGTTGACCAGGTTGACCTGGCCCTCTCTTATCTGTTGTACTGGTTTTCATGCAAACGTTTCCAAGGCTGTCGACTAGGTTGTGTTGCCGGTCGCATCACGCATTGTGGTCTCCCGTGAGGGGACGGGCGACCAATCAATATTTTGGCGTCGAAGAAGAACACTGACACATCCACGGGCAACACTGTCAGGAGGACCGACACAGTTGGAATGGGCGTGGCGATGTACGGATGCATGTCAGACGCAAGGACCTAAACCAATTTTGTGGGGAGTATTGGGCCTACCCCCCAAACGGTGACACACTGGCACACTCACACACACAACGTTCTCACCGACATGCCTGCACAACTCTTCACCACAGTCCGCCCGGCGGGCATCGATCCAACTGCGCATTCCGTGAAACAAAAGACGCCACCATCAGTTTACACAAACTTGAACGCTGTGTGCTGCTGTTGCCTTTTCCTTATGCGCTTTAATGCCCGTTTATGCCCATTTTTACACCAGCGTAGGGCTCACTCGTCGAGGTGGGTGTGGCGACGTCGTGACGGGAACAGGAGATCTCTGTCCAACGCGCACAACTGCACAACGGCGTGGACAACACGTGTATCACGCGTGTGGGCGCCGACAGGCCCAGAGGTGGAATTCACGGCAGCAAAAGACACGACATGCTCCACACGGTACCGAGAATTGGCGACCAGTCAGCAACATACATACCTGACGCATACGTGTGTCGAGGCGGACGGAACACCAAACATCAACTGGCTGGGTCTACACAGCCCTCTTACAGCTGAAGGGCGTTGGTACGGCCAATAATGGCCTACTGACTGCAGCGCGCCACTGTCACAGTCAACCCCACGGCCAGCAGCCCCAGGCAGGGTAACGGCTGGCACAGGCCGGCAGCAAGCGGCATAGATGGATCGGTTGCCAGCTTAACCAGCTTGCTGTGGCAAGGGCCAATGGGTTTGCCAGGCCAGTGTGGCCAGTGTGTTGTGAAGTGAACGCAAGAGCCAGCGGAATATCTGCCCCCACCATTCCCACGGCCACACGTTGTGCCCCCCCCCGGATTGTCCTGTGATCCTCTGAGCCATCTCCGCAAAGCGCAAAAACACACTGTGCGATTTTGAAAATGAAAGACAATAGGCGCCGTGTGTTTAGGGGGCCAGGCTCCATACAAAATTCCGAGGGGGAAAAAACACACTATGTATCGATGAAGGGTGTTGAAAATGGCCTAGTGTGTTTTCCGAAACCTCCATCAGCGTGTCTACCCGCGGTCTCAAAAGTTGAAACCCTCACCACTGTACATTTAGAACACGCAGAGCTTGACGCGCGGGATGAAGGCTCATATGCATATGGTTGGTGTCTCGGGCAACTTTTTTCACAGGAACATACGTGCAGTGCGGCGGGAAGGCTATCGTCTCCCACCGTGGCCACCTTGGTTTAGCGCGTTCGCCCGCGTCTCGTCTCACAACAACAGTGCGCGAACGTCAGTTGTGGCGTACGCGGCCGCAGCCAGTTTCCGGTTGTATATCTATCAAGGAATGTCATGGGTGGGCTATATACAAGCACAGAATGTAGGGATGTGGGACTGGGCTGGGTCGTGGTAAGGGCAGACGCGAACGGGTGTCTGGGATTATCACAGAGGACGAGGCATAACGTCCTGTATTAGTGTATATATGGAGGGCTGGTGGTAGGGCAAGGCGAGGCGGAGACGAGCTATCGACAGGGCTTTGAGGCGAGAGCGTTTGCCTTAGGGCGAGTGCGGGTTGTTCGAGAGACGCGAGTTGGAAAGCGAGTCATACGTAGGGGGGATCTCGTTGCCGGTAGCGGCCTCCTCCTCGAACGCGCCGCCGTCCTGGTGCACAGTGATACCGTCGCTGGGGCCGGCAAGACTTGGGCCGCCGTACGTGGGCGAGTTAGGCTGGTTCTGGATGTGGAAGCGCTGCGACTCTTGGTACGCCTCCATCTGCTTGGCAGACATGCCGGCAGTGGCGGGGTCGTAGACGTTGCCGGGGACGGGCTGCGAGGGTCCACCAGCGACCTGGGCAGTAGGGAACGGCGTGACACCCGCGGCACCGGCACCACGGCCAGCGTAGCCAGCCGATGACGAGGTCGCGTGAGAGAGACCTTCGGCGCCAGCGTAGTAGTTGCTCTCCGAAGTGCCGCTGTGCGAAGCGGTGACCGCGGCACCGGGCGACAGGGTAGCGCCGTACTCGCCGTAGCTGTGGTGCTGGCTCATGTCGGGCGACGTGTGAGTGGCCGAGGTAGAGGCGACACCGTACGAGTAGGGGTCGACAGTGGGCGCACCCTCGTCGTCGGCAAGGTCCACAGGAGCATGGTTCTGAGCGCGGCCAGGGTCAAACTGCGGTGGGGGTTAGCCCTTTGCGGTGCCGTCATCCCAACAAATCAAAAGCACGTACCATCATGTCATCAAAGTCGTCACGGTAGTTCCTCCTGCGCTTGCGGAAGAGCCAGACGAAGAGACCGATGATGATAGCGAGACCGCACACGCCACCAACAACTCCACCAACGATAGCGCCAGTGTCTGGAGATTGGCATCAGCATTTTTTCTTTTTGTTCTCTGCCCAGCAAAACAGCAACTACTCACGGTTGGTGCTGCCGCCGCTGTGGACGGCTGCAGCCGAAGTCTCGACAGTTCCATTGGCATACGTAACAGTGGTGTAACTTGATATTGTCAGTGAAGGTCTTGGTCCCCAGTGGCGGCTTTGTTATCACTCACACATATGAAGTCACACCCTCAGCAACAGAAGACTGAGAAGAGGCCCCGGTCGCCGCACTGGTCACCGAACCAGTGTCTCCAGTGACCGATGCAGTGTTGGACGTTTCTCCAGTGTTTACAGGGGCAGACGACGTGACTTCGCCGCCAGTCGTCGGCGAGGTTGAGCCACCGCCCGTGGAAACGCCAGGGTCAGAGGTGGGGCTGGTCGTCGGGCTGGTCGTGGGACTGGTCGTAACACCCGGGTCCGAGGTGGTAGGAGTGACGTCGGTGGTCGTGTCCGGGGCGACCGAAGTCGTGTCGACGGTGGTCACTGGGGGGGACGTCGTGTCGACGACGACCGAGCTGGTGTCGGCAACGTTCGCGGACGTAGCAACGGCGGCTGAGGTAGCGGCCGCGTCAGCCGATGAGGACATGGCGGGGAGTGAAAGAAGGGGTGTGGGTGTGTTGTGTGAAGCAAGGAAAGGAAGGACGGGGGGGAGGAAACGAGAGTGTAGAAGTGTGTTTGTGTGTTTGTGGAAAAGCTGAGAAGAGAGAGGAGAAGGAGAGAATAGACAGTGCAGTGGAGTGGTGGTTTCCGAGACACACCGTATTTGGTGGTGGCAACGCGGCCAGGGGGGCGTTCGCGCCCACGGCCCATGGCACCCACACGGACACGACAACGGAAACGAACTCTACAGGCTTCTGGGTGGGCAGAGACCGGCGGCCGCAACATAGCGGGTCCAGGGCGTGCCGATATGCACGCAGGAATGCACGAGTCGCACCCAGAGCACACGCGGACAGACGGGTCGTGCCCAGCGCAGAGCGCACAACTCGTCCAACAAGATGGGCCCGACGTGGCCACCGCGGACGTAGGCACACGCCTGGATGAGCGCATTGCGTCGCTCCAGTTTTCCTGCTGCATGCCCATAGAGCTGTGTGGAGCGCCAGAAAGCGCAGACCTAGCGAGACCTAGGTGACGTACAGACACCTGCAGGAGAGCAGGTTACGTCCTGGTCGCTGCTGGACGACCGAAAAAAAACAACCCCTCCCCCCCAGCCAGCCAGACTCTGGCCCATGCCCGCGCCCTGGAGGCTCACAGGGCGAACGTGAGAATGGAGGAACGAGGGCGGTGCGCGACCAACCCGAGACACACTGAAAACATTCTTTCTTGTCAACAACACTCACCCATGCTTGTTTATGTGGTTTCCGAGTCGTGTGCGTGTGGATTAGAAGAACAAATGAGAAGAAGAAGAAGACGAAGAAGGATGTTTGTGTGTATGTGTGGATGCAGAGCAAGGTGGGATTGTCCGGCCTGAGCTCGGTGGGCAGAAGGGGGCAGCAGCAGAGGGAACGGTCGGACGACACGCGCTGGTGGGCCGGAAGGCTGTGCAAAGAAAAACAAGGGTGGTCGGAACCGGGGTCGTTCGGGTGGCGGCGCGGCAGGGACTGTTGGGTCTTTTCGACGAGACGTCGACTGGCAAGGATGGGATATGGAGCAATGCACGAGTGGTGATGTGGGGCCAGAGTGAGGTGAGCAGGAAAGGCCAATGCACAGTTAAAGGATGACTGGGAGGCGGGCAAGGTCTGGGCTCTCGTCTGTGCTGTCTGCGGCAAGAGGGGAAGATGTGGTGAGCACAGAGCGGGCGTTGCTTCTGGCGTGGTGGTGGGCACACTGCACGCGCTGCACGCGCGCGGTGGGTGCGTCGCGGGTGACCGCGCGACCGCGACTGCTCCATGCTCTCTGCCAGCGTTTACGGCACGGACCCCACATTCGTACCCACATGTCCGACGCAGCGACTATGCAGTCTTGGCATCCAGATCTGCACAGGCAAAAGGGCCCATACGCGAGCCCGCCATACAAATGGGTCTCGTTGGGCAGCGCTCGACCTTGTACACCCGCTACGCCTCTTTGCACTGCCCCCCATGGCATGTCAATTTATCCTCTTGCCGATTTCTCCTTTAGGCAAGTACCGTTTGCTCCACTACTGTACATGCACACTCACACCTGGGGGTAAACTTGGTCCGCTTGCTCCGTCTGCATAAAGGCGTCGTGAGGGGGACAAGGGTTGGACCGTCTTCTGCCGCTCTGCCGCGGACATGCCCCATCCCAGGTCCATCCCGCCCATCCCGGATACCGGATCCATGCCAGTCGCGCAAAAGCGCTGGGGAGTATGGAGCTATGTGCCGGACAGGAACCCGAGAGCGTGAACGACGCTCCTTCCGACTTACCGCCGCTCGGCTCACAACTCTTGGCACACAAAGGAGAGAGAGAGAGAGAGCTGATCGCTGATCGCTGACCATGGTGCGCTGGATGCAGAGTGTGCAGCTCGCAGCATGGCCAGACCGACTAGCTCCTGGTCATTGCTGCCCTCGTACAATGCGCCTTTCGCTTCGCCCAGGGTGCCCAGTAACGGTTGCAAGTCAAGGCGACGTTGGTTTCGTGACTGGCCAAAAGGTACCGCGTTGGAGATTCGAGTGACTCTCGGCCATGTACGTGGTCGCGCTACACGGTGGGCAGTGACAGGAGGACGAGGGCGTGTGTATGCTCGCAGTGCAGCAAGACACACCCGCCAAAGGTGCACATCTGAGAGTGCTATTGCTTTACGAGTGATAACCCCACTCATTGATCGTGAGGGGGGACACATTCTTTGCAGCTCGCGGCTCGCTGATCACTGAGAGGTCTGGAACTTGATTCCAGCACTGCGCTCATTGCACAGGCTGGCCGTTGGCCGTTGGGAAACCCTTCATACACGAGGGGCAAGAGTGAATCCTAAGGGAATGCACCGTGGTACCCGCGCCACGCAACATTACCGAGCCAACTCTAATCGAATTAATCTTCAGTTTGCATTCCAACCACCGGCGGGAATCGTCGTGGCAAGTGCATGGGATGCGATGTACGCGTGTAATGTTGCCAATTTACTTGACACTAAGGTGACATTGCCGTCTTTCAACCGTGGTGTGTTATTACGGGATGCGGCCAAAGACACAGGAGCCTCGTTCTCCCTCTTCCGGCGACAAGGTCGTTCGGGATCACACATGGCGGCAACTGCCCCCAGCTTGGTCTACGATTGCTCGTTCTCTTGCATCTGCACACTCTTCCACATCGACAAAGTTGGCCGGCCATCCAGCGACCACACCTGGTTACCGACAGGCAACTGAGGCTCGAAAGTGACAGTGGTCGCGGCGGTGCCACAATTCAACACAGACGGCAGTCATCTTGCTGGCCTCTCAGACTGCCGCACTTCGGTGCATCCTCGCCTCGCCTCTTTACTATCCAGGACGTCTCTTCACCCATTATCTACCCTTCTTCTTCCACCAACGCAAGGTCCTTACGAGCCACTCTGGCACATAGCAAACAGTGGTACACGAAATCCACATGCGCGAGACTGTGGACGCCCTTGCATCGCCATCCCACCGGCTGTTCACCTCCCAGGGCCGTCCCCAGTCCACGACTCGCTCATCCACCACCTTCCTCGTCCTCTTCCTCCGCAACTCCAAAAAGGAATGCTTCAAGAGCACTCAGAAGAGCTTCCTGACGGAGAATCGAACTCCGATCTCCCGCGATCAGTGCAGAGATGCAGTGACAAGCGAGCATACTAACCGTTATACGATCAAGAACTTGGATATTATGTAGAAATGGCGTATCGCCGGAATCTGGCCTGGTCATTTCGTCTGCGAAGCAATCTACGTCTGCGCCTGGTTTGGACCTCGAAAAGCCATCCACAGCGGCCCCGGCAAGGCTGTTCATGATGCTCTCATGTGGCATTAGCGCTGATATGCTGCGAAGAGGGGCACCAGCCCCTCACATGCCCCCACATTTCGGCCACCAACTCAACGACAGGACAGAACCCACCATTGGACGCCTTTGCGCCTTGGGCGTCCCCGGAGACGCACGTTAGACAAGGCCAAAGCCATCAAGCCATCAAGAATGGAAAAAATCGAAACATGACAGGCTTGACGGTGGGTACGTGGGCTTGGCGGACGACGGAGCTTTGCGGAAGGGGGGGAGAAAGGCACACAGTGTCCTCCTCCGCCACAGACCCTTGCAGCGTGGCGTTGGCTTGTCAACTGTCCGCATTATCCCTGCCAGAACGACGGCTTTTCAGTCTTTCTTGCTCCTCTGTGTCCTGCTTGCACTCGGCCGACGAGGAATGTAATAACGTTCAAGAAAAAAGAAAAGGCACACCCTCGGGCACATCTGCATCCGACGGACGCCGCCGCCGCCGCCGTGTGGCTGTTCCCCGACGCCGACGCCTCGTGACGTCGATGGACCTTAGGAGCCTTGCCAGCTTGCCACGGGGGTGGCACGCGGGCTTCAAGGCTTCCTGCTTTCAGCTCGGTGCCCGCACCTTGGCATTGGCGTCGCGGCGTCGGCGTCGGCGTCGACAGGTGCTGGTTCTCAGGTGGCATTGCTGAGGCGTTGCGGTCAGCGAGGTCAGCGACACCCTTCCCCTCCCTCTCCCCCTCCCCAGCTCCCAGGATGCCCCGATGGCGTTTGTCGCGTGGACGGAACGCACCTTACACAGGTCGGCGCCGCCTCGGTCGTGTCGGTCGTGGACGTCATCGCCGGTCGCCGGTCGCCGGCCGGTTCGGGCCTCGGCGTCTTGGTCATGTGCAGATGAAGATCCCCGCGCGCCCCCGCGCAGTCACCCCGTTTGTTCGCTAGGGACACACTCCTGGTGCCACATGCCGCCCAGGTGGATGCCACAAAGCCCGGCCCCCGTATGCGAGTCGCGCACCGCGCTGCAGGTGCTGCTGCAATTACATCCTACCTCCCCCACTCCGTGTTGCACGTCCTGAAAGGTCCGTAGGATACAGCGTGCCTTTTGTAACAAGAGAAGAAACAAAAAAACAAAAAATAAAGGTGTAGTGTGTCGCATGATGTGTATCCGCCCCCCTCTCTGCTACGTCCTCTCGAATTTGAATATGTCCTTTGGGGTGCTGAACCCAAGGTGAACCTCTCCGTTCTTGCACCGCACGCCTGACCCAATCCTGCATCATACGTAACTGCCGTGCTTTCATGCTCGACGTCGGTGTGCTCGCTAGCCTCGGATTTGGGTGTCACGGGCCGAGTTTGGCCTGTGTATGTACGACTCCCGTCTTGTATGCCGTGACCCATGGTTCATGGCGAAGCGCGTAGCGTTTAACAGGACCAACGACGGGCGTTTGTTAAGCGCGGCGCAGTCAGCTGGGGCAAGTGTGGCAGGAGACAGAGTACAGAGTACAGAGTGCGGCAGCCACGCCGTTTCCAAACCCGTCACGTCTGGTGCTAAACAAGTGCCCGTGGCCACCAGAGTTCCAGCCCTGTCAGGTGGAGGGAGGGTGGTGAACAACCCCCTCCGCGGACCGTTATCGTTTAGCGCGCAACGGTCTCGGACAGTCGGAAAGGGTGTGTCTAGCGCAGACATTCTTTTTCCTTTAATATTTTTTTTCTAGCTCCACCAGGTCGCGTTCGCACAGCCTCGGGGCCAGGAATTGTCTCGGTGCGGCTAGACCAGTTTTACCTGCTCTCTGCCGTCATTGTTTGGGTGCTTCAATGCTCAAGTACATCCGCGATAGAAAATGAATTTGTAACGCAACCAAAAAGAAAAACCCAGGTAACAGGAATTGGTCTAATCGACACTTGAGGCGTTCCCAAGACTCGTTAGACCCCACTAGAGACTGTGTAGACGTTCCTCATCATGCAATTCATTCAACGCGCGCAAAACCCCTTGCGTGAATGGCTGGCATGTTTAGACAAGTGGTAGTGTCGTGCCAGGATCGTTACAGACACTTTCACCTGCTCAGGAGCGTTGGATTGTATGTCTGTGTCAGTTCATTTGGGCACAAGTCGCACTGTGAGCCAAGCTCGCTCGGCAAACGTTTGTACTACTGTGGCGCATGGCCAGTGCTGTTACATCATGACACTAGACTGAAGTTCGACAACGGCAATGGGGCGTAGAACACGCGCGGTAAAATCTAAACAATCGGCCTCGGTTGAGCGTGAACCCCAAAGGAGTGCAATGGGGTACAAGACAGGATTTGCCGAGGGAATCCTATGTGTGCAAGGAGACATGGTGGGGGTATGGGCCATGTTGAGAGGCCTGGGTGGTGTGGGTCGTCACGAATCGAATAGGGGCGGGGAGTCGAGGCTGCTCGAACACCTCCAAAACAAGAAAGAAAGAGAAAGACATGGGTCGGGGAGAACAGAGGGAAGACGCTAGGCCTACTCTCGCCTCAAGGGAGCAAGGCGGACCGGCTGAGGCGAGATGCTACGACGGTACTCGGGTGCGTACGCGTACGATCCACGCCTGTGGGTGGGCCAGCCGGCGCTGGGGTGTGGGCGGAGCAAGTAGCCCGCGTCAAAGGCCGGGGCGTGGCGGGGCTCGGCGTCCCATCCGCCGGGGCCACGCTCACGCTCGACGACGAGCGGGGCCGTGCGCGGGCCCGACCCAGCACCAGGAGACACGCGGTAGGGGTGGTGGCGGACCTCAGCCTCGTACTGCGCCGATGGCGGGTACGAGTACGGCCACTCCTGTTGGTGTGGCGGGGCCGACGTTGGCACCCCAACGGGTCCGTGGCCTGCCGACCAGGTGCGGCGGTCGCGTGCCGATTCCAAGCTGCCGCGACGGCCAGCATTGGCGGCTGCTGCCGCCGACGAGGCAGCGTTGGCAGCAGCAGTCGATGTGGCCACACGGCTGGTGGCAGGACGACCAGGGCAAGGACCGCGCTTCTTTTGGGTGGCCGTGTAGACGCACACACGACCAGACTCGCGGCAGCGCGAGCAGGTGCCGGTCGAGCCAGGGTGGCCGCCAGCATCACAGCGAACCTTGCGCGCGCGGCATGCATCGCATGCCTTGGTTGTGCGGGAGATGGGTGCACGGGCGCCCATGTTGGCGTCAAACGGCATACCCACCAGGCCTGGTGGGTACTGAGGAATGTCGTAATATGGTGGGTACTCGACGGTGTGGTATGCCGAAGTGTGGCGGCGGCTTGCCTCGGGGCGGCCGTATGGGTGTGGGTGAGGCGCTGTCGGTGGACGGTAGTCGTAACGCTCCGGAGCATAGTAGCGAGCATCGGGGTGGACAAGCGGCGCAGAGGGGGGTCCGGGGGGCACGCCCATGGGATCGTGGTGCATGGCGTGAGGGTGGTGGTGAGGTGGAGGCTGGTGGTGGTGAGGGTGCTGCTGCTGGTAGTGTGGGGGAGTGTGCGGAGGTGCGTGCGACTGGGGCTGGTGCGAGAAATAGTCGTCATGCCTGCGAGGCTCGTTGAGGAGAGCAGCAATGTTGCGGCGCTCGTCGCTGGGCTTGCGAGTGAGGGGGACGCTGTCGGTGCGGGGCAGCTGGGAGAGGGAAGGCAGAGTGGTCAGAGGTGCTGGACGGCGCTTGCCATCCTGCATCATGCCACCTTGGCTGCCGTTGACGCCCATGGGACCAAAGTTGGGGCTTGGACCGTCCATGTTGATGCTGCGTGGTGTGCGTGGAGAAGAAGAAGGCGAGCAGCTGCTACCGGTGGACTGGCGGGGGTTGGAGAGTGCTGGAGTGTGTGCCGGGGCAATGGATGACTGGGTGTTGGCCGTGTCGGGTCGCCTAAGCAGAGTGGAGAGTGAAGGGAGACTGGAGGACTCGATGGGGGCGGGGATCATGACTGTCGGCTGGACACCGCGCTGGTCTTGAAGGGGGATGGGGATTCTTGGGATGAATCCAGTGAGCGAGCCACAGGGTGTTGCAGAGTGCAATCAAAGGCGGAGAGATGAGGGTAGGTGGGGGCCGGTGTGGTGACTGTGCACAGGGAGAGCGGCTGTGGCGGCACGGTGGCGGGGGTGCACGGCCGTCGTCGACAGTGTGGTGGGTTGGGGTCGTTGCGCAAGGAGGGTGATGTTCGAAGGACTGAAGGCTACGTGGGTTGTGCGGTGTGGGGGTTGTGTGAGGGCAGATGTTTATGGGTGAGGGAGTGTGAAGGAGGGGAGACGAGGATGTGGTCCTGTGAATGTCGTTCTCTTTATGGACGCGCTTGACAAAGAACCTGCACGAAGGGGGAGAGAGGGAGGGAGAGAGAGAGAGAGAGTTTGAGAGAAACGCGCGTCAGGAATGAGCGAGACAGAGGTCAAGGAGAGACAGGCTTTGGGGAGAGCGGAGAGAGGGGGCCATTGAATGTGGGTCTCTGGATGCACTAGACGGCGGCGGCAGCAGCAGCAGCAGCAGCAGCACAACACACTGCGCGCACTGTGTGGCGTCGGGTGTCTGCCGTTGATGCCTGTCGTCCCTCTCTCTAGGGTTGAGACCAAATGTTCATCCCCACCCCCCACCCACCTCTCTCTCCTGGCTCTCCTGGGGGGGCCAGCAGGACCGAAAGAGAGGGTTCAAGGAACGTAATTGTTCCACAGACGGCGCCGCGCACGGAGGGTTTTTTGGGCCACCAAAAGTCGCATGCCGCACAGAGGCTCCATGGATCCATGGACCCGAACTGGCGCGGGCTGGCCGCCCGACCGTCCGACTTGGCGGGCAGGGCCCAAGGACTGATGCATATAGAGTTGCGCGCCGAGCACTGGTATCGATCGCGCAAGTCTCCCGTCAGTTCTCCGACGCTTTTGATCTCTCTTTCTGTTGAATAAAGCCCACGGTATCAGTCACCGACGCCTGGTGCGCGTGTCGGATGAACCCCGTCTTGCGCCTTCCTTCTCGTTGCATCTGGCTGGCGAGATGGATGCCTGCCCCCTTGCCCCCCTCTTCGGCCCTCCATGATGCATTCCATGTGTTGCCGTCTCCCTTTTGCTGCGTGTGCCGGCACTTTGGAGGGGAACGCCCAGGACAAAGAAACTTCGAACTAGGCAGCGTGTGCGAGATTCCCTTATGGGTGGTGCAGATCCCTGCCACTGCTGCTGGCTGGGGGGCCAGCGGCCTATTCAATGTGTTGTCTCTGGTCGTCGTCGCCGCTGTGTCTCCTTTTTTGTGCATTCATTCATCAACCCCGCCTCTGGCCCTCTGCTCCCTCACGGCCAGGGTGCCTGCGCCAACGCCACCTATGCACTCTGTCCCCCCGCTCTGCGCCGCTCCCCTCTCCCCTCCGCGCACGCCGCGGCACTCGGCAGACTCGGCTTCTAAAGAACGCCATTTCTTTCGCCTCTGGCCCCTCTGGTGCTGACATGCGTCTCTCTGCACATGTGCATGCCGCACGTCGATGAGGTGGCGGGGGAAAGCCAAGCCAGCTGCAGGCAGGTATTGCCCCCCCCCCCCCCCTCCCCCAATGAGACGCACGCCACCGCCACTGGCTCAGAGTTGTTTTTGTCCCTGCCATCCGACCTATACAGAGGCCGGCTTACACGCACGCACGCACGCACGCAAGGCCCCGCAGCGCGGCCCAACCTACTTTCGCCTCTCGGGCCTCGAGAGACGGCCACTCTCTCCATGTACCTCTGGGTGTCCTGTGCCTCAATTCAACTGGTGACCGCCAGGCAGAGTGAGACACACACACACACACACACACGCTCCAACTCATACATGTGTCGAGCTCGCCGCCAAAGATTCTTTTAGCAGACTGCCATGCGCAGCACAGTCGCAAAATCCCCCACAGCTGAAATGGACACGCTGGACAAGGGCCCGAGACATGAGGCAGCCTGCCGCTTCCGTGCCGACCCGTGCTAGATCTAGCGCAACACGCAGACAGGCAGCAGCAGCCCACGCTGTTTGTGTCCTATTGAAGGTTGCCTGGTAGCGCGACACGGTTCGTGTTTGTGCGTGCAGGAAAAAAAAAGCACGTAAAAACCTAAACCCAACCCAGACATGCGCAGACACTGGCCCATGCTCGGCGATCAGTTTATCTAGAATACCCACCATGAACCAACATGCCGTCATCCGTGACCAACACTTGTCACGCGCTGTTCATGACCATCCCAGCAGTCTCGATCTAACGAACGATCTGGAACCACACTGCCGTCACCTCTTGACGCAGACGTCTCTCCAGAGTTGGAACTCTCTTTTTTTTCCATGACCCCCATGCCTCGTTGATGGCGGCCGTGCCAAGGTTCGCAGCCATCAACCATCAGTAAGCCCACCCCGCGCACGTCCTGCACATCGCTTGGGCGGCGGCCGGGTGGATCTGGCGGCGTTCGGACCTGTGGCCGCTGCTCGTGATGCGCCAGTGCATGAGACGGGGCTGGTGGCTCGTTGCATCGTGTCTGCGTCTGGATGTGGTGGGCAAGCATCTGCATGGAACGAGTGCTTAGCCAAAGGGCCAGTCGGCGCACAGAAGGCGTAGCGTGCAGGGCATTGGCGCCGCACCGTAAAAACCTAGAGCCGTTGGGCCGTTGTGCATATGTTGGCACGCGCGCACACAAACTAACAGCGCGCGTCGCGGCCTCGTCGGAAAAGGGCCGGGACAACTAGACACAGGCCACAGAGACACAGACCGCGGATCCGCGGACCGACGGGGGATGGACGTGCAGACACGAGACTCTGCCGGCACACCGATCTCGACATGCACAAACGTCGTGCACACTATGAACAGTGCTCTGCGAAAGCATCTCGATATAGAGCAACCGTATATTCCCACTGCCGATCGTGGGCTCTCTGATCTGCGTCTCTTTCGGGCCTGAATCCAACGACGTACTACATCTGTGGCAGGTCCCAAAGCGAACCCCTCTCGGGCGACGCCCAGCCGCTACAGAGAGGGATGGACGCGTCGAGGCTTGCGGACAAGCTCCAACGTGCAGCACCGTTGTGTATTTGCGGTACCGCCCCAAAGTGTGGGTGCGTACGTCTGGGCCTTATGCTTCCATCTGTACGGCATCAGAGCACCTCGACAGAGGCACATGTATTTGCGCGCGGGTGTGGCGCCGGCCGTGCTTAAGCTTGCTTGTCCCTGCGCCACGATAACGACGCGCCGGGGTTGGTGTGTGCCGAGACCTGAACAGGAGAGGCCTATTCTTTGTGGGCCAGGACACGCAAAACTAGGATGACAAAAAGCTGCTAGAAACACTCTGCGGTGCACGATGTCAAATGGGAGACCGTGGGACAGGATGCCTTGAAGGGTCAAATGAACCGTAAATGAAGATGCAGGACACTTGCAGAACTGCGCCGATGGGCAGAATATCAAAAGCGTTCGGGTTGACCCCCCCCCCCCCCCCCCCCCCCCAGCACAGCAGTAGTTGCTCCGGATAGCCGTCTCGGCGCGCGCATTCTCCCCCGGGTGCACTCGGCTTGGCCTATGCCGACCCGTGTACCCGTGTTGACCGTCGTGATGAATGCAAAAGAAGGTGAATGGGTCTCCCATCCCAACCTGTGCGACACTCGATGCGCCAACACCCAAATGCACCGACTGCGGCGCCACCCACACCTTCCGGCGGCTGTGGCGTGTTCCCAACATCAGTCCCCCCCCCCGCCCGCCCCGCCGCTCGGCCAACAGTGCCAGCCCCCATTGGCCCTGCCGCGCAACCTGCAGGTGGTGGCGCAGATCCTCGATCCTCAATCTGTGTCGTCCTCTGCATCGATGACGACCTCGTTGTGACCCTTGTGGGCCGGCTCGGCACCAAGTTTGGGGGCGGTTGCCTCGCGGGGTGCCTTGTGTGCACCTGGTGGTGGTCTAGTTCAGTTCAAGAGCCAGAGAATCAATCTCAGACACGGTGTAACACATCCAGTCTAGCGGCAGAATGAAAAGAATTTGCCTGTGCTTCAGTTACAGATCGGAACCACGATCAGGCGAAACCGCCCGCTAGTTTCGTGTATTGCAGAATGGAATACACGCCACATTCGAACACGACCTATCGGCACCCGCTACTGTACATACACCATCTGAATCGATCACACTACTGAGCTCTCGAGTGACAAGTGTATGGGCGGCAGAGGAGCCGAGTTTGGCTCCGGCCGCGGGAGAACACATCTGCAAACCGTGTCCTAGGTGTTACCAGTCATTTGGTCTCCCCCCCTGCAAAGGACCCACCTGTCCCACATACCGAGCCGCGGACCGCAGCAGTTCCTTTCTTTGCATATGCACTCTGCACAAATGCCCCTGCACAGACTCTTGGGGACCGACCGCCAAAACATGCAAAGCCAGCTGAGGTCTGGTCTGTCGACCTTTGACCACGCCTCCGCCCAAAACCGAAGCCCCCCGTGCGGCGTGGCGGCGGTCTCGGACATGTCAATGGGTCTATTAACAATTCACAGGGTAAAACGACGACAGTGGCGCTCACACATGTGAGGGTTCCTCGATGGGCACCACATTCACAAAGGTGCAGTCTCGGTGGCCGTGCGCTGCGCAGTCAGTCCCGATCCCAATGGCCGAGGTCGAGGTCGAGGCGGGGTGCGAGAGGGGAGCGGAGATCGAGCGAGACACTGCGAGACAGACGAGACACAGAATCAGAGAGAAACAGAATCAGAGAGAAACAAAGGGGTAACGGCACTACAGACACGATGTTTGGACACTGACACACGAACATGTGCATAAATAGCGTGTTCTTTAGGCTCTCGTCTACACGTACCATGACGTTGCTTGCGACAGAGGACCTCAGATCTGCCTCACGACTGCGGGGGAGAGGTTACCTACAGTTGCGATAGCAACAGTAGTGGTCCGTGGCACGCACATCTCGGGGTGCGATTTTGCCGAGTATGTTGGCCGGCAGGTCAAACTCTCCCCACAGACCGCAGCACCCCCGTTCGCAACAATAGATACTGGACACGCATTGTGCTCATGTATTTGGGGAATGCTAAGGCTACCCAAGTCTGTACCAAAAGTAGAAAATACCGTTACCAAAGAGTAAATACAGGAATGCAGGAAAAATAACACACACAGTCCACCACAGTAATCAAACCTCCGTCAGGCGACACATAGGGAGTGTAGGGAATGCGATAAATGCAGGGACGGTCAGACAAAGGCGACTGACCGGTCCTGCAGGACCACGGTCATACAAGAACCAGGAAGCCACGGACTCAGGCCCCACCTCACTTCACTCTATCCAAGGGACGTATGGAAGGAAAGGCAATATGCCCCGTGGACCAGACCGACGGAATAACCGGGTCGAACGGCGAGGCGCTCGGCTTCCGGAACCACTCCCTGGCATAGATGAACTGTGTGGCTGCGTAGGATATTCATCCCCAGTGCCCCCACCCCCGCGGCCCCCCCACGGTCCTCACCGTCCTCAATCCCAGTACGGCCGTGTACACTGGTGAACAGGGCTGGACACGCCGGCGCAAGTAGAGCGGGACCAGCCGGGATAACGCCGCCGACTCGGACCAGCTCTTGTGCGGTATGGCCGGCCGTCCAGACCCTCGTCGTTGATCTACATGCCTCCCCCAGCTCGCAAGCCCCTGGGGGTAGCCTCTGCATACGTTCATATCAACTTGCAATCGTGGAAGCATGTCGGAGCAAGTTTGGCCGAGGGAAGCCTGGCCCACACTCTGTCGTCTGCTCGCCCTCGCTGGACAGCGTGTACCGCCCAGTGGCCAGTGATGGTTGCTGTAGGCCTGTGCCTGTGTTGGCCACCTCGTCCCTCGACCGGCGGCCCTTGTCGGACCGCGTGCAACAACCCTCAACTTGGGGAGCTTGGCTCCGACCAGCTTCCGAAGTGCCAAGCAAGCGTTTCAATAATTATGCCGGATCGATCGCCACTGCCACTGCCCGAAAGAGCCACAACCGTTGACGCCTGGTGTATCTCGTTTGTGGCAGTCGGAGGTTTGTCGCTTCCGTTTGTGGCTTCCGTTTGTCGCTGGGGGTTTGTCGGCCTGTGCATCGCGTCGGGTGTACCTATCCCACCCCTGGTGCCATCAAGGTGCAGCGCACAGAATGCGTAGACTTTTCGATCGCCGTTGAGTGCCAGGTGCACATCTGCGAGCACCAGCAAGACGCGTTACGACGCGCGCATTTCGTGACCAAACGCCCCGCTAAGCCTTTTCTCTTCTGCGCCACGACAATCACTCCAAGGATCCAAGGACGCGTCAAGCCTCGTCAAATACAACGCTTGGCGAGGCACGCCACGCCATTTCAATTCCCATTCCCATTCCCATTTCCGTTTCCTTTTTTGTGCGCGTCGCACGTCCTCTTGTATGAATTAAGAGCAACAGAGAGGCAAGGTGACAAAAAAGCCGCCCACTCGGTAGCGCACCTGTTCAGTCACACAACCGCTGGTACACTGCCTCGGCACATGTCTGAAAGGCAGTCAATGCCGCGGAAGAAGGCCTCGATCCTGCCCATGCCGCGGATCCAGGTCAGGAGAGGTCATTCCGTCTCTGCTGCGGATGCGGGGTCTGGGTGCAAGAGACCAAGACTGGCGGCGCACCGCACTGGACGGCATTGATAATAGGCGGCTGGCTGCCTCCGGCGAATGCCTGCTCCAGAAGTGATGGTGGCTGGAAAAGTAGTGCTTGCAATTGCGATCGTTAGGTCTGGCCTAGTCGTCCACGGTGGACAGCCTATCCAGGGGTTAACAGGTTAATAGACTGACTGCTCTGGATCCCAAATCGTGAGTAGGACCGGAGTATCAACGGAGGTCTGCGGCTGTCTCTCCCCCAGGAATTTTCGAAGGCAATTCTGGTGACATTTTCAAGGATTAATCTTGCGCACTCCTCTAACCCGGGCGCAACCCAGCATCATCACACTGGGTTTCCTGCACCTTCCTGCACCAGTATCCTGGTCTAAGCCAATGCAGGGCGCTTTTGCTCCTTTTTTCACTTTGCTGGGCTCGACACGTTGTGCATTTGCCTACCTGCCTCTCCTACAAAGGCCGTTCAGACGAACAGTTGTTCCGTGCCCTATCTCAATGCAATGACGCCCAGCCCCGGATTTTGGCCGGGTGCGGCGTGGCGTGATGGCGTCGCGGCGTCGGTGGCTCGTCGGGCTAGGTGGCTCACCGGGCCGGGTTCGGGGTCGGACCTGCCAACTGTGAGGAATCCCTGCACGGGCATTCGGTGCCCTCCGCTAGTCGACGGCCCTCCCTCTCCCCCACCTTCGACGCCAACCCTAGGAGCCGCACATTGCACTCTGGCCAACCTGACTCACTCTGCTGGCCACGTTTCCCGTCCACCCGTCGAAGGACGTCCACCACGCCATCCCGCCCGAGGCCCTGTCTTGCCACCGCACTCACCCCCCCGACTGGCCTGAGTAAAACTGTAAATGCTGCCATCGTGCTGCCATCGAGGGCTGTTTCTGTGCTGACCGCGCATGCTGACAGAAGGGGAGAGGTAATGTGGCGCTTGACACTCGGAGGGGGCTGGTGCGACGACCTCGGCCCATGAGAGCGGGAAAACTGGGCGGTCGGACGTGCAGGGCTTGTTCCAATGTGTGCGGTGGGGTAGCTTGCACCGGCCAGAGGTGGCGACGCAGTCATGTGAGATCTTCAGCGGCAGCTGCAGCTTGAGTTTGTGCCACCGTTCATGTTGGGACCTCGGGCCTGATTCTCACCGCGCCCGATGTTGCTATGAGATCATGTTCCCTTGTCTAAGCGAGACGCCGCTGCCCATGTGGCCGGCACACAGAGTCCAAAGTGCTCCGTGGGAGATCGAGGCTACTTGGGTCTTCTGCCTCAACGTGTTCGGTGCGTGGTGGGCTCGTGTTCGGCGATTCTTCTGAACGCGAGGCGTTCGTCCACCCATGACTTCTGCGGACGGACGTCGTGCAACATTACCAAGATACCAGAGTGTGGTGGATCTACGAGTCAAGTGCGAGGTACAGCTGTGGAGAGATGAAACATCACGTCTGCATTCCTGGTCCGTACTTATTCCCACCGATGTAGATGTCGATGGTGAGAGTAGCACATGACCACGCCTGAGAATACTGACCGAACAGGTCGTGAGATCTGCCCCGTTGCTCGACGCCAGCCACGGAGGGGTTGGAAGCTGCCGAGAACCGGCCCCGCACGGCGGTCTCGCAAGATCACCGGCCATTTCTCGTGACGGCTCCATACTTGAAGCGAGACAAAAGTGGCGCGTGAGAACAAAGTGCGTCATCCCCAGACCTTCCAAAGCTTAGATCCAGTACCGCAAGCCACCTCTCGGCAAGCGGCCATGCAAGCGGTGAGTACAAGGTCAGGAAGATCAATAATAACACCCGATACAGCCTGACAACACGGTAGCCACGAGGAAGCGACACAGTACGCGAAACAACCGCCAGGAACTAACAGAATAGAACCTGATAAGTGTATTAGTGGTAGCCTCCCAAAAGCTCATGTCAATCCTCTACAATCCCGATCTGGTATCTCGGCGACGACAATTGCATCCAATGGCGCAAGTTGCCGTGACTCAAATACTGGTTGTATTGATTAAGTTGACACCAAGACGAATGCGTCGAGAGCTGCCCAAGCTGCACAAGCAATCTCTGCACCAGCGGCAGCAAGAGCCTCGTGTGGGAGGGAAGTGGGAACGGACGGTGAGACGAGGGCTGCAGCACGCACAACCGCGTCTGACGCGAGGACGATGGCGGCCAGCGGGACAGATCCTGGACGGCGAGATGCGAGGACAACGGCAAGCGCGAGCGCTGACGCGGCCGCCTCGAGGCCTAGGAGGGTGGCGAGCGCTGGCGCAGCAAAGTCGTGGATGCGGATACCAATTGTGACTGATCCCACGGCAGCAACTAATGCCAGCAGACGGGCACCGAGAAGCACCTTACGTGCGAGGCGGAGCTTGGCGTCATCGAGGACAAGACCGCGTGGAGCGAGTGGTGCGCTGGGAAGGGATCCCATTGGGATGCCAGAGGGCCCGTTAGAGGTGGGAGCTGTACCGCCCACTGCTCCGGCACTGATTCCCCAGCCAGCAAGTAACGACTCAAGGCCAGTCTCGTCGTTGCCTGTCTGCGGAGGGAACATGCGCTGACGACCGACACCAAACGAGTCCCAATCGTCACCCTCTGCGGCAGACATGCTGCCTGGTGCCAGTGATGGTTCCCAGTCCATGGGCTCGGATTCGTCGCGGTTCTGGACGGGCTGGACCATGGATTGCTGCCCAAAAACGTGGTTTGAAGCGGCGGGGGGAGGCTGAATGGGTGCCGGGTTGAGAGAGAGGGATGACAGCGACGCTGGTGACTGAGCCGCAGCAGGCGCAGGTGTTGCTGATGGCGAGGCATGGATGGGTCGAACAAGTGTGAGTGCCACTGGCTGAGAGACACGAAGCTGGTACAGTGCTGCAATGGTCGCCTGAATGTCAGTTCACTCGTGGCGACCAAACTTACAATGAAGTCGGACGCAGCACATTTCACCAGTAAGCTTGGGGCTTTGACGGCTCCATTGCGGGACCACGATGAGAGGAAGATGGCAGTGCCAGTGCGCAGGCAGCAGAGAGCGAGCATTGCAGCCTGGACAGTCAGGTAACGAGTTGACGGCTTCACTCACGACCCAGGCGCTGCGTCCTTCCAATGCGGCTTGGCTGCGAGTACGGCGAAGCCATGTTGGATCCCACACAGCCCAGAGGATAGCGAAGACTCTGAAAACGAGGACGTAGGTAGTCGCGCGAAGCCCAATGGTGCGCGACGAAGCCACAGTCGCCAGGTCGTCAGGCGCAAGCCACGCTTGTCCGGGATCAGCTTCCTTCCTAGACAGCAAACAAAACACGTACCTGCCAGACCAATGCCCCAGCTCATTGCCGCGTCGAGCACCCATAACACCCCCCTCACGCGCCACATCCCAACCTCGACCACGCCGAGAGACCGTCCCGGCTTGTCGGGCTTCATGGCGCCGCGCCGCAACGCTCGTCCCCATGCCTCGGCCTGCGCGCGCTGGTCGGACCGCTTGAGGGCGTCGTCTACTGACGGCTGACAGGCCGCACACACGGGAGGGTATCGCTCGTGAAGAGAAGCAATGTAGCGTGGGAGATCGTCTGAGAGCCCCTGATATGAAGGATCCTGGCGACGTCAGTCATCGCGCGGCGGGCAATGGGGAGGGGTGCGCGAGTGGGCGAGACGGAACGGTCGTGGAGGGAGGACGTACGCTCTCGTCGGGGAGGTAGTTGCTTAGAAGGTTCATGACAAGTGTTTGGTTCGTGACACAGTCTCGGCAGAACGGCGAGGATCGCGTCGAAGACGGAGTTGGGAGACGCGCAGAAGAGGGCCGGCCTGGGCACACCGTATCAGTGTATGACGTGACGCTGCCGCGATGCAGTAGGTGACGGAGGTGGTGCGCAACCGTCGTCACCGTCCACATCCACAACCCAAACAACGCCGTGACTCACCTCGTTTGGCAAAGCTTGCGCCATTGAGCGTGGAGTCGCGCATGGCAGGGAGGTCTCCCATGATGACGCCGCGGCCGTCGTAGACGTTCCAGCAGCCGCATTCGCTGCAGCGCCAGTTGGCGGGCCGTGCTCGCGGGTCTGCGCCTGGGGTATCTTGGGCATCTGCGGTGAGGCAGTAGTAGCACTCGCGCTGCTTTGGCCTGCGAGCCAGGCGCATGATATTATAGGTATGTGCGGGAATGTGTTTGTTGAAATGGTGTCAGTTGGGTGGCGACGGATTTGGATTTGACGAGTGGAATCTCGGAAAACACAAACGACAGGGGAGAGGGGGGCGAACTCGGATCTCATCTCCGTTCGTGTCCATTACCCAACATCCACTGCACTCCACCCCACCATGTCATTCTCATCACGCTCGCGCAACCCAAACCCGCTCCTCAACACCGTGCGCAAGCACCCATTCGTCTTGTTTGGTCTGCCCTTCCTCTCCATCGTCGTCGTGTCCAGCTTTGCCCTCAAATCGTTCACCCAGAACCGCTATGACCTCGACAATCAAAAGGTCCAGGCAGTGAACAAGGAGGAGTCCCTTGGCATGGCCAAGGACAGGAAGAAGATTGACATTAGGGAGGAGTACTATGTGAGTCGTACCGGTGTGCTCCCGGTGGTCACCGCGTCACCAGAGCTACATCGTTTGTCTTCGCTGCTCAACACTCACACTCGCCACTCTCCAGCGTCTCACTTCCGGCGCGTTAGCAGAAGAGAGCCTCTCCGCCCTTGACTCTACCCCTTCCATGTCCACCACAGCCCCAGCCTCTTCTTCTGGACCTCGGCCGCCGCGCAAGAAGAAGTTCAGCATGGCCGCGACCACTCAGGACGACTACGAGCCCGTCCGTGTACCCCGTCCCGACGGCGTGTCCGAATGGGGAGCCATGAGCTCTGGCTCCGAGGACGCTCCTGTCAAGGGCAGCCGTCCCGAGGACCGCTGGGTGTAAAGCGTTTTGTTCGCAAACGTGACACGGGTCGTGTAGATCATGTAGAGAAGATCTCAAAAAGCCGAACGCCCCCGACGATCTCAACGGCACGGTGGTGTGCTCGGCGTGGGACCTCATGGAAGGTAACTTCCGCCTTCACAACGTCTAGGAGCTATGGACAAAGTCGGAACGTCAACAGAGACATCCAGTTGCCGACATTGTGAAGCAAGTACAATCAGCGAGGAGGCAACGACAGTCGTATCATCGGAATCAAGAAATTAGCATTTGCATGGCATGTACTTCCCTACTCTACTTTCTGGCGCTTGGCCTCTTGGTTGTCCTGAGTCTGACTGTGGCCGGGTAGCAGTCGAACGAGATGGGAGTGAGATGAGGTGTCAACAACATTCAGACGGACTGTACTAATGACTAGCTCCGTTTATTGCGATGGCTTCTGCCATGACTGGCCACCTCAGTGCGTCCCTCCGCTTGTCTGGGCCAGTAGCTTCTCAGACGCGCAACTAATCAGTTTGACCTGTTGCCCTCGTGCACCTCAGCTCTGGACGCCAATACTGTGTGGCATGTACATCTATGTGCTCAAATGCACCCCGTCTCGTTCTCCATACACACTGGCCCCTCTCACCGCGCTCACTTGTGCTGGCGATCAAGGTAATCCAGGCCGCGAGACTTGCACTCAAGCATGTCACGCTTGTCCTCGTGGACGAGCAAGCGCTCCAGCGACTCGGTGACCTTGCTGTCCTCTACTCCCTCGTTCCACGCGTATGTCACCCACTTGTCCTCGTCCTCCTTCTGTGCCGTGGACCACATCTTGTTTCGGAAGTCCTTGATCGAACCAGAACCATCGTTGTTGGGGTCGTCCTGAAAGGAGAAAGCGTTAGCTTGAGTTGCACAGCACGGATCACGTGTTAGAGACAATGAGAGGGACGACAAGATGGAGACCATGAATGCCACGGAACGGTGGCCAGGCGCTTATAGCGTCGGACAAGTGGCTCGCCACAATGCAAATGTATCGGGCGACTGGTACGGGGCCTGGCATTGTGAACCCCCTGCACCAGCGGCTTGTGCTAGGCAGAGGCGACAATACACTGTCACTAGGCAAGCGGCAAACTTGACACTGCCGAGCCCCGAAGGAAATGCGTGACGGGCTCGATCACTCGCATGACGGGTTTGCGAGATGCCAGGTATCCTTCCGTTGGTGTGATAAATGCACGGCGTCGACTAGTGGTCGTGCCAGCACTAGGACCAAGCCACGGTCCCATTTGCTGCGTTTCGTCCGACACGAAACAGAGCAAAACGGTACGGGGCAGCCACAACCCGCAGTCACAACCCCACACACAGCAATAACACAGAGAGACATGGTCAAACGGCATGACTCACCAGGCTCTTGGGCATGTCCTTCCTCGGCGCGGCGGCGGCCTTCTTCTTCTCCTCCTCCTCTTCGGCGCGGGTTCCACGGCGGTTCTTGGTGTCAAAGTCGTCGAGGTACGTCAAAGCTGTGCGGAACTGAAGCACACGCGTGATCGGGTGCAGGTGCAGAGCGCCTGTGGCAGGGTCAGCATTGGTGCGCATGGGCAGTTGGTAACAAGACGTAGCCGCCAGCCGCGCGCAGCAGTGCGATGGTCGTCGTGATCTCTTCTCCTCCAAACAGACACTGCAACTCACCATCATGCACGATGCCCGAAAAGTGCGTCAGGCCGCTGGCGACGGGCACGTTCTCACTCCGGAGACGCATCTTGTCGCCCCACTTGGCCTCGACCGCCTTCTTCCCCTTGCCCTTCACACCACCCTCAACCTCCGCATGCCCATTCTCACGGGCATGCGAGTTGATGTCGGGGACATAGCCGAGGTCACGGGCACGCTCGTCGCGCCACACCTTTGGGTCGGCGTCGACAGGGACCTCGATCTCGACACGGCCCACGCTCTCCTTGACGCGCGTGGTGATGCGCTTGCCGCGGTCGGCGGCCCAGCCGGGCACGCGGAGGGAACGGTGCTGGAGTGGATACTGGAACATGGCAAGGGAGGGGTGGAGGGCCGGGGAGAGGTAGACGGGGAGACGGGCGACGACCTCGTCGTCCTCGTCGTCATCATCGTCGGCGGCACTGGCGCCAGGAATGCGCCGCAGATCGGGGATTGTAGGCGATGGAGCACGGGGAGGAGGGCCTCTAGCGGCGGGTGCAGCTGCGGCTGCGTCTGCCTCTGCAGTAAAAGTGGTGGCAGGAGGGGGAGTGTTGTGCGTGTGCTCAGTGTTGGGGAGGAAGGTCGTCGACGGGCCGGGGACGTCGCGGTTCTCGGTCGTCGCCATGATCACGTCGCCGGCGTACTCGGGGCCCTCGGGAGACTCGAGGATCGAGTCGGCGACGGCGACAATCTCGGGCTCTCCGGGATGGGCCATGTTGATAAAGACTAGGGGGATATTTGGAGCTCGCGATCGTCGACGAGCTCGATGTTGTTGCAAACTCGGGGTTGTTAGGTGGCCAAAGATTTCTGAACGGTCATGACGCCCAGCTGACGGGATCAATTCAGGAGAGGGTATTTTCTAACATCCCATTTGAACAATATTCTAATTGCACACGTGGCATTTCCTAATGCCTAGTCTACTGTTTTCTGTGACGATGCCTGTTACGCTGCCATGACGGCCATCACGAGGCCAGCCCGTGTCGGCTCTGAGCGCTGGCGCGCTGGAGAGATGGCGACCCATGACGCTTACGCCGTTTTCAAAAGAGGGTATACCCATCCACATTGTCTTCTCCAGAACTGTACCTCCTCTAGTGCAGAAGCCGCACGCGCTCTAGTTGCAGTCCGAGGCGTAGCCACGCTCGACCGCCTCGTCCATCTCGCGCTCGAGCTCGCTCTCGTTGGCGCTCGACTCGGAGCCATCCTCCGAGACCGCAGCCTTGGACCACAGCTCGCGCCAGACGTGCTCGTCCAGGCGCTCGCCCTTGCCGTTGCGCTTGGCGCGCGACCACATGCCGACGCGGGGGTCGGTGATAAACTTCCAGGTGACGTAGGGCCATGACTTGTGGGAAGGAAGCGTGTTGTAAAACTCGGGCGCGAGGGCGCGCAGGGCAGGGAGGCGGGTCCAGGCGACCGAGGGGAAGTCGTGGTGCTCGTTGTGGTAGCCAACGTTGTAGGTGAGGATGTTGAGCCAGCCGTAGTAGCTGGTGGTCTCCTGCGCGAGGCTCTGGACCGATCCAGGCTCCACGTCGTTCATGAGGTAGTGCTCGGCAATAAAGTGCGCAGCGCATGGGTGCAGCGAGCCGGCAAAGAACGACGACAGGAGGAGGTAGACAAGCGGCCTCCAGCCAAAGAAGTGAACGAGGACAATGTCGAAAGCAAAGACGGCAAAGAGGTTGAAGGCGTGCCACAAGGTCGGCTTCTGCGACCGGATAAAGCCAGGGCGGATAGCGTAGAAGAGAAGCTGGAACGTGCTGATCGTTAGCCAGAGATCTCACAGACAAGACCACGCCAGTGCCAACATGGGGGCCGCGTATTGACAACCCCGGTCACTTGTCCGGAAGGCACCACGTGCAATTCCGGGGCAGACCGGGTTCAGTCACAACGGGGTCGTACCACTCCCAACCCAGTCCCTTTTGTCTGTACTCACGCAAAGAAGGTCTTGCCAGCGACATTGTTGAGGATGACAGCCTCGATGCGGGAGGGCAGGTCGGTGTCAATGCCATCCTCGCCGAGGAACTTGTGGTGCTCGATGTGGTAGCCCTTGAACGCCATCGCGTAGGGAACAGCAATGGCAAAGTTGGACACGATGGCGAGCAGCTTGTTGGCCTTGATACCCTTGAACGCGAGGTTGTGGGTAATCTCGTGGATCGAAAGGAAAGTGTTTTGGTTGGCCGTGCCGCCGACCACGTATGCAATGGCCAGGACGAGCGGGGACAAGGGGTGGTGGCCGCGCAGGCCGATGGCAAGCGAGACTTGCAGCGTGAGGACAAAAGCGACAGACACGGCAGTCCAGCGTGTCGGGCCCATGAGCTTGCGGACCTGTAATGTTGTCAGTTACATCATCCCAGCGAACAGCTGCTCGACATCGCACTCACCTCGGGGTGTGCCTTGAGAATGGCCATGCGACGACTACGGTGCGGCTCTTCGGTGTACATCCACAAAAAGTCGTGGGTCGCAGGCGGCGCGTCCCCCACCATCTCCTCCTTGTCAGCCTCGACGGCCAAGTCGACTGACGCAGAGTCGGCGTCAGCCACGTCGAGGGCCTCGTCCTCGTCAGACGACATCGAGGATGAGCTCAGTGTGCCCGTCGTGGTGTCGCTGGGCGTCACTGCTCCACTACGGGCCACGGCATTGGAGACTGGGTGGGCGGTGTAACCCGTAGTGCGCGAGCTGGGGTGGGATGAGGGCGACGGCACGTCGGCGTCCACGTGCGCGTCTTTCCTTGCGACTGCCGCTGACATTGCGGATTGCGGGAAATGGAACGAGTGAGGGGGAAGAGATGAGGATAAGATGCGATGCGATGCTTGCGTGGCTGCTGTAGGTCGTAGGCGATAGGGTAGGACTGGTCGGGGTACCGTGGGGGAATTTCCGGGGGTCCAAAGTATTGGAAAGAACAACTGAGATGCGCTACGTGTTGCGGCAAAAAAGACGCTCGGTGCTCAGTGTCGAGCTGGAGGGAGAGGGGGTGCGTGGAAGCGCACGCAGGGGCGCGTTCGTATCGGGCCTGGACGGAGGGGTTGGACAGCGAAAGGAGAACGAGTGATGGAGACGATGAAGAGAAAAGAGTGAGGCGAGAAGAAGATGCACGCGCCCGCCAGATGGTGAGCCGACACCAGACTTACCACTGCGGTGCGCTACTGCGGCGCGCCCAGCAGCCGCGCCGCCGGTGCCACGATGCCGATGCGCTTAAACGGGCCGTGCCTGCCTTTTCTGTCCATGAGGATCTCGGGACGGCCTTCTGGTTGAGACTGCATTGCAGCGCGCTCTTCTAGCGTTCGGGTAGGTAGGGGTGGCCAACAATGCCATAATAATAAGCTACTCGCATGCGCTGCTAGCTGGCTATAGGTAGGAACACAACACTGAATGACAACACATACTCTCTACACTCTCCCCTTCTCTCTCTCGCGTCTCTCACTCTCTCTCTCTCTCTCTCGTCGTTCTCCCCCTGTCTCTCTCTATCTCTCTCTCTCGCGCGCGCGCTCGCGCAGACATGGTTTTCTCCTCTCCTCATTCCTTGACAAGGTACGCCTTCCGGCCGACTACCAGTCATCGTCGTCGTCGTCGTCGAGCTCGGCGCCATTGTCAGGCGGCCACTCGTCGTCGTGCAGCACCTCGGGTGCGCCCCATCCCTCCACAAAGCGCTTGGGACGCGGCAACGCCTCGCGGGACGCGTACTTTTGCTCCACGAGAGCAGTGATGAGCGCGGCAGTGCCAGACGACCGCGTCGTTCCGATTGCCGTTGCGGGGCGAGGTGGGCGGTCACCGGGAGTTGGGGGACCAGACGAAGGGGACGAGCCGCTCGAGCCAATGGACCCACCGTCAAGGCGTGACGCAAAGGAGGGGGCAAACTCGGAGAAGCGGTTCATGCGCGTTGCCGGCAACGACGGGCGCTTCATGACGCGTCGAGTGGGCAGGGAGCCGCCGGCGGCACTGGCAGTGACCTTGCGCATGGCGATGCGCGCGACAGTGCGCGAGAACTCTTCCTCCTCGCTCTCGCTTCCGCTCCACCCATGTGTTGCCGGGACACGGTCGCCTTGCGCACTCAAAGGTCGAGGTGGTGCCGACACGAGCAGACGCGATGACGACGGAATGACGCGCGAACGGAGGGCCGCGTTCATCAACGGGAGGCTCAGGTCTGGGAGGGGAGGAGATCAGTGAACTGTACGCCCTGATTCGCGGAAAAGTGGGGCAGAGAGGCCAAAAACTCACCAAGGTCGCTCTCGTCATCCGAGTCGAGATTGAGCTCGCGACGCGAGTCGCGAGGACCTATGCTGCTGCGCGGGGTGTGACGAACAAGGTCGGCCACGGTGGGGCTGGGTGGGCTTTCACGAGGACGGAACGGCGCCGGCGCGTCGGACGCGCGGTCGGCCGAAGCCCTGCGCTGGCGAGCGTCGCGCTCGGGCGACTGCTCTTGCTGGCGGCGCTGCATTCGGAGGTCTGCCAAGGACGACTGGAGCTTGAGGAGACGCTCGGCTGCGCGAGGAGGGTTGTGCGTGTATGATGATGGAGCATCGAAAGACGATGCGGAGATTGGTTCTGACCGACGTGGGCGCATACAAGACGGCGGCGGCGGAGGGGGAGGTGGGAGGGGTTGTGCCTGCAGGAGGCGCAGCTTTGCAGGTTCAGACGCCTCTGCGCCTGAAACGTTGCCACCAGTGGAGCGAACCATGTATGCAAGCATGTCAATGTCCGACACATCGTCGCTGTCCCCCGTGTCGCGCAGCGCAACAGTCGCGTCGTCATGGGCAGGCGATGGAAGGTTTGGTAACCGGTCGTATGGCGACGAAGGCGACAACAAGAGACTGGTCATGGAGGGCGCGGTCAGTGTGGACGCGACGGACGCGCGGTGGGACGCGTTTGACGAAACGAGTGATGGGCATATCGACGACCATGATGGGATGGGAGAACGCGGCGCACGACCTGCCTTGCGCGCGGGCGTCGTTGCTGCTGCTGCCGCCGTTGCCGTTGGAACCGGTGTCGTCGCTGCCGATACCGATGCCGCCGGAGAGAGCGATTGAGGCGACGCTGTTGCCGCCGCAGGCGGTGCAGGCGGCAAGGGTCCAAACGAGCCCCCCGTACGCGAGGGGCAGGCCGTCCAGATGGCACTTGGCATGGATCCATCGCTCAGACGCGCCAGTGCCGCTGACACCTTTGGGTATCGCAGGGTCTGTGGCCTGAAGTCGTCAAAGTCGAAGTCCAATGTGGCGACCGACGCCGTCGAGCCTAGCTCCACGATGGTGTCGGTCCCGATCGAGAGTGGCTGCGAAGACGAGGCACGCTTCAATGCGGGGCGTGGGGTAATGGTTGATTTTCGGACCGCGGCGTCGCCGTCCGCAGAGGGTCGACGTCCTATTGCAGACGATGGTGGGGAACCGTGCGAGAGCGGGCGACGCGACGTGGTCGTCGTCGTCGACGCTGAGCGAATCATCATGTCGTCGACGGCCGCGACGTCGACCTCTTCGCGGAACGACACTCGCGACCTGCGCGGGCGCACTCCACGGCATGACTGTGATGTCGCGGCGGTGGTGCTGGGCGGTGCACTTTTGCGGTTACTGTTGCTGCTGCCCCTTGGGAATGGGGGCAAGGGAGGGAGTGGGGGGAACGCGAGCACACCATCGGGCCCAAAACCTGGTGATGGTGATGACGATGGTGCTGCTGCTGCTGCCGACGACATGTCGGCGAGCTGATCTAAGGAGGGCGAGTCGAATGGAAACGCTCTGCGGCCGGCGGGGAGCGAGCGGAGAGACGAGTTGCGAAGGATAGAGACTGGACAGCGACGAGAGACGGACGAGATAGACGACGACGAGGAAGAAGAAAGACGCTTTGATGAGAGAGACAGGGAGCGAGTTGGAGGCGACTGGAAATGTGGTCAGTGCGACGCACGGTGCGCACGCTAACGGTGATGGGTTGGGGGCCACCCATTCCTCGGATTCGATCTCCCCGATCTCCTCCCCATCCATCTGTCCAAAAACTCACCTGCGCGTGGTTGCCTGACGCCAGCGTCGACGGTCCTGGGCCGGCCTCGGCAAGGCCAGCAACAGAAACTGTCATACCGGGCGCGAGAGATGTGGTTGAAGGGGACAAACAAGCCTCCCAACTTGACAGACGAGCGCAAATTGTCGTGTTGCTCTCTATCAACCGTCCGTCGGCCGTCGCTCGTTCTGATGAAAAGAACAGGCCGCGACGAGTCCTTGGCCCTTTCTGGTCGTTCTGGTCTTCTAGCCTTTCTCGGTGTCGTTGCTGCGCCGCTTGCGCTTTGCGCTTTGCGCAACCGGGGCGGAAGAGACCAAGTTAGCTACAAGGGGTTTGGCGTACGGGTGGCGTTGGCCGTGGCGGCGCCGGCGAGCAAGAGGGACCTGACTGGTGCTGCGGTCCAAATTGGTGTGTCGAACTAAACAATGGGCCGTGCAGTGAAGGCTTTAATAGAGTAAAGCGTACTCCTGGGTGGAAATGGGACAAGGAAGGGTGGGCCAGGACAAGTATTGAATGCTGAAATGCCGGATGGCGCAGTGTCCGTCGAGATGGGAGGAAGGGTGGCCGATACACACCAGTGGTTTGCGGTGTGACGAGCAAAAGAGGCCAACACGCGTTTGTGGATGTGCAAGTGTGCGCTGCTACTGCCACCACCACCAGCTCCCAAGTCACCTGTTGAAACTGAGCGTTACACGAGACCTCAAGTGTCCCTTGCAAGGTCTGATCTCCGGCTGGTGACCCAAAGAACGGAGGGAAAGAAGGCACGGCCTTCCGAGTGAGGGTGGGTGTGTGGTCGCCTGGGTGTGATGGGAGTTGTCGTCCGTCCGTCGTTGGGCCGCCGGTGTCTCAAAGGCGCTGTCGCTGAGAGGAGGTGTGATATGTGCAGTGTGAAAGGAAGAGAGATGGTCGTAGTACGAGTCGTCGCTGTTTGTCGTGTTGGGGCGATGGTTGAATCCAAGTTTTGCGTTTTGGCGATCCCGGTGTGCGGATACGCGTTCACGCTAGCGTCAATGGATCAATGGTCGTTGGATGCTAGTTTGTGCAGCCAAAAATCACAGGTCAATTGGCCTGGCCTTCCCTCAGCTCCCCTCAGTTCCTCCCAGCTCCCCCACGCTCCACCCCAGCCAAGGCCTTGGTCGCTCACTAGGTTCGCCCCGCCATGATAAACATACCGCGGGGTAACTACCGGACCTAGCGACGACTTGACGTGCGTCGAGGGTCAAAGGCCCTCTGGATCCTCTTGCCTCCTGCCTCCTGCCAACAGCGCCGCAATTTGTACGTACATACACACGTACGTCGGTGCGCGCTTGTCGAGTGTGTTGGCAGCGCGCAGCTTGGGACGTGCAGCTGCCCGGGACTCACTTGTCTGCTGGTGTACCCGCACTTTGCTTCCCGCACCCGTTTCACGATGCCGAGATCCCCTGATCATTCCCACTTGCATGTCCTCTGCCGACGTCCATGGATGCAATGCCAGTCCCTTGCCCTTCCCCTGTGTGTAACGCTCTTCTGGACTCTCACTCCCTCTCTTTCTGGCCGTCGCGTCCTCCTTAAAACCACCACGGCTTTGCCTGGGTGTGCTCAACAGACTGACCAGCGCGTTGACACAAGGACGGCGAAACAGTTACAACTCGAGGGGTACTACCATCAGCTGGCACTTCTCGTGTCTGCCCCCGCCCACTTCGTTGCCTCCCACACACCGCTTCCCGACAAGACTTGTCTTCGGAAGCAAGGACGAGGGGGCTTCGAGCCCGTTGCACCCGGTAGTGGTCTCGGGCTTGCTCGATCGAGCATTGGCGTGTCATTTTGACCAAAGTTGCTGTCACGGTTGTGGCATGCCCCCCTCAGTGATGTTGTCGAGGTAGCGGCTGGCCCCAAAGGGAGACGGCCACACATGGGCTACAGAAGGAAACGTGGACCGCAACTCTCGTTATTGATTGCCACCTATGCCAGGACTAGAAGGGGACGACGAATATCACGAGAGCCACACATGTTCCACTGTCCTATGCCGTACACTGACCGTGGGTTCATCTGTATGGACAAGTGGGTCGGTCACTCACCTTGTTCAATGTTTGGATTTCTGACCCGTGGATCCATGGCCATAGCCGCTTGCAACCGCGACCCTCAGGCCCACGCTTGCCAACACCTGAACTGTCGACATGGACATGTGTAGTCAGCCCCCTTCTTTTCCATGACGAGCTAGGACTTTGGGGTCCTGTCAAACCTTTGTTTACCCAAAGAAAACAATAGCGCCAACTCGCATGCCAAAAGACGGGTTTTGACACCATATCCGAGACCAAATAATGTCCAGATCAGGAGTGTGGGCGTGCACCTAGAAGGCTTGGAAAATGCGCCTACAAGAACAGTCTCGAGTTGCAAAGCCTTGCCCACGCCACATGAAAGTATTCCAGGAGATGCCAGGAGTCTTATGCAGTGAGAGGAGGAGCGCTGTGGTCTCCGGACACAAGCGAGCCCCAGCCCATGAGTGGGTGAGGGAAGGACTGAATCACCAGGCGCCAACGCCTGCTGCCACTCCGCGGGTGGCCGCTGACGCCACCAGACGAACCTGAGAGAGGCCTTGCTGGGGTTGACGGCAGTTGTCCCCGAGATGCCGCTGGACGCAGGCTGCGAGTGGGCGCGGGTAAACGAAGCTCGCACATTGACATGCTGAGCTGCGCGGCCAATTGAGTAATGAAGAGATGAGTGATAGACAGGAACAGACACCATGTCGTACTTACACAGACAAAAAGCAGAATGGACGCGACTTTGCACACTGGTTGTAATGCATACGCGTTTGGACGGTCATACAACTGTGCAACCGTTAGTCGTTGCTGCCTACAACGCTTTGGACCCTCGGGCCCTCGTTGATCGGCACCGCTCTCATCCTGAACGTCGTCGTAGTTGGCCGACCGGACGGACGGATGCGAGGGCACCCTGACCTATGTCCGCAGGAGCATATCCGTTCGCGTATCCAGGTGCAGCTAGCTCGTAAGCTTGTAATAGCTGGCGGGCAGTTTCTATTCCTGCCAGCACCGGCCAGTGATCCAGTGGCCAGTGGGCTGGTGATCCTAGTGACCCAGTTAGACTGGGTGTCGTCACCAGGATACCGGGGGCTGACGTTCGGACCCGTTCCAGCGAAGACGCCACAAGTGGCGTTGTAATCACGTCCTATTTATCCACTTTATTTGCCCCTTACTCTGGTGAGTTCCTCGGTGCCGACTGCTCCTGCTACTGCTTGTTGTTGTGCGGCACTCTGCAAAAGACCAAGAGGCACGAAGGGTCGAGAGGGAGTGCAGTCATTTCAGAGAGAGCCTGTTGCGCCGGAACCCAGGGGCCTGGAGGGCCGAGAGGATTCGGCAAACTGGCACGTTGTCCAGGGCCCACAATACCAGCTGTCATGTACAATCTGCATTACACTATGAACCTACGAGCTGCTTCCGCGTCGTCGACAGCATCTGTCGCACTGCTTCTATGCTTGGCGACCTTGATTCTGGACTGCCACTTCTTCTGCGTGCTCTGCAACGAGATCAACCCTCATGCCCTTCATCGGCCGCGGCCCTTAGGCTCGCCACGCTCCGTTGGGACGTCTCTCTGCCCGCCTGAGATGCCGCAAGTCAACAAGCATGAGCAGAATGCTAGCAGAATGTAACATATGTCCCAGGAGCCGTTGCAGGTTGAACCGCAGAGATCAGAGATCAGAGACCCTTCCATCCACCCCCCTGCCACAGGTCACTATTGTGCGCCTCCGGATCCGAACCGAGTCGTCGGAGAGACGTCGCATCTCCGCGACTCGCCATTCGGATCCGGGCTGCGAGCACACCACCTCCACTTTGGACTTTCACGCTGATCTTAAGAACCTCCCATTCACAACAAACCCGCCCTTTTTCCTCACACCACTTACATCTTACACCATGCCCCGCAAAGTCCCAGGGTCACACAAACAAAAGAAAATCAAACTTATAAACCAACGCGCCACCAAGCGTGGCGAAGAGGCTCCCATCCACGTGCCAGAACGGGGCCCGGCGCCATGGCTGAAGCCCAGCGCCCGCCCCGATGCGCACCGCGCAGGACCGGGTGGCAAGCTCGCTCTGCAGTCTCGGTTCATCTCGATGCCACCACAGTACGTGGAGAAGACGCGTGATTTGGCGTTCAGCGAACGCGTCGCGCGACCGTTGCCCGGGTCGGCAGCGTGTCTCCCTCTGGAGCTCGTGATCAACCCGGCTGGCGACAACTTGACCGTGCCCGTCAGGCCCCGGTTCCGGTACGGCCAGACCAAGAAGGAGGTCGAGAGGAACGAAGAAGGCATCTTCCGCAAGTGGCTTGCAAGCACGAGAGAGACGGTCGAGGACTGGGTCAGCGTCGAGACTGGCCCCGACGAGTGGCCTCATTCCCCATCGTGGTTTGAGACCAACCTGGAAGTCTGGCGTCAACTGTAAGAGCTAGCACAATGCCTAGGTCGTAGCTAACACTTCAGGTGGCGTGTGGTTGAAACGTCTTCCATCGTGCTTCTCCTTGTCGACTCTCGTTGTCCACCAGTCCACTGCCCGCCAAGCCTGCGCACATACCTCCGCAACACAAAACGCCAGGTCATCCTAGTCTTGACCAAGTCGGACCTCGTCGACCCTGTGGCACTGGCAGGTTGGCGTACCTGGCTCCGCAGGTACTGGGCCGGCGACGAGGACGATGAACAAGGCGACGACAACCACGATGTCGAGATTGTTGCCGTGTCGAGTTACGACACCGCGCTACTCTACTCGTCCGAGGGGCGCGCACGTCATCGGCCCAACATCCCCACCTCGGCGCGCAGCTCCCTCATTGCAGCTATCAAGCGCGCTCACGCCCGCCTCATGGCCCCACCAAGCTGGGCTGCTTCCGACCCGGAAAAGCTCGCCGCGTGGAAACCCACTGTGCGGAGCAAGGTGAACTGGAGTGCTCTGGCGAGTGACCCCGACCCAACGGCTGGCCGACCCGTCAAGACGGCCAGAACCAAGCCCAACTATGAGAAGGAGGAGAGCGAGTCTGCGTCCGAATCTGAAGACGATGGAGGACCTTACGTGCGCGACCCCGAGACCGAGCCACTCACGATCGGTCTTGTGGGTCAGCCCAACGTCGGCAAGTCGTCCCTCCTCAACGCTCTCTTGGGCTACAACAAGGTTCGTGCCAGCAAGACGCCTGGCAAGACCAAACACTTCCAAACCATTCTCTGGGGCGACGCCAAGGACGTCAAGATTGTCGACTGTCCTGGACTCGTGTGTCCCTCCTTGGTGCCCATGGAACTCCAGGCTATGGCCGGCAGTGAGTTTGACGCAAGGGTTATGTGTTCTGCTAGACTGTACTAACGCGCGTCTCCCAGTCCTGCCCGTCTCTCAAATCCCCTCCCTCCCGTCCTGCATGCACTTTGCCGCCTCCCACCTGCCCCTCGAGGACGTCTTCCACATCCCGCCTCCCGAGATCGAGGTCGACACCATGGCCTCAAAGCGGACGTGGCGTACGCCCCGCGAAGAGGACCCAGACGTCATTGCCGCGGCTCAACAGGTGCCATGGACCGCTGGGCTGATCATGGAGGAGCGTGCCTTGGACCGCGGGTTCGGTGAGATACCACAGATGCTCGACACGCTGAGGACATGGTAGCTGACGGATCGTCCAGTGACGGCAAAGAGCGGACGACCCGACACCAACCGCGCAGGAAACGGAAGTGAGTTGTGCTGTCATTAGGTTCTAGACCCGGAACTGACTCGGACCAGTGCTCCGTGCTCTTGCGGACGGCCGCGTTCGGTGGGGCTTCTACCCTCCCGGCGGATGGACAGAGCGCGAAGGCGTCGGAGCGTGGTTGGGCGGACGGCCGGACATTGACGGCGAGCCCGACGACGAGGATGGGTTGGATGGCGAGATGCTGTCCGACTTGGACAGCGACGGAGACGAGAATAAGCGCCACGGGGCAGAAGAAGACGAAGAGGAGGAGGAGGAGGAGAGTGAGGAGAGCGAGGACGAGTTCCAAGCTGCCAACAAGCATAGTTTCTTTGCTGCGCTCAGCTTGGACGATGGAGACGACGACGACGACGATGAAGAGGAGGAGGAAGAGGAGGGTGAGGAGACGGTGTAGATAATCACCATTGTAGGCATAGTCATATTACACATACGCATTACCACCGTCCATCATCACCCTCAGTTGCGAGTTGCCGTTGCACGAACATCTTGGGTGAGCAGTAAATGGACAAGCCTCCCGACGTAGCGACATTCAAACATCATCGCATGCTGTACACTGTTCTACACATTATACACACACTCGCCTGCCTGTCCTCGGTAGATGCATATGTTGTTTGTTCTTGTTCTTGTAATGTTTCACAACGGAGTGACAGCGTTGAGAGCCATCTCCGTAAAAACCGCGCGTATATTGTGCCGGTTTAGTCGTATGTTCAAGTCATTCTCGGAGGGTGACGGCGTTGAGAGCCACCAAACGGTTTGCGTCTACTTGGCCACAATGGCCGGTGCGGCGTCGACCTTGTCGACCTTGCTGTGGCCATTGACCGGCGCAGAACCGTTTACAACCTTCTTCTTGTATGGGTCATCGAGGTCGCGGCCGATGACTTTACGGATCGTCTCGCGCAGGGCGAGCTCTTCCTGGCCCTCGGCGGGCTGGGCGAGGAACCATGGCTTGGACATGTAGTTTCTCGATCCGTCAGGCAGGACCACGACGACATTGGCGGTGGGGTCCTCTGCGATCTTGCGGCCCTCGTCGCTGTGCAGGAACCGCACGGCTCCAGCGAGTGCCGTTCCAGACGATCCGCCGACCATGAGGCCCTCGATGCGGATAAGGCGCTTGGCGGCTGCGAAAGACTCGGTGTCGTCCGTCTTGAGCCACTTGTCAATGAGCGAGGGCTCCATGTCAAGCACCTTGGGGAAGAAGTCCTGCAGCGTCAGTGTCAAGGGTGGGTCATTCTTAACGCACATAGCCAATTCCCTCCACCTGGTACATGCCAGGCAGGCCACCGCCGAGGATGGACCCGACGGGGTCGCAGGCGACAACAATGGCCCGGTGGTCGCTGTCCTTCTCTGCGTCACGGACGGCGCGCGCGAGGCCTGTGATGGTACCACCAGTGCCCGCGCCGGCCACGAGGAGGGCAATGTCCTTGCGACGGAGCATGGACGACTTGAGAGCGTACTGGAAGAGGTCAGCTTGGGTTCTCAAGTACGAGCGACCTCACCGCAATCTCGCCATAGGTCTCGTGGTAGTGCGCGAGGGGATTGTTAGGGTTCGAGTACTGGTCGAGAATGACGCCGCCGGGGATCGCGTCGCGCAGACGCTCGGCGATGCCGATCAGGCTCTCGGGATCGTTGTGTCTACTGGTTAGTAAACTTCTGTGGTACCGTTGCTCACGGTGCCTCTGTCCTGCAATGTCAGCGTGGACAGTCATACTGTAGCTCACGGTGTGCGGACAATCTCGGCGCCAAGAGCACGCAGCATGACCTCCTTCTCGAGGCTCATCTTGGCTGGCAGGGTAATGATGCAACGGTACCCCTTGATGGCGCAAGCGAGGGCGAGGCCGATACCAGTGTTACCACCTGTTGTTGTGAGCTCCAATCCTCATGGCCTAGCTCGATGGTGCGTGGTACACGGCATAACGTACTGGTAGGCTCAATCACGACGCTCTGTCCCGGAACGAGTGTGCCTTCCTTCTCGGCTTGTTCGACCATGCGCTGTTAACCAAAGTTAGCTCTCGTTAATCCGATTCAATCTCGGCTCGAGAAGCCACCAGGTGGTGCTCACCTTTGCAATGCGGTCCTTGACGCTGCCGCCTGCAGAGAAGTACTCGCACTTGGCCACTGTACCAGGGGTCAGCGCGGGTGGTGCCCAGGGGTCACTCGAGCAGACGTACAGAGGTTGCACTTGAAGCCTTCGGCCTCTGCGATGCGGTCGAGACGGATCAGCGGGGTGTGGCCGACAGCGTCGAGGGCGCTGTTGAGGACGCCCTGCCAGTGGTGCGTCGTGTCCAGAGCCATGATGCGTGGGAACTGTGTTGTGGTTGAATGAACGAGTGGGTTAGTTTGTGGTTGGGAGAGAGAGAGAGAACGACAAAGGACAAGATGGGCCGCGTTTAAAGAAGGTGGACCAAGGCGGAACGCGACCCATCAGCCAGCAATGGGGGATTTTGCCGGGCCAGAACGGGAGGCACCACCCCCCCACCTGCATGCAGCACATGTGGTGCGTGTTGGTCACAAAAGCGGTGGCGAACACATGATGCAAACCGGGCAGCAACGCGTGGGTAGGCTCCGGCCGGCGGGCGCGCGCGGGTGCGTCTGTGGGGTACCCCGGATTGTCCCCCCACGTGACAGTCGCGTGGGCGGCAGGGGGGTGTCGGGGACGGCATGGGCGCCCACGGAAGCAAAAATCGTGCCTCGCGTGCCCGGTTGACGGTGGTGTGTTGTTGTGTTTCTCTGCGCGCGCACCGCCAGGCAGACGGAGAGGGGACGCGCCTGCTCTTTCTGTCGTCCACCACCAATTCTCCTCGCCCACACCATATCCGACAACCATCTCTCGCCATGCCCACCCCACCACCGGGCACCGTGTTCGACGCGTCCACAAGTGAGACTGGAGATGGAGCATCCATCCTCTTCTCGGAACAGGTCCGCGCAGACACCTACGACAGTGCAGGCCCCAGCACCACTTCATACCACAACCACCAAAACCAACGTCGCGGGCACGCAGCAGAACCCGAGGGGGACGACGGAGACAACGACACTGAACCGGACGCCGGAAGCATGTTCTTCTACGTCGTCGACGACAGCGTTCCCACTACGGCTGGTATCATGCCGCCAGGACAAGGAAAGGAGCGCGAGGACGAGGCAATGGATCAAGACGAACACGACCCACCACCAGACGTCGACATGAACTTTTGGCTCGAGTCCGGCGAGGAAGGCGACGAGGACGTAGAGGGCGGTGGCGAGACTACACCAAGAGCAGCACCGGCACCAGAAGTAGCAGCAGCCCCAACACCTCCACCACCACCGCCGCCCATTTTGGAGGTGACTGTGCCTACCGACAATGAGACGAGCAGCGTTCCCCGGCCCGTCCGCGATGACAGGTACTGCTCTGCGGAAGTTGTGGAATCGGATGATGACGTCTATGTTGAGCCAGCAAGTTACCACTCTGGCGACTCGGACGAGTACGAGATGGATCACCGACCATGGTTGGAACGTACGGCCATCAAGCGCGACATTCAAGAACTGTACGCCATTACCGGCATGCAGAACTCTTTCCTGGGAACTGAACGCTACCGTGCAGTAGATCGTCTAGGAGAAGGCACCTTTTCATCCGTCTACCTCGCGCACGACACACTCCATCACCTCTATGACAACCGGTCCTGGCGTGAAGAGGACGAACTCAGTCTGAGCGCAAACGGCAAAGTCAAGGTCGCACTCAAGAAGATTCTTGTCACCAGCTCGCCCTCGCGTATCGAGAACGAGCTGTCCATCCTCGAGAACCTGCGAGGGTGCAGAAACGTCTCCCCCCTCATCTCGGCGTTCCGCGACGAGGACCAGATTGTCGTTGTCCTCCCCTTCCACCCTTCGGACGACTTTCGCTACTTTTACCGCTTGATGGACCCACCAAAGATCAAGCAGTACATGACCTGCCTGTTCCGCGCGCTCAAGGACACGCACTCGAGAGGAATCATCCACCGTGATGTCAAGCCTGCCAACTTTCTCTTCGACTATGAAACCGGGCATGGGGTCCTCGTCGACTTTGGTCTTGCGGAACGCTATGCTCCTCCACGCCGACCGATGTGCCAGCACGAGATTGCGACCCCGGCGTCACCACATGGTACAAGAACCAAGACTAGCGACACTGTCGCTGTCGAGCAAGCTGTCTATGACGCGAGGAAACGCGCAAAGTCTGGAGACGGTCGTGTTGGTTTTAGGCAAGAAGACAGCCGCCCTGCCATCAAGACAAACCGCGCCGGTACACGAGGCTTCCGCGCACCTGAAGTGCTCCTCAAGTGTCCAGATCAGACAGTCGCGATTGACGTATGGTCTGCAGGCGTGATGCTGCTCTCGATGCTCGCACACAAGTTCCCAGTTTTCAACTCGACTGATGACGTCGAGTCTCTCATGGAGATTGCGGCTGTGTTTGGCCGTGGGGCAATGGAACGATGTGCATTATTGCATAGTGAGTTGCCTCCACACGTCAGGTTGGACATGTATCACTGACGCTTCACAGACCGTACCATCATGACCAACGTCCCTACGGTGGATCACCCTCCCGACTCGCTTGCTGCACTCATCCTGCGTCTCAACCCACACCTCTACACGCCGCACCAGGCACAGCCCACTCGCGAGGAGGCGTTGGCACACATTACCGATGTTGATGCCGCGTTTGACCTGTGTGGACGGCTGTTGCGGCTCGATGCGACCACCCGTATCACTGCTGCTGCAGCGTTGCGACACCGATTCCTTGCCAACGATGAGGACGACGGACCAGACGAGATTCTTGATGTGACCGAGGGCAAGTGTGGACACCTGCACCAGATCACCGAAGATGGCACCCGTGAGTTTCTGCCAGCCTTCTTTGTCCAACAGTGGTGCTGACAATTGTGCGATAGACCAAGCTCGCTTCGGAGACGTGATCGAGGACATGCGTTATGGACAAGGCATCCCGACATCGCGCGACGCGTTGTGTCCCGAGCACGAGCACTGGCAGCAGCGGAGCGGTGTCAACCCCCTAGGTGCAGCTTATGGCGCCACGCTCGACGACGAGTATTACGAAGACGCCGGGTTCCACGTCAAAGATGAACATGCCGGATGGGACGATGTGGGGCCAGCCCGCACAGTCATCTGAGACGTCAAGGCGCCGAGACAGTGAATGCAACGTCTCCATCATGTCTACTCTCTCCGGCTCTTGCTCAGACGAGAACATGATCGATTTGCTCAGACGAGAACATGATCGACAGTCGTCTAGGGTCTGACACGAGACGTCATCATGACGCTCGGCCCACGGGAGATGTGCCACAGGAGTGCATCGAGAGCCGGTGGGAGTAGACGACGCGTCTGACAGAGTTGATTGGGAGAATGAACTATGAGCCGCGGTTGCTGGGCGCGTCATTGTGAGATGGTGGAGCCGGTACACACGGCAACCAAACCACTATGGGTGGGAGGGAGGGAGGGGGGAGCAAGAGGCGTATTTTCGTAGCCTTGTTTAAAGTGTCATTATTGTAGTTTTAACCAACAGCATGCACAGCAGCCATGACGACACGATGTGCAGATGAAAGACATCGGCTTGAAGAGTAACCGATTCCCCGATGCTCCACACGGCGCCAGTCCTTAGCCTGCGTGCACAATTGATGTCGTTGCGCACTTGACACGGCTGATGGCAGCCGGCGGGCTGTGTGGCTCAGGCGATCAGGCTCGCTTCATCCTGGTATACGGCAACACCGGCGAATAATATTGGTTTTGTTTTGTTTGTCGCTTATTGGGGAAAAAGGGATGTTCCCTTTGTCCTTTGGCTAGCTTCGTGGACAGGTTCCCGTGCGACGCGCAGCCGCAACCAATATCCAGAAATCCGCAAGTGCCGATCTCTCTCAACGGTATACCAGTATGTTATGTACTGGTCGCGCTGGAACGCGCTAAGAAATGAACGGGAAGTAGCACCACTGGTGGACGTGGTACGTGCCATAAACACGGACTGAGGCCGGTGTGAGGTGGACCGCCTCGTGAAGGGTTTTTGGATTTTTGGTGGCAAACGGACAAACGTACGACAATAGTGTTTGAGACTTTCGTCTTTAGTGACCTTCTCCGGTTGGAGTTGGTATCCGGTGTTCTGGACATTTTGACGTTTTGGTCTCGTTACGATGTGGGGAGCTGTATCCCAGGGGCCAGAGGTCGAGTATGCACAACACTCGACGGGCGAGTGCAAAGTGCCAGTCCCGCACTCGCTTACTGGACAACGTCGCAAACGGACACCTTTTCCTAGCTTTTACGTTGTTTCGTGGCATGTCTCTCCGTAAGTACCTGCGGACTAGGAACGTCGAGCGTTGGCTTGCCGAGCAGGCTCTGCTTCTCCACATGCAGTGTGTGCGTATGTGTGTGTGCGTATGTGCGAATGGATACATGCCAAAGAAGTGCTACGGTTACAGCGGGTGGAAGTGGGCGTTCTATTATGGATGTCGGGGCTGGGCAACGCTCCCTCTTCAGACCTAGACCTATAGTAATGGGGATGTAATGGACAGGTGTACGGTTACAGCATAAGCGCAGAACGAACCGGGTAGAGCTGGGCCTGGCCCATCTTGGGCGTGAGCGCGTGCGAGTCCTCGCCGTCGTCATCTTCATCGGCGGCTGTGCCGTCGGCGCCAGTCCACTCGCCCATGCGTGTGCATGGCGACGGACCGGCTGCGACCCACGCTGCCTCGTCGTCGCCAAAGTTGGGCGTGGCGGGCCAGGACATTGCCTCGTCATCGGACGAGCCGTGGTCGCTGACGCTGGCTGTTGGGGACATGAAGATGCCGAGACCGATGAGGCCTTGCCCCTCGTGGCCGCCCGAGCAGCACCGGAGCATGGCAGTGGGAGGGGCGAGCGTGCCGTTGTCGTCGCCAGGTGGGATACAGAAGGAAGACGGCGACTCGAGGTAGATGGATGACATGGGGAGCGGGCGGGTAGGGAGCAGGCGCTGGCGAGGGAGAGCAATCCCAGGGGGCATGGGATACTCGAAGCGCGGGACGTCAAAGCGCGCAGCGAGGCTGGTGGCGACCAGAGGGTTGAGCCAGGCGGAGATGGTGATGGCGTTGGGGTCGGAGCGGTTGGAACGGAAATCACCCAGGTAGTCGGATACCTTTGCGTTCTCGTCGGCAAGGAGAAGGGGTGGGGCTGAGGTGGCGGGATAAGGAGTCGGACGGCGACCACGGGTGAGACCGCCAGTGGCGTCGATGGCGGCGAGGTCACCTTTGCTCATGTCTATGCGCCAGAGGATCAGGGCATCGAGCATGCCAGCCGGCGCTGGGCGGGACGAAGCAAGGAGGAGGGCGACCTTGAATTCTGCAACGGTCGAGTCTGGGGAAATGTCGACGAGGACGACACCGTCATCGCTGTCGACGGGTGTTGCTGTTGCCGAACGTTTGCTGCGCATGTCACTGTCGATCGACGCGAAGCGAGCGGAAATCGTAATGGGCACGCTTGGTGGCCGTGTCCAGTCAAGCGAGGAAGTCGACGCCGTACGTGCCAGAATGCTAATGGTGTCTGGGCAGCCGCCGTCGGGAAACCAGTGGCCGACTTTAGGCTTGACGCCAGCGGGCCAGCCGCTGCCTCGACGTCGTGGTGCGCGTAGTGAACCGGATCCGTTAATGTAGGCTGGGAGGGGGAGACCACCGCTGGCAGCCAGCTGCGAGGGGTCGTCCAGGTTCCACCCAGGGAATACGGAGAGGAGGGATGCTGGCACACCGTAGCGCTCGACGTATGCACCGGCCTCGTAGTGAGCCTGCCATGGAATGGAGACCTGATTTTGGTGTTAGTAACCGCGCACATGTGTGGTGGCGTCTGGGGTTGTTCCTTGTGCGGCTACTCACCTTGAACAGGCTTATGCTTGCCACACCAAGCTCAGCGGCAACCGCATCACGAATGGCGCTCACGTCGTCATCGGCATTGACTCGAATGACAAACATGTCGCGAGCACTGGGTCCCGAGTCAACGAGAACGCGGACCTGGACCACCATGGCATCGGAGGAGGTGCCGGTCGGTGTGCGCGAGTTGGTTTTACGGCGGAACAGTCCGAGGCCCATTGTGCCTCAAACGCTCAAACGGGTGGTGTGGTGTGTGGTGGGTGGGGGAGCGGGTGTGGAGGGGTCGTGGTGCAAGCTCGTTGCTCTACCATGTACCACTTCTGCTTATGTCTTATTACTACAGCTTTGTCGTTTTGGCGGGTGTGGGGCGAGCAAGTGGGCTAGGAGGAGGGGGTTAGAAGCGCGGCAGTCACTATCGTCACCAACCTTTTATTGCCTCTTGACGTCGGCGGAGTGGTGGTGTGGTGTCGGAACCACGCTCTCCTGTCTTGGAGCCTCGAGCCTTAGACGCTTCGACGCCTCTCGCGTGGCCACGCCTCTCTTCTCTGCACCTGTGATCGACAGACGCGTTCCCTGTTCTCACCCCCGCACCCCCCGGTGACCCGCGGTGGCTGCTGCGGGATGCTGAATGCTGAACACATGCAGTGGCCGGCGCGTCTCGCCATCGACCCCTCTGGCCTCTGGGCCCACCTGGTTCGCTCGGCGCGCTCGGGCTAACTCCTAAATGGTCTTTCAATACCCCCCCTGCCGTTTGCCGGCACCGAGGTAGAATCCTGGACGTGCGTACACTAGTTCGGCAGCGTGAGCGTGTTCTGCCGCGGTCTTGAGTGATGATAGAGAGAGCGAGAGAGAGCGAGAGAGCTTGCCGCTGTGGTGCTGCGCGCCAATGTGGGGGCCGGAGGAGGACGAGGAGGGGGCAGCAGCTTTGAGGCATGTCGGCCGCGGCGGCGCCACACGATCCCGCATGCCGTGTATTAAGAGGCCCCCCGCCCCCCTTCATCCACTCCCTCCCGCGCTATCTCACCCTGGACAGCGACCCTCAACAGAGTCCTCGCATCGAAAGCTGTTGCACGCGAGCACCACGCAGATCGAGGGATGCCGTCATCCTCTCATGTCGCTGAGCCTTTGGAACAAGAGCCGTCGATTGTGGAGAGTTACCACACCGCTCAAGTTTTCACCCAAATTCTTCCTCTGGCCGTCTGGCGCGTCTGGGCTCAGAGCCAAGCGGATTGCTGGAACGTCCTGAACAGCTGGGAAGCGATTCCCGCTGTCCTCGATTGATGTTGCTGGGTGCAACTGCACTTGAACTGGCTCCCTTGGCAGCATGCCCGTGCAATCGTGTTCTCTACCATGGTCCAACCGCCGGTACATGCACCCATCGAGATCTGTTTGCTGTATTGCTCGCAACATTGCCCTGTTCCGCGCTGGTCAATTCGGTGACATGGCCATCCGCTAGTTGTGTCGTGACCTCCGCCTAAACGGCCAGAATCATGTCATCCACAGGGGAGAGCCACGCAGCTCACAGGGCCAACTGCGCAAGGGGGGCAAGACGTCATACGGCACATACATTCTCCGTCGTCTTTGTGAATGGAGAACACGCGACCGCAGTATCACCCCAGAACGCCATGTACGCGGATACGCGTCGTGGCGGTATCCCGTAGCTTCCGTCACATACACGGACAAAGGATGACGATATGGCGAGGTCGTCGGGTGTGCCCATGGCGCACACTCCACAGGACCGAGACTGGGCCGTGGCTGGTGAGCAGGGCCCTCCTGCAAGACACATGCCAACCGTTGGACGAGCCGGACGAGCACACGTGCTGAGCCCCTTGGCACCCATTAGGAGCTTAGCAGACGGCAAGAACGGGCACTTGTTGCGCAGTTGTGCTCTAGACCGCGTGCTCCAAGCCGCAACACACCGCACACGGATTAACCATGACACCACCTCACAGGGATGTCACAAGTGGGGGTCGCTCGGTGCCAACGATATCCATGGCTCCGCCGAACGTCGCTCGGCGCGCTCGTACAAAGCACTTTAGAGGCCGGATGTGAAGAGGTAACGCCGGTAAGAAGGCCGGAAACCCATATGCGGTCTTGACCCGTTAATCCGGTACTGCACTAGCTAGTTATCGGGTACGAGGCTCCAGGATCCAGGTGCGAAAGAGTGGAGCATGGGACGCCGTGGTTGCACAACTCGTCGTTGCGCTGGAACCCGTACCCAGACAATCTAGCCAACATCCGAGAGCTTCCGTAGAATTGGGTCTCCGGTAAACCTTCCGCAAGAAATCGGCTCCTCAATAACGGCAGCGATGAACTAGTGACGGATGTGTTCTTTACCTGACACTGATGCAGGTAGTGCGAAGCTGCTTTCCTGCATGCCTGCTCCCCCCACCCGCCCCCGCGTCTCTACAGTTTAACAGTTTCCTGCCAAAGCACAGCATGCCCGTCCGCTGGCAACTCGTATCCACAATGGACGGCGACCTGACCTGCCCTGACACCCGGGTACACGCACTTCCTGTGGCCTCTTTGACGTGCCGGCGTGCCACGGCCCGGCTCCCTGTCTTTCATACAGCGTACCTTGCATCTGCATGCCTGGGCAAGCTGCCATACCGTGTCCCTGTCTAGAACCCCGCTCTACTCGAATGATTGCGTGCGAGTTTTGTTGGAGACAGAATATACCGCCAGACCTTTTTGCTGCGGGACGGCGCTAGGCTGGGCAGGGACCATATGGACAACCTGATCGACCTGGCTGCCATGGACGTGCGTCGTGCCTCGCCCCACTCTGGAACCCCTCAACGCCACTGCGCACCTCGCGCTGCAAGCCTAGATACAGAACATTCCTCACTCACCACTGCCTCGTGACAAGGAAGCAGATGTATTTGTATTGATATGGGTTCGCAGTGCCATGTATTTGTATTATAGCGCAGAGGGGCTCGCGCATTGGCAGGCAGTGATGAACTATTCGTCATATCGGCTCTTGAGTGCCCCGCCACATCATCATGACGTTGTGTGGGTGGTCTCTGGAGCAAGAGCCGTGTTAGCTTCGAGGGCAGCAATCTCAACAGCCGCCTCCTCTTCTCCTATGCTCCGACAATGGTCCGATGGTGATAGACCAGGACACAGTACACAGGTAAAGACAAATGCTGTACAACGCACTCAGTCACCGGTACTCCCTGTGTGTGCATGCGGGCCATACGCAGTGCCTATGTAATAGAGGGTGCCGCCCTACTCGTCCCCAAAGGTACATTGTATGTGCAGGACCCAGGTTCCGAGAAAAAAAGGTTGGCATCCTGAGCCAGCAGGTGGAGGATCATCTGCGACACGCGCACGCTACTGACATTTGTATTGCTGCCCGGCACGTTGCTCCAACGATCAACGATCAACAAGCCGTGCAGCCACCCATCAGCCACAACCGATCGAGTGGCTGTGGCGGCAGCCGTTCCGGCGTGAGGAGATCACACAGCCAGTACGCCTCCTTTTTTTTGCTCGCGGGTGAGGTTGGTCCCTTGGGTGTGTGGTGGAATTGTGGTCACCCGCACAATGGAGAATGCATAGAGCCAGTTCTTCTTCCTTACCGCTGTGGCGGGCCCTTGTTGTGGACGGGCTCGCGGGCCAGACGGCCCGTTGCCCTTCACTGCTGTACCAAGTGCTTGACCTGACACCTGGCCTGAGACTAATTGCCAGAGCAGGCATACACTCCTGAACCGCACGTCCATCGCAGGAAAACCGGTGGTTAACCGCACCCGCGAGCCGCTGACGAAAACCCCACATTTGCCGCTGCCGCTCCGAGACGAATGGCTGAGACATGTGTGACCGACCCCGCCAATATGCTGGGTTCCCAGCGACGCGTTCATCATGCCAAAGAGTCGTCATCGTCGTCCGCGCTTTGTGCCCTTTGACACACCTGGATTCTAGAGAAAACGGTGCCACCCGCGGGAAAGTGTGTGTAAGGAAAACTGTCACGGCTCGCCATGGTGACCCGCCCCCAGCTATCAGCGTTGACCCACATTTTCGCACGAGGTGCATCACCCTCGCGAGGCCGCGAACTGGTCCCAAAACGCCACCGAGGTCATGACCACGACAGGATGTCAGCTGACTTTGCTGAAGCTGATGCTGACGATTTTTCAATGACTGGACGGTGTTACTTTCAAACGACACGTTTGTCATGTTAATGTGGCAGGGGAGTCACTGCATGTCACCTGTCGCCTTGCTGTGCGGCTACTCTGTTCCATCTCGTTTTTCTCTCTGTATGCGTTCTCAGCTACAACAAGGCCATCAGGCTTGACCTGAGTGCTTCGTCCCTGCCTTCCGAAGCTTGCTGAGGTTGCAGCACTGGCATTGGCCCAATGAACCCGGGACAACGGCAACCGGCCTGCTGAGGTTGTCCACGTAGTTGTTACCGGGGGTACGGCGGAGCGCCGCTCTGTAACCTTGTCTTGAACCACCCTCACTCCCCCACCAACTGAACCTGACTGCCCACCCCTCACGCCACATCGCTTACGAACAGAGGCCACGGGTTTTGGAGCGAGATTCACGTTGGCGGGTTGTTAGCATCCGAGCCTCCGTTCCCCACAACAAAGCGAACTTGGTTCTAACTGAGAGAGAGAGACTCCGGCTCGATCACCGCTTTCTCTCTCGGAAGATGGATCTTTTGCACCTCCGCCGTTCCGAGGTTTGCCAGGCTTTAGGTCGTCCGTGGCACCCAATTTCCGACGGCAGACCCCGCCAATTCCGCACTGGACCATGCCACTCCCAGACCTCGTCACATGCACCGTCGGAGCTCCACCCCACTACGCGTTCCCGAGCGGTAAGTTAACCGGTGGATCTCAGTGCCACGATCGCGAGCAAGATGGAGGCGCGACCTGCCTCTCCAGTTCCTTGTCGATTTTGCTTTTGCCGGCTCGTCTACGCCAGGGATTTCCGGCACGTCGGGTCGTGTGAGGGTCCACGCCACACCCTGCACCGGCTTTGCCGCCGAACACGAAGCGACCAAGCGACCAAGCGAGGCAGATCTGCATTTCTATAAAAAAAGTGGCATCCCTACGCGCAAAGAGGTAGGTAAGCGTTCGCCTCGCGGTCTGGCGAGCTGGCAATCTGGCGATCTGCCTCTTACCTGTTTGCCAAGACGAAAATGGATCTCAGGAAAGCCACAGAGCACCTCGTTGTGGCTTTGTCTGGCCCCAGTGCCTCATACCACCCGACGCGCCGCAGGTACGAGGGTATGAACGACTGTACCCACATGGCTATGCTAAAGCGAACGAGCCTGAGGAACGTACCACGAACTGATGTGGTGCGTGCTCGCAGAGTGTCCTCATATACAGACGAGATATTCCGTTATCGGTACAGCGCACAGCACCATGGGCAGTAAGTAACCGCTTGCACCATGTGCCCCACCTGGGCAGTGTGGCCTTCAAAAATGCATCGGAATCCGGATTCTTGACGCGCTGTGACAAACGAGAGAGCGGACCTCGCCGCATGACCGCATGGCGCGCGTTGGTGACATGTGCTCAACGCCTCCTGTGTCAGAAACGACGTCGAGGGACTGCAAAGTTCATTACAGCGACCAACGCCGAAAGCCAACGCCGAAACCAAACACCGAGACCTACACAAGGATCCAAGAACCTGTGTCCGTAGTTCTCCCTCGCGTAGGTTTTCTCGGCCAGGAGCAACCTCGTGAGATCCAGAATAAATATTGGGCCTGGAGGCGTCAGTGCCCGAAAGGGATGACGGCAGTGGCGGTCGGCCGCCGGTCATTGCGGTCGTCGATGTCAATACGAGACGGTGCCGAGCGGCGAGCGCCGCTACACTGTTGGCAGGTGAGGGGTGTACATGCATCGTAGACGTCAACATCAAAGACTACCCTCCCTCCAACTCTGCACACGACACGGTACTGACATGCAAACGAAAAAAACGTGTCGGTGGTTTTACTGACTGAATTGAAATGATTTAATTGGTGAATCTCGAAAAGTGTGGCAACTAATAAAATTGTCATTCTGATTAGACATTCAAGACCAGCTGTTGTCAACGTAAATTCCTGTGCACGTCTCAAGGCGATCTTAACTGGGGATGTGGCAGAAATACACGACGTCGGTCGACGTTTGATCTGTCCGGCTTTCAACTATCCAAACAGATCGCCCATGTGTCCACAGTGTGAAGATCCCGACAGATCATCCGCATGTATAATCCCCACTCTTGCCTAGATGTGCTTAACGCAACCCACTAGGCCTACGCAAGTACCACACGCACACACAGACTACTAGCCACACATGAAGCGCAGAAGACATCGTTGGGAAGTGGCAAAAGCGACCTTCGCGGTCACGACTCCCAGCCTTATTTCAATAGCGTGGCAGACATCCACCGCCCTTCTTCCCTCTCTGCGTCTCGTCTTCACACACACAATGCTTTAGAACTGCATCTTGGGCGAGGCTCCCCCATGCACAAGCACGGCTGAGACGATTGTGGCCAAGGTGGGCGACAGCACTTGCCGGCGACACCGGCGCCCGCCTATTCCTTCGCGCGCCTTTCTATTCGGCCACTCCGATTCATATCTCAACCAGCGTCGGCGATCTCCCGACCGGATCAAGTGACGTCTTGGGTCTGACTTTTAGAACCCCAATCACAACGAGCTCTTGCATGACTCCCACCCCCACACTCCTCTCTCACACTCTCACACCATGACCTACGCTGCGGTCCTTCGCAAGAAGTACCCCTTCATCGCGCCGTCGATGAACGTCGACCACCTGGTCGTCGGCGGCGGCGTTGTCGGCCTTGCTGTCGCTGCCGGACTTGTCAACACGGCCGGCGCGAACCGGACAACCTTTGTCGTCGAGCGTCGAAAGCTGGTACGTCCACCTGGGAGGTTATCTGATCGGCGCTTATGACAAGTGAAGCTTGGACAGGAGACTACGTGCGCATCTTGACTGGCATTGGGAAGAAGGACACGGAGCTGACGATCTGCAAGTGCTCGCAACTCTGAAGTCATCCACTCTGGTGAGTTCAGGACCATGCAAGGCGGGAGCTCATTGTAGGCATCTACTACCCCGTGGGCAGCCTCAAGTCTGAGCTGTGCATTCGCGGCCGCGACCTGCTGTACGACCGCTGCAAGGTGTTTGGTATTGGCTACAGCAAGACTGAGAAGGTGAGAACCCACCTGGACGAGGGACAACGTTCATGACCGGGTAGTGACTAACGCTCAGCTCATTGTCGCTACGGACAAGTACCAAATCCCCTACCTTGACGACTTGCAGACGCACACCCAGCACCCCTCATTCCTGCGGGGCATGGACACTGGCTCGTCCATGGACAACAACTCGGTCATCCCTGCCTACTTTCTCAACGGCGACGACGCCCGCGACATGGAGCCCGACCTCTCGCCAGACGTGTGCGCGGCTCTCCTCGTTACAGACACGGGTATCGTCGACTCGGCCGCCCTCGTCGAGTCGCTGTCCCGCGAGATTGAAGAGTCCGATTACCTTACCTCGGCTGGCGACGACGGCATACGCAACGGTGTGGGACTCAAGACACACGACTTTGACCGCGGCGAAGGTGTGGTCGTCCCGGGTACCCGTGTTGTGCGCATCGACAGGGAGGAGAACGGCGCGGGCTGGGTCGTGCAGCTCGAGTCCAACTGGGAGGGCAAGGGCGAGGGGGAGACGGGCGATGTCGAGGCTATCCGTGCGGACGTGGTCGTCAACGCCGCTGGCCTGAACTCGGCGAGCCTCGTCGAGCAGCTTCTGCCTGAGTCCCAGCGACCCGGCATCTGGATCTCGAAGGGTACGTGCGCGCGCAGATGTTGAGGAGCGTCTCTCTTTGTCTGCAACGCCACTGACATCATGCTCCAGGCAACTACATGAAGTACAGCGGTCCTGGTGTCGAGAACATCCAGCGTCTCATCTATCCTTGCCCAAGCAAGAGCCTCGACTCGTTGGGCACGCACCTCGTGAGCTAGGAGTTGGACTCGGAAGCTGACAACAGACGCTCGACCTCCACGGCAACATCCGCTTTGGGCCCGACGCCGAGCCCCTTGGCGACGCTGCGCAGTCTGCGGCCAACCCCGACTACTGGCAGGACCATCTCGCCCCATCGGACGCACAGCTCGAGTCCATCGGCCGTTCAGCTCAGCTCTACCTTCCCGGCGTGGACCCCACACGCCTGACTCCCGACTACGCAGGCTTCAGGCCCAACATTGTCCCACCAGGCTCGGGATTCTTCGACTTTGTGATTCGGCACGAGCCGGAGCGTCGGGGCCTTATTGACATGCTGGGCTTTGCGAGCCCTGGTCTGACGAGTTCGCTCGCGGCGGGCGAGCGGGTGGCGAGGATGGTGCGGCGCGAGGTGTGGGACGGCAACAGCGTCGAGGCCAGGGCTGAGGGATGGGAGCTGTGAGAGACGAGTGAGCATGCATGTCAGGTGTTGTTCGTTGTGCATGGAGAAAGGGTGATTGACTTGCTGAGGCAGTAGGGAGACGCGCGATGCATTCTGGGGTCGTGCTGAATGCGCGCATTCATTGTGCAAACTGCGTCGACTGCGTCATTGTGGCACACGTGAGAGCGGATGTGGTGGTGCCATTCAGCGTTTAAGTGGGCTGACTTGTTATGATGGTGTTAGGCCGGTCGTTCCGATGGTGGGGGGTCAGGTGGTCATGTGAACAACAACGTCCGAGTCGTGTGCGAGCCACATCGCGGGGCAGTGCGCGGCCATACGATGCACACGCACGCGGCTATATAAGAGCGACACGTCGTGCATCAACATCTCTCTTCCACCCGCTCTCTCATCCCGAGTAAGCTCCCCAGCATCCACCCAGCCACCGCCTCTGTGCTCCAAACCCCTCTGTAACCCTTCGTACACCCCCCCAACACTCCAGCATGGACTTCGGTACCTCTCCCACCGAGTGAGTAAGCCCACTTGCCCACCTCCCCCTTGGCTGTGCACTGCACCCCCCACTCGTCGCGTCGCACACAGCCCGCACGACCTCGCATCCACCCCCACACAGAGCCGCCACTGACTCCACCCAGCTCGACCGCTTCGGGTACGCCACCATTGCCACCCACGCGACCCTTACTGACCCCCCCATAGTTGAGATCAACGACGCGCTCTTCTGCGAGCACGGCAAGGAGGTCTGCGAGCCCTGCGGCTTTGACGGGCGTGAGGGTAAGTGCACATGGCTCCGCCACATCTCCACAAGCACGACGCCACAACTCCACAACCACTCCACCCCACTCCGCAACCTCTCTACTCCACTCCCCTGCTCCCTACTTTCACCACCTGTCCTCTCCTGCCGTACACCAGCAGTCACTGACCACCTACACAGACAACGACGCGGTTATGGGCTACGACCCCGCTCCCCGCGCTCCCCTCGACATCCCCTCGTACTACCGCAACGCCAAGGACCAGCAGATCGTCTGCAAGGCGTCAGTTGGCCTCGTTGGAAGCATCGTTGAACACTGCTAACGTCTGTTAGTCACGCTAATGTCGATTGCAAGCAATGCGTGAGTCTTGAGCAACGCATTTCATGTATTTGTGGACGTGTGGAGAGAGAGAGAGAGCACTGGTGGCAGAAGGTGGCAGCAGGTGGCCAGGTGGGCATCCACCGGCCCACTTGATTGCCCACCTGGTGCTATATCCGCCATATCCATGACGTCACACGAATACCTTTGCTGACAACCGTGCAGTTCAACTGGAAGAAGCAGGCAAGTATCCAGAGTCCCCACCTCGTAGATGACATGCTGACCGACTGGTAGATCTCCAAGCTCCACAAGGAGGGCAAGAAGATGGCCAAGGCCAACAAGAAGCCCGAGTCCAACTGGTAATCGCCCTTGACCCCTTCCGTCCCGTCCGTTATAGAGTCTCGTTCCGCGGCGCTCGGATTCGGCTCGGTGTAGGGAGGAGCGAGAGGAGGCGGAAAGCAAGCGCCTGTGTGTAACGAGGAAGATAAAGAAGAAGAAGAAGCAAGCAAGAAGTCTGTAGTAGTGTTTTGTATGTGAGAAGCAGTGAGATGAATACGATGGTCATAACCCGATAATGTGCAGTGGTGCGGCATGGCTTGTTCTTGGCTGCAAGGGCTGTGCTGGCTCTTGCACCTGCGAACAACGACTCGCCGCGGGCGATGTCCACCCTTGATGCGTGTTCGACGTCAGTGGCCATTGGCCAGTGGCGCCATACTGGAGCCCCCACAACAGCCCTTGAACAAAGCAGGTCGAAGCGGCCCGTTCAGCCCGCTTTTGTTGGCGCCTAAACACAGGAACAGAAGCGAGGGGGCTGGAGATCCAAGCCGACGGCGCACAACACACAGGTGCCGACTGCGTGTCCACATCACTCTTGACGTTGTCCATTCATTCTTCCCACCATCCGATCTCGGCCAGACAGGACATATCGCCTTGGTGGGGATGCTACGCTATGTCTCGCTGTACAACGGCACGGGCGAGTGCACGCCGGCCTCTCAGCTGAGGCAGGAAGTGGACTGAGTGGGTTTGCGAAGTTGCGGGAATGAGCATGCACTGACTCTCCATAGCCAAGCTTCGGCGACGCTACTTACATGGCCGCATTGCAATGCTGGAGGTGCGCAGGGCTAACGTGTATCGATCTCGGTCCCAGCACAGGAAGCTCTCATTCCCAGCATGTGCTGTGCCGAGATGCTCCTGCGACGAGCCTGTATCCCGAACCAACGCGGTGGCACGAACACAGTGGCACGAGCGTCGCCCAGCGCCCTCTGCGCGCCACTTCCGTCATGCACACCTTCAGCAGTGTCAGACATCCAAAGCTTGAAGTGAGCGAGTGTCATCAGTGAGCACAGAGAGCTCTGCGAATGGTGCGAGCTTGGTCTAACATCTGCAGATTGATCATCTCTTGGTCTAACATCTGCAGATTGATCATCTCGTCTCCTTCACGAGCCTTGACCGCATTCTGTCTGCGGCGCCCTCGTTCACGTATCTCAACAATGTCAAGGACACACGAGAGAATACAATACCGCACAACTGTGGAATGCGTACAGCAGCACCCTTGGAGGAGGAGAACAGAGCTTGCAGGTTCACAAGGGGTCTGATCCAATAGCCAGTGAGGTTTGCCAACGCTTGGCTGCCAACAGCCCGCTCCGGTAGGTGCACGTCACTACGAACAGCGCTAAACGTCACTAGAGCTGCAGACGCAGTCCGCACCTACGGACGCATGCAGACACTGTGCATGCAGGACTGTTATTCGGTAGCAGACTTGAGGTCAGCCCAGGTCAGCAGGCTCTGCTGGCGGGCAGCACACACTCAAACATGACGCCCACTCCTCCTGCCCATCTTTGACATCTTCCACCACCACCCACCGCTGCTACACCACCACCACCACCCACCGTCACAGCACCACCACTACTGTTCCAACGCCTATCGCTTCTGTGGCCAGCGGAGTATCAACTGCGGTGCCATGTATTCTCTTGACGGCCTCGGATGGATGAAAGCAGCATGGTTGCAACGGCAGGCGGTCGCGAATGGGGTACACGTTTTCGAGGTCGTCGATTCACGCGAGTGTGAGAGGTCCATGGAGTAGTGCCGTGAGTTTGAGCTTCACAATCTGGACCGGTTGGTGCAGATTTCGCCCCATGCGGTGTGCCGAGCTGCAGACCTGTGCATGGGCACAGCGAAACGGCTTGCACACCGGGATGGGCGACGGCTTGCAGATGGAGCCATCACACGTCCGGTTGCGTCCCGGAAGAGCATTCCCTCTGTCCCGAGATACCCATTGCGGATCGCAACGCTGTCTGCAAGGTGTGAGGGTGAGGAGGGAAGGTCAGCTGGCTTCCCCTTATCTGTCCACGACGATGGCACTGGCCTTCCCTTCCATGACCGACGCAAGAGGGAAGGAAGGAAGGTCGATAAGATTGTGGTTATCGACACCGTTTGGGCGCTGGCCAGACACACACAGTCTGGGATTGGCGTGGTGCATGTAAGCCACTGCTCGTCCCATCGCATGACATCCATCTTTCAACTATCGATTAATGCATGCCCGGCCACAACATGCTTTCTACATCCCGTTGTGGGACACTTGGGGAGCCTATGGCACCGAAAACGTCCTACGGCGTGCCACCGGGGCCACGCGGAAGCCATAATGCGTTCTCGGCTGGTCGGAGAAACACATATGGCTGGCAACCGTCCAACCTCAGGATAGTATAGTTGGTTATGGGTGGCAACACTCACAGACTGACGGAGCTGACGAAGAACGCGTACCTGGATGCAAACATGCTCTTGTGTTCTAACACCTCTCTTCCTAAACATCCATCCGCATCCACCACAACACTGCTCTCACCACGGTTATCACTACTGCTATCACCACTACCAGCTCCCTTCCACAACGCTCTACGACACCACTCTCGTTCTACCGATTGTTAAACGCCCGTCTCTCCATACTCGACCTCGTCCGCACGCTCCTGTCTCGCTCCTCGGCAGTGTAGCAGCAAGTCTCTCGTGCCATCATGGTCAGAGCCAAGAAGAAGAAGGCGTTCTCGAACACGCTCAAACGATGGCACATCTGGGTGCAGTGGGAGGGAAGGAGTGAGGAGGCATACAAGGCCGACGTTGACTTCTGCCTGGTGAGCAGCCATTACCGATGGTTTCCGCATGCTGACACGCCTCACAGCGTCACTCGGCGACCGTGGTGGACGAAGTGAGCTTGAGCAATGTCGTCGTTGTTGAGCTGGCTGTACCTCATGTGCACCCCTATGTTCATGTGTGCGTGACTCGACACGGCTTTGGCCTCGACGGCCTTGTCTTCAAGTTCGCGGACCTTGAGGAGTCGCCTGCTGCCGACCAGGGTGGGACAAACTTCCCCGGCGAAGACGGCACCGCTGCCGATGTCGGCGAGAAGACCGACGATGTCGAGGAAGGAGGAGAGGAAGACGTGGATGCGGACCTCGTGAGTTGCTTACGATACAGACCTGAGGAGAATGGCTCGTTGACGTACAGGAGTTCCTGTCGCCGCCGTCGTCGCCGATGGAGCGCCCCCGTCAGGTGCTTGTGGATGCCGCCTGTCTGCGTGACTTCGTCGCTCGGACGATCCGGATGGACGGTGTGCAGCCGTACGTCTTGGACAGCACCGACATCGTGTAAGTTGAGCCTGAACGTATCGTATGTCAGTAGCTAGCAGCTCATCGGTACAGCCGTGCCCGCACCCCAACCGTCTGGCTGCAGGACGACTCAACCTCCGACAACAGCCACCCCTCCATCGTCGAGTGGATTGCCCGCGTCGGCGACTCACAAACGTCAACAACTGAGTCCGGTCCGATCACACCACCACTTGTCGAGGAGCTCTCGGTCGGTGGCATCCCGCACGCTGTCCAGGGTGTTGATGCTGCGACATTCACCACTCCGGTTCAGCCAGCGGCCGGTGATACGCCCGCGCCTGCAACGGCTGAGACGACATCGTCGGCAAGCTCGGCCTCTGTCACTTTCGAGTCCATGCTCCAGGAGGAGCTCGACAACGAGCATGATGTGTTTGGTCCCAACACCATGGCTCCCAAACGGGCTCTCTCCAGCTCCAGTGGCTCAAGCATCGCGACGGATTCACGCCGTCCACAGAAACGACCCAGGATGTGCTGGCGCAAACGTCGTGCCCCTCAGAAGGAGGATGTGGGAGGTAGGGAGGGCGAGGAAGGGGAGGACACAACTACCGCAGGCGGTACGGCCGCAGTCTTAGTTGTTGGCCAGAGCGACGAGGAGGAGGACGAGTTTGCCGACAACGAGGAGGAGGAGTTTGCCGACAACGACGACGAGGAGTTTGCCAGCGACGACGACGAGGAGTTTGCCAGCGACGACGACGAGGAGTTTGCCAGCGACGACGACGAGGAGTTTGCCGGCGACGACGACGAGGAGTTTGCCAGCGACGACGACGAGGAGTTTGCCAGCGACGACGACGAGGAGTTTGCCGGCGACGACGACGAGGAGTTTGCCAGCGACGACGACGAGGAGTTTGCCAGCGACGACGACGAGGAGTTTGCCGGCGACGACGACGAGGAGTTTGCCAGCGACGACGACGAGGAGTTTGCCAGCGACGACGACGACGAGGAGGAGTCTGCGGACGAGGAGGAGCTCATGCTGCGTAAGGGCCTGCGTTAGAGTAGATGGGCACCTGGATGTACGACTCTGAGCATTTGTTTTTACAATACGCACAACAGATGCGAGGTGCTAGCAAGGTGATACTCCAAACACAACACGCGTACAATTTGGCTAGTACCTAACAGTCAGTGGTATCACCTTAAATGGGACGATTTATCTTTCTACCAAGAGGTCATCCGGTCCTTTAATGCAGCGGGTAGCGGCTCACGGAAACGTTAGAGCAACTCTTGACATCACCAAGCGTTGGTTTCTGCACCGAGCGGGTTCGGTTCGCCAGAGTGCCAAGCAGACTCCTGAAGCTTTTTGCGCGCTCGGAGAGGGTCCGGCTACGGACGGCGGTATAGACGGCTGGGACGGCTACCAACGGTGACATGCCACGCTAAGAGGGCCGTCAATAAACCGTCTTTTACCGGTCAAGCACCCCACCGCGCTCCAAACGCGTTCTGCTCAAGCACCAGTGGACATTTTCGGATTCTTAAAAGTTGTGCTAGGGCTCGTGGACGTCGTATGTGCTCGTTGCCGTCAGTGCGTGCACTGAAATGGTCAGAAATGAGTGAACAAGTGCAGGCGCCACATTGAACGCCGACGTATTTTATGTTACGTAATATTTACACTCAGTCACGTGTTCTGATCAGGTGGGATCCAATGTGTGGCCATCTCGGCGCATTTCCTTGCCGCATGGCTATGTGTGGTGCCGGTCTTGACGGCGTCGTGTGCATGTTCGCCGAGCTCCACGACCCCGACGAGAGTACTGGATCCGCGACCGCTTCTGCGGACGACGGTGACGAGGAAGAGGAGCAAGACCTAGTGTACTCCGTATATAATCTGCGACAGACAGCTGCTAACGCTCAGGAATTCGTGTCACCTTCGCCTATCAGGCCCCACCGTACCATCGTCACAGATGCGTTGTGACTTCGCGACTGTGTGTCGCAGACGATTCACACCGATGGAGAACTGGGGTACCCTCTCACAGTAGCTCGTCACTCCAGCCGCACGCCTGGCGAACCAGCCGTTGCTCCATATGCCAGCACAGTGACGGGTCAATGGGGTACACTGTGGAATAGATCAGACGCATGTTGCCGCCACTGACAACCGATTCCTCAGCCTTCCGACCCCTCGATGGTGGCCGCCGACCAGTTCCCCGCTACAGCTCACGCCTCGGCATTCATTACTCCGGAGCGCCCTGCATCGAGGCACCACGACACGCCTGCCACGGCGGAGACAGACTCGACGGGCTCCGCAGACACGACATTCTTCGCCCTTCTAGACTGGGCGATGGGTGCCGCAAGTGAGAGCGACGAGACCACCTCGACGTCCTCCGCCCCGCTGGACTTGGTGACGGGTTCCTCGAGCGAGAGCCACGACGCCTTTGGGCAGATCACGCCCCCCGTTCGCAACAAGAGCGCCGATAAACCAAAAACTCGATTATGGCGTTTATAACCGCACAATTTCACTAAACACCTAAGGAGGTACTAGTCGCTTAGAGCGACGGTACGGCATCGCGTTAATCGCTAGATGTGCTTCTTTGAAAAGTTGAGGCCCGGGCACCGAGCAGGTTCGGTTCGCCGCGCACAGCAGAGGCTGAAACTTTTTGCGCTTGGCAGACATCCGGCCATTGACTAGTACGCCTACCAACGGCCGCCTGCCACGCTAAGAGGACCGTGATGGAACCACCTTTTACCGGCCAACCATCCAACCTCAATCCAAACCCGTTCCGCGCAAGCACCATTGGAAGTTTGAAGTTGCTTTTAAGTCGTTCTGGAGCTCGTCGACGTTGCATGGCCACGGTACTGGGTGCATGTGCACTAAAATGGTCATAAATGGCGTGGCGGAGAGATGCAGTTGAGGCTTGGAAGCGTGATGTGGCCTTCTGCTGCCAGGTGAGTAGCCGTCAACCAACGTTCCCCGCATACTGAGACGTTCCATAGCGACACGCAGCGATTGTCGTCAGCTTGGAAAGCTGGGCATGCGACCTCATCTTTGTTGTAGGTGGCGGCGGCGGCGGGTATTTAAGTCGCGGCCGTGCCGTACCCTTTCTATGCATCGCACTATCCCTCACTACAACAATCTTGACGGAATTACCAGCACAGCACTATCACCCGTACGCTCACTTCTGCTCAACTCGGTCAGGTGCCGGTCTCGACGGACTGGTGTACAGGTTCGCGCCGCTCGACGACCTCGATGCACCATCGCCCTCTGCCTACGAGTACGACGAGTATGACGAGTACGACCAGTGTGACGACTACGACCAGTGTGACGACTACGCCCAGGCCGATCAGCACGACCAGAACGACCAGAACGATCAGTGCGGATTTGAGAGAGCCTATACGGACTGTGACGACGAGGTGCAGGAGGAGGAAGAGCGGGACCTGGTAAGTTTGCTTGCCACGTAATCTGCGGAGAGCAGCTAACGCGCAGGAATTTATCTCACCCCCTCGCACGCCCGGCCACACGATTGTCATCGATTGGTCGTGTCTTCGCGACTGGGTGGCCCGCACGATCCAGAACGGAGGCGAGCCCCTGTACCCTCTCCAGGACATTGCCATTCGGTAAGTTGGACTTTTGAACGTATGTCACAGTAGCTCATCACTCCAGTCGTACGCGTGTCGATCCCGCAGCCGCGGTGCGCTCAGATGTGCCAGAAGAAGCCGACTCGCCGTCCCAGCCTAGCCCCACGGATGCGGGCGCCGAAATTGGCTCGGCGTTCACGACGCCAGCACGCCTCGGAGAAGGGGACCAGGGCACGCCGGCCATGACGAACACGGCATCCTCGTCAAGCTCGGCCTCAGACGCTTTTTGAGTCCATGCTCCAAGAGGAGCTGGACAAAGCGCAGGCGAGCCGCGAAGATGTTTTCAGCCCCATCGTGAAGGTGCCCAAGCGGGCTCGCTCAAGTGACGGTGATTCGTCCAACGTCACCTCGAGTTCCAGAGAAACGCCTTAATACCGGCATCAGCACTACCGGCGACGGCACCACCAATGGCGATGAGGGCAAGGAGGACGCGCCCACCAGCAAGGAAGAGTCCGACAGCGAGGAAGAGTCTGCCGACGAGGAGGAGATGGTACTCAGTGAGAGCCTGCGTTGACGTAGAGGTTATGAACACTGTGTGTGACTGTATTAGCTATTGCAATATGTACAAAGAGGGACACATATGTTAGCAGTGACCCAAGTGCTTGGTATATGGATACATGCCAAGATACATACAAGACTACTATATCTACAGGGGGCCTGGCAAATATAACCGCTGCGCCCCTTGCGCTGCTGTAGATGCATGCTCGCGCAGTGGGTACCTGACGGCCAATGGCGCCCACATCCCAGAATTTTGTTAAGCATGCAGTCTTTAAGAGGAGCTGCGGTTCCTGCTGGGTTCTGCCTAGCTAGAGCCGTTCTTACAGATGGTCCTGCTTGACTATCTTTTATGATAACTAGTGCTGTGCCCGTGCCCGAATGGGCCTGCACTTACTGTATTAGACAAATGGATACTATGTCAGTGGGAGCCGTCACCTTAAAGTTACCGATTTCATGTACCTTCCTAAGGAGGTCACTTAGTCGCTTCGTGCGACGGTTACAGCTCGCGGAAACGTTTGAGCGCTCCTTTTCTCGTGGTGGCTTCGGAACCTAGCGGTTCGGTTCGAGACCATGACACATTTTCTTCAGTTTAACCTGTTTCTGCTCCAGCAGCCCCCATTGGACGTTTTTGTAAAGTCGTGCTGAGACTCGCGTATGTATGTTGCATGTCCTTGGTACAGACAGTATGTGAACTGAATGGGCAGAAAGAGTTATCTGGCCCCATTGCACGGTGTCGTAGATTGGGTAACAGCTTCACTTCAAGTGACGTGTTGTGATCTACCATCGGTGCATGCGGAACTCTACCAAGGCGACATTGACCTTGCTCGCATATCAGGGCACCGCGGCCTAGTGAAGCTGAGGTTTGTGGATGCTCAAGGTTGGAGAAACTAGGGCCGGAGGAGCGAGACGTTAGAACACGTCCTCCAACGCATCCACGTTGACTGACTCGACTTCGACTTTGAGCTGAACCTCGTCCTGAACAGCACACCTCATCCTCAAAGAGCAACTCCAGTCTCCCAGTACCTTATGTCGTCTTCAACAGACTCGAGTCGCCGTCGACAGTGTCTGTGCGGCGAGAGCGCCCGCCGCGGCTTGTCTTCCCTGCGTTCTTTCTAGTCCGGCTGCACTGTACTTTGAGGAAGGGTCGTCGGCAGGCTCAAAAGGGGGCAGTTGAAGTGATGAGCTGCCGATTTATTACGGTCAAGTATAACGTATTAGATCGATGTTGCCGCGAGTGGACTGCTGGAGCGACGACGTATGCATACTGACGAACATCATAGCGTCGCAAGGCCATCCTCGTCCCACTCCCCACTTTGGACTGTGACCTCATCATGGTCGAACTGCCCCTAGTTCCGCACCAGGCCCCTTACGTGCACCACTGCACCACCCTCGATGGAGAGGGTCTGGATGGGCTGGTGGCAAGTTTTGCGAAGCTGGCAGTCGACGACTCGCCTCCTCCCTCTGAGGGCGACGACAACGCAGAGGAAGAAGAGCACGACCTTGTGAGTCGCGTACGCTATCCACACGAGAAGGCCAGCCCGTTGACGTGCAGGGGCTCTGGTGGTCGCCACCGTCGTCCCCTCAGCAGCCCAAGCGTCCGATCGTCACCGATTCGTTCTGTCTGAGGGCATGGGTGTCCGCTTATATACAAGACAAGGGGGAGCCGAGGTAGACCTTCAACAGCATGTCAGGGGCTTATCACACAGCCGCGCCGCCGACGCTACCGCCACCTTCACTCCTGACGCGGAGGTCAGCGACAAGGACGTCGACATGCCCTTCGAGTGGATTGGCTCTGGCCCCGGACCTTCTCTCCCGTCTGCGCCCCGGACAGCGACGACAGCGGCCACCGACCCGCTTTCATGGATAGTCGTCGAATCAATGGCAGGTGCTCAGTTCTTCGCCTGCGTGCAGTTGATTTTTTCGGCGATTTTCGTGATATCTGAAGCCTTTTGTTGCCGACGACCGCTCACTGTCTGAACGTGCTGCACACATGTACATCTGTTCAGTCCTGCTGCAGCAGTGTGAATGAGACGCACACATCCATCAAAGAGGTCTCGATAATGTTGGTTGGATCCCCGTTGTCTGTAGGCAGACACAGGTCAAACGGTGGGTAGCATGCACGATGTGGGCAATCGTAACCGCCAGCCGGTGGTCGCGAAATCCCGCGCCGTACGCAGTGCTAATGACCGTAGACTATGCAACGGTGCGACGTCTCAACCATCGAAATGTGGAAAGTGTGCCGATGCGCGTAAGACTGTTAGTATGCAAACAGGAAATGGCCCATGCTAGTCATTGCCAGTGAGGCATGGTGATTTGTGGCATGGCCACACGCCGATCGTCACGTGCCTCCACATTCGCCTGCGCTCCCCTCCTGCTCGCGAGTGACTCGCCGCCCAACAGTCCCTCAATGCGCAATGCACCGCTCCAGACAGTCGAGAATGTAAACATTTGCATTCCCATCGTGGCCCATGACACAATGCATGCAGCCATACAACCCTCCTCGTAAGACGAGCACAGAAATCTCTCGGATCCAACCTTCGACCACGGGCGCCTTGGGCGAGACGACCAAGAGAAGACTACTTGCCCACCGTTTAACGGTAGCGGCGGAGCGAGAGGGTGTTGTGCTTGCGCCAGGTGGCACGAGCGGGGGTGTGGTTGTGCTTGGAGCCCTTGCCGAGACCACGGTTCTTCTTGCCCTCGGCGGTAAGGCCGCGCGACTCGCGGTGCTTGTGGACGGGGTTGCAGATCCAGTTGATGCGAGCGTCGCGACGGATAGCCTTGTGCGAGGGGTCGACAAGGATCACTTCGTAATACTTATAGACTCCATCTAATAGAGCATTAGCAAGCTGCAGGCAAAGGACAAGAGACAACGGAAGAAGGAGTAGAAAGGTGGAATGAAAAGTGGAAGTGTGGTGAGACGAAAAAAAAAATCCCGCGATCTGCCTCCGCTGATAACACAACTTACCGGTGTCAAGGGCGTACGAGTTGAGGACGCGGAGGTTACCGCAGCGGCGGCCAACACGCTCCTCAGCGGTGGACTTAAGGCCACGCTGGTACTTGAGGTGGTTGACACCCTGGCGGACGGGCTTACCGTAGGTAGCACCCTTGGGCACAGGCTGATTTGTCAGTGGGACAATTCCCTTGAACCAATGTCTCGACGTACCCTCTTGCGGTTACCACGGCGAACGCGAACGCGGTAGATCACGTAGCCCTGCTTGGCCTTGTATCCGAGGCGGCGAGCCTTGTCGGGGCGAGTGGGGCGGGTGGTGCGGTGGATGACCGCGAGCTGGCGGTACTCCCAGCAGCGGACGCGCGAGACGAACTGGAGGACGTCCGACTGCTTCTTGGTGTAGAGCTCGCTGAGGAACAAGGTCAGTAACATACTCTAGGACAAGAGGAACGCTTCGGTCGAGTACCGTTGGTTGAACAAGGCAATCGATTCACGACGCCCGCACAACCCTCGGTTTGACGAGAAGCACTCCCCGCTGGGAAGAGACGAACCTCAAATACTTGTAGGCACCCATGGCTGGTTTCTGTTAGCACAATGTATAGGCAAGAAAGGGAGCAAGAACGCGCGCGGCACAGATGCTGAAACGATGTCGGAGCGATGGACGATCGCGGAGGCAAATTTGTGTCAAGCCAGGCCGCGGGCGTGTGCCGATCCTGAAAGGCCAAAATTGTCGGGAAATCACACAAAACATAGACGGGTCGGTAGGGGGCAGTGGCGTGGTGGTGTGCAATAGCGTGGACTGCACAAGACGGTAGGTGGTGTTGGGGAGGGATGCCGAGTTGGATGGCTGTTGGAAGGGTTGGGGGCCTGGACTTTCACAAGCCCAAACCTCCCTCCCCCGTGACGCCTGTCGTCTTGCGAACAACCTGGCCACCTGGCTGTCCAGCACAACTCTGAACAGCCAAGAAGCAAGGAGCCCGTAGCCATCCTGGCGTAGGACATCAAAAGTGGCAGGCACAAGTCGGAGCAGGGGTCCCGGCGACGCAAGTTTGCGAAGCTTCACTGGATCTGCCGCACACGACACTGACGCAGCCGTGTGCACTCCAGTGGCGAGTCTCTACTCGCTCATTGAGCAAGGCGACAGAGTCCTCTCCGCTGGTCGTATTTATCGCTGTGCCACGTCCGGTACCAGTCCCTCGCAGACGTCGATCTGTCTGCTCCAGCACTGATGTGCCCGATTCGAGGCCACACGAGTCGTTTCCTGGCGTTTCTTGTCGGTCGAACGTGTCCAGTCGGTGCTCGCCATGTCGAGCATTGTGCCGCGCGCGTTTGCTGGGGGACGGGAGGCTCACCTGCTAGCTTTTTTGATGGTTGGAGAACAACGACTGAGGGCGAGAAGACCCAAGAGAGCGGCCAGCAGCGGGCGCGCACACCGCAGGGAGTGTCCCAGTGCCAGCCCAGGCAGGGCCAGGCGGAAATAATTGTCGGCGTTTGGCACGGGGGCGCATGCGTGGCGAAAATAAAACGCATCTGTCGGCGAAAAGGACAGTTAGTTACGTAAGCGGGTAAACTTTATGAGATCAGCCGGGGCACTCTGTGGCACACGAGACCCTGTCGTCGTTCGTCATTCCCAAACACGAAACGACCAACTTGATGCACCCTGCACGCCCCTGGCAGCTGACACCCTGTGGCCTGTGGCCCCTCTCGTTCTATAGCCACAGATCCACAGATCCACAGATGCATTCCGTCCTCTGTCTCGCCGTCCGAAAGAAAGGTTCGAGGTTTGGCTGCCAGACAATGCCCAATGCCAGCTCATAAGGGGTTCACCGCGCCGTCCGGCCGTCCGGACTGGCCTCCGCGGCGCTACTAACTGTTCTGATCATGAAGCTGACAGTCCATTGCTGACCAGGAGGCCTGACGCAGCCATCGTGCAAGTCACATTTGCATGGCACAACACTCGCCGACGAAACGACTCTTAATCACACCGCTGTCTACTTCACTTGCATCTTGAGCTCCTTGATCTGGTTCTCCAATTCGGCAACGCGCTCCTGGAGGCCAATCTCGTTCTTGATCTTGTTGACAAGAGCATCGTCGAGCAAGGTGATGCGCTCGCTCTTCTCGGCAGCAAGGTTCATGTGGCGCTGGTACAACTCGAGAATGTTGGCAAGCTGGTTGGGCGTGAGGGGGCACCTGCCAGGTCAGTAAGCACTCTCTTGGAGGGTAAACCACTCACCCACGACCTGGGCAATGAGGACGGCCTTTGTGGCTTGGTGGTTGTGCTTCATGAGCCACACAATCTGCTGGCAGAGCGGGGGGTAGACATGGGCGAACTCGTGGAGGGGGGTGATGGGCTCGGCCGAAGACCACAATAGGGGCCGGCGGGGGGTTGGAGGACCCGGGACGCCGGGAGAGAAGTCGGAGTCACTGGTGTCGTCGTCACTGGTGCCGTCGTCACTGTCGCTGTCGTCTTCGATGACTTGGTGGACGGGAACATCAGGTGATGTGGAGCTCGAAATGCGTTGTTGTTCGCGATGCTCCAACTCAACCTAGCGGAAGGTGTCGTATGTCCTCTCACGGGGACCACGGTCCTGTTGTCGAGCAGTGTCGAGCGAAGCAAGGCGGGACGAGTACGCGGAGTCGGAGACCACAAAAGAGGCAAGCACCTGATCAAGCATGCGCTCGCCTTGCGACGCCATGTACGCGTCGCGAGCGGCTGCTGCTTCTGCTTCAAGACGGTCGTGCACGACCTTGGCTGCCTTGAGGTCGGCGTACTGCTGCTCGGCTGTTCGGTGACCTTGCTGACGGAGCCGAGTGCGGAGCTCGTGGGCCTCGTCCTCGCGCTGCCTCTTCTGGCGCCTCTCCTTGAGGTCGAAGTGCTCCACCTCGAGTCGGCGGTGCTCCTGGTCCTCGTCGAGAGCCTTCTGGTAGCTGGCCATGTGCTCATTGATCGCAAGGGCAGTCTTCTTGGCCGACCACTCTGGGTGTGACCGGCGCCGGAAGAGCTGTTGCGAAGAATGCGCACGGCAGGCCTCGACGCGACCCAGGTGTCGAAGACCGGCGGCAAGGCAATGTCAGCGTCACCGATCAGACGCCCCGCAGACAGCATAAACATGTCGACCTGATCTGGCATGTAGTCGGTTTGACGATGCCAGATTTCGTTGAGGGTCGACTTGTTGATGCGGGGTACGGGACCTCTGCCTTGTTCAAAGGCGGTGACGCTGTTCATGGCGTACTCGGCCTGGGCCTCTGACGACATTGCGTATGTCGCCGGAAGCGTGGCGCCGACGAGGTGGCCGTTGCCCTGGAGACGCTCGAGACGGTCCAGGACGAGAGGTGGACGGTCACGTGGAACCGTTCCAAGCCGGCGAGCCGCATGCCGCGGACGGAGAGGTTGGCGAGCGAGCCCTCGATGCGCATGGTGCAGCGGGCGGGCTCGAACTGGACGAGCGTGTGAGGGGTGCGGGTGTTGAAACCCGAGTGGAAGTGGGTGCCGTGGGTGGTGTGTGTCATGAGTCCTGGGCTGAGCCTGGGGACGTACAGGTCGAAGGGAAGTCCGCTCTAGATACAGCGCCTGCCAAAGCGCACCCAGTACAGGCACCAGTGGAAGAGTGAGGACCGAGAGTCCATCATCCTCAGACGGCATCTTGCCCTTCCATCCACTTCCACAGTCGTGGACACCTCGATAGAGCGATGCTGGCGTCGCAGAGGGACTCGGGAACCCCAAACCGTCGTTGCACTTGGGGATGGTGCAGTCGTACTCGACCTCCAGCTCGGCGATGAGCGAGTCGAATCCCTCAAAGTGCTCGGCAGCGAGGTGCGCGATCCACAAGACCTGCGGGTAGCGAGCGAGCGCGCGACCACCTCGCACTTTGTAGCGGTCCAGGATGGCCGCGATGACGGGTCGGTCGCGCGGGGGTTGCTGCGCGGCCGTTGGCCACTCGGCCATGGTCTGGGTCGCGTCCTCGCCGTACGCTTCCAGGAGCTGCTTGGCGAGGGCGAGGTCGTGGTCGTTTGCCCTGCTGGGGTCTGCACAAACGTCAGTGAGGCGTTGCACAGCACCCATCAGGCGAGCCAGCTCGTCGAGGTGGTGCGTTTCTGCGCCGGCACATCGGAGAGCGTGCGCGACGAGGCTCCACTCAAAGAAGAGAAGCCCGGCATCCTGTCGCACTGGGCCACTGTTTAGCTGCTTCGGCTTGACAGACGCCACTATCAGCCATTCCGCCAACAGCAGTACGAATGATAGTCGTTGCTTGCTCAGCTCAAGCCGATTATTGTCAATGTGTCTTGTGGGATTGTTCGTCTAGGACGAGTAGAGGAGGCAACAAATCTGTAGCACGGTGACACTGGAGCACTGCGACATGTGTACGCGGGGATACAGACATGCTTGGTATTGCGTTGACGTCTGGCGAGATGGCATGCAGTGACATGACATGGATCCATGGACATGACATGGACGGCGGGCTGCTCGACCCAGGCCTCGTCCAGAGCCACCACAACGGAAGCAGATCGCCACCACACGGCTTCGCCAAAGCTAGAAAAGCTAGAAAAGTGCCACACGTCACGTGGCACACCCGAACGAAACGAAACTCCGGTCCAAATCGTCCTCCCTCACTACCTTTCCTCACCAAACTCCCTCTTCCATCACTCTCCACCACCGCCACAAAAGCACGACACCATGCCACCAAAGTTCGACCCCAGCGAGGTTAAGGTGCGCAACCTCGAGGACGGTCTCGCGGCGCCGGCGGATCTGAGAACCGTTTCTTGAATCGCGAGAACGGGTCTGCAGCCCGCCGATCTGAGAGCCGTTTCTTGAAGATTTGAATGAAAGACCATGGTGCTGACTAGATTCCTCCCTTCGTTCTCGCGACTCTCCACGACCTGTCTATCGCGTTGCCCGTGTGCTACTTCCCCGTGTCACGACGTTCTGCTGCTTTCTGCGCTGCCCCCTACGCCAAAATCCCCTTCCCAATCCGTTCGCCAAATTCCTCCCCCCGTCCCGTCTGCCAAATTTCCCCCTCCCCCCGTTTCGCTCGACCCAACAGATCATCTACCTCCGTGCCACCGGTGGTGAGGTCGGTGCCTCGTCCGCTCTTGCCCCCAAGATCGGTCCCCTTGGTCTCGTGAGTCGAGCAGAGCAACCAGACCTCTAGCGCGCGCAATCAATCTGGAAACCTGGGAGAGCGGAATTTCGACATGTCTGCACGCGGAGTGGTGGTGCTACGCCCCGGCCAAAATGCGCGGGCCTCCCAGCGACCCCCAGCTGTTGGCTCTGCGCGGTGTGCAAGTCACTCCTCCCCTCGTGCAACGCTCCCCTTGGCGACCAGATGCGCCCATGCCCGTGGTTGCTCCCAGCACACGCCGCAACGAAACCGTGCTAACATTTTACAGTCGCCCAAGAAGGTCGGAGAGGACATTGCCAAGGCTACTGGCGACTGGAAGGGTCTCCGCGTGACCGTCCAGCTCACCATCCAGAACCGTCAGGCCACCGTCTCGGTCGTCCCCTCGGCTTCGTCGCTCGTCATCAAGGCCCTCAAGGAGCCCCCTCGTGACCGCAAGAAGGAGAAGAACATTATCCACTCGGGTAACGTCGCTCTTGACGAGATCTACAACATTGCCCGCAAGATGGCCCACAAGTCGATGGCCAAGGACCTCGCCGGTGGTGTCAAGGAGATCCTCGGCACTGCCCAGTCGGTCGGCTGCACCGTTGACGGCAAGCCCCCCCACGACATCATCGAGGCCATTGACGAGGGCGAGATTGTTGTCCCCGACGAGTAATTTATTTCACTCTGTCACGGCGGCGAGGCGTGTACGGTAGTCGGGCATGCATGAGGCTTCTCTACACCAGTGAAGCGATGCGTTAGAACAAGACCAGGCAGAGCACGTGCAGAGACGGAGCATGGCGGATGGAGCAGAGGTGCAGGGGCTGCGACAGAACAGAGATGCTGTGTCCGCGTAGACGCGAGAGTCACTGCAGAGTTGCAGACGCGACCTCCCGTCATACAGTCGGCGACCTTCATCAGACCCACATTCTGGCAAGGTTGTAAAGATCGGGAGACGTTGTTTTCTGGTTGTTAGGGTTCAGCGCTGCTGTCGCAGACGCAAGTTGGTATCTCTGGCCGTTCTGAGCTGTTTCAATCGGACTAGAGGTTGTCGTATGGGGCCAGGCCTTAGGACAAGGACACACGTCTAGATCGACGACCTCCTGATAGCATTGGCCGGACAGTAGAAGATGGACCCGCCCGCGTGGCCGCCGCCCTCATCGCTTGGGACTTTCCACACTGCCCATTGCTTGCTCCATTGAAACCAGACTACATTCCCATGACTATACATACTACGAGAGGTTGTCGTGCTCCTCCCACTTCTCGAGACGGGTCTGTACGTGTCAGTTTTCGGGCCCATGATGTGCAAAACAACTCACCTTGCCTGCAAACGGCTTCAGTCCAGCGGCGATACGCTGACCGCCCACGAGCGCGGTCCAGTCCATCTTGTCGCCGCCAGTGGCACGCGCCGAGATCATGTGCTGGTGGGCGACGTCGATCGTGGGCATGGGGACATTGTGCGAGTCGGCCAGCTGGCGAATGTGGTGGGCATCCGCCATACCGCCTGCAAGGTTGAAGCCGCCAGTGGCGTCAAACTTGTTCTTGGTGATACGCTCCGAGTAGCGCACGAGGGCGGGGGAAGCGTGCTGGTGACGGATGAGCTCGACGAGCTGGTCGGCACCGACACCAGCCTGGTCAGCGAGGGTGAAGCACTCGGCGAGGAGCTCGATGAAGCCGAGCTCGAGCGAGTTGCCGACGAGCCTTGTGCGTCAGCGGGTACCCCCCCCCCCATGACGTATTCATAGACTCACTTGAAGGAAAGGGCACGCTCGGGGTTGCTGCCGAGATCCATGACCTTCTTGCCGATGGCAGGGCACAGAGCGTGGGCGGCAACCTTCTTGGCAAAGTAGTCGCCCGACATGGCGAGGATGAGCTCGGCCTTTTCAGCGGCGCGGGGCACACCAAAGACGGGGCACGCAAGGAAGACACGCTGGGGCTTGGAGGCGGCCTGGCGCTCGAGGGCTCCGGCGGTTGTGGGGTAGACCTGTGTGTGGGTGTGAGACAAAGGCAATTCCCGGGTGGATACGCACGGTGCTCGTGTCGACAAAGATGGTGTTGCGACGCTTGCCGTCTGCTGGGGGCTCGTGAAGGGCGGACTGGGTTTGGTATTAGCATGTTGGACATGCCCCCACCATTGTTCTTACCTCCTGGCCAGCAAAGAGGGTAGCATAGACCTCCTTGACAGCGTCGTCGCCGCTAAGCGAAGTGACGACCATGTTAGCACTGCCGGCGGCATCAGCGCACAGTTCTTCCGCAGCCTTCTTTTGTCGGCGCTCCCTCATACTGACGTAGCAGCAATCGCCTTGAGGTCGGTCATGACGCGGTAGGCACGCTCGGGGAGACCCTTCTCCTCGGCCCACTTGATGAAGGCGTCCAAGCCGTCCGACGAGCGGTTGTAGACAATGAGAGGGGGATGGTTCTCCTTGAGGAGCGACTTGGCGAGGTTGGTAGCCATGCGCTTGCCCATCTCACCGAGACCGACGAACGCATACTGAGCCTGCAAGGGGACGTCAGTGAAGGTTCCGGTGTGTCATTCCTAGTCTTGCTCACAGTGCTCATCGTGGGTGTGACGGGCCTGTGGTGGTTGTTAGCCGCCGGGACTGGCAAAGGGTCACATGTGGAGAGCGGGGGGTGGGAGAAGGAAAATGTGAGATGGGGGTTTACTGCTTACCTGGAGAAGGGGATGGGGTTGTGGCCACCCTCTGAGTGAACGCGCGACATGATGGGGGATGGATGGTCCATGGTGGGGGGGATGTTGGGGGGAGTGTGTGTGACAGATTATCTGGAACGAGAGATGGAAAAAGGACAGGCCGACGACGACGACGGAGAGGGGGTGAGAGGGGCTAGGACACACTGGGCTCAGGTGATGACGTCGAACCCTTCTGCCGCAACCTCACACCCCAGCCAGGCGCGCCAGGCCCCCGCCAGCACGTGTAATTGCTTCCCTCCATCCCCCCTAGACGGCCCTCTCCCGCGCGCCATTCGGGCCCCAGACACACGCCCATCCCATCCACATAGGCTGGCGCCATCCATCCATCTCTCCATCCCACCAACATCCCCCCCCACCCACCCAGCACCGCGCACCAACCATGAGCACAGCTCCATCCCGCTCCGCTCCCCCTCCTCCCCCTCCCCAAGAAGAGGACGGAGCTTCGGCCAGTGAGTGGCCCCTGCCGCCATCCACGACACAGCATCAGCATCATCATCGGCGTCGCCCCGAGAGGCCTCCGTGATAGCTCCCGTGCCTTCCTTGTTGCTGGTGCAGCTGGCCAAATGCTGACACCCAACAGACGAGCGTCTCCTCGCCGCGGCCAAGACGGACAATGAAGAGCTCCTCGAGTCGGCTTTCAACCAGCTTGACGATGTCAACTTTGTGGACGGGTGGGTCGTGCGCGCAGCTCGGGACAGAGCTGTGCAAGTCCGGGGGGTATGGACTTTTTGGGCTGACGCAGCCGCGTAGAATGGGCAACACTGGTGTGTTGTCACGCGTCGTGTAGCCTTCTGGACAGTACTGACCGTGCCGTCCCAGCGGTGCATTACGCGTAGGTGCCGTGGCACGACCCGAGCTTACTGTCACAGCGTCATGAACGGCTCTACGGACGTGCTGGAGCACATTCTTGCTCACGATAGCTGCAACCCGGACATCCGAAACAGGCTGGCTGGTGACACACCACTCCACATTGCCGTGCGGAACAAGTGGGAAGACCACCCAGGCATGCGGTTGTATCTTGGTGCGTTGGACTCGGGTCACACCGTGATGGCCGTTCAGGTCATGCACAGGTCCTGGACCGATCCGGTGCCGGGCCCACCGACCCTTCTCCGCCCGAACACCGTTCTGACCCCCTGCTCCCAGTTGGCTCACTTCTCGAGGCCGGCGCCGACCAGCTGTGCGTACCATGGCGATTGACAGACTGCTGACCGCCAGGATCAAGAACCGGCACAACGAGCGTCCGGCCGATGCGCTGCCCCAGTGGCACGCCGGTGTGGACCCCGAGGCGGACGACGAAAAGGTCCGCTCGATGCTCCGTCGCGCCGCCGCCGAGACCATGGTCGCGTCCAGCGGCGACGTTGTTGAGGGTGCGTGTTTCTTGAACACCTCAGGGAGTAGCCGTGCTGACGTGTGTTCTGCAGAGGACGACATCATTGACCCCAACGACGTGGCCTCGGACAGCGACTGAGCGCGCTCTGCCTGTGGGGGGACAGGTGGGGTCAGTAGATGAGGTGTGAGCATACCCAGTGTTGCGATACCGGTGTTGATGGAAGTATGCATTGGTTCGTCATACAGGAACAGTGTTGGGTTCGGGGGGTGCAAGCTTGTAGATGGCGGTGATGATATCCATGTAATTGAGCGTTTGGTCTGGATTACGGATTACTGGCGGAATGCGGAGTGACGGGGAGCCAACCTGTGGCCTGTTTTCAGTTGCGGAGATGGCGCGTTCCATTTCGGCCACCATCGACTCGCTCAGTGGGCATTTTGCGGATAGCTACTGCCAGGGCCTTTCGAAGGCGAGGAGATGCCTGGACGCACCCCATCGCCCTAGCATCGCTGCATCCTGGGGACATGATGAGATGCGATGGAGGTATGCATTATGCAGCGATCCACAGTGGCCCAGTGGCCAGTGGTAGACTGGACGGTGGGCGTGGGCAGTTCTTCTGCCACACCCGGCTGGCGGGAGTATATATACCCTAAGGCCCCCCCATGCTCTTGGTGCCCGCCCGCGCACAACTCGATTTCTCATCGATCACATCCCTCTCACCACCACTCTCGGGCGCCTTTACATCGCCTTTCTTATACATCCGACGTCCATCCACCCCCCGCAGGAGACCCCTTCATTGGCACACCTCCAGCGACTGCCCCAGACCACCTTCTGGCGCGGCTTCGGGCTCGTCCGAGAAAATCAACCCACCCCCGGGTCACAACACAAACCCACTCGCCACCCGTTGACCACTCCTTTCCCCCACTTCCATCGCCCCTTTCCTCATCCTTCTATCCCCATCGCGACCCCCTTCCCGCATCGCCACCATGTCCGGCCTCGCTGTCCCCACCGCGTCCTCGAGTAGCCAGCCTCCTGCCGAGGAGCAGCAGACGTACGGCAAGACCACTGCCCCTCCCCTCCGCGCACCCGCGAGTGTGCCCGAGATCACGGCCGTGCAGGGCCTCGTGCCCGTGCTCCAGTGCGTATGCTGATACTGAAAGAGTGAGAGTGAGAGAGAACAGCGGTGAACCAGTTGCACAGGAACATTGTCGCGACGGTCAACCTCGAGTGCAGGCTGGACCTCAAGACCATTGCCCTTCACGCGCGCAATGCCGAGTACAACCCCAAGGTGAGCCCTTCTCGTTGTATTCTTTGCCACCCAAAACGCTGACACTGTTTTTTTTTCAACAGCGTTTCGCGGCTGTCGTGATGCGTATTCGTGACCCTAAGACCACGGCGCTCATCTTTGCGTCGGGCAAGATGGTCGTCACTGGTGCCAAGAGCGAGGACGACTCGCGTCTTGCGTCGCGCAAGTATGCGCGTATCATTCAAAAGCTTGGTTTCGACGCCAAGTTTGCCGAGTTTAAGATCCAGAACATTGTCGGCTCGTGCGACGTCAAGTTCCCCATCCGTCTCGAGGGTCTGGCGTTTAGCCACGGTGCTTTCAGCTCTTACGAACCCGAGCTCTTCCCCGGTCTCATTTACCGCATGATCAAGCCCAAGGTCGTGCTCCTCATCTTCGTCTCGGGCAAGATTGTCCTGACCGGTGCCAAGGTCCGTGAGGAGATTTACATGGCCTTTAACCAGATTTACTCGGTTCTAGTCGGTGAGTACAGCGTGCGGTTGGGTTTGGGGGTTTGCTGCTGACCAGGCTACAGAATTCCGCAAGGAGTCATAGACGCTGCCGTCCCTGTTACTTTTCCCTCCCCCCCTCCTCCCCCATCACCCCCATTACATATACCCTTCATCTGCATCAACCAGGCTGCCTGGCCCCCTTGGTCTCTGGCATGGACACGCTATCTTCGCTCCCCCCTCCCTCTCCCCCTCTTCCCCCTGTTCCTGCTCTTGTTCTGTTCACAAAACCACATCCCCCCCGCCCGCACACAAACTGGGTCCTGCCTGGTGCCCCGCCTCGCCCTTTCGCTCGTACGCCGTTACCGCGGCCGTTGTCTAATGTCATGCAGCCAATCAATGTCACGTGGAGGGGGTTGTGGCCGTTGGTGCAGAGGTGTTGGGTCCTGCTGAATGGTGAATACTGATGGAGAATGGCGGGTTGGTGGAGGTGTGTGTCAGTGGGTCAGTGGATTGGATGGTGGTGAGTTGAAGTCCACGGTAGCCACTCGCCGCTGGCCACTGGGCAGATGGGTTCGACTGTGGCGACGTGTACAGCGCCGTCGTGTACAGCGCCATCATTGTGAACTGAGTGCGCAGGCTGGTATTCGTGCCGGCCAGAGTCGCGGCGGGCAGTTTGGCTGGAGAGGTTGTGTGAAAGCTCTGCTGTCGAAGTGGCTGGTCACCGTGTCGCGTTTGAGATCGAGCTAGGTCGAGTCGGCAGCGGCAGTAGAGGCTCAAAGGTGGTCAGTCGCTGGGGTGTTGGCGGTCTGAGAGAAGGCCATGGGTTTGGGGCCGCAGGCGAGAGCACAAGCGTGACGGAACGGCCACGAGGATCTCACTCGCTCCCTCTGCATCACCATCCAGCTCGTGTGACCGCCCAGTTGCGTCCAACCAGACATTCCCGCCATCTCCTCATCGACACCGGCAGGGGCCCGCGACGATCCTGCCACACGGCCGATCCCACCACACGGATCCGCGCCACCCCACCTGCCCCAACTGAAAACGCCACATCCCCCCTCCCCCCGCCAAACACCTCCGACTTTAACCCTCCATTCCTCCATTTCCACTCGATCAACAGGCGTCGTTCTTTGCATCAATCGGAAGCCACGATACAGCACTACAAGGAGGACACCATGAATGGCAATGTGGCGGAGTGGTTAACGCGATTGACTCGAAATCAATTTCCTTCGGGAGCACATGTTCGAATCATGTCATTGTCGTCTCTCTTTTGCTGGTGCGTGAGCGAGCGCGTGAGAGATGTGTTCTTTTTTGTGAGAGGCGGGAAGGAGAGAAGGCGAGGATGGACAAAGACAGGTGGTGGGGTTGTGGTGGTGGTGTGGAGCTCGTGTCGTGTGAGGTGGCGGTGAGGGGTCCGTAACCGCGCGCAACACGGCCCACGAGGGTGACAGGATCTCCATGTGCCCGAGACCTACTGCATGCACGATCTGCATCCCGATATAGCGCACGAAAGACTTGGTACACCGCTCGCAAGTGCAGCAGAAAAGTGTACCAAAAAATCGCGCTGTTGGTCCGGACCGGCCGAGACCGACAGTGGCTGTTGGGGACGATGTCGGCAACTGGCGGTCCAGAGCGGTGCCGTTCCGGCCCACCGGCAGCCGAATGAGTCGCCCACCATCGCCTAGAAGCGAGATCGCGAGTTGGGTTACTCACTGTACTCTCTCTCCCTCTCTCCACTCCCCGCCGTTCTACTCCACAGCAAACATGACTGGCACACTCGGCACCAAGCCCAACGCGCTCCTCTTCGGCCTCGGCGCCATTGGCAGCGTGTACGCATCTGTCCTGCAACGGTCTGGTGCTTGCAACGTCAGCGTTGTTGCGCGCTCCAATTATGCCGCGGTCAAGGAGAAGGGTTATGCTCTGGACAGCCAGAAGTTTGGCAAGCACCACCACATGCTCGATGGTGGTAAGTACGGGGGAGGATAGATACCAAGGCCTTTACTGATGACAAGTGTTCCGCGACACAAAGGAGGCGGCTGCCAGCGGCATCAAGTTTGATTACAGTGAGCTCACTTTGGTCATAACCCGAGCTGACGCCAGTCCTGTGTGCCAACAAGGCCCTGCTGACGGCGGTGCCGACCCTCGCGGACCAGCTCGCGCCCATCATGTCGGACCAGACCTCGATCGTCTTGCTCCAGAACGGCGTGGGTAACGAGGACCCTCTGCATGCCGCCTTCCCCAACTCGACCATCATCTCCGCCGTGGTGTGGACTGGCGGCAAGGCCGTGCCGACCGGCGAAGACGGTGTCACGACGTTTCAGCAGTTTGCAGCCGAGGGACTGACCATTGGTGTCGACTATGCCGAGGGACTGGACCGCGCCACCGAGCGCGCCAAGCTCGACCGCCTCGTCGAGTGGCTCCGCGCCGCCGGGTCCGACATTACGCCCACAGAGGACATTCAGAAGGAGCGCTGGATCAAGGTCATCTGGAACGCGTGCTGGAACTCGCTCACGACCGTCACGCGCGTCCGTACCAACCACTTTTTCGCGTCGTCGCCCGGCGCAGCCGAGTTTGCCACCAAGCTTATGGACGAGGTCGTCGCCGTGGCGCGCGCAAAGGGCCTGGACATTCCGCTCGACACACCCGCGACCCTCTTGGCCCGCTGCCAGGTCGTACCAGGCGCAGGCCTGCCGAGCAGCATGATGATGGACAACGAGGCCGGCCGCCCCACCGAGGTGGAAGTCATCCTCGGCACGCCGTTGAGGGAGGGCCAGCGCCTCGGCGTGCCCGTGCCCATCCTCGAGACGTGAGTGTATAAAGTCAAATGACAAGTGGTCGTCTGGCTCGCTGACGCCGGAACAGGATCTACACCATTGTCAAGGCGCTGGATTGGAAGAATGCCCATCCCGACGAGGCTGCCGCTCCTGGACCTTGAGTGGACAGGCTGAGGCTAGATAGGATGTTGTAGATGACAACGTAAGAAGACATGGAGCAGTGCAGAACAGGACCGCAGTGCATATACATCAACATGTGTACCTGGGTCGGCCAGGTGTGGCTGCGGATATGCACCCAAAGGCTTGTGTGCGTCACAAGACCCACCTGTGGACGCGTCGCGACGCCCAGGACGCCCAGGGCATCGTGTGTGGAAGATGTCTAGTAAATGCATGGTCTAACTCAATCCCTCGAGAATTACTACTAATAACATGTGCCGGCCCCTACTCTTCTCTGTAGCCCGTTACACAAGGCCTAACCCGTTGTTCTAGAGATGCTGCGCCTTCTCCGACTTCTCGTCGTGTGCGTGCTGGTGCTGCTGGTGGTGGGCCTCGAGAGACTGGCGGAGGTAGGCCATCGACTCGCGGCGGCCCAGGGGCATACCGTTGTGGGCCTCGGCGACGTCGAGCTCGTGGCCGAAGAACGAGTGGGCAGCCGACGAGAGCTCGTCGTCCTCGTGGCTCTCAAACTCCTCGCGGCCACCTTGCTCCTTGGTGACCTCCTGCTGGCGGGCCTCCCACATGACGCGGAGCTCCTTGATACGCTGCTGGCGGTCAAGGTCCGGGTCGTAGGCGCGGTGACGCTTGAGGACGACACGCTCAAAGAGCGAGAGGTGGCGGGGGTGGACGGCGATACCGTGGTAGTCGCCGGCGCGGCCCTCACGGACAAAGGCCCAGTAGCGGTCCTGCTCGCGGAGGTCGAGACCGGTGACGTCGGGGATGAAGGCCTGGGTGAGGATCCATCCAAGGAAACCGAACCAGCAGACAACCCAGAACTTGGTGTGGGTGCCAATGTAGTTGTAAACGATAGCAGGGAGAAGAGCACCGAGCTTGCCCGAGGCGGCCGAGAGACCGTGGGCGGTGGCACGAACCGAGATGGGGAAGACCTCGGCGGCGAGGAGGAAGGTGGTGCAGTTGGGGCCGAACTGCTGGAAGAACGAGGCGAGGAAGTAGATGGTCTGGAAGCCGGCAATGTGCTTGGCGGACGAGAGCTCCTTGTACCAGATGGCGGGGAGGAGGTAGAGGACACCGCAGGCGAGGAAGCCGACAGTCTGCATGCGCTTGCGGCCGTAGAACTTGTGGTCGACGAGGAACGCGGCAAGGTAGTAACCAACAAGCGAGACACCGACGTTGAGCAGGTTCCAGAGCCATCCGGTCATGACACCAGTGGAGTTGGGGGTGATAACCTTGATAAAGGTCGAGGCGAAGAGCTTGGCACCGTAGAAGAGGAAGTCGGCGGCGAGCCAGCACATGCAGGTACCAAAGAGACGGCCACCAAAGTGCGAGCAAACGAGCTTGAGCGAGACAATGTCGTAACCAGACTGGTTGACGTGCGAGTTCTTCTTGGAGCGGCGGAGAGCGGCCTCGGAGTACTTCTTCTTGTAGAAACGCCAGTAGGCGAGCCACAGGGTGAAGGGAATCATGAAGGCAAACGACAGGCGGAAGACCCACTGGCCAGTCTTCTCCGAGTAAGGAGGAGTAGAGCCGCCGTGGAGGACGAGGACGAGGAGGATGAGGAGACCCTGGTTGAGGAGCTGGCCCCAACCCTGCATCAGGAAGGCGAGGACGACGTTACGGCCGCGGTGGAGCTTGTCGTCGCGCTGAGCCTGGCCGGCAGCAGCCTTGTTCTCAAGAGCCGAAGTCGAAGTCATGGGGTACTCGCCGCCAACACCGAGGGTGTAGATGAACTGAGACCAAGCGTAGCAGATAACCCAGCCGTTGAGCGTAGTGCCCCACGAAGCGGTAAGCATGACGAGACCAAGAGTCATGACGAGAGCGTCCTGGACGAGACCGACACGGCGACCAATCCAGTCGCCCTCGATTCCGACACCGATCTGGCCACAGATAATACCAATGATCTGGATGTACGATACACCGGCGATCCAGTTCTCGTCGCACACCTCGTACGTCTTCCAGCACTGGGGCCAGACAGCCTGGTACCAGGAGGTAAGGTTACCAATCGAGAAGATGGTGTAGCTGGAGTCTTGTCAGCATGGTGTAGCCAGTTTTTTTTTCTCGCTCGCCCCATCGTCGTTGTGTAACGTACCCTTCAGTGAACATTCCGAAACCGGTGACAACGTAGCGCGAGCAGTAGGCGTTGAGGGGCGAGAGGGGGTCCTTCTTGAACATGTCCCACACGACGCCAATCTCGCGCTTGGTCTCCTCGGTAGCCTGGTTGTTGACCCAGGCCTGGCGCTCCTTCCATGGGAGGTCGGCCTAAACATGGTGTCAGCCACTGGATCCGCGCGAAATGAATTCTTTAAGACGCCGCCACACTCACCCAGTAAACACCCTCGGGGGTGTACGAGTCCTCGGGACACAGGTCATTGAAGAGGGGGTGGGCGACGCTGAAGTCCACCTCCTTGTTGGAGGGGAGAGCGTCGCGGTCCTGGAGGTCGGGGGGGAAAGGCATTGCGGGCAGGCTCGCTGCGGGGTGCGAGCGGTGGTGGTGGTGGGGGAGGGGGGGTAGAGTGGTCGCGTGAACGCGGGGAGGGAGCCTCTACAAGACGCTGTCGACGCTAGACAAGAGCGATGCGACTGGCTGTTTTCTCTATGAGAGGAGAAGAGGGAGGGGGAGAGTGTGTTGGGGGGTGGGCAGTGGTGGGTGAGTGCGAAGAAACGACTCGGTGGTCCTTACATATGAAGCGTCTGGCAGAGCCCCCGGTCCCAACTTTCCGGCCGGTTTCGGTTCCACTGGTCCAGATTCTTTGAAGGGGGGGGGCAGAGGCGGCGGCTGGCTGCTGGCGGCGGCCGGGCGTGGGCGGCGAGGCGCTGCCTTGGCTGTTGGTCGTGTGCTCTGGCTTGCCGGATCGGTCGTGCATTTTGCTGATGGCCCCTGTGTGTTCTGCCCAGTCCAGAGGCCAACAGCACGCAGGTGGTCGAACGGACCGTTGTGACTGGCTGGCGACAGTGCACACGTTCGTAACGTCGCTTCGAAGATGGGTTTTGCCCAGGCACGATCACTCCCCGGCCCTGAGCTGTCATGCGGCCCTTGTCCTTGTTCGTTCTTGTTCGTGTCTTGGCGAGCGCTTGGTCTCTTGTGGCATCCGCCCGCTGGGCCGTTTTGAGAGTTTATTGACCACATGAGATCGCCGTCACACGACCAAGAGTCACACGAGCAAAGAGTCACACGACCAGAGGCCAAGGCTCAAGGTGGCGGCCAACATCTGCACAAACATGAGTCTCTCACAACTTGTTCTGTCTCGACACTGTTCGGATATCGTCGTCTGGGCGCGCAGCACCACATGCACACGTTCCAATCTGCCCACCTGGTTCCGACACACGTTCGTTGCCTCGTCTTTCGCTGGGTCTGCTCGGTCTAGTGTGCCTACTCGGCTCGCCCGGCACTGCTGCGCAGCAGCAGCAGACTTCTCCGCGCTATGTTTAGCATACGTCATTACTAAATAGCATTCCTGTTGGCCTGTTGTAAGCGCGGCCCAAATCCATTAGAACGCTTCATTAAACAAAGCCAGGCTTCAAAACCCCTTTTGCGCGCTGAATGAATGAATGACGTATACACCCACGGCTCCGTCAAGTTTTTTTGCTCTCGGGCGGCACTCTGTACTCTGTCCATACCGTTGTTTACCCAGTTCCGGCAAATTGAGAAAACGTTGGTTCGGTGGATGCCGCCGGCGCAAGACAGCCGTGGCCAGAGCTAATCGCTGTCTCAGTGATCAGGGCAGGCACAGCTCAACAGCATCACATGAGACTTTGACCGTGGTTGCATGGGGCCCAATGACCGTATTTTTTTGTTTAGCCACACAGAGAGGTGACGCATACCGCTTGGTCACACACACTACCTAGCCAAGGTACTGAACGCATGTGCGTCGCTATACGCTTTTCTACTCGTAGATCATCTTGTTCACGAGGGTTCCTGTGGTTATCGTGTCAGCCACGGACTGCGGACACGGCTGAAATCTGACACGACGATCCCTCGATATCCCTCTACAGACTACACGTGTGGTCGGCATCCACTCACCAATACCGTGCGAGATGTTGCAGCGCACCTCGTCGCCGTCATGGAGCCATTGACCACGTGAAGCGCCGATACCGGGCGGGGTTCCGGTGATGACAACAGTACCGGGAAGAAGAGAGGTGCCGCGTGAGAGGAACGAGATGATTCTGTAGGTTGTGGCAGTTGATCAGCTGCCTGTCGCCTGGAATGACGGAAGCGCCAGTCTCTTCCATGAATGTCCAACTCACTCAGCTACGTGCCAGATCATGTTTTGGGCCGAGCCAGACTGAACGATCTCGCCGTTCACACTGGTCTGGAGCGCAACGTCGCGGGGGTCCGGAAGCGCCGTCGTCGAGACGATGCACGGTCCAAGAGGGCAGAACTTGTCAAAGCCTGCGTCATCAGTCTCAACCACATAATTGGGTGCCACAAACACACTGTCTCGGCCACTGCTTACCTTTGGAGTAGCCCCACTGACTCGTCTGCTGCTGCAGCTTGCGGGCGGTGAGGTCGTTGGCACATGTCCAGCCAAGAACGTGGTCGAGGGCGTTTTCGGCGGAGACGTCGCGGCAAGTACGTCCGATAACGATGGCAAGCTCCACCTCATAATCCATCTCGTCCGCTTGGGCGCAACGCGGGATAGGGACCGCCTCGCCTGGGTTGGCAAGGGCAGTGGCGGGCTTGAAGAAGACGGCCGGGACGTCGGGCATCGCCAAGCCCAGTTCGCGGGCGTGGTCGGTATAGTTGAGTCCGGTGGCTCGAATCGTGCCACACTGCTGGGCACTCACAGGCGAGAGGAGCTAGGCGCGTGTCAGGATGGTCTCGAGAGCTGCGAGGCACGGTGTGATGCGAAACGCATGTCGGACAACAAGAAGACAACGCCATCTACCCTTCGCGCGCACAAGTGGAAGGTATGTATTTGGCCAAATACCTCATCTGCCCAGTCTCACGCCCATGCAGCACATCAGGACACAAGCAACTCACTTTACTGACAAGCACCGTCTCCCCCGAGTGGCGAGCGGCTGGGTCCCAGGGAGACTTGGCGTCCAGAACATGCGCGGTGACTGGGAGACCTTTGGCAACGGCCAGACCGACTGTGTTGTATCGTCAGCCTCTTGTGCGCCCATTGCTCCACGCCAGAGCGACGCCCACACTCCACTTACCGTCCACGCGCTCGTCCGTGGGTTCTCCCAGGAGCTCGCGACCGTCCTCCGAGACGAACCGAATCAGGCGGCGGAATGGCCAGGCAGTGGTGTTGAGCTGACTGTGTCAGCTAACGAAACGGGGATACCCAAGCTGGCGTTTACCCACCGCTTTGGAGTTGTTTCCGCTGCCGCCGTTACGACCATCGGCTTGGGCGGGGATGCTGGTGGAGTGGGCGTGTCCATTGGAGTGGCCGCTGCCATCGCCACTCGAGTAGCGGCTGCGATGGCTGTTAGGGAAGGGGTCCATGGTGATTGTCATGAGTGGCGTGAGAGAGAGAGAGTGGATGGATGGGGAGGAAGAGAGAGCGAAGAACGAGCCAACGCAGCGGCAGACACTACTTTTGGGAGAAAACCGGCGCCCCACGTCGTCCACTCTTGCCATTTCCCAAGTAAAGTCCGTGTACACCGTGTGCGCCCTTCCTTGACTGCCTGCGTCTTCCTCCTTTTTGGGCCCCCTTTGGGTGGGTGGGAACCCCAAATGGGCACATCACGTCTGTCTCTCTCTCTCTGTTGCATCTTGTCCGATTCTCTTACCTCTTCAACTCATCCTCCTGGCCATCATCCGCTTGCTTCGCGCTGCTCCCCGACGCCCCGCTTTCCTCCTCCGTCAGCTTCAACCCGACAAACTGGCAACCTGTGTGTGTACATGCCGACGGGCCGACACCACCAAACACCACACACCCGCTGCCGACTTTGCGAGCAAACAGACAAACGTCCGCACCTCGCGCGCTTTTCCCTCGTGCCGTCTTTCTTCTGTGCACGCCCCAGAAACAGTAACAGTACTCACAACCCTCTCAGCCGGGTACCTAATCGAGACGAACTGCCTGGCACCCTCCTCTGGATCTGCGTCATACGGACCATGGACCATTCCCGGAGGCCGGCAGGCATAGTGCCCCACCCCGAACCACTGCTTGAGGGCGCGGTCGTACAGCCTTCCCTGCAGAAGAATGACTTCCTCCCTGGATAAGAGTACGCAGTGAGCCCCCCTCGTGTTAACCACTCTGAGACCGATCCGTCATCACGCACCAAAAGTCGTGTACCTTCGGCTCTGCTTCCTGCGCGTACCCCGGCGGCAAGTCAATTATCATTGTGGCGTCCCCAGTGTCGGGGCTGAGCGTGTCAGGACATGTACGACCAGGCGGCCATGGGTTGGCTCAGAGAGCGGCTCACTCGCGTGAAAGAATCGTACTGAGATGGTGTGAGCTTCTCGCTTCCTTCCACCCGTCCCTCCCGGCAACCTCTTGTTGGCACTGTCTGCCAGAGCAAGGAGCCCGCAGACAGGAGGACAGACACGCACTGTTTTTCCTCCCCGACGCACGTGCGGGGTGCGTTGACGGCGTCAAAGAACTCGAGTTGGGGCTTGGGCATGGTGGATGGCTGGGTTGGGCGAGCAGTGGGAATGGAAGAGCAAAAATCATGCGTGCAAGGAGGCCTTAAGCACACGGGCTCGATGGTGGGCATGGAAGGATGGTTAGCAAGATAACGGGGATATCCGAAGACATGACATCATTAACCGTTTTTAGGCCCAACTTTCAGACTTTTGGTGTTGCTCGTCCGGCAACATCCAAAGCAATCTTTTTTGGGCTCAGCGAACCAGCGGGCCAGCGAGGCGGGCCAGCGACGAGGCTTTAGGCGCATATCATCAGCGTATATAGCCAGCCTACTGTGCCAGCCTACAATGGTCTTTACGTTGAATTATCAACAAGGGCTAACAGCCAACGAAACACTTCCAGACCCAAACAGACACTGCTTGAGGCACCCGCCATTCCTCCGGCCTGCGGATCTCAAACCATCTCCTGGATCCTGGCCGTTGCTGTCCACGCGCCACGCTCACTCAACACAGCGCGAGGGCGACCAGCGCGTCGTGCATCCTGTTTGTATCGTTCAGCAAAAGTGATGCAAGTGACAACCCAGCCATGTTACATGCTTTCCAGTGCCGTGGCGGCGTGGCGCACCGGCGCCGGCGAGTGGCGTGGCCCTACGGCGATCTCCCGGTGACTTTCCCTTCCACAGGTCCTGCGAGTGTGTACATATTTCTTCGTATCGTCGACTGCGCAAACGGGGCCCTTTGCAGCGACATGGGAGCGCGAGCGCTGTCGAGGGACCTGCTCAAACCATGAAAAAACAACGCTGGTGCCTATCTGACCCAACAAAGTGCGTGCATCCGAGGAACGTGGAGCCGGCCACGGGAATGGGCACTGGTGCTCAACCTGTGGAGTCTGGAATTGGAGCTGAAACCGGAAAAGGGTGCTGGAGTTCAAGCAAGAGCAAATAAGCTTGGGCAGTGGTCCCAAGGCAACCGCGTGCCACAGCTGGCTCGCACATGTAACTTCTATACTGTGCATTCTGCGTGGCTCTATTGGAAAGTCTATAGGGATGACACGTCTGGACTCGCCAGAGTGATGGGGATGGTAGGTACAAATTGGGCTTGTTCACTCTCTTGCGCGCATTCCCTTGTTTTTTTCCAGAGTCGCCGAAAGTTGGGGGCTCGTGATGGGACTCTAATTATGAAGCATAGATAAAAAGCAGGTGTGGCCGGTGTGTGCGGTTAGGCCTTTGCGTTGCGCCAGCGGCGGGGAGGAAGGAGGAAGCCCGGGTGCGCGACGGCCAAGATGGCCATGCAGAGAACCATGGGGAAACCGTCGAGCCAGATAAAGTACTTTTCGGTCGTGATGATCACACCGTCCCAGCCCTGTGCGAGCTCGATGGAACGGTAGATACCACGAATGAAGATCATGAGGGTGGCACACGCGACACCGATGAGCAGGAGCTGGTTGCGGCGGAGCCAGGGGTCGGCGCGGCCGCCGGTGATGGAGCGGGTCAGGTCCTTGGGGACGGCGTTCTCGTCGACGTCGACAACGGAGACCTCGGTGGTGGCGTCCTTCTCGGCGTCCGCATTTTTGGGCTTGCGCAGGGTGAGGCCGCGCATAAACGTCCAGTGCTTGGGGTAGGGCTTCTCCCACATGACGCGGAGCATAAAGTCGCCAGCGAGGGCGACGAAGATGACACTAGTGGCGAGCTGGAAAAGAATACCGGCAAGCACTGGGAAACCAAGAGTCAGCTATGTTGTGCAGAATGCCAGTTGACAGGTGCTCACTGATGCGGGTGCTGCTGGTCGTGTCGTCGTAGTTCTCAGCGGCCACAGCGGCACCGCCACCGCCGATTGCCTGGAGGACAAGCGAGACGACGTCGGCAGTGATAAAGATGATCATGTACCACGCGGGGCCGAGGATTGAATACTGGTGGCCCAGCCTCTTGATGCACTCGCCGAGAAGCATGTAGTCCCATGCCGAGAAGAAGACGGGGCCGATAATGAGACTGTCGCGTCAGCAAATGCAGCTGTGGCGTTTTGATGATGACGTCGACAGCAACAATGCTCCGCACCACGCGCACATGGTGTCCTCCTACTCAACACTTACCAGCAAATCTGCATGAGGAAGCCGTTCCAGGCCAAGACGTTCTTGGCGGACCAGAGACGACCAGCCCAGCCGAGAATCTCCAAGAGGCCGCCAGTGACCATAGTGAACATGGCCGAGTAGTATTTGTACTTGATAGCGAGAAGGAAGTGGACGAGGGTGAGAACCGAGAAGACCACGAGGAACGCAGTGGTGTTTGCCAGCCCGGGCGTGTACCCATAGGGGGACTCGGTGAGGGCCGTCGCGTGGGAATGAGTGGCGGTGGCCACCGTGGTCGCGGTGAGCGACGCAGCAACTGTTGACGACATTGTGCAAGCAAGCCGTTATGGATGATGGGAAACAAGGAAGGCGGTAGTCGAATCCAAATAGTTACCCCAGTACGTCAAGGCGACCCGAGTGTGAAATGCCCCGATGCAGGCGTGTGCAGAGGTGTGGCTTGAGGCGTACGCGCGTTATGAAGAAGGAACGGTGTTGGAAGCAACTAGCCAGCAAAGAGATAAGCAAAGGCGTGAAGGCACAGGACTGTGGACTGCAGCACAGATTGGGGTGGTACTGAAAAGCAGGTGGAGGTGAAGGTGTCGAACTTAAAAGGGGCGTGGGGAAAAACGGGGACGGAACCCAGCGGTTGAATGCCTTTTATCGATTCGAGTGGACGAGTGTGTGGTTTATCTTTCGTGCAACGAGGGAATCACGCTTGCAGCTTCAAGGCCGCCGTGCACAGCGGGGGCGACGCTGGAACACCGAGAGCCGATTTCTAAAGCGACGGCACCAGGCCCCACGCCCCCACACACCAACAACGGTCGCGCGGTGAGCGGTGGCCGTTTGCGGGGTGTGTCCACCGCGCCACCGCGCGTCAAGACCGAGAGAGGACCGAGAGGCGAGAGGGTATCCCGCAGCGGCGGCGCTGTACCATGTTGCTCTCGCAGAAATGACGCAACGGCGGGACTGAGTAAGCCATCGGGTCCGCACCGCAGTCTTTTCGGTCCCTTGGATCCATTCATTATATTATCAGATGTGCCACCGCCGCCGCACGGCAACAACAACAGAGATCGCACCAGGCTTGTGAGAGGCGCACTGGTCAGTGCCGTTAACATGCATACCTGTGCTGGCACACACGGTCACTGCAGCACAGTGTCCTCAGTTCCCAACTTGTTCATCCTTACCCAGCTGTCACGAGCGGCACACAAACGCCGCATCAGACAGGAAATTTGAACTCATTGGGGGCAAGCATCCACGGCGGCCGACGGCCTTGGCGATTGAAAAAATCCAAGCCAGGTGCAAAATGGCCGAAAGTCCCTGGCGGCATGGGCGGGCGGGGCATACGAGTGCGCGAGTGTCTCCATGTCTCTCCGCCGCGATGCGACGCGGACTGGAGACGGCCAGGCGCAGCCAGTGCGCGCAGCGCGGCCTTGGCGGGACAAACAGCGTCCACACGGTGCGTCCACACGGCCACACGCTGCAATACCGCTAAACAACTCTGGCCCCCTGGGGAATTCTGGAACCCACAAAACGCCAGCAGCCGGCGGCCACATGCCATCATGTTGCGGCGATGGGCGATGCTGCGGCGGTGCACATGCGCAAGCGTCTGTGATCCTCTGAGCGGTTCTCGCGTCTACAGTTGCTCGGTTCCAGCTCTCGGCGCCCGACCGCCGGTGTTTCACATGCATGGTGCTTGCCATGGTGCTTGCCATGGCGCTTGCCATGGCGACAGAGTCTCGAGTTACACAGCTCGGCGCTCGTCGGAGGTCCCGAGAGAGGCAAATCGTTGCAACTTGGCTCCACCCACCTTTGACTGCCTCTGTACTGGTGTTGTAAAGTAAGTACATCCCGGGTGCCGATCGTGGTCGATCACACGGCACCGCCGAACCGCCTGTTCGTCCCGTGCTGCCGACTGGGTGCGTACTATCAGACGGCTCTGCATGCAAACCTATGCAATGACAACTACCCCCACAAACACATCAAGAGACTAGATACCCATCATGCCACCAAAGCCTGAGCTGTACGCCATGGGCTTGATATCGGGGTGAGGCACCGCCTCAAACTGGTGGTATGACAGCTGGCCGTCCGCCTGCATGCGCACGTACGCCGCCTGGTGACCGAGTCAGTAATGGAGCTATGGGCCAAGAGGATTTCAACTCGACATACCTTGTTACCAGTCGAGTCACAGTAGTTGGGGCAGCTAAACGTCGTGATGCAAAGGCCATCGTGCTCGATGGCATAGCCATCTTGCCGCACCTCGTGCGAGCGAATGACGGCAGTGATCTTGTTGAGCTCACACCAACGCCTCGTGACATCGGGGCCAAAGCCGAGACCAACACCCTGTGCTGTGTCAGCTTACAAGAACGACGAAACAACCCTCGTTAACCTCGCTCTCATCGTCTCATCCGGACCAGGGTAGGTCCACATTAAGCATCTCAGCCTTCCCATTGTTCTCGGGCACCGCATACAGTGGAGAGGGGACACAGCATAGCGTTGCCACGGCCCAGGCCTGCCAAGCAGGTACCGGCTCCAGATCAACTGATCAAAGAGCGTGAGATCGTGGGCGAGGCGGTGGTCGGCTCCTGCGTCGGGTGCTGGATCGGATCGCTTCCAAGCACGGCGTCAAGGCTTCCAAACAAGACACCAACCCCATGGGGTAGATGTTACGTCGAGAAGAAAGTCCTTCCCGCTCTCTCCACAACTTTGGAATGCACCAGTTGCCCTGGTACTTTGTGGCCTGTGTCATCAAAGAAAACACTCACGCGCTTGGAGGGGCCACGACCAATCTGCTCCTGGGGATCGGTCCAGAGGAGCTACACGAGTCAGTTTGTCCATCCACAGAATGTCAGCTACGCTGTTAAACGTACCTCGCACATGAGACCCTCCTGGCCGGGCTGGCGGCCGTAACGGTCAATCTTGGCAATCTCGTCGAGGGTGACACCGTCCTTGCTAACGGGAGGACCGCCGTGGACGACAAAGTAGCGCTTCTTGCCATCGGGGCCGAGGATGGCGGGCTTGGAGCCCTCGGACTTGAGGCTCGAGGGAGCCTCGCCGGCAGACAGGAGGGTAGCGAGGGGAACTGAGAGTTAGGATTGCAGAGGGAAGTTAACTCACGAGCAGTGAAGACATCGGTGAAGAGCTTGTAGGTCATCTCGCCGTGCTTGGACTTGCACTCTCCCTCAAAGCCGTACACCTTGTTCATGTCTGTATGGTTAGTTCCTGATTGGGGGTGTACCTAACCCACCGTTTGTCTCGTGGTTGCCGCGGTTGAGGAACACACGCTCCGGGTAGAGCCACTTGTAGGCAAACAGAGTCAGGACCACCTCGATGGACCATGACCCGCGGTCGACAAAGTCGCCGTTGAAGACGATCATGTGGTCCTCCGAAGGCGGCGTGATGATACTGAGGAGGTTGTGCAGGTCGTAGAACTGGCCGTGGGCTGGCAAGTCAGTAACTGCTCAATGCACTGTTCACTCACTGTCGCCGATGACGTCGACGGTCACACCCTTGGGGATGGTGACCTCTACGAGCGAGGGCTCGCTGTTGATGATAGCCAAGACACCAAGGACAATCTCCCACACGACGCGCTTAGGCAGCTTGCCTCCGTTCTTAAAGGTCTCAATCATGCTCTCGACAAACTCCTTGGTAGGAGTGTAACGCGCAGCAGGGTCGTCCGGGATAATGGGGAGAGGGGTATTGGCGGGGAGGTTGGACTCGAGGGCGCAGGCGCCGTGGCTGATGGCAGTGATACAGCGCTGCGAGGCGGACTCGGTCTCGCCAACGCTAATTGCCTTGGCATGTCAGTAACCTGGGACACGAGAGTTGGAGCAGCTTCTTGTGCTCGAGGTGACGCCCGATGTAATCACCCCACTGCAGGGAGCCCTCCCTCGTGGACAGCCATCACTCACCTTCTCAAACTCTATCCTGCGAACGAGCTTGACAGTGGCCGACAGCTGCTCGTGGACTGTACGGTTGGATGGCTCAATCTCGAGTGCCTTCTTAAAGTCGGCCACGGCGTCCTTGGGACGCATGATAGCGAGCGCGCTCACACCACGGCGGTAGTAAGCCTTGGCATACTTGGGGTTGATGCCAATAGCCTTGGTAGCGTCCGAGATGGCGGCGCCGTGCTCCTCGAGCTTGCCCTTGGACATGGCACGGTTGTTCCAGAACGTAGCGTCGTGGGGGTTGCGCGCAATGGCCTCGGTGTAGAGGTCAATGGACCGTGAAAAGTCCTTGGTGGCGAACGCCTTGTTGGCCTGAGCCTTGAGGTCGGCGGCGGCGGCCCTGTCCTCGTCGGTGACCTCGCGCAGCTCATCGACTTCGGACTCGAGCTCACCATCGGACGACACTGTTGTGGATGTCAGCGAGGGCGGTTTCGGCGACCAGTCAAATGGTCCTGGTAGGAGACAAGTCTCTATGCCAGGAGGCACGAGTATGGCGACGGTGGCAAGACTCACACGACAGACCGGCAAGCGAGCGCGCCGACAACATGGGGGAAGGGAAGGGGGTAATGTCATCGTCGTAGTGGGAGGAGGGTGCCGAGGATCCCGAGCCGGAAGGGGATGTGCCAGAGATGGCCGCGGCCGCCGCGCGAAGGTCGTCGTCGTTGCCCATGGCTTGTTTTGACAGAAGATAACGGAGGGGTAGTGATCCAAAAAGAAACGAGATGCCGGAAAAGAAAGATGGGCGACAGGGAGACCCGGAAAGTTAAAACGGGCCCGCGCGAGTGGCGAGACCGTCCGGGCGCGCGGGGGTGGGTGTGTGGCTCTCGGCTGTAGGCATGGGGGTGGAGTTATTCAAACGATCGACGTTTATCCGAGTGAAGAGACGACACTGTGTCCCGCCAAAACAATCTCAACAGTCGTTTGTGCGTGTCTTAGACGGTGTCGGAAGCCAAGGAGATGGCAGAACAATACCAGAAGCTGGTCGCATGCATGTTTGTCTCACACGGTCCCAGCGGCCAACCAACCTGTCGTGGCGCAACATGGGCCGCCTGGTCGTGTGCCGAAAGAGTGCTAATACGCTAATATCAAATATGGAAGTCCGTTTGCCTGCCCTGGGACGCTTCTAATGACCAGTTAGAAAAATCAAACATGACTGCACTCCTCCATCTATTAACCCTTTTGTACGATGCACAGCGTCGCAGCGCGGCACCCGATGGTCCCTTTCTATAGAGGCTCCAGCTCCGCGCTCTACAACACAAACCTGTCCCCTCGGAAGTTCCTCGGCATAGCCACCTCCCTTCGTTCCGCAGACTGCCACCAGCTCTCCACTCTGTGGGATTTCAAGTAAGGCATTTGAACATCTGCTTCCGTATATGACCTGATTTGGTTTACTATTGTATTCGATTATCACGGATAAGGAGGAGACGCGTTACACCAGCAGCAGCCTTCCCTCGCCGTCTTCCCTCCGTCCGTTATCGCGATGCAGGACACCGTACTGAGCCATCTCAACTCGATCCTAGCAGCTTGGGCACTTGACGCCTGATATGCACCTATGCGCGCCCTTTCAAAAGGTTCTGTCTCTGTCACTTCTGCTGCGCGCTGCGCATGTGCGTGTTTTAAATGATCAAAGCCACGTGGTTGCCCGCGCGGTCGCGCGGTCGCGCCGCCAGAACACAACTGTCGCCGTCATCGATGCAACCGCGCCGCAACTCCCCCTCATCTCTTTCCTCCCCTACCTTCTCTTCTCAGTTTCCAACAACAGACAAGCGGGAAAGGGACTGCTTACTGTTTACCGGTCCTCCCCTCCCCCTTCCTTTTCTTCCTCCTCCTCCTTATCCTTCGACTCGGTCTAGCTTGGCACCATGCGGCTCTCCCTTGCCGTCTTCGGCGCTCTGGCGGCGGCGTCCCACGCAGCGGCGTACACGGGTGCGTTGGCGCGCTGCGCACCATCTGCTGCGCACCTTGTGCTGACCATGCAGTCGCCATCAAGGACACGGACGACTACCGCGAGGTCTGCAACGGCATGTATGGCGGCGACAAGGCGTACATTGAGGGTGAGCTAGACGACCTTACTTTGAACCAAGCTGACGCAACAGTCGCGTTTGACTCTGGCTCCGATGGACAGGTCGCGCTCGTTATCTACGAGTGGACGGATGTCGACTATCTCGGCGTCGCGACCCCCGGGACGGAGGAGGATGCCTTTGGTTACCGTCCTGTATGTCTGCCGCGTGTGAACGTGGCTGGCGCCAATAGTTCTGAGTGCTGACTCCCCCCTTAGAAGACGTACATCTGTACGAGCTCGGCAGGTGAGTTTTGAGAGGTGCCGCTGTGACACGGTTGCTTACAGTACAGTGACCTCGGGTCTCTGCAAGACTGCGGAGCTTGGTTCGTTCATCGTCAACACCCCAGAGGGAGTGAACGCAACTTCAGTGTACACTACCCCGCTTCGCTTTGACGGCTCGAGTTCGAGCGGTGACTCTGCGACGACCACGACCTCGGCCGATATTGTTGAGGCTACTGGTAGCACCGACACTGCAGCCGTCGACGAAGGCGACGACTTTGCCGAGGGTAGCCCCAGGCGTAAGCGCGCTGGTGCGCCGGCACTCGCCGACTCTGAGAGCGCCGACGAGGACGACCCCGAGTCCGACGCTACAGACTCCAGCCTCGATGAGCCAGACTTTACGGAAGCCGAGGATGTGGACGGCACTACGCACGCTGCCGCTGCTGCTCTGGATGAAGAGCCCACCACAACCACCGATGCCGCTGAGAACGAGGCCGACGTTCCTCTCTACAGCGCACCGATCCACTACAACGTGCCCCACACTGGCTACTACTGTGTCGGTGAGTGTAACAGCGTGGAATATTGTAACTGACTGTCAGGCGTTGTGCCCGTGACGCTGCGTAGCCAGCGGTCTGAGATCCCGACGGTGATCGAGCGAACGCTCGAGGTTCGTGACTCTGCTGTCCACGCCGCGTATTCGGGCGCCGTGACGTTCAAGAACCAGTTCACCGGCGAGCTTTCTGCTGCCGAGTACCCCAAGATTATGGTGGGTTAGGGGCTTGTGCTTGAGCTAACTGCCCCCAGTTCTACGCCGTGCTCTCGGTCGTGTATATCCTTCTTGCCGCAGGCTGGGCCTTCCTTTGCTACCGACACTTCCGCGAGCTCCTCCCGACCCAGTACTACATCTCCGGTACCATTCTCTTCCTCAACGTCGAGATGCTGGCCCTGTTTGCCTACTACCGCTACATCAACAAGCACGGCGGCGGTGCCGGTTCGCTCGCCTTCCTTATCGTCATCTCCATCCTCAACGCCGCTCGCAACTCACTCTCCTTCTTCCTCCTGCTCATCGTTTGTATGGGCCTCTCCGTGGTCACCCCTTCTCTTGGCGCGGTTATGAACCGTGTCCGCCTCCTGACGGGTTTCCACTTTATCTTTGGCGTCATGTACGCGGTCGGAACTGTCAAGCTCGACATTGACGTAAGTTGTCGTATACCCAGCGGTAACTAACTTTCCAGACCGCTTCCCTCTTCCTTGTCCTTGGCATCATCTTCCCTCTCGCCATGACCCTTACCGCCTTCCTCATGTGGATCATCATCAGCCTCAACGGGACGATTCTCCACCTGCAGCAGCGCAAGCAAAACTTCAAGCTGCAAATGTTCCAGCGGCTGTGGCGTATCCTCATCATGTCCGTCATCGCCGTTGGCGGCTTCTTTGTTCTGTCGTCCATCTCGCTCTCGAACCGCCTCGACGAGGACTATGCCCCGAACAACTGGCGCTTCCGCTGGGTGCTGCTGGACGCGTCCCTTGCACTCATCTATCTCTCGGCCTTTACCGCCATTTCGTGGCTGTGGCGCCCGACTGAGAACAATGTGCGCTTCGCCATGTCCCAGGAGCTGGCGCAGGACGAGGCCGACGCCGAGGACTACGAGATCCACTCGCTCGAGCAGCCGCGCGAGCCCCTGGGCCTGGAGCCCGAGGATGGCCGTATCCGCCTGCACGGTGACGACGACAGCGACGACGACGACGGACCCAACAAGGGCCGCTTCCAGGGCGGCCAGGTGCACGATGACAACGTCGTCTTCTCCATGGGCGACGACAGCGACGACGAGGAAGCAGCTGCACCGGCGGCGCCCAACACGGCGTCCCGCCGCTCGAGCCGCAGTGACGGCTCGCGGAGCAGTGGCGAAGGCCGCCGTCTCCTTGCCTCGGGCAAGAAATCAGATTGATCAGTTTTTGTTTTATCCCAGCGAGCCCGATGTACCTCGCCCCCTCCCCCTCACCCCCCGCCCCCGCCCCCAACCGCACATGAATCTAGCAGGACCATGCATGCACATAGACTTGAGAACAGAGCCCCCGAGACGCGCATTGCTGTCCAAAACCACGCAACGCCAATATCCGGTGTGGCTTTAGCACGCGCAGCCGCTTTCTTGATTCTCCTCGCCGACAGTGTCCTTTGCAAAGAAGAGGTAGCCAAACGTGTGTCCGAAGAAGATGGCAAAGAGAATGGCGCCGTTGTAGTACATTCCCAAGAGCATGCTGTGGTTGGTTTGTTAGGACCGACTCGGGAACCGCGACGACGCGAACCGATGGGAGGACCGATGGGAGAGCACCGCCGCCACCCACCACCTCCGGTCTTCCACTGGCTTTCAGAAACTTACACGAGGAATGAAGCCGTAAACTGTGAACCGTACATGGAGGACCGCTGGGGAAGGAACATCAGTCATCTGTCCATTGGCCGGAAACTCGAGTGGCAGGGGAGCGGAGCTCAACGTCTGCGAGAACGAGCCTGTCGCACTCGCCACCAGGCCACCCACACCACTCACAATAGCCTGCTGGACCCAAGTGACCTCTACGCGCTTGGAACCCTTGGCCGTGGCCTCGATACGGGCACCAAGCGTGATACGCCGGTCATACTCGCGCGCGGCGCGACGGATCGCCTCGATGGCCATGCACAGAAAGAAGACGCCGATGACGGAGCCGGCAAACTGGCCCATGGTGCGGACGTGCCACGACTTGGACAGGAAGCATGCGTCGATCGTGGTCCAGTTCCACAGCATGGAGACTGGCAAGGTGGGTCAGTGATTCAGTGATGCATGACGACGCCCGAAAGCAAAGTGCAACGGCGGCGTGTGGCGGGCCGGACACTCTTGCTCTTACTCACTCTTACACGAGCCGCCGCCCATGTCCATCGCAGCCGCCGCGGTCGAGTTGGACGTCGAGTTGGTGCTCGACGTCATGTTCATGCCGGACATGTCCATGGTGTTGGGAGTGATGCGCTGAAGAGAAGAGAGAAGAGAGGAACGCTGGTGGGTTTAGGTGGTGGGAACGGCCTGCCATCGCGCCTTTAGTAGCCCCCCGTACCCCCCGCCCCATGCGCTGTGCGACGAAAAGCCAAGACCTGCTGGACCAGCTCAAAGCCTCTCGACAGTCCGGGCGCGCACGGGGTGTACGGCGTTCACGCAGGTCGCGCCAGCCGCGCGCAGTATCGCAAGCCGTGAGGCCAAAATCCAGTTCGTCGGCCGGAACCGGGGGTCAACACGCTGCAGGTGGCATGGAAAAGCGCCAAGCATTAATAGTCCCAAACAAAACGGTCGCGCGGCGGTGAGGCATTTCGACGTTTCACTGCTCCGGGACAGCAAATGCCGCTCGCCGACGCGGGGAAATCGGGCATCAGCTGTCAGCTGTCAGACAAGGTCAGAGTTTGGGACCTGCGACGCGTCGACGGACGGCAGTGGCAGTGGACGGCGGCGCGTGGATGTGCCACGTCTGCGAGGTGCGAAGGACGAAGGGAAGAGCGAAGTCAGGAGATATAAAGGTGACCGGTGCTTTATAGAACGCGACACACGGCCTTTTAAATGGCCTCCCTCTCTCGATCTCTCACCCTGTGCGCGCATTTCCGGGGCATTTTCGGTGTGCCGCCGATCGCGCGCCGGGGTCGAGATTAGGACCTTGACCATTTATCGGCGTCACTCCGAACTGACCTGGGTCAGAGTAAACGACAATGGCCACGCCGTAATGTACCACCGCAAGGAATATCTGCAGCCTCGTTAAGAACAAGGAGACGCCTGCATGCGCAGAACCGAGTCGAGCCACCGATTCATAGACCGGTTCGTTTGCAGGTGTGCGGATTAATCGCCACGAATGATCCGGGTCCCACCCTGCCAGCTGTGCCGTGCAGTCGTGTCCGCCAAGAAGGCACTCGACACGCATCCACGTCTCGGGTATTAGAAGGTCGGACAGTGTGTTGACGATTGCGCATCTCCCCACCTTTCAGCTCTCTTTTTCTCTCTGTCTCTCCCCCCTCCCCCACTAAACACCCACACGCACACGCTCACTGTTCACAATGGCTGTCAAGTGGAAGACCCCGCAGCTGGCCCCCAACGAGGCCGAGGGCGAGAGCGCCGAGGGCCTCCTGGGCATGATCGCGGGCAAGCCCTACCTCGCCGGCGACAAGTACGTGGACCGCGTGCGCGACAGCATGGTCGAGCCCCTCTGGCAGGCCAACCAGGAGCGCGACATGGCCAAGCGCATGGTCATCTTTAGGAAGCACATCGAGTTCCGTGAGGGCCCCCGCAAGCGCGCGTTCATTGCCGCGCCGTTTACCTGCGAGTACGGCTTCAACATTTCGTTTGGCGACGACTCGTTCTGTGGGCCCAACTGCACCTTTCTCGACGTGTGCCCCAGTGAGTCAGAGTGTTCATGCAGCGGAGTGGTCTGTATGTGTGTGTGTGTGGTGTGCTGACTGGTCGCAAGTCTGGATCGGCGACAGGACCATGATCGGGGCCAACACACAGCTGTACACCCCGCAGCACCCCATCATGCCCGAGGAGCGTGATGGCCTCAACGGCGCCGAGTGGGCCAAGCCCATCACCATTGGAAACGACTGCTGGATCGGTGGCGGTGAGTGAAGGTGCAGCGGTGGAGGCACCACGCCGGCAGACACGCGACACTCGTTCGGTGGTGTCTCCTGGACCAGCCTGGTCAACAAACAGCTTAGCAAGCATCACACGCGCACGAGCTGACTTGCGCAGGTGCCATTATCCTCGCCGGTGTGACCATTGGCGACGGCTGCACCGTCGGTGCCGGCTCGGTCGTGACCAAGGACGTCGAGCCGCGCTGCGTTGTCGTTGGCAACCCTGCCCGCGTGATCAAGCGTCTCCCCGAGGCCGTCAAGAACGGCAACGTCGAGTAGAGAGAGAGAGAGAGGGTATACTTTGTAGATATATGTTGCCGCTATGCAACAAAGCAAGAAGGAACAGCGAGCGCCATGGGTTTGAGAGTCTTAACCACAATGCATGAATGAGCGGGGCTCGCAGCCATTTTATATCAAAGCTACAGGCCAATGCCAAATTCTTTTTGTTGTGCAACATGGGATAGGACACATACTGCCATACTGGCGGATGCAAGCGTGACGGCCATAACGGCGTAGTAGACGCAGAGCTCTCTTGGAACGGGTTAGCAAGACGACACAGCAGCGGCGACGGTAACCCACAAATGTCGTCGATCTCGGCCTCCTCGAACTCGACACCACCCTCCTCGTCGGAGAAACCACCCTCCTCGCCGCCCTCGTTGATCTGGAAGTCGGACTTGAGCTCGCCGTAAGTCTTGAGCGAACGGGCCTCGTCGGGGGTGTAGCGGTGGATAACGTCTGCCTTGTCGTCCTGGAAGTCACGGAGCGAGAGAAGGATAATGTCACCCTGGGTGATCCACACCTGGGAAGGCTGTTAGCAGCTGTTTGCTTGCACACACGCGAGACGAGTAGGGCGGAGCCAAAGAAAGAACAATGGGCGGTATTGTCTCCATCGTGATAGGCCTTTTGCCTTTGCTGCTTTGTTGCCCCATAAACCGATGACGCACGGTCGCCAGTTGGACAACGGCAGGTGGCAACTCCTTTTGCAGACAAACAGAGATGTGTTGTGTGGGGGGCAGAAGCAGGCAATGCTCACCTTCTTGCGCATCTGACCACGGATCTGGCCAAGACGCGTCTCGCCGTCCTGGCACTTGGCCTCCAAGCGGCCGTTACCGAGCATCTTCACGACCTGAGCGTACTCTAACTCGTTAGCGAAAACGAGGTCTCCGTGTGCGTCCCAAACAAGCCCTCTCGCGTCAACGCACCCTGGCCATCCTCCTTGAAGACGAGCTCGCGCTTGTCATCGTCACCGTCGTTCTTTCCCCTCCTGCGGTTCTTGCCACCCTGTCTTTGGTCAGTCTTTTGGGGCTTCCTTTTCCCGGAGAGACTCTGATGGAGAGTAGACTCTCCGGGGTCCGGGGTCACGGCGGCGGCGTACCTTTCCCTTAGCCTGCAGCATGTCAGCATAGTGTCCACGAGGATGGCTATCGCGCGTAGCTGATGGGTGCGCACCTTGGGCATGTTTGATAGATGTGTTTAGAGTGTTAAACGGACTGGGACCGCTGGCTTCTCTCGTCGACCTGAACAATGGCGCCGCGGGGAGCCAGCGTGTCTTGCAGATTTGGGACCGCGCGCACAAAAACGGATAGGCACGTGACCTGCAAATGACGCCTAATTCATAGTATGGTCCATTTGGCCATTTGCACCACTATTTGCCATTTGCCATTTGAATTCTGATGCCGTCGGTGGGTGCGTTAAGTGGGTGGCGTCAACTCTGTCACTTCGGTCTCATGGTGCGTACAGTCACGCGCGCGCGCGGTGAGCTGGTACGCTGCTGGCTGCTGGCTGCTGGCTGCTGGCTGCCGGGTTACATGACCCATCACTCGCACCTTGTTGTTGCTTCCTCCCTCACACACAGGCTTGCCTGCCATGCCGCCAGCAGGCTCGCGCTCGCCATCACCACACGTCTGGTCCACCACAGACACAGTCCCTACCTTGGCTGACATTGCACTTCCACCTCGACGCCGCCTGCGCGACGGCTCCACCTCGACCGCCTCGTCCCGCAGCAACGGTACAAGCTCACGGCCACCCGCAAAGTCTGCCAAGCGCACGCGCTCAGAGCGCTCGGGCTCGTCCCGCAGTGACCATCTAGGCGATCCTCAAGATCCCAACCCCAGTGGTGCTGTGCCCTCTCGCACCGCTGAGGAGAGCAGGCGCCTCCCAAAGCTCAACCCTCGTGCCCGTAGCACCTTGTTCTACAGCAGCGATACCGACAGCGGCAGCGACGGCGACGACAAGGACGGCGCAATGGAGCGCGAGACGAATGACGCACAGAAGCGTCAGCGCGATGAGTACCAACTCCCGCCCGAAGTTGCGCCCACTTCGGCCTCGACACCGTCAACTGGTGATCCAGGTGAACGCCGATTCACAGCTCAAGAGAAGGGCAAAGGACGCGCCGTCGCCCCCGCTTCGCCGTCCCCCGGGCCCGAGATCGTGACAGTTTCCGACGACGAAGAAGAAGAAGACGTCCCAGGAGCCGACTTTGACGAGAGCATTCAGTTCATCTCCTCTACACCAGCTTCTGAACCTGTCGCCGCCGAGGAGGAAGTGGAGGGCATTATCGACGAAGATAGCTCCCTGAGCGCCTTTAGTGAGCAACCGCGATATGTCCATGGGAGACCAGTAACCCAGTATGACTGACACTTTACAGCGTGCCCCGTCTGCTTCTGTGCCCCAACAAACCCGCGTTCACACCATGGTATGTCCTACCCAACCTGTCACTGCCTGCACACGAAAGGGCTGACCTCGTCTCGTAGCGGTCACGTGCTCTGCTACTCTTGCCTCCACTCGTCTCTCCTCGCCTCCATCCAGCGTACCCCCAACCCATGGCCTGCACCCCAAGGTCCGCCACGTAACCGTGGACGAGGCCGTGGCCGCGGCCGTGGTCGCGGTCGTGGAGCCAGCAGTGCGCTCCAGCCTGCCGAGTGGGGTCGGGACGCACTGCGCGACGCCATCGAGACGGAGCGCGACGACCGACTCCGCGCGGACCTTGCTGCCCAAGGAATGGACCAGGCCGACGCCGAGGCGGTGATCGACTTGCACCACGACGAAGCTGAAGTCAAGATGGAGAACCCACTCAAGGGCCTTTGGGATCTGGAAGCCGGTTGGGTTATTGAGGGAGAATGTCCAGTAAGTGTGGCGTAGATGGAGGGAGACCTTGTGGACGAGTTAGGTGTCTGACGCCACTGCAGGTGTGCCGCAAGCCTATTGCCGGTGGCCTGGGACCACTGGGCTCTGGCATCGGCGGGGTCACCGTCATCGAGACCAGGGTCATGTTTGCGACGTAGTAGAAGTTTGACGGCACCCACCCACACCCCCGGGCCGCCGCCGCCGCCGCCCCAATAGCCCCGCCAAACTGTGTACAAGTCTGAGCCTCATGATGCGGCATATACGTGTAGTTAACGAGTCGGCTGTCGCCCCTCGTTCATGTTGTTGTGGATGTGAATAGCAAAAGTACAGTATACCCATGCGGTGCAACGGTGTGGACGACGCTGTGGCTTGTGGAAAGGGCCAGAATGTCGGGCAGAAACCTGTGGCCCGGCGGGTTGTTGGTCAGCCTCACTGGAGATCTGCGCCTTTGTTCGGTCTTGAGCCCCTTGAGCCCACGCATGCCGCGCGTGGGTGCAATCTGCACTGTGCACGCACTATGAGCGCAATGCCGCAGGGCATATGGCCCCCCAGGACAGCACCCAGGAGAGCACCTAGCACACCCGGGTTGCAGGACCTTTTTGGCCAGGAGCATTTGGTTTTTTATCTTGGCGTGCGGCACCGGCGCGCACCGGCCAGCCGCGGGTGGACGGCGAGTGGCCGCGAGTGGCTCCGTTTGCCACCGTTTGCCACCGTGGGCCGCCGGGAGAGGTCGGAAAAAGGTCGATGCAGCGATGGAAGATTGTGGGCCGTGACTGTTTGAGTCAGTTGTCGCCGCTCGGCACAAGGCTTCTGGCAGCGGCTCGGCACACGGCGCGCGTCGTTTTCAGAGAGCTCTCTGTGGTCTCTGTTGCTCTCTCTCTGTCTCGTATCTGCCTCCTCCTCTGCGTTCCCTCTCTCCCCCACCCATCTCCCCCGCCGCCTCTCTCTCGCTCTCTCGCTAGATCCATCCACGGGCGACTCACTCTCGCTCCCACCGCCGTCCGCTCTTGCTCGGACCGTCGGCACAAGAAAAACACACTCAACCCTTTCCTTCATTCCTTTCACTTTAACTGTGGTGACTCCCTTCCCTCGTCCACCACTCTCCCACCCCACCCCCCTCCCAACAACAACACACACAACCCAGCCCTAGGGCTGAGGTCCATCCAACACCACCAACATGCTCACCAAAGCTGCGTGAGTGACCTCGCGACTCACCTACCTATACCTACACCTCCATACTCACATTGCCACAGCACCCACATTAGGCCGCTGTTGCGTCTGCATCAGACCGCACATGCCCAACCCGACCTCTTCACCTCCAACCCTTCCCTCCTCCACCACTTCCAGGGCCCCGGCGTCAGCAACACTCTTGTCGCCGCGCAGACAGCACAGGCTGCCTCGGGCTCGTCCGGCGCTGCCGGCGGCGCAGGTCGCTCCGGATACTCTGGCGCTTCGAACGGTGGCGGGTACACTGGCCATGCCCGCGCCTTCCTCAGCCTCCCCCAAGGCCCCGCCGCCGATGCTACAAGTGTCTCGTCGTCGTCGGACGACAAGCAGCAGGACGCTGCCACTGCCCGCCAGCTCGCCCACCTCCAGCTCAAGCAGCGCATCACCTCGCGCCGCGATGAGAGTCCTCCCGTGCGCACCGTCATGCTCCGCGACCAGATGGCTGCTCGTGCCGGCTCGCGACCAGTCACCCTCATTGAGATGGAGCCCGTGGCCGAGGAGCCCATGAGCCCCAAGCGCAGCACGATTGCGTACCCGGCCTGGGCTGCTCTGCCCGACAACGCCGCTGCTGGCGGCGCACTGTGGCTTCCCGGTGCCGCACCGCGCCCGATGGGTGCCCGCGCGTTCTCGACCCGTACGCGCCCCACAGCGCAGCTCGTGTCGTCTGTGCCCACCCCGGACCAGAGCCGCATCGACCAGCCCAACCGTGTCCTGATGGACCTGGCTGGTCTGGACATTGGCCGTCCTGTCTCGCCCATCGCGCGCGGCGCCGGCCGTGTGCGTCGCAACTCGACCCACTCGCACTCGGCTCCCAGCAGCGACTCGCACTCGGGTGTCCTTCCCGCTCAGAGTGTCGAGCTTGACAACGCCATCCGGAATGCCATTGGCGCCGCATTCAATGCTGGCGACAGGGAGATTGTGCACAAGCTGATCGAGCACTACCGCTTGCCCCGCACCGCCGAGGCCAAGTTTAACGCCGACCCCAGCCTCGCCAAGTACCCTCTGCCCAACGACTACTCGACCGCGACTTACGACCGCTGCATCCAGACTCTTATGTCGCTCCGCAGCCGCGGCGAGTCCATTGCCCCGATCTTGGACTGCTACAACGAGATGCTCGAGCGTGACGTCCTCCCCAGCGTCAAAACCATCAACATCGTCATCGACGCTCTCTGCCGCCGTGACGAGGACGTTTCCCTTGCATCGCACCGCTGGGCTCGTCACACCGCGTGGCAGGCGTTCAAGCGCGACCAGCTGCACATTGCTACCGAGGAGACTCCGGCTGACCACGCCGCTTCGGACGCCATCGAGGCCTACCAGAGCGAGCACAACTTTTCTTCGGCACTCAGACTCCTCATTGCCAGCCCGCGCAAGCTGGAGACCATGGACGAGTCCCTGCTCACCGCTGCGCGCGCATCAATGGGCCTCCCATTCGCCCCCACCATGGAGTCCGCAGTGACTGTGCTCCAAAACGCTGTGGGTCGCAGCTCGCGCCTCAGCATCTTCGCCGACACCTTTGACATTCTGTCCTACGGAACGCCCAAACAGCTGTCAACGGTCAGCACTTATTGGAAGCTGTTCGAGACCAAGCTCAAGGCCGCCGCCTCATTGAACAAGGACCTCACCCGCGACAGTGCAGAGATCCAAGAGACCTACCTCGCTGCCATCCGCGCGTTTGTTGCTGTTGGCGAGACAAAGTTTGCCAAGGAGCTCGCCCAGTCGGCCAACGACCGCCACGACAAGGGCAAGTACCTCGGCGCTCTGATCAATGGCTCGTGCAAGCACGGCGACCTTGATCTTGCCTGGGAATCGTTCAACGCAGGCCGCACCGCTTGTATCCCGACTGAGGACCTGTACGAGCTTACCGAGGCACTGGCCAAGGCTGGTCGCGCCGAGGACACTGTTACCGTCATGCGCCACCTCATGGACGACATTGCCACCGACCGTCCCGGACAGAAGATTGAACGTGCCCGCATCCTTAGGGCCTATGGCTATCTCCTTGGCTACGCCATCAATTCCGAGGACCCCGCTGTTCGCGACGCTGCCCTCACGGGCGCCACGGACATCCACACCGTCTCCTTCCCCCGCTGTGACACCGCGGTGGTGCTCAAGCACATTGAGCTTTTGATTGCTGCCGGTCGGTTCACCGATATCCCTCACGTCCTCATTCGCTACGCCCGTCGCGAGACCAACGACGTGGCCGACATTTGCGACATGATCGGTGTCACTGCTTGCTCGCCTGCCCCGATCAGCGTTGTCCTTGACACAGTTCGCGCCGCTGCCCGTCTTGACGTGCAAATTTCGTCCAAAGTCATGAAGCCTGTTACCCCTCACATCATCGACAAGTACAGCGCCACCCGCACCACTACCGCTGTCCAGGACCTTGGGCTCACGCATGACCAGTGGTTCCGTCTTCTCGATACGTTCAACGCTCTGCCACGCGAGTACATCGAGGCCAACACCGCCACTGTCGAGGGCTTCTTCACGGACCTCGCGGTCGTCCAGCAGGGTCGCATCCCCCTCCCTGCTTCGTTTGTCAACTCGCCTGCGGCCTCTAAGCTCGCCAACACTCTCACCGGCCTCGTTGGCAACGAGCGCTCCGCCGAGCTCCTCACTGCTGCCTTTGGCGCCAACGCTGCAGTCCTTCTCCCCACCCCTGCAGCTTCGGCTGGTTCGTCGGCGCCGTCGTTTACTCTTCCGCCCACCCCCATGTCGGCCGACGCTCCTCCTTCAACCCTCCAGCCGGCATCTGCCCACACCCTGCACTTCTCGGGCGGACTTAACGCGATGATTGAGCGCATGTCTTACGGCCAGCCCGGCACCGGCAACATCGTGACTCCCACCGCCGCCTACACCGCCGTCCGCCAGGGCCTTGCCAACAACGAGGTCCCGTCGCCCGAGAACATTGGTCGTCTGATCGTTACCATTGCGCGTACCGGAGACGAGCCCAAGGTCAACGAGCTCTACTCGCTCGCCCAGGTCGTCCTTGCGTCGTGCGTCCCCAAGGAGCGTGCTCAGGCCCGCGGTTGGTGTGCCGTCGAGGACGCCATGATCACCGCTCGCTGCTACCTTGGGCACCTCGAGCAGGCCGGCATGCACCGTGCACGTATCATCGAGGCCGGTATGGCTCCCACCGCCGACGCATACGCTACCATGATTGCCTCTTCGCGCGACTCGACCGACGACGCCCTCGTTGCCCGCGAGCTCTTTGACGAGAGCCAGGCCCTCGGCGTCGTCCCTCACCTCTACCTCTACAACACCATCATCTCCAAGCTCTCCAAGGCTCGCAAGGCCGAGGTCGCTCTCGAGCTCTTCAACCACATGAAGGCTGCCGGTATCCGTCCCTCGTCTGTCACCTACGGCGCTGTCATCAATGCTTGCTGCCGTGTCGGCGACGCCGAGAGCGCGGCTGTCCTCTTTGAGGAGATGTCGTCGCAGCCCAACTTCAAGCCCCGTGTCCCTCCTTTCAACACCATGATGCAGTTCCACCTCCAGACCCGCCCGTCGCGCGACCGTGTCCTCTACTACTACGAGGCCATGCGCAACGCCGGTGTCCGTCCCTCGGCCCACACGTACAAGCTCCTCCTCGACGCCTACGGCACTCTCCCCACTGTCGACCTGGCTGCCATGGAGCGCGTCTTTGGTGACCTGTGCGCCGACCGCCACGTTGCCGTCCAGGGTACTCACTGGGCTTCCCTCATCACTGCCTACGGTCTCCACTCTGGCGACGTCGAGCGCGCGCTTGAGGTCTTTGAGGGCATCGCCAAGCACCCTTCCACCAAGCCCGGCTCGGCTCCCGAGCCCGTGGTCTGGGAGGCGATCCTCAACGTCCTTGGCCAGCGCGGTACCCTCGAGCAGCTCGACGCTTTCCGCACCCGCATGACTGCCCAGGGTGCCCGCTCGACTGCCTACGTCTGCAACGTTCTCATTGCCGGTTACGCCCGCCACAGCCAGTTCCACCGTGCCCGCGAGGTGTTTGAGAGCATGGCCGACTCGCTCACCGGCGTCGCAGCTCCCAACAACCACCCTGCCCTCCTCACCTCGTCGGGCCACGCCAAGCCTTCGGCCGTGACCGTCGAGCCTACGAACGTCGTCTACCGTGAGCCCTCGACATACGAGGCCATGGTCCGCGCCGAGCTCAAGGCCGAGGACCGTACCGCCGCCGAGGACGTCCTCCGCCGCATGCAGGACCGCCGCTACCCAGTCGCCGTGTGGATGAAGGCTCGCGCCATCCTCGACGAGGTTGTCCTCTAAGCGAGTTTTCACACCCCCAAAACACCCATACGGACACTAGAGGGCACCTGGCGCTGGACGCGGGCCGACCACTGTAATATCACCCCCCCAAACACAATTACACAGCAAAGCAACAATGCAAAGGAGGAAAAACGGAGCCAGAAGTATAGTAGTAGCAGTCTTACAACTCTTCACACCTGTCATCATATCGGGCTTTCAGATATAAACCCAGCACCACATCACACCACACCACTCAGAATGTATTCTTATTGCACGGAAAAGGACGAACGGGAAGCAGCAGCAGCAGAGAGAGGAAACGTTCTCGGCGATGACCATTGAATACCATTGATAACACCCAGATGTTCGTTCCCAGATGACCTCTATAGCCCAACTCCCAACTCCGTTCCCTCTACCTAAACCCGCCCACCTTGGCCGAAATGGCCAGATACGCGACAAACCGCCACGCAAACGCCGTCGCGAGGACGATGCCCACATACATGGCCGTGCGGAGGTCGTTCCACCCAAACAGGGCCAGCATCTGCTCTCCCGTCGTCGCGACACACTGGCCATCGGCAATGTCTTGGTCGGAACACGTGAATTCCAGGCCGACACACTCGTTGATGACCTGCACGAGGACGGCGCCCTTGACGCACGTCGCCCACGCGACGGCCGCGAGCCAGTCGGGCAGTGACAGCGAGACGACACCCGAGATTTGCGCGGCGAGGGAGATGAATGTCGAGATGAGCCTGTGGGGCAGGTTAGACGTGGGAACCATCACAATAACCTACGTCACTGTAAGGCCCTCGACACTGATCCATGCGCCAAAGAGCATGCTGAAGCTTTCGCCCATGTGCAAGAGACAGAAGATGGTGACAAAGTATTCGAAAAAGATGCGCACGCTCGTCTGCATGCCTACGCCGACGTTCATCTGTTGGGAGGAAGAAAGTTAGGACTGCACTAGGAGAGTGTGGCGTAACTTACGATGGCACTGTAGGCCAGCGCGCCAAAGATCTGCGGACCAATCTCGACGAGCGAGTACATGAGCACAAACGTCGCGGAGCTGTACCGCGCCGAGCTGTTCGCCTCGTGAAAGTACAGGTCGCGTTCTGGCGGAAAGATGGCCACGGCATTGAGGACGCCGACGAACGCGAGCGCCGTACTCGACTGGATCGTGATACCGATGCGGTCCTGCGCGCCCTGTGGACCATGTGTGAGGCGCTGGAAGAAGAAGATGAACAAGGCGCCGACAAACGGCGCCTGCATCCACCGGTTCATGAACACGCCCTTTTGGCGCCAGATGTTGGTCCAGTGCCGCACGAGGACGACGGGGAGCGCGATGCGCATGGGTGTCGTCTTGGCGCCCGAATGGATCTCGTCGGTCGTGTTGAGCGTCGACACGTCCTCGTCGCCCGTCTCTTTCGCCTCGTACGTCGACCAGGTGGCCACCATGTCGCCCACGCGCTTGGCACTGGCGCCGTTCAGCGCCGGCCGAGGGTCGACACTGACAATGTCCAGCAGGTGGTCGGCCGGGTTGAAGAATTCAGTCGGCATCGGGTATCCGATAGATGTAAAGTATGGGATGGCGTCGGCGCGCTTGCCGCTGTATGCGACGTGGCCGCCACGGGCGAGCAAGGTGACGTTGTCGGCGAGCTTCCAAATGTCCGAGCGGGGCTGGTGGATCGTGGCAATGACTGTGCGGCCCGTGGCGGCAATGTCCTTTAGCACCTGCATGACGCTCAGCGCAATGCTGCTGTCGAGGCCAGACGTGGGCTCGTCGACGAGGAGCACTGCGGGATCGTTGATCACTGGCAGGTGAGTCCACTTGTTCACACGTGAGCTGGAACCTACTCTGTACAGCAAGCGACAGGCGCCGCTTTTCTCCTCCGGAAATACCCTTGATCAACTGACCACCCACAGGCAGGTCGGCGCAGTCCTTGAGGCCAAGCATGCGCAGGACCGTCTCGGCACGTGCAATCTTCTGCTTCCTGGGCATGTCCTGCGGGAGACGCAGAATGGCAGCGTACCGCAGCGTCTCGCGGACCGTGAGGCTGGGGAGGTGCCAGTCGTCTTCCTGTTCCACAAACGCCACATTGCTCATGGACAAGTGGGTGGCCGCCTGGCCGTTGAAGAGGATCTCGCCCTTGAGGTAGAAACCGGCCAGTGCGCCAGCTTTCAACTTGCGGCTGGCAAGAAGTTGGAGAAAGGTCGACTTGCCGGCGCCTGACGGACCGAGAATGGCAGAAACCTGGCCGGGAGGGAAGGTAACGCAGATGTCTTCGAGAATGACCTTTTTGGAGCTCTTGAGCAGACCGCGACCACGGCGTTCCCATGCCAACGAAAGATGCCGGGCACTGACACTGATGAGGTCACGCGTCAGGTGGCTGTCTGCCACATCCGCCTGCTTGCCGCGATGGTGCGAGTCAATCTCAGAGGCGTGGCGCACACCGCCAGCGTGCCAGGCCTGGGTGGGTCAGCTACAAAGGAACTTGGTGCCAACCGACAGCTGCCACATACCCATAAGATGAGGCACGAGAACGCATACTCGAACAGCGCAAACGCGATCAGGCCACCAAACCACGCGCCAATGTTGGTATCGAGGTTGAACCTGAACGACCGCAGCACATTGTTGCCATCACACTGCTCGAGGTTGGCCTGTGAGACGGACGGACACGCGAATGTACGGTCCTTGAACAAGACCGTGGCGACGATGCGGAAAGAGTAAAAGTATGGCGACAGCCAGCGGATCCAGGCTGCGTACACTGGGGGCTCGACAAGAATGAAGCCCGCAGACAGGCTGGTCGTCAGCGACTGGTAACACCGGTGTGTGGGGGGTTTGGGGCAAACGTACAGTTGAAAGATGTTGATGGCATTCGCCACAAGACTTGCCACGGCAAACTCTCGTGTCACGGCTGCAGCGAACAGGGCGAGGCCCTGCGTCGCAAACTGAACAAGAATAGTCTGGAGCATCAGTATTGTGCTCGTCTTCCATGTGGTGGACTCACAGACGCAATGATGGTGAACAGACGACTCGCAATCTCGTCCATTCGCAGCTCGGCCATGAAGTAGACCAGAATGATGTACACTGTGGGCGAAAAGACTGCTGGGGCCAGGTAAGAGAGCCAGTCCGAGATGACATACGGCACCACGTCGTAGAGATTGTCCTCGCGCTCGCGGTCAAAGATTACCAGATCGGTACACCACTTGTAGACCCAGAAAACCTGTTGCAGGTAGAACACGGACGGCATAAACTGGAAAGAGAGGTTCTTGAGCGACTGGATACCCTGTGGGGTCTCGGGTATCTTGTAGAATGTCCCGCCGATAAAGCACCCAAGGGCCACGCCTTGGAAGCACAGTCCGAACAGGATGGGTACATTTCGATAGACATTGCGATGAGCGCGTGCTGTAAGGATGCGGGTTTGTAAAAACCACCCGGGGCGCTTCGAGTCCACGGCCTGAATGCTGACTGTCCGGTGCAGTTCGTTGACCTCTTGGGAATGAGACGAGGAATGACGCGCGAGGGGGTGGTTCGTTGGTACGACGAGGTGCGAGTGGGACAGTAAAGCCAGCTGGTTCTTGCCACTGCTGACTTGAAGATGGGCCTCCCACGCATTTGTCAACGCAGAGACACGTGCCTTGCTCTCCTCTTCGTTTTCTACCGTTCGGTTATCGATCGAGCAAAGGTCGATAAGGAAGTCTATCGTCAGCTTGCAAGTCGGGGAGTACGAGCTTACCTAGTGGGTTGACATTGTCCTCGAGGGTGTGGCCCAGCTCGGCAAACCACGGGAGACACAAGCTTCGCATCCCGGAATACACGACTTTGCCCTTTGAGAGAAGGCAGATGCGGTCAAAGAGCTCAAATGCGTCCGAGCGAGGCGCGTGGATAGACAGAATGACTGTTCGGCCTCGACGCGCCAGAGCGTTGAGTGTGCGGAGAAGGAGGTACGATGTGTACGCGTCGAGACCTGAGGTCGGCTCGTCCAGGATCAACACTGATGGCAAGGTGACGAGTACGCAGCCGATGGAGAGTCTTCGCTTCTCGCCGCCAGAGATACCCTTTCGCAGGGGACCACCAACGACAGTGTCCGCGGCATCTCGCAGGCCCAGCTCGTCAAGAGTCTCTTCCACAACAACGTCGATGGTCTCGCGCGAGAGGCTAGTTGGAAGACGGAGTCGTGCCGCATATGTGAGGGTTTCACGCACTGGTTGGGTGAGCGAGCGTTCGCTGTTTGTCACCGGTAAATACACCTACCTGTCAAACACTCGACGAGGTAGTCTTGCTGTCTCACGAAGCCGATTCTGCGCCGGGCCTCGCGGTGCCCAAGAGGGTTGCCACCCCGCGAGGGAACGTATTGGACATCACCAGCTCGGACCGGGAGGTTGGCCAGACGGTGAGCTACGGCGTTGAGGAGCGTAGTTTTGCCGGATCCCGAGCCGCCGAGACTGGTCACGATTAGCACGTACTCGGCAGCTTAGTGTGCTACAGCTACTCACATTGCGAGTACTTCTCCAGATGCACACGTGCATGACACATCTGACAGGATCGTTTTGCTGGCTGCCGTCTCCTTGTCTGCAGTTTCCAAGCTGGCGTCGCCGAGAAGCTTGGCAGCCCGGCCAATGTACCATGACAAAGGGTCGTACGGCACTCCGACTGTCAGGCCCTCGACGTCCAAGTCGAACGGCGGTGGTGGTGGGAGATTGAGCAGTGCAGAGGGGACCTGCGTTGCTGCCTCGGCGTCGGCGACAAGAGTCTTGTTGGTGACGCTCGGATCGCTGCTGCCGGCAAGGTCTGACTTTTCGTCGATGACGTCCGCTCGCTCGGGCACGAGCGCAGCGGCGCTGGCGGCAGCAGCTGCCAGCTTGATGGGCGGGCCCGGCACTGTTGGAGCTGATCGTGTCGAGGTCGTGACCTGTGCTGAGGGAGTCTCTTGCTCTGTTGTCGACGACATACTTGGCCGCGCAGTGTAGTATGGGGGAGAAGCGGGACCGTTAGCAGGCGACATTGTGCCTGTTGGGGTGACGTCGCTGTTGCTGCTGTTGTTGTTGTTGTTGCTGCTCGAGCTGCCGTCGCTCGTGTCAATGAACTCCTCCACCTCGTGGAACACCAGTTCCGAATGAGGCGGGGGAGGGTCAGCCATTGCTGTTATAGTCGACTGAGTGAGTGTTTGGAAGCGACGCGGGCATTTCGTGGACGGCCATGGCTGCTTTGCTGTTGCCTTGTGGTGCATGGCCGACTAAGGAACACGGCGAGTGGAACGGGCAGTTTATGGACCGACGGCACGCGGCGTGGCTGCCGTATTTGTATTCAGCCTTGACCGTAATACAAAACTGTGTGGGTGCTTTCTAATACGTTTGCTAATGACCACTGATTCGATAAGGGATTCACCGCCTCCGCAGAAATGGCCGCGCTTTGCGTTGCATGTGGTGCTCGCCATGTGTTTGCACGTCGCCGAAACGTCGAAACCAACTCGGTAAATGAGTTCCAAGCTCGGTACTGGATGTGGCTCTGTGGCTCTGTAACATCAATCGCAGATCAGCGATTTGGATATCAGCGAGATTTGCCTTCCTCAGCGTCGATGCCCAACCCGCATGCCGCATGCTCAATCTGTGAAGCAGTGCTATCCAGTCTATACTGGGCCTGTTATCTTGCGGCTGGCCAACTTTGGCACACTGTTTTTACACCTAGTGGACGCCGGCGTCATCGGGCAAAGGCCGACGCGCACCGGCCGCAGGACGCCTTGCTGTCATGGTCTCAGGCAAGACGAACTCACGAGTCTCCATGAACAGTCGCACTTTGCCCACGCCGTCCGCGGCCCCGGTGTGGAGCATGTGTTCTGCATGTTCTGTGCATTTGTTATCCGCTTCGGAAAGTCCACTTTATACCTGGAGTTGTGAAGCAGTGTTGCTCTTGTCATTCCGACTTGAGCCGCGGTCGTCACGTCTCCGGCCCTCCGCAAGTGTTCCATAGGCCATACATAGCACTCGGTGTGCATCCACGAGAGCTTAACCATCGTAGCAACGACCAGAGCCCACGCTTCCCGTGACCTCGTTGTGGCCGAGGCTGCGGAACCTCGTCATCGGAAGCGGGGCAGCTTTGCCCCGCGGCGCCCCCAAGACCGGCCGCCGGCACTTATGCCCACCCCGGATACAGTGGCCTGGCGTCTAACATATAACCCGGGTCGCCACTGGCCGAGATTTCACCCACAAGGCGACAGTTGCACTCGCTCATGATGGTGCTCGACCAGCTCACAGCCCCAGCGGCCTTCTTGCCCCTCGTCGCAGCACTGGTGCTTCTTGGCCTCGTCCTTGTACGTCGCCGGGGAACCAAATACACAAACCTCCCAGCTGGACCTCCATCACACTGGTTCAGCGGGACAGCCCTACCGGCCTCTCACCCATGGCGCTGGCTGTACGACCAGTCACGCCAGTACGGCCCTCTTATGACGATTTGGCGTGGCAGCTCGCCTACCATCGTTGTCTCGACGGTCGACGCGTGTGACTTTGTCCTCGAGAAGAATGCGCGCGACACTGCCGATCGCCCACGTCAGATTATGGGCGACGAGATCATGTCACACAACAAGCGTATCCTCCTCGTCTCTCATGGTGACCGCTGGCGCCGCCTGCGCAAGGCCCTCCACGCCCCACTCCAGCCCCAGAGTGCGCGCGAGCTCCGTCCACTGCAGGAAGGCATTGCACGCTCGGCCGCCCTGGACATCCTCCGCGACCCGTCGCGCTTCCAGGACCACATCCAGTCCTATGCTGCCACACTGGTCGTTCACATGGCATACGGTCGCAGAGGTCGCGCATACTACTCTGACCCCGAAATCCGAGAGGTTGTCGAGGGCTCGAAGCGTCTGGGTATCACCCTCCGCCCGGGAGCCTTTGCCATCGAGTCGTACCCATGGCTCCGATACTTCCCAGGCTACCTCAAGTCGACCGGCGTTCAAAAGTGGGCTGATGACGAGCTGGACCTCTTTGTTGGCGCCCTGCGTGACGTGAAGGCTCGCCTCGCTTCCAAACAGCCGGTCGCAGACTGTTTTGCAAAGTATCTCCTTGAGCACCAGCGCGAGTTCAACCTGGAAGACGACGAGATTGCCTATCTCTGCGGCTCAGTGTTTGGTGCCGGAAGCGACACGTCCTCGTCCGCCATCACCATCTGCGTCATGGCTGCAGCCGTGTTCCCGGACCAGGCGGCGCGCGTGCGTGCCGAGCTCGACAAGGTCGCTGGTGGCCGCATGCCTTCGTTTGACGAACTGGACATTGAGTCGGCACCGATCTTGCGAGCCTTCATTGCCGAGTCGTTCCGCTGGCGGCCCGTCAGCAGTGGTGGGTTCCAGCACAAGACCACTGCGGACATTGTGTACCGCGGCCAGCTCGTACCCGCCGGTGCAGCCATCATCCCCAACCACTGGGCGATCCACCGTGACGAGGCGTACTACGGTCCCGACGTCGAAGCGTTCAACCTGGACAGGTGGCTCGACGCCGACGGCGCCTTCAAGACCAGCATGAAGCACGTCCAATTCGGGATGGGCAGGCGAGTATGCCCTGGCCAGCACGTCGCCCACAACTCGGTCCTCATCAATACCGCGTTCATGCTGTGGGCGTTTGACATCGGCCACGCGGTTGGCAACGATGGCCGCCCAGTCCCCATTGACACCCTCGCGTTCACCAACACGGCCAACTCGCACCCGCTCCCGTTCAAAGCGCAGTTTGTACCACGCCACCCCAACCTTGAGCAGCTAATCCTCGACAGCGGCGGCGAGGACATTGAGGAGTAAGACATCGTATCTTGTACTGTGCCGGAGAGACGGAGTGAAATGTCAGAAGTGAGAACCAGTCCACCAATTTGCATCAATCCCCTGGGCCGCCACCCGGCTCCTACTCGACCAAGCTCAGGCCGAGCTCCTGGTGCACAGCGGTGACGGTCGTGTGGGTGAAAACAGCGTACTGTCGTTAGTTTGGGATTTCGTCGTGGGTTTATCAAAACTAACCTTGCCGATGAGGGCCTGCGCGCCGTCCTTGATTTCGTTGTAGGTGTGCAGCAGCTTGATGTGACGCTGCACGATGGCGTCGGCATCGCGCCCTCTTTGAGTCGTTAGATGAGAGTCACGGTACATGATGATATGTGAAGCTTAGGACGCAAGGTGGTCCCACCTCCATCCTGTAATACTCACTCGAGCTGAGCCTCGAGACGGGCGATCTCTTGCTGGAGGAGAGCGACGCGCGGGTTGGGGTGTGGCAGGGAGCGCTGGGTGTTAGCTGGCATGAGTATTGAGCTCAAAGCTTACCTCGGACATGGGAGTGTTGATGGATGCAGAATGAGTTGAGGATGAAAGACGACAATGTAGAGAGGGAAGTGCAGAGGGAAGGTGCAGAGGGAAGGCGAAGGAGGGTTGACTCACGCGGCTGGTTGACTCAACTCACCCAGCCAAAACAGTGCCACTCGCGACGGTCCACATCCACATGGAGACCTCCACCTCGCGGCATCTTGTTGTCACCAGTCCATCCACCGTATCGCCGTCCAACATCCAGCATGTGCGCAGACACACCCGCAAACGGGTCTCGCACGCAAAAATGGGAGACCATAGACCTCCCACGGACCCACGTCCTTCGACATTGTGCGTATAGCTCTGATCACCTGCCCACTCGAGAGCTACGATGCTGACCTTGCCCTCAGTGACAGACGCGCATTGCCACCCGACAGACCTCAGCCCAACAACTGAGCAGCTAGACGGGGTCCTCCTCGGCGGCCTCGCGGCCATGGCTACGTCTGATGACCAGGAAAGCGTCTGCAGACTCGGCGCAGCGCGACCTTGGCCACTGGACGAGCCTGAGGCCTCGTCGTCGTCGACTAATGCGCCTCGTGTGGTTGCTGGCTTTGGTACGTCAGCTGTTTATGTCCCCCAATCGCTAAGCTGACACTATAGGCTATCACCCGTGGTTTGTGCACCTCTACTCTCTCCAGGACCCGCCACTGCCCAAACGCGAGCACTACCAGGACCTCCTGTCGCCCAAACCCGCGCTCATGGACCAGTTTGACGAGCTGGTCGAACAGCTACCAGAGCCCAAACCGTTCGCCCCCGCGCTGGCCCGCATACGCGAGCAGGTATCCGACGCCAAGGCTTCAGGCCGTCTAGTCCTCATTGGCGAGATAGGCATCGACGGGAGCGCGCGCGTGCGCGTCCGCCCAACCCACTCGACTGGCAACTCGGGCGACTGGACACCGAGCAACCTCACCCCGTTCAAGTGTTCCATCAAGCACCAGGTGGCGCTTGCGCGGGCGCAGCTGGACATTGCGGTCGAACTGGGAGTCAACGTCAGCTTCCACTGCGTCGCCGCGCCGGGAACGACACTCGAGGTGCTCAAGGCCGCGCGCGTGGCACACGGCCCGTCCTTTGGCCGCATCAACATTGACATTCACTCGTGCGGCGGCATGTCGCCCGCCTTCCTGGCGCAGGCGGCAAAGGTCCTCCCCAACGCATACTTTTCGCCCAGCATGGCCGTGACGGCTCGCAGCCCCACTGCGGCCGAGGCGGTACGCGCCATCCCGCGCGACCGCATCTTGGTCGAGAGCGACGCGTTCGCCGTCGGCGACATGACGCGCATGGTGTGGGCTGCGACAGTGTGGATCGCAGACTGCCGAGGCTGGCAGGTCGAGGATGGTAGCGACGAGTGGGAGCTGGAAGAGGAGGAAGAGTATTATGATGCTCGCGGCCGGTTGCAGTTGGCGCCAGAGGAAGAGGTGTGGGCTGTTCGGACATTGGAGCGTAACTGGGCACGCTTCATGGGTCAAATGATTTAAACGGCGGCGGCGGCGTCTGGACGCCATAGAAGTTGTAGACACTTTCTTCTCTCTCTCTCTCTCTCACACACACACACATTCTCACACTGCACGGATGCATTGTACTGTACACTGAATGCTACTACCTCCTCTTGGAGCGCGTGCTGCGGCGCTGCTCAGGCTCCTCGGCGCTACGGCTCCTCTTCCTGCGCCGGCGCTCATCCTCCTCACCCGACTCCCATCCATCTGGACCCAAGCCAGACGGCGTTCCGGCCCCGCTCCCAGCTTCGTCGTGTCGCCTGCGGGACGACCGCCTGCTCTCGCGCTCGCGGTGGTCTGGCTCGTCATACTCGCCCTCGCTGCGGTCGTCGTACTCGCGACTCTCGCGTGCGCTGTCGCGCGTCTCACGCGTGTCGCCACGACGGGAACTGCGCGTCTCGCGGTCGCCGTATCGATCACGCTCCTCGCGCTCCCCGTACCGGTCGTCCCTGTCGCCGTAGCGGTCGCGCTCGCGGTAGCGGTACGGGCTGGGACTGCGTTCGCGGGAGCGCTCGCGAGATGCAGGGGGCTCAGAGTCGCGTCCGCCGTGGCCACCACCGCCGCCGCCGCCCATGTCGCCATAGTCGAGGGCTGTGGCAGCGGCAGCAGCAGTCGAGTCGTTGACGCGGTCCTTGTCCTTGAACCGACCGGCCTTGGGGCCCTTGGGCACGTTGCCAGGCATGACGCCAGCGCGGGGGCCCAGCGGAACACCGCCGCGGCCGCGGAGTGGCATTCCACGCACCGGCATGCCACCGCGAGGCATCACCTGGTTGCGAGCGGCATATGCATTCTGGATCTGGTTGCCAGGCTGCTCCGTCGATTCGGTCGAGGCAGATGCTTCGTCCTCGGGTGCTGTCTGTCAGCTTCCGACAAGTCATTCGTAGCTCACCTTGTTGCTGGGCCTGGGCTTGCTGCTGTTGTTGCTGGGGCTGTTGTTGTTGCTGCTGCTGTTGCTGCTGGAGCTGTTGCTGCTGCTGCATGCCCGGCATCATGCCCATGCCGCCCTGCATGGCCTGCTGTTGCATGAACATGGCTGGGTCCATGCCGCTCATCATCATTTGCTGTTGCATTTGTTGCATTTGCTGCATCTGTTGCATTTGCTGCATCTGCTGCATCTGCGGGTTGACGTTGGGGAAGTGCAGGTTGGCAGCGACATCGGGGGTGAGCGGCTGCATGCCCTGCATGTTGGCCTTTGATTGTCAGTAGCAGAAATGGTTTACTCGTCTCGCTTCAACTCACAAGAGCCAGACGGCCCTGCTCCATTTCCTGGCGGTACCGCAGGTACTTGGGGTATGTGACCTCGTCGAAACCATAGTTGAACCAGTCGGAAAGGTCACTGCCAGGCCTACGCCACATCTGACCCGAGCCCTCAAACTGAGCGACATCAACGTCGTACACCGACGTGCCGGTCGAGGGGATGATGCCGGTAGGGTGTGTGGGGTCGATCCTTTGTGATCCCACAGTCTGGACGGGCAGCGTCGAGTGCGGAAGGGCGGTGGTAGGCGGGGGTCCGTTGCCCGGAACGAGCTGGGCGACAGACTCGGTCGAAGCCAAAGGCTGAGCAGCCTGCGGTGCGGTACCGGGGCGGGCAACCGGAGCGTAGTCGGTCAACGCGTCAGGTGCTGGGGCCGCTGCTAGGTCAGCTCGAGAAGCGTATGTTGGCTCACGCTTCGAGGGAGTAGGAGGTTTGTTAGGAGTAGGGTCGGCAGCTGGCGGTGCCGTGCCGATCGCAGTGTGGGCCCATTTGCCAATGCCAATGACGTTGGACGTCTGCTGTTGCGGCCGCCTGTTTGGGTCAGCCGGTGACACATACCACTAACCTACCTCAAGTCAAGGGTACGCTGGGGACCACCGGTGAAGACGAGCTTGATGTCATCGTCGTCCGAGTCGCTCTCGCTGTCGTCGCCATCTTCCTCCTCGACACCGCCGTCCTCGTCCTCTTGGGCTTCCTCGGCCACAGCAGACGATGGATCAATACCATATGCCGCAAGGGAACTAGACTGTCAGCACAATTGTCTTTGACGTTGGGGGAAAACGTACGCGGCCATGGACGCGCTCACTCCATTCGAGACGGAAGTGCTACCAGCAGCTGCGCCGTCAGTATTCTGCGCACATCAATCTGGACAAGAGCAACAACGTACCTGCCGAGGGGGCGGCATCTGTGCTTGGTGCTGCCGGGTCACCGTAGAGGAAGGCGTCGTCGTCGTCCATGTCCATGGTGGCGATGCTGTTGATGAAGGGATGGTGGGATGCTGGATGCTTGCAGAGCCTGAATGGAAAGTGACAATCGACCAACTCCAATATAGAGCTTAACGGGGCCAAAAATAAAGTAACGCGGGAGAGCCGGCCTGACATGTTGTGACGAGCACTTGTTCCCCGATCTTCTCATTCACCCATGCTCTCAGATGCATGCAAAGCATGCAAAGAGAAGACCTGTAAGGGTACTACCTACTGTGTACCAGTATACAGGTCCCATTTAAGGTGAGGGTCTTGGAAGTTGCTGGTGGGGGTCGCTGTCACTTGCCCACCGCCGCCACCCCGTGAGACATCTTCGTCGTGTTACTGACGGTAGCTGTCTCTTGCTTCACATACAGTCTACTCGCCAAAACCCAGGTCTGTTATCTACAGTTCCCATTCTGTCGCGTATGGAGACAGCAGTGTGTGCGCTCGTCCAGGACGCTGGTGATGGGAGCCACTCCCAAAGTTATCTAAAATGGAGGCCCGCATAAAGATGGTGTTCCCTCCAGCTGCGAATGTTCGACTTTCGAGTCGGCTGCTACGTGCTAGAGGTGTTGTTGACACTGTTCTTCACCCACGTTCACAACACCCTACTCCAATGCCTCGCCCAAACGATAGTCCTGACGTCGCCGCTTCTAAGGGGCTCGCCTACATTCTGCGCCATGGCGCGGAGAAGGAGGGCCTGCACATCCGCAGTGACGGACTCGTGCGCCTTGTCGATGTGGTGCGTATTGTATAATGTCGCCACCCACACGCCGTAACAACTCGACTTTCCTGCCCGGGACACCGCTGACACTATGCCAGCTCGCTCGCCCCAAAATGAAGGCTGTGGACCGTGACACCGTCTTCCGCCTCGTCGAGGAGAACGCCAAGAAGCGCTTCGAGCTCGTCTTCGGCTACGACCCGTCCGAGCCCAAGCCCAAGAAGAAGCAGCAGCCCAAGAAGAAGAAGCCCGCGCCAGTTGTTCCAGGCAGCAGCCAAGTTGATGCTGTCGCCGCCCAGCTGGCTCAGACTGCCGTCACACCTGCCCCGCCCCCGCCCCCGCCCGCACAGCCAGAGTGGAAGGAGCTCGACTTTGTGACTCTTCCTGCTCCTGAAGCCGGATCCGAGGCTGGCCCCTCCGAGCCCCGTGGCGAGTGGTTCATCCGCGCGACGCAGGGCCACTCCATCAAGCTGGAGGGCACGGCGCACCTCGAGCCCGTCCTCGCCGACGATGCTGGACGTGTCAAGGCGGGCCTGCTCGTGCACGGCACCCAGTGGAAGCTCTGGGCTACTCTCAAAGAGACGGGCCTGAGCAAGATGGCACGGCAGCACGTCCACCTGGCGCCTGCGCTCAAGGACCACCGTATCCTGCCGCGTAACAACTCGACTCTCCTCATCTTCCTCGACCTCGACCAGATGCTCGCTGCCGAGCCCCCTATCCCTGTCTTTGCCGCTGCCAATGGCGTCATTCTCACTCCTGGTGACAAGGACGGTATTGTGGCCAAGGAATACTGGCGCAAGGCAGTGCACCTCGAGCACGGCAAGCGTATTGTCGTGTGGGAGGGTGGCAAGGAGGTTGAGCGTGAGGAGCGTGAAGACGAGGAGTAGAAGGCGACCATTAGACGAGAACAGCAAAGGTCGGCCATCTGTATATCGCCTAGACAACACCAGATGCATGTTACAACCCCCTACTTCAAATTCTTGAGACGTTCAAAGCGCGCAGCGAGGTCGTCGTCCTCAGTGTGCTTCTTGACCACTGTGGGACCCGTTGTACGTGGCGAAGGCACAGGAGCCCTCACGCTGGGCGACTTCTCGTCTGGGATGGGAATGGCAATGGCAACGGCCTTGGCTGGCTCCTTGACGCCGCCCACGTCGTCATCATCGTCGTCACCACCGGCAGCGCCGGAACCGCTTCCCTCGCCGTCGCCGCTGCCACCGCTGCCCTCCCCTCCGTCGTCCTTCTCTGGCTCGAGCGCTGCGTCCGCTACACCATCCTCCAAGGGAGGCAGGTAGCTCACACCATAGCCGCGGGCGATTTCACCGAGGTAGGCGTCAACGAGCGCGGCTGGGGGAGTGTACAGGACGAGCTTGGAGACGATTCGTTGGGGAACAACGGCGGGAGGTGGGTCTGAGGGTTGCAGAGAAAGGGAGAACGCACGGCCATACTGGATGTGTGTTAGGGCGAGAGCTGTCTGAAGGTCACCTCAACTTACCTTGTGCATCAGGATCTCACGCAGGACCTGCAGCTCCTTGAGCTCCGTACGGGGCGCTGCGTAGATGATGGCACACACTGCGTCGGCGACGCTGGGCTCGGGCGTCTCGCCACTGGTTGTTAGCTGGCGTTCGTCAGCGCAGCTCACCTTGCAGCATCAAGGAGGCCGAAACGCGCTTGCAGCGTCTCTGCATAGAGCTGCGTATGTCAGTAATCGGTTAATTGGGTCGGGCACGAGAGAGGCGGAGACGTAAGGCCGATGGGGGCAGCTGTCCGCAGCCGACCATCCGTTTGGGTGGTGGGCCGCAGCAGATCGACTCCAGCGCAACCGCCAGCACACTCGACATTACGAGCACGTTCGTGCGTGACGAGATACGCTTCAAGTAGGGCCGCCGCAGTCGTCTTCCTTAGTGTTGTCGGTATCCAAGCCCACTTCACCACTGGCGTAGCCGATCCGCTCGGCCCGGCATTGTCCTCGTCGCGATACACCATCCGTCCCTCCACTTACCTCCAGGAGCTCGAGCAGCTCAACGTAGATATCGTCCTGGATAAGGCCCTCGACGCGGAGCTTTGCGTTCTCGATACGACCCTTCTGGACGAGATCGGCAATGTCGCGACGGGCCTTCTTGGCCAGAGCGAGCTTCTTCTCCTGCAGCGTCCGGAGGCGCTGAATCGAGAGCTTGATTTGGACCTGTTGAACGGTTTAGCGGTGAACATCCGGCTGGAGCGTGGTACAAGCACAGAAAGCTGGAGATCTGAACAACAAACTCACCTTTGTCCTAGCGGGGTTCCATGGAAGCATCGTGTGTCGATGGTGGATGGCGAATGCAGCACCAAGGACGATTGTGCGGAGCATTCGAACCCCCTCTCCCCCACAGACGTCACGGCGTCGGTCGGCCGGAACGGAAGCAAAATGTTGAACTGACCCGCGACGACGACCAGCGAGAACATGAACAACGATGAGCAAAGGCTTTGCAGCAACCATAACACCACACACCATGACCCCCGTCCAGCCCACAACACACCTCTACCGCGCCGTCCTGCGCGAGATGCGCCTGGCTGTGAGTATGCACGCGAGTAGAGCTATGGGGAATGCAGCAAAGGGGCGTCAAGAATGTCAACAACAGCTCGGTCGCTGTCGCCTTTGCTTGTCTTCTCTGTCCTCAAACCTCGCCGCCTACAGGGGCTCTGAGCACCGCTGACGGTCCAGTCGCGCCAACCTCGTGCTACCCGCAACCCCGTTGTGGGCCGGGAGCTGCGTGCCATGATTGACGAGGCCCGCCTGTGCACCACGTCGCCCAAGGATGCCGACGCGCTCGACCGCGCCCTGCTCGAGGCTGGAGACTTTATGCGCGCCGCGAGGATACACGCCGTGAGTCAAGACGGTGGTGCTGTTGTTGCGTCAAGTGTTGTTGTTGCCAGTGTCGAGTAGCTGTTTCGGCTCATTGCGAGCCACAGCGCTCTACCTACGCGAAAGTGCAATTGAACATCTGGCTGTGGCAAAGGCGACGGAACCTCTCGGAAGATGGTTTTTGACGCCCCCAGGACCTGCTGCAGCGCTACAACCCGATCCACGGCATGAGCGAACAGGAGCGTATCCACGCCACTGCCCGCCGAGTGGGTCTTGACACTCCCGTGGAGTACAAGAAGGACGAGTAAAGGTCCTGGGCGACGGACGACGGGGAGGACGGAAGGTGCGCGGCATTAGAGCTCAGGACAGCGCCAAGACTCGACAACGAGCTTGCGCCTACAGCAGCAGCCACAGAGAGAGAGAGAGGGGGGGGAGACTATCCATTTGCATACGCCGTGACCATGTACCCATGTGCTACGCCTCCCTTAACGAGTCCTGGTGTCGTCCTGAGTGTGACTGGCTGCTGAGGGTGCCATTCGTGACCATGTCCGGTTGCATCGGACGTCGAGACGGGCAACACAAATTCGGTGCGCACCGATGTTGGATGCATCACGTGACCGTCCAAACGGGGGTACTGCGCGCCCACAATAAGATAAGAAGTGGGACTGAGCGAAGTTTGCGATCTTAGTCTTTGGCCTCACGTCTCCTCACGTCACCCCCATCGCACTACTCGTTCTTGCCCGTCATGTCCCCTCCCATGTGTGTATGCCTCCTCCTCCACCGCTGCTACTCGCCGTAGCAGCGCCACCGCGCGCTGTATCCCAGCCTGACCTTTCAGGATCCGTCTGTCGTACAACGACATCCACAAGGCCATCCAGGCCACCGCTCCCAAGATCAAGGAGGAGTTTGGTGAGTAACGATCTGTACGCCCACGTATGGCGCGGTGTATGGGCAGGCAGTCACCCCGGTAATCTTGCACCACCGTGTGTTTGTGTGTCACCGCCGATTGTGGCGTAGCCCCCCTGTCTGCTCGACGACGACATTGCAACACCCAGCTCGACCACGCAACAGCCCTGCCCATTACATCTCGCGTATACCCAGGCCGCCTCGTCTCTTGTCTTGTGTATGCGTTTCTGGTGCTAATGAACAGCCCCCAACCTCTTCATTGCCATCGGCGGTGGTGGCTTCGTGAGTAACCCTTAGATCCCTATGCCGTCCACCATCTTCAAAGAAACCAAGGATGCTAACCCCACCAGATCCCCGCCCGTATCCTCCGTTCGTTCTGCAAGACCACCCAGGACGGCCAGAAGCGCAACATTCCCATCCAGGCTATCGGCCTTACCCTCTACGAATCGCTCGGTGGTGTGAGTGTCCCAGATGAGACGTTGGCGCAGGCCAGTGAGCGGGGAACAAGGTTTTGGTTCTCGGTGGAGCCTAGCCCGCGTACCAGGTCCAGGTCTTCCGCGACCGACACATCTCGTGTCCGTTGATCTGGGCTGTCCGTCCTGTATGAGCCTGCTCAGACAACCGTTCCCGGCTCACTGGCCTGCACCAACTGCCTCCCTTTCAACCCGCCATATCCACAGCGCTGACCCACTAGATTGAGGAGGTTGCCGGTACCGAGGTTGTCCGTGTCCAGTGGATCGACTTCTCGACTGTGAGTGACTCCCCTTTCCCTCTCGTTCGTTTTGTTTGCTGACCGTCCACCAGCTCGGCTCCAAGCTCACCGGCCCCGGTGGTCTCCTTGGCCGTCGCATCCTCATCATCGACGAGGTCGACGACACCCGCACCACCCTCGTCTACACCGTCCGCGAGCTCCAGAAGGACATTGAGAAGCAGCTCGCCGAGGTCGCCGACGTCGAGGAGCGTGAGCGCCTCCGCACCGAGACCAAGCTTGGTATTTTCGTTGTCCACAACAAGTGAGTCTCCCACAGTAGCCAGTTGGGCTGTACAACAAGCTGACCCAACGCCAGGCTTAAGCCCAAGGCTGGTGAGATCCCTTCGGATGTCTCGTACTTCTCGGCCGTCGACACCCCCGACGTCTGGCTCGCGTACCCCTGGGAGTGCGAGGACGACATTGACGAGCACGACGCTCTCCGCTCCGAGAACGTCCAGCCTTAAACTAGCCGTAGCCACCATAGCCATTCCGGAGTAGACGCCAATCTTGCATGTATTCCAATAGACTTTCCCCTGCAGCTCACGGTACAGGTCACTGATCATTGAACGCAGCCTGTAGTGACACTTGGAGTTCCGAGCATTACCATTGGAAAACGACCCAGGAGTGGCGAGGGCCGCAAACCAAACCTTCAGGGCGGAGTAATGGACAATCAGTGATGCCGAGGCCTGGCTGTCAGATGCCACCTGCCAAAATTCCAAAACCTGGTGTGAACAGCGTGCAGACGTGCAGGGAGACCGCTGCCGTGATCGCAGTGACCTTGCACCGTCCTCTGCATCTGTAGAGCCCGCGCATGCTGCCCAGGCTCTATCCCTCAGTGTGGATATGGACCCTGGGAGCCGGTGGTCTGCAAAACCCGCAAACCCGGGAAGAGGGGAGCCCATACATTTGGCACACCGGGCGGGCCATTTGGCAGTGCAACTCGTGCAATTTGGGAGTCCAGGTGCCCATTTTGGTTATGACGGTCGTGACCACATGGTGCGTGTGCCCTCAAACCACAGAAGACCAGCATGCGACGGAGCATGCCTGGGCGAAGAATGGCAGATGAGGCTGGCTACGCGCCACCCACCGCGCGGTCGCCACCATTTGTTGCCACATTGCCACCCAACCTTGTCTACTGCCAGTATTCCACAGAATCACTGTCAATATCTCAGAATCATGTCTAGGCCACTCTACTAGCGACTGTGCGACTGCCAGCCTTGACACTGGGAATGACCTGGGGGTCACGGTCTTCCACCACCCTCCACCTCCAGCCAGGCACGATACTCCCCAGGGCGGCAAACGCGCTGTCACGACGCTCTGGGATCTTTGACGCGCGCGTGCCGAGTGACATTACCCATCATCCACCACACCCACTACACCATGAGCGTCCCGTCGTCACCCACGCTGTCCGACTCTGAGCTCCTCGACTCGCTCGAGGCCGACTTTGACCTCGGGTCCGAGCGCGAGCGGCGCATGGCCGAGCTCCGCGACCAGGCGCAGAAGGTCCAGTCCCTCCGTGAGACCGAGTACGGTCGCGTCGTGACCTACGGTGATGAGAAGAAGCTCATTGAGCGCATGTCGTGAGTAGTAGTCTGCTGCTCAGATTGCCTTTCCGTGCCAGAGCTGACACGTTCAGGAAGGAGAAGTGGTGTCTCATCCACTTCTTCCACCCCGATTTCCCAAGGTGTCGCATCATGGACCAGCGTCTCGAGGTGGGTCTTGGATGCTACTGCACCTCTCACCTGCGCTCTACTAACTCGCCACTGCAGGAGATTGCGCCAAAGTTCCCCCACACCTTGTTCCTGCGCGCCTCTGTCGCCGACATCCCCTTCCTAGTCGGCAAGTTTGGCATTCAGGTGCTGCCCTGCGTGCACGCGTTTGTGGACGGCGCCTGTGTCGACAGGTGAGCACGGGAACCCTCTCCCTACCGCCTTGACCTGTTACTAATTTCCCCCCCCCCCCCAGGTTGATAGGCTTTGAGGAGCTGGGCCAGACGGACAGCTTCACGTCCAAGACGCTCGAGTTCCGCCTCAAGACCGCGGGCGTCCTGCACTCTGGCCCCGTCATGCTGGCGCACCTCCTCCCGACCCATTTGCAAAAGGACGCGGCCGGGTCGTCGGGCGAGTCGGACGAGGAGGACGACCGCCGGCACCGCGACAAGGCGACGCGGAAGGGCAAGACGGGCATCCGGAACGGCCTGGCGTCGAGCAAGCTGGACGACGAGGAGTGGGACTAGACTCGACCGGCTGCTCTGATCCTCTGATCCTTGTCCATGTCTCGTTTCTCAGCATCGCCGTCGCGGCTGGCGGCTGGCGTCATTCCTCATTTCCATGTACACTACATGCACTTATTGTGGGCCCTCCATATCGGCCTTGGCATTGAGACGCTGCATGGCTGCGAGAGCGCTTAGGTGACTGGGAAGGCTGATACAGTATCAGGTCGCACAATGTCATGCGCAAGGGGGGCTGACTTGCTGGCTGCAGCGGCTGTACGGTATACGGTGTACGGTGTGCGATGCGGTGTGTACCGGATGCACGGCTGGCTGGTCGATGAATCCATCCATCGAGATTTCCGCATGCCGAAAACTGGGCGAAAACTCGGACTGTGGTGTTCTCAGCCCGCCGCAATACACATACAGTCACAGTCGTTCAGTACGGAGCAGGCCGATACTGCGTTGTCCGTCAGGGTGGCAAACGCAGTATTCCGAGCCACCATGACCGCCCGCAACAGGACACATGCGTACACACGGTTGTCTGGACCCCCCACGCCTCCAGCCTCTGGCCTCTGGCCATGTTACCGGTTACCTACAGGACAGGGCTGAACACATGATAGTCTGCGATGGCAATGCCGATCGGTGGCGGTGTGCAGCCGTCTAGACGTTCAATCTACAGTGTCGCTGCGTGCATGCCATATACTACAAGGGAGAGGGGAGAGGGGAGAGGCTACATCCATCTGTCTAGGCCTTGCCGGCAAAACCGCCAGTGGAGCCAAAGCCACCCTCGCCACGGACAGTCTCGTCGAGCTCGTCGACCTCGAGGGCAGGGGCCATACGGACCTCCTCGAGAATGAGCTGGGCAATGCGGTCGCCAACAGCGACTAGGAATACAGTTAGCGCTAGGTAGGCCCCCATGTATGTCGAGTGCCGGAAAGATGTACTCACTGTTAAAGTCGACGTCCGAGAAGTTGAAGAGGATGACCTTGAGGGGACCACGGTAGTCGACGTCAATGACACCGGCACCCACGTCGATCGAGTGCTTGGCGGCTGTGGAGGCGGTCAGTAGTCCTCCTTGATTCAACCGGAGCAGACTCACCGAGACCGCTGCGAGGAGCAACGCGGCCGTAGGTGCCGGCGGGGAGGGCGATGGAGATGTCCGTGTCGACCATAAACTTGCCACGGGCCGGGACGACGGCCTCGCGCGACGCGTACAGGTCAAAGCCGGCGGCGTGGGCCGATCCGCGGGTGGGGACGGTCGCCGAGGGAGCGAGGCGCTTGACACGCATGGGCTGGTTCTGGCGCGTAAGCATAGTGCGTGCGAGGTTTAGAGGTTGAGTTGAGGGCATAGCGTTGGCTGGATGGGCGAATGGACCAATGCACGAACAAACATCGGTTACTCACCTGAACGGACGCGACGGGGGCGGCAGCAGCGGCCACAGGAGCGGTGGTAGTAGCAGCAGCAGCGGCGGCGGCCTCCTTGGCAGCGTTGTGGGCGCTCTTGGGGGACATGGGAGCCTCGGTGGGGAGCTTGGCCACGGTCTTCTTGCCGTCGGGGAGGGTCTTCTTGTCCTGGGTGGTCGCGGTCATTGCTGTGGGGTTGTGTTTTTTGCTGGTGGTGCAAGAGGGGGGCGAAAGTCAAACGCGTCGCGCGTCACGTCGTTAAATGGGATCGCGAACACAGGGTAATCATATTATCATTGTTTTATTTTATCCCACGACGCGCCAATCTCGCGCCACCGGCTGCGCTCTTCCATCGCACGTACATGCACATAATATACCATCTAGCTACATCACATACGTCTGGTCGTATCGTACAGTGTCAACAGTGGGCCGGTACCAAGTGCAGGGCGACTTGTCTACTCTCGTGCGCTCTCTAGACGCCAAGCTCAAGACGCTGCAGCCAGGCCTGCTGCTTCGCGGTGGGGAACGCGGTGCTGATTTCCCTCATTTCCTCCATAACGTCCTGGACGCTGTCCCTCTTTGAATTCACGAGGTGACGTTGGCGGACCGCCAGAAGCAGGAAAGTAATGGCTTCGCGCGCGAGGGGGACGTTCTTGTCCTCGAGCTCGAGAAGCTCGAGCAACAGGTCGCTGCCGGGCGAAGGATGAGCCTCGCTATTGCGCAAGTCAACTTGACCTTCCCACGACGGATTCTTCTCAAAGGCACGTTTGACGTCGGCATTGAGGGTGCAGACCGTGGAGCCGAGTGTCGTCCCCCTGTCGCGGTAGTCGCTGAACAGGTTAGGTTACCTGGACTGGTTGGAACTCGTCACCGCCAGACTTACACGAACACGTTCTTCAACTGACGGCGTGCTGACTCGCCGCCACAGCCAAACGCAGCATTCAACGCTTGCGCAGTCGAGACAATGACAGTTGCGCTGCGACGATCCCTCGCTTTGTCGTCCTCGTCCTTCTTGTCCTGTAACGTCAGTGTCACGGCAATGGGTGTAGCAGCCTCACCTTCTTCATCTGCGCCAACTCCTTGTTCGTCTGCGCCAACTCCTCCTCCACCAGCTTCAAGCGCTGCTCGAGTGTCACACTCTACGACGGTTGTCAGTTGTGATCATGATGGACTCGAAGATCTCACTCTCGCTACGCTGCGCTGAAAATGAGTCAACTGTGGTTCCTATGGACGGTCTAGGGTCTACCTACCTCAACGACAGCCAACGCGCGTGAGCTGCCCTCAGGTGCCGCATAGAGACGCTTGGTGGGGGTATCCTCGGCATCTACGAAGGACTTGACTGGGTGAGGTTCGAGCTTGTTGTTGCGACAGAAGCTGTCGGCTTTGTCGTAGAGGCTCTGGACTTGGGTAGCCGCAGTGTCGCTGGGAAGGCTAGGTTTGGCGAGAACGCGGACCTGGACGAATTCGAATGGCGCCTCTGGAGTGGGCTTGTGGGCCGCCATCTGAGCAAAGGACATGGTCGCTTTGTCGCTTGTTGGTTTATGTATTCATTGCACGAGTGAAGAAAGGGATGTGGATGAGGGCACTAGGGATGAAGAGAGAGATGAGTGGACGACGAATATGGGTGGCAACTGGAACCACACAAAATTGGTTCCGCCCACCGTCCACTAAAGGCGCGACGGGTTCGAGCCCCATTACAGCTGCGCGCAGCTGCAGCATGAGTGTTTTTTGGTTCACGGATCAGCTCACGGAGCTTCCCGTGTGGCCTGTGGCCCCACTGCTATCCACATGCTTGCACTACATGCATTTCGTCGTCAACGCACCCCGGTCCATCCACCGTACTCTGTGATGTGTGACCTAACCGGCACCCACTGCGCACACTGCCCTGCCACAGCCGGTATCTCCGCAAATTGCCGCCGCCACCCAGCGAGCGAGAGATGATGTTCGGCGATCACCTACTGCAACAACATTCGAACGACGCGACGAACGGGACAACAAGGACAATCGACAGAGCCTACATCTAGACAACTCCACACACAGCTACGCGCATTTGCATTCAAACCCTCTCCTCCAGCCACCCTCCCTCCAAAAACACAGCTCCTCCAAGATGTCCACTCCCGCAGACCTTGAGAACGACCCCTTCTACCTCCGGTACGAACAGCCCCCATCTCGCGCTTCTGTGACGTAGCTACCATACTGACACGACGTTTTCTCTTGCACTTGGGGTTTGGGTTAATAGCTACTAGTAAGTTTGAATACTGCCTGACCAAGGTACACCAACTGACGGGGACAGCACTGGACACCAGGGCATGCATGGCCACGAGTTCCTCGAGTTCGAGTACAGCAATGGTGAGCTCCCTCTGGTGTCTCTGACGCCTTGGTAGCTAATATCCAGGCCGCCTGCGTTACGCCAACAACTCCAACTACCGTAACGACTCGCTCATCCGCAAAGAGTGTGAGTGCTGAGCCTGCCCGGCCGTGCGGAAGACCCGAACGCATCGTCGATGAGGCGCTGTTCGACGGCTACTAGCCAGATCTCGCTAAACGTTTACAGTGTACTTCAGCCCTGCGGTCGTCGAGGAGATGAAGCGTATCGTGCGCGATAGCGAGATCACAAAGTGAGCAGCACAATGCCCCAGTGGTGTGGACGGAGGGACTAGCCGCTGACGTCGAACAGAGAAGACGATGCGTCGTGGCCCAAGAAGAACGTTGTCGGTCGCCAAGAGCTCGAGATCAGGATAGACAAGGAGCACATTTCCTTTGAGGTAAGGTGGGCCCAGCTGTGGCCGTGCTGACTCTGGCAGACTGCCAAGATTGGCTCGCTCGCAGATGTCAACGAGAGCTCGGACCCCGAAGGTCTCCGTGTGTTCTACTACTTGATCCAGGACCTCAAGGTGGGGGTTATTTACAGTGAACATTTGTCTGACCCCTCAGTGCTTCATTTTCTCTCTGATCACTATGAACTTCAAGATCAAGCCGAGTGAGTGCGACTGGGACACCATTCGGTGTACCGCATACGTTTGATCACGCAGGTTGGCTGACATAAAGTTCAACAATAAAATGAGCGTTGTTCATTGTGAAGGGAAGAGAGCAGTGTTTCCGAGTTGGGTGGCCTGGACAGAGAGATATGAGATCTGGGTAGAGGCCGCAAGTCCGTATGCATGTACCATGATGTCGTGTAGCGCCATGCTTGATGGGACCCGTAGAGGAGAAGCGCTGTACGAGGACAGGCGTGCCTGCAAACCGAGACCCCAGCCGAGAACAAGCGCCGCGTGCCGCCGCCTCACCGCCGCCGCGCCGCCGCCGCCGCCCGCGCACATGGCACAGAGTCTTCTGTTCCATCGTTGATCTCAGTCTCCGTCCTCTTCATCGCCCACAAACCAACACCCCCTCGCCCCTCCCCCCACCGGCATACATCCTCCACTGCGAACGCTCCATCCTTGCCCCCCTGCGCCGTCCTCCTCACACCCCAGCCCCGCCGCCGAGACGATCGTCACGGCTATTCCGCCCCGGAGGCGAGATAGGGTTGCGTCGCCGCCTCTACTCGGCCGTGCAGTCTGCCGACTCGCAGCCAGTCCCCCCCCATCAGCACCGCTGCATAGGTGCTCCTTGCTCGTCTGCATACAGTCGACTCGTGCTTGACATACCCACCTTTTTCTCCATGGAGCTCTAGGGCCCTCGATCCTCGAGTTGACCCAACTTCCCACCCCTCCCCCCTCCCCCGTCCATCTCCCTCCCAACCGCGCGCCCAGACGCCGGCGACCCCGGACAACCCCGCCCTTCGCACCTGACCGCCAACCGGATTGACCAGTTGCAACTCTCACCACTCGCACCGCCGTCCCACCCACCATGCCGCTCCCAAGCGGCACACTCCCGCTTGCGCCGAGCTCAAGCTCGCCACCGCCGGCCTTCCTCGTACGCTTCCCCGAAGACACATGGAATAAGCTTGGCGCCGCCGCCAACAACGGCGACGAGGTGACTTTCACCATTGGTGATGATGGTCTTGTGAGTAAAGTTCCCTGTCCCTTTCTTTCTTGCCGCCCGCGTTTCGGGCATGCACTCAAGTTGTTGTCTGCACAGCCTCCGACGCCTCTCTCTCCTGCTCCGCTGACACCGTGTGCCAGACTCTTAATGTCGAGGGCTGCGACTCGATCCACCTCGATGCGCACACCGGCCAAGCCTCTGAGATCTTCTCGATGACTGGCGGCAGCCTTTCGCAGCTGGGCGTAGCGACGTCACGTCTGACAGTGCCGTTCAATGCTGCCTCCACATCCCGCGCCGCCGAAAAGGTTCGCCAGACGAGCGAAGCTCTCGACCGCCAGCGCCAGGCGCGCGCTGAGCGTGTGACTGGCTCTGCCAAGCCGCTCAGCAGCGCGAGCAGGCCGATCAACACCAACAAGCCGTTGAGTTCGGGGCCGTCCAGTAAGCCCCTCAGTTCGGGGCCGAGCTACCCCGTTCTGGCGCACACGCAGCCGATGGGGCGCACAATGAGCGGACCAGCGGCGACTCTCACAATGTCCACGACCGAGAGGATACCCCTCAAAACTCGGATAGTGCAGCTTCTCGCACTGGGTCCGGCATCACTGCCCGAGATCCTCGCGCGCACAGGAGGCAACCCGGACGAAGTCGAGCGTGCAGCCAAGGTGGTGAGTTTACCGTGGCGCCACCCAATGAACAGCGGAAAACCCAGAGGCCAGAGGCTGACCAAACTACTCAGATTGGCCAGTTGCAACCAGACAGCCGGTTCCGTCTACGACCACCACAGTACGCCAAGATCAAGATCGGCCAGTGGAAGTACACCTACGATGAGAGAGTCACGGTTATCAAGCTTGCGCGCAAGGCGTTTGACGAGCTCGGGCTGCCGGCAGATGCCGAGGAGCGCGAGGAGCTCGAGCAAAAGGCGCGCGAGGCACTCGAGGGTGGCCAGAACGGCGGCGGTGGGTCCAGCTCGGGATCCAACCCCACCACCCCGCCCGAGAGCGTCAACGTCTCCCCGTCAAAGCCAACCTTTAAGGAAAAGGCGCCACGACCGGCGTCGCCTGTCAAGGACGTGTCGCCGCCACTGCGTGCGGAGCGTGTTGCCTCGCCCGTGCCCGCCGCCGCCGCCGCCGCACCCAAAAAGTCTACCAAAGCAGACAAGGACCGCACCAAGGTCGGCAAGCAGATTGCCAAGATGCGCAGCGACTTTGCAAAGCGCGCGACGTCGCTTCCGAACACCAAGGGCACGGACGGGACTGCCAGCCCGCGCATCCCCACCAGTGCCGGCGATGACGATGTGCCCGAAGCCAAGCTCGACCCGTCGCCGCCAAAAAGGAAGGCAGAGCCCAAGGAGCCCAAGGCTGCCAAGAGCGACAAGACTGAAAAGGAGTCCAAAACGGCAAAGGTCAGCAAGAGCGCAGACAAGCCAGAAAAGCCGAAAGTGTCCGACAAGGCGTCAGACACGAATGGCAAGCGCAAACGCGATGCCGCAGCCGCAGCCGCCCCAGCTGTGGATCGGAAGCGCCCAGCTGCCCGCAACTACACCTCCTCCGAGTCTAGCGATAGCGAGGACGACCGCGGACGTAGCCGGAATGTCAAGAGCACTGCCAACGGCAAGGCCAAGACGTCGGCCAAGTCGGCCAACGGCAACGGCAACGGCAATGCTCATGGCCCCGGTAACGGTGCGAGCAAGCGCCGTGGATCCCCCATATACACGTCGAGCGAGGACGACGCGCCGGTCAAGCGCCGGCGCGACGAGCGGGATGACCGTGACCGTGATCGTGATCGTGACCGTGTCCGTGAGCGCGACCGGGATCGTGACCGTGACCGTGACCGTGAGCGCGAACGTGAACGCGACCGCGACCACGACACCAGCAGCAGCGCGTTGCCCAGCTTCAAGCGCAAGCAGCCCGGCGCCCTCGAGCTCAACGGCCACCGGAAGGGCATCGCGTCGGCTCCCGTGTCCCCCTCGCTGTCATCTACGCCCGACCCGAAGGCACTCCGACAGCGCTGGAACGAAATCTACCCCAAATACCAAAAGCTGGCGGACACGCTGTCCAACGTGTATCAGGCCGCCGAGCGCGTGCGTGAGGGCGGCTCGCCCGAGGTTGTCATGAGCGAGAGCGACATTTCGGCCAAGGCCGCACAGTGGAGCGAGTGGCACAAGGAGCTCGAGCGCATCAAACAGTGGTTTGCGGCATAGAAGATGTAGCGTCGTGGCGTGAACAGGGGCGGGGGGGGAGAGAGGTCACATCGCGATACATCGTTGTAACTATTTAATTGGGTTCTCTGCATGTGTATGAGCTATGCGGCAGTGCAGTGCATATGTGTCCAGAGGCCAGAGGCCAGACGGGCCAAGAGGAGGCCCAAGAGTGAGCGTTCATGGACACATTTGGTAGGAAACCCCCTTGATGGCCACGAAACATACTGCCGCCGCGCCACCGTGCGTCATTGTTGACTGAACTTTGCGGGCCATCGTTCGCCTCCGCATTCACCTCTCACCCCCCATTATACACGACACATCTCTCGCCATGGACGACCCCTCAGGCTGGTCGCTCACCGAGTCGGACCCCCAGGTCTTCAGCGAGCTCCTGCGCAACCTCGGCGTCACGGGTCTGCAAGTGGTGAGTAGCAGACGTACACTGCCGTTGCGCGCGTGCGGTAAAGGACCTCGCACAAACGTAGTGAAACGCTTGCGCGGCGCCGCCGCGCTCTCGTTGTTGCCACGGACCACGCTTTGCCATTTGAGCATGCCTTGCATCGTCGTTTGGGTAGGCGGTGTGTCCTAGTGGCCATCCTCTTGGCTATGTACTTTGCAGTGTACAGCAGCAAGACGATCTAGCAAGACGACGGACGGTAGACGGCTAACACATCCGCGCCCAGGACGACCTGTACTCGCTGGACGAAAGCACACTGTCCACCCTCAAACCTATCCACGCGCTCATCTTCCTCTTCAAGTATGTCGGTGGTGACGTCGAGGCGCAGGGTGTTGAGGTGGACCCCCTCGAGGCCGGGGTGTGGTTTGCCAACCAGGTGAGTGAGGGCGAGAGTGAACGCAGTTGGGAAAAGCGACTGTGGCCAAGCTGCACATGTGCACCCCACCAGCGGTCTCTGACCTTGATCTTTAGGTCATCCACAACTCGTGCGGTACGCTCGCTGCCCTCAATGCAGTCATGAACATTCCCGGCGCGACCTCGTCGTACGCTGGCGAAAGCATCGGACTTGGCCCCGAGCTCGAGAACTTGCGCGACTTTGGCGCCGGCATGGGCAGCATGGAGTGAGTCGTTTGCTGCTGCTTAGATACACCGCACAGCATGCATAGACCCAGGCGGCTGACTCGCAGTCTCGGCCACGTCGTTGCGTCGTCGGACACCATCCGCGAGGTGCACAACTCGTTCTCCAAGACGTCGCCGTTCTCCATGGACCAGTCTCTGTTCTCGGACAAGGAAAAGGAGGACGCGTACCACTTTGTCGCGTACCTCCCCGTCAACGGCGTGCTGTACGAGCTGGACGGTCTGCGTTCCTCCCCGCTCATGCACGCCGCCGTCGAGGACGACTGGCTCGAGCAGGCCCGCGAGACCATCCAGGCCCGTATCGAGACATACCCTCCCGGCAGCGTACGTTTCTAGGTCTAGCCAAGGTGTTCCATCCGCCAGGATTGTTGTAGCTGACCGACGTGCCCAGGTCATGTTCAACCTCCTCGCGGTGCGCTCGGCTGCGATCCCGCGCCTGGAGCGCCTGATCGCCGACCCAGCGACGCCGGCCACGGAACGCCTCCAGATGCAGGACCAGCTCGAGCACGAGCGCGCAAAGGCCGAGCGCGGCAAGTTTGAGAACGCGCTCAGGCGGCACAACATGCTGCCCCTTGTGCTGGGCCTGTTTGAGGCCCTCAATGGCAGCAAGGTTAAGAGTGAGTTGGGAAAGAATCGTGACGGCGGGGCGACAGGGGAACCATCTGGCTGACGTCTGTCCAGCGGCCGCCATTGACCAAGCTCGTGCAAAGGGTAAAGAGAAGCGCGAACGCGAAAAGGCCAACAAGGGCGCCGAGTAGCGTATAGGCATGGCCCCATGGGTCATGGTCAGTAGTAGACAGGCCGTGATTGTAGACGTAGACATCTTCGCACGCCACCTGTGCTCGATTAAAACGGATCTCTCGATCAGACCACCACCACCACCACCAACACCAATCTCTCGTTTGGCCGCGTTTTAACGGCATGCATTTTCAGCTAGGTTGCCATTGGTTTACGACACTCGTGGGCCTATTTTTCCGTCTAGTGGTGGGCGTCCTTCTTGGGGAGGTCCTCCTCAAGGAAGGCGAGGTACTGCTCGGCCGACTGGCCGTCGGCGGCACCCTCAGCCTTGGCGGCGGGGGCCGAGCCGCCGAGGGTGGGCTCGGTGGCGTCGAACTTGGAGAGCTCGGCGGCGAGGTCGGTGGGGAGGGCGGGGACGACGGGGGCGGCGGGGGCCGAGAACTGGCGGACGGCACCGGCGTGGGCGTCGGCGGCCTGGACGTAGGTGTCAGTGAGTGTTCACAAGAGGGCAGTCACCGCTCGTCGCCATCTCGATCTTGTTGCCATCTTCTCGCGCCGTCCACTTCCTTTCCTTTCCTTCACTCTACCCCAAAAGCGGCGGCTCACCTTGGCGGGGACCTTGTAGGCCTTGAGCTGGTTGACGTACAGGTCCTTGACGAGGTCTGGCCATCAGCAACGGATCTCCACATCGCACGCCTCAGTTTCGCAGACGGTGCTGCCCGGGGTTGCCGTTCTTTCCTCCCCGGGCAGCACGGTCCACACAGTCTGCTCACCGGCACGGGCGGCCGAGACCGAAAAGGTGCGCGCAAAGGCGGGGGCGGCGACGCGCTGCGCCTGTTCCAGTCAGCAAAACATGCTATACATTGTCAACGGCCTTCCTTGGCCGATGATTCGTTGCGCCGAGCAATTCCGGCGGGCCCTCCAGGCGTCTGGTGGGGGGCGGCGGCGCGGGGCTCGGTCTGGGCCCGCTGGATGCTGCGCTCGGCGCTCGGCGGGGGGGGGCAACGCACAGTGACGCGGAGGAGGGACATTTTAGGCGGAGTGGGGAGGAGGGGTGAGGTGGATGAAGACGAAGAGGTGCGACCAACGAACGTCCAACGGGCACTGCTGGGGGGAGACGGGGGGGGCGGAGCGCGGAGGGTTCCGAGTGGGTGGTTTTTGGGCCGGGAAAAAAGGTGCGCGAGAGTGGGTGGCACGCCTATTTGGTATGTACGCAGTGCAACGTGCGTCGCTCGCCGTGAATGCGTACACAGGACGTGTCCATGCATGCTCTAGCAATTGGCATCCTGCATCTAGAAAAACGCAGCGATTGTCCTTGGGCAGGAACATCGGCCGGGCGCAGAGCAAAGTTGGGACAAGACGAAAATCCATAACGACACCATTTACACAAAAGCCACAAGACAGAATCCAAGTTTACTACAAGCCACTACCATCCAACAACGCATGCCCGGCATTGTATCGCTCCGCAAGCTACCAACAGCTGTAGTAGGTAGCCCACGTACACGCGACACAAGACCTGCAACATGCGCTGCCCATTGTTTGTTAGAGTCAGACCGTGCGTTTGCCGCCTCTTTGTTAACAAGGAGGGTGGCCGCCAGGCGGCAGATGTCTGCCTGCGCCGCCGCGTAGGGGCGCAGTCGAATAGCTGCGGCCGCGGAGTGTCATCCTTTCTAAAACTGAAAAGGGAACGTCAGCGCCCGAGTCGCGCGCGGCTGTGTGACAAACATCCCAGCGGCTGTACTCACACAATGGAAGGATGAGAGACGAAATGTTGACGGAGAGCCAGACTTTGTAGGGGCAGGCGCGAGCGAGTGCGAAGGGGGGGGGGAAATGACGTGGCGTGTGAGTGGTCCGTGGGTGAGGTTATCACCCGTGCATGGCGAATGTGGCGGCTGGCCGTTTTGGCAGAGGGCCTCGACATGCTAAGCAGCTGAAAGTCGAAGAGTCCGTTGACCTATAGGCTCAGTGAGTTCAAACAGAGCAGAGGTAGACGGGGTAACATGAAAGACAACATGGTATGGAACGATATCTGATCCAGGTGCTGAATGTAGCGGGTGTACAACGGACGTCGGTGCGAGTGAGCGCGAGAGCCGGCTGGCCGTCCTCGTTAGTACAGTGGCCGACGACCACCAGAAGTTGATTCTGCATTCCACCCGTGGAGGCAGAGCCCCAATGTCAACGGCGGTGACGAGAGCATGGAGACGGAGAGTATCCGCTACGGCCGTATCCGTGAGAGAGGACAGGATGAAGGCGCGAACAGCGCGAGCCTGGGCAATAATCACTACATGCTCTCATATACGGGCGGTGGGATAGCTGCTTGAACGGCCGTCGGGTTGACAGTCGCGGACACAGTTGCTGGCACAAGCCAAGTTGCCGGCCGCTGGCGGCGGCTGGCGGAGAGGCAGGGGTACCGGTGCTCTAGCCTGCTCGAAACTTGGCCACCGTGTCGCTGGTGTGTTGCACGAGCATCTCGTTCAGCGGCGAAAGGCCAACTAGCACTGGACAGTAACGATATACAAGTGGACACCCGTGACGACGCAAACACGTAGGATCGGCGGAGAGGAGATTAATATCGTCGATTTTTTCGGGAATTTCCTCCGATCGGCGTTCCACCCATCCACAAAACCTTCTTCCCCGGCTCTTGTCCTCCTTCAACATCCAAAAGGGAAGCTACTACTTCTAACGAAGTAGAAGGATCACGTGACCACTGACAGGATCGAACTGCCGACCTCCGCATGGACTAGTAACCAAGGCTGGGTATTAGTACGATGCTCTAACCAGCTGAGCTAAGCGGCCGAATTACGAGAGCAGACCCGCATGCCCAACTGTGTGAGCTGACGCTGCGCGAGCGATTGAAGCTGCATGCGTTTGCTGGAGACTGCACAGTGCCCGCCTGGACTAACCATGGGCGTGATAAGAACAGAGCAGAGCCCGAATGGTTATGCCACTTTTAACCCTTTTTCGTTCTCCAACCTATACTTGCGGGGATGTCAAAGCAGAACGACGCTTGGGCAGCTCGTATCGTATCGGAACAGACCTTTACGAGGTGCTGGTTGTCGCAGAGGAGATGCGTACATGCCAAGGACTTGTCGACTTGTTGTTCCTCAGTGCCTATGTATGGATTGTCGGGTCCCTTCGCGTCCCCAAATGCCACATGCGACCCTCAACTCGTCATCGACGCCTCCAGATCAATGGCCGCCATGCCCAACGCATGAGGCTACGAAATGCGAGGGTGACTGCAGCTCGTGCGGTCGCTCGCGGGACCGGCACCGTCGTCTCCAGGCCACGTCTGCGGCCACGACTAGATGCCGCTGTGCCGCGCGGCTCACTCTTGCAGCTGCACAGTGGTGTTGGCCGACGGCGATGATGTGCGGGGCGGCAGCCACTCGGAAGTAGCGTGCGGGCAGATAACGAGAGGGCCGATGGCCGAGCGGCTGGCCAGGGGGGGCGGGGACCGAGATTTCACCTGCGTCTTCCACACACAGACACACAAAACACCCCTTCTCAAGCCTCCCCCGGCCGACTCTTTCTCTTCAACACATTCGCGCATGCGCGTCACGCAGCTGCTCAACCGGCTTACACCCCGCGTCTCGCGCTTGCACTCACCAACGCACTCGCACTCACGCACGCTCGCCACAGCAACACTCGCCGGAACAATGGCCCACCTCACGCTCTCCGACCCGCCGACGCAGCGCAAGCGCGCCGCACACTGGACCAACGACCACGGTACGGGCTTCACCAACCCGTGGCCCAGTGCAAAGGGACCTCCAGTGAGTGGGGATGCAGCTGCTGCAAGCTGGAGGGCGGTGTGAAAGGACCTTGCTAACGGGTAGGCGCTTTCGCACGTTGCCAAGGTATGCCTCTGCGTGAAAGGACTCTGTTTGAGCGAACCCACTGACTGACCGCTCTGCAGTTCTCATGGCAAGTGAGTGGCCCTGTTGACAGCTGAACAACATGCAATGCGTAAGCTGACATCCCTTCCAGGGCATGCACATCCAGAAGCCAGAGGTCAAGGACCCGCACGCCTTCCTGCCCATGCAAAAGCCCGACTTTACACCCCCAACCGAGGGCGTCAAGGCCACCTGGCTCGGCCACGCATGTGTGCTCGCCCAGTTCGCCACGGATGGCGGCAAGAACAGCATCAACGTCCTCTTCGACCCCGTGTTCAGCGACCGCTGCGGGCCGGGCGGATACCTCGGACCCAAGCGGTACACGGCCGTCCCATGCGGCGGCGTCGAGGGGTTGCCCGAGATTGACGTCGTGGCCATCTCGCACAACCACTACGACCACCTGGACCGGTCGACGCTGTCCGAGATCTTTGCCAAGCAAAAGCGCACGCCGGCGCTCGTCGCCTCGCTCAACACCTGGCGCGTTCTCGACGGCATCTCGCCCAAGGCCAAGCAAGTGTACCGCGAGGCCGACTGGTGGGAGACGATCGAGGGTCGACATCAACGTCGAGGGTAAGGGCCGTCTGGCGTTTACGTGTACGCCCGCACAGCACATGACCGCGCGCACGGCATGGGACATGGCCAAGAGCCTCTGGGCCGGCTGGGCCGTGCAGGGCGACGCTGGGTCGGTGTACTTTGCCGGTGACACTGGTGAGTTGCGCGTCGCGCGGCGAGGGAGCGGGTGAGCCATGCAGGACCTCACCCGGCCCCATTCCTCTTCAGCTTCGCCAAGCCCCAAACCAAGCTAACCCGCAGGCTACGCCGCCGTCGAGACCGAGACGTACGAGATCGACCCCGCCGTCCCCGTGTGCCCGGCCTTCAAGGAGATTGGCGAGCGCTTTGGCGGCTTTGACCTCGCGTTCCTCCCCATCGGCGCGTATGCCCCCCGCTGGTTCCTCTCCACGGTCCACTGCGCGCCCATCGACACCGTCAGGCTGTTCCAGGATGTGGTGCGTAACACTCCCCTTCATTTGACTCATAACCCGCTAACACGTCCACTTGCAGCGCGCGAAAAAGGCCATGGCCATACACTGGGGTACCTGGGACCTGTCGCACGAGCAGCTCTCCGAGCCCGCCACGATGCTCGCCGAGGCGCGCGACGTCGTCGGCCTCACCAAGGAGCAGTTTGACGTCGTCGACCTCGGCGCTAGCATCTCGAGCGTCCCGGCCGCGGCCGCAGCCACCGCTCGCGTCCCCGAGGCGCAGGCGCAGGCGCAGGAGCAGGAGCCCAAGCAGGCCGAGGCTGAGGCGGAGCTCGAGCGTGCGGTCGCATAGAGAAGGGACAAGGGAGGAGGAACGCGACGTGAGAGTGTCATTCCGTGACCGGTTACGTCGCTGCCAAAAGCGACCCTGCACAGTGCTAGTTTCTTGTGCGTGTGCAGTCGCGTGTACATTACATTACCCCCAGGCGGACGGAGCGAGCGGATGACACAAATACATGTGGCGAATATATAGATATTGGATGCGACTACTTTTCTTTTTGTTTTACATTAAGAAACAGAGCCACAGACTGTGCGCTGCTTGACGACGGCATATACTAGTTTTCGGCCTTTTCATTCACGGGCTCGAGCTCGCTGCCCCCGGCCCCCGCATCGGCATGGGTCCCATGGTTCCCGTGGTTCCCGTGGTGGTGGTCGCTGTGGATTGCGCCGTGGACCTTTGACCCGTGCCACTTGTCCCCAACGGCGCCCTTGGGGTCGGTCATAAAGTCCAAGCCCTTCTCCCGGGTCCCGCGGAGGTAGTTGCGGCCGCCGTCGTCGCCGTCGTCGCTGCCGTCGGGACTGGACGCGCGCGAGCTCTCGATGGAGCTGAGGTCGCCCGCGGACGCGGCGTACACGCGACCCTGGTTGCGCTCGGCCTTGCGCTTGCGCCGCTCCTTCTTCATGGCCTGCAAGTGGTCGTCGTCGCTGGACATGGTCTTGATGTGCAGCCCTGGGAACTGGGCAGCGAGGAAGCGCTCGAACAGCGGCAGCACCTTCTTGTTGGGCCGGTACGTGCCCGAGTCGTTGTCGATGACGAGCTCGTACGCCTCTGGCTCGAGCGGACGGTCGTCCTCGGCGCCGTGCAGGGCCGTCACGAGCTTGGGACGTGCGGGCTGGATCGGCGTCCGCCTGGCAGGCTTCGACTTTGAGTTGGAGTTTGAGCTCGCCTCGCCCTTGCCCCCGACATTGACGTCGGTGCCAATCGGCACAGAGGTGTCTGGGGCTACATGGGCGCTGCTTGCAGCCGTGGCTTCGGCCGCTGTCGCTTGTGAATCCCGGCTCTCGTCGACGTGCGCCTGGTCTTGCCCGCCGTCATTGCGCTCACGGAGGAGGCTGTGGGATGGCGCCGCGGTATCAATCTCGCCGTTGGCGCTGCCGCCGCCGCCGTCGCTCTGCTGTCCGGGCTCGTACTTGCGCACAAAGAACTCGCCAGAGATGGCAATGTAGACCTGTTTTGACGTCAGCCACAAGACTCCAGGATGCCGCTTACGTTCACGTCCGAGTGCATGGTGTGCTTGCTGAGCAGGTCGATGGCAAACTCCTTGCCCGTCTCGGTGAACCGCATGAGGCCGTCGAGGTTGATAATGTACGTAAAGATGCGGTCGCCTTCGCCCCAGTGCGCCATGTCGAGGAAGCGACGGGCCATGTCGCGTCCGGGGCCAGGGAGCGTGCCGTACTCTGTCGCCTCGTCAAAGTGGTATATCTGGCAGTGCTGGCGATGGAGGGCGGCGTGCAGGACGTGTCCGCGGGCGCCTTTGGGCTGGAACATGCGGTTGACAAAGAACGAAAAGTCGACGAAACGGTGGTACAGCTCGTTGGGGACGGGCCCGACCAGCTGCATTTCGTTTGCTTGGAAGCTGGGCGCGTGTTAGCTGCTTCAGCTTGAGCGCGCTAGCGTACGCGACAGCTAAAAACCACTCACTTTGCCGTTTCGTCGCCGTCCCGTCTCGTCGTGGTGCCGACCATGCGGCCGATGAGTGGCGAGTAGTGGATGTACCAACAGCTATTGACGGTGTAGAGCTTGCCACACTCGTCCTCGGTGGGGCCCAGCACCTCGATGGCGATGCGCAGCGTCGCGTCGCCGCGGGCGTGCTTGCTAAACGCCCCACAGCACGACTTGGCAGCCAGCGCACGCCAGCTCGCCCCGCGCTTCTGCAGCTCGACCAGCTCGCCAGCCAGCTGGCCATCAGCGCCGCCCTGGTCGCCACGGAGGCTATCGCCATGGAGGCTGTTGCGATGGCCGCCGCCGCCGTCGCCAGCACCAACGGCACCGACGGCGGTGACACGGTTGCCACCGAGCGACCAGCCCTCCTTCAACGGCCCGGTGGTGATGTATGCCGTGCCCAGACGGTCGTCCTGCGTGCCCGTGTCCTCGTCGTAGACGCGGGCCTTGAGCTCAAACCCGCTCGCCGGCACGCCCGCGAGCACCCACGCCGTGTTCCACCTGGGCTCGAGCGTGCGGTGTGCCGTGGGCGTGCGGAACCGGATGTGCGGGTCGTGCTTGTGCCGCGTGGCCACGGACGAGTTGACCTGCGCGAGCACGAACGCGTCCGCGGACCCCGACGCCTGGTCGCCTGGCGGCAGGTGGTGGGCGGCAATGAACGTGATGCGGACGACGTACGTCGTGCCCGCGGTGGGGACGAGCGGCGTCGAGTCGAAGCCTCCCTCGAGCTCCTTTTCGTCTTTACCCATGGTTTGGGACGGGTACGTGTCGTCTTGCTGGGGAGGGGCCACAGTGGATGGTATAGATGAACTAGGGTGGCGAGTTTGGAAGCTGTGGTGGTGATGGGCACGGACGGTGGGTGGTGCGAAGGTGCGAGTGAAGAAGCAAAGTAGATCAAAAACCAAAGTTGTTGTGGTTCTATTTCTTGATTCCCGCAACGGCATGCACTGTCCGTCCCGCTCTACCTCCCCAACGGTTTGGCATCACCTGCCCCTCGTGCCGTGACAGCATGCAAAAGCAAGGTATGCGGGCCTCAAAGTGCGACACCCACAACCAGTGCGTGCCCAGCGGTGCAATCATGTGGGTGCTTGCAAAAGTTGGAAGGGGGTGTCCCACGCAAACATCGCCTCCCGCCGACAAAATGACGTCAACGAGTGGGGTCTCGAACGCGGCACCACCGCAGTCAACGTCATCGTGGGGTGTGGCCACCGCTGCGTCCCCGTTTCGTCTTTTCGTGGCACAACCAGCCTTGCACAGAGTGTGTTACATGAGGCCTCCGTTTCCAGTCCACGAACAGACTGTAAACAGCAGACATGTACAGAGATCCAGAGCAGTAACAGGCACATCTCAGGTCCTACGCTGGCGTCATCTCTCTGCACACTACATGGTTTATTTTTAAAAACACAAAACACAAAGGCTTAGAGCTCGTTCTTGGCACTCTTCGCCGCCTGCGAGGCGGCCTTGCTGGCGGAACTGGGGCTCTTGCTGGCCACGCTCGAGAGGCTGGACGCACTGGCCGATGCGGCCGAGTAGACGCTCGACAGCGACTTGCTAGCGTTGGACGCCCACGCCGACGCCGAGCTCGCGCTCGCGACGGCCGCGGCTGAGATGGTCGACGCGCCGGCGTGCACGCTCTTGGACGCCTGGACGGCGGCCGACGACGCCGACTTGGACGCCGCGCTGGCCGCGGACGCAGCGGCGACACTGGCAGAGCTGGCGCCCGTCTGGGCACTCTTGCTGGCCGCGACGCTGGCCGACGACAGCGATGCGACGCCGGGGGTCTTCTTGGCGTTCTCGCTGGCCACGGCAGCGGCACTTGCGAGCGACGCAGATACGCTCGCGGCCGACTTGGACGCCGAGGTCGCGGCTGCGTCTGCGGCAGAGCTGCCGCTGGCCGAGAGGGACGAGTAGGCCTTGGTGGCCGAAGCGGAGAGGCTCGAGGCGGCCTTGTCGGCCTTGCTGGTGGCGGCGACGAGCGCAGACGACACCGAGGCGACACCGCGAGACAGCGCTTCCTCTGGGTTGAGCTTGTTGAACGACTGGAGGATACCCGCCGCCTGCTGCTGGACAAACTCGGCACCTTGGTTGAGCGACGCAAACACGCCACCGGCCACGCCGGCAATGTTCAGGTTCTTGAGGTTCTGGACGACAGACTCGAGGCCCGAGGTGGTCGGCGCGTAGCTGCGCATGGTGCGGAGGAGCTCGTCGCGTTTCGTCGAGGGGTCCTTGACACCGTTCTGGCGGAGGTAGGCACGGAGGCGCGAGTCGGGCCACGCAAGCCAGTCCTGCACCGTGTAGTGCTGGTCCATGAGCTTTTCGAGCTGTTGAATGTGTCAGCACAGTACGGTGGTGCATCATAAGCCTGTGCCACACACCTGCGAGCGGTCGTCCCAGGCTACACCCTTTCCAAAGTTGTGGTCCTTGAGCCAGTCCTTGATCTCGGTGTCGGTCCACGAGCTCCAGCGCACGCTGTCTGCCGTGGTGTACGCCTTGTCCATGGCCTCTGTGAGCTTGTCGCGCGTGGCATCCTGGGCATTTGTGATGGCGGTGCTGACGTCAGACCCAATCAAACCACGTTTTCGGATTCCACCGCAAAAAACTCACTGGGCGTCGTTCTCCGCGAGCCATGCACGAATCTTGGCGTCATCCCAGGCGCTGTACACCTTGTCCTCGGCGGTGTAAAAGTGGTCCTGCATCTGCTCGAGGAGGTCCTTGCGCTTGGGGTCCTTGGGCGTGACGCCGTGGTCCGCGAGCCACTTGCCGATCGTGCTGTCGGTCCAGCCGTCATAGATGTGGTCGACCGTCGTGACGTAGTCTTCACGGACGGCCGCGAGGAGGCCATTGCGCGAGGCCGGCTTGTCCTTGATGCCGTGGGCCTCGAGCCACTCGGCGAGGTCAGAGTCCTCCCACACGCTGAAGATGTAGTCGGTGGCGTCGTTGAGCTTGTGGGACAGGGCATAGGTGGCCGACGACGCCTCCGAGGCCGCCGACGACGCAGCAGACGTGACGGCGTCTTGGGCAGAGGCGGCAGCTTTGGCGAGCTGGTCGTTCTTGGCCTTGGCGAGCTGCAGGAGCTGCTTGTGCGTCGTGGCCGGGCTCGTCAGACCATAGTCGGAGAGGTAGTCTTGGAGCTTGTCTGTCGACCACGAGTCGAGGTCCTTGGGCGCCGTAAAGTGCTCCTGGATACTCGCCTGGGCAAGTGTCGCCGCGAGGGCGAGGAGGTAGAAGGCACGCATAATGTGGGTGGATGGGTTCGTTCAGTTCCGGCAGATGGTGTGAGCGGGACGCGGGGAGAGAGAGAGAGAGAGAGAAACGAGGGGGTTGGCCACTCTCCACGTTGTCAGCTCGTAGCCTTTATTGAGCAGACTCCCATCGTGCGGGGCGTTCCCAAGAGCATGATATCATGAGTTGTCCTGGGAAGAGGGGAGGCGAAAGGACCTGGTGGATTCGGCGGGACCTGTCGTCATCATGGTCCAACGTTCGCTTGGTGAGAGTCCCAGCACTATAGTGTGACACGTCGCGCGGCCGTCGGCAAGGACGGGTTATGACGATGATGGGTGGGTTGGACGCGGTTAGACATTGGATGAGCGGGTGTGGTGTGTGGTGTGACTGGGTGACGTCATGGCTGTAATGTTTCTGTCAGAGGAGGAGGCAGATCGAGTCTGTCCTTGGCGCGGCCGACATGCATTCAAAGACAGCAATAGAGTGCTGGGCACATTGCCTGTCGCCCGTCCATGTTGATGTCCCAGTGGCCAGTGGCCAGTGGTGGATGTTTGCGTTTGGGCATTGTTACTTCTGGGTGCTTTTGGGCATGCCCGTTTGGTCTGTTGGAAATCGCACGGCCGGAGGAAGACTGCAGTCTCCGCCGCTCTCACCGGCCGGCCTCGTGCATCGGCCATCATGCATCGGCCACCTTTTTGGCATTTGCGAGCAAGCTCTGCAGAGTTTCCAACGCTGAGTCAGAATCAACAAACGCAGGCTATCGTGTGTCTGTATTGTCCTCTCGAACGATGATGTGTGTGTGCGGGGCTTTTCCAACACCAAAAGCGGGCAGCGGATCGGCACAGCGTGTAAAGAGGCCGTGTGTGGGGGGGAGAAAACGGGCTGGTGGAAATCGAGGCATTGGACAATGGTGTGACGCTTCGTGTATGCATCGACGTCTGTCCACTGACTCATCTTTGCGTGGGCGTTGCAATGCAGCATTTCCACAGCGAGACGTGCATGCATGCATGCATGCATGGCAGTAGTGGCCGCCTGGCTGGCAGCAGTGTTCCCCCCGGCGGCATATATGGCCCGCGGCGGGCCGTCGAGTGCCACATTGGGGCGATTTCATCGGGGCTTGGTCCGAACGGCGCTGGCTGGCTGGCGCGGCTGGGCGGGCGGCGGCTGGCAGGCGCCGGGCGAAGGACAACGGATGTCCCGCCGCAAGCCGCCTGGGTGGGGTGCATTCTCCGCACCATTTGGGTCAACGCTTTACTCGCCGGCGTGCAACTTGCTCGTCATCTACATACCACCCACCCACCACACACCATGTTCGCCAGGGCACCCCTCGTGCGTACACATCAACACACCCACCCCCACCAGTGGGCAGCACCATGGGGCAACACGCAGCAGGCAGGCAAACATGGCAAATAGCTTTTGCTCTGCCTCTCGCCCCCACGGTTGCCCACTGACGTCGTTGGCTCTGTTGGGCCAGCGGCACACAATGTTAACAATCATGTTCTTTGCTGACAGCCCACCCCACAGTCTTCGGGCCTCCTCCGTCCCCTCACCAACCCCGCGTCGTCGCACGCTGCCTCGCGCGGTCTCCTCCGCGTCCGTGGCCTCGCCTCGGCTGCCGGCCCTTACGATGTCGCTATCATTGGCGGCGGCCCCGGTGGTTACGTTGCGGCCATTAAGTCTGCTCAGCTCGGCCTCAAGGTGTGTTTAAACTCGGCCCCTTGCTGGTCAACTCTGCCCCCACCGCGCTATCCTTTGACTAACGAGCCAGACCGTCTGCATTGAGAAGCGTGGCGCTCTTGGTGGCACCTGCCTGAACGTTGGCTGCATCCCTTCCAAGGCCATGTAAGTTGCGGCAACAACAAGACGGAGCGAGGGACATTTTATGCTGACTCTTCTTTTTTTTTTCCTTCTTTCAGGCTTAACAACTCGCACATCTACCACACCATCCAGCACGACACCAAGAACCGCGGTATCGACGTCATTGACGTCAAGCTCAACCTCCCTGCCATGCTTGCTGCCAAGGAGACCTCCGTCAAGGCCCTCACTGGCGGTATCGAGTCGTACCTGTTCAAGAAGTACGGTGTCGACTACATCAAGGGCACTGCCTCGTTCGCTTCGTCGTCGCAGCTCGACGTTGCCCTCAACGAGGGTGGCGAGACCCAGGTCGAGGCCAAGAACATTATCATCGCCACCGGCTCCGAGGTCACCCCCTTCCCCGGTCTCGAGATTGACGAGGAGCGCATCGTCTCGTCGACTGGTGCCCTCTCGCTCCAGGAGGTCCCCAAGCGCATGATCGTCATTGGCGGTGGTGTTATCGGCCTCGAGCTCGGCTCGGTCTGGTCGCGCCTCGGCGCCGACGTGACTGTCGTCGAGTTCCAGGGTGCCATCGGTGCCGGCATGGACGCCGAGGTCGCCAAGAACTTCCAGCGCATCCTCCAGAAGCAGGGCTTCAAGTTCAAGCTCAACACCAAGGTCGTTTCGGGCGAGCGCGTCGGTGACGTTGTCAACCTCAAGGTCGACGCCGCCAAGGGCGGCAAGGAGGAGACCCTCGAGGCCGACGTCGTCCTCGTCGCTATTGGCCGTCGCCCCGTCACCACCGGCCTCAACCTCGACAAGATTGGCGTCGAGGTCGACTCGAAGGGCCGTGTCGTCATTGACGACGAGTTCAACACCTCCGTCAAGGGTATCAAGTGCATCGGTGACGCCACTTTCGGCCCCATGCTCGCCCACAAGGCCGAGGAGGAGGGTATCGCCGCCATTGAGATTATCAAGAACGGCCACGGTCACGTCAACTACGAGTGCATCCCCTCGGTCGTCTACACCCACCCCGAGGTCGCTTGGGTCGGCAAGAACGAGGAGGAGCTCAAGGCCGCCGGTATCAAGTACAAGGTCGGCAAGTACCCCTTCGCCGCCAACTCGCGTGCCAAGACCAACCAGGACTCGGAGTGAGTAGAGCGAGCAACAGCGAGCAGCAACGCGAAGCGTGGCTGCGAAACGTGGTTGCGAAACGTGGTTGCGAAGCGCTGTTGCGAAATGTGGAGGTGGTTGGCACCGCGAGCGACAACGTGCAGTGTTGTTGCGATTGTCGCGGTGATTTTTGTTCCGGTGTCCCGCTTTGGTCCAACCGTCTCCGAGACTGTTCCATGGTGGCCCAGCCGCAGAGCCATACACACAAGCAGAAGCGCAAGCGCCACGTGCAGCCCTGAAACAAACACAAGGAACACCGCTGACCGTCACAGGGGCTTCGTCAAGCACCTCGTCGAGGCCGAGACCGACCAGATCCTCGGCACCCACATCATCGGCTCCGCTGCCGGTGAGATGATTGCTGAAGCTACGCTCGCAATTGAGTATGGTGCTTCAGCAGAGGATGTTCGTGAGGAGCAAAAGAGCGCACTACTGACACTCCCAGGTTGCTCGTACTTGCCACGCCCACCCCACGCTCTCGGAGGCCTTCAAGGAGGCTGCCCTTGCCTCATACGACAAGCCCATCAACTTCTAAGCAAAAGAGCAAAGTATGGGGTAACGGGAGTAGTAGTGTCGTATCACGGAGTGCATGCACGCATCTTAGCGAATAGAAAAGAAGGAACCCAGTGTTGCAGGTGCAGATGTCGAGCAAGATGTGGAACGGTAAAGGAGGGAGTCGGATGTTGGTGGAGGAGTGGCACCGCCACACCGCCGATCATTCCCGCCTTCCTTCCTTTCGGCTGACCGCCCCCCCCCCCGGCCCCCCATCCAACATGCGCCCCATCCCAGGCTCTTTCAGGCGAGCATGGCAGCACGCGATAGACATGAGGGGCAGGAGGAGATGGAGAGGATGCACAGTGTACATGGAGAGGGGGGGGGAGCCAAACCGTCGCGGTACGCCCCAAACCCGCCACCCAGTCAAAAACTCCCGCCGCACTAAAAAACCACCGACACCTCCATCTTCATCTTCCTCTTCCTCCACGACCTCCCGATGCTTCCAGGCCGTCCAAAGCACATCCACAAGCCCAAAAAGAACAGAATCCTACCCCACACGGGCTCGAACCGTGGACCTCGGAGTTTGTTGAAGATAACAGCTCCACGCGCTAGCCAACTGAGCCATAGGGTAGTTGTTGTTGACGACAAGGTGAGTAAGGTGTTGAGCGGTGGCTAGGAAGCTGAAAAACGGTTTGGAACGGCGTGTGAGTGTCCAGGTGAGCCCCTGCTCCATTTCTGGTGTCGTTTTCGGACGTCAAGTCGGACGAAACCATGGCCAGAGGTCGATTGAGGGCAACGGAAGGTAGGCAGTGTGTCTGCCGCCACATTGGGCTGCGACGTCCTCTCACAGTTTGGGCAACGGCCACCTACTTCCAGGCTTCAAGGCTGCTAGGCTAGGCTAACAGCATGGTACTCAGCCCGAGCTTCTGGATGTCGCGCCTGGCCTTGTCTCCGTCGTGCCGACCGGCCCGGTCGAGTCGGCCAAAAAGAGACTTTGCGCTTCGAACTCCTTGCGTGGCTGAGAGGCGAGCGTGAGGCTCTCGACCCACATGATGACGTCTGGGACCCTTCCGATCTGACTCCCAAGGAAGAGCAGCTGTTCCGCAACTTCTGCCAACGCACCACAGCACTCTGTGCTTCCATCGATCTCAAACGCCAAGTCTTCCTTCTTGTCGACGGCAAGCCCTCACCTGTCCCATTCCACCAACTCGACCAATGTCAGCTGGTCCCCAACTGGTGGAAGCTCGCCAAAGCCGGCGGCTGTGAGCTCACATTTGCCTTGGTGGTGACCGCCTGTAACCTGCATCAAGCTGGCCATGACGTCGCTGGCCTTGTGCCCCTGTTGGACGCGACGGCCGACATCCACGCAGCCTACATTCGCCGAGACAGCCTCAGCCCAAAGGGGAAGAAGGTTATCGTGAAGAAGGCCCACGCCCTCGAGAAGGCGTTCCATGGCAGCGAGTCGTTGTTGGACTTGGTCGTCGAGTTGGTCAATGCCCCCAAGGACGTACCTTCCATCAAGGAGGCACTAGAGGGATACCCCGTTGTTAAAGGAGATCGGAGAGAAGGAGGAGGTCGACGACTTGAAGACACACACGCCTGAATTCTTGCGTTTTGTCGAGGCGTACGAGTGAGTACCGATACCACAGGCCAGACCTTTTTGTTGACAACACAGGGCCAAGTTCAACATCACATTCCCTCGCGACCACAAGGGCTTCCCGGGCATCAAGTTTTGGCACGACTCCAACGAAAATGATTTGTGGCTTCTCTGCGTGCGCGTCCGGCGTCGCGCGGAGGAAGCGTGCGACCATCGTTTTCGAACGCGGCTCGCACAACTCTCCCGTCGGCATTATCTTCCTCATGATGAGGCACTGGCTCGAGCACGGTAACTCGGATATCTTCTCAGGTCTTCCCATGGACATGAGCTGCTGGCCTTGTTCACCCCGCAAGCCGACATTGTGCGCACACCGTGTGCATCACGTCCCGTTCCATTTCGGTTTCGACAGGCCTTTCCCAGACGAACTCGCCCACTTCGACGGGAACCTTGTCAAAACGAGCTTGTGAGGTCTTGGCCAGTGGCGGTGATACCCGCTATGATGGACTCTTCCCGTGGGTACTCCAATGCTGTCGTGTAGCTGACAGCTAGTCCCGTATGTGCAGACCATGGTCGACAACTTTGCCGCCTGTGGTCTCATCGATACGGTTCAGCTTAAGCCATTTGCGCTTAACAAAGCAACACGAGTCGAGTACAACTTCAACGGACTGAGCGATCCGGCCATCGAAATGCTCTTTGGCATCCCCGATCCTGTGGTCCTCGCGTGCCGCGACCCATATGGTCCGCACGTCAAGCAGGAAGAGCGCGACAGTGAGTGTTTCGATGTCCATCCTGCTCTGGACGAAGCTGACAACCTGATGCAGCGCCGGGCATCCCGGATGGACCCATGTCCGACCTCCTCACCAGGTATCGCACGTTAACTCTCCACCAGCGTTTCGAGCTTGCGCCGGCGTGTTCATGGCCTGCATGGACCGTACGCTGCTGCGCGATGCGCTGATCACGGCGGGCAAGACCCCTATCAGCGTATGGTCCTGCCAGAAAAGCGACCTCGTAGGCATGTTGTTGCCGAGGATCTCGACCTCGGCGCTGGGGAGGAAGAGCTCGACTATGGCAAGTAAATTCAGCAAACCAGAGCTAGTGGCAGGACATCCGCGCAGAATGCAAGAAGCGCCACCTGAGTGTACGGCCCTCCAACCAAAACCCTCTGCTCCCGTCTAGTGGCCGGCGACGTGAGTGATGCAGCCACCGCCGACAATGCTAATCTCTCAGGTTCGGCATTGTCACGGAGGAATGCAAACAGGTTCGATTTGCTGTGGCTCCCGCCGACAAGTCGCAAGGTGAGAGGAGAGATGTTAGCTGGGTGATTGCTGACAAGTTCAGACAGTGTGGTCGCGGCGTCAAGTGGCGAGCAGTGGCCGCCATTTGTACCCATCGGTAGGTGCTTTCCGGGACGTGCGACAAAAAGTACAATAAAAAGAACATTATTGAGCTGTGCGGTACCCGTCGCATTCAGCACATGCCTCCTGGCGAGGGCCGTCTGACGAAGGAAGTCCTCTGCTTCCGACTCGCCGAGTACGACGTAAGTACGATTGACGTTGCCATCCCGCCCTTGAGCTGACGTGTCAGGCCGGTCGTGCACCCGAGTCGTGGAGGATGTCTGCCGTCGCTTGGCGGCCGTTACCGTGAGTTTAGAAACCCTCCAGGATGATCAACGCTGACATCACAGACAAACTCGCCGACGAACTCGAGCTGGTTTGTGAAACAACCGCACGGCACCATAAAACACGTCTCCTCTGGCTTCCCGCCAAGGGCTCAGCATCACCATAGGCGCACTGCGAGCTACCCACTCCTTCCACTCCCTCAGCTCGAGCCCCCTGCCACGCGCAACTTCCTCTTAGGACCTGTGCATACAAAGTAATGCGGACGCCACGCACGACTCGGTCGTTCTGCACACGTCGTCGTTTCTTCACCCTTCTTGGATGTGATGGAAGGGAAAAGTTTGGAGGAAGACAGGTTGAACGAAAGGGGATGAGCGAGGAAGATGACCGGGCGGAGGGGGCCTGTCGCGCAATCGCCACGTTCCGCTGCCACTCTCCCTCGTATGTCTTGACAATTGAACCGCCTGTCGCCATGCCACGCTGTCAGCTCTTCACATACGCATCAACCAGTATCATACACGCAGCAACCAGCACCGACGAGACACTGCCATACAGACCCGCTGTCAGTTGTTGCACAGAGCCAGTCAGTCACCCGTCAGTCACCCGTCAGTCGCACAATCGTTGCCAAAACCACAAGGGACCGTCCATGGTACCAGAGATACATGATTGGGGGGGTATCGCTGTGTGGGTAAATGCGGGAGGGCGAAGGGAGGCAGCGATGTACAGCACACACCTGTTGTCGAAGCGAAGGGGGAAAAGGGAAACGAGACCAGAGACCAAGCTAGTAATGGGACAGAAGAGGGGGAAGGAAGCAAAGGACAAAAAAAAACCACAGGGGAGGGGGGGAGGGGACGCAGGCCGCGGTGTGTTGCGTATGTTCCGACAAGAACAGCGTGAGCGAGAGAGCGAGCGAGAGAGCGAGCGAGAGAGCGAGCGAGACCGAGAGAGAGCGCATTGTCCTGAACAAGTAGTGCACGTTGACAGGGTGGACCTGGTTGTCGAGAAACTGGGCAGAAGGCACCATTCGTGGCTGGTGTGTGCCGCGGCGTTGCCGATACCGGCGGCGACCGCTCTCACGCCCGTGCACGTCGCCTGGGATCCTCGTCGTTGTCGTCGCTACTGTCGTTTGCGCCCGAGATATCTGCCGGACTGTCGCTGGGGACAATGTCGTCGGGGTCGTCGGGGGCCTCGCTCGCTTCCCGGCGCATGGTGGTGAGGTGCGCCCATCCCTCGGGACACTCTTCGTGGTCGACTTTTTCAAGGTATCCCTCGGGGACGAGCCCCTCGTGGCCCGAATCCAGGCGGATGGCAACGACCCACCCGTCGCCGCCGCCGCCACGGCCGCGCACGTCGAGCAGGTCGCCGACCTCGACGGCCATCTCGTTGACGCCCTCGGGCTCAAACGCGTACGCGGCGCGGAACAGGCCGTCCGGGTCGTCGTCGGCGCCTTCGTACTCGTCGTCGTCGTCGGACCAGTACTGGTCGTTGTCGTGGTCGGGCGTCGTGCCCTCGAGCCTAAAGTCGGTGTCGTCGGCGGCAGGCGCGCCGACGGGGGGCTCGGGCTCGGCCTGGCGGCGACTGAGGAAGCCCCAGCTGCCTAGACCGAGCGACGACATGCCCCACGCGGGCTTTTCCGGCTCGGGCGGCTCCTCCGGTTCGGGCTCTCCTTCACACCAGTTTGAGCGTGAGCGGTGTGGACCCAGCCCCAGGAACCGCGCATCATCCAGTGGATACGCATAGTCGCGGACGATGACTCGGCGAACAAGCGTTGCTGCCACGCCCACGAGCTCTGCATCGTAAAGCTGCGAGCTGCGCGCTGGCGCTGGCGGCGGTGCGTCGGCTTGCTCCCCTGGCTGCGGCTGTTCTGGCAAAGCGCGCTCCTGCGGGGCGTGCGGGGTCGACGCCGATGTCGAGGTCGCAGTGGACGTTGGCGGCGCAAGCTCTTGTGATCCCATGACAACGTCGTCGTCGCCGCTTACGCTTGCACTTGCGGCACTGACACCGCTGGCGCTGGCGCCACTGCTGACGAGCGGCGAGAGGGCGGGCGCAGCTGCAACCTGGACAGCCACAGCAGACAGACTGGCAGAGCTGCTCCGTGCACTCGAGCGTGCCATGGCAGCGACGCTAATGCTCGCTCCGCGTGTACGCGGTGTGCCCTCTGCTGCTGCTGCTGCGGCGGCGGCGGCGCCATCACTGTCTGCCCTGCGCGGAGACGTGGGCTCGGACAATGCCGACGACTGCTCGGGCAGCGATGGGGCGATGAGACTGCTTGTGCCCAGCGTCGACTTTGGTCGGAGACGGCGGGTGGACGACACGGAACTTGCGCGGTCGCGGGGAAGATACGAGACCGCCGACGGGCCGCTCGAGACGGACGACACTGGTGTACCGAGGTTGACGATGCCCAGGCCACCGAGCGGGCCGGGACTTGCGCGCGGGCTGAGGTGCGGGCTCAGACCGGGGCTGGAGAGCACCTGCGACTGGGGGCGCGACGTCGCCGGGCTCGGCGGGGCGGGGCGCGAGCTGTGGAGGGACGAGTTGGAACGCGGCTTGACGATACCGGCTGCGTTGCCGGCCACGAGCGACGAGACGAGCGCACTCGTGGGGCGGGCGCGCGATGCAGGTCGAGGCGACGCGCACGGCGAGCGCAAACGCGGCGACAGCGGCTGGCCCAAGGCCGCTGCAGTCGGCGGTGTGCTTGTGCTAGTGGACAAGGGGTGTGGCCTTGGCCTTGGGGAGGCGATGGGAGGGGAGGAAGTGGACGCGGATGCCGTTCCAGAGCCCGCGGGCGTCGAGCGCAGCGGTGAGGGGATAAACACGCTGTCCTCGGGCACGTCGGCGAGCTCGAGCTCGAGCTCGAGCCCATCCGCCGAAGTGTCCACTCGAAGAGGAGTCGACGCCGTCGCCATGGACGACGACGACGACGACGCACCTGGCTCTTCGCCGAGTGTGCCGAGGCCAAGACCCGTCATGCTGTTGCCCGAGCTGTTGCCCGACACGGTCGCGCCGGTGTGGGACATGGAGAATGTGTTTTTGGTTGCACGCTCTGTGGCCGTCGCCGAGGTACGGCGAGGTCGAAGCCAGCGAGGGGCAGGGGAGAGAGGGGGTGTGACTGGGGGTGGACGGACGCGCAGAGTGCGAGCACGAACGCGCGCGCGGGAGTGTCGGATTCGCGCAGGGGACGCGCGACGGGGTGTGTGGGTGGGGTGTGGGGATGTGGAAAGGCGGATGGGTGCGCTCTATCGACAGCTGCAGCCGCGATGCAGTGGGCAGCGGGTGCAGCGGTGCAAGGCGAGCTGGAGTCGAGATGGAGAGATGGATTGATCGAGAGCACAATGACCCCAATGGCCCGGAAGATGGGATCGAATGGGTGACGAGGCGCGCGTGTGCAGAGCGACCAGGGAATCACGCGAGGAGGCGGGAATGCGGGCACGGCGGCAACGGCCGAAGCTTGCAAGCTTGCCTGGGTGCTTCCTGTCCGACGTCTCTCCGGGACACGCGGCGAGCTCGACCCTAAAAGGCGGCGGCGGCGTCGGCGATGGCGATGGGAGGTGTTGGGCAGTTGTTGCAAAGGGGTGTGAGTGACGGACGTGTCGATGCAACGAAAGAAAAGTGTGACCCACAGACCCCAGCTGTGCGTGTGACGTAGTACCACTGTTGCAGACAAGCGACCAGGAAGTGTCATTTTAAAAACGGGCGGCTGCAGTGCGCACACCTAGCTGCGCAGTTTAATGTCACTGGTGGTTCCTGTGCACATCGGCCCAGACCCCGTCCCGCCCGTTCGTCTCTCTTCTGTGCACACGCTAGCGCAGAGAGAGAGACAGAGAGAGAGAGAGAGAGTGACCCCCAGCGCTATGAAACAGTCCGACACCCAGGGCACACACACCACATGTCAATGTTCGCTGCGCTTCTTGGCACAGCGGGCACACTCTAGGCAGAGAGCCTCGTTGCTGAGGCGTGTGCCGTTGACAAAGCATGTACCTCCCACCGCCGTGCACTCGCTCCCCACCCCGCTCCAGCCACTGAACCCAGTCCCATTTCGTGGGGACACACCAGAGAGACACGGTGCGGATGAGAAACACGATCCCACCACAGTCCACACTTGCTTCTTGCTCCCCCCCCTCTCCCTTCCCCCCCCCTCCCTCCCTCCACCCGGTGCCTCATTCCTCACATTGTCATCCCGCGTCCTGATCGACACGCACACGCTCATGAAGCCAAACCAAAGCACGATTCGTTGGCAGAGTCTGCATGTCTGCGGTTTGGGGGGGGGGGGGGGGTTTCTACAATATACGTATAATCAACTATAAATTCCAAGCAACAGGCTTTTTTCTCACTCTTCTCCTCCTCGCACCTCGACCACGTCCTGCCGCGCCATGCCCACCGCCTTTATCACGTCGTCTAGCGTTTCGAGGCTGGGGCCAGACAGCGGCGAGCCAGCGGGACGGTGTACGACACGCCGCGAGGCCGAGCCCGAGCCGGCGGGGGCAAGCGCGTACGTCGCGACGATGGTCGACGGGCCGCCAGCCGGCGGCTGCAGGCCGAGGGTAAACGCACGGCTGTGGCCTGTGTGGCGATTGTTGTCAGCAACCGAGGTGTCTCTCTACTGAAGACGCTGGGCCACTCACCTCCCCATCCCTTGATCTCTTTAAGGTCGTCTACGCTCCCGATACCACCCTCCTGGGGCGACAGGACGCGCAGGCGCACAGGCTCTGCCTTGCGCGACTTGAACAGACTACCGCGGTCCACTGGCGCAGCCAGCAGGACCAAATCGTTGAACACCAGCAAAGTAAGCACGTCCGGACGCGCCTTGCGCAGTGCCTGCATGCTGGCCTTTGGTGGTGGTGGGTGTGTCGGGTCGTAGCCCGGGTGCAGTGACGAGCGCCCCGAGTGCGAGTGGCGCGCGGGAGAGCCGGGTCTCGACTTGATGTACAGCGACGACGACGCAGACGAGCTGGACGCAATGGAGCCCACCTGGGACTCTGCAATGCTGCCCGCGCCGCTGTTGGAGCGGCTGGGGATGGTGGCGGGCGTGTCGCCTCCTCCGGGCGTCGACGCGGCCGTGCTGGACGCAGACGCAGGCGTGCTTCGAGACGACGACTTGACAGCGCTCCCGAGCGAGTGACGCAGCGCGCGGATCGAACTGGAGCGCGTCATGCCTGCTGGCGGCTTGTCTTCCAGACGCACCACTTGCGCGTGCGCAACCAGCCGGCGGCCGCGAGTCGCGAGGTCAAAGTCGGCGTCCAGGTCATCGAGCTGTTCCGCAAGCGCCACGAGCTGCTGCAGGTCGTCCTCTTGGGCCTTGCCAGACTCGAGCTTGCCCAGAATCGTCTCGGTCGCGTCGATCAGGCTGACCAGGTCGGCATGTGCAGGGTGAGATTCCGGCGTCGCCTTGCACAGTTGCTGCGGTCCGTCAGCGTCCGGTAAACGATGTCTTGTCTTGTGCTCACCCTCAAGAACAATGGATACTTTGTCAGACGCTGCACGGGCTTGAGCAGCATCGAGCCGAGACTGAGTGACCCAAGAGCCTTGTCGGTGCTCTGCATGCGCAAAAACTCGCCAAACGTGCTCTTGTCGTCCCGCGCCATGTCCTCGACAAGCTGCGAGACAGGGTTGAAGAGCACAATGTACTTTTCGTGGCACGACAGGCGCGACACCCAGCCGGAAAACAGCGAAACAAAGACTCCAACATCAAACACGTCGGACGCTTTCCTCGCCGCGTCCTGGTTACGCGCCAGGTCGGCGTGCGTGTCGGCAATGGTCTCGAGCGACTCGAAGAGCTGGGTCACCTGCTGCGGGATTCCAGACATCCACTCGCCGCCCACGACGCGGAGCGGGGACGCGAACAGGCGCAACACGTCACGACAGGAACGAACAAACGCCGCCTCGGTTTCACACATTTCCCACATGACGTCTTGGCGCTTGACCTCTTCGCCGCCGTCTGGCCCAGACACGAGCTGGTCGTACACTTGCGGACCCATGAACGCCCGCCATGTCGTCGCGGCCTCGACATCGACAGGCGTCACGGGGCGCATGGCTTTGGTGTAGCCAGAGTACAGTGCTCCAAACGTCTCCTTGCGCTGTGGTGGGGGTTTGGGGCCTTCGCGCCGGCTGACCAGTGATCGGAATGAAGCAGACTTGCGCAACCCTGGACGATTGATGGTTGTCGCTGGTGCTGGCTCTTCAGTCGCTGGCGTCGAGAGGACAATCTTGGGCGAAGGTGCAGGTGAGGCAAGTATCTCGGAGCGGTCTGGAGGTGAGGGGGGAGGTTCGCTGCGACGCCCGGGGCTGTCTGGTGCTGGGTACATGTGGGCTTCGTCCCAGCGGTTCACAAGCGAAGTGAACGAGCGACCGAAGCGGTTGGGCGACCTCGACGACTTGGCGCTTGCCGTAGTGCTGGTCGGCCTCTGGGGGATTTGCAGCGGAACGGAGGCAGGGACGGCCACGTCGTCGACCATGTTGAGGAAGCTGCTTCCCAGAGACAGGCGGTTCAACTGTGGGGGGTTGCCCTCTGCTGGCCAGAACGCGTTGTGCTCGGCCTCAGACTTGTCGATGATGCTCCACGGCTGTTGAAAGTCGAGGTTGGAGACGAGACCGCGGAGAGCGTTGAGGCGACGGCTTCGTGCGATGGGTGAAGGCTCGGGTGGCGACACGTCAAGGGGAGACGACAGCGCAGTGACTGCATGTGATGTGTTCTTGGGCGTCGAGTCGGGCGTCTTCTTGCCCCGCAATGTCGCCACAGAGTCATTGGAAGGAGAGGACGGACGCACAAACGAGGACAGTGGCGGGGCCAACAGTTCTGCCTCGGAAAGCGAGAACCGAGAATCCACGGGAGACTCGGTGATGTGGATGGAGGGCCCAGAGGCGATGGATGTCGCAATGCTCGTGCGCTGGTCGTCGTCGGTCGTCGATGACTGAGAGTATTCGGAACACGATGACCAAGGACGTGCCCGAGGCGACGCAGGTGCGGACGAGGCGCGGCGCGTGCTGGAAGATTGCCGTGGACTGCCGCTGCCGCTCAGGTACAGCTTCTTGGGCTTGGCCTTTCGGCCAGGCGACCAGACGGGTTGATCATCTTCGCCGTCGGTCGTACAGACGATGGAGGAAGGCCGACTGGAGGCGATCATGGCGGTGTTGATGGTGAGGGTGAGCTGACTGGCCGAAAGGTTCTTGCCACTCATGACGGAATGTCGCCACGGCGTGCCAATGGTGTCGGATTCAAACGACTCGGCAGACGAGGAAGGGGTGTAGCAGTGGCCGTTGTCCGACAGCCGGTCTGACAATGGGGTGGAAGGGGTGGACGAGCGCACGACGGGTGGTGCCACCAGGTGCAGCCTGTCGAGCTGGGTGGGTGTGGGACGCGGGGTTTCGGGACGGCTGTCGCTGCCGGAAACCAGAGTGCGCGACGAGGCCTTGTCGTCAAAGATCTGATCAGGCGCACAGACACTGCGGGTTTGCTTGGTCGACCGAGCACGCGAACCTTGGCTGGGAGCCGCAAAGGGATGGCTGTACTCTTCGTCGTCCTCTTCGAACTGGCTGAGGTAGGGGAGAAACTGAGGCTGGAGGTGGTCGAGACAAAGGTTTATGAGGAGGGAGACGAGGAAGAGTGCAAAGTGGTTCGTAAATGTGCGTCACGAGGAGGGTGCAGAGAAGGTGGGTCCCGAGGGCGAGGGTGAACCAGGAAGGAGAAGGGGGCAGCAAGTCGAATGCGAGATGACGAGGAGGAGGGCGAGACAGTGGACGCGAGGGAATCGATAAGTTTAGGGTGGACGCAAAGAATCGAGCATCAGCGAACGGTCACACGGGGTCACGATCAAAGAGGCCGTAATGTACTCACCATGGCGAGCGGGGTTTTGAAAGTAGGCGGCGATGGCGAACGTCGATACTGGGCCTCGTCACTGGCGACCCAGTTGGGATACATTGGTTCGCCGGGCAGTCTTGTTGACAGCCTAGTTTAGGTGTAACGGCCCGGGACACAGGGGGGCTCTGCGGTGCAGAGCGAGGTGCTTGCAACTACGCGCCGCACAGCGAGGCCGAATGGGTCGGCGGTTGGAGGCCCGGGATGCAGGGGCCGGAGGGGACGGGGGATGAGGGATGTGGGATGCGGTGTGCTGGCAGCTGGCAGCTGGCAGATCTGGCTGCTCGAGGCGGCTGAGAATGTGTGCACTGTCGAACGGGGGTAGGTAGCAAGTAGGCTCTGTCGATGAGAGCGCGAGTAAAGGAGGATGGATGTCGGTGGTCGTGTGGGGGGAAGTCCTTTACCGGGTGTTGAGCGAGGAACCGGGGGAATGGCCGAAAGGAGCAAGGAATAGATGGATTGGATGGTGATGGTATGTGTGTGAGAGAGAGAGAGTGCACGGTTGAGCGAGTAGATGCCAGTCGGAGTGATCTACCCAACTGTCAACTGCGCACGGCGAGATGTAAAGGACAGCGAAGCTTGGAAGCAGCAGCAGTACGACGAGTGTTGCCACCCACCCACCCACGCAGCCAGCAGCAGCAGCAGGAAGAAAGGAAGGATGTGTTTCGAAGAATGTGGCCTGACGTGTGGCGTCTGGCACAGACCCCTCTCGTCCTGGAAGACGTCCTGGACAGCGGCGGCGGCGTGAGGCGGCGTGAGGCGCTTTTGCTGTTTCGCTTGCGCGCCAGCCCGACACGAAACGGCCCCGAACAGTCACAGGTGTGGGTGATGGGAACCGCAGCAAGGGGCACGGAAGGGGGAGGCGAAAGAGACAGAGATGATGGGATGATGGGTGTGGTGGGAAAAGCCGAGTGAGAAGAACAAGGAAAAGGGTCGGTGGCAGCTATTGTGTCAACAATGCAACAATCTCATCAGTGTGTGTGGGTTCTCATTGCACACGAGGGGCTGGCGGGTCGATTCCCGCAGACTAGTGCTAGCATGCATCAAGCAACATGCATGCGTGCGTTGCGCGTGTGTCGTGTGCTTGGCAAGGGGGAGACTTGTAAGACGACGATGGGTACATTCTTGGGTATGCGGGGCTGGCCACCTAGGAACGCACACCGAGGCCAAAAACGCCACATTGTGGCCAGCCGGATTGGGCAGCGCGGCGCGAGCAACGACGACAAACCACCCTCGATATCTTGAATTGCACTACCATTTCATAATGGCTCATGGCCTATGGCGCGCCATTTTGGGCACACGCGTGGGCATGGCAGGTGGTGCTGCCGAGACATGGCCCGGTCATGCCGGCCACCATGTCGTTCATTCCTTGCGATAAAACGGCTAATGTCCACCCTAGAGGGGGCTCGAAATGACCCTTAGCTGGCCATGAACGGCGCGTCGTAGGTCGTTGACAACGGGTGACAACAGGTGTTGCTAGCAGTACGGGAACGAGCTACTGCATGGTGGGATGACCATGATCGCCACCTGTGCAGTAACTTCTAACGACTAGATTGCCATCGAGGCCTTTTGTGTACGGCATCCTCGTGGACTCGCCTTGGGTTTTGACCGCCTGCAGTCATACCCGGAATCGGTTATGCGATGCCCGTCCAAGCGGTTTAGACAGCCGGGGGCCGGCTGGTTACATGTGCACTTGTTTGTAACCGAAGCACAACTGTCGCCCAGGAAGAGTGGTCTCTCCGATGTCTCCCTCGTTCTTTTCTTTGATCACTTCCTTTGCTCGGCAGCCCTGATGGTGCACGGCCAGGATCATGCACACTGGTAGTCAAGCTCCACCCTAGCAAAAGGCCTGGCTGGATGTCTGGACAAAGCATCACCTACACGCTTCTGCCCACCAGCAATAGAGTTGACAACTGCGTGGCGAGGGTCCGTGGCGGCGGCATGGCTGCTTGGGGACAGCACCGATCCGGCCCGCTTCCCAGCGATGGTGGAGGGTATGGCTGAGCGGTCGCAGTCCCCCTTCGTCCTGGGTAACTGTCCCACAGGATGGTATCCCTAGGGTACAACAGGGCCAGAGGACCAGAACCAGGACACGGAGATGCTGGGTAACGAGGGCGGGCCGCTGGCGTTCCATATCCAGTGCCACCATAACCATGTGTCTGGCTCGAGGAGGACGCGTCCACGTCCAGGCCACCTCCTCTCCCCCCACTCTTCGCAGGCAGGGGCGTACAGTACGTGGGGACAACTGAACGGAGCAGGAGGTAGATAACAGAGGGGCGTCTCTTGTTATCAGTGGTGGCGAGCTGGCGCACGGATGGGGCTTGCTTGTGGGAACACGGCTGTGGCAGGTAGATCCCGTGGCCCGTGGCGGCATCCCGATGAGATTATCACACGATATGGCTATCATGATACGGCAATCACACGATACGGCAATCACACGACAAGTGATACGGTGCAAGGCCCTTCGAGTTGAAACGAGGACATCTCCGCCGCCTTCGCCGCTGTGGCGAGGGCCTCAAGCGAAATGTCACAGGCCATGCGTGGCCGCTTGAGCGCTTGAGGATGTCCCTTGAGCACACGTTGTGGACGTGCAGGTTGACCGCGTCCTTGACTGGTATGGTTGTACAACACGGCAGTAGATCGCTGTCGGGCGTTGCAAGGCCTGCTAGGGGTCCTCAGACCACCTGCAGTCACTCAGAGCTAGGAAACCCCCACAACAGAATGAGTCGTAGAGATCGCCCGATACAACGGAGGCCGATGTGGCGGCATTGCTTTGCGAGCTGTTTGTCGGACCCCAGGGTGGTCGGGGTGCTGGCGCTTGGTGCGACCTTGATCACCGATGAAACTGGGCCCGAGGCCACACCGGACGGCACTACAGTACCATAGGCGCTGTGCCCACGTGCTTTGCTGCTGGGGGCGGGACTGGTGCGGTGTCCTTGAGCTTACTGGAGGGGAGAGTCTTGTGGGGTGATATTAGATCGCGGTCGTTGAAGAGTCATGAGTTCTGGCACGCATAAAACTGGAAGATGCACCAGTTGCGTGTGCGCTGGAAGGACTGGGTCGAGTTCAACGGCGGCATCTGGCATGCACCAGCCAACACTGAGCCGATGCTGGAGGAAGCCCACCGGCCACCGGTATGCTCACTGTGGTCTGGAGCGCCACCACGGCATGCCCGGTGTACGACGAGGCAGCCGCCGTGTTCGTCGTCGAACGCAGTAGTTAATGCACACAGCGGTGGAGGCGGGTAAGCTGTGCTATGCCGAGTACGAGGTGCGTGAGCATGACCTTACAGAGAAGTTGTTGACAAAGCACAGAACAAGTCGAGCAAGGGACCATTCGATCATTCGCCGGACATTGGAGGCTTACATCATCTGCACGCCTATAACACCACCCAGGCGCGCCACACGCCACAGAGCCGATGCCGCATTACGTCTTTGACTGCTCCCACCTCTTGCTGCTTTGCATAGATATAGCTCATGTTCGCGGCCACCCGGCGAGTCACCGTCCTTGCGAACCACCTCTCGCGCACCGTCCCCACCCCAGTCACTCGCACTCCGTCCCTCCTCGCCACCGCCAAGCTGGGTTCCTTCCTTTCCACCGCCGCCGCCGCATCCCCCGTTGAAATGTCGGCCGCCAAGACCCTCGTCGACTCGGCGATCAAGGAGAACGACGTTCTCGTCTTCTCCAAGTCGTGGTGCCCCGTGAGTGTCAGGTGGCGCAGGCGAGACAAGAGAGAGAGAGAGAAGGCAGGGTATCAGGTGGTGTAGACGCGGGTGGGAGATGGCAGCGATAGACAGCTGTACACACTGCGACGATGGCGAGGTTGGCTGGGGCCATTGCTGACTAAGCTACAGTACTGCCGCCGCGCGAAGACCATCCTCCAGGAGGTTGCCCCCGACACCAAGGTCTACGAGCTTGACGAGATGGACAACGGCTGTGAGTAGCATGAGTACGGTGAGAGGGGTTGCGGGAGGTGCTTGTGCGACTGTATGACCAAGCGTCTACGTGGGTTCCTTGTGGAGCCCAGGTGGCCGTCACAGCGAGTCGGATGAGTGACCGCTGTGTGCTATGTGTTATCTGCGAGACTCTCCTTGCCGTCGAGCCCCTCTCTCCCCTTCGTTCCCGACCCACATCCTCAATACTGACCTTTTGTACAGCCGCCGTCCAGGCGTACCTCAAGGAGCTCAACGGCCAGGGCACCGTCCCCCACGTCTACATCAAGCAGCAGTTCATTGGCGGCTGCAGCGACCTGCAGGCTATCCCCCATGCCCAGCTTGTCAAGCGCATCGCTGCTTAAGTGACGTGTAAGAGCAGCGAGTATCGTAGATATCCAATGTTTAGATGTATCGCCCCCTTTTGCCCATGTTGCGAGGTCGGAGTTGTCGGGTGTTGTTTTGGAGTCATGTCTCGTAGGACCACCACAGCGCCGACCTAACCACCGAGATATCGATTGTCTGGCCTCTGGCCTCCAGGTATTGGGAAATAAACTGCACAGACTCGTGGATATCGCTTCTGGGACCTGGGGGGAGAAGCGAAGAAGCGTCATGTGTCCCCAATTACTGAACGGTCCTGCCCCAGGATTGCGAACGTCTGCCTCTCTGATGGCCAAGTTGGCGCTCACAATTTCCATTCCACGGATCACGGAAGTGCGGAGTGCCAACGGCGCCCACCTCTCAGCTCTCAGTCCTTACGCTAGAGCGTGCGGCGCGGCCCGTCCTCTTCCTCCCTCGCAGCGGCCCCCCCCCCCCCCCCCCCCCTTCATTTCCTGTGTGCCGAGGACGATGCGAGGACCCAAAGGGCCAAGGGAGACGTCGGTGCACCGCGTTGGGCTGTTCCCTTTGCCCAGCTTTGTCCCCAGATCCCCCCGCATCCACCACAGGGAGGTGTGGGGGTTTGCCCACGCGGGTCGCTTGTGTGTGTACAACCAAAGAAAGCAACGGGGCAGCTCGCAGCGTATGACATTGCGCATTGTGCAAGCACAGAGGGAGGGCAGCTGTATGCCAAAAAAAAAAGAAGACAGCAGCGTGAAGCGGCGCTTGCAGCGAACTGTGAAAGACTTTCATGCTTGGGACGAGTGGGGGGGTTGTGTGGTATGAATGTGTCTGTGTGTGTGTATGACTGTTGGCCGTGACACATCCACCAAAACGGGAACACTTTCTGGCCATTTCGCCCATCTCCGGTCATTCACATATCCCATCATCAATCAGTCTCCACACACACTCTCGCCGTCACTACCATCCACTCCCTCCCTCAACCCATCCACAGCAAGCATATCCTTCTTTGCTACCTTGGCATCCCTACTCCCACCACCCTAATCAACCCCACCGGGCACCTTTGCCTCGTCGCCAACATGGATCCATCCCGCTTCCACGGCCCGGGACCGTCCACCGCGTCCGCGTCATCAAGCACCCCTCGCAACACCAAGAAACGCAAGTCGCCAGAGTCGGCCACCGCTCCTCTCCCGGGGCGCACTGCAAGCACTGGACCTGGCGCTGGGGGCGCCGCTGCGGGCGACCTCTCGAAAGTGCGCGCGTTCGCCGCCTGCCGCGCCTGTCGCCAGAAGAAAGTAAAGTGTCTCCCGGGACCAGCATCGACCGTCGGCGGCGCGGGCAACGCTGCGTGCCAGCAATGCACGCTCAGTGGAGCCGAATGCGAGTACCAGCCTACACGCGACAGGGCCGCGTACTCGCGCGCATACGTCCAGGACCTCTCGGGTCGCGTGCAGGCCCTCGAGGCCATGCAGGCCCGCCTTGTGCCACTCCTTGCCGCTTTCGAGGCCAGCGGCGGCACTCTCCCCTCTGCTCTGTCAAATGCAACTGCGAAAGCAGGCGGTGGTGGAGGTGCAGGCAGCGGGGCAGTCCGCAACACAAAGGCCGAGCCTGACGGGGACGAGACTCTGTCCGATGAGGGAGGCCCGCACTCGCCGCGCTCGGCGGCGTCCGATGAGGACCAAGAAAGCCGTGGCTTCCTCGCTGATGAGCGCGGCAACTTTCGCTGGATCGGCGCAAGCAACACCCTCTCTCTCCTCGACTCGTTTGCCGATTCGACAAAGGAGCTGCCGTCGCGCGTCCGCTACGGCCCGCACGACAGCGACGACGGCGAGTCGCCCTCTGACGAAATGGACATCTCGCCACCAGAGTCCCACCCGTACTTTACTCCTGTCGCCGGTGCTGGCACTGTGCGCGCCGTCCCTGGAGTCGAGAGCGTCACCTTTCCGTCCCGCGCGGACGCTGAGAAGTTTGTTGACGCCTTCTTTGAGGACGTGCACCCGGTCCTTCCTGTCGTCCTCGAACCCGACTTTCGCCGCCGCTTCAAGCTTATCATGGACAAGGTTGAAGTGGGCGACTTTACCAGCCTCCGATCTGGAGTGAGTGTCATGCGCTGCCTATGGGAGCTGTTTTCCAGTTTGTTTGGGAAACGGCGCGTTATCGCGCGCTCAGCCCCACAAGCCACGGAACCACGGACCAAGACACAATCGGCGTTCCTGTTGCTGACGCGATAGCCCATGTCTGTGCTCTTTGCCATCTTTGCACTTGGCGAGCGAGTCATCAAGACGTCTGCCGCATGGCAGCGTGAGCGCGCAAAGCCCGCACCGGATGACCAGACCGTGCTCCCCGGTGAAGCCGAGGCCGGTGTCATCTGGTTTGAGCGTGCCCAAGTGCTGCACTTTTCGTCCATCTACGAGATCGACATTCACCAGGTACAGTGCCTCACGCTTCTTGCAGCGTTCCAGGCGAGCGTCAACGCCATGCCCAACGCCTGGATTCTGGCGAGCCAGGCGATGCGCATTGCCCAGGATATCGGTCTTCACGTGAGTTGGGTGGAAAGGAAAGTTGACTGCCGCTAACTCTCCAGCGCACAGCACCCCGTTTCAAGGTCAGCTTCAAGGTGAAGCAGCTCGGCTCTCGCTGTTGGTGGGCCGTCTACGGCCTCGAGCGCCTCGTCTCAGTCACGCTTGGCCGCCCGCTGTGCGTCGACGACCTTGACATCGACGTCGCGTACCCTGCCGAGGTGGACGACAAGACCATCATCTCGTATGGCGACGCTCTTACTGAGGAGGTCATGGGCCAGCTCCCCGAGGAGGCACCCGACTCCACCATGGGTGGCTTTGTGGCCCTCACCAAACTGTGCAAGATTGCGGGACGTGTGGCGCAGCTCCTCTACCGCCCCAGCAACGGGAAGTCCGTCACCGACCCGACCTGGGCCGAGAGCCAGCAGCGTACCATTGACAAGCTCCACCGCTTGCTCCAGGACTGGCTCGAGCACGAGGTGCCCAAAAAGTACAAGGACGCGTCCTCGTCGCGCTCAGTGTCCGTCATGTCGGCTGTCCTTTCCAACTCGTACTTTTCAGTCATGCTCGCTCTGCACCGCAACCTCTTGCCCTCCAACCCCGACTTCCCCCGTCCCAAGCCGCCACCCAACTCCCAGTCGCTTGCCCTTTGCGTAGAGGCCGCACGCTCCGTCATCCACGTCGCGGCAAAGTCGAATGTTCTCGTCCCAGTCTCGCACCACATTGCCGTGTTCTGCCAATACCTGTGGTCGTCTGCCGTCATCCTGCTGCTGTGCGAGGTGCGCGCCAAGGAGCAGCTCGTCCTCGATGCTGTAGGTGCTCAGGTCGAGTCGTGCCACTATGCCCTCCAGGCTCTCGAGCCCGTGTGGCCCGGCTGCAAGAAGCTCCGCGATCTCCTCACCGACGTCGAGACGCGCGCAAAGGAGGTGCGCGCCAACGTTACCCTCCCTCGTCACGTCTCCAAGAAGCGCAAGTCAACCTCGAGCGAGAACGGTGCTGCTGTCGCCGCTACCGCTCGCAGGGTGCCATACCCCAAGCCCCAGTTGTCCGACCCCGGAGCGACCGCTGGCCTCCCTCCTGCCGCATTTGAGCGCCCCGCCCTTCCCCAATCGACGCACACTCACACTGGCATGCACCTCATGCCCCACACGTTGGACCCGAGTACATTCGACATCTTCGACGTCGGAGGCATGAACTTTGACGGTCTCGAGATGCTCAACGCATTCACAAGCGACGCATGGAACGCCCCCATGCCCACGTCCGTCTCGCCCATGGGCAGCGCTGCGTCCAGCACCCCTGCTCCCGGGGGCATGCCCCCGCTCAAGCACCACCACAGCCAGACCCAGACCCCGAACCAGACCCAGCAGCACCGTTCCCCCGCATCCCGTCTCGACCCCACGCCGCCCTCCATGGCGGTCCCCTCCCCACAGACCGCGACCGGCACGGCGGGCGCTGCCGCTGCCGCGTCTGCGTGGTTCACGCAGGGCCTCGGACCCGCCGCGCCGTCCCCGGCCCCCGGCCCCGCAGAGCTGGCGGAGATGTGGGCCCAGATTGCCGGCACGAGCTTTGACTGGCAGGCCGACCCCAATGTGCCCTTCCAGATTTAGGCAGAGGACGCAACTGTGCCAAATAGCGTAGAGGGAAGAGAAGACAAACGTCCGTAACAGACCTGCCCCCCCACGGGCCACGGGACCCAGCAGAAACAAAGAGTATCGCCTCCCTGCCCCCTTTTCGGAAGCTACTGTACAATATAGTGATTCGCAGCCAACAGATGAAAACCGATTTTGGTCTTGGTTCCCTGTTTCCAAAAGCGATACCATGCGAGAGAGCGAGAGAATACAATAACGAGGAAAAGGAAAAGGAAAAGGAAAAGAAAACCAGAAAAAGCGTATCAAGAAAAAGAAACGAAACGCCAGAGTTACACCCTACTGAACTCGAAAGTCCCAAGATCAAGCCTTGCCCTTCTTCATGGCGGCGATACGCGCCTTGCGCTCCTCTCGTCTCCGCGCCATCTCCTTGTCCTTTTCCTCCTTGCTCATTGACGCCAGGCTGGGCGGCGCAGGCGATGCGGGCTTGGAGGACTCGGAGATGGACGAGCGGGGCGAGGCCACCGACGACGGAGCGGCAGCGGCAGCGGGGGTAGGTGCCGGGGCCGTGGTGGTGGGAGTGGGCTTGACCTTGACGGGTGTAGGAGCGTGCACCTTTGGTGCCGGGGCTGCCTTGGGCGTCGGCTTGGGCGCCGGGGTAACGTAGTAACTCTGTGGAGGGGGCACGGCGATCTCTGGTGCGGGCGCAGACTCAAAGGCGGCTGTGGGATTGTCAGTTACTGCCCTTGGAGCACACAACTCACTCCAGTCATCATTGTCGGCGTTGACATCCATCAAGTCGTCGTTGCCCCACGCGTTGGCCACTTCGTCATCGTCGTCCCACTCGCCAGCGACTTCGTCTGCAATGTCTGCAAATGCCGAGTGCTGGGTCTTCTTTGGTCCGCCGCCGAGCTTCATACCGTGAGCAGCGGGCTTGCTGGCGGAGGTACGAGCGCCACCAGAGCTCGACTGGCCAAACGACGACACAAGGGGAGAAGGCGCCGGACGCGAAAACGACGCAGTGACGCTGTCTGCGCTGGGGCGGCGCGAGGTGTCTGGAGTGTTGGCCGAAGGGGTGAGGGCCTGGACCTGGGCCGGCGCCGCGGTCATGGTCGAGTTGGCTTCGGTGGTGGCCAGCTGCTTGCTGAGCGAGCTGAAGGCCCATCCTGCCAGCGAGCCGGCGGCTCCCGCTGCAGACGACACGAGAGCAGTACCGCCACCGGAGGCTGGAGCACCTGCGGCACCGTTGCCGTTGGTGTAGCCAGATCCGAGAGCATTGGGCGAGTCCTCACGGATCATCGTCGTAGGGAGGGTGGTGGCGTACTCTTCGAGGCGCTTCATGAACATGGCCATGGCCTTGAAAGCCTGGTCACGCACGACCTTCTCCTTGTCCACAAGGGCAAACGCCATGTTCGGAATCACACGCGCGGCCAGGTCGTCGCGGTCAAAGCAGTCGACAGTGGCCATGAGCGCCATGAGGGCGGCGACACGGGCGTGGACAAAGGGGTCCTTGAGACTGCGAGCAAACGCGGGCACCAGGACCTTCTTCTTTGTGTTGGGGCCAAGCATCGGCGCAAGGCGCCCCAGAAGAATACACGTGTTGGTACGGATCGAGGCCTCCTGGTCAGTCTGCATCTTGGCCAGAAGACGGAGCAGGTCGTTGTTCAGGATACGGTCCGACAGCTTGCCGGCCAGCGGGAAGACGGCCTTGATGGTCGCCTCACGGATGACGGGCACAGTATCGGCAAAGCCAGTGATGAGGTTGGGCCACACGCGGTCAACAGTAGTCCTCGAGTCAAGCTTGTCGGCGTACTCGTCGAGGCCATCGAGCAGCGCCATACGCGTGCCACGGTCTGGGCTGGCGTAGAGCTTGACCACAGGATCAAGAATGACCTTGCCGTACGTCGAGGGAGGAACCTGCCTACCGAGCGCGAGGACAAGGGGGAGCATGAGCGCACTGGGGGCGTTGGGAAGCGACAGCGAGTGAAGAAGGGAAGGAAGCACACGGTGAACGAGGAAGGGCTCGGGAAGCGATCCGCCTTCGGCAGCGTCCTTGATCGTGCGAAGCAGCGCATTCTTCTCGCCGTCAGACCGCAGCTCAAAGCCATCCAGGCCATCCACAAGCTGGACGAGAGGGTTGTCGTTCCAGAAACCAGTCTGTACCACCTCTGCAACAAAGTTGATCGTGGACAGGCGCGTCTTGGCGTTCGGATTCAACATGCGCTTCCACAGAGGAAACAGGCGCTTTGGCAGCTGGCCAGCAGAGGCCGGGGTAGGAGCGGCAGAGAAGTTGGGGAGAGGTTTCTCTGGGTTGAACAGCACGAATAGGAACATCGCGAGCAGGTACGTGTCTTCTTGTGCTGGGTCGGTGCTGCATAACGTCAGCTCAGTGCAGCACAAGGCCAACAACACACTCACTCTCTCAGAACATTCCATCCGCCCTTTTTCACTTCTGGGCTGGAGTAGTCACCAGCTCCTCCAGGAGCAACACCACCAAGGCCCCAGAGTACACCAGACTGGTCATCACGTCCAGTTAACAGGTCAAAGCCTGCTAGCCTCCACTCCATCGATGGCGTTATAAACACAGCTGAGGGAGTGAGGTACGCGTGATGCAGCGACAGTGGTGGCGAGTTGAGGAATGCGAGTGCGGTCTGAGGGTTAGCTCCGGCACCCCGCGTCTTTTGTAACCCACAGAGACACTCTTCATACCCCATCCCATCCAAGCCTCCTTCCCTGCCTTGCCCTTGGCGCCAGCCGAGCCGGTCAGCGCGCCTCCGGTACCCCAGTCGCGAAGAACACCTTGGAGTGGTCGCACGGGCTCGGTAGCGATGTAGACGTGGGTCTCGGTCTCGACCGAATCAATATACTTGATGCTGATTGTTAGCGTATGTGTCAGGCGTCTGTCAACTACCTACACATCAGGATGCCTAATAGTGCGCAGCTTCTTGAGCGAGTTCTTTGCAATCTGCAGCAGTGTCTTCCTGTCTTTGTTTCCCGGCTGGAAGGGGCCAAGAGTCGAGTCGAAGATGAACAATGTCACGGGAGTGCCGTCGTCCTGTTCCAAGGTCAGTGACAAGCAGGGAGTGGTGTTGTTCGATGTTGTGCGAAACGAACCTTTTTCACACCCTCGCGAACCTCCCAGATGGAGCTTCCAGCCTCGATACCGGGGATACGTTCGCCAATGGTGAATGGGAACGACACACCGGTCGAGTTGAGCACGGCGCCAGTGACCGACTTGAGAAAGTTCATGGTGGTTGGCGTGCTGTCTTGTGCGCAATGTTATTAGGGGGACCTGTGGGCACGAGTTGGGAAAAGTAAGAGAGGGCCACGACAGTCCCTCTAGCCGAACAGTTGGGGCGCCGAAAGTGTGCGCTGGACAGACGACAGACGTGGGCGGTGGACGTGGTGAGATGAAGAGTCCTTGAGTCGTGTCCGTTTGGCGCGTGCTGTTCCTCGTCGTCGCCGCACCAGCAGTCGCGCATCCAACCTCCACCGCCACCGCACACCCGGCACATCATCTGCCGTGGACGGTGCTGGGCCGCGCCTATTTCAGTGCCTAATGTCCCGTATTCCGCGCCTATTTTTTCCCATTATAGGCGTGCAATCGGTGCCACCTCGAGGGTACCACCTGTGACCTGTTTTCCCGATTTGCTTCCGTAGCCGCTGACGGACTGGGGTCCTCTGCGTCCCAGCCAGTTGAACTTAGCCGTGTGGGCACTCGCGGCGGACTGCCCAGCACCTCGAAGGCTGAACGCTCTTGGCCGCCTTCTTGAACAATCCCATTCTTTCCCCCCTCCCTTGCATCACCCATACCAACACCACGCTCGCACCAGTATCCATCGCACACCCTCCTTTACCTTTTCGTCCACGGCTCCTGCAGCCACCCAGCATCGTACACACACAACAGCCATCGCGGCTTATCCCCCTTAGACGCCTAGCGACTTCCAAGTGGAGGCACCCGACCCACCCACATATCACATATTTCCCCTCCCTTCCCGAGCGACAATGGTTCGCGACTACTCCAGCGACGAGAGTGATGCCCCTCTCGCTCGCAAGCCCAAAGCCAATGGCAAGCGCAACGGTGCTGCCTCGAGCGACGAGGACGAGCGCCCCCTAGTGAGTCATGTTTGGCCCAAGTGGACGCGTTTTCTGCCAGCGAACTCGCGTGCCTGGGCCAATGTGTAATGTGGGCTGGACCCGTCCCCCCTTCACACTCAACAAACGCACTATGTATAGAGCTGACTGTGCGCTAGAGCAAGAAGCCTCGTGTTTCCAGCACTGCTGCCAAGAAGCGTCGTATTGTGGAGAGTGACGACGAGAGCGACGCCGGCCCGTCATCACCACCTGCAAAGGTATGTGGAGTGGAGACACCGCCGAGAGAGAGAGAGAGACGGTGGCACCACGGAATTCAGTGGAGTTTTGCTCGCCCCGAATATATATTGACCTCCCCGACAGGCTACCAACGGACACGCGGCCTCGGACTCGGAAGACGACAAGCCCCTCGCCAAGGTGGCCCGCAAGCCCGCCTCCAAGGGCAGCGCTAAGCCTGCTTCGAAGGGCAAGCCTGTGTCCAAGGGCAAGGCGGCCCCAAAGCCCAAGGTCGAAAGCGAGTCGGACGAGTTGGACGAGTTGAGCGAGAGCGAGGACGAGAAGCCGCTGGCAAAGAGCCGCAAGGCTCCGGCCAAGAAGGCTGCGCCCCGCAACTCGAACGCGTCGGCCAAGAAGGTCAAGCCTGAGCCCGAGAGCAGTGATGACGAGAAGCCTCTGGCCAAGAAGAAGAAGACCGCTCCTGTCAAGACTGACAAGAAGCCCGCTGTGAAAAGGGAGAAGAAGGAGTGAGTAATTGTTGTTGTGTTTACATATGTGTGCAGCCACTGACAGACGTAGGGCTAGCAATGATGATGACGACACCGTGAGCAGCCCAGTGACGAGGTGAAGGTCCCTATGACTAACTTCTGCCCAGTTCAAGTGGTGGGAAGGCGGTGACGGTGCCGGCGACGATTCCGTCAAGTGGACCTCCTTTGAGCACAGCGGTGTTCTCTTCCCGCCTCCATACGTTCGTCTTCCCTCCAACGTCAAGATGAAGTATGACGGCGTGGCCCTCACTCTGCCGCCAGAGTCGGAGGAGGTGGCTGGCTTCTTTGGTGCCATGATCGAGACCGACCACGCAAAGGACGAGACCTTCCGTGCCAACTTCTTCCGCGACTTCAAGGCCGTCCTCGAGGAGCACCCTCCCAAGGAAAAGGTCAAGGTCACTTCGCTCGAGAAGTGCGACTTCCGCCCCATGTTTGAGCACTTTGAGGGCGAGCGCGAGAAGAAGAAGACCATGACCAAGGAGGAGAAGAAGGAGTGCGTAAGAATACGGTGACTGTTGTGCTGACCCGTTCAGCTTGAAGGAGGCCAAGGACAAGCTCGAGGCTCCCTACCTGTTCGCCATGGTCGACGGCCGCAAGGAGAAGACCGGCAACTTCCGTGCTGAGCCTCCCTCGCTGTTCCGTGGCCGTGGTGAGCACCCTCGAAAGGGTACCCTCAAGTACCGCTTGCGCCCCGAGGACATTGTCATCAACATTGGCAAGGATGCCCCCATTCCTGTTTCCAATGTCCCCGGCAAGTGGAAGGGTGTCCAGCACGACAACACCGTTACCTGGCTCGCACACTGGAAGGAGAACGTCAACGGCCAGTCCAAATACGTTTTCCTTGCCGCTTCATCGACTTGGAAGGGCCAGAGTGACCGCGCCAAGTTTGAAAAGGCACGCGAGCTTATCAAGCACGTCGACAAGATTCGTGCCGACTACAACCAGGACCTCAAGTCCAAGGTTATGGCCGAACGTCAGCGTGCCACTGCCCTGTACTTTATCGACAAGCTGGCTCTTCGTGCCGGTAACGAAAAGGGTGAAGACGAGGCCGACACAGTCGGCTGTTGTTCGCTGCGTTACGAGCATGTCACCCTGATACCCCCCAACATTGTTCGTCTCGACTTTTTGGGTAAGGACTCGATGCGCTTCGAACAAGAAGTCGAAGTCGAGCCCCAGGTGTTCAAGAACATCAAGCTGTTCAAGGCCGAGCCCAAGGGCAAGGGCGATGACCTTTTCGACCGCCTCACCGTGAGTATTTAGTCTGCGCTCTTTCAGACAACGACTGACCTTTGCAGACCTCGACGTTGAACAAGTACCTCAACGAGCAGATGAAGGGCCTTACTGCCAAGGTGTTCCGTACCTACAACGCCTCGTGGACGTTCCAGCAGCAGCTCAAGAACACTCCCAGGAACGGTACCGTCGCCGAGAAGATTGCCGCCTACAACACTGCGAACCGTCAAGTTGCCATTCTGTGTAACCATCAGAAGACTGTGAGCAAGGGCTTTGCCGAATCCTTTGCCAAGTTTGGCGACAAGGTCCGTGCAGTCAAGTATCAGCGCATGAAGGCACGTCTCCAGCTTTTGGCCTTGAACCCCAAGCTCAAGAAGAAGCACCCCGAGTACGCCGAGGACGAGTCGGACATGGACGACGAGTTCTTTGAGCGCCACGAGGAGGAGCTGCGCGAAAAGGCGCTCGAAGCCGCCAAGAAGAAGTTTGAAAAGGAGAACCTCAAGCTCAAGGAGGAAAAGGAGAAGCCCCAACCCGAAAGCGAATTGAAGGAGCGTCTGGCCGAGATCAAGGCCGAGTTCAAGACTTTGGCCAAGGAGAGGAAGACCCGCAAGGTTGAGCCCAAGAAGAACAGTGGGTAGATCATTTAGGACTAGTGGACTGACAAAACAGTGACTGAGGAGAAGCTGCGCGACCAGATTGACAAGTTTGACGCCCGTATCGCGACCCTCAAGGTCCAGATGGATGACAAAGACAAACTCAAGGACGTAGCCCTCAGCACATCCAAGATCAACTACATCGACCCTCGGTTGACAGCTGCCTGGTGCAAGAAGCACGATGTGCCTCTTGAGAAGATGTTCACCAAGACTCTTCGCGAGAAGTTCCCGTGGGCTGAGGCCGAGGCCGACGCAGACTGGGTGAGTTTTGGGACCAGTGCCGGCGAACCTTGCTAACGTTTGCCAGATCTTCTAAAGTTTCTCTCCTTCTTGAGAGTCTTGTGTTGATCCTTGATTTGTCGGATGTGTGTGACAGCACATACGTCCTGTGTATTGGCCCTCACCCTGTGGGGGCTGCCGGCTTTGTATCCACCCCCAGTAGTAGCATGCATAGAGCGTCGAGCGAGCGCTGCGAGCACACACACCCTGGGCGCAGGCGACGGGGCCGGAAAGTCCTACGACCGGATCGATGGCTGACGTGAGGGGCCCACGGTTTCCCCCTTCAAAAGCTTCCGGGCGGAGACTGGCGTTCGAAATGGTGCGGCGACCTTCGGACTTGTCGGTTCACTGCTCGGGTACGACCGGAAGACGGCAGGCAGCGTGCTCAGCCAACCATTGCGCGTTCCAATGTCACGAGTTGTGTCCGCCCTGGTCGCCCTGCTGCATGGCCTCTCCCCGCGCAACCCACACCTCACTCGCACTTTTCCTGTACTCACACTCCTACTCCCACCTCACCACTCCCCCCCCCTTCACACCTCTAGCAAAGATGATGCGCCTTTCGCGCAGCCTCGCGCGCCCCTCCCCCGCCGCCGCCGCGCTCCGCAACGCGCGCAACTACGTCGTCGCCTCGCAGACCCAGCGTGCCCAGGAGGCTACGGTTAGTGTCCCAGCCGGAAAGAGATGCAGAATGGGCCAGCCAAGCTCCACAGGGAGAGCCAACGCCAAACACAGACGTCAATTCATGCACGCCCCAGCATCGTCCATCGCTGTTTGCATCGCCCTCTGCCACATCTCTTTCTGTGTTTTCGTGCATGCACACAAGTACTGACCCGCCGTTTAGAACTTTGGCCAGCACAAGGGCTACCCCGTCATTGACCACGAGTGAGTGTCTTTGTTTCCCCGGCGCCGGCACGGCCGTGTGCGCCAATCAATTTGTCCGACGATCTGCTGACACTACACTCCAGGTTCGATGCCGTTGTCGTGTGAGTACTGCTGCATGCTGGTGTGCATGGTTGGAATGGTATCGAGGGCTGCATCGCATGCGCGTTGTTTGCGGGTCGCTGCGTGCATGGTGGAGTTGCGTCGGTCCGGCACGCGGCTTGCTGCGGACAGACAGCAGCCCGAGTATGCCCGTCCGGTGCGCGGCATCCGCAATCGCAATTCCGAGTCCAAACCAAGAGACCATGCCCCATAGAAAGCCATCGTTATACTGACGCTGCCGTTCAGCGGTGCTGGTGGTGCCGGTCTCCGTGCCGCCTTCGGTCTTGCCGAGGCTGGCCTCAAGACCGCCTGTATCACCAAGCTCTTCCCCACTCGTTCGCACACTGTCGCTGCCCAGGGTGGTATCAACGCCGCTCTCGGCAACATGACCGAGGACGACTGGAGGTGGCACATGTACGACACTGTCAAGGGTTCGGACTGGCTCGGTGACCAGGACGCTATCCACTACATGTGTCGTGAGGCTCCCTCGACCGTCATTGAGGTTAGTAATAGTTTTGGAATGAAAATAAAAAACCGTCCCGACCGTCGGGACGCTCGACAAATCATTAGAAAATTAGAAAACTGACAATCCCTCCTCCTTAGCTTGAGCACTACGGTGTCCCCTTCTCGCGTACCAAGGAGGGCAAGATCTACCAGCGTGCTTTCGGTGGTCAGTCGCTCAACTTCGGTAAGGGTGGCCAGGCCTACCGTTGCGCCGCCGCTGCCGACCGTACCGGCCACGCGCTTCTCCACACCCTTTACGGCCAGTCGCTCCGCCACAACACCAACTTCTTCATTGAGTACTTTGCCATGGACCTCCTCATGCAGGACGGCGAGTGTGTTGGTGTCATTGCCATGAACATGGAGGACGGCACCCTCCACCGCTTCCGCTCGCACAAGACTGTTCTTGCTACTGGCGGCTACGGTCGTGCCTACTTCTCGTGCACTTCGGCCCACACCTGCTCGGGTGACGGTAACGCCATGGTTGTCCGTGCCGGCCTCCCCCTCCAGGACCTCGAGTTCGTCCAGTTCCACCCCTCGGGTATCTACGGCTCGGGCTGTCTCATCACTGAGGGTGCCCGTGGTGAGGGTGGTTACCTCCTCAACTCGAAGGGTGAGCGCTTCATGGAGCGTTACGCCCCCACCGCCAAGGACCTCGCCTCGCGTGACGTCGTCTCGCGTTCGATGACCCTCGAGATCCGTGAGGGCCGTGGTGTCGGCCCCGAGGCCGACCACATCTACCTCCAGCTCTCGCACCTTCCCCCCGCCATCCTCCACGAGCGTCTCCCCGGTATCTCGGAGACCGCCGCCATCTTCGCCGGTGTCGACGTCACCAAGGAGCCCATCCCCGTCCTCCCCACCGTCCACTACAACATGGGTGGTATCCCCACCAAGTGGACCGGTGAGGTCATCACCGTCGACGAGACTGGCAAGGACAAGGTCGTCCCCGGTCTCTACGCCGCCGGTGAGGCCGCCTGTGTCTCCGTCCACGGCGCCAACCGTCTCGGTGCCAACTCGCTCCTCGACATTGTCGTCTTTGGCCGTGCTTGCGCCAACCACATCAAGGAGACCCTTGCCCCCAACACCCCCCACAAGCCCTTCAACGAGGAGCTTGGCAAGGCCTCTATCGCCAACCTCGAGAAGATCCGCACCTCGGACGGTCCCCTCCACACCTCGGAGATCCGTCTCAAGATGCAGAAGACCATGCAGAACGACGCCGCCGTCTTCCGCACCCAGTCGTCCCTCGACGACGGTGTCCGTGGAATGTCCGAGGTCTACAAGACCTACGACCAGATTGGTATCAAGGACCGCTCACTTGTGTGGAATTCAGACCTCATCGAGGCCCTTGAGCTCCGTAACATTCAGCAGTGCGCTATACAGACAGTGGTTTCTGCCAGTGCTCGTAAGGAGTCGCGTGGAGCGCACGCGCGTGAGGACTGTGAGTTGAATCAAAAATGGTGGAGAACGAGCAAGAATTGCGAAAGTTAGAGCAGAACGCGCGGAGGGGTGTTTGAGACAAACTCCCGACGGTTGCGACTGGCTTCCGACTTGCCTCCGACTTGCCCCCCCCCCCCTGTGATGGACGCTGACCTTCTCAGTCCCCGACCGTGACGACGAGTGAGTACCCAAGCCAGGACAAAGCTGTGGAAAGAGATCTGTTGGATCTGCTGGATCTGCTGGAATGAGTGTGACGGGTCCATTGATCCTCCCTTCTCTCCATGTAACTTCACAACAATGCTAACTCGACCCAACAGGAACTGGCAGAAGCACACGCTTTCGTTCCAGCGTGACATCGAGTCGCCCGAGGTCGAGCTGCAGTACCGCAGCGTCATTAACAACACCCTTGACGAGAACGAGTGCAAGGTGAGTGTCCAAAGAGAGACGCTGGTCAAGAGACGATGGTCAAGAGACGCTGGCCAAGAGACATGGGCCAAGAGACATTGCGAGCCAACAGAGAACTGTAGCTAACGCCTTGAAAGTATGTTCCTCCCTTCAAGAGAGTGTACTAGGGATCGACAGACGAGACCAGGAGCATCGGTTAGCTTCACAGCAGATGAAAACATCTGCAGATGGAGCGGAGAAGAGTGCAGACATGCAAACTAAAATTATGATCCAATTTGATCCCGTCGCACGTTTCTGGCTTCATATCATTAGTTCAGGCCACGACCGCATTCCGCTGGTGCAGTTTGGGGATGCTCGAAGCTTAAGTGCGTGAGCAATGGTCCAGCGAGTGGTTGAACACGACCTGGGGTGTAAGAGGTTGTGGAGATTTGTGGCGCCAAACGCCACACTCAGCCTATTACGTGACTCGTGTAAAGACGACGGATGCTTTTTCAGGTTAGGGGACCCCATATTTACCCTGAAATTGCCTCCACTTTGGCTGTCCACCTGGGGGGCGCACCTCGTCGTTGCGCCCCTTCCTTTGGTTACACAATCGTCGCCTTCCTTCTTCCCTCTGCACGCGCCCTTCCCTCAGATCATTATATAAGAGGTGTTTTCCCTCTCTGCATCTCTGGACTGCTTTGCCCATTTGTCTATTCATGCCCGCAGGTGCCATGCTGACACCATCAGAGTCAGCCAAGTACGCGAGTGTGCGCGTCGATTATTTCCGTCGGATCGCTCCGCAAGACCGCGGCGTCTGTCCACCTGAAGGCAGCCGTCTACTGGAGCATCAACAGGGTGGCAATGGAGCTGAAAACCAAAGTACGTCAAGATCAAAAGATATTCGATACTGACACCAAGGCCCCCCATTACCAAAGCTGAGCAGCTCAACGCAATGCGCGCCATGGCGAGAGCTCGGAGGATCATGAACGAGGTAAGTTCCTTTGGCTTTTAGGCGGAGAAGGTCTACAAGACCCACTACATAAAGCGTTATGGGTTTCTCTTGTAGGATCGGCGGCTTTCCTCTGATCCTTTGATCCTCTGATCCTCTGATCCTCTGATCCTTTGATCCTCTGTACGCCGCTGCCTTCCCTCTGTACGATGCTGCCTTCCCTCTGGCCTCCACTGCGTCTTCCCTTTTCTCATACTTGCTCTATTTTATTTATCGTCACCCTTTCAGCCATCCACACAATTTGGATCGTGATCTGGATCCTCCTCGCCCTTTGGGCATCACCCTTCGTTCACTGCACCACCAACTTCAACACTTTCGACCTTCTCCACCCCGCAGTTTCGCCTCTTCCCTTCTCATATGTTTCCACGTCCGCCCCAACTCCAACTATCTCGACCCCGGCACTCGGTGTCTTATCCGCCGACCAGAGCCCGTATGTATCATGTCACAACGTGTCGGCCACATGAACTGAAGCTGACATTGCAGCGACTCTGGGGCGCAAGAGGATGACTCTGACCTGGAACATGCCCGTATCGCAGACTGGCGGCGGGTCATCTCATTCTCCGCGACATCCGCGCTGATGGCAACTGTCTCCCCCGCTCACTAGCTGACCAGCAGCACGGCAACCAGGAGCGCCACGCCGAGGTGCGCAATGCCGCCATTGCGGTGATCGAGGCGGACGTGGCCCTATTCCAGCCCTACTTTGAGCTCCTTCCCGCCGAGACCGTCGCCGACTACCTCGTGCGGATCCGCCAGGACGGCGAGTGGGGCGACCTCGCGATGCTCCTCGCCGCTGGCGTCGCTTACGGAAGGGACTTGATGGTTGTCATGCCTCACGGTGTCGACGATTACCGTCCCGAGAACCTCGGCTTCGCTCCTTCCCCCTCTTCCTTCCCTCTGTGGGTTGCGCGCCACGCAGCTCACTTCGAGTCTGTCCGTGCCGTCGATGAGCAGTGGGGTCCCACCGCCATTCCTCCAGAGGCCGAAGCCGACGTCACCGCTCTCCTCCGCTGAACGGACCCCAGTATCGATCGTCACGATTACGACCTCCAAGCTTTCTTCGACGGGGAGAGCAACGTCTTTGAGATCACCGACACCGAGGACGAGGATGACGCGCACTCTTGCCAGAGCGACGACTTCAGCCGCCACGAACGCCGTCCCTCCAAACGTCGTCGCCTGGAATCCACCGCTGCTGACCCCGTCCCCCTCGCTACTCCGATTGTCCCGGACGACCTCACCACGACAGCTGGTCGCTCTGCGCGAGACATTTGACAGGGTGTACGATATTGTCCTTGACGATTATGCCACCAACATGGGCTGGCATGACGTGCTTACTGGTGGCTCGATGTTCAATGGCGAGGCCCACTCGCGTCGCCTGTTGTTCAGCGCATTCGCTGAGCATATCAATCCCGCCCTCCTCGCCCTGCTCGTGCGGTCCCTGGACGGCTCAATGCCCACCGCTCCCGAGCTCGCTGCTACTGGCGGCTACGACGAGTCGGCATTCCTGGCCTACCTCAAGATTGCTCTGCGAGAGGATCGCGAGGACACCACTCCGGCTGACCTCGTTTACAGCGGTCATACGCGCCAACCTCGCAGCCGTCGCACGCAACACGAATCCGATTCGAGGAACGGGGTGGCGGGAATGGGGATTTGGCAGAGCTACGCCAAGGCAGCCGACGAGTTTACCGACCTCCAGTTTACCGGCACGGTTATCGTACCGGAGCCGTCCACGCCGGCCGAGAATGTGCTGGACGGCCTCCTCGTCCACTTCGCCGAGGCCTCATCACACATTGGCTCGGCACATGTATCGGCGAACAGTGAGACCACGCGTCCCTGATGGCGAGCGACATCTACAATTACGCCGGCGGCAATAACCACTCGCCGTTCAGCAAGCGTCCGCCCGGCATGCCTACCATGACCAGCGCAGACAGGCGTGCTCGGAGGGTTGCCGCCGACAAGCGCAACCAGTCCCGTCTCCACGACAGTTACGTTGCGCGATGGAAAGCATTCACGCCTACAGAACGTGTGGAGATCAACAAATACAACTTGGCGCTCTATCACAACCTCCCAGAAGACAAGAGGAAAGAAAAAAAATGAGAACAAGAAGCGAAACGGTGCCGCGAGGCGACAGGTAGTCCTCGACAACCGCGCTGCCAACCCGGACTTCCAGGCAGTACACGGCGACACGATCCCCGGAAGGACAAACCCCGGCGATGGCTTGAGCTGCCGTAAGTCTCCATTTGTGAATCTCAACCTGACAATACCAGGGTCAACGCAGTACCCTCAGCTAGTCGTGAAAGATTTCTGTCGAGGTTAGTAACAGATATGTACATTCGAGCGGCACCCCGTCTGACACAATGCCAGGTCGCCAACGACAAGAACAAGACCGTCCTCGACAGCAAGCTCAAGTTGACTGACAAGCCCGAGGAGACAGAGGTGAGTGCCAGTTGTGTCTCTTTCAGTGCCAGCCACACGGTGTGGTGCTTGTGAGGCATCCTCGAGTGGGCGACTCACTGACAGAACCAGCCCCTCAAGATTTCGGGCAAGGACGCCTCCAAGAAGGAGATCAAGCACTCCGCAGACAAGAAGGACATGGTCCAGGTGAGTTGTTAATCCTGTCTGTTCCTGTGACACAACTGACAGTGCCAGAGCACGAGCAAGGGAGACAAGGTTGTTCAGTAGGAGGTCATGCATCTACATGTCGTAACTAATGGGTTGTCTCCTTGGCCATGCCCGAATGACTCTCCACCCCACAGATCCACAGAGTCTACAGCCCCTATGGTGGTTGGGGAGGGAAGACGGGCAAGGGAAGACGGGGGAGGGAAGACGTGTGGGTGGTGCAAAGTGCGTGCAAGTGGACGTTTAAAGTGGAGGTCGTCAACGGGGCCCCAGCTGTAGGTTTGCCGCTGGACGGGGAGACCTCGCTGCAGTAGAAAATAGTGCGCATAATAGCATAGGGTAAGGCCGTGCGCCGTGTGCAGCTGCAACACAAAAATGAACATGTATGAGAGGAGCGGTGTAGTGACGTAGATGAAGGTCCAGCTTACAATGTTAACGGTCGCAGGCCACGAGGGGGGCAATGATTTTACGCTTCACGCTTGGTGGTAGGGGGGGCAATTTTTTGCCAGGCGAGAATGGAATTCTTTCTGACGAAAACACCCTAGTTACGTTACTCGTTGCCTGCGTCTACACAGTGTAACCTAGCTCGTGGGGCAAGAGTACCACTGTGAGGCATGGGATCAAAGGTTACCCAAATAACCGAAAACTGGAGACTTGCCTCCTTCTGCCGGGTATAATGTACATCATACTTCTACAGCCAAGACCGAGGACAGAGCAACTAGGCCAAGATCTAGTAACCACCACGGCCACGGCTCGAGAAGCCTCCACGCGAACCGCCGCGACCGCCAGCGCCGCCCCTGCCGCCGAAACCGCCGCCGCGACCACCTTGAGAACGATGTCAGCTGCCTGTTGTTATGTGTAGCGGTGATTCTTACCAGAGAAGCCTCCACGGCCGCCAGCACCTCCACGCGAGCTGAATCCACCCCTGCCGCCGCGAGGAGCACCACGGCCGCCACGAGCACCACCACGAGCGCCTCCACGAGCAGACTTCTCGGCTGTTTGGACGACGACGAAAGATATGTTGAAATTTCCGAACACGGGAGAGAATTGAGAGGGAGTTGCGTCAGTGGAAGCAACATGACATAGAGCTCAGAGCTCCATCTGCACTCACGCTTAGCTCCGGGGGTCTTGGGCTTGGGGAGGAATCGCTCTATTGGGAGAAGCTTGTCGCCGCCAATGTAGACCTTGTCGTCCTTCTTGAACGACGAGGCGAGCATGCCCTGCTCCATCTTGACAGTGAAGAAGACCTCGTTGATAGGGCCAAGGATCTCGTCGACCTTGCCGATCTGGGTCTTGTTCTGCAGGTAGATGGGAGCGTTGAAGTAAGGGACCTTGGTAGGCTCGGTGAGAGCGCAGACCATCTCCTCCTCGCACGAGTGCTGGAAAGCACCGATAGCTGGAGATCCGGTTAGCATCACCGTTCGACAGCTGCCAACGAGCTGCAACTTACGAAGGACAGTGTCGGGAGGACCGTACGAAGCACCGCCGTAGCCACCGCGACCACCACCGCGGCCACCTAACGCTATCAGCACCATGTTCACAAAGTTCAAACGGTCGACCTCGGTGCCTCATGTTCCGAGAGGCTGCTGTCGGTGTTCCCAACAGCAAAGGCGGCTCAACTTACCGCCACGGGAGAAACCACCGCCACGGCCACCGCCGCCGCCGCCGCCCCTGGAGAATCCGCCGCGCGACATTGTTGTTGTTGTTGTCGAGGTGTGTAAGGGGGTGTAGCTTGAGGCTGAGGCCGTTGAAGCTGCTCACTACTACTGCTCGTCCTGGCGTGCCGGTCAGAGTGGACACTACGAACTCTGAAATTCAGCGGTGGGCGGAGATTGCGGGAATAGACGTGTGGCAACGCGGGGAAATGCGGGGGACACGTGCTTGTCACGTGTAGCTGTGACGTAATACCGACGCGGGCCCATCGCGCGACGCGACTTCGTTTCTGTGGATCTCGGGATCGATGGACCTACTCACTCTACTCTCAGACTCTTTGGTGGACAACCACTTTCATGTCAGACTACAAGGCCGCCAAGGAGGCCTTTGTGGCCGACAATCCAGGAAGCTCGGTCCACTATATCAACGCAATCAGCCTGAGTGCTTTGGTGCGTATGGCTCGCTCACGACCACTCTGCTCTGCACTGACCATACACCCCAGACAGCATATGCCGTCTACGCCGCCGTGTCGCGGCGCGTGCAGTCACCACTGGTCGACTACATGACCATGGTGTTTCCCCTCCTCCTGGGAGTAACTGTATTTGCCGAGGCACCCATGATTCTTAGCGCTGTCCTCGTGGCGATTGCGGGGGTCGTCGGCTTGGAACGTGCTCAGCCAGTCGCCAAGTCAACCGGCCAGTGGTTGAATGAGAGCGACAGTGAGGACGACGCTCCTATTCTGTCACGTGCTCCACGCCCAGGGTTGACCGTTAAACTGCCCTCCGAGGTCGTCGCAGAGGTGCGCGAGAAAGAGCGTGTCGAGCTCGAACGCACACGCAGTGAGCAGAGCCTGTCTTCTGCGTTGTCTTCCCCCACGAGCTTGGGGCCAGGACAATCCAGCCGCCGTCGGCTGTCTCCCGCGCCTACAAGCGCACACACCATCGATATTGGCGCCTCGCCACCCACATCTCCACCTGCCAACAAGCGGCCCTTCAATGCCAAGGAAACGGACAGCAGGTCATCGGCATCGCCTCGTCGCCGCAACCGACCCCTTATCGTCGACACATCACCACGCAACCACCTTCCCTTCCTCACCGTCTACCGCGCGCACATGATGGTTATGACTGTGCACTGCATCCTGGCCGTCGACTTTTCCATCTTCCCTCGCGTGCTCGGCAAGTGCGAGAACTTTGGTACGGGTCTGATGGATGTGGGTGTCGGCAGCTTTGTGTTCTCCCTTGGCATCGTTAGCTCCAAGGCGTTTGCACCAGCTGCAGCATCACTAGCAGCGAACAGCCCGCTCAGAACTGCTCTTAGTGGACTCCGCAAGGCTCTACCCATTCTTGCTCTCGGGTTTGTCCGTCTGCTCATGGTTAAAGGTGTCGAGTACCCGGAGCACGTCACCGAGTATGGCGTTCACTGGAACTTCTTCTTCACCCTTGGTCTCGTCCCCGCACTTGCGAGCATGCTTCTGCCGTTGCGCAAGGCGGTTAGGTGGCATACTCTTGCCTTGGGTATTGCCTTTGGTAAGTAATCAGCTTTTGCTCCCGTGTATGAGCTGAACATGTCCAGTCTTCCAGTTGATTCTCTCATACACATCTCTGCAAGACTTCCTGCTCTCCCCACTCCGCCCTGGCCTTTTGGGTGAGAACAAGGAAGGTCTGGCGTCGTTGCCAGGCTACCTTGCCATTTTCCTCCTTGGCCTCAGCGCGGGCGAGCATGTGCTCCGTGCCACCAAAGTGGCGCCCCCTCGCTCCCCAGAAGAGGGCCAGGGCCCGAGTCTCAGCGCCTCGGCCCAGGCCCGTGCCAACCAAAAGGACAAGCGCCGCACTGAACTCGCTCTCGAGCTGGCCGCTTACGCAGCTGCGTGCTGGGCCGCTCTTGGCCTGGCAAACCTCCTGGGCATCGAAGTGTCCCGTCGGTTCGCCAACTTTTCCTATGTCCTCTGGGTTGTGGCGTACAACACGTCTTACCTTGCGGGCTACCTAGCAGTCGAGCTGTGGTTCTTTGACGTGCGCGAACCCGCGTCCCCTCCCTGCCCACCACTCTTGGATGCGATCAATGCCAACGGCCTGGCAGTGTTCCTCGCGTCAAACCTCCTCACGGGTCTCGTCAACGTCACTGTCCAGACCATGTATGCGAGCACAGCTACTGCCATGGTGGTCCTCACCCTCTATTCGGCGGGAACCTGTGCACTGGCATTGGCGATTAGGAAGTTGAAGATTAGGATATAGAGCCGAACGAGTGATGCAGTACTTACATGGAATTGGACCCGCACACCACCAGCCTTGTAAGTTTGCATACGTGGAGATATACCTTGGTCACCTCTTCAACCCTTCCTCTGCTGCTCTCACTCTAACCCGCTTTTGAGTCGCGCTGCAAGAGCTGTATTACGAGTCGGCCCGTGGCCGCAGCCAACCGTCGGCGATTTCCGACCACCACCAACACGTCATCCACGCGTACCCCTCCACTGACTCATGCTATCAGCCGGACGACTGGTCGTTCCTTCAGGACGAGCTCAACGTCGTTTTCCTCTCGGACAGCGAGAGCGAGAGCGAGGGTCTGGGGTCGTCTGACTGCTCTCACTCCGGTGGTGGCCGCGGCCCCACCGACCCCCAGCTTGCTGTCGCCCCCCTGACCGCGACGAGCTCACCCTCGACCAGCTCGTCGCCCTCAAGCAAGATTTCGAGATCGTTTACGACAATATCCTCGATGAAGCTACCACCAACGGCGTCTGGCGCGACGTCATGGAAGGTCTGATCCTGTTTGACAACGAGGACCATGCCCGTCAAGTTCTGTTCACTGGCGTTTTCGAGTAGTATATGAACCCTGTCTTCCTTGTCCGTATGCAAGGCGATGGACCGGTGCCGACGGCGCCCGAGTTGGCATCAATCGGCGGCTATGTCGAAGACGGCTCGACGGCGTACTTGAAAATCGCTCTCTGCACAGACAGGGACGCGGCCCCATCAGAGGCACCCAGATATCGTGTATGCCGGTCACCCCGCCGCCCAAAACAAAGAAGGGAAGCGCACATCCGAAGTGCGCTCGACGCTCTGCCAGGCCGGGGATTCAACGATAAGTAGAACGCCGCCCGCGAATGCTACGACGAGCTCGTCTTCGCTGGCGCAGTCCCCCTCCCCCCTCCGGTCGTCGTCCGCGCTCGAAAACAATTTCACGGAGTCCTAGTGCATTTTGTCAAAGGCTTCAGGACTGGGTCGAACCAGTTGGCGGCCTCATGGACTTCCTCGACCTCGCTCTCCGTGCCGGGAACATGACCACCGACCCCATGCTGATGCGCCTCAACCTCGGCGTCGGCGTCGCCAACGACCTCATCGCTTTTGGATCCAAAAGCCGCTTCGGCCGCGCCGAGCGACGCCGTCTGACCGACCAGGTCAACACGGCCTTTGATCTTCTAAGTCACATCTTCAGCAACACCTCGACCCTCGCTGTCTCATGCAGCCAACCGATGACACGTCCGTGGCATAAAAGGGTCATAAGCATCCGCTTGTCCTCTGTCATGTTTCTCGTCCTCGACCGCTGGACCCCCGGCCTCATCATCCACGACGGTGTGTACGTCACCGTCGGAGTGCCACTCTGCAACGTCCCACGCCAGATCGTCATTTACCGCGACGTCCAGGACCCCGACGCCGTTTACAACATCGAGCTCATCGGTGACCACATGGTGGAGATGGCCGCCCTGGACAACATCCACAATTACGCCGCAAACGGTCTCCCCGTGGAGGAGCTCTACGTCCAGTACGTGACGTCAAAACTCTCACTCCCTTACGACAAGTGCAAGAGCGTCTCCTACTACAGCGTCCCCGCCAACGCCGTGGTTGAGTACAACGACAAGAATGAGCGTGTCTTCACCCCCGGCGAGATGAAGGCGCACAAAGTGATGCGCAACGTCGACTACCACTTCCGCCGCGAAACCTACACTGGCTAGGTATAAGTGATTGTGATAACAAGGGGATCGGGGGAAGAATCGCGGTCGAGTCGCAGTACCCAGAACATCACGGAGCGACGAGCATAGAGGAACAAAGTTGTTTTGTATATATACACCGCATGAATCAAGCAAACCACGCCTCTCTCTTTCGACAAGTGCATTCTCTTACTGATACAGGTTACGTATAAATGGTAAAGTCCAAACTGAAAGGGGGGGGAGAAAACGACCGCGCACACCCTCGTCTATACACAATTACTGGGCAAACGCATTGTTGCCTGGGGCAAAAGCACTGCGCACCTCTCCCCTGTCATTCTCGCTACCCTTGTCACCGGGCGTGGCCGACTTTTGCGCGTGCACAGCGGCCTTGTGTGCTGCAAACATGCGCTCAGCCGTGGTACTGCTCTTCTTGGCGGAGAGCGGACGCTCGACGCGGTGGTGGCCCTCGTTTCCACGGCTTGCGAATGGTGACCGACCGACCTTGTGGCCAGGACCGGGCTGGACGCGCGCCTCGACAGAGTTGTGGCGCTCGTCATCGTCGTCTTCGCGCGCACGCTTGGTCCCAGAGTTAGGAGCGCGGACCTGGTGCTGATCTTGGGAAGGGGTACCCGAAAAGACGTTGAACGAGCGGGCGGGAGTACCGGCTGTTGCGGCAGCGAGCGAGACGCGAGCAGGTGAGGGCTCGGGTGCAGGGGGAGCCACGGTGATGGCCGGCAGAGTAGCGGGGACAGGCGGTGGTGCCATGGCAGCAGCACTCTTGCGAGGTGGGCTAGTGTTTTGCATGGTGTTGCGCATAGTCTCCAGCTCGGTCGTGATCGCCTTGTTCTGGCGGTCGAGTTTGTCGGCACGCTTGCGCAGACGAGTGATTTCCTTGTTGAGTTCGAGTGCCCGGTCATCGGCCTCGTCGACCTCGTTTGTCTTGTACGTGAGCGAGTCGGTGGCGCGTTCAAGGTCCTCTTGCAGCTCGGAAACTTGTTGCTGGAGAGCCTTGTTCTCCTGGACCAGTCGAGAAAGTTCGGCGGTAGAGCCTTCATTGCCCGCGTTAGCCGACTCGGCGGCAGCTTGAGCGGTTGCGAGTTCTTCACGAAGGGCAGTGACGCGTGCGCTCAGCTCGTCCTTTTGCTTCTCCATGAAGCGGAAGTGGGACGACACAGACTTGGCCTCGCGTTCTGCCACCTCAGCAGCAGTCCTGGCCTCGATGGCGGCCTGAGTCTGCTCCTCGAGTGCTGCGTTGGCGGTTTCCAGCTCGGCACGGAGAGACGCCTCAGTTGCCATCATGGCGTCCAGCGACGCAGTAACGTCGTCGAGCTGAGTTGCCAGTGCTGCCTGGTCCGCCTTGGCTAGCGACAGTTCCGAGACCAGCTCATCAGCACGCGCCAAGTGGTCGTCCCTCTCAGCCGTCATGGTGGCGAGTTCGGATTCGAGACGTGCGACGTCGGCGCGGAGCGTGGCGATCGAGCCTTCCGCAGTGGTTGCATCCGAGGAGACACGATCGAGGTCCTCCCGGACAGCCTTGAGGTCCTCCTGGGCAGATTCAAGAGCCGTGGTAATCTCTGCCACAGATGCAGTGAGGTTGTCGATCTCGCTCTGCGCCGTGGCGAGCTTGGTAGCTGCATCCTCAGCGTTCTGCTGGGCAGTCGACGCCGCGCTCTCCAGCTGGTCCTCGAGGTCGACCAGGGCGGTCTCGTGTTCATCCCTTGCCGCTGCGAGATCCTGCTCCTTTCCGACGAACTGGTCCGTAACCTCGGCGAGAGCAGTCTCGAGTGTGTCAATGCGGTGCTGAAGCTCGGCGCGGGTTCCCTCGCTCTCGAGGAGCTTGGCAGCGTGCTCCTCGCTGGTGGCACCGCGTGCTTCGGCAAGAGAAAGAGCGTCGCGCGCAGATTCGAGCTCCTCGCGAATCCTGCCGACCTGCGATGCCTGCTCGAACAGAACAACCTGCTCATCCTCCAGGGCGCCGACCTTGGCCAAAGCAGTCCGCATAGCGGCCTCCGAAACATGGGCGTGGTCGGTGGCAGCCCGAACAGCCTGGAATTGGACAGCAATAGCCAGCACGAGGTCGCGAACGTCGTTGGAAGCGGCCAGTGTGCGAGCGTCCTCAATGGCCGTGGCGAGAGAGTTTTCCAAAGTTGCAACGCGAGCCTTTTGCTCGGTGAGGAGGGCCTGAGCTGCCTCGAGCTCGACCATGGTCGCCTGGGCCTGGGAGGCATGGGCGTCCCGGTCGGCAGAGACAGCAGCATGCGTCTCCTGCAGCACGCCATGAGCGGCAGCAAGCGAGTCCTTCTCGGTCTTGAGGTCGTCATAGTCGCGATTAAGAGTGTCGGACACAGCCGCGGTCTGCTCCTTGAGGGCAGCGACACGCTCTTCCGTCTCGGCGAGCTGGCGTCTTGCGTCGTCCAGCTCCAGACGCTCGCGCTGGACTTGCTCTCCGAGCGCAATGTTCTGTGCGCGGGCAGCCTCCAACTCCTCGCCCATCTCCTTCAGGTCCTCAGCCGCTAACGAGTGGTTGGCCTGGAGCTTCTTGTAATCGGCCGACATGTTCTTGATGCGTTCTGTCGTCGTCAGCTGAGAGCACAAACATCAAACTCACGTTCGCGCCTGTGGACACGGGCATAGAGCTCGTCGAGGTGCTTCTTGCGTTCCTCCTCACTGGCGGGCACGGCAAGCTCAGCAGCTTCGGCACGGTCCTCAGCCTCGCGACGTTTGGTACGCTCCTCTTCAGCGCGCTTGGCGGCAGCCTCGAGACCCTTGCGCAATGTGACAGTCTTGTCCTCGAGCTCGGCAGCGTCCTTGGTCATGACCTCACGCTCGTCCTCCAGAGACGTAACACGGGTGGTGCTGACGGCCGCCTCGGTCTGGAGGGCAGCCACACGCGTGGCCAACTCGTCCTGCTGGGACTTGAGGTTGTCGTAGAGCGCAGTCTTCTGGCGCAGAGAGTCGAGAGTGTCGCGCAGCTCGCGTTCCACGGCCGACTTCTCGTCGGTCGCAGCCTGGATCTGGAAGTGACGTTCATGGGTGACAAACGATAGCTGGCCTTGGATTTCATCCCGTTCCGCGCGCAGACGCTGGATCGTGTGGCTCATCTGCTCGAAGCTTGCGCGCTCAGAGACCTGTGCGGCCATGTCTCCCTGTAGTTGCAAGACAGTGGCTTCCAATGTAGCAATCGTGGAGCTGCGCTCGGCGGCCTCATGAGCGGCCTTGGCCATGACGTCGTTGGCATTGTCGAGCTCAAAGCGGAGCAGGTCGACCTCCTCCTTAGCCTTGGCCGACTTGTCGGCCTCAGCGTTGCGCTCTTCGGCATTCTCGTCGCGAGAGGCAATTTCCTCTTCCAGAGCCTTGATGTGGGAGTGGGTTGCTTGGTGATCGGCGACGGCTCGCGTCAAATCCTCGCGGACGACCTCCAGCTGCTTCTCCTTCTCGGCCAGCTCGGCACGAACCTCATCGAGCTCCTCGTTGAGCTGGGACTCCATGTCGATCAACTCGGTCTTGAGAGCCTCGACCATGTCTTGGGACCTCTCGAGCTGCTGGCGAGTAGACGCAAGGTCGGTCTCAGACTTGGCGCTGGAAGCCAGCTGTTCTTCCAGGTTGGCAGCGTGCTGCTCCTTCTCCTCAAGACGACGGCGAAGTTCCTCGGTGTCTCCGGACGAGGCCGTGTGACGCTCCAGCTCCAAAGAGAGCTTCTGGTGAGCCTCCTGGGCGGCAGAGAGTGCTGCCATCTTGGTTTCAAGCTCACTCTTGAACGCGTCGCGTTCGCCTTCGACAACAGCCACATTCTCACGCGCAGTGGTGAGGGATGTCTCCATGTCGGCCAGCTGGTTCTGGACAGTCCCAGACGCAGTCTCAAGCTCGGACATACGCGCCTGAGCTTGAGAAACAGCCTCGTGGGCCTGTGTAAGTCGAGCAGTAGCGTCCTCCTGCTGGGTTGACATGGCCTGGTGTGTCAGAAAAACGGGCTGGGACGCCGAACTCACCTCAATGCTCGCCTTGAGCGTACGGATCTCGTCCTGTGCACTCTGCACCTCTTCGGTGGCTTGCGTAAGGCGAATCTCGAGCTCGGCCTTGATAGAACGTTCGCCAGCGAGGGCGTCCTGGGCCGTCGACAGATCATCTTGCAGTTGAGTGACGCGGACGTCGTCGTTGTTGCTGCCAGCACCTCCTCCTTGACGGAGTGCGTCGTTCTCGTCCTCGACCTCCTGGAGGTCCTTCTTCAGGTCTTGCACTTCCCGTTCCTTCTGCTCGATACGGCGCTGAGCCGATTTCAGCTCGCGCTGGAGGTGGGAAGTGCCAGGGGCGGCCGCTGTCGGAGTAGGGGCGGAACGAGCAACCTCGAGGTCACTCTCAAGGGCCGTGATCTGACGCTTGAGTGAGCCAATCTCCTCTTGGTCGACGACAGGAGTAGGCGCAGACTGCAGTCGCTCAATCTCCTTGTCCTTTTCGCCGACCAATGCCTTCAATTCGTTCACGTGGGCCTGGGCTGTCTTGAGGTCGGCACGAATCTTGTCGGTAGCAGACGAGTCACCGCCGCTGTCATCCAGCTCGAACCGCAGGTCGTCAATCTTCTCTTGGAGCATCTCGATTTCCTTCTTCGTCCGTTTCTCGGTCGCCATCTGCGAATTGACGGCCTTGTCGCGCTCGAGGTATGCCCGGTCGCGCTGGGCCTTGATGGTGTCGACTTCGGCTTGGGATGTACGCGCAGCTTCGGCTGCGGCGTCGCGCTCGGTGGTGAGGTCCGCGACCTGGCCTGAGCTAACGAACGACGCCCTACGGCGACCTCCACGAGAACCGTGGGCTGAGAAGTCGTTCGCGGGGCCTTGGCGAGCCTTGTTGGCCTGTTGTCAGTTCGATGAGCATAGAAGACCAACTCACTTCTACCGCAGCGCGCGTCTGTGCCAGCTCGCTGTCCTTGCGGTGCAGCTCGGTCTCCAGCACCTTTATACGCGCGTGCAACTTCTCGTCGTTGCCAACCGCCTGCGACGACGTCGTAGCCGCTGCTCCGTACTGGAGCTCGTATTCAAGACGTTTGACCTCCCTGTCCAACTCGTCCCGGCGCTTGTGCTCGCCTCTCAGGCTCTCTTCCAGGTTGGACACGTTCAACTTGGCGCGCTGCAGTTCCTACGACAAATTAGAAGAGTGTACGCCAATATACGAGAAAATGTGGATGGTTGCAGAGACGCGGGGTTGAGGACACTTACATGAGTGGACAGCTCGAGCGCTGCTTCCGCCTTGGTTGCGCGTTCTTCGGCGTCGGTAGCCTGGGAAAAGGGAATGAGCGACTGGGAAAGAACAGAATGCACGTACCCTCCCCGACTCAATGTCTGACTGTTTAGTCTTCTCCTGTAGTGTGGCCTCCTTGTCGCGCAGATTGCGCTCGAGCACGGACAATCGCGCGTCTGGGTTGCCAAGTGTCAGCGCGATCCTGATCGCGGCCTCTCGCCCGAGACCCACCTCTGTCTTGCAGTTGCTGCTTGAGCGTCTTGTTCATACGCTCCAGCCCATCATTGCCAAACATGGAGCCCATGTTGGCGGGCTGTTGCGTGAATGGTGTTGGGGATGGTGGGATGGGTCAAGTGTGGGGTTAAAATCAGGCGCGTGATGTTTGTTGTTTATGGTCCCACTTGGCTGACGACGGAAGCAATTTCACAGGGACGACGCAAAAACAAGGTGCTTCTTTACAACGGCGACGGCTAGCATCTAGCTACAATCATTTTCGGGTACGTATACTTCTGAGTACTTCTGAGTGTGAAAACCGTTGGGAACAATATATTTAATGTAGTCTCATAAGGAGGTTTCGGGGGTCGTGCCGCCAGATTAAACGGTGTGAGCTGGGTGTTCGGTGACGTCAAGCGCAGCGAGCTCTTTCTGAATCGCGTCCACTTCCTCCTGGACCGTGGCCTTGCTTGGCCGGTGTTGGTGCTTCTTCCACATGACCAAAGCTCTGGGCATGAGGGCTGCAATGGCGTCTTGACGCTCCTCACTCGTCGGGTGTGTTCGGAGCAAGGGCACGCGAGCGTCAAGGCTCTGCGACCGTCCCGAGGCTGCCTCGTCGAGCTCGACACAGTGCATGAGCTCCCAGAGGTCAGCCATGGCCCGTGGGTCATACCCTGCCAAGGCCATGAGTTCAAGACCGACAGCGTCGGCCTCTTTCTCGAGTGTGCGGGAGTAGGCGCGCTCGGCAACCACATCGTTCAGCCAGTTGATAAACATTCCTGCCGAATCGGTGATACTGATGTCAGCTTGGGTCGCGGAATGCAGAAGCTTACAATGGAAAGGAAATGGTGAGCGCAAACGAGATGCCTCGCAGCACGTCAAATGCCACAGCGGCAAGGTTGAGAAATCCGGCGTTCTCAACGCTATGGCGTTGCGTGACGTGGGCAATCTCGTGGGAGAGCACGGCGGCGAGCATTGGGTCGTCGTCCGGGAGGAGGTCGAGGAGTCCAGTGTAGATAAAGACTTCTTTGCTGGGAAGGGCAAACGCGTTGAGGAGGGGCTAAGTATTGTCAACACTTGTGTCGGGTGACACTGGGTGACACACAAAGGTCCCAGCGACGCACAGAGTTGGGGACAAGTTACTCACCAAATCTATGACGTAGATGTTCCAGTCGGCCGCCTCGATATTCTGATCCTTGAGGGGGTTGCTGCTCATGGGTCGGAACGGCATGAACCCACTCGTCGCCGTAGCAGAGGGAACGTAGCGGTTGATACGACTGTCGTCCTCTTGACTAGCCCGTTTCTTGTCCTCTCGTGGCGGCCATGTCGCACCGCAGACGACATTGCCCTCTTGCTCTTCCAGTGCCTCGACAATACGCGTAACCACGCGTCCGACCTTCACAGAACGGATATCCTCGGGAGGAAGCAGTAATGGGCCGTCGTGCAGGAGCACGTCTTTGTGTCTGCTTTGTCAGCTGCGGTTCCAAGAAACCTCGCCAGCTGAAGCCAGTGCCACCCACTTGCGGTGAGACCAGGCCAGTTCTTCTCCAGGCGACATGAGCAGCAGCCTCCATCGTCCTGTACGGGGACACTGGTCTAGGCCAAGCGCAATGACAATGCAAATCGCAAATATCTGCGCGATACTGTCAGTGGTGGTGATCTTGCATGCCAAATGACGTCGGTGGGGGTGGATGGAGAGACCCTGGCGAGGACGGCGGGTCCACTGGTGCGCAGACCAGAGATCCAGAGAGGTACATGAACACAACTCACGGGAATCTGGATGAGGAGCCACGCAGTGCGCTTGTACTTCTTCCACAGCCTGATGTCAGCTCGGCTGGACGGACCCAGCTCACCTGTATCTAAACACAAAGGGAAGGAAGAGCAGACTGAAGCGGGTAATAGTGAGGAGCCCCGACTTGATAGCTGGGATGGAGGCGAAGAAGACGTCGCTGCGGCGCGACGACGAGTGGAATGCGCGCCGCAGGAGAAGGGACTGCGAGCATGGTGCGCATGGATGCGCTCCCAGTGACAGCGGGGCGGTGGTTGGAGCTGCAGGATGGCGGAAGACTGTGGTCGGACGAGCCGCGAGCGAGATAGTGGAGGTGGAGAGCCGTGGGGTCGGTAAGGGATGGCACGCAGTATGTAGCCCGGCGGCCCATCCTGCTCTTGCAGTGGCGATGGGTGTCCGGCGGACCGCAGCTGCGAGCTGCAGACCGACGGCGAGTCTCATGTTTGCTAGGTCGTGAAGTGGGCGGAAGGCGTTCGAGGTGGTGGTGACACACTGTTGGTGCGGGTGGCCAACCCAGCCCACTCCCCGGGTACTCACCCGACCGCAGCCCCACGGAACCACAAGACTCCCACCGATAAGTGCCTGGGCTGCGCTCTCGAGTGTCTCTTTACTCAAAACCACTCTCGTAGGGCATGAATCATAACATATCACACAAAGGGAGGTTCGGACACGGAGGGACGGGGGGACTGGCTAAGCATGTACTTGACTGCATTCAAACCTCTGCTACAAACTAGTCGCCGCGTCCGAGCTTGTCGAGCGCGCGGACACCCTCCTCCTCCCACTCCTGCTTCGTCACCCAGAACTGCTCCTTGTCCTTCATAATGTCGGCAAGGACGGCACCGCCGAGGAAGACCATGTGTTTCCTGCGAGGGGGGTCCTCGATACGGATCTTGAAGTGCTTCAACCTGCTGGCATCGTTGGCGAGCACACGGGTAAGGTACAGCTGCTTCATCTCCTTCTCGAGACGCGAAGGGAAGCCCGGGTACATGGACGAACCACCCGAGAGGACAATGTGCTTGTACAGCTCGGAACGGGTGTCGACGGCGGCCTGCTGAATGGTCTGGAAGAGGAGCTCAGCGACACCGGGCTGCTCGACGTCGACAAGGTGGGGCTGGAACATGCACTCGGGGGCCTCGTAACGCTCCGAGCCGACCTTGATCACGCGGCCGTCCGGAAGGGTGTAGTTTTCGACGAGCACCGTCGTCTCGTCCGCGAGCTTCTTGTCAAGCTCAAGGTCGTAGCTCATGAAGCAGAGCTGCTCCTTGATGTCGCGCACAGTCTCAAAGTCGGCTGTGCGCTCAAACGCGTATCCGCGCATGAGGAGAAGCTTGATGAGGTAGCGGGTGACGTCACGGCCAGCGACATCGAGTCGGCGGGTGAGATGAGGGAGGGCAAAGCCGTCGTAGACGGGGACAATGTGGGTGACACCGTCACCCGAGTCGACAACGACACCAGTCTGGAGACCTGTTGGTTACGCGTCAGCGCCACCCGAGCCTCCTGCTGACAACTCTGGAATCCAACGACGCCTGCTTACCTTGGGCATACAGAGTCAGGACTGCCTGGATGGCAATGTAGACACCGCCAAAGCCATACTCCTCGAACATGACCTCGGCCATCTTCTGACGGTTGGCCTTGGGGTTCATGGGAGGCTCAGTCAGGAGGATCTTGCGGCCGCGGGGGTCGACCTGCAGCTTCTCGCTAAAGGTGTAGTCCCAGAGGTGCTTCATGTCGTCCCAGTTCTTGACGATACCGTGCTCCATGGGGTGCGACATCTGGAGGAACGAGCGGTTCTCAGCCGCCTCGTCACCGATCATGAGGTCCTTGAGCGTGCTGGAGCCCAGACGCTCCTCGGCACGCAAGATTGGCCGACCAACGACGGAGGGGAACACTGGACATCGTCAGCATGGGCGCTCTGGGTACTGCAAGAGGCGCAGCATGGAGTGCGGTACAGTGGACGTGCTCGTCCGCATGACGATTGGGCAACAATCACAGTCCATCGGGACATCGCACACCACCATGCCGCTGTGCTGAGCACTGACCATGTTCGGGGAAGTTGCTACCGGCAAAGCCACACTTGACGAACTGGAGGGTCAGAGGAAATCTCACAAACCGGCACTCACGCCGGTACCGTTGTCGACGACAAGGGGCACAGAGGGGTCCTGGGCGGCCATGGCTGTGCGCCGGGTTACAGGTGATCGGGAGGTGGTAGGTGGAAGCCGAGTTGGGTGGGGGGAGGGGGGAGCGCGGGGCCTAGTAGTCTAGATTTCCGCGTGTCTATGCTCTTAGGCGTTGGTCGTTGGTCGTTGACGCTTACGCGGTCGTGGCTGTTGGATGGGGTTGTTGAGGATGGATATGGACGTCCAGACACACCACCACGTCGAGCACAGCCAGCACAGGCAGCCCACACGCAGGTGGTGACGTATTACGGGCCGCCACAGCCCGGACATTCGGCATTTCAGCGGGGTGGAGGCCCTTCGAGGTCGCTGGGTGGCGACTGCGAGGAGCTCCATACAGCTTGGCGTTGGGAACCACACAACGTCCTTCTATCAGTGATATATCACTCCTCGTCGAGCAACATGGTGTGCAAGAAGTGCGAAAAGGTAAGCTCCGCCATTCGATGCCTCCAGCTGACATCAGAAAACCTCGACGGTCGCCACGGCGGATCCCTCCAGGCCGGCAGGCGCGACTCGCGTCATTGGCGAGAACAAGCTGCTGACTGCTCGTGCTCGCGCGGCACCGTACGCCAAACCGGGCCAGAACAAGGGCAAGGTCAACACGTACGGCAACAAGTGTATTGACTGCAAGGTGGGTGGAACGCCATGGGCAAGAGGCGGATGCTCCCAGGCGGCTGCGTTGTGAAGAAGCAACACCTCGACCAGCTTGGCCGATTCATGTGCGAAGCTGACAAACGCAGCAATCTGTGCAGCAAAACAACGCTACACGATGCCAAAAGTGCGCGTACAAGACGGGTCTCTGTGCCATCTGCGGTAACATGGTCCTGAATACAAAGCGTGAGCTTATCCACTCTTCACAGAAGCTGACAGGCTTAGGTTATAAACAATCTTCAAAGTAACCTCATCTCCGCCCTGCTCATCGTTTCCGACCAATCTCATTCTCATCTGTCACACCCATGTTGTATGCAACGTATGTTAGACCACCTGGAGCGCAGGCCTTGGGACTCTTTGAAGCGGTCAGTGAGGCCAGTAAGGAAAGCAGCTGGTGTACAGCTTGGGACACGAATCCTCATTTCGTCGCCGCGTCTTCCCTCACCACACACCACATTGCACCCTCCCTCAAGTGGAGACAAAACAAAAATCGCATCCTTAAGATCCCTAGAGACTACTATATGTTGTATGCAGATATATCGGAACAGAGGTATCATATCAATGGAAAGCAAACACCACCTTACCCTACCCATTGGACTTAACGACGGAGCAGGCTTCCAAACCTCTTCAACGTGTTTTCGCGCTTGGCCGCGGCTGCAGCAGCAGCCACAGGTCCTGCAGGTGCTGGGGCGCCGTTGCGGTCCGCTCCCGCGCCCGGGCTGCCAGACATCATGCTCGCGCGCGTGCTGGGGGTTGCCCTCATCGCAGACGGCGGGGCCGAAGCCACCGCCGGACCGGTCGGGGTGGTGGGTGTAGTTGGCAGTGGCGTCGTCGCCTGGGGCACACTGAGGCTTGACGCCGGAGCCGGTGCTGGAGACCAGGCAGGAGGCGTCATTGGCCTGTCACCAGCCTCGCTCATGCTCATGCTCATGCGCGACGTGACGGCGCTGGCCATGCTGAACGACCGTTGGAACTGGGGCGGTACCTTGGCCGTGCTGGGCGTGACCGACTGACTGTCATCGGACGCGCGCGGGATGTGGCCGTTGCCATTCGTCCTCCTGGAGCCCGAACGCTGGAGACCAGATGTGTGCGTGAGGAGAATACCAGGTAACCCGCCATCTGCGCTGGCCTTGCGAAGGCTGTTGCTGTGACCGTGAGCGCTGCTGGCGACGCTGGCGCTGGCGACACTCGTGACGCTAGGTTGTGTCTGGTGCATGGTGCCCCGAGGACCGACGCGCAGAGCAGGCAGCACGTAACTGTCCCTGCTCTTGGTACCGTCCGACTCGGGGATGGACGAAACACGCGCCAAGCTAGCGATGACAGGCGACACATCGCGCGTAGACCGGGCAATCGGGGAGAGGGGGCTGAGCATGCCGTCGTCGTCCGACATGGGCGGGAGGATAAGAATCTCCTCGGCGTAGGCCTTGTTGTACAAGGTGCGAAGTGCCTCGTGGAACGCAATGTCCTTGTTGACACTGGCATGCGCACGGAGACCCTTTTGGATCGTACGCACGTACGAGAGGACGGCGTCGCGAAGGGTGGCGACGTTCTTGGCCTCTCCTGGGTGGCGATCGACGTATGCTTCGTCGAGGAAGTGCTTCTTGTAAACAGGGATACCGCCGTTGACACGAGAGTCGACAGCGCCGTTCAGGGCGGTACCGAGAAGCTTGACGTCCACCGGTACGGCCTCGGCGAGCTTGCGCAGTTCGCGCTCGGCGCGGAGGACAACGACAATCGCCGAGTCGACGGGCGAGATGTGGTCGTGATGGATATGAATCACCTCGGCACGGCTTTGCAGAGCCGGAAGGTCGTTGGCAGTGGTGATGGTCGTCTTCTCGAGCCACTGCAGTACGCTCTCGCGCTCTTCCGGGTCGATATTGTACGGACGCATAGTTTCAAACTTGTTGACCGCGTTGGCGCGGTAATATGCCTGGACATGCGGGTTGACGCCCTTGCGGAAGACGGGGTGCTTAATGTCCGGCGCTGGCGCGACCGACGTGACCCAGATGACAGGCTCGGTACCGTAGCGTGCAGAGTCTGACGGCGGAATCTTGGACCGGTGGATCTGCGCATCGGGGTGCTTGGCCTGGAGGGTCTCGCAAAAGTCGACATAACGTTGCCATGGCGCACCGCGAACGATAAACTCCTTGTCGAGATCGAGCGACGTAAAGTTGCCAAAGTAGGCCACGCGGAAGTACTCGGGCTTGGGACGTGTCGAGGTGCCGATTTGTTCCCAGAGCTTGGCCTCGTGGATGAGCAGCTCGGAGATGCGGTCGACATCAAAGGTGATCAAACGATGCTGGGTGACGAGCTCTTGACAGATCTCGGCAGCCTGCTCGTACGCCTCTGCTTCCGCCAGGTAGTCGAGAACGTGGTAGAGGATGGCCTCCTTGCGCTCAAACTGGCTCTGGGCCGGCACCTTGATATCGCCATGGCTAAACTCGTCGACGAGCTCACCCTTTACTGTCCACTCGTACAGGTCGGCGTGCATGCGCAGCGCAAGACCGGCACCAAACCAATCGCCTGCGGCTGCGTTGATCGCGACGAGGTGGTGGACGAAGCGAATGTAGAGGTCGTCACGGCCCACTTGAGAGAAGAACTCCATGAGACGGACAGTGGCAGCCACGCGCTCTTCCTTCCACTGGGGCGTTTCGGGCAGGTCACGCACCGCCATGAGCAGGTCGATGAAGAGCTCCACCTGGTCGAGGAAGGTACCGACATGCGTGCGGAAGTTGGCATCAATCTCGGGCGTGGCTTCGAAGACTGCACGCAGACGCGACACAAAGTAGGCACGTGCAACCGACTCGGACGCGGTAGACGACCTGGTCGTGAACAAGTGCTCCAGCTTCTGGAAGATTTCGGTCTGGATCGTGTTAAACTTGCCATCGAGGACGTATTCGGCGTAAATCATCGAGAACAGAATGTCGACAGCCGACTCGCACAACCTCTCGTGCGACGACAGGCAGAGCGTGAGGATACGCTCCGCCAGACCCGTGAAGCGTGTCTGGTAGCCGCCGTAGCGGCTGGTCTCCCTCGAGTCGATGGCCTCCCAGCCGATGGCATTCCACAGCTTGCGAAGGAGGGATGCTCCGTCGTCGCGCAGATCGCCAGCAATGATCCACGCAGCTCGGCGACGCTGGAGACCTTGCTCCTCGAGAGCGAGCTCGGGGCTGGACAGCAGGTCGCACAGGAGCTCGATGCAGCGCGTCCACAGCTCGACGTCAAAGCGGTCCATGTCCTCGATAGGAGGGACAAAGTCCTCACGCGACAGGAAGGCGATAACGGGGTCAAAGTAGCGAACAACGGCAGTGAATGCCAGACCAGACAACGTGAGCCACTGGTTCGGGAACGCCTCAAAGTGAATAATCGAGTCAAAGACGTTGAACGAGTTCTTGAGCATGTCCTTGACGCTGGTGACGCCGTCCATGTCGAGTTTTTCCTCGAGCCAGCTGACTAGGGCGTTGCGCGGAGCGGCGATGACGAGAGCAAAGATGACGACGGCGACTTCCGCAAGCGCACACTTGAACGTGCCAGCCGCGGGCAGGTCGTCTTCTTGACCAAACAGCGAAGGAGGGGGCAGATGCGACACGAGAGCGAATGGATGGGAAGCAGGGAAGGTATCGGGAGTGTCCTTCCAAACGGTCGGCGACTGGAGGTGACGTTCCAGCAGCGCCATGGTGTCATCGCTGGCGAGGTGGTGGTACGAGTCCAACAGTCCCGGAAAGATTGACAGGCAGTACTCAATGTTGTCCTCTTCCTGTGCGAGAGCGAGCGGATCAGACTTGATGATCGGCGAGTCGAGCAGCTCCTGAAGCTTGTTAACAGTCCATGCCATGACCGAGACGGCGAGTCGGTTGCACTCGAGCCACTTGATCTGGCGACTATCCTTGAGGGCCTGCGTCTCACCGCGAGCCGAGTACAGGTCCTCTTCGTAGCGGCCCACGTGAGGCTTGACCCAACGGACAATGGCAGGGATGAGGTCGGCGCGCGTTTCGTTAAACTCGAGCAGAGTGGTGACAATCTGCAAAATCAAGAGAAGCTTGTAGACTGCAAGGTTGCCTTGGGCACGGGTGAGGGTGTCGGTAAACTCGATGACCATCTCGACAATCTCCGCGGGCGAGAAGACTTGCACGAGGTCTGGCAGAATGTCGGCATAGTGCTGGACTGCAAGTGTCTGCGAACCGATCAACGCCTTGTCTGAGCGAAGCATGATCTCGTTGATCTCGCCAAGTATGTCGCGCGTCTGGCTCTTGAAGTCTGCCTCCATCTGCGCAGAGGTGGGGCCGAGCGACGAGCCACGGGACCTGTCAAGTTCGCGGGAACGGATAACGAAGCGGAACACGTTGTGCCAGACCTTGAGCAGCGAGCGGTATTCTTGCGATGCTGGGCGACCCATGACAGCCTTCATGGCACGCAGGAGGTGTGGGGCGGACGACGCAAACGCAAAGTGCTTGCTCGTGTATGCGGCAATGATTGGGTCAAACGACGGGAAACGACGGTCGGTCGCCATGGAAAGCACCTTGATGAGACCCTTGAACACTAGGTCGTCGACCTCTTCCCGGCGGTCGCCCAGGTGAGACACGAGGATGGCAAAGAGCGCATCTAGCACGGGCTGGAGGAACTTGGCAATCTCGTCCTCACCAACAAAACCAAACATCTGTAGAGTTTGGCACAAGGCGGCGGCGTCGGCACTCTGCCAAGCAAAGAGTGCCCGCAGCGTGTCGTCCTGGGTGTGGAGGGTGGAACACAGGAACGTCCTCAGCGACAGGCGGTCGCGCAGAGCGGTCATGTAGCGTGCCGACTCGGGTGAAAGCTTGGGCTCGCCAGTGGACGGCACCTCAAAATAGAGGTTGGGCGTGGGCTGAATGGCAGCCTTCTCCATGTGGTAAAGAACGAGTTCGTGTTTGCCGTCCTTGATCGAGGCGTTGTGCGAAAAGAGAGGGAGATACGCAAACGCGAACGGCTTTTCACCCTCTCCATTGATGCCTTCGCGCTCACGCGTGCGGTGCTTGAACGAAAGGTACAGGTGGCAGTCGCCCGAGCCTTGAGGGAGAGCAACCTTGATGAGCTCACCAAACGTAGGTCTGTCGTTGTGGTAGTACACGATCGAGTTGTACTGAGCCGAGGGAGGCTCGCCGGATCCACCCGCAAAGAGCGAGTCGGGGACAAGAGTACCATCTGCGCGACGGACTTCGAGCGACACCTGCGTACTGGCCGGGATGGGCGCGACAGTTTTCCTGACACGCAGGGTGCCGCCTGCCGGGAACATTGTGGAGAACGAGGCATCCCAGAGCTTGATGTAGAGGTCATTGCGGACAAGGCCTGGTGGCACAACATCAGGAAAGCCCAGACGAGCGGTCTGTGGAGTTTCGAGAAGGAGTGCAGGGTGTTCACGGATGACCTGGTCGATGGGGCCGTGGAACAGGCGCAGGCCAAGCGCAATCCCTTGAGCGCGAGGCGACTGCTCGTACATGCGGTCGTTGTGGAGAATAATGTCGGCATGCAGGGTCGCGAATGTAGACTCGTCCCTCGCCACATAGATGGGCATGACCAAGTCGTCGCCGCTGGCGTCACCAGAGAGGCGCGAGATGGATGGCAGCTCAAAGATGGCACACCCGAGTGGACGGCGAATGGTGCCCCGTCCACCTTGTGCGGTTGACTGAGACATGAGCGTGTCGATGGTCTGGGTGCGCTTTGGCTCGTATCCCGAGACCATGGATCCCGAGTCGTCGGTCACACTGTCCGAGATGGAGAGTGAGCTGCGCCAACGACGAGAATGGGGGTCGTGGTTGCTGAAGAGGACGCTGCTGCGCTTGTTGGCCCGGCTGCTACGCGTTGTCTCGACCTGCCCGACCGAGCTGGCTTCAGCGGCCATCTTCATGTTACCGTTGCGGACAATACGGCAGACGAGGTAGGTACCGGGGGCAACGTCGTCGGTGCGGAGGTCGGCAAACAGTGTTCGCAGCTTGCCGAGTCGGCGCTCAGCGTCGCGTGCTGGGCTTCCGTTGTGGTTGAGGATGAGGCAGAATTCTTCTGTCAGGAACTTGCCTTGCGCCTTGCTGTACAGTGAGAAGAAGAGCTCGCATGTCTCTCCAGGCGAACACGGGCTGGCGACAAACGCGCGGAAGTCGAGCAGGCAGTGATAACCGCTGGGGGAAGTGGATTTTTCCACCTCTCCTCCTCGGCTTGGGTCTTGGCTCATGTTCGGCGCGCCCTTGATGGCGGCGAGTGGTCGTGGAACATTTGGCTTGCCAAAGAGCGCGTCCAGCGGCACCAGGTCGATGTATGCGAGTTGGACCTGGTTCTTGTACGCCATGACACCTCCCATCCAACCTGACCGAGTGAGGGCGCGGTCCTTGTCGATACCAACAACGCTGCCGTCCTCGAGACTTCGCACAATGACCTCGAGTCCTTGGGCGACGTTACACTTGACCAGGCGCGAGACGCACTCCCGTCGGATCCGCACAAGCTCGTCGCCGCTGAGCATCTGGGACAGCAGCTGCCGGCGACCGAGGAAGAGCGCGTCAATGTGCTGGACGACCGCATTGAACAGGCGGTACTCGCGCATAGACAGGTATGTAGGCAAACACTGGGAAATTTGTTAGTAGAAGACGAGTCGCACGACTTACGGCATACCACTCGCGGATGGCACATGCGATCTCATCAACAAGCGGCCATTGTTGGCCCGCCACGGTGGAGTCGCCAGCTGTGAGAGCTGGCAATGGGGGCTGCTCCTTTTCGCGTGGTTGAGCAAGCAGGAGAGACGCTGGGCGACGGTTGCGCTTGATGATGCTGGCCGAGCCGTTGGCGACGGCGGACGCGCCGCCGTTTAGGAAGCCCCCGTCTCCGTCCTCCTCCTCTTCGCGCACGGATTCCATCTCGTTGCGCAACTGTCGCGCACGGTCCTCTGCCATCTCGCGTGCGGTCTCGTACGCGATGGTGAGGACCTCGCTCTCCGTTACGGCGTTCCGTCGCACATGGACGGCGGCGGCGGGGAAGATGCCGATGAGGACACTTGGCTCGACTTTTGGGTACCCGGACGGGTTGTCGGACGAAGGCATTAGTTGCTGCAGGGAGACGCCCTGGACGATGTATCTGCGCAGCCGTCAGCATCTGCTGCGAGTCTACCGGTGCGCTCGCGTGATGGAGCATCCTCTCTCACCCTCGGTACCAGACAGAATCGTCGGCATCCTCTCCGCTGTGGTATTCCTCAAACGCAAAGAACTCGTCGCCGACATCCAGGCTGACTTCATGCGGGTTACCGCGTGCCGCGGAGAAGACATCGTTGGCGGCGGCTGACGATGGGACTCCTGACCAGGAGAAGCGATTCTTTTGCTGCTGCGATCGAATAGTTGTTGTCGGGGAGGGAGGCGGGGAGGAGGACGATGGATGGAAAGGGTGGACCACCAGACCCGAGTAGATGTGTGGCAGCGGTTCCCACATGCCTGTTTTGCTGTATGCACGGAAGTAACGCGTCAGCAGCTATACATATGCTTTGTGTCGGACACGGAGGACGCGTTCTGCGGACACGGAGGGGTGGAAGGCTCACCGCGAGGGGCCGGCGCTGGCGCTCGGGCCGGCGCCAGTCGCGTTGAAGAGCGCCATGGGCGGGTGGAGGCTATGGCCCGCGACGGACGCGCGGTGTGGAGGGGTGCGCGGGGTGGCGTGAGCTGGCGATGAATGGAAGGCGGGTGAGATGGGGGAGAGGGTGTGTTGTTGTTGAATGGGAGGGGGGGTGTAGTGGGTAGTCGCGTAGTCGCAGATATGTGCAGGCGATTTTGCCAAAAGGTCGATGGAACAACAGACGGAAAGGGATGCAAAGGATGGAATGGATTAGGACGTGCCCACAGCGTCCACAAGAGTCGAGAGGGTGTCCTGGGTGGGGTCGACGTTTCGTATGCACGCTTGGAGCGTCGCTTCGCTTGGTGGCTGGGCGGCGGAGGGGGACCGTTCTGTTTGGCTGTGTGGGCTGCCGCGCTCCCGCAGGTGTGGGTGTCTCGTCGCGGGAAGCGCGCAGTGACCCGTGCCTGGCCGTGGAAAGCTCTCTCCGCCCAGTTCAAAATATATTGTGTTTCAACCCCCGTCTGGCAACATTACAGCAACAACAATAACAACCAACCAACCAACAACAACATGAAGGGATACGTCAAGTACGCCTGGTATCTTATGGTCTTTCAGCTGACACCCCCAGAGCGTGCTCCCTCGAGGACACGTACTCACACACCCGCTTCCACCTCTCCCTCCGCACCATCTCGTCCCCCGCAGTCTATCATCGCCTCTTGCTCTTCCGCATCAACAAACCCGATGTCGACAAGGACGAAGCTCAGGACGGCGACAACGCTGAGACCAGCGATGATGCTGATGGTCTGCCGCCTGCCAGCTCGTCAAACCGCAGCGCTCCCGAGCTCTACTGTATGGAGGAGAAGTGCCCCCACCTGGGCGCGCCGCTGAGCCATGCCGTTCTCGAGGTGGACGATATCGAGGACACGCGGGCTGTTGGTGTGTATGGCTGCTGAGGGAGACGGATGGTTGCAGCTTGCTGATGAGCACAGTGTGTCCCTGGCACCAGTATGACTTTGGTATGTGTCGACGGGAGGAGGGGACGACGAAGACGGCAGTGTGAGAATCAACAAGGACAGGGCGCTGACCGCACAGACCTTCGCGACGGCTCCAGTTGTAAGCAAACGAGTGACCTGAACACTACTGACGAGCAGCTACTGGAGCACAAACGTGCACGTACAAAGTGCGGATAGAGGGGTCTGGCAAGGACGCAGAAGTCTGGGTGGAGGCACCGCACGTCGAAGGCGGACACGACTGGGAGGCGCTCGAGTTCCGCGCCGTCAGCGAAGGTGACTTGGACACCCACGAGGCAACGGGCTAACTCGTGCAGACTTTGCGGACCCTCCATCGCTCTCGCTTGCTGGATTGTCGGTCGGGGACGACGTGGCGGATGAGACTGCACACACTCAACACGCCAGTGCAACTCCGGCCGATGCCGCGCTCCCCAACGATCTCCCAGACTCGCTTCTCGGCTTTGCGCATCTCGTTCTCGCCACTGCTGAGCCTATGGCCAAGTGTGCGCTCACACGCGAGGCCGTTTCGCGCATGCGTGCCGGAAAGCTCCGCTCCATCCGTCCTAACAAGTCGGAAATCCGCAAGGCGAGGGAGAACGGCGGCCTGCTCGATGAACCACCACGGCTTCAGAGCTCTGTCCCTGCTGGGCAAACTGCCAAACGGTGTGTCCATAGAGGTACGACCTGTCCACTAACGGTGCAGCGGAAAGGGAGGATCCGAAAAGTCGCGTATTATGATGCTTCGTGAGTGGGAAGACGACACGATTAAAATACAACATGCTGACACTGTGTTTGTCACTGCTTTCAATTCGCTCGTTCCATGCCTACTCACCTCGTCTGACAAACGCGATGGCCCCTTTTGTGGTGTACTGACTGTCACTGTCAATTCATCGGCTCAGACGCACTGGCCAACATCGAGCAATACGCGATAGACCTCGCGTGGGACATTATCGCGCGTTTCGCCGATGCTGAAGTCGAGGGCGAGCGCCTTCCTGTCGACTTCTTCCTCGACTGGGCCAAGGTCGCTGAAGACGAGGCCAAGCACTTCTCCCTGCTCAACAAGAGGCTAATTGTAAGTCGCCCCCTTGGTTCGCGCTACCCCAAGCTGACATGTTGTGCAGGAGATGGGGTCATACTTTGGAGCCCAGTCCGGTGTGTTCCATCAACTCGAGCTGCGGGCCTAGTGCTGACACTTACCTCTTCTAACGCCGTCCTGGTCCACCGAATTCGAACTTGTCCAACGTCTTTGGAAAATGTTTCACAAAAATACGCCAACGAATAACGCACCATGTATATCCTCTAGTCCACGCTGGACTGTGGGAGTCTGCCATGGACACTGCCGATTCGCTGCTGTCTCGCATCGCGATCATTCATCTGGTCGCCGAGGCGCGCGGTGTCGACATGAACCCGCTCACGCTGGCCAAACTGCAGGCTGCTGGAGACGCCGAGTCGTCACGCGTGCTGGAAATTATTCACGCCGATGAGATTACTCGTAAGTCTTTTTTTCTTTTTTTTTGGAGTGGCCAAGGACGACTCTTTGAGGCAGTGCGTTGGCCGGGATCGACGAACACAGCCGACGGGACCTCGATTCTGCCCGCTGCACTGCCTATCGATGACGGAGGGCTCTGCCGCGGTTCCATGTCGGACGACCACTGCCGCGGCAGTGAGCGTACGGTAGTTGCTGCTGTCTTTTGTGTCACCTGTGCGCAAAGGACATAGCCTGGTTTTGGTATATGACAGCAAAAACTCACGACCAATGCAGATGTCACGACTGGTCACCGCTGGTTTTCATACATGTGCGTACAGTGGAGACTTGTGGTGCCTTTACTGGCCACCCTAGTACTTAGCGGTAACGGGACGGACAAAAACAGGTGTGCTGACTTGCGTACCAGCTGTGCGCGCCAAGGATTGGAGCCTGTGCAGCAATTTCGCCTCGAGGTCTCGAACAATTTCCATGGCGATCTCAAGGGGCCGTTCAACATTACCGACCGGGCGAGAGCAGTGAGTAGGACTCCGTTATTCCCGAACATCCATCCCATAGCAACAAGGTGAAAGGTGACGACCATGGCCATCTCGTTTGTGCCTGTGGTGACCGTTACACTCTGTGCCTTGCACACTTGTTCCTTTGTTAATTCTCGGTTGGGATCCCTTTCAGCAGTGCCAGAGATCGAGACCACACCCAATAGCCAAAATTGCTGACGACCCCCTCCTCTCCTTCTCCAGGGCCTCACACAAGAATTCTACACCGACCTGCGTGGACACCATCGTCGCAGACAAGAGGTGTACGGCAACGGTACTGGCAGTGGTGGCGATGCCAATATGCACCCGCGCCTCACTTGAGGAGCTGTACCATTACCGGCCACTCCCATTTGTAACCCAACATACCGATGTATTCCGCGCAGTGTCTCCGCAAGTGTGTACGACTGGCTGGTTGATAGCCGGGTTTTAAGCACGCGACTTCTAGAATGGCGTCTTGTTCCAATGAGGTCGCGTACTGAACCTTAGGACACAAGCCCCGTTGGGGTCATTATCTCCTCCGCTTGATCAGCACATTGACTGCACGTGTTCGGGGGCCGTCCAGCCGGCGGCGGCGGCCTAACAAAAGGACACGGCCAAACACAGAGTGTCTCGACCAACGAGGACGCCCCCCGTCTGACACTGCGGCCGGTCCGTCGCCGTCGCTGGCGGTCTTTCATGCCATGACTTGCACCGGCCCGCCACGGCTCGAAAGTCGCCGCAGCACACGCCGCGGCTACTTGACATACGCACGCGACTGCGGCTTTGGAGACTGGGCTTTTGTCAATTGGGTATCCGGGCGGCAAGCAAAAGCAAAAGCAAGACAGATGCAGGTACAGTTACTTGACGTGTGCAGACCCTGTACCAGCGAGGCATTTGATTGTGGTGTGGGCCTGTCGGCAACATTTGGTCGGCGGAGGTCGTCTGGGGGCCGCGAGAGAGACCCTAGAGGCGCCAGAAGGGCTAGAAGGAAAGGGGGTCTCAGATCCAGCTACCAAAAGGCCCAGCCCAAGTCTCTCCAACGCCGACGTCGGCGCCAGGTAGCCGAACCCCATATACACATAGGACCGCTTCGACGCTAGCGTCCATGATTCTTCCTTTGTCTGCGGAATCTCCGTGTGTGTACTTGTGAGCTTGTGAAAGCTAAACCACGTGTCCCCCGCGCTGTTGTGCGGTGCCTGGATTCCGAGCTGCGGTTGCGTGTCGGTAACGCGTGGCTTGCATCCCGCCGTCCAGCGCTCCTGTAGCTCCTGTTGGCGTACTGGACGTCGACCGTAGCCCGTCCCTTCGCGGGGCTTGCCCAGGCGTCAGTGAGCAGTGGTGACCGACTGGGGCGCGAATGGGTACGGGGAATGTGGATGGCTGCTGTTTTTTTTTTTTGGTATTATTTCCGTCCTTTTTTTCCCCCCTCCCCTTCTTCTCTTTCGATCTGTTGTCGACCCATGTGGTGTGGGCGTGTGAGAAGCGCGGGCGGGCGTGGTGCGAGATTGATACGCGGAGCGGAGCAGATACGCTCAGCCACCACCACGAATCACTCTCGGCCATGTTCTGTCCATTGCGCGAGCCTGCAGGCGCGACGCGGCCATTCCAGAGACCGGAGCGGCGCCGTTGGGCGACACACCACTGTCATTTGTTGACTGCGCTGTGGGGGCGCAGCACGAGTGGGGTGCGTGTGGCTGCTAGCAGCGGTATGGGGCGGCGGCGCTGACTGTTGCCTGAGCTGGATGCCCGCATGCCTGTATGCCTGATAGCATGCCGGATATACCGGCCATCGCGATACCGGGACCCGAACATGTGCGTGGTACGGCCGCTGGGGGTGGGGGATGGCGGAACTATCGGCCGGCAGAACTCGACAAGTGGCGGGATTCTTTCGTTCTTTTTCTCTTCTCAAAGGGATCAAGGGAAAGCCATTTGCCCGCCAAACTGCACTCTCGGGACCTGGGTGGTCCGTACCTGCGCCACGATACAGGTGCACATGTGAGGGGCGCGCGGGGGCCGGCAGGTTATCGAGACAACGGACGAATGCAGTGGGCGTCCTTGGAGTACTTTTGGTTGTGCGCCACATTCCTCGGCATGACTTGGCGGACGTTCGGCGCCCGCCACAGAGCGCGGCGGAGTTGCGTTGTGGAGGCATGGAGGAGAGGAGGGTGTTGTGCACGGCACAGGGGCGGTCCCCAGCTGTGGCCCGCGCATGCCTTTGGGCGGCACGGAGAGTGCAAAGGCGTCGCACTCTCTGTCGATCATGCCTCGCTCATTTCTGGGTCGCGGGTAACGGTCGGCTCCCTAGCGCCTAGCGTACATCGGATGCCAACCGAGAGTGCGCACCACGGCCACCTACCAGAACCAACACCCACCATCATCAGTACGACGACCTTGCTCTAATGGTGCCTATACCGCACTCTGTCCACAGTCGGTCAGTTGGCCTTCCACCCCGCGAGAACATGTTTCCATGCTGAGAGACCGAGACCCGGTTCTGTTGGGACGTTTTCTGTGGGTGGTCGCCGTGCCTGCTGAAAATGCGTCTCGCTGGCACACTCGCTCAGGACCCAGGGCATCGAACACCAACCCCTTCGCTCTCTCTCTCTCTCTGTCTCTCTCTCTCACCAAAGCAGCAGGTTACGGCCGCTTGCCGTTCTTTCGCTTTGCTCGCCTGGGTATCGTCTACTGCGGTCGCTGCGTGGGTTGCGCAGGTATCCATCCATGCACACCCGAGAGATGGTGCGGACGTGGAAAGAACAGGGGGACGCGGCACCCCCCCCTCCGGCTTGACGCACAGGCAAAGCCCATGGGGTGGCAGAGACAAAGGAAAAAGAAGAATAAATAAATAAATAAAGAATGGCATTGACACTCAAGCCTTCTCTTGGCTGATAACCGCCACATAGGAGCCGGGAGAACTGTCCTTTTTGGATGACCCGGCGCAGGCGCGGTGGACGGAGACCACAAGGGAGTGTTGTTGGGGGTCTCGGTGTGCTGGCCCACAGTACAAGTAGCCGCAGGGCCAAGGGTGGGGTAACAACCGAGTGACGACCCTGGTTCTGTTGCGGACAATTTGTATTGGCTAGACGACCACAGTTGCTCGGCTGCGACGCGAGAACGCCGCCCGTTGCTACGTGCGACACAGAGTGCTCGTGTCGAGTCTGGAGTGCTAAACTGGAACGGTTACCCGGTCAATCTTTTGATGGTGCCAGTGCGCACGCACGCCGTGTGGGGGCCGGGGGGGTCGACGTATGCTTGTGGTGCGTAGTTGATGATGGAAGGGGACGACGACGACGATGTGACGCACGGGTTACAGAAAGAGTTCGGAGGAGTACCTGCCGCAGCACTCATCACGGCCACCACACATCCACTAGCGCGGATGTGCGATGCCGAGAGACCGGCAGCTTGTCGATCCCGATCGCCCCTTTCGACTGCCCGAAAATCCCGTTTACGGCACAACCGGCATTCCAAAGCGCGGCGCCCGGGGGCCGCTTGTGCTGCTGTGGCAGAGTGCGGTGGAGTGATGAACAAGATACATACATGTCAGCACATGGTGCGTACCGCGTACTTCTGCATGTACGCACGCACGCAACTACAGAAACGGCCCTGCAGACGACCTCTGATCCTCGCTTGTAGGGACCATCGGTAACCATGAGCTGCGTACACATGCACACGCACGACATGCCTTTGGATTCGGAATTATGAAGTTTCGTAGTGTGACGCACGCAGCTGACGACGTCTCATTTACCCCCTTCCTCTCGATCTGGAAGGATGTTCTGTTCTCCGCACATTTCGGGCCCACGGCGTAAGGGGGGGGGGGGGGTCTGTCACTCGACTTGTGGCTCTGGATGAGGTGATCCAATGGGCCAATGGGTCAGTCATGGTCCGTACCGTCGTCCACCATTGCCAGGCGACGGGAGGTCGAGCAACCAGCTGTAAACAATCCACCCACCAAGTACCAAACAGGTCCTGTCCTCGAGGCACCATTGACGAACCGAGGGGCGGGCATACAGGACGGACGTTGGGTGGGGCGTGGCAGCACCGTTGCTGGCCGTTCGAGGCAGCCACATGTGGACTGCTGCCTCTCCCTATGGTACACCGGTAGAGCCGGTAGAGAGGCGTCCCCCCAGCCCCTCCTCCCCCGCGTTCGCGTGGGCGTGGAACAACAGGTCTGCTGCGCATCGTCCCATGGCGGTCTCTTTGGGACAGTGTTGTTCCGTCCGCTATCGGAGACCCAGGAATGCAACTCCCACTCCTGATCTGTCGCCTGGGAAGCTGCGATTATACGCCAGGTGGCGCCAAACGTCGCCAGAATGCCCCCCCAAGCCCACCCACCCCCGACCGGCCACACCGTCGACCCACAGGGGTGCGGATGTTGCGCGGCTGGCAGCCGGAAGAACAAGCCAAACGCCACAACACGCCACAGTTAACCCACCCGTCGCCCAGAGAGAATTCCTCACCGAGGCCACAGACCCAGTAAAACATACCGGGGCGACTCTCGAGGGTTCCAGCGGCCGGCGGGTACAGCAGCCGTGTTCCCACCACACGGCATTCGCATGCCGCACAGGACTTTGGGGGCTAAAGGACGGGGAGGAGTGGCAGAAAGCCAGAAAGGGGTTTGTGGCCTCGTGGCACGATGTGGCAGGATCAACCTGGATCCTAATTAAGACGTGGTGAGGAATGTTGACCCCCCCCTCGACCTTGCTTTCCAAGGACAAAAAAAGGACGCGATTGCGTGCGCAACAGGGTGACTGCGGGGCTGCTCCAGCTACCAAGACTGGCAAAAGCGTTCCCAGCAAAATCCAGCACAGACAGGAAAATTCCAACCAGAGGCGGCAGGAACAGTCAGACAGAGGACAGGAAACCTGGCTGCTGGCTGCATGGTAAAGGCGGACTGGCGGAGCGGACGGCGGCGGACGCGGCGGACGGTGGCGCGCGGGGACGACAGGGTACAGCTGGCCCAGGACTTGGTAGTGCATCTCTATCGCTTACAGGAATGGTTAGGAACAAGCAGGATCAAAAGGCGGGTGGTACAGGAATGCCTCTGCAAGAGGCGTAACAGGAATGAAAAGCCGTGCCATGCGAGGATCCTATGGGTTACTTCTGTGGCTGGTATGCGGCGGCGTTGGTTGATTCCTGGACAAAACCTGGTATGGGCTGTGGCACTGCTGCTACCAATGTCCGCATGTTTGGTGGCAATGGGCCAAGAACCTCTGCCTCCTCGGTTAGACTTGGACGGTGTGGGGGGAGGTGTCGAAGGCGTTTCCGGCGAGCGAAGGGGCGTGCGTTCGTGCGTGCGTTGGGTATGTGGCCCCCCACGCCAAAGCCGCGGGGGCGCCTCCATGGGA